CCCTAACCCTAACCCTAACCCTAACCCGAGACCTCGACCCGACCCGACCCTAACTCTCGCTCTAAAATCTAGACTAAATATCTTAAAGGATTTTTAGATCCTACTAGCGTCTATAAAGGCGCTAAGGTAATAGGGGCGGGCGGCGTCCCTCCCCGATAATCTTAAAGGACTTATAGCCTCGTTAGGCCGCCGTCGAAGCGTAGTAGGCTAGGAGGGCGAGGAGGGGTAGGCGAGGATATGCCGTAGTAGAGGGACCGATAGGACGGTAGTATAAGGGTCGCAAATCTAGTAGGAGGGCGAAGGCGTCTAGGGTACGAGCGCCGCGTAAGGGAGCCTTACGCGGGCGGCTAATTAGCGCGCGCGTAAGGGAGCCTTACGTAGGCGGCCCTCGCCTACCCTAAACGCTTTTCTACCTAGAGGTAGTATTAGGATCGGCTACGGCTATAGACTATTCCTAGATAGAGTTATCCTCGAATATTAATAACGTAATACCTAGTAGGTATAATCCCTTAGTATAAGTACTAGCTATATTAATTATTAATTATTAATTACTACTTATAATTAGGTTATATATCGCTAGTATACCGTATAGGATCCGTAAGCCCCTAAACATACCTATATATATAATAGTACCTTACTAATCGTAGTATAGGTATTATAAATAATATTATTAACGATTAGAAGAATCTCGCAAAGACTATTAATATAATATTTAAAGTTAAAGTAAGGGTAAGAAGGGGAATTAGGCCTACTTGTTTCTTAACGCGCTATATATAAGTAAATAAATAAACGTATAGACCTCGATATCCGCCTAACTTACGCGAATAGCTAACTCTAAGTATTTATAACTCGCTAAATACGTAAGCACTCTTAGGCGGCTATTCGTATAGTAACTAAGGTATATTTATAAGATAAATTCCTAACTTAGATATAAGTTTAACGATAGTTATAGTTCTACGAACCTATAAGGTACCGTAGAGTATCCTTAGGGTTACGCTAGGGATCTTAGTAGAAGATGCCTACGGTAAAGCGAAACGAGGTAAAGCCTACCTTTTCTACTATAGGCCTAATAAGGACCTTAGGCGTAAGAGGGGGCGTCTATAAGGTATTATACTATATCTATAGTATCCTATATATAACCGTAGGGGGACCGTAGGCTATCTATAGTTAGCCTAGGTTACGTAATATATTCTAGCTCCCTATAGAGAGTCTATAGAGTATCTAAGACGGATACCTAATAGAATATATTAGCTCCTATATTAAGCGAGGGGGCTTAGGAGAGGAGATAGAAGAAGAAGGAAGGACGAACTTTCTTCTCCTCTACTCCTTAAGTTTACTATCGTTACTATAGTACTAGATATCGCGTACGTACCGCTAGCGTAGCTAGGGTACGTACGGCGAGTACGCTCTTCGATTAATCCCTACCCTCTTCCTTACTATAACCCCTTTGTCGTAGCCGTATCCTCTACGTTACTACGCTAGAACCCTTATAGGTAGTTTATATTTAATCTAAGTTACTAACTACCAAAAGGTTACTAAGATCTCTTACCTAATTAATTACTTAGGACTTATCTAATTAATAAGCTCTAACTCTAGTATACTATAGGTATATAACCCTAAACCCTAAGAAAGAGTATAAAAGATTTATACCTTAAATAATCTAGTATATAATAAGAGTATTAAGTTAGTATTACTTTCTTAATAATATGTTCTTAGTCTTTAATATAGCTAGATAGCTAAGAGTAGACTATTAATATATCTTTATTAATAGATAGAAAGATATATTTTCTACTTAATACTAGAAGCTCTAACTCTACTCTATTTATATTAATAGCTAGTATAAGGTTGTTAGTAGGTTAGCTTAAGGTATATTATAAATAATAGATATTAGGATTATATAATAATTTTACTTAGTATATAATGTTAGCTTCTCTTTTCTAGAACGTACTATCTACAAGAACAGGAAGTTGTACGTAAGCTACATTGTCGCCACCCGTATAAATGATATGTCGGCCGGTGAACGGTGAAGTGTACTGCGGCATGCCAGGCATCATCGATCCCAGCAAGCTTGTGCCGCTGATCACGAACCGCAGCTGTTCACCTGGGCGAAAGGAGAGTCCGATCGGCATCATGTCAATCTCGACGTCTACAACTTCGCCGGCAACGAGCTTTTGTGATTTATCGAATGTGTGCGCTGGGATTTCGGGAGTGGACAGCATTTCATCGAGTTGCCGAAGCGACACACGGAGTCGTCCGTCAGAACCGCGGTAGCGGAGAATCGACCCACCGCACTCGGTTGCGTCCTGAAGCATGGCGCCTTGATTGGGGACAGTGAATTGCGCAAGTGGAGTGCCGAACTGGTCGAGCTTCTGCGCGAGGACGAAAAGGTCCATGTCGTCCGCGCCGTCTACTCCTACCCGCAGGTGCGCTTTGGGGTAGCCGACCAACGTGGTCATCTTCTCAAAGCGGAATACAAATGAGACACGACCTGGGGTCCCTCCCACGACATACTGGACTGACGACTCATGTGTCGACGGCGACATATCGAGTGTCCGGGATGATGCGTTGAGGTAGTATTTGGTTAAGAGGACTCCCGCCGGTGGGAATTCTTGCGCAGCGATGTCAACCTCATCACCGCCCTGCAGGTCGAGTAGCGAGTAACGCACAGGTGAAGTGGCTTCCCAGCTATTGTTGCGGTCAAGTAAGAAGTGGTCGAAGAAGCATCTTAGATCTTCGCGGTTACGCTCGTCATAGTAGTCCGGCCACTCTTGCGAATTGTGAATTCGTAGCCATTTCTGTCCGGACGTCATGCGTCGCCATGCTCGGAATGTGCCTTGTGTGTGTAGAGAATTCGAATAGCTTGCAACTACATAAGCAGGCACTGTAATCTTGCTGTATGCTGGGATTTTCTCGGCCCAGAGCTTATTCATGAGCGGATATTGATCAGCCTCGGCGATGATATCCTCCTTCTGTCCATGGCCCCAGAATGAATAGTCGCGGAGTTGCTTGGCGAAGCCATGATCTGGTATGCCTCCGCGCATGACGAGATCGCGGTAAGTGTCACTCATGCCTTCCCATGGGTTGATCGCAGCGAGATGTGGCGGCTGTTCCGCGGCAGTAAACCACTGCGATGCAGCGAGATAAGACGTGCCGCTCATTGCGACCTTACCATTGCACCATTCTTGCAAGCCTAGCCACTCCACAAGATCATATGCGTCGCGACCCTCCTGGCGGTCCCAAAGTACGCTGTCACCTTGTGATTCAGCGACACCGCGAATGTCCGGATTGCAGATTGCGTAACCATGAGCACACCAGTACGCTGGATCCGGACCTTCAAACTTTTCGAGGCCGGAGACAATTTGGTCTTTGAGACCGACGAGTCTGAAGACACCCCTTGCGCTCGAGGAAGTGCCTTGTCCTTTCCCGTAAGGACTAAACGCGACGATCACGGGAATTGCTTCATCGCTCACCGGGCGAAACAAATCAACATATGTCACCGTGCCGTCGCGCAGGGTCACTGCGACATCTTTGTCGAAGACGATTTCGATAGGAAGCTCGAGGAATGGTGCGGCGATCTTTGTGCCGGCTTTCAGGACCTGTTTACTGGGATTGAAGCCGCTGAGAATGCCATATCGATCGCTTTCCGGCACCAGTGGTCTTGACTGCATGGTGATCCTGTTAATTGCGTCCATCATGTATTTCTCTGCTCAATCAAACGACAGACAATGACTGTTCGATCATCACAGCTAGGTTAGTCTCTATATATGCACTGGCTTACGACCTGGAATGGCAATCACACAGCGGACGAAAATTGACGCCGCTCCGTACCGTGCTCCGATCGAGCCTCAAACGGCCTCGTGCTCTGGCTTCAGTAGTGGTTTCAGGAAGGGGGCCTTCTACATATTCGACGGACTCGGTCGATACTTTTGGACCGAAAGCAAGAGACTACATGCCCGCTCTAGACTTCGATATGAGACCCCACACATCCTTTGAGCCGACGGTTTGTCCGACGAGAGCTGGTTCGTACATGGTCGAACATTGTTGCGCTGAAGATCGCGACAATCGGCGTGGTATAGTAGGTAGTATCAGGATTGAGAAAGCCGTATCAGGTCACTCCTCTTGACGTTCCAGCTAATTGCTTTGTCTGTAGTGGCTGGCGACTCCCAATGGACGTTGTTAGGATTTACAGTTCATAAAACCAACGGCCACGGACGAATTAACGGACGAAGCCCGGACGCTTGTAGAAACCGAGCTCCGACTCCTACATTCAAATATATCTACTACTATATCAAGACAGTCAATAATGTTTAGATGGTTAGAATTTTATAGAACTAGATTTTCTGTTACTCCCGAGTGTTGCATCGCAGTTGGATAATACTTCACCGGACGCCGCTTACCATGGCTTCTCGACATGGATTTTCTCTCCAGTGTTCTCTTCCTACTGGCAAGGTTCTTTCGGCCGGCGAAGTCGATGCTTGGGAGCTGAAAGCAGCGCGAAGAGGTCTCAAAAATCTAAAGACATTGCTCGAAGGGCAAGCGATGCTTGATCTGCTTACAAAGCAAATCGAGGAAAGTGACGCTTACTTCAAAGCCATTATTGCCAAGTCGAAAGGCCAGTTCAACGAGTCTCGGATCGACTTTAAGGCGAAAGGAATCACATCATCTCAGTTCCTGGAGTGGTTCAAGGTCATTGGTGGCAGGCAAACGACGGAAGGCAGGAGGCAATTCTTCCTCGACACCATGGCACCAGCGCATCCGGAGCATTACGCACTTGGTCCATATCCGATGGGCATTATTGAGACGATTGGACTGCACGTTTGCCGACTACGAGTCGACAACGCTGTCGAAGTCCCAGACTTCGTTAAAGCGTATGGCGACGCCTCGTACGGCAAGAAGTTGCCTGTGACTGGTTTTCTCGATGACGGCACGCTTTTTTTTTACGGTTTCCAGGAGCTTCGCGACACTGACGACGGGTGCGATTTCCGATTTCGGATTATCTTTCCCGCCGCGGCGCCTCAAGATCTCTTCGACGAACACACTGAGCATCTTGCTATTGAGTTCAGGAGCTGGATCGCAACTGCTTTCGAGAGCTACCAGAAGTAATGTGGGGGTAGTGCTGGGGAATGGGCGATAGTGTACGGCTGCAGTTCAAGATCCAGGTTTGTCCTCTGCGCTGTTGTGTACGTTTTCTCTAGCGTATCTCACTTGTACCTAAGCAAAGAGCTCAGCCACTGAAAACTGCATCACGTCGATATACGAGCAAGTCTGAATGAGCCTGCGACTTCTGCTGCTCCCAAAGACCCGCATGCCGGATCGAAACCGTATCACTATAGCGTTTGTGCTGGTCATGGTCGATAGCATACCTTCCAGGAACCAGCACGACGACGCACTAAACGAGCACGACTGGAAAATGTTGAGTCTAGCTCTTCTAGGCTGAAGGTGGACACTGCTTCCGTCCGAGAGGCATCAAAACTACTCGAGCATGACTATGCTCAATGGATGGTCGGTATAGATCTTGACTTTGGACTGACCGGCCATGATTGGTCAAATAAAATTCGACGTTGATCCTCAGCTGGACGACCTCATGGCAGCAGACAGGATGCTTCCTCCGACTGTCACTGCTAACCATGGCACCTTTGATCGAGCTTTGGAAGATGCCGGAGGCTCGGGATCTTCACCTGCAATAGTCTCATTTAACACCCAGATTCAGGTATCACAACCATGTCATGATCAGGATGGGACAAAACTAGCCGGCGAGCTCTGCGGCTTGACGGACGACATTACTTCATATTCTGCTGAACAGATATTGCTTCGCTCCCATTACACGCTCACTGGTCTTCAAACGGCTGGCTGTGAAGTCAGTTGTGCGCGATTTGCATCCAGTACAGTTTCTCGTGCCGATACCACTCCTGAGGAGACTGCATCGATGGATGAGCAACGTACCGAGCTTGAGTCTATTGTGGACGAAGGAGTTGATCAAGGATCGACCGACTCATACTTACTGTTCATCTTTCCAGAGAAGTCAGATGTTATACTATCACCGCCATACCTTCTTGCTGCTGTGTACGCATTTGGTCAAGCATTCTCGAGCTTCGGTGACTACCTTTGCATCTAGACTCTGTACGTAGAACCATCGGTCGCAAGACTTATCTTCAACCATCCATTGCTCCCTTGCAGACTGGACTCTTGCTTATTCTAGGCCCAACGTACAATCCTGCCATGCCTGGTACTTCTGCACGATGGTCATGTCTTGGGAGCGTTGTGACCATGGCTCAAAGTCTAGGACTCGGTCATGATCCACAGCAATGGAAGCTGCCTGTTCAGCAAAATACGCTCCATCGTCGACCTGCCTGGATAGTACGATATGCGGATGTGTGAATGTCAGCGGCCCTGGGTCGGGCTCGGCTCATCAGTGGCACGATTTGCTTGTTTGCTCACGTACCTCGATCGACTTTGCCGATGATCGGATCGACGAGAGCGCATCCCAGTTATTCGTAGCACTCGTCGACCTCACAGTTATCCTAGCTATTGTGCTTGAAAGACTCCATGCGCTGAGCATCGTAGAAGAGCTGTGTAACGACTTTCGTGGAACCTCGCGCACTGCACGGCCCATCATGAGCCAGCTGGCCGAGTGGCACTGCGGGCTGAAATTGCCGAGCAAAGATTCTGCTAAAGGAAATGAGGCACATCGCTCTGGCGTACTGCTTTTCGGTTACCATGCTGCCAAGATATAGATCTTTCGCGCCACCATACGACCCTTCCGTCACCTCGAAGGCGAATTGGCAGATAGCAATAGTGCGGACTCGATAGCCATCCATGAAGCATGGGGTCATCTGCGTGTAGCAGCAGAAAGATCGACTGTGGCCTTTGCCAGCCTCACTGCTGAGCTTGGAAGTGATCAGGGACCCGCTTTCTGGCCATCCTGGAGCGCCTCCTGCCTGGTAGGGCGCTGGTCAGATGTGTACACTGCTACTGATGGTGTTGAACGAACCAAGAAGAAGCAGAGAGCGCAAAGAACATGCTGGATCAGATGAGACGGATACTGCGCCTGCAGGCCAAATTGCTGGCGATTTTGCGTCTGCGTCTGCTTCGTTTGGGCAGCTTGCGGTGAAAAGGATTCGAGAGCTGCTTTGACTCGAGGCCGTTGGTGCAGCAACCCTTTGCATCAGAAGTGGTGCGTGGGTGTTGTTGTATCGTGTTTGGAGGATACTTGTTCTATGCTTCGAAAGCATTTGTTCAAGATGATGACTGCCTCAGAGAGCAGACTCTCAGCTTGGCCGGACTACTGAGCACTTCGGTTTAGATGTTTTTGACCGACCGTCGAAGATTATATTGACAATCAGTAGCTAGACATCCTCTGATGCTTGCGATAGCGTTACTAATCACCCTTGCGTTGGATGTATGAGTTCCGAGAAGATGTGCTGGGTGACTGTCTGGTGCTTTCTGCGGCACGTCGCCCATGAGCTGGCCGGAAGCTACGATGTATGACTCGGACGGATTCAGCTGTCAGCTATCCGAGCTGCGAGTGCTGACCGGCTTGGTGCTGGGACATTGCATGGCAATAGTGGAGGGTAGACGTAGACTGACTGACTACAAGGACTCGCATAGAGGTAGGAGATGCGGGAGAGTAGAAGTTGTGTGGAGCAACGAGGATGGGGAAGGCACGCGCTCACGGTCCAGCGTTGTTCCGTTCCGACCTCGTACGGGTCGGCCCTCGCAGCTCAGTTCGCCGATGGCACATGAAGTGTCGCGTTGCCATCTTCTGCCTTAAGCATCACCACCATCATCAACACCCTTCACACCCACTTGCCTCGACCACCATCTCCGTCACTCGACTACACTCAATCCTTACCATCGCCACATCTTTACAGCCCAAAATTCGCACGCAGCAGCGACATCTACAACCCACACCACCGCCCCAAGAGGCGAAGAAGAGTAGACCGCGCTTTCCACACACATCACCGCAAAGATGGACCGATTATCACGAATGCTGGCAGCTGCACAAGGCATGGGCGGTGGCGGAGGAGGAGCACCCGCACAGGTATGAGAAACACCATTACCCAACCTACAGTACATACCAGCCAGCAATAGCCACATCATCATCACCATCACTACCGTCATCACGCGAGCATCTTCATAGCCCTCCCAGCATGTCAGAAGAGAGACGAGGCAGCGAGCCCACCCGACGTCTGCCCCACGATCGCATCACAACCCTCGCAGCCCGGCGACGGAGATCCGATGGCGATGATGGCGACCGAGCACGAGACAAGGAGCCGAAGAGGCGGAGGGCAGCAGCACGCTTCCGTCCTCATCACTTCCTGACCCGCCCAAATGTTGCGCATCATGCAGTATCACTCCGAGACCAATCAGCTGACATGATTCTCAACAGGACACGAACATCATCGACAATGCCGAGACCGTCTATATCTCCTCCCTCGCCCTCCTCAAAATGCTCCGACACGGCCGCGCGGGTGTGCCCATGGAAGTCATGGGCCTGATGCTGGGTGAGTTTGTGGATGATTACACAGTGCGAGTGGTAGACGTCTTCGCCATGCCACAGTCCGGTACCGGCGTGTCGGTCGAGGCGGTGGATCCCGTGTTCCAGACCAAGATGATGGATATGCTACGGCAGACAGGACGGTGAGTAGACCGCTCTCCGCTACTCTCCTTCTACTCATACTGATGTTCCATGACAGCCCCGAAACAGTAGTAGGCTGGTACCACTCACACCCCGGCTTCGGCTGCTGGCTCTCCAGCGTCGACATCAACACCCAACAATCCTTCGAACAACTCACACCTCGCGCTGTCGCCGTCGTAATAGATCCCATCCAATCCGTAAAAGGCAAAGTCGTCATCGACGCCTTCCGACTCATCAACCCTCAAACCCTAATGCTCGGGCAAGAACCACGACAAACGACCAGCAACCTCGGCCACCTCAACAAACCCAGCATCCAGGCCCTCATCCACGGCCTCAATCGCCACTACTACAGCATCGGCATAGGCTACCGCAAGACCGCTCTCGAGGAAGGGATGCTGATGAACCTCCACAAGACCGTCTGGACCGAAGCCCTCACCATGCCCGACTTCGCAGCCGAAGGCGCCCGAAACCAAGCCAATCTCAGCAAACTCGTGAGCCTAGCCGAAGGATACGAGAAGCGGGTGAAGGAAGAGACGGAGCTCACAAAGGAGCAATTGCGGACACGATACGTGGGCAAGGTGGATCCGAAGAAGCATATCGAGACTGTAGGCCAGGAATTGATTGAAGACAATATCGTGGCTGTGACGAGGCAGATGATCGACAAGGAGGCCGGTGTGCCGTCAGCGGTAGGAGGGGAAATAGGTAGCAAGCGTGGTGGTCCCGTGAACGGGCATCGGTCGCGGGGAGAGGAGATGCAGGTCGATGAGGAGGAGGAACTGTAGGATAAGATTTCTTTCGAAGATCTGCGGGGGCCTGAGGAGAGTCGGGTGTCTGGACGGGGCTGGTATCGGAAGGGCGGTGGTGGAAGGGTCAGCCGCCTGCTAGCTCGTCTTCGAGAGAGGTGAGAAATAGCTCATTCCTGTGGTCCTCCTCTGACAAGAGCTTTGCCATGGGCATACCTGCTCGAAGGTAGAAGAACGCGCTCGTGCCGGTGCCGAGTGCGAGCTCGCGCAGGGCGAAGAACGCCAACGAAAAGCTTCTGTAGAACATGATACACGAAGACACCCGATAATTTATGCTAGCTCTCCATGACCCACTATGTCCCCACTCCGACCACCAATCAATCATCTGTCAGAATGGCCTGGCGGAGCATCAAGCAATAGTTGTGATGGCTCGTAGTAGTAGTAGTCATGCCATCCGCTTAATTTCGATCGAACGATTAGCCTGTTCTTACAATGATTGCAGCACAGAAACGTAGCACGAGTGGCCTGCCTGCGAACGAGAAGATGGATGAAAAGCGGAGTGCTTGGTTTGCATTTCGAAATGCGGTTACAAAAAGCAAAAGAGTTATCGCGGAACAAAACGCCTAGGCCCTCACCACCATTTCATGCCGCTAAAACACGATTCCATCATGCTAGGAAAAAGCCTCTACTTCCTCCGTCCCTGCTGCATAGCCAAGATCTGCACCATTCTGACAAAGATATTGATAAAGTCCAGCTCCAAACTTATGGACTCGTTGACAGTGTCTCGCCTGAAACGTCCTTGCTCCGCCATACGGGCATGCGCAAGGATCTTCTGGACATCGTAGAGTGTGAAGCCGCCGAAGACAGCCAGACCGCCGTAGAGCCAGAGGTTCTCGGTCATCATGAGGGTTCTTGTGGCTGTGACTGGAAGGACCAAGGGAGCCAGGCCGGAAAGTGCGACAATGGCTACGCCTGCTAGGAGTGGGCCGCCGAGGTAGAGATACTTCTCCTGTTTCGCTGTGGCGCCGACGAAAGCGATGGAACCCATCATGCCGATTGTATACAGACCCGCACGGGCGAGGATGGCCGGGCTGAAGAAAAGCATGGGCGATAGAAGAGCAGCTTGCGTGAGGTTGAACCCAACCCACAGACCGTACTTCAGCATGTAGTTCTCCGGTGGCGTGGCATGGCAACCCATCATCGTTCCAATACTCCCCACAAGACCGATGCCGAGGACGAGCCACGGGTTCGCAGACATGAGACGGTAGGACCAGCCGGATGTATGCAAGGCGCGGGCAGCGACGGCGATGATGCCGAGGCCGAGGCCGGTGTGGGCGAAGGTGGAGTTGAGGTATTCGCGTTCAAAGGGCGGCATGCCGCCATCTTCACGGGTCTCGCGGTTGAAGATGAGGTTGATTGCCAGGAGGGTGCCGCCGAAGCTGTGATAACATAATGTCAGTACACGTGAAATATCTTACGTCTGTTGGGCATGGTATGCTTACATAGCACCACCATAGACAAGTCTCTGGGTCAAATTGCCTTGCGCCAGCGGGTTGGGCGGAGCGGCAGTCTGTTGATAGCCCCTCTTACTGCCTCCTTGTTGCAAAGCGCGCTTGAAGACATCTTGTCGTGCTCGTGCAAAGGTCTGCAGTGGCGTGGTGGCAGGCTTAATACTGCTGGTGAAGCTGATGGCCTGCTTGGTGGTGGCGGTTTGGAAGCTTCGGTACGTGATGTGAGAGGCTTTGGGAGCTTGCTTGAAGACGCTGGCGATGGCGAAGGGGCGCCGACAGAGGGAAGCCATGGCCGTATCGTATGCGCTGGTGTTGTGGGTGCCGTGGTGGTGATGTACGTGATGGAGACGGCAACGAGGCAAAGAGCTTTCTACGTCACCACGATTTGGACAAAGGCGGATCGGAGTTTCTAGAAGGCCGGGCGTAGTCACATGACTATACTGACCCGTTTCATCTTCGCGCACTCAGATCCCGTGGAGTACTATACATCATGGTATGTACACATCACAAGTTCGCATCGTAATCATGCTTTGCAAGTCTTTCCCCTTCAGATACCGCACTTTCACGAGCTCATCTCACCCAATCCGGAAAGTCACTTCCGGCACATCGTAGGTCTCACAGTAGTGCTGCACATCCTGACCGCTCTCCATGGCGGCAACATTGGCCCATCCTACGATGGCATAGTGACTTCTCCGTGGTCGTACCAGGAATGAACCCTTAAAGCCATGGAAGTAGACGAGGACATCCTCCACCTTGGCATGCCGGCAACTTAGCGCAGGCAAGTCGCTCGTCGTGGTGATGAAGCTACTATGTGCAGTATAAGCTACAACGGATTTGCACAAGCTCTCGCATACAACTACATGCTCGTCGTCCGTCTGTTTTTGGTCTTCGCTGTCTTCGTGAGCATCGCAGTCTTGCTCGCCCGGGAACAGCAGAGAGTGAACCGGGTGAGAGAGGTCTCGGAGCATCTGCCAATGACGCTCATCAAGAGCACCATACCACAGCCCCAGAAGCCACCGCACCGATTTGGAGTAGCAAGCGAAGGATACCACTTGATCCTCCATATATGCAATGCTCTGTGGCACGTGTGAAGCTTGATCCGGCATCAGATATGTTGACCTGACTGTGCCCAGTATTCGTCCTTCTAAATGCAGTATCTTGCCATCATCACCCAATAGCGGCGGGGTAGCCAGCTCCCGCCAGTGATCCGACCAATTCCTAGATGCGCCACGTCCACCATGAAGAAGACTTACCCCATCCTGCCGTGACAAATCCGGGACCCAAGATGGATGCCGAGATCCGGGGTCTTGGAAGGTAGTATTGTCAAATCGATTAGCAAGAATCCCATAGCACGTCGAGATCACCTGCGTCATATATTGTCGGTATACATCGTCGGGCTCGAGATCGTAGTCCACCACGGTATGTGATCGATGCTTCTGGTCCATAAGGCCTAGTAAACCATAGACATAATCGTGAGCGATACTTGTCCGGGTCAACGCAGACAAAGACCAGACCCCAGCTAAAGATATGTGTCCCGTAAGTTTGATAGATTCCCGAATCGCGCATCGCATGTACAGGCGCGGCCTTATTATGAACGTCGTTTCGCGACCGACATTTTTCCGGTCCTTCGAGAAGTCGCGGAAATCCTGCGGTACACAAGTGCGACCCGGAGACTGTGGAGGCTCTACAGCACGAGGCTCGTCATCCGTAGTTCCACGATCTGACAACTTTTCGTCGACCAGTCGAGCCAGTTGAGTCGCCGCAAACATGTGTTTGCCACACAATAAAACTGGATCCCGTAAAGCCAAAGCATACTCCTGCAGTGTCCAGACACGCTCAAACCATCTCCTTTTGGCAGTTGGCGCTATTATTGCCTGGCGAGTCATGAAATCCAGACCAAAACGCTCGTCAAGGAGGTCAAAGGAGCGTTGCCCTAGAGGCAAATCGTCAATAAAGTTGAGCCATTTGATCGCTTCTGTTGTCATTTCGTCGGTCTCACCGAGCCAGATCAGCACTTCGAATGCACGGCGGTAGATGTCGCCCATCATAGAGACCTGGTGATTCTTCTCCAAAGTATTGTCCTGATTGATACACAACTTGTCGACCCAAATCGGCTTTCCATTGAGACGACGTCGAGCTTGGCATAGAGCAGATGCGAGGTCGTAGGATACCTGGACTTCTTCGCCGTTGACCAGTATAGGTCAAGTATGGTCCTCATTATCCCAAGCGTACGAGAGCGCATCATAATCTACGTCCTCTGCATTAAAGCTCACGACGGTCAGTGTGCATTGCAGTGTTTCGTCAGGCTGAGCAGTGCCGACGAACAGGACTCGAATCTCTCGAGCAGCGAGTGGCTGATAAATTGACCTCGTGGAACTAGAGTCAGTTTCCAGAGGGCATCGAGTCCAATTGTTTAATGCATGAGAAGTATGAAAGTCAATCGAGGAGAACGTGCAAGTTGGAAAACATGTCGCTCAGCCTTGAGCGAGGCGTTGTCGCAGACCGAGGCCGTCCTCAATGCCCGTCAGGCTACATATCAGCGCGTGGAATATGCTTGGCCGGCATAGCCAGCCATGCGAAGTGGCAGAAGCGTGTAAAGAGAACTTCTCAGGCCACAGCACGGTCACGATGGAGTGAAGACGGAGACAGAACTGAGTCGTGAGCGTAAACAGATCACCTGACTCATCTGTGACTAAGCAGAAAATGGACCAGACGGCTTCGTGTCGTCGGCGCCCTCCGTCTCGTCTCGCATGCCACGCACCAACATATATCATTGCGTCTGCATTTTCTCTTCCATACCAGCTTCTTTGGGACATATGGCTTCAGCGGCTAAAGATGTTGAGATCATCCGAGCTTGAAGTTTCTGCTATACCAGGCCCAGGTGAGCTCCAAGGTAGAAGTATCTTCCTTATCAGCCTCCTCCCCTCTCTTATCAGCCAGGTCAGTCTGCTCTTCGGACCTTCACAGCTTTGCTCGCTTGCTCGTCTTGTCTTCGTCCCCAGGCAGCTGCATCTGAGCTGTGCCTCAGCCTGAATAGTGCCATTGGAAGATCCTACAGCTTCGACCTTCCTCCGAATCACCATCAGTGCCAAGCATACAACACAGCGGGGCTCGTCACCCGACCACTACAGCTTTCTCACCTACCTGTCTGGTCCCCGGCCCACTGCCTGCATTCTCCTATCCTCCATGGAGACCTCCTCACCTCGCCGTGGCAGTGCCAATGTCTCTGCTTCCGCTCTCGATCACTGGCGGAGCCATTCACCAACCGGCTCAGAGCGGAGAAAACTGTCATACCACCCGACCGATCCATGGGATCTTCCGTTATCGACGACTCCCGATAGCACACCAGCAGTGAACACAACACCACAAACCAGCAGCGCAACCCGCATCCTCCAAGTATCAATAGCAGTCCTCTACTGCCTCCTCGCAGCCGGACCAGTCTTCGGCTTTGCAGCTATCAAACCCGTGCTTGTGCATGAGGGAGTCTATCGGGACCAATGTACGCCGCAAGAGGTGAAAGATAAAGTATGGGTGTGCTACGGACAGGAGCTGAGACTGAACCTCATGTTCACTGTTGCGGCTGTAAGCACGAATGTCTGCGCTTTGCCTGTGGGAACAGTATTGGATCGATACGGGCCCAAGATCGCCAGTCTTGTCGGGGTAGTGCTGCTCACGCTGGGAGCGCTGTTCATGGCATTCGCGCAGGATCTACCCTTCGATGCTTACATACCCGGCTACCTCTTTCTGGCGCTTGGGGGGCCTTTCGTCTTCATTTCCAGCTTCCAGCTCAGCAACACATTTCCGGCGCACTCGGGCTTCATTCTAGCTCTGCTCACTGGAGCTTTCGACACGAGCAGTGCTGTCTTCCTTGTTTACCGCTTGATCTACCAGCAAACGGACAGCCGGTTCACACCGAAGAAGTTCTTCCTGATATACCTGATTGTACCAGCACTCATCCTGCTGGCACAGCTTTTGGTCATGCCTTCTCAGTCATACACAACAGCTAGCGAGACTTCTGCTGACGTCAATGCACTTGTCAGCCAAGTTGACATGGACACAGAAGCCACTGGTCTCCTCAAGAAGCACAACAGTTCCGATGCCAAAGCGCAAGACACTACAGTTACCAGATCAGGCGTCTGGGGAGCTCTACACGGGCGCACAGCCCTACAACAGATCATGACACCCTGGTTCATCCTCATAGCCCTCTTCACACTTCTCCAGATGACCCGCATAAACTACTTCGTCGCCACCCTCCGCACACAATACACGCATCTCCTTCATTCTCGCAACGCCGCAATCCAGCTAAATAACTTCTTCGACGTTGCGCTGCCACTTGGAGGCGTTGCTGCCGTACCACTGATAGGCTTGGTCCTAGACCACACAAGCACGACCTTCGTGCTCGCCTTACTCGTAGGCGTAGCAACCACGATTGGCATCCTTGGAATCGTGCCAGAGATGTGGGCAGGCTATGCGAACATCGTCCTGTTCGTGCTCTATAGGCCATTATACTATACAGCAGTGTCCGACTACAGCGCCAAAGTCTTCGGATTCGAGACATTCGGGAAGGTCTATGGGCTGATAATCTGTCTCGCGGGTCTGTTCAACTTCAGCCAGCAGGGCCTGGATACATTGACGCATGGTGTGCTGAAGGGTGACCCGGTGCCGGTAAATGTCGGATTGCTTATAACGGCGTTCTTGGTGGGCGTTGTGCTGGTTGGGTTTGTCTGGAGGAAAAGCTACACTATGCAGAGAGATAAGCTAGAAGAGGAGGCAGAAGGAGCGCGCGAGGTACAGATGCCTGCCGACTTGGACACAAGTGCGTAAGAAGAGAATCAAGTGTGAATGATACACCAGTGTAGCTTAAGGAGTACTCTGGATAACCCAGGAAAGACGCAAGCATATATTACGCTGTTGCGTGCTTGCTACTGAATAACATCAACGGAAGCCTCCCTAGGATATCTCAACTGACCGCATTGCTGTACCATGTATGGCAGAATCACTCTTCGCACGCTCGCTAAATATACTGCTCAGACTCGAAACCAATGACTCATTTATGCTTCCCACCGCCGCCACCACGGGTGATACTACATCTAGTCCACTATCTCCATCACCACATCCATAGAACAGGCCACTGCCTGCCAGCGTTCTCGGACCAGACTCGAGCTGGTTCAGCGTCGATCATCGCCTCCGCTGCTTCGACCGACCAGGCGTTCGATCGAGCTTGTGAATTCCCTGCGGTCCTCCGCCGGCTCTGCCGACCGCTGTGGAGGAGCCGGTAGCCGCTGGACGAGGACCGCGAAGCTGAGAAAAAGAATGCTGCTGTTGTTGCTGCTGCTGAGGTCCCATCTGATGGACGTGCGTTTGTTGTTGTGGGTATGTGTTGATGGGTGTGAATGCTGCTTGCTGGATATGCATTGCCGACGGGTTGGTGTAAGCAGAGGTCGAGGCGGCTGATGCACGACGCATAACTGGCATTCGTGGCTGGAGACCTACGGCGTAAGGAGAGTTGGTTACCGGTATGGTTTTGGGCATGAATGGCGGTGAGATGACCGGGAACGGTGCCGGATGAACTTGGCTGACTGGTACCGTTGGCGGAGTGAGATTTGGTGTTGTGTTGTTGCTGTGAGGAAGTGGCTGACCCGCTCCTGCCATGTTCCACCCAAGCGGTTGAAAAGACTGTGGTGTCATGACTTGTAGACCAGGATCCTCGAGGAGATACATTCCCGTATTACCCATGACGGCATTGGCAGACCAATCAGCCAAGGAGGCAGTGTCGAGTTGTAACATCGGACCTTGATGTTGTTGTGCACTTGATCGACGGGACAGATTAGCTACTCTACGTTCTTCCTGTCTCTGGCCAAGCTGGAAAAGACCATCTGATATGCGGTTGACGGCAAGTGCTGCAAGGCTATGTATGCCTTTATCGGCGAGCTCGTTGAAGACCACGAATGCTTCTTGCACTATCCACTGGTTGTGATAGGCTTCGGTTTCCCAGATATCGATTATGAGGATCATGCAGGCGTTGAATGCTTGTTGACCCATTGTCCATGAGATCAGTATGGCAGGGTTGCGATGCCAGAAGAAGAGGAAAGTCTGCAGAATAGAAGCCGAGGAGTTGATAACCAGATCTCGACCCCGGACGGAAGCTGGATGTGAAAGTAGCTCCGAGCTTGAGCTACTCACAGAGCTTAGAGGACCGGTACTAGCTGGTGGTCTCATCATACCCCCTGGTGGTGAACTCCTGGAAGAATGCTGTGTACGCTCTACGCGCTGTCGGTTCAGCAGTACCAGAAATGATTGCACTTTCGCAAACAATATCGCTGACATCGCATCGAGAGGCCAGTCGGGCAGTGGTGCATCTTTCTGCACCCAGCTTTCGTTGAACTGGAGAGCCGCAGGCATCGTGTCCCACAGCCCCAGCAGCTTATCGGTATACTCGTCGATCTTCGAAACGCTCATCAGTCCATCGCTACTCAGAATCTGGCGTGCCAATATGGTGAAGTGGTCCACGAACTCGCCAAGACGCAGCATAGTCGGGTTCGTGACGAGTGGCTCAGGTGGTGGACAGTCGCCCATGCCCGATATGCCTAGTGGCCGACCAAGTGTCACTGAGTATTGTTGGTCCATGTGTAACATCCACCACCAGAGTGTTCTTCGGGTCATGCTTTCACGGAGTGAGGGTGTTGAGTCCAAGTATTGTGGGTTGCGGTGAAGACCAATCGAGTGCGCAAGTCGTATCGTGGTCCCGAATAGCGTCCAAGCATCGAGAAACCGGCCGCTGTTGGTAAGGTACGGGCCCATCAGAACCAAGGTTTGTATCCCGAGTAGTGAAGGCTGACTCATGTAGGATGACATGCGAAGTGCATGCATGCTTGCAGCGACTGATACCAATCAGCTATGTTCCGACCCGATGGTACATCACACCTACGGTAGACATCTGCTCGCTTCCGTATTTCTGCCATCGATCCTCTGACCCACGATCCGCCTGCACGATCGTACTCGCCCATCTGCAGCCCAGTTGCAAGCGTTGCGAATATCAACGCAAGCATATCCGGGTGCCGGCTAGCATTACTCTCGGCATCATCGAGGAAGCGCTGAATCTCCTTCTTCGTTGTCTCTTCCGGCGTATGAGGGAAAGAACATGACTGGGCACGAGCTTGGAAGGCATCGACGATCTCGGGTATATCTTTCGCTCCTCGAAGGATGTTGACGAGAGTCGTGGCTGTGTTCGATCCAGTCCAGCCGTTGAAGATCGGGAAGGGAAACATGGATTCGTGACTGTCGTCAATGCCGTATACCTCGCTGGCCTTGGGCACCCTGTGGGTTAAGGAATGGCTGCCAACATGTAGGTTGGCGAACTAAGGCTAGTCAGCGACAGCATCACCGTCAAAGGGCATAGACTCACATCATGGACAATGTTAGCAAGACTCGGCGTGCCAAAGTACAAATTGTCAACACGATCAGTGGTCTTGAAACGTCGTTGTTTTGCAGCGGCGGATCGACTGTTCTTGGAGCCTTTCTGCTCAAAGGCATCCTCGTCATCTTCCTCATCGCCAGAGTGTGATAATCGTGCAGCTTGCAGCCGTTCCTTCAGCCGTTGATTCTCTTGTCGTAGCTTGCGTATCTCGTATGATTGCTGAATGGGACTGTAGTCGTTCCCTTCTCCCACGACGAACTCACAATCCTTAGGATGGCCACGAGCACAACACGCGGAGCAAGGCTTTGTTCGGTCACACTGTCGTGGCTGTTAGGCTACCTCTTGCTTGGATACGGACGAGCTGGTACGAACCTTAACCTTGCGCTCGCGGCACTTGGTGCACGACAGCAATTGTCTGGACTGCGGCTTCTTCTGTCCTTCTCGGGACGAACTGCGCTGCATCTGTTCTGTAGCTGGATCTTCGACCGAAGTTGTATGCCCAAACTCTGGTCCCCACGAGGTGTCCATTGTCGGATCGACAGCAGCTGCAGGTCAGCAATCATTCTAACTCCCGACGGAGACCCGTCAACCTGGGTGCAGACTCGATCTAGATAAGCGACTGGAAGCACAACATCGTGTCTAAACCACGGTGACGGATTCGTCCGATTCGATATAGCCCAAGAGCGTCATGCGAGACATTGTAGCAGCATCCGAGACCCGATGCAGAAGTCGCATTTACATTCGCTGAGCCAAAGACGTCCATCGGCAAGTGAGGCGTTTGTCCCCTGCTTCGCCGGTGCACTCACATACTAGTGAGGCACTCAGGCGAGCTGTTCAGTGTGAACGAGAGGCGTACTTGCATAAGAAGAGCACCATGCCTGCAAGATAGACATACATAGTCGTCTTGTCGTGCATGTCAGGTTGCCTAGTGTGGCCAGATCCGATCAGTTGCAGGTGCTCTAGTCGAGCGGATGAGGATCCGGACGGCCGTGGCATGGCTACTGTTAGTGCCAAATCATGCCTACCATGCCCAGCTGTCACACGGGCGAGAGTGCTAGCGGCACGCCACGCATTCAATGGCATAGACGTGACATTTCTTGATGAACTATATGGCGAATACGTTGATTGACCATACAGCTTGGAGAAGGCCGTGAAAGTTGGAGGAGATGTCTGAAGTCTGACAGCCTCGCAAATGTAGATCTTGGTACGGTTTCGTCGGCATCGGAAAGCTTCCAATCAAGCTTATCGGCATGCCGGACAGTGGACCTAGTTAGCCGCGCCGGATACGTCAGCGTGGGGAGTAGTGGTAAGACATGGCGCTCGAGAACACTAGAAGCTGAAGCGGTGCTTAATCTAGACGGGCTTGACCTTCATTCGTGATGCCTGGAGAGGGTATGCGTTGTAAACATGGGCCATTACTCGCGCTACTATCCTTCCGGCACAATACCCCACGTCCTTCTCCAAGAGCCCCCATGCTGCGGAAAAAGGATCAAATCACGAAGAGGCACGGGGCCGGCTGTCTTGATCGACAAGATCGCAACCGGGAATTCCAAATCTACATGTAGTCCTCAACCACGAGGACGCATGCAAACTAAACAGGCGGTCGATCTGTCTCAATCTGCAGATGCACATCGTGTCGTACATGCGCTGTGATGTCAAATTATGCATGTGTAAGGCGTGCAAACGCAAGGCACCGCAAGAGATCGTCGTCCCGACAGAATGGTTCTCGGGTCAAACCATAAATTGATGCCGAACCTGTCAATTGGGATGCTCTGAGATGGCGCAACTATCTCTCCTCATTGGGCCATCGCTTGCCCCTTCGGCCTAGAGGTAAGACCTACCGTTGGCGCTGTGTGAGATCAAGCACTGTACAAGTGGTCTGGGGCTGCAATTGGCAAATGCCGGGAGGCTATAATCACACATCTCTCATGCACGTTCGCTTGTGTCGCCAGGGATCTTCCCGGCAACCTGGTCCACTGAAGCCTCATCTGAACGCCATGAATGCAATCTGCAAGGCCGACAGGAACTGCACAGTGTTTCGCTAATGCTATTCTGCCGGAAACGCCACCCTGCCAAGCAGCCAGTATTCGTTTTGGCCAATCGACGCTGCATGGCCACTTTGCTTTTGAGCTGTCGCTTTTTACTTCAGCTACACGAAGCCTCCTCTTTTGCCTGGTTCGGATATGGTGAGCTGGCGTATCAGATGACGAAAGTGGTGATGGGCTTCGACATGTCTCAGCATCATCGGGCATCATTACCGATGGGATCCTCGTTTCTATGCTATCCAAACAAGGCTGAGCGGGAGCAATCATAGAATTCCATTATTGTAACGAGACCAGTATCTCTCGGTCGATGACCTGGACCGCCCAAGCTGAGACTGATGTTGGAGAAGATGAGCCTTGCTTTAGGCATATGAACAGACTACTTACACTATACTATACGGCACGCATGCACCAGTCTCCGAACCAACGCTTCGCTATGCTTGAAATACAAATCCCATCAATCTTGCACAATTCCAGATGCATTCCCTCGACCGTCCAAATCTCAACGAACAGGTATACCAGTCTGATTCAACGCCAAAGGCGCAAACCACCCACCCACCACAGGCCGATCGAGAAAGTGACCGGTACCTTGCGCAAAATCTCCACTATCAGCCTGATACAGATCCGTGACTGGCGTGTTCGTAGGCGTCTCGTTGATCCACTTGGCAATGTCGCTGATGAGCCAAGTACTAGTATTGGTGTCTGCGATAGCAGCACAAAAGATCTCCCAGTCACTCTTGGTGTAGTTGTGTCGGGTGTCCAACGGCGAGCCATAAGTGTCTGCTACTGTTGGGTAGAAGTTACTCTGCATCTGGTAGATCTCTACTGGGACAAGGTTTGTCTGTAGAAGAGCATCTGCGTATAAATTATATAGAAGACCATGAGTGTCGTTTTGTCCGTAGGCGAGAGTAGTGTGAGGTGGGCTTGCATCATGCGCGATGCCTAGATTCTGCCACTGCGCGATGAAACTGGCTGCTGTCTGCGCGTAGTTTGCTCCATCAGCGGCATGCCCGGTCATGTTGGCAATGATGGACATGGCTTGTATCCCTATCATACCCTTTAGTGCGAGATTGGTCTGATTCCTGCCAGTAGGTCAGCGAATGTTATAGCATCTGGAGACAGTAGACCTACGCGAGACTGCCAGCAAAGTCATCCGTACTGATCTGATTTGATGGGATCAATGACTCGTTGACCAGGTACTGTGTCCACTGGTTCAAAGTGTTGTAGTGCTGACTGAGGAAGTCGGTATCGCCACTCCTCTGGGCATAGATCAGCGACATGATGAGCATATTCCCACATTCCTCAAGTGGCTGTGTCTCTGTTCCTGCGGCCGTCGCATTCGGATAGTAGCCCAGATCGTGCGGAGCATATGAGCCCTGCGTGAAATGTCCAGCTTCCTGGTAGATGAAGATGGGGATCAGTAGATTCTTGAGGATATCTGGGTTCAGATAGACGAAAATGGGCATGGCAGGGAAGATCACGTCGACAGTTTGAACGTCCCCGTCCGAGCTGATCTCTTTTAGAAAGACGTAAGGTGATGTGCCATTTCCAACCACAGCCAGGCTATTAAAAGCTTGACGCACAATCAGTGTGGTCAGTGTTGCATAGTCCGAGCTGATGGCCTTGGAATCTGAAGCTATCTTGTTGTCCAGGTCTGTGGTCATGGTGACTACTTCCTGATAGTCGTTATAGAAGAAGGACAGTGCGGACAGGTCATCAGAGTGAGTGTTCGTCCAGTAGCTTTGAAGAGATTCGATGCCGTCCGCACCCTCGAACTGAATGGCGTTCTTTTGAGCCAGATTGAGCGTAAAGACGGTGCTGACTGATTCCGAGCCGACTGATCCAAGGTCAACAGCGTACGCAAAGACCGGCCAGTCGTCAGAAATGGCTCGGAAGTCTGTATCGTTCGTGTTGTTCAAGCCACCACTAGTTGTAAATTGTCCTCGGACATCAATGTCTGCGCCAGATTGGTAAGTCAATCCTGCCACACTCTTCGTCTGTAACATATCAGATCAGCATCTTGCTAGGGCCTGACTCATGTGTTCTCATCAACATACCGCGTAGTACCAGTAGCCCCAGGATGCTTGCTGAGACTCTTCCGAAAACTCTTGTTGCAGCTGTCTCCAAACTTTGTGATATGCGATACCATTCGCGGCAGAGGTGCTAGAAGCAGTAGCGCTCGTATTGGCCGACGTACTAGTAGAGAAGGCGGTACTAGTAATGGTGATGCTGGTTGTGTTGGCCGAAGTATCGGAAGCAGTTATGTTAGCCGTGGCAAAGACAGACGTTGAAGAGACCACTTTGTCGACGATAGTCGTCGTAGACTGATCCGAGATTGAAGTGGCTGTCGGCGTAAGATCCGTGGCGTTGTGCGACTCTTGCACAGAAGTAGTGACAGACGCCTGTGAGACGGCAGAAGTGGTGGTAGAGTCACATTCGCGGCGTCTGCGCTCCTCCGCCTCATTCATGAAAAATGAGGGCTCTGCCCGAAGCATACCAAGCTCGGCCTCATTCATGAACATGGTCGGCTCTGCTTCAGGAGCACGTTTGCGCAGAGAGCTTGAAGAGTTCCCGATGACACCGTAATCCCATTGTGCGACTTGACTGCGATCGCCGGACACCCATTCTGTGATAATGTTAGCTAGTACCATAACCATCTTCTTCACGGGCACCTACCTGCGGAGATGTCGGTGTATAGCTGAACGTCATGCTTGTTGCCGTCATTCGATTTCACTGCGACATCGATGTATCTGCGCATGTGTCAGATTCCGATGGTACTGGATAGGTCGTAGACAACGTACGTGATAGGCATGCTTTGCCGTAGCATATCGTTCGGTGTAACAGGACTTAGAAAAGTGACCGTCAACGTCACCGGCCCAGCATCCATTTCGAATATGCTCCGAGTCGAGGTATACGAGAAAGTTGTTTGGTTGACAAGGTCCGGCAATGGATCAGGGCTGCCCATCCAAGTGTATACAGAGTTGTCGACTCGGACTAGGCCTGTCCAGCCTGTGATGGCGCCCGCCCAGAAAGTTGGCCACTGGCCCGGGAGGTAGCCGCCATTACCACCATCACTACCTGCTGCCTGCCTATGCGCAACGTTAGCATCGCGTCAATGCGTAGGGCCTAGATGAATGATGAAGGATTACCATGTGCTCAAGTATGGACTCCGAACTGCGAGTGGCAAAGCTGGAGGCCTAGCTGGCGAGAAGGTAGACAGTCCAAGGCAGGTGGTAAATAGACTGGTGAAAAAATACAACGAAGATGGCATAGCAGTGAAGATGCACGTCACTATATTTCTTTGATAGGGGACTGGTGTTGGATACAGGCCAGGTCGTGAGAGAGGGCAGGATGTGCATACTTATGGATGGCAGTGCTACGACACGTCCGGGGTCGAGTCCATGGCACTACTGTACCGCATGGCGCACTCGTGATGAACGCTGAGCACAAGAACTCGCGCTACCGATGTTCCAAGGTCGTGGCAACGAGATCTACCAGGACATCTGACACACCCAGTATGAACACCAAGACGCATAGTAACCCGCAGCGAGCATGCTTGCCCGCCAATGAGCCCAGAACTGTACAGTCCCGCTATCAGCTAGCAGATCTGGATGTCGTTGTATCCAAGTCAGATGCAGTTATTGTGCTCATGTCCTGCTGCATGGTGATCAAGTTGACTCACGCCCACATCTTGGTTGCTAGGTACGTATAGCAAGTCGCTGGCAGGACCATTTCAGTTGCCGTGGAGCACCGAAAGTCTTACGCCCGTCCGGGAAGCGCGTCAGACTTAGCCAAGGCTCGGTATTCCAGTATTCGAGGCCGTCGATGTCATATAATGAGGTTCGCTCATCACTGGTTGCTTGATGGGCAAAACGGTGATGGCCTTGGCGTTGTGGCGAGGCAACGAGGGACTAGCACAGCCGACGTTTGATCGTGGGCTTCGTGGTCCAGTATAGAGACTCCACGCTTGAAGATACACCAACTGTAGCCAGGTTCCGACAACGTAGGCAGCTTCACGACCAGGATGTTGAGAGGACCGGGCGATCTCCACGTCACAGACGATGGAAGCTGAATAGAGCACGCGACTGCTTCTGAGTGTCTGTAAGACTTGACAGCAAGAGAAAAGCGCGCGTGCGTCGTGAGACAGAATGCGTTTCTGCCTCACGTGTCGTTGGCATGGAAGGATGGAGGAGAAGTTGTCGTGGGGCGGGTGGTAGAAGAAGAAGTGACGGCCTCGGGACGTGGAGCAAAATCTCCGACGTGAACCGTGCGTTCGAGATAGGGTGAAACATTGTCCCTGTGATGAAGCAGAATATGCTAAACAGCTACTTCGATACTCATAGCAACCATTGCCCAGACTGCGAAGACGTTATGTCGGAGATTGGCGAGCTCACTTCGGATGATATAACATACTTGCAGCCATACCTTCCAAAGGATGGTGCACTGTCCGCGCAGCATCACGGTGGTGTTGAGAATGGAGGTTCACAAGGACCAAGCGGCTTGAACGCAAGACAGAAGAATGACACCCTACCTTTTGTAACCCTCACCTACGCATCTTCTCTCGACGGCATGATCTCGCTGGCACCAGGTCTACGCACAACCCTCTCTGGCCCCGAAACAAAAAGCATGACCCACTACCTGCGCTTACAGCACGATGCTATCCTTGTTGGCGTGGGTACAGCCATACCTGATGATCCAAGTCTCAACTGTCGGTATCCAGGTGCGACTTTCGAGACACAACCACGACCTATTGTTCTCGATCCACTTGGACGATGGGACTATGCGAGGTCCAAGCTGGCTCAGCTTACTACGGACGGGCAGGGAAAAGTACCTTGGCTCATTCACGTACGGAGTGAAGTGGAGCTCGAGCATGCTGCTGCAGATTTCTGTGAGCATGTGTATCCCGCAGAACTTTCACGCACGTCTTCTGAAGACAGTAGTCCTGCGGAGAATCGTCTCTCCTGGAGGGTGATACTCACCGAGCTCAAGCGTCGTGGCATCGAGAGCATCATGATCGAAGGCGGAGCTACTATCATCGCCTCGTTACTTGCTCAGTCTGAGCTCGTAGACAGCGTCATAGTCACTTTGGCGCCGACTTGGCTGGGAGCTGGTGGTGTGGCTGTGACACCTGCTGCGCGCAGTGATGGATCGCTAAGAGTAAATGCTGCTCGACTGGACGCTGCGTCCTGGAGACAGTTTGGCGCGGACGTCGTGCTTTGTGGCAGACCTCGATGATGGACATCAGAAACTTGTGAACGTGTCAGGTGCTTATGACAGAACGCTATGGGACACTGTATTGACGTCGATGGCAGCTCTTTAACGGCAGCGGTGAAGACTCCATCAGCCAGGCATCTTGCATTTGATGACACCGCCAAATGTGCCAGCTGGGCACGTGCTGCGAACACCTTGATGGCTTCGATCTTTCTCACATAAGGTACTGTTGCCTCCCGACGCTTTCACCACATCCTATGTCCGCTGTAGTCTCTACGCTCATGGTCCGCACTCATTCTCATTGTCGACATATTGAGCGTTCGGGATTCCGCGTTCTGACACTTGGGGATCAAAGCAGTCTGCGCTATGCTCTCCTCATTCACATCGGTTAGTCTCGCACGCTGCCGTTACTTAAGCTGACAGTGTCTCTTCGTTTCACAACAGATGCTAATATAGTAGCTTGTTTGGCTTCGCCGGCCGAAGGGACAATACTGTGTAAGTCTGCATTGATTTTCCGCAAAAACGCCGTGACGCATCCGACGGGACACAATCACGTCGTCTCTCCAAAGCGCGTTCTCGTCCTTGCGTGTTCCAGCCTTCTCTAGTGGCAGGACCTCCGGCAATAGGGTGAAAGTGGGACGCATTGGCTACGTCAGATTCGACCCCTCCAATACCCCACCATCTACCGGCTGCGAGTTCGTGCATACGCTACGGAGAAGCAGTATTTGGAATGGCCGTCTCGTTTGGACGATCAAGCGAACGAGCAGGCACTTGCAAATGGCAGGAACAGAGCAGCGATGGAACGTCGAGTCCTAGAAAAGCAACAGTGAACAAGATAGCGACGATGGCAGTATTCCAGGCTGCATGCTCATTCGCTGGTACTCGCCCAACTCTTGACCACGATCGAACATTTGACTGGCTGGGACGGAGCCCTTAGATGAAGTTACATTTACTGCCCCGCCAAAGCAGCAAGAGGGCCTAGAGCAGGTCAAGTACAAGAACACGCTCATCCGTCCTTGTCCACACACCTCTTTTCTCACAACAAACATCTCTTCTCACAACACTAACTGTCCGCCAACATGACCACATACCAAGGAAAGTGCCACTGCGGCCATCACGAGTGGGAGGTCAAGCTCGAGCAAGACCAACAGAAGCACATCCTTTGCCATTGTGACACCTGCAAGATTCTCGGCGGTGGCGCCTCGACCATGAACCAGGTACGAAACTTCGCCCCGGTGCAGAAGAACGTTCCATGACTTATCGCCATCAGATCATCCCTAAATCCGCCCTGAAGATCACCAGCGGTGGTGAGCCAAGCAAGTACGCCTACAAGGGCGACAGCGGCAAGTCTGTCAGCTGCTACTACTGCCCCAAGTGCACTTCGCACATCTACCACCACCAGTAAGTCACCCTGAAAGATACACAAATGTCGAAACATATCTGACACTCTCCACAGGGAGGTTATGGGTCCGGACACCATCATTGCCCGTACTGCCCTCCTCGCGGAGGCTCGCAAGAACTTCGACGTTGGCGCCGAGATCTACGGCAAGGCGAAGATGAAGTGGGAGAAGGAGATTGCCCAGACCTTCGAGACTCTGCCCCCATCATAGAGTGGTGGCATACCATCAAGAGACGATATGAGGACTGTCTGTGCACAAGTTCGGTAGCCGTTGTGCATGCCGAGCTCTATTCATGACAATCTTGACACCGCAGTGCTCTCAGAGCTCGGCCAGGACAAATTACTCGTTCGTCGTTCTTCTTCGATCTTCGCAGCTTCCGTCAGCAGACGAGTTACTTCGAAGCAGTGCCCAATAATGTCGTCTATCTCGTCAGTGGTGTCCAGTGACATGAAAGGTTTCTTCTCCATCCACTTCTGTCGTCGCTGCTTAGCAAGCTGAAGAGCACTGCCTCTCGAGCCCAGACTGTGGACATCCACACCATGCTCGATCAGGAGTTTCACGACGGGCGTCATACCGCTGACTTCGGCATTCGATGCCGCCACTCGAAGAGGATTGAAGGGCCCGTTCTTCTGGTCGACGTCGGCACCATTTTCGAGAAGAAGTCGTACCGTATCGATCGAGCCCAGGCCACGGGCTATCTTGGCGATCGCGGCGCAGAGTGGACTTCCTATGTGCATATCAGTATACGCCGTCAAGACAGATGATCAAGGCGCTACCTACCGTGCTTCGGTGAGGGAGCGTCGACCTTTGCGCCACGCTCCAGTAGTACTCTGACAACCTTCGGAGGTCCCTGCCACGCGGCGAAGCCGAGAGGCGAGCCTTCAGACCCACCCATCTGATTGACATTTGCATTGCACTCATCAAGCAGGAACTTCACCATGCTCACGCTACCCTGAGCACAAGCTGTGCTCAAAGGGCAGTAGAACTCGCCGCCTGTCTGCTGGACATCTGCACCATGACTTAGAAGCAGTTGCGCAGCCGTGATGTTACCGCTAGCTGCTGCAGCTCCCAACGCACATCCGTACTTGCTACTAGATTCGGTCACGTCTGCACCCTCAGCCAGCAGGAGTTGGCAAATGCTAATCTTGCCCGAATTCGCTGCACTTGCGAGCGGTGATATGCATTTTCGCTCGGATAAAGACAGGGAGGCGCCGAGTTCCAGCAGTAATTTGATGGTGTTGGCATCTGCCCACCTTGCGGCTGCAGACAAGATGCTCTGGTTGCCAAGAATTGCATTCGGGTCAGCGCCATCTTCGATCAGGTGCTCGATCTGCCGACAGTCGCCAGATGTAGCAGCATTGTACAAGGCTTTGTTTGCATTACCTCCGGTCCGGAGAAACTTAGCTGCTGCTCGACGGACCTGTCTGGATCCTTTCGACATCAGCCCAAGCCGGCTTCGCAAGCCTCCAACGTCCATAGAGCCTCCTGTTGGTCTATCGCAGGGCGCGCTACCGTACGTGTTCACGCTGATGGCAAAGCTAGACAACGAGTCTCGAGGTCGCCGAAGAAAGTCACCAGAATAACAAGTGCCGACAGTCGAGCTTCGCTTCGATGTCAGACGAGTTATCTCTTGCATATAGAGGTGCAGTTGGCTTTGCTCCCAATGTCGAAGCTGTTCCCGCATCATGAATTTGTCCCGGTCGCTGAGATCCGAGCTCACATTACGCTCTGGAGGATGATGGCCGCTACAGGTAGTCTTGTGTTCGAAATGATATCCGCAGTGCCCAATTGTCGAGGCATTGATCTTGTGTAGCTCGAAATCCTTCTTGTGCACAAACCAGATTTGGCATTCGGTGCATTGGTTGGCTTGCTCTCCACGGAAAAGTGCCAAGTGCTGGCGAAGGTGCGGCATTAAGGCTCGCTCGTCCTGCGGAAAAGGCTGGTTACAAAACACGCACATAAGAGGTGATCGGACGGGTATAGTCTTGATGATGCCGTCTTTCTGGAGCACTGTCATTTTGGGCTTGTTGGCCAAGTCGAGTTTTGCCGCAAACTCCTGAGCCAAGTCATCTGCATCGGGTTCAGTAATTTCGCCATCCTCGCCAACCTTGTCTTCACGATAGTCGAAGGTCATGATTGAAGGCCGCCTTGGCTCGTGGCCTGTGCCCTCGGAGTCGTCTGCGACCGAGTCTGGTGTTCTGCTCCGCTTCAATGGTAGGCTCGGCCGCCGACTGGGATATGGCGAAGGTCCAACACGTTTTGAGACCGGCACCATCGCTGCACTCTCCGATTCGGAGTCGTCGTCAAACCAGCTCTGACTCTGTCTATCCGTGTTTGTGCTTGTCTCTTTCGTGGTCGCCTGAGTGGAGCTCGGTGTACAGTCATCGAACGTACTATCATTATATCCAGACACCTGCGCATCGCCCGTCATCTGCCGAGGCGTAGCTGTCTCAGTCCTTGTCCGATTTGCTGGCCCTGGCATAACCTCGACATACCGGCCTAAACGGTCCCAGCTGTTGCAAGGAGAGACGTCATGTTCCACAGTCACGGATTCTTCTTCGAAAGTGTACTCCCACAGAGAAGTCCCGCAGCTCGGCGCTTGTCGCTGCTGTGTGTACTCGCCATACCCAGAAACCACGGGCTTTACGACCGAGCGTCGTCTACCCTCGTGCGCCTCAGCCTCGTGACGCTGCCTGTCATGCTGCCTACTGAAAGCTTTGTGGCATGAAGGATGTGAACAAGCGTATTTGGCAGCTGGCCTTTCGCCGATGTTCCGAAGGTGTTGTTCCGTCTTGTTGTGCCGCGCTCGTGCTCGGCTGGTGGTGAAATGTGTATCGCAATCATGACATGGGAATGACTCCACCCTTCGTCGCTTCGCTGGGGGTTGGAGGTATTCTGACACCGTCCATACTTGCGAGTTAAGCTGTGATTCTTCGGCAATGGGTATGAGACTGCTCGAGGTGTCGTCGGACGCCATCGGCAAGAAGGTGAATGACTGGAGGTCCATGACTATAATCGTCTGATTGAGATCTAGCAAGCTCAAAAGGCGCGTAGTAGAGATTGAGGCATCAATATACGGCACCTTCTCGCGATACGGAGGAGTGAAGACCTGCGACAGGCCCAGCGTGACCCGAAAGTGATCGCATGGACCTCGTCACATTTGCACAAACGTATGTATGCGGCACAGCAGAAGCTTGGGCTCTGACGAACACGCGATCTGAACGCAGACGTGCAGCGAAGGGGTGCAGGAGCTGAGACCCTGGTGATGGTATTGTACCGCGATGCCCATTGATGGTGAGGTTCGTGGGGGTGCCGTACAGGGCAACAATGGGCCGTTCATCCGGTAGAAATACGGCCCCATTCTGTACATTCCAGTGCCGTGAAACGGCCTGACTGAAAGCTTGTTGGTAGGCTGCTTCAACAAACTTGCCTTTAGCGACCACGCGGTCGGTACAGTACATGACGGCGGTGCTGGCGTGCTTCAGAGCGCCCGGCTCGTAGAAGACGGCGCCTGGGAGGATCATCTCGCATGCACCGAAGCTGCGGGTGGACGGGGAGAAGCTATAGAAGCCTTCTTTTACCCATATTGCCGCATCCGGGACACGGAGATTGCTGCCATTGGCGAGATAGGCTACAGCGCTCGTGCTTTACAGCCAAACAGAACACCACATGAAACGAGGAGATGAACGAACGGAGGATCCGAGCAGATGGGACGTGGGCGAGTGTTGAGCTTCGGCGGAAATTCGTCCAACTTGAATCTTTGGAGAATCACCCCACGTTCGTGAATGTCTTTGCTCCAGCCATGGTCGTCAACTCGCTCTTCAGCTGACGCCGTATGGCAACGTATTACCTCATGGCGCTTCAGTATCGCTCGACAAACGTAGAGACCATTCTCGCAGGCTAGCACACAAACCAACTCCACCGCGCCAGTGCAGGGACGCCTTCTGCGTGGTCACAATCTGTCGGTGTTTCCTTTTTCTATGCACGATGAGATGAGACATCACACACCCCTGCTGCGCACGCGGCGACCACGAGGGATGGACTTTTAAAGGATCGTCATACAAATCGGGTGTTCCGCCTCGTAGCTCGATGACTATGATGCGGGAATTGGCCCTCAAAGCCTATGTGCGTCGGCTATCGATCATCGCGAGCATCCATCCTCGCATTGTCCTCCACAGACGAGGCGGGGTTCGCTATGGATTTGGGACATTCTCCGTTGCAGCACGGCACACAAGCGACCACGACGACAAACTCGGTGGCACGGTTGGCCTTGGCTTGCTGCAATGGCAGGAGGGCAGCATGGGGCGGCTGACACGTATTCTGACAGGCCTTTGTAGCTAGCAATGCTGCTTCTGGTCCCGGTCAGGTAAGGATCATGCCGTACCCTGGCCCAGCCAGCGATTAAAGTTGTGCCACATGATTTCACAGGCCCCCGACTCCATCTGGGTCGATCTCCATATTGCTCGCTACCGCCCTCATCAACATATCCACCGCTGCGGCTGACTTTCAACTTCGACGATGAGCTGGGTGGCAAGTCTAGCCTCATCCTCCTGTGGTACAATGTGACGGCTATCGATGCGTGACCTTCAGCCTGTCACCACCGCCTGATAAACAGGGGTACATGGCCCTGTAGATACAGCTGGCGATTTTGCCGTGTCCATTCTTGATTGGCCCTCCGATCATACCATTGAGTACCCTTCGCGTAGAGGGCTATCAGGACAGCTCATGACCCTCCTTCTCCATCTAGGCAGAACTCCAGATCACTTCACTTCGACAAGTTCGCCGGTGCTGGAGGTTGATACGCCCCGCCAGGGGCACCGCCAAGATGACAAGACGGATTAAAGGCGTCGACTTCTGAGGAGGTAGAGAAGATGTCCCGTCGGCCAGCACATTTCACGGTACGACAGTGATACTCCCACTCACCCACACCACAGGCAGACGGACACTTGTCATGGGACCGCAACCAAGAGATCCAGGCGAGGCAGATTGGGCAAAGGTCCAGATCTAATGCAGCGAACGAGAGGATCGTGTAAGACCAGTGCTCGACTACCTCGCGATCGTCCAGGAAGCTGACAAGCGCAGTACAAATTTCAGGATATACGAAGTCGGAAGCTCGCAGCATGCATCTGAGACTATGATCAATCCTGCGGTTGCCGAGAGGTCATACAGGATATCTTCTACTCGATGAGCGTTGCGCAACAGGACCGTGATGGGAAGACGAAGCCAGCTTCTTGGTCCAGGATGATCGTGGTGCATGCACAACCCAAGCTACCGACTCGGCCGATACAAGAGAAAGAAAGCTGTCGCTAGGGTGCATGATTCGACGAACTGCATCGTCCTAGAAATCAAGCTGGTAGCAAGCCCAGAAGGAAGTCTGTTTTCATTCTATAGACGTTCATATAGTAACGGTACCTATACAGAGTGGGGTCATGCTCAGCCAGCTGAAGAAGCTTGAAAGAAGTACTTGCATACAGTACCTGCAGTACCACAAGCCTAGCACGACCTCACCCCTCCTTAGCTCGACCTATATTTGCAACACCACTCCAGCTGCTCGTGTGCCACCCTTCAGTCACTCCACCTCCTTCGTGATATTACAAGATCGAATTGAAGATATATACTCTGGCTAATCAAGTCACCATGCCATCGACACCCCCAACCATAATCCTCGCCCACGCAGCCTTCCACCAACCAGCCCACTACATCGACTTCACAGCCGCGCTCGGTGGAGTCGGACTAACAGAGTACCGCATTCCGCAACTTCCAAGCTCGAGTACATCTCCGCCCACTGCAGATGCACTGGCGCAGGATGTTAAAGTCCTTAGCAAAACGATCCGAAGTTGTCTTACCAGCGGCAGGGACGTTTTACTCGTGGCGCACTCGTACGGAGGTGTACCATTGAGTGAGGCACTAGGTGAGATCGGCGGGGCTGCGGGTGGGAAAGGCGATGCCAAAGTATTGGGCGTGGTATTTGTAGCTGCTATCGTGCCCAGCGAGGGAGAGAATATGGGGAGTGCAATGAAGACGGGAGTGGCGGAGTGGGTGAAAATCGAGGTGAGTGAAATGACTTTTGATCCCCGGTGTCTCTGACACGTTCGTAGGGCAACATCTGCACGGCCAACGAGCCAGCAAAGACATTCTTCAATACCCTTTCCAGCAAGACAGCGCTGGAGAAAGCAGTCCAGCAGATCCGCCCACAGTCAATGACCTCTTTCATGACTCCTGTCAAACACGCAGGCTGGAACGAGTATCCGTGCGCGTATATCAAGTGCACGAAGGACAACTCCACGTCTGTAGAGGATCAGGACCACATGATTGCCAAGCTTCGAAAGCAATGTGAGTGGAAGCCGACGGTGGTAGAGGTGGCAAGTGACCATTGTCCTTTCCTCGGTATGCCGGACACCATTGCGGCGATGCTTAAGAGGCTTGTCGATGATGCTGAGTGATAGGGGTGAAGCTTAGGAGATATAGCTGTCTCTCGAAGGTTGAAACGTGGCGTTAGTGGGAGGAAGGATGGACCGAGTCTAGGCTTGTAGACCCAGGTACTCATTGCGGCGTCCAAAATCTTACTGAGCTATCGGAGTGGTCGGCCAGTACTGACGTGGCAGTGAGAGCATTCATGTCCACCCATCACTTCCCGGCCTGCTTCCGCTGCCCGATGAATCCAGTCAACTTGTTCTTGACTCCGGTCTCGCCATATATCACAGCCATCTGTCGTTCCGAAGGATCAAATCTGAAGTACCCATCCAGTGTCTCGCCATGTTGCGTCAACGTGTAGTCGTCCGGCGAGTCCAGCTTGGTGAAGAACTGCTTCTCGAGCTTCTTATTCGCTTCTTCAAGATCCTTGCGGAGTCGAGCATTGTTGACACCATCCATCAACGCATCAAACAAGATCTCTCGATCCGTCAAAAGCCTCGTAGCGAGTTCGGGCATAGTGTGGGCATTGTTTCGTTTCAGCACAGACCCATGTTCCCCATTAGCCCTCACTCTCCTCGGGAAAAGTATAAGCAACGACCTCCCAATACTAAGCGGCACGCCGAGCACCCAGACAGGCATATGAAACTCCCTCTGCATAGTCTGACTCTCATTATCCGCCTTCAGATCCTCCTCCACTATTCCACCGTTCTTGCGAGCCGCAATACCTTCTTTCATTGCTAGGCGAGCGAGACGCATGAAGTATGACCATTCTTCTCCATTCAGCCAGCCTTTCGATGCTGTGACGAGGTTGTAGTCGACTGCGAGACAGAAGAGGAGGAAGCGACGGACACGTTCCACTTGTACCTGGTCGATAGATCCTGGAAGGAGTCGTGCCCAGTCACCGCCGTGAGCAAGCGCTGGAGGAGTGTAGGCAGGCGGAGGAGGCTGCTGCTGCGAAAGGTCTGGCATGGTGGTCCGATTGCTCTGTTCTTGGTCTGCCTCTTGGTTCTTACCGCGTTGCTATCTGCGATCTTTTGTGGATGAAATTCACGTCGTATGAGGGAGAAGAATGAAAGTGAGCTTCTTTGTACTTATCCTTGGCCTACGGGCAAACCTCTGCACCAACATGGTCCTGCCATCACACGCACCCACAGTCAGGCACGGATTTTTTGCGGGTTGACTTTGGGCATGTGCTCGCGGCCCAAACACTTTGCACACTCGAAGTTGTTGGGTCGAGATTTGTGGAATAACAGCGGACCACCGCCCGAGCGTTCGCTGATCCGTGCCCAGTTGGGAAATCCGAAAGTCATCTCGTATTTCTTCCTCAGCCTGACGGACCCCTTCACCTCTTCGTGCCTGAAGAGCATTCAGATGGTAGTCTGTCGTATATGGCGAAATGGGGGACATACGCGTCCGAGACAGATGATCAACGTGAGATCATCAGATAACGATCTTTCTAACCTTGTTGTGATTAATCACGTTCACCTAGCAGAACAATGTCTAGAATTAGCTGACAGGTAGGTATGTCTACAGCGAAGAAAGCAGATCTTGGAGGACCGTGGCGGTTTCAGCCCACTTCACGACGGCATGACGCCAATACAGAAATCGATGACAATGCTGGAATGCCTCGAGACCTTCAAGCAGACGATGGCGGGCAATACCGATCCGGATGACTTTGACATTCGTATACATGTTGCACATAGGGTGTGTGGCAAGGCCTCATTTTACAGTCCTCGGCCAGGACCTTGAACTTTAGACCATGTGTACGGACTAAGGTTCACGATGTGTAAAAGCTCCATAGCCTGAGAGACGCACTTCGCCAGTGCATGCTCATGCACTGCCCCGCATGAGGCAAAGCTAGAACACCACATACGGCATGAGACCACCTGCTGGCCTAGCTAGTGTAAAGTGACAATAGTGTTCTTTCAACCTCGCCTATTCACACCTTTCTGTCATGGCAAAGATCTCTTAGTCGCACCGGTATGCTAGATCCGTTAGTATCGAGGCAGCGATGTGGCGACGGACAGAGTGCCTCATGCTGCTCCACGGTACTCTAATGCAAGCATAGATCTTGCTACATCCTCAACTTTCACTCATCGCATCGCAGTCGCGTTCAATACTGCGCATTGTTAATTGTAAGTTAATGCTCGTCGAGAACCGTAGATACTAGATGAGACTCGACTTCTACTACGAAAGCTCAGCGATGACGATAGGTACCACAGTTGTCCAGTGTTAGCAACTCGGCAATGAGGAGCAAGCTTGGCCAAACCTACAGCAGTCGTGATCCAGATATCATGCGGCCTTGGCACCACCACCGGGCTCGACGCAGTAAGCATTAGACATCACAATTGGTGATATACACCCGGCTGAAAGTCAAACCATAGGCGGCACATATGTCGGAAGAGGTCAAGGACGCCGCCATCGCCATACCTCGCTCGATCCTCATCATCTTCGTAGTCAACTTCGCGCTTATCTTCCCTGCCATTCTCACCGTGGCATACCATATCATCGACCTTGAGGATGCTCTGAATGATCCGAGCACCTATCCTGCAATCCCAATCACTGCGTCGGGATTCAATTGAGCATCGCCAATTTTCGTAATCACTCTGATTGGTGCTATGATATACTATCGATTTCGAGCGAGGCGCAATTATTTTGGGCCGGTACTGCAGGTGGAAGGTCGGCGGCGAGATTAGATGGTCGCAAGGATAGAGCACGAACAATCTCTGTACGCGATAGTGAGAAAGTATCCGGAGCCACTGGCCAGCTATCGTCGAGAGTCTATCGTGCTGTTACAAAGGAGTATCATTCACTCGGTGTTGGGGAAGAACAAGGATGTGTGTGTTGCCTGCAGACCTGCGCTTTTGCTGTGCCTTCCCCATCAAGTTAGCTTGGTCGGACTTATGTATTGCCTAGCGTTCGGCTGTCTCGGCAGACCTTCCACCTCGGCGTCGCGTACCTGAATGCATGAGCTTCGTGGGCAGCTTTCATGTGCCTCTTGTCTTATTACTCTTTCACCCCCTCACCTGCCGCAACGATACTATCGGCTTAGTCCGTTGACAGCGACACGAGACGGGCACGACAAGCTGCCACGTGACAGCACTACTGGGCACCACTGACTGCAACACCCCGCCCCCACCTCACCGCCAGCGCCCCTCGCGCCAGGCCCACCACCACCACCCAGCATGACGACTTCCGCCGGCTCCTACGCGCCCGTCGACGCCGCCGCCCCCACATCCCAACCCAAAAAGGTGGCCTACTTCTACGACAGCGACGTGGGGAACTATGCCTACAACGCCGGCCACCCAATGAAGCCCCACCGCATTCGCATGGCCCACAGCTTGATTATGAACTACGGCCTGTACAAACACCTCGAGATCTACCGCGCCAAGCCCGCCTCCAAATTCGAAATGACGCAGTTCCACACCGACGAGTATGTGGATTTCCTGCAAAAGGTCACACCGGACAATATGGACAGTTTTGCCAAGGAGCAGGGCAAGTATAATGTTGGTGACGACTGTCCGGTGTTTGATGGGCTGTTTGAGTTTTGTGGGATCAGTGCTGGAGGGAGTATGGAAGGAGCGGCGAGGTTGAACAGGGGCAAGTGCGATGTGGCTGTCAATTGGGCGGGAGGGCTCCACCATGCCAAGAAGAGTGAGGCGAGTGGGTTCTGTTATATCAACGGTAGGAAAATATCCCCCCACTGACCTGGACATTACCCAGTCACGTGCTAATAGTATGGTTCTGCAGACATCGTCCTCGGCATAATCGAACTCCTACGCTTCCACCCCCGCGTCCTCTACATCGACATCGACGTCCACCACGGCGACGGCGTGGAAGAAGCCTTCTACACCACCGACCGCGTCATGACCGTCTCCTTCCACAAATACGGCGAGTACTTTCCCGGAACCGGCGAGCTTAGGGATATCGGGGTGGGGAACGGGAAGCACTACGCCGTCAACTTCCCTCTTAGAGATGGGGTGGATGACAAGAGCTATAAAGGTGTTTTCGAGCCCGTGATAGGCTGGGTGATGGAGTTCTACAAGCCGAGTGCGGTCGTGCTGCAGTGTGGAGGGGATTCTTTGAGTGGAGATCGCTTGGGCTGCTTTAATCTGAGCATGCGCGGCCACGCCAACTGCGTCAACTTCGTCAAGTCCTTCAACCTGCCCACACTCATCCTCGGCGGAGGCGGCTACACAATGCGGAATGTAGCCCGAACCTGGGCCTACGAGACCGGTCGACTGGTAGGAGTTGAGATGGGCTCCGAGCTTCCTTTCACAGATTACTACGAATACTACTCGCCCGACTTCGAACTCGACGTCCGACCAAGCAACATGGACAACGCTAACAGTCCCGGCTACCTCGAGAAGATTAAAGAACAGGTCTACGCCAATCTCCGCCAAACACAAGCAGTTCCCAGCGTGCAGATGACGGATGCGCCACGACATGCCATGGGTCAAGATGAGACGCTGGATGAGGCCGAGGGGAGACTAGATGACGAAGAAGCAGATCTGGAGAAGAGCAAAGATCGGCGGCGGACGCAACGGGAGTGGGATCGTCAGACGGCGGGGCAGGATTTTCTAGATGATGAAAGTGAGGACGAGGAGATGGCGGAGGCAATTGGGGTGAAACCGCAGCCTGGGGTTGACTTTCCGCGGAGACGCGGTATTATGGATTCGTTGAACCCACATGCACCACAGGATGACAGTGGGGCAGGCACGCCGATGGACGACGACGCGAGAAGTCTAGATGACGGCATGGACGAGGATGAGGAGGAAGTTGTGATGCCTCCAGGCTCTACAGGAGGAGCCACTGGCATGTCTCTCGATGGAGCAGCAGATAATACCAGCAATGGCGAGACCGAGGGTCTAGAAGCTCTGGTGGCACTCAAAGGCACAACTGGCGCGACTACTGGCACGATGAATGGACACAGCAACGGTTCTGCAGCTGACAGAGGAGAAAACGGCGACAAACAGCCCAAACTCGAACCCGACACCGAATCCTCCACTCTCCTACCCCGCCCACCCACCGGTGAAGCCGGCGCAGAGCAAACAGGTGACATGGAAATCGACGAACCAACCTCCGCGCTCTCCCAAGCCACCGCACCGCCGCATGTCTCTACAACCGCCTTATCCGCAGCGGCTGCTGCTGGGACGGTCCTTAGTAAAGTGGAGCTGACGGATCTCGAGGTCCAGGCTGAGCGGGACGCGGGGAGGAGCGAGAGGAGGGAGGGGGATGAAGAGGGGGAGGCGGCGGCGGAGATTGCGGAGGGGAGGGTGCCTGTTGCCTGATTATGAGAGATTACATAGGTTGGGGTGGGGTGGGGTGGTGTTGTGGGTAGTTGGGGCCTAGCAGTGTATTTGGGTTTGCTCGGGGCCTGCGGGGAAGGGTATTGTGGAGAGGTAAGAGGGGATGGAATGAGAATTAAGGACCCGAGCAATGCAGAAGGAAGCGTGCGCCAGAGAGGCATGGGCTTGAGGACGAGGATGAGGACGTATGGCATGTCATATTAGCGTTGGCGTTCCTTGGAGTAGAGCGGCGTTCAATACTCGCAGTATTTGTGGCGAGATCGGTCCGTTTTGATGGATAGACACGAAAGAATTGCTCTATTCATGAAAATGCACTCTGCATACTCAGGATCACATCTCATCTCTGCTATAGTACAACAATAACTATCGTACACAAAATTTTCTCAGCCCCACGGACAGACATGCAGCCCCACGAGCTCACAGCAAGAAGCTCAGTATCCGCCCATCCTAGTGGCCGAAAAGTCATGATAACGCCACAATAGCCATCACATGGGCATAGGGCCCCAGTGAGCTGCCGGGGAACCCGATTATCTCAATCATCCATCAAGCAGCAATCATTTACCCCCTGTCATCCATGGCTCTTATCCATATGACAAGGATGCAAGACGTAACTCCCTACTTCACGCCCTTGACACCCAGCCCCGGAATCTTACCCTTCTTCCCACTTTTCCCACTCCCACCATCCGAAGCCACACTCTCACCCCTCAATTCCTGGATCCTTCTCGGCACATTCCCGATCGCTTTACCCGTAGCCAGACCATCAGCGCTTGCGGCACCAGATCCAGTTCCTAGAATAGGTGTACCGCCACGACCAGGCGTCAGACTCCCACCTTTGCCATTCAAGCCCAAAGGATTCCTCGCCTTACGCTTCGGCTGTCCTCCATTCCCAGCCGCACCCATACCCATCCCTGCCCCACCACAACCACCAGCACCACCACCGCTACCAGTAACAGCAGTACTAGTACCACCCTCACCCATATTATCAAACCTAGCCGGCTGCCGACTAGCCCTCTTCTCCCCGACTCCCGAAATCTCCTCCCCCCATCTCCACCCAGGAACCACATCCGCCGGCTCCACGCCACCATTCCCATTCCCATTCCCATTTCCACCACCAACCCTCCTCCTCTTCCTCAACTCCCTGCCCTCCGCATCCCGGACAATCTTCTGCGCCTCCGGGTCCTGAAACCCCACCCTCCCTTTCTCGAAAACATAATCGTACAAATCCGCCTCCTTCCTATCCTCAAAGATCTGTGCCTCCACTGGTTCCCGACCACCTTTGACCGGTCGTTTGGGGATCTTGTTGTGAGGAGCTGTGATCTTGTCGAGTTCCATGTACTCCTCCTGCAGGGCCGCCATGGCTTTCATGGTATTCTCCGCTATGGCGTAAAGATTCTTCGTTGAGCGGACGGCGGGGTCGAATTTCGTGAGGGAGGCCATGAGGGCGTCGGTGTTGAGGGCGTGGAATTGTTGGCGCAGGGCACGGTCGATGTCGTCTTCGTCGCCTTCTTCGGGGGTGGGGGGCGTGGTCTCGTGGTAGATATCTGGCAAGTCGGAGTCGGTGAGGACGTCTTCGTCGGGTTCCAGCATGCGTGGTTTCGGGGTCGGTGCTTGGGAATGAGAGGTTGAGGAGTTCTTTGAGGCGTTGAGGTCAGGGTGGGTGTGCTGGCTCTTGCGCTGACGGCTCTTCTTTGGCTTGCTCAGGGAAGGGATGTTGAGTGCAGCTTCATCCATCATTTCCTCATCCTCATCAGCCCCTGCGATGGAAGCTGCAGTACTCGCTGGAGGCCCAGTCACACGGCGCTTCTTCACGGCCGGCCTGGACCCCAGACTCTGCCTCCCGCTCTTCTGACCTACGCCAAGCTCCACATCCGCCTTGGAGAGCCGCGCCCACTTACCACCACCACGATAGACCCAGGTAAGACCGGGAAACTTATCCGGCCCATCCTCCCTCCTCAGAAGCTCATTCTGTTTCGGCAATCCGAACTCCGGGTCTTCCTTCTCCATCAGGGACTTGATCACATTCCAGCGGATAGCCTTCGGGCCCCTAACAGCAACCTTGTTGTGGCTGCCCGGAGGTGGCAAGCCAAAAGCCCAACGACCTTGGCCTTTGTGATGGAAAGTCGTTCCTGTGTGAGTGTTCACGAACGAACTGTCGACGAGTCTAGTCCGGTCGCCGAGATCCTCGTCCACATCTTCGACTTCCGGTGGCAAGTCATCCTCCTCCTCTTCCTCTTCTTCTTCTTCCTCATCCTCCATTTCTTCATCTTCAACCTCATCCTCAAGTGCTGGAGTGGTGGTGCTGAGTCTGGCCCCACGTGCATACCGACCTTGACCACGATGGTGAAACTCCTGACCCGGATGAGCATCAACATACGCCCTATCGACCAGCCCACCATCGGAGCTTGCAGCACGAAGTGAAGCTGGCAAGACCTGAGGCCTCGCGCCAAGCTTGTAACGTGCATTGCCGGTATGGTAGAAAGTCGTGCCGGGATGCTGAAGCACATACTCCTTGGAAAAGGTTGCCTGCGACTCACTCTTCCGCCTCTCGGTAGTAGACACCGGCTCACTCGATGTTGTTGTCTTAGTGCTAGTCCTGCGAGGCTGAAGTTTCGGCTTCTCGGCGTAGCGGCCATTGCCACGATGCTCCCAATGCAGATCAGGATGCGCATCAGCATACGCTTTGTCGACTGTCCCAGCTGTGAATGTAGAAGCGACCGGGCCCTCATCCTTCTCAATGTCCTCGAGTGTGCGAACATTGCCATCGGCGTCCACGACTTTAGTCTTGGGTCGATTCTTCGTATCAACACCGGGCCTGAACCACGCATTGCCCTTGTGATGGAACATCATGCCCGGGTAGTTGCCGAGGTCATCCCTGTGCACAGTCTGGTCTTCATCGAAAGTATAGTTAACTGCAGGCGCACGAGCTGGCGGCGCTCGATCAGAACTGCGCTCCTTGCCTTTGACAGAGAATTTGCCACTCGGTCGTGGGCCCTTTCTATACCAGCCATTACCGGTGTGATGATACTCCTCATGCTTGTTGGCCTGCACGTGAGCCTTGGTGTAGGTCTTGGTCAAGTCGTCGTCCGCCATGTCTTCCTCCTCGTCGCATTCAGTCTCGGATTCGTTGTCGTGGCTGTTGGTGGCAGCAGTGATGGATCCGCGGCGAAGTGCTGTGCGACCACGCTCAATACTCGGAATAAGCTTGGCGCGCCGAGCTAGCCGAGCTGTGCGATGCTCGAGCGTTGAAGGAGATTGAGGATCTGATTGCCGCTGACGTAATCCGTATTGTGGTGGGTGGGAGAGTGAATCAGTGAGTGAGTTGCGAACTGCGCGAGCCCGAGGAGCCTCCTCTTCTTTTCCTCCTTCGTCAGCCGACTGAGCGGAAGATTCCTGGCGGCCAAAGGAGGGAATTCGGCCGGCGTCAGAGATTCTCCATCTACTGGACCTGATCGAGTTGCTGGCACCGTCAGGCTCGGAGTTCTCCTTCTTGATGTGTGGCGTGATACTGTTCGTCTTCTCGGGCTCTCCACGGCTGTGTCTAGGATGGCTGTTAGTGAATGGATTCATGACAGGGTGATGTGTTCCGCTCAAGATGGCCTTGGAAGTAAAGCTGAAGTGAGGTAGGCTTCCGTCCGAAACGGCGAGTCTGTGAAGAGTGTCGCTCATATCACAGGGTCGCCTTCTGACGAGCAGCAAAAAAGGGGAAAGACGGAGTGATAGAAAGCATACCTTGACCGCCTCTCCGGCGCAGCCATCGACTCGCATTTGATCTTCACAGCAGGCAAGTAACGACCCTGACCACGATGGACCCATTTGATCTCAGGATGGCGAAGCGTGTACTCTCGCGCGTACGTGCCACGAGCGTTGGGACCATCAACATTATCGTCGCCAGCATCGTTTCCAAAATGATTGTTGATGGCAGTGAGCGAATTCAGAGACCCTTTTGATGTTCGAGAGTCGGTAGTGGTGCTGTATCGAACGACAAGCGTGTACCTATCAACCAACCTCGCGGTGACAGGACCAACAACGCTCAGTCCAGCGACAACTTTCGTTGCGTTCTGCCAACTCCTCGTCGCATTAGACATGGCATTGACCTTATTAGCAGAACCAGCAGCATTGACAGTAATCTCATCCTCATCAGATTCCTCTTCCCCGTCAAAACCATCAGCAGCTCCGTCCATCGCCGCAACAACCTCAGTGCGACTTCGACTCGTGCGATCCCCTTCGTTTTCAAAGTAACGACCGGTCCTCGTCATGGTGCCCGGCACCGCCATTTTCGACTTTGACGGTCCTATCGTCACGAAGTCGTCAAAGGGAGTAACGAGGGAGAGAATGGTTTTTGACGTTGGCGATTGCCTCGAAGTTGGTCTTTTTGGCAAGGGTTCCTCTTTCCGACTTTTGACGCACGGCCGGCTTGGAGAAGCCGACGCGACGGGACGGTGAGAAGGACCAATCAGTGCTTTGGCAATGGTTGTTAGTTTCTTCCCTTTCGTCTGTTGTAGTGTCCTATTTCTTGCTGTGTATGTTCATCGTTACGGTAAAGACTATGAATAGACTCATTGACATGTTGACTTCAACATACAGTGCCCCTAGCCAGCAAGCTTCTCGGTCAGTGCCGAGTTGTCTTCATACTGACGACCGCTGCACTGACCTGTGAACGATCGCTGGCGATGGCTTCGAAATCTGCTGGCAACAAAAGCTGGTATGCCATTCTATTGGCCTCATTGCAGCAGTCCTCGTTGTAGATGATGATTTTCCGAGCCACGTATGGAATACGTCCATAGAATTTTGCCATCAACAACCATGTAGTCTAACGGTCTCATCAACAACATCGATGTCCTTGTCAGATATGCAGAGAAGCAATGTTCTATCGCTTCCTTACCAAAATTGCTACCGTCGCTTGGAATATGGTGAAGCTGCTGACCACTTAGGCACTGCTCATAGCGACACAAATGCGTTGAGACCATTCATGCTTGCCATTGGCACAATCATCGCCATGTCTGTCTTCCATGCGTGCGAACATCGGTACACACATCACCCTCGCAATCATGAAAGCGATCCGTTCCTTCACCTTGCCCGTAGCAATCTGCCGGCGTCTTCTGCCCCGCCCACTCCACCTGGATAGAAGCTCCGGAGCGCCTGAACCATGCATCATGTACGCCATCCATCTTCGGGAAGCTCGTAGGGCAGATATGGCAAACGATAATATATTTCCCGCATCATGCAACGTCTTGGAACTTCCTTTGGTGCTCTGCAAGCATTACCTACTCGCGACTGGAACCCGGACCTGCCACAATTCCAACCCAATCGAACATCACCAGACCATACGAATAGAGAAGACGACACGATGAACGGAAATTCCAGCAGTGGTAATGGCGAGAGTAATGGATCAAAGACCTCGACTGTGCCACTTTGGATTGCAGGCGAAGAGGTAACCTCCAACACAACACCCTTCGACGTCGTCTCCCCCACCACCAGCCAAAAACTCTGGTCCGCCTCTGGCACAACACCCGACCAAGCCATCGAAGCCGTCGACAAAGCCCAAGAAGCCTTCAAATCATGGCGTCGCACGAAACCCGCCGCGATCCGCACGATCCTATTGAAAGCGGCGGATATCATGGAGAAGAGGCAGGAGGAATTGGCGAGCTACATGAAAGAGGAGACGGGTGCTTTGGATGCGTTTGCGGGATTCAACATGATGACCACGATTGAGAATCTGAGGGATGTGGCGGGCAGGGCGGCGAATATCATGGGTGTTATTCCGCAGACTGGAACGGCGGGGCAAGGTGCGCTGGTGTTCAAGGAGCCGATGGGTGTGATATTGGGGATTGCGCCATGGAATGCTCCATATATCCTCGGTGTGAGAGCGGCATTGTACGCGATCGCTGCTGGCAACTGCGTGGTGTTGAAAGGCAGCGAGCTTTCTCCTCGAACCTTCTGGGCGATTGGATCTGTGTTCGCGGAAGCAGGACTGCCGAAAGGTGTCTTGAGCGTCATCTATCACCGCCCCGAAGACGCCGTCGCAGTAACAAACGCCCTGATCGAAAGTCCACATGTCAAAAAAGTCAACTTCACCGGCTCCACGAACGTCGGCGCCATCATCGCCAGCAAAGCCGGCAAGGAGCTCAAACCCGTGCTCCTCGAGCTTGGTGGAAAGGCCTCAGCCGTTATCTGCGAAGACGCCGATGTCGAGAGCGCAGCTTTCCAGTGTGCACTTGGCGCCTTCCTCCATTCCGGGCAGATCTGCATGTCGACCGAAAGAATCCTGGTCGATCGCAAGATCCTGGACAAATTCGTCGAAGCGCTGAAAGGGGCGGTAGAGAAAGTCTTCCCATCCTCCGGCGAAGCTCCCGTTCTCGTAGCCAAAGCAGGTGTGGAGAAAAACCGGAACCTCGTCAACGATGCCGTAAAGAAAGGAGCCAAACTCACCTACGGCAACGTCGAGACGAAAGAGGACTCAGCATATAGAATCCGACCACTGATTGTGCAGGATGTGAAGAAGGATATGGATCTTTACTACACCGAGTCCTTCGGTCCGTCGGTCTCGCTGATCGGGTTCGAGAACGATGAGGAGGCCATTGAGATCGCGAATGATACCGAGTATGGGCTTAGCGGGGCTGTCTTCACGGCTAGTCTGGCGAGAGGGTTGAAGATTGCCAAGGAGATTGATTCTGGTGCGGTGCATATTAACAGCATGAGTGTGCAGTACGTAGCCCCCTCCAGCCATGGTCAAGATAAAGATCCGGGTTTTGCTAACGACTACTGTGTAGTGACGAGTCGATGCTGCCGCACGGTGGCGTGAAGAAGTCTGGTTGGGGACGTTTCAATGCACAATGTAAGTCGAAACACATTCCTTCACGTATTGCCAGTGACTGGACGAAGAGCATCTACTGATTTTGCGGTACAACAGGGGGCATCGAGGAGTTCGTCAAGCTCAAGACAGTGACATACATGGAGTGAACATCAATGCGGTATATGTTCCCCAAGCCTCTCATGGCTCGAGGCGTTGCATACTGTATTCATCAGGTTATGGCCACAATTCCCCAGAATCAACCAATGCTCGTGGGCAGCTTTCAAGCGGCCAAATGTGGTTGTGTGAAGCTCTTACAAAGTCATCCGTCACGCCCACAGCCTCAGCGGCGGCAGGAACGCCGAGGTCGACCTGTTCACAATACAACGTATGGCGCCGCTCTGGAGTTCTGGTGGCCAAAATATCATATATCACCCCCTCCCCCCCAGAGTAGACCTCTCAGTTAGGTGCTGCGCTTGTAGGGATGGAGCTTTGCTAGGCAGAGCAGTAGTAGACCAGACGAAGGAGGGCTAAACTGGACTGTTATGTCTCCATCAGGTGAGGTTGTTCAAAGTCTGAATTGCTGAGCAGCGGCTCCTCCGCATGATCATGTACTCAGATTGCCGCTGCACAAAAGACACAGTCCCCCGAACGCCTTTTTCTACCCTCCCCTAGTTCTCGAAAGGCCTTTTACTACGTTCGACGCCCTTTCCTGTTGCAGTGTGCAACGTCTTCCTGGGGGATGCTATCTCTAAGCTCTAAGTCGTACATATGCGCTGCACGAGTCTCGAAAGTAGCGAAGGCTCTGGAGTCACGTCTTACAGCTCAAAGTAAACTCCCACGCCGAAGTCGGACGCTCGCTCTAGTGGCACGGTCGACTAAAAGAAGATCTTTGGCCTGCGTCGTACATCCTGGCGGCACCCATCGGCTAAAAAAGAGATCTTTCGCCTCCGTCGTACATCCTTCGACGACATGTTAGACCAAAGAGACTCCTTACGCTACGTTTTACAGGTCAAGCAGTACATTTCTTCGCTACTAGCATGCTCGAGCTGTGTCTTACGCCGCAGCAACTTCATCGCAGGCGGGTGTCTTATCTCGGGCTAAATCTTACATCTACCTGACAGCATCTGTCCTTGGCCAGAGGTCTCCTGCTATGTCTGAGACAACTCTGGAGCATCTGTCCTTGGCCTGAGGTCTGCTTCTAAGTCTGACACAACCTGGGAGCATTTGTTAGGGATCGAATCACGTTTATTGGCAAACGATGGCTAATCACTAGGCCCGTACCGTCCAGCCAGATACATATCATCAGCCCTGTCTACCGTCCAGCAGACCTACTTGCCCATCTCGTTGCAATTGAAAATCTGGAACTTTTTCGAATCAGACGTCGAGCCACAGAGATGTACATACAGAGGAGCGTCTTCAAATCTCATCAAGCTACTGTATCCTGGTTGCCATGTCTCTCCCGGCATCGTCTGAGATTTGCTGCCTCTCAATACCATTCTTTTGGACGTCGAGAACAGCGCGTAGTTGCGATCTTCTTCGGATGAGGTGGTGACGATTCATAGCACTCGATACTCTGTACTGTTTGCTCACGTAAGCCCGCATTCAAGACAATCACGTGCAAACCACATGATTCACTCTCTCGCAGCGTTTACATGTACAGTAGACATCGGCAGCAGCAGAAGCCCATCCATGCAAGCCCGCGGGAGCCGCAACGTCATTACCCGCTGCAGGGGGCTCCACATTGAAAACTGCACGATGACGAAGCAAAGTATTGATTTCCAAAGATTCATGTCTTCACTACGCGTCTGCGCGGCTTGTCGGGAGACGATCATATGCAGAGGGGAGTACCGGTACAGTAGCACATGTGGGATGCCGTCAGCGCTTTGTAAGATGGACTGTCGGTCGCTTGATATGTTTGACAGGGTGGAGTTTGCTACATCATTGTTATTGCTATAGCTTGTCTGCTTCTGCGTGTTCATGGTTTAAACTCAGCGATGATGAGGTGAGGCTCTGCCGGATGGTGTCGGCTGCACTTCACGCCTTCGACCACGGTTCTGCTGCTGAATGGACCTCAGTCCTCGGTGTTCCTCTCCACCATGCTGTTTCGGCACGGAGATAGATGGAGCCCGTCTTGGAGGACGTGGATGAGGTGGATGGCTTCATAGACGGGACATGTTTTCAATAGCTTCCGTCAGATCCGCTGGACAGACTTTGACAGGTCCCATAGCAGGATTGTAATATTCTCCAATTTCGCCTTTTTCTTTGTGTTGTAATCGACTAATGATGATGGTACCGCCACACTAACCACTAAACACGACAACGCAGGATCATCGACACTTCATACCAAGGCATCAGACGGAACCCTCGAGTCAGCAAACAAGTACTCGTCTATACTTGACTTCCTTCACATATCTCTATATCGCGTGGAGGCGTCCCAGATTAGTATTGCAAGTTTGAAGAGATCTGCAACCCCACCAAAGCAAGCAAGCCAACCAGCCAAATGGGCAACTGGAAGATTGAGGTGAGTCTTTTCCCGATTGCTTTCGGATCATCAGCAGCAGCAGCAGCAGCAGCAGGCGCTCAAGCACCTCATATCGCATACACGAGCTGCCGGGATGGCGTAGCTGCTCATCAATTCCCTTGTCTCGCATGGAAGCCCGTGGTCGCACACCCCAATCCTTTGCCCAGCTACGTCACCCGGCGCTTTTCCACTTTCTCCCAAAACCCCTACATCATCACGCCAAGACCTCGATCCATGCACCTCTCTTGTTCACTGCATCGCGGGCCCTGCATCGTCACCTGCGTTGCTAGTTTACCCTACACTACACTACCACCAGAGCCGCTCTCGTTGGCATTCTGATGAGTAGTAGTTGAGCAACGAGCAAGATCTTCCCCCCATCGACTGTGTTCTGATACTACTACCTCTTCTCCCACCACCCACCTCCGCTTGCACGATACACTCGCAAGCCCCCCTCCACTACGTCACGAGCATCACGAATTAATCATCATGTCGACGATACAGAACCTCAAGAACTTCATCCGGCACGGCAAGCAGGCGCGGGATGGACGCTCACCGCCGGACACGGCAACCACACATGTCTCCAACGTCCACGCCCAGCAGAAAGGCTTCAACTATGGCGGTGGTGCAGCTCAGCAACAACACGATCAGTATGGTATAAGCGACCCAAACGTATACGGCCATAAGCCCCTCCAAGCGAATGCACCACACCAGGATTACTCGGCAGCAGCGGTAGACAACCGACATGTCGCCGCCAAAGCCGGACACGCCGCCGCCGATGCCGTGGAGCAGAAGCAGAAGCGGGAGGCGAGAGATAAGGAGTACGACAGCTCGGTACTGGAACGCATCGTCGCCGAAGAGCGAGAGAGCAAGGGCAAGCTGCCCAAGTATCCCGGTCTGGAGCGATGGACGCTCATCGAGAAGATGGGTGATGGCGCCTTCAGCAACGTCTACCGAGCCCGGGACAACAACGGCCAATACGCCGAGTGTGCCATTAAGGTGGTACGGAAATTCGAGATGAATTCTACACAGGTATGCTCACCATTACTGCTGCTGCACTCTAGCCCGTTCGCACTTGCTGCTTTACCCAACACCTTTTCGCTTCATCCTTATTTTTTTAATTCCTTTCCATACCACATGGGTTCACAGTACCATGCCAACATGATGATGTCCCTAGGGCGTCCTGCACCCCGACTTCGACAAGAAAGCGCCAAAAACAGTGGAGGTGCGCATCCTCACCATATCTCTTCAAACGTTATGCTTTGCACGACCGAACCACTGACTGACGTCATCTTTCTCAGCGTGCGAATATCTTGAAGGAAGTCCAGATCATGCGACAGCTGGATCATCCTAACATTGTGCAACTGGTCGACTTCTCCGAGAGCCGACAATACTACTTTATCATTCTGGAGCTGTGTCCCGGTGGCGAGCTCTTCCATCAGATTGTGCGGTTGACGTACTTCAGCGAGGACCTTTCACGACATGTCATTTTGCAAGTTGCTGAGGCATTAGAGTACTTGCATGAGGAGGCTGGCGTTGTGCATCGGTATGTTTTGGGGCTGAAGGTGCCATGAGTGGAAGCTCGGCTAACGCGTCACAGCGACATCAAACCAGAGAACCTGCTTTTCTACCCGACACCTTTTATACCGACCAAGCATCCCAAGCCCAAGGCACCCGAGGATGAAGACAAGGCCGATGAGGGCGAGTTCGTCCGTGGTGTCGGTGCCGGTGGCATTGGTACGATCAAGATTGCCGACTTTGGTCTTTCAAAGGTCATCTGGGACAGCCAGACTATGACACCTTGCGGTACTGTTGGTTACACTGCACCCGAGATTGTGAAAGATGAACGCTACTCGAAGAGTGTCGACATGTGGGCGCTTGGATGTGTGCTCTACACGCTACTATGCGGTTTCCCACCCTTCTACGATGAGAGCATTCAAGTCTTGACCGAAAAGGTCGCACGCGGTCAATATACCTTCTTGTCACCATGGTGGGACGACATCTCGAAGTCGGCACAGGATCTGGTCACGCATCTTCTTACTGTGGACCCGGAGAAGCGATACGATATAAAGCAGTTCCTGAACCATCCCTGGATCCGAGAGGCCAACGAACCTACCTACGCCGCGCACGACGCGCCCCCCCTCGCCACTCCCCTCTACATGCGCTCAGGCGGCATGTCAGCAGGCGACAAGGGCCAATCACCCCTAAAGCCCGACTTCGCCTACCTCGACGAAACACCCGGCGCAGGTCGACGTCAAGACTTCCGCTCCCCCGGCGCCGTCAACCTCCGCGAGAACTTCGACGTCGTCTACGCCGTGCATCGCCAAGAAGAAGAAGGTAAACGCCGCAAGAACTTCAAGCAAGGTTACCGCGGCGGCAACCCCATGGCCTCTCTCAACGCCTTGGATGAAGACTACGACGAAGACGACGAGTTCAACAACGAAGGCCAACCTTACTCCAGCGCCACGAACCCGCCCGCTAAAGTCCCCAAGTCCGCGGGCGGCGCGGCCGATGTAGCAGGCATGGAACGCCAGATGAAGAACACGAATCTCTCCGCCGCGGCACAAGCGCGACAGCAGGCCGCGCCCGCTCCTGCATCTAGGGCTGCTCCGGCAGCGAAGGGATACGGACAGCATTCCCCCGAGGTGGCGGCGGCGGCGAAACGGCAGGTGAAGAATAAGGCCGGAACGTTCGAGTTGAGTCTGGATAATGCGACGTTGATTGGGCGGAGGGGGAAGAAGGGGCCGGTGCCGAGTAGTCTAAGGGAGCAGATGGTGCAGTGACGTCACTGAACTATTGAAGGACTTGATGTGGGTTAGTTGGTAGGATTTGCGAGGTGTGTGTGAGTGAGTTGCCTGGAGGGAAGGGAGGGAGGGAGCTCGTGCGCGGTATTGCCAGCAGCTCCTGGCGACAGCGGAGAGTCTTGGATTGGTGTCTCTCTAGTTCTACGGAATGTGATGTGGTGTGGCGTGGCATGGGCGTTTAGATTGTTGTGCAGTTTGCGGCTTCGCTGTTGTTTTCTCCATGGCGCGGTAGCGTGCATCCCCTACAGGACTTTGTAGGGAATCTTCCCACTCCACAAACACTCTCACTGCCATCTCACTGCCATCTACTCTTGGTGTAAGGCCAGGGATTCAGTCGCGATCGTGCCCGTGACAGTGGTGTAGGAAATATATGTATCCGTGAACTCGAAGCTCTGATCGTCCTGCGGTTCGAGCACTTGTATAAATACCTAAATACCTCAATACCCCATGTTTTGTGCGCATGTGAACCAAAACCAGAGCTTCACTATATCCATACACACACCAATTGCTTCATGCGTTGCTAAGACTACCTCATACCGAAGGGGCACTCACACCACTACCGACTCTCGCAATACCGCACCACCCGCGAAGTAAGAGCGCACCTTTTTTCCGTACGCGCAATGTCGAAGAAGACGGACCAGGAATTGCTGGCCGAGCTGGAAAGTCTGGGTCTGGACGATGTCTCGGCTGTCCCAGCACCAGGCAGTAACAATAATAATAATATTAGCAGTACCAATATCGGTACTACCGAATCCTCGACCAAAGCTACTACTGCCTCGGCGCCAGATAACACAGACGACCCCCTCCGCGACCTCCAAGCCCAACTCGCCGCCAAACCTGCAGCAGTAGCAGGGACTTCGCGACCAGGTACCCCGAGATTGAGTTCCAGTACGACTTCCGCAGGCACGAGGAAGGCGGAACATACTCCCGCTTCTTCTTCGGGCCAGAATAGCGGGCGGAATAGTGAGGAGAGGATGCGGGGGTCCAGTACCCTTGTTGGTGCGTCGATGAGGATGAGTGGGGAGGCGAGGACGAGCGGGGAGGGGGGGAGGGCTTATCATAGTTCTTTTGTGCCTGGGTCTGGGTCTGGGTCTGGGGAGGTTGGAGGGGTGGAGGTGGTGGATCAGGTGGGGAGCGAGAAGGGTAGGGTGGCTGGTGGGAGTAGTATAGGAGAGGAGGAGGAGGAGGAGGAGGAGGGAGCGGTGGGGGTGGTGGAGGGTGGTTTGGAAGTATCTGGGGCACGGCTACCGCTGCTGTGAAGCAGGCGGAGAGTTTGGCGAAGGAGATCACGGGCAATGAGGAGGCAATGAAGTGGGCGGAGCAGGTGAGGGGGAATGTTGGGAAACTTCAGAGTTTCGGTATGCATCAACCACTTATCCTTCTACTTTGCATACAATCGCTGTTATGTGTGCGAGTGATTATGGTATGGCATGGCATGGCTAACTTGGATGGGATTATCGCAGGCACCGACCTCTCCTCCCGCGCCCTCCCCACCTTCACAAACTTACTCCAACACATCGCCCCTCCCATCTCCGCCCACGAACGCCTCCAAATCCACACCACCCACGACATCCAAAACTACCCCTCCCTCGACCCCTTGATCTACTCCACCTTCTCCCGCATCATGTCGCAAGTCGAAGGCGGCGACCTCATGGTCATCCAGCGGGGGACAGAAAACAAAACCCGCTCTCGCACTGCAACCAGCGAACCGCATGGTTATCGCGGCGGGGTCCTGGGTTCCTCGGGACCGAGCGGGTGGACCGATGGGCCGTGGTGGCGGGAAGAGCATGTGCGACGGGATCTGGGTGTGGTGGAGGGATTGAAAGAGGGGAGTCGATTGGCGCGGGTGAGCGCGGAGGCGTACGCGAGGGAGTTTTTCGATCGGAGGGGTGGGGTGGAGGGGGCGGCCAAGACGGCGGCGGAGAGTTTGACGGAGATGAATCCGACGAGGTCGAGTGATATTTTTCTTGCCATTCAGGCGGTGGGGTATGCGAGGGATGGGGGGATGTTTGCTGGTGGGCCTGCGGGAGAGGAGCGGAAGAGGGAGAAAGGTCCTCCTAGTGCTGAAGGTGATGAGGAAGAAGAAGAAGAAGAGGAAGTGGTCACTTTCGCCATCTACCTCCACGACCCCGTCCACACCCTCTCCTTCTCCACCCTCAGCCAGCCCTTCCCAGCCAAATGGGCCCGCTGGCTCGACGCCTCCAACACCTCCTTCACATCCAATACTCCCTCCACATCCTCAGACGCCGATGGACTACCAGACTCCATCCGCGAGATTATCGCGGCAGGTGGTCTAGACCCTCGGGAATGGGTCGCCGAATGGATCGAGGAGGTCCTGAGTTTGGGCGTGGGAGTCGTGGCGCAGCAGTATGTTGCGAGACGGATGGGGGTTGGAGAGGGTGGGTTGGGGAGGGGAAGAAGGGTCGCTGATGCTGAGGAGGTGGGGGCTGGGGAGGCTGCGAGGGTGATTTGATGTGATGGGGTAGGAGATGGTGGTGATTGGGATGGCTGTATGAGATGGGTGATTATGATAATGAATATCCATGACCTTTCAGACCTTGCACCTGACATAGACTTTCGTGAACCGGAGTGAGGGTAGGATGCAAGGGCATGTATGGGCTGATCGCAACTGTGGCATCCAGTAGTAATCATCGTCAATCAATGCCCTCAGCCAAGCACCCCCTGATCAACCAAAATGAGCATGAAGAAAGCGGGCTCCGGCCCACGACAACCTCGAAGGAAACGGGACTGGCAACCACATCATTCCTCAACTCGTTATTGTACGTACACATGTATTCTTCAATGCCATGCTATGCATATACGATACAACTTATACACCCAACATCACGACAAGCCAAACCAAGCCAGCCCACAACACCATCATATGCAAGGCATGCACCCCCATGAAGCACCCGCTCAGAACGCCGACAACAAACCATCCCTCCATCATCAACCCATTCATCCGCCTCAACCTCACTCCGTCGGCCCATTCTCATGCTTAATAGGATGATGCAACGTCCCCCTCAAACACAATCTCCCGCTCCCCTCCCTCTCGCTCACCCCCCCACCCTCCCCATTCTCACTCTGCCCCAACCACCGTCTCCACAACGCCCCCGAAAACCCCGAATTATAATAAAACGAGCTCCCCAGCAAATTATGCTCCCCCCACCCAAAAGGACTCTCCCAGATATTCTTGGGATAATTCAAACTCTGGTCCATAGTCGCCACATTCCAATCCCGGTCGAAGTACACCGGATGCGGGACATATAAAGCTTTGAGACCGTGATGCATGCACACTGCAGGAGGCCACATTTCGGGGAACATGGTGTGCCGCATTTGCCAGGTTTCGCGGTGCATGGTATCGAGTAACCTTTTACTGAGACGGGCGACGGTGATGATAGCGGCGCGACGAGGGGGGATGGGGAGGGAGCGGTTATACCCCGTGACGTCCCAGGAGAAGACCCAGTTGGTCAAGCTGGGGTCGAAGAGCGGGTTGAAGACTAGGAGGTCCGCTTCCTCGCCTACGCCCCAGGTGTACTCGTCTTCATCGTAGGAGCTAGGTGGTATGGTGGCGTTGGGCGGGGAAAGCATACCCGTATGTGGGAATTGCTGGACGGGACCCCAGATGGGAACGGGACCGCTACGCTCGATATCGTTCGCCGCTACGTCCTTCTCCCAGGTTTCGCGCTCGACGAACTGGGTGAAGTTGGAATAATCGCCGTGGAGTTCGGGGATCCAGAAACGGCGGCCGCGTTCCCACATTCCTTTTCTAGGTTGCCGACGGCCCCAGTCCCCGATCTTCTCGTTGAATTCCCAGTAGTGGCCTGTGTATCTCAGATCCATCTCCCAGTTCCAGTAGAAATCGTATTCGGGTCTCTGCTGGCTGAACCATTGTAAAGCGAAATGCGCGCTGCGGTATACGCCGTGGATTCCCGCGCCAGCCATGTTGGCGAAGTTGTCGGGGAAGGGTTCGGGATAGTACATTTCCATCAGCCGTTCCGACCAGAGGGTACTGATATTCCAGAACTCCTTGGGGACATTCTCTTCTAATGTCTTCCGGTACAGATCCTTGGAAGCCCAGATCGGGATATGGTCGTCTTTGACATGCACGAGCAGATGAACATCATACTGCCCTCCACTCTTCAAACTCAACTCATTAATCATCGCACGCAACGACAGCATCTGCTGCTCCGAGTAATGATAGCCCGTCCACGTCCGCAAAACATACGCATGCCTCTGCACCCGCTTCTTCCCACTGGGCTGCTCCTCCCGAAATCGTCTCTCATTCTTCTCATAACATCGTCGTTGCGCGGCACCCCAGTCCATCCCCCTGTAATCCACATGACCCACCCGCTCAAACACCTTCTCACTCCCTGCACTCTCCGAATCATTTCCCAGTCCTGTTCCGCCCTCAGCAGGACCGTATCCATATCCATATGCGCCCAGTCTTCCGAATCGCTCCCAGCAGACATCCTCTTTCATACCCAGCTCTTTGTAGTCCCCAAAGAGCGGGAGGGCCATGTGCTGCGGCACAGCCGGGTAGGCGTAGACATCTGGCGCAGGTGTCTTTTCTTCTGCGTCGAGGTAGCATTGATGTACCTGGTCGTAGTCGCGGAGATATGTCTCGTCGCCGAAGGGGTAAGGGTCATATTTAATCGGGTCGATCGGCGGCTCCTTGGGTAATCTCGACATCGATTTCTCCAATCCAGAGTCCACTTCTAGTGTCGGCGGGATGGAGATGTTGTACCCGTTCTCCGGCACATACTCTGCCGCCGACACCAACGTCCTCACGCCATTGTAGAAGCCATTCAGGCGGTAATAGTGCTGCCAGTAGAACGGCAAGGGCGCCTCATCCTCCGTCGGCCGATCATGATGTCTCTGAACACCTCTATACCCTCCTCCAGCCAGCAAGACCACGACCACAATCCCTGCTATCGCCAATGCGACAAGCTTCGTAGAGGAGATGCGCCGGGCCGCACTCGGCCATGAGTACTTCTGGAAGTCAAACGGTGAGGCATTGCCGCCATTGGGTACTTGCTGGTATGTGAAGCGACCCCGGTTGTTGTTGGTGCTGAGTAGACGCAGAGGATTCAAACCCCGTAGTCGCGGCAAACCACTCATCGCTCTCCTTGTCGCGGGCCAACGAAGGTCGACATCCGGGTCTAGGAATGCACTGTCGCTGGTGTGGGAGGATGAGGGACTCCAGTCGTCGTCGTTGTATTTGTCCTTGAGCTCCAGCTTGGCAGTGATATATAGTCGTTGGGAGGGAAAGAGAGGCGCGGAAGAAGAAAGATATGATTCGATGGACGCGTTGCGATTCGGTATAGAGTTCGGTTTCGTCCGCGGAGGGGCTTTAAATATGTCACTGTTGAACTAATGGTAGTGGACTCGAGATAGGTTTAACGGTATGGATCTCGTCGGGCGATATGTTAGGCCAGGACGCGGATGTTCTAGAGCAGTGGCTGTTGCGGTTCAGGATACGAATGTTTGGTTGTGCTTGCGATTGTGGTGAAGAGGACAAGGTGGCGGTATGAAGGTAGATGTCATAGCAAGCAGACGCCGCCGCCGTTTCGTTGCATTCGGATACGACTAAACCTCGCGAGCGGAGAGCAACGTCGATGGAATTGGTTAGTTTCTACCTGGTAGCTCGGCAACTCTACCCGCCACGTAGATGCAAATTGTGTTGGTGACAGCATCATCGGCTATCGGCTGGCGAAAACGATGAAGATCTTTCAGACTTGTGACTTCTGACAATATCGTTGTCTTTACTATGGCGGTGTTCATCAAGAAGCCTTAGCGCAGCAATGGTATGGATGTCTGGATGAGGTCGCGTGTGCAACACGGCACAGAAACCTCACCAGCCGCGCCCACGCCCACAAAACGCAAGGGCCGAGCAGCAACCTGACCCATGGTTCTACAGTAGATGACTTTATTGCAACAGCTGCAAGCCACAGACGAAAAGCCCCCACATCTTCCGATGTCGTTCACATATTCCTATTTGTGTTCTTTCCAAGCCACTTTTCTGCATTCATATACCGACTTGCTTCGGCGAAAGCTTGAGATATGGCAGCCTGAGTGGAGACGTGACATGTGTTCTACGACCATTCACCACAACCATGACCTTCGACCGTGCTGAAATAATGGTGCAGACATCGGTGATTGGTGAAGGGCAAGGCACATCGTCCCTGCATCTCGCTAGCCCGTCGTGTGGATACATAGCAACAGCCGCGGCAAGGTAGTAAACACACACTCCCACTCGCACTACTCCAACACAGTCTTCCAGAACTTCTAGTCTGCAAGCCAATCACACTATACAGTCCCTTCCTATTGTACATACAGGTACAATCAAACAGTACAACACATGATCGGCTTATTTAGTATAGTATAAGCGCACATTCTTGTTTGCTCTTGGTCCTACTACGCCCGGCCATGTCCTACGCCTTCGACGAGCCATTGGCATATTCACCCTGGAATGAGAGCAATAATGAGGAGCGTGAGTCGCCTACTCCCGCCAAGCCACTTTCTGGACCTGGGACATCGAGGCAGACCAGGAGGTTACAATTGAGAAATGCTGGGTTCAGAGGTTCTGCTGTGCCGACCAGGAAGGTGACGCCCAAGTCTGTCTCGTCTAGCAGTATGGCTTGGTCGGCAGCTAGTGGGATCGTCAGTGGGAGTGATGCGGAGAATGTCTCGCCGATGGGAGTAAAGACCGCATCAATGAGGGTGGACAAGAGAAGATCGAGTGGTGTGCTGCAGGAGATTGACTCGGGCTCCAACACACTCACACGACCCAAGTCGGCACGCCCTCGCGTCACTTCTCGGAACCTGTTTGCTCCATCCACTTCCGACAAGCGTGATCTTCCTGCATACCAAGACGATCCCATGTCACCACCACCTCAACCAAAGAGCACGATCCGTGCAAAGTCCATGCGAGCCCGAGCCAAGATGAATAAGACGAGGAGATCTGTCAGCGGAGAGGCGAGGATGTACATTGATCACCTGGAAAGTGAGCTCGCGCAGACACAGGAGCAGCTACGGGTGGTGAACTCGCCTACGGTGACGAGACAGCAGTCTTCCAAAATGCGGACATTGAACGCAGAAACGAGACATTTACAAAAAGAATTGGCAGAGTGGGAAGCGCGATACGACCAGCGAGTACAGGAGATCGTGGACGAGCACACGGAGATAGAAACTGGCTTACGCAAGCAAGTCCGCAAATTAGAGCAGGACGCAGAAGAATCACGATACAGACTACAGGAACTCGAAATCGAACTCGACGCCGTCAGAATCGCAGCCGTGACGGCAGAAGCAGCCAACGTGAACCTAGAAAGAAGACTAGAGATCATGTCCGAGATCCTCGCCACCTCACCCACGAAAATCGAACTCCACTCCATCACACCCGGCATGCACAAAAAGCACCACCACCAACGACCAAAAAGCATGCTCCCGCGCTTCCCGACCGCCAGCTCCCTCCACATGTCCCCCGAAAGACCACCGCGGACTCAACCCCCTTCGCCGCTTATGCACTTCACCGAAGCACCCACCACCTTCTTCCCCGAACCCTTCGAACCCACCCTTTCCAGCGAATCAGATATCCCCTCGGACGCCGAATCCATCTTCTCCGAACCCCCCACCTCAATCAACGACGGAGGTGGCGGTGGTAGCACCACCAGCCTCGAACCCCAACCCCTCGACCCTTTCAACCCCTGGAACATGCAAGCCGCCAAATCCCGACCAGCGCGAAGGATGCGCCGTTTCGGACCAGGAAGCCATGGACCCAAACCGCTGATTTTGCCTTCGACGTCCCAGTTTTATGAGCCGGCTTTTTCTGCGCCGGCTTTGGAGCGGAGTGAGACGGCGCCGGTGTTTGCTTTTCCCGTGCATGAGCGGGACGTGGGGGTGGGGGTGGAAGGGGAAGGGAGAGAGGAGGAGAGTCCCAGTTCGTTACTCGTACGACGTAGAGCGTCCACGACCGCGGACCAGAGGACTTTTGATCATTTAGCTGCTTCACCTTTCTCGTTCTCGTTATCGTCATCACGGCCTCCGTCATCGTCGTCGAGAATGATGGCCGATGAGAGTCTGTTGGGTATGCGGTTTCCCGCTTCTTCCGAGGAGGATTCGGAGCAGCAGCAGCGGACACCGAGGGATTTCTCGAGTCTGGGGAGGGTGGAGGGGAGGAATCTGATGGATGAGCTTTGCGCTGTGGGTACGAATGAGATGAGTGAGGAGGGGAGTGGGGAAGTGGTGCGAGTGGATGAGGCTAGAGATGGGACAGGACATGAGGAGGAAGATGAGCCGACAAAGTTCGACGTCTCCATGCCCGACGACACGAGTGAAGCAGACGCAGAAGCACAACTCCCAGCCTCCTTCGGTCCGGAAGTCCAAGAGAGATCAGTCATCCACTCCCTCCTCACAACGGAAAACACGACTCTCATCGCAGCAGTATCCACGACCGAAAACGACTCCCCCGCCATACCGAACAAGCCTCACCACTCAACCTTCCACCGCCTCCGGCTTCTCTTCTCCAATCTCTGGAACTCCCCCGTAGCATTAGCCCGACACTTAGTTCAAACCGCTTCCTCTCGTCTGCGAATCCCGACTCCGCTGCGAGAGGCGCAATGGTGGCTTGTAGGAATGCTGTTGGGACCGATGGCTAAGCGTCATTTAAGTCGTTTGGATAGGGCGAAGGGGCTTGAGGCGGCATGTAGATCTTGTGTGAATGGGGAGGTGGAACGGCAGCAGCAGAGGGGGTTGTTGGAGGGGGAAGATACTGTGGGCGGTGATGGGGGGATAGGGTATGGGACGTTCTACCGCACACCACCTGTTTCACCCAGCCTGTCCACCAGAGACAGTAAGAGCCACAGTGACAGCAGCAGTAGAGACACGACTACTCCCCCCTGCCAACACGCCACCCATACCGCTTCAGGAACAGGAACAGGCACAGGCACAGGAACGACCTGGTCCCGGCACTCCCCCTGGGTCTGGCTAAAGTTTAGCCTCACGCTTGCTTTCGCCGTGGGCGTCGCTTTCAAGGATGGGCCGGCGAGTTTGCTGAGGAGGACGGTTTGTGGGGGGTGTCGGATTAGGGAGAGGGAGGGAAAGTTGCAAGGAGAGAAGCAGCGGAAGGGGAGGGGTAGAGGTAGAGAGAGGGCGAGGGTTGTTCTTGATCGTGCGTATATGGCGGAGGGGGAGGGCGAAGGAGAGCCGGAAATGAGTTGAGGGGTTCCGTGGGAGGGCTGGACAGTTGATGAGGTAAGGGGGGAAATTGCATATTTTACGCTCTATGCTTATTCTTGGTAGGAGGGAAACGAATGATGATGGAACGGGGACAAGAAGGTGGCGATGGGGAACGATGATGATGATGATGATGGGGAATGTTTTCTATGCTCTATATGAAGCAACACGCAATCAGGAACAGAGACAAAGACAAAGATTAAATCCACCCATCTCCAATCAGAAGTTGGTCACAGACCAGATCCTCCAATAGTATCTAGCCTCAAGGACGAATACCGCATCCGAAAACCCTCTCAAGCCTTCCGACTTCTCGGTTTCCTCTTCTGCAATGCTGACTTCTTCTGCTCTTTCTCCTCCTCCCCAGCACTTCGTGGCCGATAATGCATCCTAAGCCCGTGTCCATGCCACCCGCGCTCAGCATTAAATCCGCCCCAGCAGCAACCATTGCAAACCCTCAGCTGCACGAACTGCAACATCCGCGACACCATCCGCTCGAAGAACTCGACGAATCCCGGCCGGAACCCGATCAAGGCCAGAGACTCTTGCGGCTGATGAATCAACACGTCTTGGTCGTCCGGTGACAGTGTGTGCACAACAGAGCTTCCGAGCATGATCCGCGCGAAATGGCGCGCGATGTCTTCGAGGAGAAGCCGATACAACGATCTTACCGGGACATTAGCTCCATCGAGACTATGTAGTGCTGCTCCGATCGATTGCAGCAGTATAGCACATTCCGGCATCCTTGCCGGCTGCAAACCTAGTGGCGTCGAATCTTCGGACTCGAGCAACATGCCCTCGATCAAGTGTTCCCAGATCCTGAGCATCAGCTTTTCGTCCACGTGGACCTTTTCGTCGTTATGCCCCGCCAGTACTTTGTCCAGATCAGCGCAAGAACGAATGAAGTTCTCCCAGGCATCGTACTGAGGGTCTGCCAAGAAAGCGCCGTCTATGACAAAGAATTTGAGCCGGTCCAGAGATTTCCGCTCCGTGAAAATCGCTTGTCGGCAGTAAGGGCATGTGGCATCGTCTGGGAACTTCGAGGCCAGCACCTTGAGCAAGCAGGATTTGCAGATGATGTGCTTTTCGTTGCAATGCAGGGTTAAGGGCTCCATGCCGATACCCGCTAGGTCGTCGGCGCAGACGATGCAGTCTCTATCCGAAGCAGGCATTTGACTCGTATCGATAGGACGCGTGATGTTGTGGAGCTCACTGGCGTAGTCCGGAGTACGAGGAGCCTTCCAAACACTCGTCGTCTTGTTCAAGCCTCCGACTTGAAGCTGCAGTTCCATATGCCTGACGGCTCTGTCGGTCGTACCTCGCATCAGCGACCTCAGCTGTTCTAGCCAAGGCTCGTTAGAGTCTATGGCGTCGAAGGTCTGCATTGTCATACCATATTTCATATCAACTTCGATCTCGCCACTTGGATTTCGGTGCTTGAGCACTGCTGACAAGTGAAAGATCATCATTGGAACTTCGTCCACTTCGATCGATTCGGAATGACCACTGCTTCGCTCTCCGCTCAAAGATACACACGACAGTGTAGATCTGCCATATGTCTTGGTCACAAGAGCCATATCCCGTACCAGACCATCACCGTCACCAAACCGATTAACATTCTCCAGAAGTCCCATCACTTCCCGTTTCGTGAGCGTCGGTGCCGGCAGGGTAGAGAAGAAGGGGTTCTCCGCAAGAGATGAGAGTTCAGAATGAGCTTCTACGGCTCTATCCTGTATCAGCGGTCTGGGCTCAAATCGTTGTTCCGAATCCTCGATGCCAGGTAGTGCCAGCTTGTCGCTGTCGAGGACGTACTCGCCATCGTCCCAGCCTCCGCAAAGTTCTACGTCAGGATATTCGATGGTGACAATGTGATGGGGATCGAATATTGAGAGAGTGCGGTCACTGAAGCCAGCCATAATGTCGTCCTCGACGCCGTGTCCTGTGAGGTTCCTGACCAAACCACAAACAAGGAAAGCAAAGCATACTTATTTGCAGAGCCAGCTCAATTCCTCAACTGAGTTTGCGACAGACTCCAGATGTCACCTGCGTGCTTGCTGGTTTTCTTTATTCACGATCTCGTGGCTTGTAAGACATCTCGCATTCACTGATCAAGGCTCCTGTCTGGCTATAACGCTTGGATATTTTCTGGAAATGAGAGACAGGACTGGCTTATGTAAATCAAAGTGGTTGTGTGCTTTGAAATAGTGTATTTCTTCAACAAGATAGATCGTGATGCTATAGAATGGAACGAGTGAGATGGAACATACCTCGTCTGCTGTCCTGCCCGGACATAAGAATCCATGTCCGCCGCTATAACGCCTGTGGACGATATCAATAGTACAGATCAACCGGAGAGCCGACATACGATATCACGCTGAGGACCGCCCAAACAAAAGCAAGGATGCTGTGTGCAGACAAAAGAGCGTGAGGATATTGGAAACAAAGAAAGACTCGGGCCTAAGACCAATACCTCTTCAGTCCATGGTCGTGCACCTTGCCCACGAACGGACAAGGCGCGGCACAGCGTCTAAGATGCCAGAATTGCAGCCTACGGCTGATTGTTCGTTTGACATATTTCTCAAAGCCACCTGGTAGTGTTGATTGAGGAAGCGAGTCCGCGGCGTGGAAGCCGTAGCGTGCCATTGTGCCCCTTTTGCGCTCTCAAGTGACGTGTGCAGCGAATTCGATGTAAATCCTGCGATATAGCTGGCTGGTGGGAAGAGTCTCGCCGTGGTGTTCAACAAGAGCGACCTCGACTGCCTCTGCGAAGACGGGGAACTCCGGCATGCGGAGCGGCTGTAGGTGGTGTGGAGTACTGTCCTCCGACTCCAACCTTGCTGACTTGCAGCCACTGGAAGACGTCCATGAGTGCCGCATGGTCAACGGTGATTGGGTTGTTGTTGTACTCGGCAGCTCGCGGTCGATGTCGGCCATAACTCGTTCCGCATTCTCGTACGCGGTAAACCTCTTGTCATAGATGTAAGCCTTGCCGTCGTTCACTGTGCCAAAGATCGGAGACTCAACAATTGCGGAGTCTTGGAAGACCTTGCTACGGCAATGTGGACAGCTCGCCGCCGTAGGTCCTTTTTCGGTGCACCACTTGAGGAGGCACTCCCAGCAGACGATATGGCGAGCGTCGCAGGAAAGGTGATGTGGACGTGTGCTGGTATCATTGTAGTCTGCAGTGCAGCAGAAGCACGTCTTCTGGTCATCAGGCAGCTGATCGAGAGCAAGTCGAAGGGTCTGTCCAGGGAGCTGACTTCTGAGCTCTGCCTTCCTTTTTGGCTTTCTAACTACTGGAGACCGACATGAGTTGCTGCTTTGCTAGTTGGCAGACAACATGGCGGACAGCTAGGTCATTCCTTCGGCAGATGAGGTCGTGCAGGTCACACATCCATTGCTCACTCATGTCGAAGTGGGTTCGGCACCCAGCGCTGTTGAAATCGTGTACGCCTTCAGACCTGAAATTGCCCGCCGGGGACTTGTGGTCGGTCGTCCTTTCGACGATCAGCTTGTAACCCTCCTCCGTCGCCACCGCCAGTAGCTTCAAACTATTCTCACCAACAGTGTTGGTGATCAGTGCCATATCTTCGACAAGCTCAGCCGCGGACAAGCCGGGATGCGGTCGATCCAATGCGTTCACCTGCATACCACGCGTGGCGCTCGTAATACTATAGTAGCTTGTTTCTTCTTTGCTAGTCCTATCCGCATGGGCAGCGACAGCAGCATGTTCGATCAAAGGGAGCGGTTCATATCGCATGGCAGAGTTGTGCACGCCATAGATCAGCATCTTGGCTGTCTCGTCCACGTAAACAGCGAGGTCCAGGCAAGGATAGATGAGGTTCGTCCTGTGGTGCATGTCGAACGTGCTAACTCGAGCCATGTTTGGCTTGGCTGTTGTTTGGAGAGCTTGTGGAAAGTGGTGATACCGCCGTTCTGTGGTTTATGGTCATCTTTATACACTGAACAACTCGGTCAATGTGCCTCAAAAAGCTGCTGATGTGCAGACTCTTTGTTATAAGCTTGGCTTAAAAGCAGAATGTGTTGGCTCCGCACAATGGCTTTCGAGGCAAGTTGGTCCCAAGCCATGCTGGCGATTGACCACAATGCCTTTGTATAAGGAGGTGAAGAAGTTACTTCTCAACATGGCTTTGTGTATGGTCGGCGCCAGCTAGCATTCACGTCAACAGTCTTTCCGCCAGCCTGGGTATCTGTAGTGAAGGTGTGGTGCCGGTAAACTACTGAGCTTGCGGTGGAACGTAGAGCACAAGCCGGAGCAGTGTGGTGGTATTTGATGCCTGTGGGTCTTGCGTGCCATGGTGCTGGACCCCGCCATCATCGCCGCTTGGCGCCAGACCTGATCGTGCTCGTTGACGGTCACGACACTCCTGATGGACCTGATCGGGAGACTGTGACTTCAACGAACTGCGTGTTCCTCTGACCCAAGGGTGAGCAGTGCCTTCAACGGCAAGCACGTTTGCGGAGCACCGGCAATGCACGTCTGGGAACTATCGCTGCCGTATTTCGTATTCGTTTGCTTGTGTACTTCATGCATCCTGAGGCTTTCTCGAACACTAGTCCTGTGAGCTTCTTAGACTCGCCGCCAAGCAACATGACTCCAGAAGCTTTCGAGACGTTCAGACTTTGGCGGTGCTGGTGCTTCTGTGGCGCGTGACATGTGCCACTGGGGTCCATTCGCAATGATCCGGGATGTTGACACCGAGTCTTATCAAAGGAGGTGCCTGTTCTGATCTGCCGGGTAACCATCGCCGAACCCTACTCAGTGGATCCACAGACGAGATGATCGACGACAAAACATCCGCAGCAAACAGGGACGTGGAATTGTCCAGGACGATAGCATGAAAAGACATCTCTAACGAAATCCTGAGTATAAATTGATTTTGCTTCCGGCAGGCTGGAGAAAATGGGCCTCTTGAGTGAATCTCAACCACGTGTCAAGAAGTGGAGACCTTTTGCTTGGCAACAAATGTTTGAGAACCTACCTGGAACTCTAACTTGTGACCTGTCCCATGGAAGTCGATTGCCTAAGAACGATATTCGACGACACGAAAGACATCCGTCGCCGGACTTTGCCTCTTACTGGCGCATGGCGAAGGCGATGAAGCAGGACCTGGTGTTGCCATCCCCCACGACGGTGATAACACTCCGACTCCCAGGCTCTCAGCCACCATGCATCTCAAACAGCAAGGACCCCACGACTCGCACAAGGCCATGGCGTGTCCGTGTTGGGGAATGCATCCTCGTGAGCAGCAACGTTTCCTGCAGAGATCACCAATAGCGTAACGCTCCTGCTCGGCATCATTGCCTCTGGCAGGGGTCACAATCGGCAATGGCTACGGAATGGATATCGCTGCAGACTCGAGACGGCCCCCAGCCATGACTCTCAATTGCCTTCGCTGGTGATGCACTGGCAAGGCTAGTGCGACCGCAATGCGACCTAGCCACTGCCCGCGTTCACGGCACTCCGGCTTCAGTAGAATCCAATGAGTGCGCATTCGTAGCTGTCGATCATTAGATAGCCTGGCGTACCCATCCAACCTCACCTCCATGCCCGGAGACCGTCACGGCACGACCTCCACACCATGCGATTACCACCACTCTCTGTACTGATCACATGGCCAGCACCCAATTACGTCGACCCTGTCACTCGCGGCAATGCCTCTTCGATCGTTAACGGGATTTTCATCGCACTGGTGCTTGTCGTGGTGACGCTCCGCTTTTACTGCCGGACATCGACAGGAGCACTACGACTAGGATGGGACGATGTCATGATCTCGCTGGCTCTGTTATTCACCCTCGGACTGGCAGCAGTCGTGATGTTGGCCGAGAAGCTCTACGGCTGGGACAGGCATGTTTGGGACATCCCACCTGATCGGATTACCAACGCGAATATCATCGCTCTGGTCGCGAAGATCGTCTTCAGCTTGGCTGCTACCTTCACGAGACTATCACTCTGCGCCTTCTACTACCGCCTGGTCAAAGACTCTGGCATTCGTTGGTTCAAAACCGTAGTGCACCTTACCAATGCATTCACCATTGCGGTTTGCGTAGCATTTCTCTTCATATCGATCTTTCAGTGCACGTAAGTGGAGGAACGCAAGGTGCCCTACGGAGTGCGACCTCATGCTGACGTGCCGTAGACCTGTGAAGTTCTACTGGGAGTTCCCACCTACAACAGCTGGAACATGCATGAATGAAGGAAAGGCCACGCTTGCGGCAGGCATTATCAACCTGTTCAACGACTTTCTGTGCGCAGTGATACCAATACCTTTGGTCATGAATCTACACATGCCCTTAAAACAGCGAGTCGGCGTGTGTGTACTGTTTGGTCTCGGCTTCGTCGTCATTGTGGCAGGCAGTGTCCGTACATACTTTATCTGCAAGTCCGTCAACATTGTGGTCGTGATTGAAAGCTAATGTCTCTCGGCAGGGAAGGGTACGACTTCAAATCACGGCTATGTTAACTTCTCTTCTGCAGTCGCTGATCGTTATGCTTCTAGGACTAATGCAAAGCTACGACGAGACTTGGTATGCATACCCTCTATGGATATGCGCAGCGGTGGAAATTGACGTGGGCGTTGTAAGTACTACCTCATCCTCACCATGGCTACTGAGATGCAGTACTGATGACACAGATCTGTGCCTGTGCACCGGCGCTCAAGACCCTCCTCCACTTCTCACGAGAGTCTTCACGAACATCGCAGAGCGCATCCTTTGGCGCCCGTCCTTCACCTATAGCCTCAAAGAAACTCGCATCGACCTCCAGCTCGCTCAAAAATAGCAAGTTCAACATCACCGCCAAAATCCTATGGAGTTGGCAATCCAAGTCCTCTCCATCCCGAGGATCAGTGCGATTACACAGTCATCAAGGTGGCACCCCCGAGCTGTTGAACCGAGACACCATGAAGTTGCCGATGCAGTCGAACGTACGACCATACCACGATGATGAGGTAGAAGAGGGGGAGCAGCAGGCACTGCACATAATGCGGAGACGATCTATCGAACTTTCTTCGATGAGGACAGGATCTGGTTCGATACGACGGCCTTCAGATTCATTAAAGCATATGACTACGGCAGAAAGAAGGCCCGTGGAGATCTGTGAGCGATGCCGATAAAATACGGTTTCCACAATAGAGTAATAAAGATACCCTACGGAGCGGTTGCTACACACAATATAGGTTTAGGACAGGGTGGAAGGAGCCTTGCTACGGACGACTGGTTCGTTCGAGGCTAGTACGTAGATAAGGTGTGCAGCCCAAGAAGCGCGAGCACAATGTCGACTCAGAGCGATCTATCATTTTCCTCAGACTGCTGACTATGCATGAAGCGGCGAGTACGTTGGCATTATTGTTGCCCTGACGCCCCTTAGGCTAGCTGGGAAATTGAGCTCAGAAGCTTGAAACAAGGTCTAGCGACTCAGCACCTATACACTGGACGCAAACTCTAAAGCACAGCAGTCGACCCTTTACTCCCCGCCTCGCCCCTAGCACTCCTGCTCGCTCCTTCTCTTTCGACCTTCCTCAGTGGTCTGTACACAGGGTTCCACATCTGCTCTCGAATCCACTCCTCCAACTCTACATCATCAACTGGAATACCCTCCTGCTGCGCCAGACTTTCCTTCTCAGCCTGTCGTATAACAGCCGCAGCGATCTTGACACTAATCTCCCTCACATCAACCACATCGGGCAATAACGCGGCATCTGGATCCTTCAACGCCGGAGCCTGCGCGGCCAGAGCTTTCGTAGCTGCCACAAGCATAGAGGGAGACAGGAGTTTGGTTCTGCTAAGGACGCAGCCGAGGCCGATACCAGGGAAGGTGGTGGAGTTGTTGCATTCCGCAACCTCGCGCTTCTTCCCATCTGGCATTTCGACGGGTGGGAAAGGCGAGCCCGTGGCTGTGAGGACTTTGCCATCTGTCCATTCGAAGAGGTCTTTGGGATCTGCTTCGTGCAAGCGTGTTGGATTCGAGAGAGGGGAGATGATGGGACGATCGACATGCTTGGCCATTTCTTGCACGATTTCTTTTGTAAAGGACTTTGGCTTGGTGGATGTGCCGATGAGGACGTTAGGCTTTACAGCCTTGATGATCTCCACCAGACTTTTGTGATCGATGTGTTTCCACTCCTCATCAGGCTTAGCATAGTCGTGCTGAGCGGGTGTGAGTATCTCTTGCTCGACCATACTCTGCAAAAGCACACCGGGCTTATCAACACACCAAATCTGCTTTACAGCCTCCTCTTTACTTTTGCCACTCTCGACAGCAATAGCATCACGGATTTGATCAGCAATGCCTGTACCAGCAGTTCCAGCACCAAAAGCCAGCACTCGCAGGTTCTTCATTTCCAGCTTGGCCACATGGATAGCTGCGTATATGGCAGCAAGCGTAACACATCCAGTACCTTGCACATCATCATTGAAGCAAGCAATCTGTGGTGTGTACTTATCCAGGATCCTCCTCGCATTAGGAAGACCGAAGTCCTCGAAATGGATGTAAGCCTTTGGGTAACGTTCTCGACAAGCGTGAATGAAGCGATCGACGAAGGCGTCGTATTGTTCTCCTCTGATACGTGGCCGCTTGACTCCAAGGTACAAAGGATCATTGAGCAGTTCGTCGCTATCCGTACCAACGTCCAGTACAACCGGGAGCGTCCTATTGGGATGAATGCCAGCACAAAGAGTGTAAATGACCAGCTTCGCCACTGCGATTAGAATGCCGCCAACGCCCTGGTCGCCGATGCCGAGGATCTGCTCGCCATCACTGCAGGCAATGATATCGATATCCTCGCTCGGACCCCAACGATCTAGCGCCGCTTCGACCTCATCAGGCTTATCGATCCTCAAGAAACATCCTTCCGGTTTGCGAAAAAGTCGACTATAGCTTTGTATCGCTTCACCCTCGGTTGGGGTATATATGATCGGGAACATCTCCTTCAAATGACGTTGGATCAGGCCATAGAACAGAACTTCGTTTTGCTCTTTCATGCTGGTCATGAAGGTGTTCTTTCCAAGAGCAGTACTCCGCGAGTTGTACTGCTCGTAAGCTCGTTGGCATTGCTCGTCCAAAGTATTGACTGCAGACGGCAAGAGGCCAGCGAGACCGAATTGTTGACGTTCGTTCGTTGGGAAGCCCATGCCCTTGTTGAGATAGGGTGTCTGCAGTAGACTAGACCCTTCAAGTGCGCAATCCATGGGTCCAGATGTTGACAGAGGCAAGTGGCCGAACTTGCCAGCTTTAGTACCGTTAGCCATGTTGCGCGGTATAAGGATCCTATCGAAGGAGTTCTGGATCCCAAGTCAAAGGGTTGATGATAGTGCAGTGATCTAAATATTCTTCCAGTACTTGTTATCTGCGTCGCATGCATATGGTTGAGTTACTAGCGAGTCTTCCATCGCGTAGGTCAACAACCAAGCACGTAATCTGTTGCACACACGCAAGTGGCGCATTTGAGGAAGTTCACACGCACCCCTCCTCAAGATTTCGAAGCTTTCGAAGCTTTCGAAGCTTTCATGGCATAGCTTGCTCTCGAGCTTTTAGATGCACGTTAGTGAGCTTAAAGTAAAGTGCAATACCTTCTAACAGAAGTATAACGATCCAACCCATGTGAGCAGAAAAGTGTGACAGGCACCTGTGACTGTCGGCTGTGTTGCGGCCGTCTTCGTAGATCGACTGTGATCATTGGCACCATACTTCTTTTATCTGCTTTGTAGATCTCGGTGCATTCTGCTCTCAGCTTCCATACGTCGCGGTTCCCGCGAATGAACTTCTGAAAGCCACATCACCCATTGCAAAGCCAGGATCGCACCCAGCGCGGCTTCGACAAGAGACGGAGCCTTGTACACTGTCTGTGGGTATTTGAGCGTCGAGTACCCGAGCCCCTGAGGAGCAGCTTCAGTATGGCTGGAGGCTGCTAATCAATCCGATCATTGTTGATGCACTCGACTGCAGCCCTAACGTAGGTAGCAATACGAAGTCCCTGCTACCAGCGATCCAGGAGTGCGGAGCATATGGGGTCCTGTGTCCACATACGCTATCGTCCAGGCACGAGATTTCGCGCAAAATGAAAGATCTCAGCTGTCATCTTTCATTCCCAGGAAGACTCCTTCTGATCCGTATAGGTCCCTTCACATCCTCAACCCCTACGTCCATCGCAAGCACTTGCCCCTTCTGTAAAATCTCACACTCTCCACGATCTCGTAGCTGCCATGCAAGAGTTCTGATGTCAGACATCGTCTCCCGCCACTCATCGTACCCCAACTGCTGTAGTTCCTGTGGCGACAAGGCTCGAGCAACTTCTGATGGACAGAACGTTCTCGGTGGCTCACGCTTCTCTAAGAAGATATCGAGGTTGATCTTGAGTGGTCCATTACTCGCTTCGTCGTTGCTTGGGTGTGGGATCGCCATTATATGGCTACTATAAAGCATCGAGGAAGGCCAGGATAGGAATCACTGCTCCTGCTTCACCTACCCTGCGCTAGTCCTCGATGGCCGTGGTCATACGAACAGGAGCTACGGAATTTGTATGATCTGCCCACAACAGCAGAGCACGACATCCGAATGTATGCGATCTGCAAGCAAGCTGCAGTCCAGAATAATGAACAAACATTCACCGCCCAGAAAGCAGGCCGGTTTCATACCACATCCGGCTAAGCAGAAACATGAAACAAGGGCCTGTGCGCTTTACTTCGGCCGGTATCCTGCAGGATTGAAACGATGGGTGGCCTCGAACTTCGATCGATCTTGAGTCTGTGATGTTGGATGTCGAAGTGTTTGACTGGTAGATTGTGACTGAATACTCGATGGCGACGAGGACAGTATCGAGCACGGCCGAGACAATCGTTGGATGATATAGGTGTATTCCTCGAGGACGAGATAAAGCGGCAGACGCCAAAACCTCACCAGCAGAGTTTAGCCCCGCCATAAGCTATTATTAGTGCGCCTTCCAGTCTGTCGCCGTCGCTACTCGCCCGCGCCTGTTGCTTGTTGCTGATCAGAAGGCAAAGATGTTCATTCGGTGTATAGAGGCTTGCGGTAGCTTTCCCTTTCCTATGCGCGCATCACCGGTCGTAGCTATTGCGGATCTGTAACGGAGTAATGGTATTATAGTTCCTAGAGGACGATTGTTCGTATTCATCACTTGCTGGTCGATCAGATCGCTTCTACCACCGCTTCTTCCTGGAGGATCTTGACTATGGCGCGGAGCTGAGGACAACGTGACTTCTGGACCACGGGAGACTAGTGTCGTTGTTCTTGTGGGTGTGTATGCCATATGGTTGCTTTCTACATATGGTCTGATCTGACTGACTCGCTGAAAGAGACGCAAGCACGAGACCTCACTTCGTCTTACGGTCCATCGTGCTTGCCTCAACCTCAGCAAGCAACCATGGCTGACGTCCTCGCCCCACCCATCGCGTCAACCTCATCTACATCTCCCTCCTCATCCTCGACACCACAGCCACACAACACACAACTACCACTTCCGGTCCGACCTCGACCACGCGAGCGCATCCCCTCATACGCCCAGAACAGGATGTCAACATACTCTCAAAACTCCCGCAGCTCGCGATCACGACCAACGTCGACAGTCGCGTTCCCGGCATTCCAATCAAGTCTCGCATATACATCAGTCAGGGACTTCGCATGGCCAGTCTTTCACCCATTACACTATGGAGCACCCGAAGCGACGTCCGGAGCCACAACACCAGGCTCGGAGTGGACAGGTGGGAGAAGATTGTCAGATCCAATGGATCTCTCCAATAGCAGCAGTGGCGGCGGTGTGGGTAACAACTGGACGGCAGGGCCATGGGGCGGCGATGGAGTGATGTACGGTGATCAAGATCAAGCTTCCGAGACACAACACGATCCACTCCCGAGTACTTCATTCGGCGGAGACGATAGTTTTGACAGTACAAGCGACGACGGCTCAAGAAAGAAACACCGCAAAAGCAAGAGTTATGCAAACATCACAGACTACGAGCGTGGGCGGAGACGAGAAAGTGCAGGTTACAGACGCAGTCGTGCTAGCGGGGACGCGACAGCGAGCGATATGTTTCGCTTCGGAGGACAGAGCGATCCTGCAGGCCGAGACACTCTGCGACAGAGTCGTGGGTATGCAGGCGTAGGACCTCCTACACAGCAGCAGCTGGAAAACGGACGTATACGAGCAGATTCGCACTTTCAGTCTGGGTTGTTGCCGAATAGGTCCTATCCAAACAACAATGGCGGTGATGCTGGTGCTGCAAACGACCTCGGATCTGTGGATCCAGACAACGACATGCCGCTTGATTCGGAACTGTCAACAGAAGTCCACTCACCACAACGCCAGTCCATCGGCCCAGAAGACGAAGAGCTCTACGCCGGACGCTCACTTGCCCTCTACGCTTTCGAGCCGGAAAACAGCAACGAGCTGCGTTTGCGCGAAGGACAGGTGATCATGGTGAGCTACAGGCATGGGCAGGGCTGGCTGGTAGCTGAGGATCCCAGCACCGGCGAGCAAGGACTTGTGCCGGAGGAGTACGTGAGGCTTCTGAGCGAACTGCCGCATTTCGATGAGAGCACGGGTATGTTTCTCGATGGCGAGGAGGCAGGCGAGGATGAGGAAGGAGAATCGGAGATGTTTTCGGAGCTTGAGACGAGTGAGATTGATGGCTCGAAGCTGGCTGAGCAGGACTCCACGGGCTTGGAACCAGGCAATGCATCGGTGAAGATGGCGGAAGGGGCTGCTGAGGCTGGCATCGGGGTCGAGGAGGATTCGGAGAAGGAGGACCCGCGAGTCGATGAGGCATACGAGCGTGCTGCGAGCCAGTAGCCGAATCAAGCCAAGAGCTGAGGATTGCTCCAGCGATGTAACTCGAGGGCTATGGTGACTGCTGCGTCTCCTTTCGAGATAGCAATTCTGCTGTATCAGAGTCCTGTATGTAGGCTTCGCCACCGCCGCACGCGGCGAGAGTGCAGAGCTCGTAGCAATGAACCATAATAATATTATCTGATCGTACTACGCGTATTCTAACCTTCAAAAAAACATTGTTGCTTCTGCTTAGTCATTCCCCTCCGCGATTCGTTCGGTGCCACTTCAATTCCATATGCACTTCTTTCGTTCGCTCCCGTCTCTCTACCTCCAAACAATCGCCCGCAGCCAATACGATTGGTGTATTTGTAGGAAGAAGCTGCAGGTAGCTGCTATGACAGCGGTGGTCATGTTAAAGTCGCCAGTCTTTTTTTCCAAGGTACTTTCTACATGAGGCAACCAGGTGTAGCATGCCGACAATGTCGCCAAAGCAAACGGAAGTGCAATCGCCCTACTAGCGAGACGTGTCAGCCATGTATTCGTCGAGGGACCGATGACTGCTCTAGTCGTGGTATAACAAAGCATACGAGACAGTTGCAGCCTGGAGCACGCACGAAATCCGATCTACCAAATGGTGTTGACAAGGACTGTAGCATATCTCTGGTTGAGCTGTACCTCACATTGATTCACGACAGGCCCCACTCACTCTTTCATGTCCCAACGCTGCGGCTGTCCGTGCAGGATGGCACGATACATAAGCCGCTGCTATGTGCTATCATGAGCCTGGCAGCACGGTTCGCCGATCGAGAAGATCTTCGACTACTTGGCCCAAACCTTCGTACACAGGCTAGCAATCTCCTCAAAGCGGATCTTGAGACCCTGACTGTGCAGAGCGTGCAGGCCTGGATCGTGCTCGGCAATGCGTACGGTGCTGACTGCGAGTGGGCAACGGAGAGCCTGTACTTTGGCATTGCGATCCGGACTGCGCATATCATTCGACTTCATGAGGCGCACGCCGGCGAAACTGCAGTAGAGCACGAAGTGAGGTTGCGAGTATGGTGGTCGCTATACATGCTTGACCGATGGTCGGCCGCTGGATTGGGAACACCACGCCAAATGGCCAACCGGCATATGTCTCAACAGTTGCCACGAGAGGAGCACGTCTTTCACACTCTGAGCTCCTCTCAGCAGGATTGGCCAGAGCCTCGAAGGCTGGGTATGTGGGCATATATGATCACGCTCGTGGAAGTCTTCGGACCTATTCAAGACTTCAACCGGACATTGTCGACTGGGATCCTGGATCAGGCTACTGTGACAGACACAGTAGCAAGGCTTGGCTCAAGACTGGAGCATTGGCGGCAGAGTCTACCATCGGATTTATCGCTCGATCCGCAGACCATGGCGCTCCACCAGCAGCGAGGCCACGGGAGGACCTTCGTGGCTTTACATCTCGGCTACTATCACTACGGGACACTGCTGTACTTCTCGTATCTGGATGGGTCGGCTGCACAGCTCCCTTTGGCTGACATGTATGCTCAGCGATGCCGAGAGTACGCATCCGCGCTTAGTGATCTGCTACGAACTTCCTATGAGATGGAAGGCTGCGAAGTCATGTACAACATTGTCGGCCACATGGCTGTCGTTTCTTCTTCAGTACTGATCCATAACCTTCTATTCGGCGATCAGCGGGAACTTGACAACGCCAGAGGCCGGTTGGAGTCAAACTTTCGCATCATCATGAAATTAAAATCGTGGTGGCCAAGTGTCGACCGAATGAAAGCGCGACTGTTCATGTTCCAGAAAGCATGCTTGCAGTCCATCGATCAGAGAACGCATAAGGTGGATCACTGGATGGTGGAATTTCTACTCGAACACGGGAATGTATTGGACGAGCGGTCACAATTGGAAGGGGACACCCCGTCTCCTCATGATGTGTCGAGCACTTCACCAACAACGCAAGCGGTGTTTGAGAGGAGTAGACTGACGAGGAGCGCTTTGTCTGCTCTGAATTGATAAAGATACATCTACAGGAACAGCGCGGTACTCCCCGTCCAGGATCACTGACTCCGGTGGCTCTTCCAAAGCTTTGCTCTTATACCCTCGATAAATGCTCAACTTGCGAACCATAATTTGGATCCTCCTTCCCTTGCATCCTCTTGTCGATTATGCCGTCGCTTGCAACAGCCGCATTTTCACCGTCGAAAAGATGCGCGATCTCTTCAAGCGTTGGACCGTTCGTCTCAACAAACAGGAAGTAGATACATAGGCACTCCAGGACGAGTATGACGATGTAGACGAAGTAGAATTTCCACTTGAGAGCTTCCAAGCCAATGGGATTGATATACTAGGGACGTGTTAGTGATTCGATCAAGACGCTGGTGCCGACTATTAGAGCATACCTGATTGAGGACAGAAGCAGCCGCTTGTCCGCCGAAAGCGATGCCGAGGCCTTTCGCTCGGATATTGAAAGGAAGGATCTCAGAGCAATATGAGACGGTGAGCCCAGGCCATGCGAAGCCAGCCATGAAGTAGAAGAAGAATATCATGGCGATGACAGCCGCTCCAGCTCCTTTGTTACCTGTCTGAGCATAGACAGCAGAGCAGCCAGTCCAGATGCTGAAGGCGACAAGCATACCAATGCCAGCAGTCAGGAAAAGCTTGCGGCGCCCAAGCTTGTCAACAAGAAGCGAGAAGCCAATGGCGACTAGGAAAGACCAGATCTGCAGTCCACCGTTCACAAGAGATTGGTCGTACGAAGATGTCACGCCGACAGAGTTCAGAATATCGTGGAGGTAGTACGAAGCGATGCCGTTGCCTGAGCATTGCGAGAAGAACGTCGTCAGGATGATCAGCAGAAGACGCTTCCGATTGCCGGGAGTACGCATGAATACGTCCCATCCTTGCTTCGAAGCAAGCTTCTCGAGCGCAATCGTTTCCTGGATCTCAATGAACTCTGCCTTGACGAAAGTATCGTCGGCGTCGCCATCAGCATGATACTTGATGAGGACTTGGAGAGCTTCGTCCGATCTGTCCTTCGAGCACAGCCATCTATGTGGGTGTCAGCATCCGGATAGAGTCGATGGCTCGAGCTTCACTTACCTCGGTGACTCTGGCAATAGCCACACACATACAATCTGAATCACTGGCATTAAGGCTTGGACGGCCACTGGTATACGCCATGCAGCATTTCCGGTGTACTTGATGGTGCCGAAGACCGTCCAGGCTGCGACGATGGATCCAACATACCAAAGTGTGTTGTACATCGTTGTAACCTTGCCTCGATGTTGTGGATGTGCGAGCTCGATGACGAGCAGTGGTGCGCAGGCTTGAGTAATGTTCGAGCCGAATCTGTATTTGACATGTCAGCTGAATACTGCATCGAGATCATGCTGATGATATGTACGCACCCAACCAGAAAACGACCGCCGATGAACATGCCTGAAGTAGCACCAGGCACTACTTGGATGATCACACCGATGATCAAGACGGATATACCAGCGGCCACACCAGCCCTCCTGCCAAACCAGTCTGCAAGATATGGCGAAACGGGAAAGGCGCAGAAACCTCCAACATTCATGATGGCGCTGAAGAGGCCAAGGCGCGCTCCAGCAGGGTTATTGAAGTATGCTTGCCAGGGAACCATGGTCTGGAGGCCGTTAAGCAAGCTCCCGTCGTAACCATTCGTTGTCGAGCCGAGGAAGAGGATGGGCAGCATCAAATACAGTGTTCGAAGACCGGGCTTCTTCCACCAGGTCACATTGGGTACTTCGAGATGTGCTACTGTCGTGTCCGCCATATCTGCAACGATAGGTGATCAGATTCCGGGAAAGAGTGGTAGAGCTCGCCAAGAGTGAAGTCTGAGAGATATCATGACCAAAGCCAGCGTGTCAATGGGGTTTATATATCGATTTTGAAGGCTGGCTCTGATCAATACTTGGCAAAGGTTGTTTATGCGGGCTTTCTAGCGGATGTCATGGCCGTCGTGGTTGCCCATGAGCGAGCATGCACGACTCCGTAAAGCAGACGGTATGCCGGCCAATGAACAGGCAGCGATACCGCAACGCTACGGTTTCCTCTTCGAATGTGACACGAGATCATCTCCGCTCCCCTCGAAGCATACGAGAAAAATGCCGCGGGTTGAAGAAGGCTCGGTAAGTGCAGGAACGCAAAAGTGGTTCAAGTGTGGTTAAATACGGGGTACGTTTCTCCGCCTTGTGGACACGGTATAACAACCAATCACAAGACCTTTATACCGCCTTCTCCACAGTACACGCGAGGTGGACCACAATCATGTGTGGGTGCATGCATCAGCTTTGGCAGAAGTGCGAATCGATCGGCATACTATTCAGCTCCATAAAGCTGGCATAATCACTCGTTGTCATCCTTTCCTCACATCAGATCCGCCTGGCGCCACCACTTTCCTCGCACAATGCAGCTCTCTATTCCCCATCTCGAGGCTACACCGACCTCCAAACAGCTCATCGTCAATGGCAAACCTTATCTCATGCTTGCAGCCGAGCTGCAGAACTCAGCCATGACATCGGCAAAGTACATGCGAGAGGCGTGGCCAAAGTTAAAGGCTGCTAACATCAACACCGTGCTGGGCTGTGTGACGTGGGAGCAAATCGAGCCGACTGAAGGCAAGTTCGATTTCGCCGAGCTTGATCAAGTCATCGAAGACGCTAGAGGTCATGGTATGCATATCGTGATATTGTGGTTTGGCAGCTTCAAGAATGGTTAGTTCAGCCTTTGTCGTGTGTGGAGAGAAGACACTGACCACGCTAGGCTTGTCTACGTATGCACCAGCTTGGGTGAAGCAAGACAACAAGCGCTTTCCTCGTGCAAAGCTCAGGAAGTCAGGCGGCGAGCTCGAAATCGCGGATGTCGTGTCCATCTTCCACAATGAAGCACAACGCTGCGATGCCCGAGCCTTTAGCGCCCTCATGACTCACGTCAAAGAAGTCGACGAGCGGCACTCCACTGTACTCATGGCTCAGGTTGAGAACGAGACTGGACTATTGGGTGACTCCCGAGACGGTAGTCTGGCTGCTAACAAGCGTTTCGACGGCCCAGTGCCCACAGCTCTGGTCGAGAAGCTTGCCTCGCAATGGGACCTCCTTCGACCTGAGCTGCGAGCAAATATAACTTCATCCAGGACCAAGCTGTCTGCTGGTGGATCATGGAGCCAAGTCTTCGGGAGAAGCAAGCAGACTGACCAACTCTTCATGGCCTACCACTACGCACTTTACCTGGAACAAGTCGCCAGCGCTGGCAAAGCAGCTTATCCACTACCAATGTACACGAACGTCTGGATGAACTACAATGGAAGCGATGCAGACAACAACTTCCCTGTTGTCGTTGGCGGAGGAAATCTACCAGGCGACTATCCTTCCGGTGGCGGCGTACCCGACGTCTTGGATATCTGGCAGAACTTCGCACCATCTCTCGACTTTATCGCGCCTGATGTCTACCTCAACGACTATGCAAACTCTTGTGCAAAGTACAGACATCGGAACCAGCCTCTGTTCATTCCCGAGCAAAGGCGAGACGAGTATGGCGCGAGGCGGATATGGACTGCCTACGGTACCTACCAAGCCCTCGGTGCCTCACCCTTCGGCATCGACACAGTCGAACCAGAGACAAACCCGTTCCGGAAACACTATGGACTGTTAGCAAAGATGTCCACTCACGTTCTTCAAGCCCAAAAAGAAAACGCCAGCATCGGCTTCTTTTTTGACGAGCTCGACGGCACGACCGATACCTCACCACCTGTGACCCACAAATTCGGACCTTGGAGCCTCCTAATCGAACGCTCTTTCGTCTTCGGCAAACCCGCACCAGGTTCCGGCATGGTCATCCACAAAAGCGACGATACCTTCCTCCTTATCGGCTGGGGCTTCCAAGTAACCTTCAAGCACGAATCATCGCCTTTCACCGGAGTCCTCCGGTTCGAAGAGAAGGAAGTCGTAGGTGAGAGCGGCGAGCTGAAGACCCTGAGGATGCTGAATGGAGATGAGACGCGAAGTGGCAAGTTCTGTATCATGCCTAACGAGGAGCCGGATTATGGCGGGTTTCCTATCTGCGTCACGATTCCTGCGAGGACGGGAGTGGCGGAGGTTGAGCCTTATGCGCTGGAAGATGATGAGGAGTGCGAGTAGTGAAAGTCGAGGCATTGATACAAAGCTAGTAGTCTGATTGTCGATAAAGATTGCCAAGCCACGTGCTGAAGTCTGAAGCTGAAGTCAATGCCGTCGACATGACTTCCAGTGCGCAAAAGAAACACGAACTTGCGAAAGTCATTGCATACCAAGTCCTAGTACCGGCTCCCGTGAATGACCCTCGTCTTTCCGTCGCCTGGTTGAACGTTATATGTATGTTAACGAGCGCAGATAAATCCCAAGGACCAAGAAGACGACCAAACCCCTCGCACAAGACGTCCACACTCTTCAATGCAGTAGCAAAACCTAGCAATGTGTGTCCCAGAATTCGCAGGAAGGTCTGCCAACTTCCGAGGTCATAATGCAGGACAGCAAGACCCATCGACAATAAGGTCCACATTACTATGTAGTTCGGGAGCCAGATCGGTTGCTGCCAGAACCCTCGCAGGTTGCAGAGCTGGGGCTCAGCGTAGTCAAGGGAGCGCTTCAGCCGGAGGACACTGCCATGCGGGGGACCCTGGCGCAGAACCCCATCACAGTGGTCATAATATTTACTGCTCTGGTTTGCCTTCAGGCAGTCGTTCCAGACGGTGTTATTCATTGCATGCTGTTGGTAAATCGTCGTTTGGACCTGGCTTCTGTAGGTCAAATATCCAAAAGCCACAGCGATGATAGTAACGACCAAAAAGCCAAGCGGATTATCCAAGATTAGTGTCGTTAGTCTCCTGAGTGAAGTCTTGATCTTGATGTGAAGAGGTGTCGTTGTGTCTGCTTCGACGATATTCCGATGATCGGGTTGGTGGTCGTCGCGTGTATCGTCAGTACCCACACTTCTTCCGTCTCCGTCTGCTCCAAGTACACCATGACCCGCATTGTCGTCGTGCAGGATCGAGTCATGTACTGTCCCAATATCATGCAATCCTGCTCCTTTAAGGTCGCCAAGTTGTATATTATTGAGATCCTCTTAACCGACTCCTGAACAACATAGAGCGTCTAAGTATGGCTTTGGATTCAATACGTCGACGAGTCTCTTCATGTCGTGGTTCATAGTGGCGGATCGTGCAGCTGCTGCTATAGTTAAAGCGTACCGCGAGACATCGGGACAATACATATGTGCAAGTCCTCAGCCTTTCCAGTAGTATTGGTGGCGTGAGCGCAAAGGTAAGGCTGGTCACGTCGGCCAATCATGGGAATATCGTTGGCTCTGGCCCAACGATGCGTGACGCCTCATGCTGTGTAACGAGCTTGTCAGACCAATAGTTGTCGGACGACAATCGACAGCCTGATGGTGGCTTTCCACGCGAGGGGAGGGGCCATCTTTGCGACTGTGAACGTGGCAGAGGCCGTGCCATGTGCTTCGCAGTGCGTGTGGAAAGTTAGAGGAACTGCTATGATCAAGATATCCATACATACAATGCGATCGTCAAAAGTCAATGTTATGCTACAAACTTCGTCCGTTGAAGTCGTCAGTCGTCAGGAGCCCGTCAGTCGTAAATTCATGGTCCTTTACCACATGACCTATGCTCGTCCAAGTCGGTATCCCAATCGAGATTTCGCCCGTTGCCATTGGTCTGAACCCCACCATGAGGGCCATAGTAAGCTTTAAATTGGAGACCCTCACTCCTGTTCAGCATGAACAATACTACCTCTTATCTCGCGTCTCCTCTTCTCTGCCGCATCCTCCTCCCTTCCGCCTCTAAGCCTACCCATCCTCTCCCTGAGCTTCCTGACACCTCCGCCTCTTGTCCTCGCACCCGTGCCACCCTGCCCAAGCCATTCCTCGCTGGCTCGTCTCCTGATTCCGCTGCCCTGACTAACATACTTCCCACCGCTACCAGCACCAGTATGCAGACCGCCTACACTGCTCTTCCGCACAACAGCGACATGCGGCCGCCGATTATTACTTCCCCATCTCGAGATACCTAGACTATTCCCCACCAAGAAGCCACCTTCGCCACGGAAACCAGGCATACGAACGCTCATGTTTCGTGGGAAGAGCAGTCTCCGCTGGCCTGCCCGTTTCTGGCTAGAGATAGAACTCGTGTCGCCACCTTCCGGTAATCTTGTGTGTCCGTCAGGAGCAAAAGGCAGCCCGTCTAGATCTTCGTCGTCATAAAGTTCTTCTTCGCTGTCGTATCCATCCCAGAAGCGGCGAGGCTGCCATAGGGGTGACAAATTCTTCGGTCTCGCCACTGAATCGTCTACAGCACGACGAGTAACCTTGTTACTGCGCAGGCTTAACGATCGATTGAAAAGCGGGGCATCGATCACGCTCTCGCTGAAGCGACGAGCTCGTTGGATGAGGCTAGGACGTCTGACCGGTAGATCCGGACGTTCAATGCTTTGTCGTGGCGTGGTCGTCTCGCTGTCCTGATCCTGGCTCGGCGTGGGCGGTATGACTCTGAAAGCCGGTGGCTCAGGTGCAGTACGAGGATGCGTGAGAGGACTATCAATGAAGTTGTTCATATCTCGCTGACTGAGTTGTGGTGAAGGCTCCTCGACTGTCGCAGCAAAAGTAGGCGTTAGAAGACTCGTATAGTGCTTTGCGTTGTTCCAATCATACTGATCGACTAGTATCGGCTGCGGTGCTAGGGTGGGCTTGAAAGCGTGCTGGACTACGAGCAAGCTTTCATTGTGATGTGGGTAGAGAGTCACACCCTTGGCCTCACACACCTCCACGGCAGTCTGGTCAGAGAATGCACTGACGGACCCTGGTGTAGTGATAGGATGCAACATGCGCAGGTCGAGGCTGTTATGTTGCGAGTGAAGAGCTCGAGGACTACCGTGTGTCTCTAAGCTACCACGGCGGACGTGGGTGTTGTTTTCGAGCTTGGCTGTTCTCGGGAAATGATGAAGGGTGTGCTGTTTGTCGTGCCTTTCGTCTGATGTATTGGCCGCACTTCGTATTGAGGTGATAGTTTTGACATCCGGCTCGCGTACTGCACGTTGACTATCGTCTCGCCTTGATAATCGGCTCGAGCTAATCACGGCCTCGAAACCAGGATGCATATCCGGTGAGTCGTATCGTTGCACGTCTGGACTCGCTCGCTTGATAGACTCATTCCGATCTAGTTGTGCGTCTCGTGAGAAGTGCCGAAGCGTCTTGCTGCCAGAATGCTCGATCGTCACATCATGGAGAGGAACCATCCCAACTCCATGGTCAGTGATCTCACCACTGTCACGTCTGGAAGAAGGAGACCGATTCTCGAGTCGACTACCTCGTGAAGAATGCCGCAGCTTCGGCTCTCGATAGAACAAAGGCGACGGCATGACAGCACTCGTCATCTCTGCCTGTGTAAGCCGCGTCATTGGGTCAGTGACAACGCGTCTCTCGTCGACGCGTGGTAGGCGCCTCGGTTTCGAGTCGGCATCGAAAGTTGGACTAGCATCCAGAGATCGCGGCTGTATATGCGCACTTTTCCGTCGAAGCTGTTTGACTGGAGGCTCACTATGATGTTGACTCACTCCACTGTCGGATACATCGCGTAAAGCTTCATGTCTCGCCGTCCGCTTGAGAGTATGCGCTCGTTGTGGTGAAGAAGGAATGTAGATGCCTGCTGCTACCGCGTTACCGTTGCTGAGTAGGCTATGACGCTTCACATTCTCCTCCTGAATCTGCTTGTAGATCTGATTGTTCATGCTTTCGACGCTGCTATGCTCTGTGGAGTTTAAAGTATGGTCCTGTGGGCCATTGTGAGGCGTTTCAGATGTTTGCATGAAGTATGGAATGGAGTCGTCGTCGATGTAAGAGATATGCTTGTCAAAATCGGAAGTCGATCCAGGAGTCAAATCGGGTGAGTAATCTCGCTTCATGCGATGCTTTGGGGTGGGTGTGAGGTCACGGTCGCGCTTTCCAGCTTCAGATACCTCGCTCGGCAAGGATTCCGGGCTTTCGTTGTCGACTTGCTGCTGGGGTAGACCGTTCCTCGAGGTTCTTAGCCACGCGTTATCCAATAGACCCTCCTCCGGCGTCTGAGCTCGCAGTAGATTGAGTTGACTCTGGTTTGGATCTTCTCGCGCAGTATGGAATGACTCAGCACGTGAGCTTGCATGATGCTTGAGAGCTGCGAAAGTTGGTCGCAGTAATGGCGAGGCAGGCGCCCCGGTAGTCGCAGGTGGCGATGGCTCAGGGGTGGGAAGATGCTGCCCACTCATGCTCAGTCCTGACTTCTTGCGTAATGCTTCTCGTACATCGTTCGCGAAATTGGGATCGGCTGCAAGACCGGTCGCTCGTGGCTCATTATCATCAGAGTTAGCCATAGTCGGTGGTGTCGGCGGGAGCGCGATTGCTGCAGCCGTCTGCTGCGGAGGAGTGACGAGTCGTCTTGCAGGTGCTTCAGTCTGTGACCGGATACGCCGTTCGGATGGTTCGTCTGCGATAGATCCTTCGATACTCTCGAACTTTGCTCCTGGCTGCTCTACGACTAAAGGTACTCGTGGCGATCCGGCAAGCAACGGCCCGATGAATGCTCCGTCTTGCGCTGAGTCCAGGTCGGGATGCTGCGGCGACGAATCAGCAAGTAGTGGTTTCACGAAGCCTACGTCCTGCGCTGCTTCCAGCCCGACACGATCTCCTGACGCTTTCGCAACCAAAGGTCCAATGAAGCCTTCGTCCTGCACTTGCTCGAGCTCTGACCCTAGAGAGCTTCCTTCATCAGAGCTCGGGATATCTGCGAACACTGTCGCCGGCGCCGACTGTCTCTTCTTCTCACGCTCCAGCCGCCAACTCTTCCCTAAAGCTGTCTCGTCAAGCTTGCGAAACACCGACCCCTTGAAAGCCTCTTCCAGCATGTCAAACCCACGCAGGTCACTGGGCGCAAAAGCAGTCGAATGCGGCCTGGCGTGTCCGGACATGTCCTCATCGTTCGTTTCTCATAGCCACGTAAAATTCAAATCGTCATATGGTCGTGAGAGTAGCAAGAAGTAAGCACCGTTCCTGTTCCTTGCGACTCGTGTTACAGGCACAGCACACACAAACAATTCCAGGAAGCTGAGGAAGAACAGTTGTCCCTACGTGCTACAGCAGCGGACGCGATGCGCTGGTGCTCGAGTCGCAGGTGTGCTGCACGTCTCTGTATGCGCGCAGGAGAGGGTGTCGCAACGGCTGGCCGTGAGGCGTAGGCTCGTGCGTGCGTGCGGCTGTGCTGTTCCGAACGAAAGTGAATGCTTGCACGCAACTGTGAATGGAATGAACAATGCTGTGGATGATATTATACGGGATTTGCTAATTCTGCGACGATGAAGGAAGAGGATCAATGCGAGCGAGGTATCTCTTCGGTCTGCAGTAGTCCTAGCCAGTCGGAGGGTGGCCCAGAGGCCTTGGTTCTGGCGAATTGCCCGCAGCCCAGATCCTGGGCGCGGCGCGGGCAAGATGAGACGAGACGAATCCGCGTGCAGTTGTGATGTCAGGATCTAGGCTGGTTCGGGACAACGCTATACAGTATTGGTCTCACGTGGCAGAACACCATAAAAAGATCTCCATCCAGTAGTTTTGATGATGAACCTCACCAACACTCATCTTGTTTATGATCATGGTGAAGGAGAATCAGATGACTTCGAACGGACTGCGCTACTTTCTTGCCATGGCCACAAAAGCCGAGATTCGCCAACACCATGCACGTTCGCTGCAGGCACTTATGCACGGCATGTGCACCATTTAGGTTTTGCCTGCTGCTCCGCGCGCCAATCAAAACGAAGGCTGAGAGCTTCTTTGCAAGGACTGTAATTTCAATCCTGTAGGAAGGCTTCTTGACGTGGTGGCGATATATGAGGACTCGCCCATATGTATCGAACATGGACGAGGATTGCAGAGCGCTCTCAACAAGAGCAGACGATCTCTCCGACTGCACGCTGTCATTCGCTAATGGTACGTGCGATGCTGACAATAGCCGTTTAATGAACGACTGCAAGACGCAAAGACACGAGACGAGTGTTGAGCGCAAGATGTTAAGCAAAGACGGCTGTTGCGTAAAAGATCATCAATGCGCGCGCTTATGCGCCTATTACTAGGTCCCAGACCCGAATAGCAAGCTGGACAGCATCCCGGACCGCTTCAGATGCACCCCAAGTCCTGCCACCGTGCTTTGTCCGGGTCACATAAACAAAGAGGTCCAGTCCACCAAGTACAGCCACATTGTCTGGATCACGATTGATCAGAGACAGGTAGAGCGTACTGAAAAGTCCCACAATGCATTGTTCCTCCACGTCAGAGAGAGTGACGGTTTCTCCTGATGCATAGGGCGTGGTCCAGCACAATGACATTGTAGCTTTATCATATATATTACCATTGCCGAGCCGTCAACATGATGAGGCCAGAATCGAGCGGCCGTGTCTGGAACACGGCCTTGAAAGAGTCCGGCAATCGTATCTGGCATACGAACTCTGACGACTTCCAAGATGTCCAACGCCCAGTCCAGCGCTGCTCTCGATACCATGCAGCACAATCGGCTATCTGCTCAAATTCAGGTAAGCTGCTTTCATACCCACCACAGAATCATCGTCCGCTACCCTGATTTTTCAGTCGTAGATGCCGATCAAGAAGATGAAACCGACCAAACTGACTTCACTATGGTGGACATGAGCAACTTTCAAGACACACCAGAAAGGTACGATCCAACAGTGCCATTAATCCAGCATCCGGCCGTTGAAGCCCATGCAGGCCGCGACAACAGCCACGAGACGAGCACATTCGTCCTCATTCCGACAACCAAATTACTGCATGGTCCCGAGAACTTCAACAACCTTGCACAAGTGGGACTAGATGCTCTTTTGCTTGATATGTACTGCGCCCAAAGCTACATTGGTGAGACATATCTAAGCATGATAACGTCTAACATGGTCATCGACCGCAATGGTACGGTGGAGGAGTGGGCTCGAGTCATTAGATCAACCAGATATCGCAGAGACAATCACCAAAAGCCTCGCGTGTCGAAGCAGGAATACAATTTCCCTCTTGTCGACCTCCTGGACTCTGACACAAGGACTATTACTAAGGATGTGGCCGTTGATCAGTTGGTACGCTTGTACGTTCGATCGGACGCGAGAGCTTACAGACATGCTAATTTCATGGCGAGTATAGCAGAGTTCGAGATCGAGACTCCGAGTCCGAAATTCAAAGCGCCTCGTCACGAAGACGATCTAGCTCATGCCTTACGAGGGACACTAACGCTCGCAGACCCGACAACGCTTGCGCATCCGGATAACAAGAACTGCTACGTCTGTACGGACGCCTACAATTCTACGACGACCATCGCCGTGAACGTTCCCTGCACCGGCAACCACATAGCTTGCGCAGACTGTATCGTCAAGTGGGCCACGGACCGAGGTCTCACCGCCGCTTCGTGCCCGCTGTGCAGACAGAAGCTCTTCAGGGATCCGCTGGAGAACCAGAACATCGCTTTCGGTCTGACAAACGGTCTTTACCACCACGACAACAGGTACACAGCCTGGGAGAACTTCGAGCGCAGCTGCGCCGATCTCGACCTCTCAGCCGCTGACAATTCCAACACCTGGATTGTGGTGAACACTGCTTTACTGACTGGCAGCTGGGAACACATCACCCAAGGCGCCTTCCTCGAGCTAACCGACGCCGACAGCGTAGAAGCTACCTGGCACAATCCTCTCGCCTCTCCCGAATGGAGGCTCGTGGAGCAAGCGATCCGGCATTACCTTGTCCAATGTTCAGGCATCGAGTTCCAGGTCAAAGCCCTGCATACCGATCTCATGCACTATGTCTTCGGGGTCTTCAACATCCAGTTTCGAGAAGTGGGCTTGGATCGTTTCCTGACGGAAGACGAGGTGAATGATCTGGCTAGCGACCCCATGTTCCTGGCTACGTATCCACTAGGTGTGCGTCCGGGCTTGAGGGAGCTGTTGCATAGGTGCTTGCATCGAATGCTTCGCCTGATTGAGGTGAGGAAGTGCGATTGCCATCCTGACTTCCATGGACATGGGCTTAGGATTTATTACAGTCCTGTTAGCTTCACCGCACCTGTAATTGATCGTGATGGGGATGTGATGATGGAGTAGGTTGACTACTCGACCACGATTCACTGACGTGAAAAAGAATTTCCTTTGTAGCAGAATACAAATTCCTTTGTTGAACATATACCTCCCTTCTCCTTGTCGAACACAGATCTGAGGCTCAGTGAATGTTTCACAATTCTTGACAATCAATTTCATGTTCAGACCATACCCCCGTCTCACTCTCCACGTGACAATTAAATGAGAAACCACTTGAAGCTCCTCACTACCTATGCGTCATCCACCATCTCCAACTCCCATTCTCCTTCGCTTACTTCATAGCTCTGAGCCTCATCGCGGCCATTTCGGCTTCCAGATAGTATGGGCTTGAATTTGCTTCTGCAGCGATCATCTGCATGTTATGTGGATCGCACAGCTGTTTGCTGCCTGCCAAAGGTTGGTGCAGGCGACTTCATTGTTCTGGACGTCTGTCGTCCTAATTGCCATTGGAAGTACCGTGGCGTACAGTGCAAGAGCTCTAATTGTAGGCGATGGTGAGATGAACGAGGTCGAGTTTGCGACAGTCCTGTGAGATTCTCGAATTGAAGACGTCTGCCGGGTACAATGAAAAAGCTGCACAGTAGACGGGTCCCAGAAGATCTGATGTGATTGGTTCAATATTCTCCCTGCTATTATCAATGCTACGTGACGCCATGGGATGCTATCAGGTAGCTGGATTGTGCGTGCCTTTCAGGAGGTTTGGAGGGCTCTGACACGGTGCTCCAACGATCATGTGAGTTGGGAGCTGCCATGAAATGCGGTAACATAGCTAAACAGTCGCGAGCTGTCGAGAGAGCGAGCAAAACCGTCTGGGTGGCATCTGTATAGAAAGACTCCCCGGAGTGCGACAAGGTAGCTAAAGCATTATCATCTCTGGCGAGATCTGTCATGATCGTGACAATATGCTCTCACTCGCGTCTGGATCCGTTGAGGTCGTATGGTGCTATAGGAAGTTTGGACAGGCGTCTCTCGTTCGGAGACATAGATTGTGTATATGCAGATTTGCCAGCAAGCGATCTGATCTTCTTCTGCTATATCACCTATTAGAGCTCGGCTACACAAGTGCCATCCTTCTCATCTAGTACTCAGCCCTATTGTTCTACGTATAGACGTCTACTACTATGCTTGATTAGCGTGAAGTAAGTGATATCAGCGGAAAAGGGAGTCTACCACACTGAGCTTCAGCCAAATCTTGAGCCCCCCTGCTTGCCAAAGACATCTAGAAGACGACGACAACCACAAGCATGGCAACACACACCTCACCGATGGAAGCAGCTACCGCAGCAATCCAGTGCAGTCGCCTGCTAGATCTTGCACCAACCAGTGAACAGACGAACGCCCTGAAAGAATGGCAGCGCATCTCGCCCAACATCATCCTCGGGCTCAATGCCTACAGAACCGACAGCGTACGCCCCGCCCCTCCTCTCCTTCGAATCTTCGCCCGTCTGTTCTTCCACGGTGAGCTCGACAATATCGTGTACTACATCTCGCGAGATATAAGTTCCCACGGCTTCACTAGCCTCGACGACCAGGGCCGACTGACGATCACGATAGATATAGAGCATCGGCATTCGTCTCGCGATACGTATAGGGCGGGAAGCGTCATTAGTACGATCCTGCACGAGTGCGTTCATGCGTATTTCGACAGGGTCGTCTGTATCGGATATCCCAGCACGCCGCAGTGCGAAGCCTTGGGGTGCAACATCAAGGAATTCGACGAGCTAGCTCATGTGGGAAACCGTGGTGGACACGGTCTCGCATGGCACGACTTGGCTTTAGAAGTCGAAAGTCTCGCGGGTATGATGCTGGGAATGGAGATTAGGCTGGGAAGAGATGGTGCAGCGGAGCTACACATCCGCACTACAGAAGAGAGATTCTCGCGGGATGTCTACAGGAGATTGTTTCCTGGACGACATGTTGAGTGCTGGGGGCAGAATGGGCGGATAATACTTGTGATTAGAGACGAGAAGGAAGAAGAGAGAATAGAAGAGAAGGAGTGAGGTGAAGTTTGAAGCACAGACAGACAGGACATCCCAAACCAGGCTGAAATTGAGATCCGGACGGAATTACACCCTCTTGCTGTACCGGACCGAACGACTTTTCGCGATCGGATTCCCATAGACGATAAACAAGTCAATGGTCCTCAGAGCGTCCGTCGGACCCATTTCTAACCATTCTTGGTCTTGAGATCAGCAGATCAGACGACGATCCACGCACACCTCCTGCTGTCGATATCCCAAGGCGGACGACCGTGATGAAGCAATTCCATAGTCCTACAGCACATCGATAAAGCTATCTTCAAAGGAACATGATATCAATTCGATGAACGAGTTTATACACAATCTATACACACCACCACGCCATCATAATATCATCAGAGCACTCTAAAATTCCCATCCACATCACAGCACGAGCCCCTTAGATCCGACCCTACGCCCCATCACCCCCAGAACCCTACACCTGAAACGAAGGCAACGTCTCCGTCCCCGTAAACCCCAACCCCCCAAACTGCAGATTCCCATCCAGCGCCCAACTAAGCGGATCAAAAACCGCATTCCCACCAAAAGCATCCCAGCTCATATCTAGATCGCCGTCCAACCCCAGCCCCGCACCCAGACCCGTGGAAGGAGCTGCAGGCCCGCCACCGCCGACGAGACCCATACCGTTAGGTCCTAGCGAGCCGAGCGGTGGTTGAGGGGTATTGCGCGAGGTATCGGTGCCTGAGGCGATAGCGGTAGGATGTTCGACGGCGCGGTCGAGGTTTTGCCGGCCTTCGTTGCCGACTTGTTGGCGCCAGCGCCAGATGGCGTCATATAGTAGCGATAACGAGGAGCGGCAGCGGACCCGAAGCTGCAAGCTTTCGTCTGGCACAGTTCTTGTAGGACCTAGATCACCATTGAACAGTTTCTGCTCCGTTGCACCACTGCTCTGCCACAATTGCGCTAGGACTTCTGCAAGGCGCTGCGGCAGGTCGTTACTCCTTACACTTAGCTCGCGGAGTGCAGCCACGGTTTTGCTGAAGAGGGTTCGGCCAGCTGGGATGTCGACGTGGGAGGCGTAAAAGGAGTTGAGCAGTTTGAGGAGTGTGACGGCCGCGCCGAGCATCATTTGCTCGATGTAGCGAGGCATGAAGAGGAAATTCTCTGGCGGGAGACCAATAGCGTGCGTGAGGAGGGAAGATGCTGCAATGTATACATTGCGGAGATCGGCGAGATAATTCGGCGCCGTAGGTTTGTCGAAAAATGCAGTGAGTCGAAGGTGCAGGGCTGCTGCTTTGAGGTAGACGACGTCGATTGCTGAGGAAGATGTCAATTGAGGATCCAGACCTTGGAAGTGCGGCTGAGACTTGCGGGATGCTTGGGTTGACATGATCGTGAGCTCCATCTCGTTTAGCTCGCGCGCGTACATGTCGATCTGCAGTCCACGCTGCGCCTCATCTACCTCTACGATGTGGTCGCGCTGCATGGTGAAGAGAGTTCGCGTTACAGTGTCGCAAAACTTCTCGATCTGACAGAGCCTGTGTAGTTCAGGCTTCATGCTGTCAAGGTGCAAGCCATAAGTATACCATGCCCATCGAGAAAGTGGTGGCTGACCTTGGCCAGTCGAAACCATCTGCGCCACGATGTTGACGGTCGCCCATGTGTTTAAGCGATCTGCAATATCCTCTTCGCGAAGGTCGACACGGAAGCGGCTGAAGTCCTGAGCATGACTCGGTCGATGCAGGCCATACTGCATAGCCAGCTGGAACATGACACCCGTGAGCATCATAGTCGGCTCTTGCGAGGTGGAGGCGCTGGGAAGTGGCCATGCGCAGAGTAACGCCAAAGCTTTGCAGACATGGTAAACCTGCGGGACTTGAGACAAAGTGGTCCACAGCATCTCCTCCAAGGGCTGCTGTAGCTCAACAAGCAGACTCGGCTTGGCAGGGTACCGACGAGCCGCCACAGCGATGATGGTCCAGTGCAGAAGCGGGTGCAGGTTGTAGTACTCGGCATGAGTCCACTGTGGATTCAGTACAGGCAGGAAGTTGTGAAAGCTACTGAAGTAGATGCCGTACAGATCTGCAAGCTGTTCATCAGACAAGACTACATTGCGAAGTGTCTTCGAGGATGCCCCTGGTGTGATGCTGGGATATGATGTTGGAGGAAGCTCTCGATAGCCTTGACTGAGATCCAGGAGGCTACGTGAGGCCGCTGCTTCGTTTGGACCAAGGAATGCCTGACCTCCCATTTGTGCTACGGGAGCGCCAGCCGTGGGAGAAGAGCCATATGAAGGATTATAACCCGAACCAGGGCGTGGGTCACCAGGTAGGGCAATGCCAAGCGACTCATACTGTGCGAGTCGAGCTCTACAGTCGTCCAATTCCTTGGCCATCTCCTCGTGCTGAGCTCGCTTGCCCAAGCGCTTGAAGTCATTGTCAATGGAGCAACTAAGCTTGTGCTTGATGCAGCGGTCGCAAGCCTTGTAGTAGTCGCCAGGTCCAGCGACGACGTTACATCGTAGCTACATCCAATCGTTAGTATACGCAACAGCTGAATGCTTCGAACTCTAAAATAGTAGTGACTCACCTTCTGCTGCCGACAATCATTGCAAGCCCTCTTGACACCCGGCTGATGTCTCTGCTTCCCCAACGCCGGACTGCCCTCACCACCCTCATCGATACTGCCCGCCCTCAAGCTCTCATCCCCTCCACCCACATCCCCGCTTTCCGACACCACCAACGACCCTCTCTTTCGCTTCCTCCCGCTGCTGCTGCTGCTACCCACTGCATTCTCCGCGTCCACATTATTTGTCGGACTGATATTACTGTCGGCCCTCGTTGGCGACTGCACGAGCTTACTGTTACTGCGTGGACGGTCGAAGGAGGTGCCTGCCGACCAAGACATTCTTGTGAAGCGTGCGTGCGTGGTCGAGGTGGATGGTGCGATATCGGGAGGGGTGAGCGACAGCGAGATCGGAATTGCGAGGCAAGTCTGAAAAATGCGGGCGGCGCGCCGTTTTGTTTCGCCAAGATCGATTGAGGGAGCTTTTGCGGGTCGCCGTGTTCGTCATGCCGACGACAGTGGGGGTTGCTTGGTCAGCAGGAGCCGCAATGAACCAGTGTTGCTACTGTAGCATCGCATCTATTCATCCTCAATATATGTTTAGCTGCAATGGAAGACCATGAGATTTATGAGGCACAAGTCAAGTTCACGAAGTCCGACATCACCACCACATGGCATGCAAAGGACGACTTGACGATCCTGGAGCTGGCTGAGAAAGTCGGCCTGAAGCCTGCCTTTGGCTGTCGAAGTGCAATGTGTGGAACTTGTGAGGTCAAGATACTCAAAGGCCAGGTCTATGGTCCTGAGGGCGACGGACCTCAGGGCATCTTCATATGCCAGTCGAAACCTGCCACGAGGGACATTGAGATCCAGCTATGAATTCTGCCACCCCTAAGTGCCCTTTGGATTTGTGCCGACAGCAACATGATCCGGTCATGATCTACCAGAATGCGACCCCTGCAGCCGCTCAAGGCAGTCTCTGGTTGAAGCGCATGCGAATGATGTGACTTGACGATGTCAATGCTCGTGTGGGTGTCTCGAGACGAGGTCGTCGCCTGGGGTGGTATGGTACGGTCTAAGTACTGCACAAGTGTCGAAGGGTCGCGACTAGATCCTCACTCGATCAAACGACAGAAGGGAGACCGGGGCGAGAGACCAGTGGGAAGTCTTAGAAGTATGAGTACTATGTAAAGATGTCTTTACAACACTTTTAAACCTCTTGTATGACGCTGCGCAGGCATGCTAGGTCTTCTTGCGTACAATCTCCCCTTCCCCTTGCCTCGATGTCGCTTTCAATCGTGTTCTCCGCCTACTTGATATGTTTGTAGAACAGTTTTGAAAGGATGGCTCGTATGGACATGTTCCAGATGCCGAGCCGAATCCACCTGCCAGATTTGGCAAATGAAACAGCGAGTCATAAATCGGTTTGTGCTGCATGTCCGAAAGTAGTAATTGACAAGGCGCTGACTACAAGATTCCAAAGATATCGGAAGCACGTCTCGGACACGATTAATCGACAACTTGTGGAACACTAATACATATGCCGGTTGTGCTCAGTGAAAGATATATACTCGACTGCTGCACCACCAGGAACACGAGTCCGAGGCATACTTCGTGGCAAACATGGCCGTGGATTCAGACCAACCACAAAACGGGACTCTCTTACATAGTTTCCACCAGGCCAATGGCGTCCTACCAGGCACAACAATATCCACAGCACCACAACCCAAACACCCCGTCACCACTATCTCGCCACCTCAAACCCAGCCCGGACGACCCATCAACAGCAAAGAAACCACCTTGACTCTCTACGAACCTCCCCAACTCGTCGGCAATCCCATCCTGCTACCCCTAAGAGACCTCATAAATCACGCCTTCGACACATCCCACACCAGCCACGCCATGTTCTCCACCCCTCGCCTGAGCACACCAGAATACTACCTCGAATCCCTCGGCTCCGACCCCGGAACATTCGCCTACATCCTCACGGATAACAAAACGGGAACGCCAATTGCCACGGCGGGAGCTCATAGATATGTAGCCCCCGTCTTCGAAGCAACAACCAGCGAGCAAAAACGGACCTTCGCCAGAGTCCAACTACCCTCCCACATCACCCACGCCATATCCACGGACCCCCAAACAGAAATCTGGGAACTGAAACTCATGGCCGTCGCCCCCTCCCTCCAAGGCCAAGGTCTAGCACGCTACCTCATGGATCTCGTAGATCAGGAAGTCGTTCGACAGGTCCGAGCAGAGGGACGGGGACGGGCTGGCGGTTCTGGCAAGCTCTTCATGCTGATCACGACGTTGAAGGAGATTAATGGGGAGTTTTATGCTCGGAGGGGGTATGGGTTTGATTATGAGACGGTGCATGAGGAGGGGTGGATGGGGAGTAAGAGGGGGTTTGGGGTGGTGCATATGAGTAAGAAGGTGCCTTTGTAGATGTGAAAGAAAGTGGGATGGAGGTGGCAGTGGAGGTAGGTGGTGGATGGGTTGATAGTTTGATAGTATGGTAGATATAGATGTCAAATCTCTGGAGCGGCTCTGACGGCATGACCAGCCCTTTCATGCCGGATTCTCTGCCTGTGTACTCGAGTGGTGGAGTGTCTTGCGATTCCGTGGATTGCGCACACCGAGAGCCAGGAGTGCAGCACGTTCTCTCTTATCTAAAATCAATCACGCATTGATGCTTATCTCGTCCGGAGTTTCCTACCTTGCAAAAAACCGTTTTCAGCGTCCCTCAGCTATGTCCAGCCTGATAATATCAGAAGTGCTATGTCGTGTTGGCTTCCCATCTGGTGGTATTGCGGCAGAGATAGCTCGATAGGCGCCAGCATGCTGAGCGGCAGAGACTAGTCGATGTGATTGAATCTATGGATAAATGTATGACAGTTCTGTTGCTTTTACAGAAGCCCAAGGTCGATTACATGCAGGCCCAGGGACCTGTAGCTTTAGGTCGTTTCAATCTTACTAGCTGATAGCTGCTCGAGGCCTGAAGTGCTGCGGTGTCCCATCTTCGTTGCTTGACCAAAGAATGATGGTATGGCAGGAAGAGGTCAAGACACTAGCCAAGTACACAATGATACTCGGAGTCATTTCCGGCGAGGCTCGTGCGAAAAGGCGGAGCTGCGTGTGTAACAATTGCCTTATCAATTCGTCTGGCCGTGATGTATGCATTACAGATCGGGCGAAGACGCGAGAGGGCGAACAAGAACGTGGTCATCTACCGTATCGATCGCAGTAGTGCAGTCAGTGGGCCATCTGAGCGGGTAAGGCAAAGCAGAAGCGGGTGTCAAGATGTAGGCCACGACGAATACCCATCCGTTGTCTCACCTTGTGGCATAGCCTTCTAGCAGCGTCTCAGTGTTCACTCGACCGCCATGCTGATGAGGAGCCGGACGAAACTGACCCGTCTCTGCTCTCTTTCGGGCAAGTGCTTTCGCGTTTTTGTCTTGTGCGCCTCCATACAGTGGGTGGAGGAGGCGAATGATGGCTTTCCAGCCGCTCCTGGCACCATCTCAGTAATATGATATTATGTCCAGGCTTCCTCTATCGAACCTACAGCTTTCGGGTAGCATGTCGGCCGTAATTCTGCGTCTATCGTGGTGGCGTGAGAAGGTGCCTTGCCAGAACAAGGATGTGGTTGCGGGATTTGGCTCCGAGCTTTGGCTTGTTTCCTTCCGCCACCACTACATACCACATCCACTGCTGCACAACAACACCACAGAACGCGAGATGAGCATCCGATACCTCGCGAAGGCGATGAGCAGCTCCAGAGAGCGTCCGAGTACCTCTGTCGAGTCCTTGAGCTCCGCAAGGCTTCTCAGCCTCGCTCAAGGCTTCCGCCAGAGCACCAACCTCTCCTCCCTCCCTTACCACAGCCCTTCCCACACCCCTTTCGCGCTGTCATGACGCTTCTCATGAGCATCAGCAGCGCGATTAGATGGTCCGCTGATGCCGGTGAGCCTTTTCCTGGCCTGGCAAGGCTGCTGGCAGAGGCGTTGAGCAAGACCTCCGCCTCTTCCGCACATTCAGCACCATCTATGCCCAAAGCAGCAGCATGGAGAGTACATAAGCACTTCAGACGGCGCATTCATGCACTCTCACTGCTGACAAGTCTTCGCCATCACTGCCGGCGAGCTCAGAGCCCGTGCGGTTGCGTTGCGGGCATCCTCCGCCACCCTCATTCGTGCCAGAAGCACGACAAATGCCCACAGCATAGCTATGGCGAGCATCTTCAAGCTTCCAACGATCACAGCGTACGTCTTCACAGCTGCCTTCACTCACTCATCAGTGCCGGCGAGCTCATGGAGCCCAGCAGTGGTGGCACGCTCATGCTTGGTAGGATATGCCCACCCGCCTTTCACGCCAGACCAAGCCCAGGCGCGGTCCTAGACGAAATTATCCACCACCTAAGCGGTCTTGTCATATACTCGGGGCATGACTCGCACAAAAGCAGATATTCCGACATGGTATGACACTGGTCGTGCCCAACCACCAGCAGAAAAGGATGCTTCGTGCTCAACGATCTGGGGCAGGGGAAGAAAGAGCGAGGAGACCGGTGGGAGAGATTGCGAGCTTGCATCTGGTTACAGTCTCCTCAACAGACTGCTCTACCTGCCTGCTGTGGCACGACACCGCCCGTCCATTGCGAGGATACATGCCTTGCATGTTAAGCTTGCCATGCCAGCGAGCCCTTCAACAGGCCTGGCTGGCGTTAGAGCCTGAACATTTCCAGTGACCTTCCGGCGAGCCTTGCAGCCCGAAGACAGGTCTCTGATGCCGCTCTATGCGGCCATACCACGTGGATACCATATCCGTGATGATGGTGCCTCAGGCCAAAGAATCACGTGACGGGACTGACTTCCCTTCAGTAGGGATGCGGCGAGTACAGTGGAGTGCCGGAGGCCTGCTATCCCCTTGACCTACACAAAGTAAGGCAGACATCCAGTATAGACTGCCGAGCTTGTCCTGCCAGGCTCCTCAACCAGTAAAAGAGACTCCAGAATGCTGACTCGCTCCAATAGTGCCAAGGCTGTGCCACTCGTCCGAGCTGGGATGACAATCGATGCCCCAGAGTGGATCGGCTCTCCTCTCGGCTGAGTTTAGGCTATCGCAGTTATCTCCTCTCGGTTCTCTTGCTTTGGCTTTCCTTTCTATTGCTTGCTTATGACTTGATCGTCCTGCAGTTCATCTACACTGTCCATCAGTATCTCGCACGCCAGACTCCCGATGAGCTGCAAAAGCCCGGATGCTCCTCTCCATCTTGCCAGCATACTCACAGCTGAGGTTCTTGTTGGAGATGAGACGATGTGGGAAAGTATTGCTACTGGTGTGTACAGCTTCTCTGATCCGACCAGCAGCAGCTCACTCAACGTGCGCCGCCTCGACCCAGTGGTTCTTGTCTCAACCGACAGTATCCTCCTCTCCTACTCCCCACCTTGCCGTTTTGTTCAGGCGATGCCAGCCTCGGCTGATGCCCAGATCCCCTGTCCCATTTGTTAGCTTGATTCCTCTTTCCGCGGTGAGCTTCGGCCCGCGAGAACAGCACGATATACTTTACCACTGACTGCCGATCTGCTCGCTTTGTGGCGCGCGGCCACAGCCAAATCCTGGTGTGCGTGCGAGTGCTGGGCGGACGAGATGGCGGAATCCGATGGTGCCTGGGAGATATCAGTCTATGCGCTGAGACCTTCAGCTACTGCTACGCCTGTAGTAACATGGTGGTCACTATGCTGCCGCCGGAGCATGTCGTCGCGATGGAGATGCTTGTGGCATGGGACCTGGCACGTTCCACGGAGGCAGAGCGGAGTGGAAGTGACCACGGGCCCGGCGCCGAAATAGAGGAAGGAGAAGGCCTGGCAGCGCCCACATCCTGCCACCATGATATCGCGCTGCCGCCTTGGTAGGCCATATCACTGATGCTGCCCGCCATGGTGGTGCCGGGATATACACTGCTGTGGTGTCGGGCGGCCAGTATCCATTCAAGCTCAAGGACTGCCGTTCCATCGCTTGTGGCAGCGCAACAGCACCACATATTTGATCTTTATCCTCCCCTCCTTACTCGCACAAAGGGCTGATCTACCTTAATCATCCTCTTCATCTCGTCCTACGACGTAGGAAGAGCAGATAAAGCAGCCAACCAGGGGTCTCCACCAAGGCTGGCGCTGCTGCTCGCTGGCGGCAAAGGCGGCGGCGCGCTCGCGATACAACTCTAGTGGGTTTCGCACGAGGTTGTTGTTGTTGTTGTTGTTGTTGGTGGCCATTGTGGCTGCGTCTGGTTGCCTATGTGGTGTTTGTGGTGGTGGTGGGTGGTATTGTGAGATGCGTGGGCTGGTTTGCTTTGTGCTTGAGTAACTTGAGCAAGCAGCAAAGCCGGCTAATGGCTGCGGAGCCCGCACGTGAGCTAAAAAGGGGGCGACGACGATGGTAATGATCATTCGAACTCGGCCTTCCTGATAGTAGCAGTCGCAGAAGGATGACAAATGGTCTGATTGATCAGGATGCAGAAATTGAGGTCGTGAAATAATCTGGGCAAAACAAAGTGATCGCCCTGCTAATTGCCCACATGTCGAGGCATGCGAACAATTAGCAGGGAGGATGGGATGATGGCAAGCATCACTGATATACGTTGGCCTTCATCACCCGCGGTTCAGCCAGATGGACATACTTGCAAGACTGGTGGTAGACAGCAGCAGCATACAGGAACGAGCACAGGAAGGGTGAACCACAGTCACTTACAGAAAATGGGAAGCAGATGAGCTGTCAAGACGCCAGCGCCGATGATGGTTACTATTATACAAATGCCGCCATGCGGTCTCCACGACGATATCACCCTTCACTCGATCCTCGAGCACGCCGCTTTGCCTGCGTGAAAGAAGGCGGCAACTTCCCAGCAGACACGGGTATTGCCTCCTGACTTCCTTCCATGCCTCCAAGCCAGCTTGGTGTGTCGCAGGAGAATGCCATGGCGTGGACCGTATGATGGCGAAGTCTGGCGCTGCTGATGCGTGTCTCGGTCGCCTCGTTCTGCATCGACAGCCTCTCTTGGTGTGCCCTTGCTGCTGGTTGATGCGGTCCTGCTGCTCATCAAGCGTCCGGGCGTGGATGCTGAGGCCCTCAGCTGGGCTGTGTTAGCTCGTGCAGCTGATGCTCGACGGTACCAAGACCGGGAGCATGCGTCAGAAGCTTGTCACGCACATCGTCAATCCGGGAACGGTCTTGGGCACGCTCCTCAGCTTCATCGGTCTTCCGCTGACCCTGGCCCAATCTTCTTCGGTGGTTCCAGCACGAGCCCTCGCGGGCGCCCTCCTTCGTTTGACGCAAGGAGGTCGAAGACAACGAGGCCAGAGCAGCTGTGTCTATTGTGTTCGCCATGATGGCCTTGGATAGTCAGTGAGGGGTCATTCTACTTCTGGCGGGACGCTAGCACTCACCACGAGCCCTTCCAGCGGTCTCATGTGGAAAAAGATAATCACTTCTGGCGTGGAGACCAGCTTGTTAATGAACTGGCTGAAGGCTGCTGGGAACATCTTGTCAGCATCATATAACATTGTTCTTATGGAAGTTGGTGGCTCACTTACCGTCGGGCCCCCAGCCGCCTCGTATGAAAGAAGACGATCATTTCCCTGCTAATTGTTCGCATGCGACACAGCTAGCAACTCATCTGATACCGCCAGAGCGGCGCTTGATGGTGGTGATCATGGTGGTGATGGAGGAAGAAGAAGTCGGTCAGGAGAAGCGGAAGGCAGGAAAGTTTGATGCTGAGGCAACAACGCACGGACATCTGATCATTCGACCTTCGCCAAGCCACGCACAACAGTGATCTCGACTGGCAGGAGCAAGGCCGATCTTCACACAACGCGAGAACAGCAAGATCACCGCACAGAACAAACAGAACAACAACGACACAATGTCGTTCAACTACTCCACCAGCGACCGCGAACAAGCAAGTCGCGAAAAAGTACAAGCAATGCGTCAGGGTAATACTCCAGCGGTTCTCCGTCTGGAGAGAATTGCGGAGCGAAAGGGGTTGAGTGAGGATGAGAAGGTGGAATTGTGGCGGATCGTAAAGTACAGGTACCTGAACATTGAAGAAGGTACAGACGGCTACGACAAGGGCAGGGGGCCGTGTTTTTCGACAGACCAGATCGCGAAAGTGATCTCGACCATCAAGAAGTGGTCAGATGACCACAGCGGGACGAGGGCGATGCTACGCCGAGACGATAGGCGGGTGGAGATGTTTTTACGACGCCGACGATGATGATGACGATGAGACGACGGGATGATTTACAATAGCTCATACAATCAATGAAGCTTTCCCAACCATGGAAGATGTCTATTCGCCATTGTGTCGTCCTTCAGCTTTCTCTTGACATGCCATGCCGTGGAGATCCCTGTGCCGTTTGCAAGACGCCTACAATGCATTTGGCCCACCCGTCTTCTCACCCCTGAGGAGCCTTTCCCTGCTAATTGTTTGCGAGCCGTGGCTAAGGCGGTCTTGGCCGGAGGAGGAATGCGAGCAGCATGGCTGTCGTGAGCACCATGGTCATCACTGTCAAGGTCAGCACGAAGTCTGCTTTGAGGATCGTGAACAGTTGCGGAGACTCACTCTTGCTTGCCATAGTGGAAGTCGAAGCGATTGGCCGTGAAGCGGGCCTTGAAGGGCATGTTACCGAATTGCTCCATGTCTGCGAGCTCGAGATCGAGCCGCTCCTTGCTACGGGCTCATGTCTCTTGCTCGAGGCCGACTCAAGAAGGGAATTTCCCTGCTAATTGTTCGCACGTCTTGGTTTTGCAGCCCGACACTCGTTGAGAAATTAGTGAGGGCCGGGATGGCAAGTGTTGCAATTCCATGATATCAATGTCTTGTCTGATTTGATCATTTTCCACGCATGCTCGCATTTCCCAGGCTTTGCCATTGCCTGCAGCACATATTTAGCACGGTATGGATGGGCATCATTGGGCTGAAGACTGACCCGCAGCCGCGACGGCGGGCATGTGGGAAGCCGTTGAAGCTGGCCACGATGGCCAGAAGGTTCCCTGCTAATTGCTCGCATGCCTTGAAATGTGCAAGATGCTCACAAGAAGCCAGAGAGTGATGGAGTAATGAAAGTGATGATGGAGGAAGAGGAAAGGTCGGATCAGGAGGAAGAAGCGGTGGGAATTTCCGTTTTTCGGCTTACATCACAGATTCAGGGAGCAGGCAGGAGCGAGCGCAGCTTCTCCGAGCACGTGGGAGCTCCTGTATGTACGAGAATCCCATATGCCATTGCTTAACGACCAGAAAAGCCGAAATATCATACTGGACACCGCTACAGCTCTGCACAATCAGCTCCCAAGTATGGGAAGCTGCGGCTAAAGTCAAAGGCCGCACGAGAGATCCTAAGCTGCTGGACTTGCTTACTTTTGTCTTGGCTCCGTCGTCTAGGTCAGCTGTACGAGTACCTTGATAGCACCTTCCGCGCCGTTCCCCTTTCGAGGATGCTGGAGTCCACTGTACCACTGTCCAGCTATAGATGCAGGACGAGGACAGCTCTGATTCTTGTTTCCTTGCAGAGATCTCGTCTCTGATCCAACAGCCTACCACGCCAGAGGACGCTCTACTACCGCGCCAACCAGTGTCCTCGAAAGAGATATGATGAATGGCAGAGCAATTTCTCTGTGCTTGGGACTCTTCATTGTATGCTGGCGTCCTTCAAGATAGCGAGCTTCAGGGACAGCATGGCAGAGATTGTGGAGTACTTAGAAGAAGCCACTCATGACCTCGAACACATTTCTCCCACCGCATAGGTAGAGTCATCATGCTGATAGGCAACATGGGCATTCAGTACAGCATCCTATAACGGAGATGATCGCAGAGTCAGCACAGGTACGAGAATCATCTGACGTTCATGATGTGTCTGTGGAGTACTGTGCACTATTCACCAGTCTACACTCCATCTCCACCCTCCTGCTCCTCCTCCTGCAGCATTGTCTCCACCTCACCAAGGACCATCTGCGGCTCCAGCGTCGTCACGAAATCTGCCATCTGGGTATGGCCGCCACTCGCACCCTACTCTCCAGTTAGTACGTGAGCTTTCTGTAACGTCTCTCGACATCCAACACCCACAGTCGATACTGCCAAAACGATTCCCGCCATAGGCTGGTTGCCTGCCCATACCCAGAAAGCTCGCCAGGGATGTCACCTGATTCCATATCACTGGTTGAGACGACTGGAGGCTCGTCTGTTGCTGCTGTTGTGGCTGCTGCTGCTGCGGACCTTGCGGAGCTGAGGCCGGTGAAGTCGCGAGCCGTGGTGCTTGTTGTTGCTGTTGCTGTGATCTTCCAGTACTGTCAGCATTGTTAAACGACCTAAGTGTGATAGAGGAGCTCACCGTCGCTGCTGTCGTTCATTGTCGCCAGTTGCGGAAGCGTTCTCGTGCTCCAGAGAACGGCATTGCTACTTTCTTTGCTGGTCCATGGATCAATGACGGATTTTTGGCTGTTAGGTATGACTTGCTGCGTGAAGTGAGCTCTCCTACCATTGAATGACAATACGTACGAGCCTCAATGGCGATGTCCTTTACTGAACGCCCCCAGAACCTCACAATCATGAGCTTGGATATGGCGCTCCCACAGCTACCACTTCTTGAGGCTGCACAAATGAAGAGGGAAGGGAGGATGCAAGTCTTCGGACTTGATACATTGTGAGATGATATACAGCTCTTGACCTTCGCAGTATGCCTTTCCACGCCGTCGACTAAAGACAATCGTCCATGGCGCGCTGCAATAGCATATGACTCGCTCTTGTATCCGAGACTGTTGTCATCCTACTCGAAGTCGTCGTCTTCAAAAGGCCAACATAGCCACGATTCTTCTCTCCTGTCATCGCTCGAACTTCAGCGCGGCCGGCTTTGGAGGTTCGAGCGTTGTAACCAGCTCATGAAGCGCCGAGGTTTGTGATAGGCTGCAGAGACTGCCAAGGTATGTCCAGCAAAGAGCAGACAACGCCTGTAATATTGAGACCATGGGTTATCCGTTATTGCCTCTCCAATACACTCTCTTGCTGAGCAACAGGCGGTCCTCGTAACGATGGCGGCCTCGTGGCGGAAATTAGTCGTGCCGCAATCCTCCTTCACCACGCCAGCTCTTGCTGTATCACCCGTCATCTCGGTACTCGTATATCGTCCAAAGTACAATGTCCACGACGACCGAGAGAAGGTGGTGTAACGCTGGATATATTGTCTCCTGTTTCTGTGAAGCTGGTCGGGCGTACGCGAATATCGGTTCTCGTGCGATTCAAGGTTGGCGACTATATCGGTGGAAGTTCATCTGCCCGTATTGCATCAGTACCGACACGTTGAACAAGTTTAGCGGATGCGCACCGTCGCGAGCTGTACTTTGACGTTGCCGGCTCATGACTTGTCGATGGCCGCTGTTCACCAAGAGCCGTTTGCAATGTGGGATGGCTCGTTTTTGGCTTGTGTCTGATGAGTATGATCCTTATCAGGAAATCGTGAGGCGGTAAGCTTTGTGTACGGCTTGAGTGCAAGGCGCAGCACGTTTGCTAGAGCTCGATTGAGCAGCGAACATAGAGCATCCTGCCATCGTACCCACAGATGTCAATTGCAGCAAGTTCGAACATGACCAGATACGTCCCTTTCCGATCGTTCATGCTGCTTCATCTATTCACTCGCCCTGATCTTGTGTCTTGGATCGATGCAGCATTTTTCTGTAATGCGGTCATCATTCTAGCAGGACTATCTGGCTTGTTCATGCCCAGTCAGCGTCGTTGACGCAAAAGAAATGGTACAGCTAGCAAGCCTACTCGTCAATCGCGTCCGTCGCTTTCAGTCTGGTTTGACAGGACAAATAACGGTTATAGAGGGGAGAAAAGCACAAAAGCACTATCGGCTCTGACGGTCATTGGCACTGGGATTGTCACCAGGTTCCGAATGATTGTTGTCGACTATAGAGGTAACTTTAGAGCAATATTAGCACAATTCACGAGTAGACATCACGATGCACTGAATTAGTCGTCCCGATATAGAGAGCGGCAGACTCTCTCTATACCCGGAGCCCACTGCCCACGCCGGGGACCTGTAAATTGATTAGCAAGTGGTTTCAACTAAGTACGAATGATCAATTTGGTCGGGGCTGGAGTCGAACCAGCAATCTTTGCAGAGCAATTCGGATTTCTACCAAGGATAGAATCGAATTCTAGAGTGCAACGCTCTGCCATTGAGCCACCCAACCAGATTGTGGAGAGTTTCATTACGTACCTCAGTGTCGCCGAGAGAAAACGCTTCGTGTATCTTCTATATAGCTTGATGAGTCCCGCCGAAGACAGTGCGGTGATAGGGCAAGAAAGAAGCCGTGCTTTACTGTGTAAGCCTTAGGCTGGTGATCGTTCGGGGCTTACAGGTGCTCCTTTGGCTGTAAAACAGCTTCTGAGCTCCATTTGATCATACAATCGCTCTGCCGTAATACTATCATCAGACCGAGAAGTTCTTGAAGCTATGTGATCAACGCTTACGACGTTATTTTTGCGATACCGAGACCAGCCTCGTATCCAGTACGCGAGGCCGCGTCGCGCTGCGCTGGTCAAGCACCACTCCTGAACGCGAGCTACATTGCCGTGCGCTTGCAATCGAACAGGCTGCGGATCAACCATTATCATCCCCTGCAGAGAGCGCTCAGCTGACAGCCACTTGATGACCAGGAAGATCTGGCGAGGTTCACCATAGGGCGCAAACCAGAGCCAGTAGCCGACAACGTCCACTAAAGTCTCCCATTGCTGCGATACCGCATCCGCAGACAAGCATTTCCCACCCACAAAGCCTTCAGCAAGTATTTGCCACGAAGCCCAGATCGCCATTGCGGTGCTTTCGCCGATCTGCAGACTTGGCACAAGCGACCGATATGTTCGATCGACTGCCAAATGTCTCGGGGCGCTTTCTTTGCAAATTAAGCTGAGATTCCCGTTCCATCAACCAGTCAACGACTGTCAATCAGCCGACACGCGAGCACCCTTGCCGAACCCATACTCATGACGAGCGGCCAATAATAGTAGCAACGGCATGTCCTACGGTACCGAACCCGTACTCAGGAGACAGAGCCCTTATAATCAAAGATCGCATGAAGTGGGAGGGTAAGGGGCTTCGCAGATAGGTTCCGGCGTATCCTGACGAGCATGAAGGGGCTTGGTAGGATGGTGCCGAGACGGACGACAACGGTGAGGTAACAGCCAATCGTGATACCAGCGACGATAATGCCGAGGACACTCATCCCGAGTTCGGTCTCTGGCGTGCCCTCGGAAGAGACGCTGGTGGGCCCGTGACTCTGATCTGTGATCGTACTGCCAAAGACCATATCTACCTCGAGGACGTCGATATTCGCATCCAGGTTCTCACGGGTAAGAGTCTCCTGGAGATCTGCGGATATAGTCTCCGTAGCTACTGGCAACTATATTGTCAGGCCTGGCCTGTGTGGCCAGACACCCGACATGGTGCGTCCATGGCAATGAAAGGAAGCAGCAGCACACTGGCCCAGCTTCCGGATGCACCAGGACAACCTTGACCCACCATCTCGATCATATCGGCCTTTAAATCTCTCCAGCAAGGTGTGTTCTCTGGACTGTTTCTGGACTTGTCCTGTTCCGCCCGGATGTGTCCGCTGGATCGTCGACAATCGAACGCCGATGCTGTGGCCAAGACCTCGATGTTGGGCTTGGGACCACAGATATGTCAGATGAACACAGCTCCTTGGTAAACTCTGTAAACTCTATTCCCTAGACCGGCTTCTCTGGACCCTGCCTTCGCAAACAACCATACATGAACCCATGCCAAGCAGCAATCACGATTGAATGAGATCATGTCTTGCAGCTGCGGGCGGCGGATGTAATGAGGCCATCTTGACGCAACTAATTTGTTGCAATCCGCATGCAATGTTGGCATTGTTTTGGGACGATCTCGATCGCATACTATGTTGCAGTCGTCGCAGTATCGAAGCACGGAATGGTGAAGTTGTGGTTTGCCTTTTCGGGACGACACCCCGCACAGCCCCGAGGTCGCCACGGCACGCCTGCGGCACGGCGACATTGATCGATAACCACCACGTGGCAAGGCAGGGACGAGATTACCCTTCGCAATTACTCTTCAGCTCGTTGTCTGCTACGGTGTATACTTCGAGCGAAGCCAAAGTAGGCAAAGTAGAGTTCACAAATGGCGGACAAGACCAAAGTTGAGACGATCTGCGAGGACATCAAGAGCAAGTGCTCGCCTTGCGATGTGAGTAAGACGGCCGCGCAATATTGCCTAGCAAGCTCATCATGTCGATCAAGGTATCAGACGCTCTTCTCAAGCTCAAAGTGCCAGTGCCAGGGGCAGGCTATCTCAAAGATATATGTACGACTTCACACCGGACATACACGATGGACAAAACATTGATGCTACCACACAGCGCCAATACCGAGTAGATCTCAAGGCCACAACTGCGTCGTAGCACCCATCAGCACCGTGCTCTTCGTCCCCAAGGATCAACACCCTGTCTTCCCGCTCTGGACTCAAGGATTAGTTTGGGAGTCGAATATATCCAAGGACAAGCACTGGACAGACTACCCCACACCAGGCACGATCGTAGTCATGCAGCAGCCACCTGAGCAGAGTGTAGCGCTGCTCGGCGACATTGTAGCAACCAGACTCAAGTATCGCGGTCTGCTGGGTGCAGTTATCGATGGTCGAGCCCGAGACGTGGTATCCTGTGGCGAGCTGTGCAAAGATGGTTCGTTCCAAGTCTGGTCCAAGGCTCTCAGCTCAGTCGGCACAAGTATGGAAGCCAAGCCATGGGCGGTGGACGTTCCTATCACGATCGGCGGAGTGCAAGTCTCGCCCGGAGATGTCTTGTGCGCGGATGAAGGCGAGGGCGTGATCTGCGTCATACCAAATGACAGACTGCAAGAGGTGGCTGATCTGCTACCGAAGCTCAAGAAGGCTGATGATGGTGTTTTGGCAGATGTGCAGAAGGGCGAAGACTTCTTGACTGCGCTCAAGAACTACCCGGACCACTACAGCAACAAATGAGATCATGCAGATGCAGGTCCAACCCAATTTAGGTTACTCATCTAGGTCATGTCCTTACCACATCTAGCAAGCATCAGCATTCTTGGACACTAGCAGTCTTCACTTCGAATCGTCTAGCCAGCACGATCCACTGCGAGACCACGATAGCTAACCTCAATGCCTTCGCATCGCCCGTCTCGCCAAAAGCCTTGTCAACCAAGCCACCAACCTTCTCCCAGCATACATATCCAAGCAACTCAACATTCTCCTTCGTCACCAACTTCTTCATGAGCTTATGCAAAGGTCCATCCCGGGGCCAAGTCGTAGGAGCAGAGTAAGGATGTTTCTTCCTTTCATACAATTCCTTCGTGATAAAAGGCTTCGACGCTTCCCGCAAGATCCATTTCTCCACAAAACGCTGTTCTTCTGGGCTCCAGCGTAATTTGACTGAGGGAGGGAGATTATTGACGTACTCTGTCAGATGGTGGTCGAGAAAAGGCGTGCGAGCCTCGATAGAGTGCGCCATCTCCGTGCGATCGCCCAGACAGGTCAAGAAGATGTTTGGTAGGTTGCCTTTGCTCCAGACGTACAGTGCGGAGTGTAGAGGGTGCCACTTCTCGTTGATGTTGTGGCGAGCGATACCGTCGGCATTGCATGCGATGGTCATCTGTGGATCACAAGCCGGGAAGGCTTTCTCCGTCCAGCCCGCGAAGACATCCGGTTGAAAAGCAGTCATGCCATTGATCGTGCTGATGCCGTTCAACATACGTCGAGGTATGCTGAGGTCTGATGTGCCGCCATTGGCACCAATAGCACGGTAGTGCTCTTGCGCCTCCTCTTCGGCGTTCTCGAATTGTTTGGTACGCTCGCCAGCTGAAAGAGGATTGTGTGTCTCGTATGCTTGATCGGGCTCGCGAAGATAGTCGGGCAGGAAAAGAGGATAGCCGGCGAAGATCTCATCTGCACCCTCGCCGGTCAAGACGACCTTGTAGCCTGCCTCTTGCGGCACCTCGCTGAGAGCGTACTTGCCGACAAAGTTGAGATCTGGATTGTGCTGTTCACAGTACCACACCGCATCCTCAAACCGCTTGGCTAGCTCCTCCTCGTTCATCAGCTTCTTGAGGTACTTGACGCCCAACCATTCGGCCGTCCGGTTCGCAATACTGCTTTCGTCAAATCCAGAGTCTTCGTCAAATGCAATACTGAAGCATGTAACCCGCTCCGATGGTGGCGCCGAGCCCACGGAAATGTTCTGTTCTTTCACGAGATGTGCTACCATGCCAGCAAGAACCGAGGAGTCGATACCACCAGATAAGTAGATGCCGACTGGTACATCGGCTCGCAGACGAAGACGCACAGACTCGAGCATGCGTTCTCGTACGCCTTCAATGAGCTCTTCCGGCGTTCGTGGGTCAATCGCGCGCTGCAAGGCTGTCAGATGTAAAGTCCACTATGGAGCGGAAAGTTGATCTCACCTTGTCAGGATACGAAGAGTCCCAGTACGGTCGCTCTGTGATGTGACCAAAACATTGGCATGTCATGTAGTGGCCGGGTCGAAGCTACGCAGACTCAAGTCAGCCATGCTGCAAGAAGTGTGTGTGGTTTTGCACAGCATCCTCACCTTCTGCACGCCCTTGAACAACGTTCGTGTGTCATGGTTCCAGCCAGCATCCTTCAAGCTCCGCACATCCCACTCTGGTGTCCATCCTAGAGGCAGAAAGGCCTTCATCTCTGCTGCTACGCACAGCCTCTTGCCTCCATGGCCCCTGCCATCATCGATAATGGTCCAGAATAAAGGCTTGATGCCATATCGATCTCTCACCGCCATGAATAGCTCTTTCCTCTCATCGTACAATACCACAGCGAACTCACCACGCAGGTATTCGGTGAAGTTGAGACCGTGTGCAAGATATAGTGCAATCACGATCTCAGAGTCGGAGTGAGAAGTGAAGGTGTACTCAGGCAACTCCTTCTCAAGCTGCGCACGTATGCGATCGTAGTCGTAGAACTCGCCGTTGACCACAGCGTGGATGCCGTGGTCTGGAGCATGAAAAGGTTGTGCGCCAGAAGGACTCAAGTCGTTGATCGAAAGGCGTACATGACCGAGAGCTAGGAATAAGCAGATTAGTGAGGAGGCTCTTTGCACAATGTAGACAATGTAGGAAATTGGTGAAGTCAGCCAGAGTACCTACTCGACAGTCGTCGCTAATCCAGTTGCCGCAGCTATCGGGACCACGATGGACGATCTGCTGCAGGGACTGATCCAGCTCATTCTCCAGGCGTGCCCGCTCGGTCGTGATGCCTTTGTGCTCGCCATTACGTGGTTGCTGGGCATGGTGGTGCTGCTGCGTACTGGCTAGTGAAAGGATACAAGATATGCCGCACATGTTGCCAAAGGGATTATTTGCAAGCTGATAACCTGCGATACAATAGGAACAAAGAGTGGAATAGATTGAAGAAGAACTGTAGGATGATGACCAAGGTGCAATCGTGCTCTTCTACCCTCACCGTCTAGAGTGAGTATGCTAGATCGAGAAATCGACCATGGCGTGCTAGCACTACAGCATGACTGCCGTAGCTTCCTGATAAGGATATTGTGTCGGTGAAAGCGTGACCAATGTTATGCGATAACTCTGATTGTCGTATCTTGCTGGCGCAGAAGCAATGCACGTTTAGCTTTACCGGTTGCTGATGGGAAGAGCGGGAATGTGACGTGATCAAAACCTCACCAGGACTCCGGGATTTTGGAACGGGCAATTTGGCCAACAACACTTTCATCCTTGCTCTCCTCCGATTGCACTTCGCAACATCGACCTACGGTGTACTTCTTCAATGTATTGCACCCTGTGCTGGGCAGCAAGGGTACTGCGCGGATATGCATCTCGTCCGCCATGATCTTGCCTCCAGTGGTGCAGCCATAGCCATCTAGAGTACCAAACCTCGACTGACTAGCTGTGGCATGATCACTTTCACTTTCAGCTGAATCCACCTTGGTCCATTGGGAAATAATAAGACGATCAGATGTTTGAGCCCCAAAGGAACCTTCACGACTCTACATTGGGGACTGCACAGCTGAGTCACTTCGGTACAGCGAGACTCGCATATCCAACATATTCGTAGTCCTAGCCGCGTATTCTGCCTCCCACTTGGGTCTCGCTAAGCCGCGCAAGTCTATGATCAGCTTCCCAATTCAAAGAAAGCGACGAAGCCCACTACTAGAAAAGTGCCGCTGCCATCTGCAGAACGCCATCGCTTCGAACCACCAATGGTCGAGCGCACCCACGGACACGGTATGGTGAGAGGTCGGACAATCTAGGTCGCCAAGGTGAGTGGCCATACTGTTAGCTTCTTGATGTGAATCAAGTTTCCATGACGTTCGTTCGGTGGACGAGTAGATCCACATCCTGGCGACGGAGCTCGATGAGGCCTGTCGCGGACTATCATCATTGCTGCTGCTTGGAATGAAAGGACTCGCTCAGATATGATGCGGAGCCCTGTCATCATTATCATCTGGAACTGGCGGCATGAATGGCGTGGAAGGTGAGCTTGGGCTGCGCGAGTTTGGCTGCAACGCTGAGAGATCGCAGCCCTTCCTCGCCTTCATGAGAGGGTCAAGCGTGCTGCATGGGGCAGGAAAATTGTGTCTATGGTACAAATTCGCCTTGTAGGACTGACCGGTCATGAGAGAGAATGAGCGATCATTGTTATCAAGGAGTGTGAATACATAGTGTCTTATACTCACACCAGTCATCGCTCGTGTGATACAGCCCGCGACCACGATAGCATCTGACGTCCTTTTACAAGTTTCCCCAGCTGCTAAAAGCGCGAATCAAACAATAGCGAAAGCGCATCACCCTTGGTCCGCCTCGAGCTTATAAGCTCAGCTCAAGGCCAGAGCCCGATCAGTGCAAGGAAAGCCAAACCAAACCAAGATAATCCTGAATCGCTATCGCTAGACTCCAAAGGGATCCAAGCTTCGTGTGCACAATGATGTACGTAGGTATCGTGATCGTAAGGTGCGAGATCAGCCTTGTAGAATCTTTTCTTGCTGGTGTCAGTCATCGTCTTAGGCAACTATGCGTGGACTGCATATATACCTATTGCGCCAAGAAGCTGATAGACATCTTGTTGACTGGACTACTTGAGTCCACACGCCTAGCAGCATTACCTGTCCCGCTTGGATTTGGCGGCAGCATGACTGGATGCGGAGGCGCGAATACTCGGTCTGACCGAACAGCGTTCGCTAGTGACATGTGTGCACGGAACCACTCTCCCACGTCGTTTCCGTTCGCCGATAGCATATCTGGGGGTAGCTGTGCTATGTGGAAGACTTCAAATCGCGCGGACAAAACGTTGTGGTCCACGAGCTGGCGAACAGGCTGGACTGGTGCTAGGGTAGCTTGAGGTGCTGCAGGCAGTAACTTCGTTGTAGGAGCCTTGCGGAGATCTGGGACGGCTGTGCGGGTGCGTTTCTTAGCGGCGGGCTTTGCCTTGACCTTGGGCATACGCTTCTTGTTCATGTTCCACTCCGCGGCAGATTCTAATGCTGGATTGGCCTTGAACGCAGCCGCGCGTATCTTGGCAGCTTTTCGGCGTGCACGGGTATCCTCAGATCCGACTCCAAGCAGCAGTGCTGCATCGTCGAGCTCCTCTAGGCTGTCCAAAGTTTCGCGTGCATGGCACACGATCAGGCGAAGGGACTGGTCGGAGCGTTGGAGGAGGGGTGCGATTTCATTATACGGCTTGCCTTCACAACGCATCTTGTAGACGAGAAGGCGCTGCAGTAGTATTCAGTATCTAATTATCGTGTGAAAGCTTCGGGCTTGCTTACGTCGTCGTTGATCCATTTCTTGCGGTCATTCGCGTACTTACCAGCATTGTTTTCTGGCGACCTTCGAGACTTCTCGACCCTACCTGAGTCGACCTTTCCGGATGCTTCAGCCTTGGGTTCTGCCCTTTTGCGATACGTCCGAGGTGCCATATTGTATGATTGTGTTGTAAGAGTGTTAGTTAGTGAGGTATTGTGAGTACGAATTCTGCAAACGATCCGTGTAGTGATATCTAACACCGTGGTGTATCTCGAATACTTATACTGATCCAGATGTGAGAGCCTCCACAAGTGCACGATGCTGTCTCGCACGTTTACCCAAGCCTGCCAGATACGATGCAGGCGACATGGTAGCGGGAAACTGCTACAAAGCGATCGATGGTTTAAGCGTTTTGCAAAGAACCAGCGAATACTCCCACTCAGAACGAGCTGCATACCAGTCGATTGTGCCGGATATTGTCAGCATCTTAGTAGGCCTTGCCCAAACAGTGCATTGTGGCCTGCTGTCGCTGGCTTCTGCCCAATGAGCAGGAGGTCCCCAGAAAGTCAAACCGAGGGACTGTGAAAGTCAACACCTTCAGCTTTGTTTTACGTATGGCCATATTGGGCGCGACGAGGTTTGAGAAGGTAACCTAGTGGATAGCGAAGATGAAGTTGAGGACAACTCGAGAGGGAAGAAAGTGAAAGCGGCGCTAGGCCGAAAGGGGCAGCTCGAGTTGTCTTCAACTCAAAATCTAGCTTCCACGGCATCAACTACGCTTCTACTGTTCTACACCTAGCAGAATCCGCGAAGTCGCCGGTACCGGAGCGATACTCCGACTGGCGTGCATCATTACGAGATGAGGATAAACAGCTTGTCAGCATTTCACAGCTACTACTACAATCCATAGCGTCCCGTCAGCGATACATCCGACAACTTCGCCGGCCTTCTCAGCACATTAGAAAATTATGCTATTGGCCATCGATCTGCTCTGTTGTCAAAGTACTATACCTGTGTACCATGCGTGTCAGCGTCATCGGCCGGAACGTATCCCTTCCATCACTTTTCACGGACCTGCAGCGATCGACATCAACCCCATGTCGAGATCGACAGGACACCCTGTCAACAAGCCGTGTTTGCTATTCTCATCTTCTGACGTGGGTGAAAAGTCGAACGACATCTGATCGACAAGATTCTCAATATCTGTATGCACACAGCCACGCATCGTACGTATCCTATACTCCTATTTCCGCACATCATCTGTTGTGCGGTCTTGCAGGGGTGACGTGCGCACGGACCAGGAGATTTTTGAGACGGTAGGTTCACTTTTCCAGAACTCAACAGGAGGGATAGGGGTAGGGAGACACGGACTGCTCTATGATGTTTCCACCACAGCGACTTGACGAGAGGGAGGATGGCGACATTCACTTCCTCCCTGCTCAGCAGGACGCACTTCTCATGCCAAACTCAGAGTGTTGCACGCTGCAGTGCAATAATTTGATCTTCTCAGCATAAAATACATCGACTATCATTATACGTGACCAGCACGCCTGGAACATGAACCTATGCCTTCCGTCTCATTGGTGCTGTATCATGACCAGAACGCCAAAGTGCCGAATTATGCGCCCTCTGCGCAAACGATGTTGCCTCTCCCAGATGTTCTGTCGAATGTTCCGCTTCATGAATCCCTTGTATCCCGTAGCTTTCTGTAGATGTCCTTCGTATCAGCCGCTTGCCCTTTCCGCGATGACGATGAAGTTGCCTGCTGTGCCTCTACTTGAACGACATCGTCCTTCTCAGGACCATGCGCCAATGTTATGGCTTCTTCATCGCCTTCACCGACCACATCCGTAGCCTGTCGAGAAGCCTCCGCAGGATCGACTTCGGCTGCTTTATCCCGACAAGCAGCGGCGGAAAAGCCATTACCGATCTTGCTCGAGATGATCCTCCATCGATCCTCCTCGTACTCCTGCATCGCCAAGTGGAGTTTGTCGACCTATGAGACAAGTCAGTCAGCTGTCCGACCTTGAAGAGTAGACACACATACATCAAATAGCAGCAACTGTCTACGAAGTCGAGGGTTCCTCGGACCCGGATGCAACTACATTCTCGCGAAGGTCTTCACGTACCATATCGTCTGTCCACACAGTCTGCTTGGCCTTCAATTTTGTGCAGTATCGTACTTGCAGTGTACCCGAGCTGCGACCTGGGAAGAAGTCGGCGATTTGCTTCCATGTCAAATTCTTGGTCTCCTTGAGGTCGACGAGAAGAGCATCGTCCTCGGCTGTGAATTTGAGCTTGGGTCCTTTCGGCTTCGGTGCTGGTGTCGGCATGCCTGGTTGGCCGACCATACTCGGCGGCCCCATATCGTCTGCGACGGGCGACGAGTCTCCAAGTCTAGCCGACTTTGCAGGCGGTGGTTGATTAGGAAGTCGGTGGTGGTGGTGGGTGGCCGGAGTCATGCTTTGAAATGATTGCTGTTGGTATGAATCTGGTGGTGAGCCTGCTTGGGAAGGCAGGTAGAAGGACGACGCCCCGGCTTGGAGTTGTGCATGGTGACCATGAGGTGTGAGCTCCACTGGCAGTTGCGCGCTGCTTCCAGCATGAGCTTGTAATTGTTGCAAGCCTTGGTAGTCGTATGAAAAGTCCGACTGGTGACTGCGCTTGCGCGATCCGGCTGCTGTTGGCTGATATCGTAGCATCTCTGGACTTTCGCGCGGCGTGCCGTAATGCGATGAAGAAACGGTGGACATTGGTCGTGGAATTTGCGTCGTGACCATCTGTGGCTGCTCGACAACGTACAGTGGTTCGGGTGCAGAGACCTGCGACGGTAGCATTGGTGGTGGCACATATTGCTGATAGGTATGCGTAGGGTGTTGCGAAGTCTGCTGCAGCAAATAATGCTGCTCTTGCGGCTGGAGGCTCTGAGTCAACAGCTGCTGATAAGAAGGACTTGTGACTGGTGTCTGTTGTTGTCGCGGGGGGTGCTGCTGATGTTGCTGCTGATTTTGATCTTGGTCTTGCGCGCCATAGCCAAAGTCGAAGTCCTGGTATGGGTTCGCCAGGTTTGCGGTTGCCCATATGGGCTGCCAAATCTTGAGGCTTAAGCAGCTCGCCAGGATGCCGCTAGTGGCCGTTGACCAGGATGACAACGATAGTCGTGTGCTTCGTTGTTGAAAGTGTCGACAGCAGCTGGAAGGTAATAGATTAATAATAAGCTGTTACACAACGCCTCGCCATGGAGTGCAGAGGTGATAGTAGCAAAGCGAGTGTGATGTGTCTTGGTCAAACTAGGTCAGTGCAATCGGTGATGTGACAGAAGTGTCTTTCGCGAGGTGAAGAAGTGGCATGATTCGGGCCTTAACAGGATGGTGGAATGATCGTGCCCTGGAGAGTGATGAACGACACATTACCGCATCGGATGCTCATGCTTCCATACTTGAAGCCCTGGCCCGCTCTCGGATTGCCACCATCAGAGCCAGCATGACACCAACGACATATCTCACACAAGCCAAATTTGGGCCTCTCTGGCAGGAGATTGGTCGAGTGGAGGCAGTAAAGAATTGCTTGCGCAACGCCGACCGACATGCCTGCAACGATCCGCGTACCTTAACGTCAGGCTGCAAAGGCATTCGCCGGTGGCCATCTGCAGGAACTGCTTAGCTTGCTCCACTCTGACCGGGTGCTCATAAGGCTTGTTGTCCGGTAGTGCGAACGGTACGCTATCCGAATGACGGCGCAATGTGTCTGAGGGCTATAGCAGACCATGCGGTTGCACGCACTTCCGACCAGATTCACCTATGAGAGGTATGGGACACTCGCCTGCAGCATGGAGCACGGCCGAAGCCTTAGCCCCAACGCCCTAGCGTGGTGTTTCAGATTGGCCACAGTGGTGTTAGGTGTATGCATGATGCAGTAGACGAGTGCGAAGAGCAGACATCAAGCCATGCAGCGTGGTGGAGTCCACTCAGAGTTCTGAGTATGCTTAACGAAGCGAGCGAGGCTGTGCACCAATTGTTGCAATAAATAGAAGGATGAGCAACGTGATGAACACGTCGACTGCCTTTCTGGCGATAGGGCTACTATTGTCGTGCCGTGTACGGGGCCTGCCAGACGGTAGACCCTGAGAGTGGCGACAACAGTGATAGCGGCGCCTGTTCGCCAAAGAGCCAGGCGCGAATCTCGAAACACTTCGCGGAGCGATGGTGGGCCGAGTGGTGAGAGTAGGCCAACTGCCGGACTGGATACTGCCGTATTCGACCGTTGCTATCGGAGGTGCCAAAACTTGGTCGTGGTTTGATATAGGCAGGGATCACGCTGCACCGCCTCAGTCCAACGGTCATGGCGAGTCTCCAATGCCTCGACCTGAAGCTTCACCTCCGTGGCCCAGACTCCGCGGTCGTGGCGTTGTGCACACGTGGTGGCGAAAGTCTACTAGCGACATGGACGAGTGGAAAAGGAGTATCGTTCAAGTTGCAGCGACAGGAAGCTTCAGGCCTGCAGAAAGTCAATCTTCACAGGCAAGTTGGCCGAAAGCGGCGGCCGCGTTCGCAAAACAGAGACGGGAAAACGCCACAGTTGCGCCACACCACGTTGCACCCAGATCCACACTCGTTCACCTCGAATCCATGTGGTGTCGAAGCTTTCGTTTCATCTTTAAGTCTAACAAGAAGGTTCCTACTGACAAAAGTACTATACAGTGGAGCACTCGAGCACCAAGGCGGCCTCGAGACTTGATAATGCGACAACCGCTTTATTCACGAAACACACCTGTGCAGCCAATCCCCGGAAATCATGCTTTTCGTCGAACGAAAGGTACTGACAGAATGACCCAACTCAGTAATCATCCATGGCACCGCCAACCTCCACTTCTCCACCATATCACTGACACGCGATCGGACGACATGACCGAAATGCTATCGAGATCCATCTCACTTCACACTCAAATCTCCTCTCAACCGGGCTGCTAACGTTGCTACCTAATAACTTACATACACCGAAGCAATGCACATAGATGAACAATGATGAAATGCTGAACGCCATCCGCGAGATTGCCAGCTAGGATCTCGCGCGCCACACCGTTGCGCCGTTGTGCCCAGCCAGCAGATCCCACGATGATTTTCCCGGGGCGCCGCAGAACAATCAAATAAGCGTGATCTCCAGGCCCTTTTTAGCCGGCGCAAGACTTTGATTGTCCATCACAAACCTCAATCAATCGGTAGTGAAAATGCCTTGCTGATAAATCCTCGATACCGCGCCGAAATTCCGGTTGCTTCGACACGGATCCATCACGCCCGTTGCCGGTCTTCCAAGCCCTGGATCCCATCACGCCCAGTCCAACGTCTCATCATCTCATGCTCGCACCAAGATTCAATGCGCCGGAAAGGTGGGGGATCGCATAAATCGCACCTCAAACGCGCCAGGTGAGTAGGGCAAGCAGCCGGTAAGCCGAGAACAGCAGTTCGTCCGCATGATGTCTGCCAACGCATCGAGGGATACCGTAGCAGCCTGCGCTCTCCGCACAATGCTCAGAAGTCGACGAAACTATGGTACCTCCCGTCGCACTCGCACTGAGAGCAGCAGTTCCTCCGAAGAATGACTGAGTCGCGTGCCTGGTGGCCTAATGCTTTCGTCCATCGCATCCTAATCGTCGTAGAATATACCGGTTTTAGTTCTCAAAGCTAGACTTTCCAGCCTTGCTCTTTGGCAAATTGTTCGCAAGCCTAGATAGCCTGTTAGCGGATCTGACCCACGACAAACCAAGTTCACTCTGAATGCAACACACCTTAGCAGGCTTGCCAACTTTCTGTCCGATGACCTTCCACTTGTTGTTCTCGTAGTGCTTGATAGCCTGCAACAGCGTGGCGCTCTGTAACAGCAGTTAGTACAATTGAGGAAACAATCATCCGGGTCGCGGTGAGGCGAACGAAACTGCTGACCTCGTCTTCCGCGAACTCGGCGTAGTGCATGTCCTGTCACAAAAGGTTGTCAGTACTGAAAGACAGCATGCCACAGCAAGTTCATGCAAAGCAAACGCACCTTATACCAATGCTTCTTCACACTCCCCTCCGTCCTCAGAGGGAAAGTCTTGGCAATCTCACTCCAACTACTACCCGCATCACGCATAGTCTTCAACCTCTGCTCTTCGGCAGGCGTCCATGGCGTATTCGTCCTGCCCTTCCTCGCGACACCAGGACTCGGCAATTGAGTGTTGACGGGACCACCCTGAACCGAATCTATCTGCTCGAGAGGAGCGCCATAGGCGTTAGTGACGAGACCGGATGGGCCGGTGAAGGTACTGCTTGAGGAGGCCGAGAGTGCCGACTCCCCACCTCCCAGCTCCGAAGCGCGGCGCTTACGGCTGATGGTCGGTGAGACGGTCGAGAGGGATTGTGGCGGTGGTTGTTGCTGATGCTGTGGTGGGAGCTGATGTTGTGCTTGCAGTGGGTGGGGCGAGTAGTGGGTCTGTTGTGGGAAGGCGAAGCCACCCGGTACTTGTTGGTGCGGTGATGCATAGGTGTAGTGCTGCTGTTGGTAAGGATTGTGCTGATAGGCTGTGGTTGCGTCGGACGACAGGGTGAGCTGCGATGGCGAAGCTGAATATGCACCTGTCGAGGAGACGGAGATGGGCTTCAGCTGTGGGTTGCGTTGCTGGTTTTGCGATGTACTTCTGTTGTGACGAGCTCGTTGTCAGCAATGTGACTTGGTCGTCAGTCTCTCGGTAGTGTGTATGGTAGATGGTAGGGCAGGGTGCTGATACTCGGTACCAGCAACATGTAGTCAGGTACTTTTCGGAGCCAAGCACGTGGAAAATAAGACTTCAGAGAAGAGCTTTGGGTGACCTACGACATAGCGCTGTGGCTGAGAAGAGCTCTCTTGGCCTATTCTTGTTCTTTATCTGGTGGTCCGGCTCGAGTTGGTATATTGCAATGACTCGCAATGTGTGCGTTGCATGGCTCCTTGGTCAAGTCGAGTCCTCACATTGGTCAGGACTTCAGTCGGAAAGCTGCGCGGTGGCGGCGTTCGGCAGGGAAAGGTACGTATGCGACCGAAAGAGTATGTACAGAAAGGCCTGGGAGTATGTACAGCAGAGGTCCCAGTTGCTCGGCGGGGCCAGAGAAAAATACAAGGAGCTTTGTCGCTGGAAGACGTAGACTGTGGGGACGTCCTCTTAGTATCGTACAGTACAAGGCCTCGGATTATGCTAAGTCGCAGTGGCAGATGATGTCGGCACGGGACGAGAGAGGTAGGGTATCGATAGATTCGAAATGACGAAGTAGCAATGTAAGCTTTCAAGCACCAAAGTGCGGAGAGAGAGGAGGAGGAGGGGGACGTGGGCAAGGCGCAGGGCAGAGCAGAGAGCATGCAGACGCCGATGACAGGTTAGGACAATCATGAGGTCCGGCTACCGATTGACAGCAGCACCTCTTTTCAGCGGGCTACACGAATGCCTCTGCTGCTTCGGGCGTCTGCATAGCCGCTGTCGTCCGTCTGCATGCATCCTGTCTATCGCCCATGCAGCCTTCAACCGTACCCGAGCCTCTCCAACCACGGCACGCACTCACCTCCGTCACCTTCAGCCCGGAAGCAGAGTGAGTATGATGGCGACGATAGCTCTCATCAAGCAGCATCATCCGCCATCGTCGTATGCGGCGTGCTGAAAACCGTAGCTTTGACGTCGTTATCATCACTAAAGCAGGTTGCGATCGATCATCACCGACTCCTCAAAACAGGAAGAGGCGAAAGCACAGCGAAAGAAGGGGTCCGGGACAATCGTGCGGGGTAGTAGCAAGAGCAAGATGGGGGAATTCATGCCAAGGAATATGGCGTAAAACCAATGGATTCGTGGTTGTGATTTGTGCAGTAGGCGAGGAGGACACTAATGGGAGGGGTGCGCGACGGCTCGTGCATGGAGACAGAAAGCTCGCAGCAAGACGGGCGCGTGACTGGATGGGATGTCGTTGATCTTCTTGATCCGAGGCCCTCGCGAAGGCCCGAGGGGCCGAAAAAGTGACGTAGCGACTGTATCTTTCTCGATCAGAAAGTTGAAGATGGATACCACATTGTGCAGGCGATGGAAGTGATGGGTATACGATGAGCGAGGGGACGACAATGGCATTATCGGAAATGCACAGACTAAGACCCTTCGGAGAATAAGATGAATATGGCTGGTGCAAGCACACTTCGGCACAACCGAGAAGGCACGCGCGAGTGGCGAGAAACGATGCACGAACGACGATCGAGCAGCATTATTGTGCCACCATGGTCTGACCGACGATCATCGTTCGCATGTGTGACATGAATGGTGACACCGCAGCACGTGGGAAGGATGGTGAACTGGTGGATCAGACTCACGGTTCCATGGTGGCGAACGAAAGAAGCAAGTGAAGTCCAAGTGATTGGCTGACAATCTTCCAACTACATTTCCTTCCCTCTGCAATATGGGCTCCACTCTGATACATATGTCAAGTCGCAATCCTTATGCTTGCCAGATAAGCATACTTTCAACCTTGCAATGCAACGTCCTTGGCCTGCCGCTTAGCCATTGGGAAGAAGCCGTGGTTGCAGTAGTTCTCTCGTCGCACCATTCCCTGCATATGTCCAGTCGCTGAGGCTTGTTCGCATATGCTCGTAAGATCTTTCGTATCGCGGTGGCGACTTGCATATCCTCTCATCACGTTAGCGTCATCATCCTGCGACTATGTCACCGAAACTGCTGGCCGCGCTGTCATCTGCCGCCATAACGGAGATATGACCGTTCAGTCTCCTACGAGCGCTGTCCGGTGCCGGAGACCATCATAAGTGACAATGCGTAGGAAGAGGTGATCGTTGTGCCCCAGGAGTGGCTAGCAATCAACCAGATCAAGCCGATCGGAGGCCATCCTACACTGAAGACCTCTGTTGCGAATCACCCATCTTTGACTGTGTGGTCATACATCAAGCTGTGGCGGGCGTTGATTAGTGGTAGGTATAAGCCTACGAGGATTGCTTGCCAGTACGACGAACATTTCATCCGCTGTACGGGGTGGGTCTGCCATTACACCACATGAAGAAGACCAGCGGAAAGCAGGAGTGCCAGAGTGGCTTTTCATCCGGAAGTCCTCGCTCCCTTTCCATCTCACCGCCTCCTCACTTTCCCTCCCGCCACCCAACCGGTATCAACGCGCCAACAACCTGCTGCACTCCCCTCTCCGTAGCCAGCAAATTGAACTGCGCAGCCGCGTTCCTCGTATCCTGCACCTCAATCCTGACCCCCAACTCGGTCAACCTCGCCCTCGTATCCGGAGAAACAGGCACGATCCTCTCTCCAGTCCCAAGAACCAGTAAATCAGGCTTCGGCCAGACCAGGTCAATGATACCCCATACCTGTGCATCTACGTCGAATTGACCCTTCTTGTTCAAAATCTTGCTGTTTTGGTTCTGCCACGGTTTCCATTTGAACGCTTCCCCGCCTACAAGTAGCACCCCGGAGCCCGTGACTTTGAGCCCGCTGTTCAGGGCGAAGCCGTCGGTCATGCAGGCGTCGATTGCGGTGCTTGGGGCGGGCATGCTGGAGAAGACGTCCATGGCGCCGAAGTCGGTTTGGGTGTCTTCTTTGCTTGCTGGGCCGCGGTCTTTAGACTTGGGTGGTGCGGGTGGGAGGTGGTTTGTTGGTGATGTGTGGAGCGCGCGGGTGCTTGGTAGTCTTGTTCTTGATGACCGAATGGGTGATGGAGCAGCCGTGGATGGTAGGCGCTTGGAGAGGGCGAGGTGTAGATGCCGCCTGCTTTCGGCACTGTGTAGCTGGGCGGCTGCCCGCGACAGCATCCTGGTAGACATCATGCTATTTTACCGTAGTCCGAATGATGTCGGTGATGAAATCAACTCTACATTGTGAAGCTCCCCAAAAAGTTCGAGCTTCATCGCCGAAGTCGAACGTCATCAACCAAGCCATTGTGCTTAACCAAACCCTAACCCTAAGGCATGAACACCTCTTCTGGTGCCATGAGGGACGACGTAACCTTGTTGCACCTATCATGAAATGTCCGACCTACGACCAAAGGGCCCTTTGCTACCGGTCAGATCGTCCAAAGTGACCCCCACAAACGAGAGGGCGCATGATGACTACAAAATGAGGTTTGTTATGATTGACGAGACAACAAAGTCGAGACGGAAGACTGAGGAAGGTACCGATTGATCCACGTTACGCATGCATACAATTATATTGAGCTGAGTGTCTCCTAGCCAAGACCTTCGATTCATCGCACATCACCTCACTATTCCTAGAGCCACAGATCCTGGAGCGTAGGATCAGAGAGGCGAAGAAGGCACAGCAGAGTTCTCCTTCACGATGAAAGCATTCAAGCTACGACTCGAACACGGCGAGCAGGGAACGCCTCTGCCGGCTAGATCATGATAGATACAAGTCTTTGCCTTCCGAGAGACACGAATTGCGCTTCGCCCGTACGGCCCGACGAGGAGAGCCATTCACGCGAGCTGTATCAAGTCAGACGTGTACTAGGACCGCTAGACAGTGAGGCGGACGGGCCGGAAATAGTAACGACTCCAACCACGCTCCACTGGAACTCTAGCTTACCAGACTCATAAAGATTGCGAGAACTGGTGAGTGTGGTGGTATCGCAGGTTGTAGTACATCTTCGACCTTCGACGATGGCATGGCTTGGCCGGGCTCAAGCAATATACAAAGATTCCGGACCCTAGGGTCAGTGAGAACGAGCATGTCTAGCAGTGGTTGGCCATGTATGTTGTTATGCGAGGTAATGAAGATCGCACAGCTAATAGAGGTGGGTTGGAATGATCTTCGCAGAGTGCGTGAATTTGCAAGGGCGTCGAGTACGTACAAGAACAAGACGTAGATGCCAGGACCGGCCATCGTTTCGGTGGAAATTTCGTGAGGATGCTTAGATGCTGAGATCCGTCGTAAACCTACATGACGCTGTACTCAGCCTTGTATTGAGAGAGAGACATCCCGGTCATATCCATGGCAAGACGTTACACGGTCGAGCGTAGGTGTGACATGACTGCATTCATAGCGCACTACATGCCCCATCAACCACAAAGATCTAAGCAGCCGAGTATCTCAGCCACATCAAAGCCAGCCTCTATGCGCCGAGCCATGATTCTTCCTCAGAACCACTTCTGCTGCATATCTCCACCCCATAGACTCCCTGCACCCATCTATCTCCTCTTCTTCTCCGCCTCACGCATCACCTTCTTCACAATCTTCTGCTCTTCGATCAGGAAAGCACGCACGACACGGTCCTTGGTGCAGTTGGCGCAGCGGCTGCCGCCGTAGGAGCGGGAGACGGTCTTCTTGGGGCGGGAGATGTTGGCGTATTCACGAGGGCGGAGGGCGGGGACCTAAGAGCACATGTTCCATCAGTATCGCGGTTCGGCTGTGGGTGGGATGGGAGAGAGCTTACACCAGCCAATTTGTGGCCGCAGTCGCCGCACTTGGGCGCGGTGCCGCGTTTCTTGATGTTGAGATATCTGTGCTCGCCACCGGGGGTGCGGATGACGCGGACTTTGTTGGAGACGGTGTTGTAGGGCTGTCGCCTCCTCTGTTATACCATACATGTTAGCCATGACTGCCTCCTCTGCTGCCAGCTCATGTCTCCCTCTTCGAGTCATCTATCTTCTGCTCATGGGTGTGGGAGTGCGCATACGTATGTCAGACGTGTGGAAGGCATCGTGTTTGCCGTGAGCGATGTGATGCCGTGAGTGGTGTTTGCTGGGTTGTGATGCCGCTGTCGCCGTCAATCTTTTTGCGATGCAGTAGCGTGACAATTCTGGTGCGGGCTCCTTCTTGGCGGACGGGAGTGGCCGTCAGAACTTCTGGTTTTGCGGAGAAGCGCGAGTCATTGGAGTGATATGAAGCGCGACTTGAAGATCTTCAAACGAGAAGGGACCTGCTTGCCACCGCGAGCCGCAACACCTTCGAGTCCATCGCGAACACAATCATCGCATCAGCGAGAGGTTGCATTTACTTCTCACTAGCGACCTCATCGATGCACGTGGCCGGCAGCGAGCCGTAGCCAACTTGTCCGTCGGCGGCCAGTGACCTCGAAACACTCCAGCTCTGAACATGGCGGGCATTCCACCTCCTCCGCCTCCAGGCTGGCAACCACCGCCTCCACCTGGCGCTCCACCCGGACTATCCTCATCACATGTACCGCCACCTCCACCACCAGGCTACAAACCACAAATCGATCCAGCGATTGCGAAACTACAGGAGAAGAAGCAGAAATGGCTGCGATCACAACGACAACGATTCGCGGAGAAGCGACGAGGTGGTTTCGTGGAGACACAAAAGGCCGATATGCCGCCCGAGCACTTGCGGAAGATCGTGAGGGACATTGGCGATGTGTCGCAGAAGAAATTTAGCAGCGACAAGCGCTCGTACTTGGGCGCGCTAAAGTTCATGCCGCATGCTGTGCTGAAGCTGCTGGAGAATATGCCGATGCCATGGGAGTCGAGTCGGGATGTGAAGGTGCTGTATCACGTGAACGGCTGCTTGACACTGGTCAATGAAATCCCGCGGGTCATTGAGCCGGTGTTCCATGCGCAGTGGGCGACAATGTGGGTGGTGATGAGGAGGGAGAAAAGTGATAGACGGCACTTCAAGCGTATGAGGTTTCCGCCTTTCGATGACGAGGAGCCGCCGCTCAGCTGGTCAGAGAACATTGAGGATGTGGAACCACTTGAGCCGATCCAGATGGAGCTGGATGAGGATGAGGACGGTCCTGTCTTCGAGTGGTTCTACGACCATCGACCGCTATCAGACACCTCGCACGTCAACGGTCCAAGCTACAAGCGATACAACCTGCCACTACCACAAATTGCGACACTGCACCGCCTGAGTAATCCTCTCCTTTCTGACATTGCGGACAAGAACTACTTCCATCTCTTCGATCTCCCAGCATTTGCCACTGCGAAAGCGCTGAATGTGGCGATACCTGGTGGACCGCGCTTCGAGCCTCTGTACAAGGATGTCGACCCGAATGACGAGGACTTCGGCGAGTTTAACGCCATCGACCGCATCATCTTCCGAGCACCCATCCGAACAGAGTACCGAGTCGCTTTTCCATATCTGTACAACAGCCTGCCGAGAAGTGTACGATTGGGTCGGTACAGTGCGCCACAGTCAGTATATGTCAAGACCGAGGATCCATCATTACCTGCCTTCTACTTCGACCCTGCCATCAACCCGATCTCGAGTCGTTCGGTCGCACCGAAGAATCTGACCATCAGCCACGAGGACGAGATCTTTGGCAAAGGCAACAATGACGAGCCGGACGAAGAGGATGGTGGTTTCAGCTTGCCAGACGAAGTTGAGCCGTTCATGGCGGACGAGGAGTTGTACAATGACGAGACAGCATCTGCGATTGCACTATGGTGGGCACCATTCCCATTCGACCAGCGCTCCGGCAAGATGGTCCGAGCACAAGATGTGCCTTTGGTCAAGCAGTGGTACCTCGAGCACGTTCCGGCCGGCCAACCTGTAAAGGTCCGGGTATCGTATCAAAAGCTGCTGAAGACATACGTCCTGAATGAGCTGCACAAGAGACCCGCCAAAGCACAGAACAAGCAGAACTTGTGCCGAAGCTTGAAGAGCACCAAGTTTTTCCAGCAGACTACGATCGACTGGGTTGAAGCTGGTCTGCAGGTCTGCCGCCAAGGTTTCAACATGCTGAACTTGCTCATCCATCGCAAGAACTTGACGTATCTGCATCTGGATTACAATTTCAATCTCAAGCCTATCAAGACTCTCACGACCAAGGAGAGGAAGAAGAGCAGATTCGGCAATGCTTTCCATCTCATGCGCGAGATTCTGCGATTGACAAAGCTGATTGTAGATGCGCAAGTACAATACCGACTTGGCAACATTGATGCTTTCCAACTTGCTGACGGTATCTTGTACGCCTTCAACCATGTGGGTCAGCTGACGGGCATGTACCGCTACAAGTACAAGCTTATGCACCAGATTCGATCTTGCAAGGACTTGAAGCATTTGATCTACTACCGCTTCAACTCTGGCCCCGTCGGCAAAGGTCCAGGCTGCGGTTTCTGGGCTCCGGCGTGGAGAGTGTGGCTGTTTTTCCTGCGTGGTATCATCCCACTTCTCGAGCGCTGGCTTGGAAATCTGCTGAGCAGACAGTTCGAAGGCCGTCATAGCAAGGGTGTGGCGAAGACCGTCACCAAGCAGCGTGTGGAATCGCATTTTGATCTCGAACTTCGTGCTTCGGTCATGTCGGATCTGATGGATATGATGCCGGAGGGCATTAAGCAGAGCAAAGTCAACACCGTCCTGCAGCATTTGTCCGAGGCGTGGCGGTGCTGGAAGTCGAACATTCCATGGAAAGTCCCGGGTCTGCCGAAGCCGATTGAGGATATTATTCTGCGGTACGTCAAATCCAAAGCCGACTGGTGGGTCAGTGTGGCGCATTACAATCGTGAGCGTATCCGGCGAGGCGCGACAGTGGACAAGACGGTGGCGAAGAAGAACCTGGGTCGTCTGACTCGTCTATGGCTCAAAGCTGAGCAGGAGCGCCAGCACAATTACCTCAAGGATGGACCATATGTCAGTACCGAGGAGGGCGTGGCTATCTTCACGACTGCCGTGCATTGGCTGGAGAGCAGAAAGTACCAGCCCATTCCTTTCCCGTCTGTATCCTACAAGCACGACACCAAGATTCTGATTCTGGCTCTGGAGCGTCTGCGCGAAGCATACTCGGTCAAGGGCCGTTTGAATCAGAGTCAGCGTGAGGAGCTGGCATTGATTGAGCAGGCGTATGATAGTCCTGGGACTACACTCGCCCGCATCAAGCGGTTCTTGCTTACGCAGCGTGCGTTCAAGGAAGTGGGGATCGATATGAATGACAATTACAGCTCTATCAACCCTGTCTACGATATCGAGCCGATCGAGAAGATCACGGACGCCTACCTCGATCAGTATCTCTGGTACCAGGCCGATCAGCGGAGACTGTTCCCTGCTTGGATCAAACCCTCTGACTCGGAAGTGCCGCCTCTCCTCACGTACAAATGGGCGCAAGGTATCAACAACCTTAGCAATGTCTGGTCTGTGGATGAAGGCGAATGCAACGTCATGATGGAGACGCGGCTGGACAAGATCTACGAGAAGATCGATATCACGCTTCTCAACAGGCTGCTGCGACTGATCATGGACCATAATCTTGCGGACTATATCAGCAGCAAGAACAATGTGCAGCTCAACTACAAGGATATGAACCATACTAATGCCTATGGTATGATCCGTGGTCTGCAGTTCTCGGCTTTTGTCTTCCAGTACTACGGCCTGATTGTGGATCTTCTGGTCTTGGGTCTGCAGCGCGCGACTGATATGGCTGGACCGCCTAACGCACCGAACGACTTCTTGCAGTTCCGTGATCGGGCTACTGAGTCAAGACATCCTATCCGCTTGTACACACGCTACATTGACAAGATCTGGATCTTCCTCCGCTTCACTTCCGAGGAGAGCAGGGACCTGATCCAGCGTTTCTTGACGGAACAGCCTGATCCGAACTTTGAGAATGTCATTGGGTATAAGAATAAGAAGTGCTGGCCCCGCGACAGCAGGATGAGGTTGATGAGACACGATGTCAATCTCGGTCGGGCGGTATTCTGGGACATGAAGAATCGACTTCCAAGATCGCTGACTACCATCGAGTGGGACGATACGTTTGCTTCTGTCTACTCGCGTGATAATCCGAATCTGCTTTTCAGCATGAACGGCTTCGAAGTCAGGATTTTGCCGAAGATCAGGAATCTCAATGACGAGTTTCAGGTCAAGGACTCGGTCTGGGCACTTGTAGATAATGCTACGAAAGAGCGGACGGCACATGCCTTCTTGCAGGTGACCGAGGAGGATATCCAGAAGTTCAATAATCGGATCCGACAGATTTTGATGTCTTCGGGTTCCACGACGTTCACGAAGATTGCGAATAAGTGGAATACGGCGCTTATTGCGCTGTTCACTTACTATCGGGAGGCTGCGGTCGCGACGGTCGGGTTGCTGGATACGATTGTCAAGTGCGAGACCAAGATTCAGACGAGGGTCAAGATTGGATTGAATTCCAAGATGCCGTCACGTTTCCCACCGGCGGTCTTCTACACGCCGAAGGAGCTGGGTGGGTTGGGGATGATCAGTGGGAGTCATATTTTGATACCAACTAGCGATAAGAGGTGGAGTAAGCAGACCGATGCGGGGGTGACTCACTACCGTGCCGGTATGGGCGGACACGGCGAAGAAGAAACCCTGATCCCGAATATCTTTCGCTACATCATTCCGTGGGAGGCGGAGTTCATCGATTCTCAGCGCGTGTGGACGGAGTACTCGCAGAAGCGGCTGGAGGCTAATCAGCAGAATCGGCGATTGACGCTGGAGGATCTGGAGGATAGTTGGGATCGCGGGTTGCCAAGGATCAATACCTTGTTTCAGAAGGATCGGAGTACGCTGTCTTTCGACAAGGGATTCCGGGCGAGGACGGAGTTCAAGATTTATACTTTGATGAAGGCCAATCCCTTCTGGTAATTTCAGCTGATTGCAGTAGCCAAGGTAACATGCGCTGACATTGATACAGGTGGACATCCCAGCGACACGATGGCAAGCTTTGGAATTTGAATGCGTAAGTTGATGTCTTCATGATGTTTCCCGAGTAGAGTGTGGTGCTGATAATCTCGCAGGTACCGCACTGATGTTATACAAGCACTCGGTGGTGTTGAGACTATACTTGAGCACACGCTATTCAAGGCCACGGCCTTTCCATCTTGGGAGGGTTTGTTCTGGGAGAAGGCGTCTGGGTTCGAGGAATCAATGTACGTGCACCGAATATTGACAGACTTCTAATCTGGTACTGACCTTTTTTCACAGGAAATATAAGAAGCTCACGAATGCCCAGCGGTCTGGTCTCAACCAGATTCCGAACCGTCGATTCACTCTGTGGTGGAGCCCTACCATTAACAGAGCCAACGTTTATGTGGGATTTCAAGTCCAGCTCGATCTCACTGGCATCTTCCTTCACGGCAAAATCCCAACGCTCAAGATCTCGCTTATCCAGATCTTCCGTGCCCATCTGTGGCAGAAGATTCATGAGAGTGTGGTCATGGACTTGTGCCAGGTCTTTGACCAGGAGCTTGAAGCGTTGGGCATCGAGACTGTGCAGAAGGAAACGATTCACCCTCGTAAGAGTTACAAGATGAACTCATCTTGCGCGGACATCTTGCTCTTTGCCAGCCACAAGTGGAGTGTCAGCCATCCGAGCTTGCTCTATGATACGAAGGATAACATGGGTGCTACTGCCACTAACAAGCACTGGATCGATGTGCAGTTACGGTATGGAGACTACGACTCGCACGACATCGAGCGATACACCCGCGCCAAGTACCTCGATTACACCACAGACTCGATGAGTATCTATCCTTCGGCCACTGGTTTGATGATCGGCATTGATTTGGCGTACAACCTGTATTCTGCTTATGGTCAATACTTCCCTGGTCTCAAGCAATTGGTGCAGCAAGCCATGGCCAAGGTCATGAAAGCCAACCCTGCGCTGTATGTCCTTCGCGAGCGTATCCGAAAGGGTCTACAGCTCTATGCTTCGGAGAGCAACCAGGAGTTCCTCAACAGCCAGAACTACTCGGAACTCTTCAGCAACCAGATCCAGCTTTTCATCGACGATACTAATGTCTACCGTGTCACTATCCACAAGACTTTCGAAGGCAATTTGACAACTAAGCCTATCAATGGTGCTATCTTCATCTTCAATCCCAGGACTGGACAGCTCTTCCTTAAGATCATCCATACCAGCGTCTGGGCTGGACAGAAGCGTCTTGGTCAGCTTGCTAAATGGAAGACTGCTGAGGAGGTTGCTGCGCTCATCCGATCGCTTCCAGTGGAAGAGCAGCCGAAGCAGCTCATTGTTACACGCAAAGGTCTGCTGGACCCTCTCGAAGTCCACCTGCTCGACTTCCCAAACATCAGTATTCGCGCTTCAGAACTGCAGCTTCCGTTCCAGGCTGCTATGAAGGTCGAGAAGCTGGGAGACATGATCTTGCGTGCTACTGAGCCACAGATGGTGCTTTTCAACTTGTACGACGAGTGGTTGAAGAGTATCTCCAGCTACACAGCCTTTTCGAGGTTGGTCTTGATCTTGCGTGCGCTGCATGTCAACCAGGACAAGACGAAGCTGCTACTCCGACCAGACAAGAGCGTTATCACGCAGGAGCATCACATCTGGCCTACGCTCTCGGATGACGATTGGGTGAAGGTCGAAGTACAGCTGAGAGATTTGATCTTGAACGACTATGGCAAGAAGAACAATGTCAACACTTCTTCGCTCACGAACAGCGAGATCCGAGATATCATCCTTGGTATGGAGATCTCTGCGCCGTCCATGCAGAGGCAGCAGGCTGCGGAGATTGAGAAGCAACAGCAGGAGCAACAGCAACTCACTGCCGTCACTACGAAGACGCAAAACGTTCGTGGCGAAGATATGATCGTGACGACCACTTCGTCCTACGAGCAGCAGAGCTTTGCTTCGAAGACTGAGTGGCGTACTCGTGCTATTGCGACTAGCAATCTGCGGACGAGGGCGAACAACATTTACATTTCCTCTGAGGACATTCGAGATGATGAGGATCACTTCACCTATGTCATGCCGAAGAACATTCTCAAGCGCTTCATCACGATCGCTGATCTGCGAGTGCAGGTTGCTGGCTACCTCTATGGCTCGAGCCCGCCGGACAACAAGCAGGTGAAGGAGATCAAGACTATCGTCATGATACCGCAGGTGGGCAGCACGAGGGATGTGCAGCTTCCACGCAACCTGCCCGAGCATGAGTTGCTGAAGGATCTGGAGCCGCTGGGCATGATCCATACAAGCGCTGGAAACGAGACGAGCTACATGACTGCTCAGGATGTGACGCAGCACGCCCGTCTTATGGCTGCTCATCCAACTTGGGACCGCAAGACGGTCACGATGACCGTCAACTTCACACCTGGCTCTGTATCGCTATCAGCTTGGTCGTTGACGCCACAAGGATATACATGGGGCGCTGAGAACAGGGATCTATCTTCTGAGCAGCCCGCTGGCTTCGCACCAGGCAATGGCTTCGGAGAGAAAAGTCAGTTGCTGTTGTCCGACAAGATTCGAGGCTTCTTCCTCGTGCCCGAAGATGAGAGGTGGAACTGGAGTTTCATGGGCAGTGGTTTTGGTGAGAGAGAGAAGGGGAGAGTGTATGTGGGTGTCGGTGTGCCGAAGCGATTCTACGATGATGTTCACCGTGGGATACACTTCACCTCGTTTGCCGAGCTGGAGGACGTGTGGGTGGACAGGAGTGATAATTTGGCATGAGCTGGTAGACGGGTGGGGTATGGGGGGCGGAGTTCTGTATGCATAGCGCGAGGCGTTTGCAATTGCTGAGTCATATATCTGCGGTCTGTACAGTAGAGTGCCGCATACCTGGCGAATGATATCTACGAGCTCCTGTGGTTTCATTGCTTGACATGGAACGCATTCTTGAGTCCGGTTCTGCACACACAGTAAAAGTAGCTGTCATGCCTGAGTTGATAGCATGCTCGGCTTCTAGCGACCAACAAGAGGTCTATCATGGATCTGCATATTCTCGAAATTCTTGGGACTCTGCGCAAGCGTAGCACCAACTAGACGATCTGGCGCGAACCTCGAGGCGGCTGTCTCGAAGAGTGATGAGACAACAACGGATCCATTCCGCGCCGAGCAGGGACGAATCACCTTTGCAACGCCGTAAATATCGGCTCCGTTTCAGAGAATCGCAAGTGTGATTTAATTGAGTCGCTAGAACATCAGAGACATGATAACTGGCAGTACCGTTGTGCTATGTACTAGATACGTGACTACGAGTGCTTGCCGTCGAGGTATGCTCGAGTAATTGTGACCGGACCAGCATACGTCTTTCGTGCCTTCACAAGGAAGAACACAAGTGCCAGGATGACCACTGCTCCGAACATGACGATAGCATAGTTCATCGAGTCTGCTGCAACGGGAGTCGACGAAGGCCAGAATGCCCAGAAGAATGCAAACCATGCGTATATCGCTCCAGCAGCATTTACTGGCACACCCCAGCGACCAAGACCCCACTGAGCTTTCGGTAGCAGGTGAGGCGCTGTCACTCGCCGATAGAGCACACAGCTGATGCTGATGCTATAAGTTGCCATTTGAGCCACTGCGGCCAGCGACAAGATCGCGTTGAAGGCATCCGAGCTGCCAAGATTGATCACACAAAGGATAATCGTGAATGCTGCCGTTAGAAGGACAGCGTTGACTGGGACGTGGTACTTTTGATTGACGCGGCTGATCCAGCCAGAGAACGGCATGCCTCCATCTCGGGCAAAAGCGAAGGTCTGTCGTGCTGTCGATGCCTGGTAGGCCACGTTGCCAATCATCAAGATCAGCAAGTTCAGGAACACGATCACTATCGTGAGACTTGGTCTGCCAGCCAGGTTCAGCACATACACCATTGGAAAGCCAGAAGGATCGTTGACTGCATCGTCCACGCTCGGGCATGCGAAGATGAATGAGACGACAGCGACGAAACCCATGCTTGCATTGATGAGGATCGACCAGATCATGGCTCGTGGTACTGTCAGACCCGAATCACGGCACTCCTCTGACATGTGTGCGGCAGCATCTGAGCCGCCGAGTGCGAAGATGGCACTGATTTGTCCAACCATCAGTGCCAAGCCAGTTGTGCTCCAGCCTCCTTCATTCGTGATCTCAAGCAAGGCAGCATGAGCATCGACATGAGGGCATAGCGCCCAGAAGATAGCGATCGTGGCGACGAATGTGGCGATGTAGACTGGCATGAATGTGGTCTGCATGAGTGGCAGTATCGGCTCCGCGAAGATATTGAACACAGCACAGAAGGCAGTCATGGCGATGGTCAGCAGCCAGCCTTGCCATGCAGCGAAACCGTAGCTTGGATCCCTGATGCCGATGAGAGACTGGATGAGTGTAGCACAGAGATATAGGCCAGACGCGTTGCCAGCTTGCCAGGAAAGTGCTGCCAGCCAACCCGCGGCGTACGAGAGTGTCTTCTGAATCTTAGGCGGAGCAAATTCGCTGACCCAGTGGTACTGGCCGCCCGCGGTAGGTGCCATAGCTGCCATGTCTGCCAAAGACGCTGCCAGGAGCACATAGCCGATGAACGTCCAGATATACGACCAGAAGAGACCAGCGCGTCCTCCGTTTGTGAGGCCTTGACTGTTGGCCATGATAATCCACTGCCACGTCCCCTTGAAAAAGTGTCAGTGTGCATTCGCGAACATTTCACGGACTGGCCGAGATCATCCCCCTCACCATTATGATGGCCGTGAAGCTGACGAGAGAAACTTGATTGAACACTCGCTTCATCTCTTGCGTCTTGCCCATACGTGCCATGTTGATCTTGTCGACATCATTTGAGCGGAAGACGTCGTCCTGAGATTGTGCTTCAGTCCGCGGAGCGAGCTCGTGCTCATGCTCATATGGCAGCTTGGTGTCGTTCATGGCTGTCATGACCGGAGTGGGCGCGCACTGATAGTCCTCGGAGTGCAATGAGAGGTGAGAAAGCGCAGATATAAGAATCGTTGCAGCATGCGTTCAACCTCACCTTAGTATATCACAGCTGATGGACGCCTGACGCCTGATAAAATCGGTCCAGGATAGCGGTATGGTAGCTAACGCAGGTGGTTTCTGCATCGATCATAGCCCAGGCCGTGGCTATTGGACATGTCAATCTATCAAGCATACGGACCTGGTCTGTACAGACATAGATGCGCCAATAGTCGAGCAGCAATGCACGGGTGGTACAATCTTGACTGCCGGATGGCGTAAAGGTGTGCTGCACACCTCAGATAAGGCCAGGATGCATTTCGCTTGCCATATCAAGCAGGTGATAGTACGTTATCCGGGATGAGGATGCCGAATGCTTGAGCCGTGGCCAGCATGCCATCTTATACCTATAAAGAAGTTCTTCAAAACCGTAGAAATATCACGCCAGAGATGTGTGCGTATTCGTGACCACACCAGCCATAACTTTGGCGACAACAACATCGAGTCTGAGGGGCGATTTGAAGAAAGCAATGTGTTCGTCGAGATGCCCACTGGCAAGCCTCCAAAGCTTGGCTAATAAGCTTGTTGTGTTTTGGGGCCAGGATCGCTTAGTATCGCAACAACCCCGCGAAAGAAGATACTGTCAGAAGCAACATTAATGCCTTGTACTCGTCTACTCTGGCTACCATGCTAAACGAGCTCGAAAGCATCCATGAACACGAACCTGGGAGTAGTATGTCCGCTACTGATACTTCTTGACATCCACGCCTCTTTCCACCGGCAGAACGGTACCATTGAACTTCGCCATAGTCAAGCCATATCGATCTAGCACACGTGGCTCCCAGTCTTCTGAGAATCTCTCCTCCTCAAGCATCGGCCGTAAATCTTCGACTCGGCCTCCGAATATAGTGAGCATCGTCGACGAGCTTTCGAAGTGTCAGTGACTGGCATCCCGCGATCTTGTGCAAGACATGACTTACTTGGCGCTTCCGAACATGTTGTGGAAGAAGGACTCGGAATACTTCGGATTTGTCTTCCTCGCATCGGCTCTCCTCTTGGACAGTGCTTTTGAAAGATCGCTTTTCGTGAGCTGAGCAGTGCCATCTGGCATCTTTCCGGTTGCGGTGGCAAGCAGATCATGGACGAGCTCAAGATCAGGCTTACTCTGGTCTGGACATATCGCTGCATCGTGCCTAGTCAAGCTCGCATCATGTTCAATCGCATTCTCTGCATGCAGGCTGAGGTCCTCCAAATCGAACTTGTCCTTCGAGTACGACCTGTTTAGAAATCTCGCGGAAAAGTTCGGAACGAAGTAGCAGAAAGAGGCGCCGAAATTGAACGTCGCTCGAATCTTGTGGTTCATCTCTGGGAAAGAAATGTTCTTGCCGTCGTGAGGTAGTATACCGTGATTTGCCATGGCGTTGAGCATTGGACATGCGGATCTGGAGTCACCAGGACCAGGTGGAACATATTCAGGCCATTTTCGTTGGTGACCTGGTGCTCCTGCGGGGACGACCTCGCCTTCCTTCAGCTTCGGCGCGAAGAGGTTGGCGAGAGCAATTCCATTGTCCCAGGCAATGACGGATAGATCGACCAGTGTCTCCCCGACTTTCTTGAAGATGCCCATGGTGTGCAAAAGTATGCGCGAGAAGATTTCGCAGAACGCAGCAACTGACAAGCAGGATGATGCAGTTGTGATCACACTCCAATACGAGGACACATCAAAAGCTCATTACTGATCGACCGATGAGCGAGTCGGTGTACTCAACATCGAAGTTTTGCAGCTACGAACTACACTTACAGTATACGGACACTGCATATTCTGCGTGTACTTGTGATCGACATTGCAGCACGATACTTTCGTAGACCACACCACGAAAGCGAGCTAAAACAGACACCATGCAGTCTCGGTAACCTGCATGAGTTGGGGGACCTGTCGTACCCGAGCGAAACTAGTGTTACCGCAGATCGACGCACGCTACTGCGACCCACAACATCAATCTTGCTCGATCTTAATAACATGACGACCACCGCAGTAGCTAATGATCACAGAATACGTACGGGTCGACGCAGGCCAATCCTCACCACGCTGAAAAACAAGACTATAGGCTTATCTATCTTGTCTACTAACCAATGATATTCCACTTCCCTTTATGATCAACACGAACTCTTGTCTTGTAGCCAAGCACACGCATACGCTGCTCCACCGTCCAATGCAGGTTTGGGGCCAAATCCTGTACGGGGCGATACCGCCCGAGATTAAAACTGACCTTCTTGATCCACTCCTCCGAGTCTTTTGGCTGCACGCGGACTTTGATCGGCCAATACTCTAGTATCCACCAGCCTTTCGCATCTTTCAGCTGGTCGTGGACTGGTGACAGGGCGTCATACCAGTCCTCCACATACTCTGGCGTCCATTGATCGTCTAGCTCCTTTTGCTGTTCGTCTTTCCAGATTGCAACATGATGAAGCCCTTCTGGATCCTCCTCATCAACAGGTTTGATCAGCGTCGCTCGTCGAGTGATGGGTGCGATACTGCCTTGCTTGTACTTCTGCACAATGTCCTCCGGAGGGCCGCCTGAAGGTCTCGGCTGAGGCGTGTATGTCGGCCACAATGTATGCACGTCAATGCCTTCTTCTGCAAGTCGGTGGGTTCTGAAGATGATGCCCGTGTTGGTCTCGAAGCACTGTCGAATCATCCATCTTAGTGGCACTTGTGCTAGCTTATGCCGGACCTCGTTCTTGACTGCACCTCCGCCAACGTCCGCGTGGGCGCCAGTAAACCAGACCTCCAGTACATCGGTTTCTTTGACTGCTGGACGCTGTTGTGGAGGCCTGGGCGCTGCTATCTCGTCGCTGCCTTCTTTCTCACCGTCAACGCTCGATTGAGCAGTACCCAGATTCGAGCTAAACCGTCGCACGCCTTGACCTTGGGCTGCATTCTCGTGAAGCTCTGCAACAGTCTCCCATTTGCCCTGGGCGCCAGTTGTGTTGTCTTTGGTCTGAAAACGACAGACCTTGAACTTCGCCCGACGCTCGTCCAAAGCCATAGCATGCCGGAAGTACGCGGCTTTATTGTACGGAGTGCTGCTCAGAGGAAGTCGTCTCGGTATAAAGCCCACACTGGCGACACTATCGAACACGCCAATGAAGTGGACGGAGACATCGGCGCAGAAGGTCTTCTTGAAGTCACAACTCATGTCCCAGCCGCTCTTCGTGTCGTCCTTGTAGAACTCGTAGGCAAATTGGACCTGCGAGACGTTGTGCGCTGGCAGGATGCCGACTTTGTGGACCATCCCGCCAAGACACCGAGCAGTATATGCTCCACGCGAGAAGCCAAAGATGCAGATCCGGTCACCTTCGTGATAATTCTCCATGAGGAACTTGTAGGCATCGCAGACGTGGACACCCAGACCGCTACCCACAGCCATGTCTAGTCCAGCCCGGATACCGTTGGAGAGTCCTCCCCCATCGTAAGTGCCGATACCACTCTGATAGTACGTGATCTGGCTGGGGTCGGACTTTTTCAAGCAGCTGACGAAATGGACGATGTTGCTATTGTCCGAGTCGAACTTATCGCCGGTACCGTCCAGACACACGACGACGTTACGGCCAGTAATCTTGGTATTGCCATCCTTCAGCGCCCGGATGTTGCGAGGCAGCCTGGGAAGTCCAGCTGCAGACATTTTTCCGCTGCGTTTACTGCACTTGTCGCCAGCTACAAGACCAGGTTCTTGGGTGGGATAATGAATGTTCACTTCACCGGCGGCATTCAGCCTTCATCTTCGAAAGCCGTGGTCTGGTGAGTATTGATGTCTTTTGTGACGCGCAACCAATACATACGTTTGAAATGTGCACCACATCCTGCAGGGAGGGATCTTCAAAGTAGCGGCGATCAGACCGCCAGAGCCTGCCGAAATGTCGAGGAGAAGAGCATTGTATCGCACCACTGATTGGACATGCCGGTCACACCAACCTGCCAATAGTGCGGTAGACGAATGTTGGGACTTGGTGCCATATCTGCCGTAGCTCCGCAGTGTAGCTCACCTTCTGAGTCGCCTCAGCATACCGATGCGCGATCTGCAAGCGCCGTGGTGGGAAAGTATGTATGCCTTGTGCGAATGTAGCTTAGGTGTGGAGAGCGGAGTCGTGTGCTGCAGGGGAAATCAAGGGTTCGGGTCGTTTAGGGTTCGCGCCGCCGGCCCCGGCTGTGTTGACAATGCATATCCCGGTCGTCCCGCGTGGTCGATCTGGGAGGAGAAAACTGCTGTGCCCGTACTGCTACTGGAAGTCGGATCAGCAGACGTATGCAGACGCGACTGCAACGGTCGCTAACAACTTTGTGCTTCTACATTCGGGCAATGCAGGCTCTCATGCACCTCAACGAAATGCAGCACCACCGATCACGATGACGCTCTTGACTAGCGGTGTATCGTGTTGTCGTAGCACGTAGCCAATGTCTGTGGTTGGAAGACGACAGTGCGTGTTCGTCGTGACACCCTGACCTATCAAAGTCGGCAGCAAGTTGCCTTGTAGGCAAGTCCCAGCGGCCTACTGTGATGATCGCCATTCCCTCAATGGCGAGCTCTGGAGGCTAAGCAGCACTGATGCAGCAAGCTCTTATTGGCGTAAAACGCAGGGCACAATGGACGCTACGCCATCTCCCGATCGATATGCCTCGAATCAGGAGAGCGCGAGCTGTCTGGAGAGCATCACTTGAGGCATCCCCGCCATCTATTCACACGCTGCGCTTCCAAGGTGACCTATACTACCCGTCACAATCATGCCAGGACAACTGAAATCCCTCCTTGGGAGTATCAGGCGTAAGCCATCGACAGCTCCTGACCAGAAAACGGATCGGGAAGCAAACGGTACGGCGGAGCGAAAGACCTCGATCCTACACGATGTTCTTCACAATGGCAAGGATGCCAGAATGCTGGCAGAAGCGCTGCCGACTTTGGCATCCGGTGAGCCATTGAACGACAAGGAACTGCTGCTGGAGCATGGAGTGGACATGCTGCAAAGACTGCCGCTGAACAGTGGCTTGTCTTCGTTCGTGTCCGACAAGTTTATTGGCATGTTGTACCAGGATCTTCCACACCCCAGCACTACGATAGCTGGTCCTACAGCGCGATATCGACGGCATGACGGCGGTAACAACAATATCTGGAATCCGGAAATGGGTAAAGCAGGCACACCATATGCGCGAAATGTGCCTCCGATGAAAGCTAAAGGACCCAATCTGCCAGATCCCGAGCTCGTGTGGGAGCACTTGCTAAAACGACCAGAAGGAACATTCAAAGAACATCCATCCGGACTGAATCGCCTCTTCTTCTCCTTTGCAACCATTGTTATTCACGAGTGTTTTCAAACAAATCGTCCCAATCAGTGGATCAACGACACTTCCAGCTATGTCGACCTCAGCACTCTCTACGGGAACACCGAGAAGGATCATCCAAAAGTCAGGACTTATACTAATGGACTTCTGTTTCCCGACTCGATCGCTTCTGAGCGGATCATGCTGATGCCCCCCGGAGTTGTTGCATTGCTCATCTTGTTCTCGAGAAACCACAATACCATCGCAAAGAATCTGCTGTCCATAAATGAAGAGGGCAAATACAAGGAATGGAGCAGCATGAGCGAGAAGGATCAGACGTGGTAAGTCATTTCCAGAGTCAAAGAGGGTAGCTGGCGATAGCTAACGCATTCCAGGCAAGATGAAGACATCTTTCAGCTATCGCGGAACATCAATGTTGGCTTCTTCGCGACCGTGGTCCTGAAGGACTACGTATCAGCGATCTTAAATACTCCCAGAAACAACTCTACCTGGTCACTAGATCTCGGCAAAGAGATCAAGAGCGTGGGAAATCGCCTAGAGCGTGGCACTGGAAACGTTGTCTCGGTCGAGTTCGCTGTGCTGTATCATTGGCACGCCGCACTCAGCGCAGCTGACGCCGACTGGATGGAAAGGCTTGTTAGAGCTAGCAACCCTGAACTCAAGTCATTGGATGATATGACCGCGGAAATGTTCTACAAGATGGTCATGAAAGCTGGACATGAGCTTGCCGCGATCCCTGCGAAAGACTGGGTCTTCAACAATCTGAAGCGCGGCGAGAATGGTCATTTCGAGGACGCGGATCTGGCAGAGCTCATCAAAGATTGTATTGAGGAGCCTGCACATGCATTCGGGGCTCATGGTACTCCGGCAAGCTTGAAGGTTGTGGATCTGATGGGTCAGCTGCAAGCACGAGAAGTCTTCAATGTGTGCACGCTGAATGAGTCAGTGTGATCACCGTGCACCATTGCGGCATTATTGCTAACACGTTTCGCAGATTCCGAGCATATCTCAACCTGAAACCATATGCCAATTTCGAAGACTGGTGCGAAGATAAAGACACAGCTCGCGCCGCCGAACTACTCTACAGCCACGTCGATAACTTGGAGCTGTACCCAGGTCTGATGGCCGAGTGCACCAAGCCTGCAATGCCGGGTAGTGGTGTTTGCCCAGGTCATACGACAGGTCGTGGTATTCTCGACGATGCCGTGGCTCTGGTGCGCGGCGACCGCTTTCTGAGCTACGACTTCAACAGCAGCACACTTACAAACTGGGGCATGTCGAAGGTTCAGCAGATCCCAGAGGGTGCATACGGCGGCATGCTACCAAAGCTCATGTTCAATGCTATGCCGACCTCCTTTACTGGCACTTCCAGCTATGCGCTGCTACCATTCTACACCCCGAAAGCCGCGCAAGGCATACTGAAAGGCAACAAAGTGATTGAACATTATGACGTGCGTCGTCCTGGCAAAGACGTCACTCTGCCCACTTTGCGCAGTGTCGCCGGCTGTCAAATTGTTCTCGCAGACGGTGGCAACTTCCGTGCTACATTGACGGAGCACAAGACTCTGCAGTCTATCTTTTTCGAGGAGAACTTCTCAAGCCACGTCGCAGGCTTCTTCAGTATCAGCGCTGCGAAGCAGATCAAGCAGAGCTCGCTGCGCTACGCCGGCACTAAGCGTGCCATCAATATCGTCCGCGATGTGACCAACATCACTCCCGTCCTCTGGCTCGCGGAGAGGTTCGCCATACCACTGAAGACAGCCACGACACCTCGAGGCATCTTGACAGTACCGGAGCTCTTCGAGATCTACCACGACATCGCCATGTACCAAACCTTCAACGTGGTCCCTGAAGACGAGTGGAAGCTACGGGCTGCGGCTCAGACAGGCAGTGCAAAGCTGAAGCAGATCCTGGAGCTTCACGCCAAGACTCAAGGAGGTGGCATCAAGGAGATGTTGGCCGATCGATATGAGAAAGGTTCTGCTTATGAGGTGAAGCCTGATGCTGATAGACTCTATCATGCTCTCAACAAAGCAAAGGTGCCGATCAGCGATCTGGTGGACGAATGCATCAGCTTCTCTGCGTCTATCGCACACACAATCACGCAGCAGTCTGCGCTACTTATCGATTTATTCATGGAGCCCAAGCATGCTGAGCATAAAGCTCGTCTTGTCCAGCTGGCACAGCGCCATGATGAGGCTGCCACGACGGAGTTACAAGCCTATGTTCTCGAAGGCATGAGGCATACCGGCTTCGGTATGGGAGTCACTCGCCTTGCGACTCGAGACAGCACGATCCAGGATGGCTCTTATGGAGCTGTTTCCGTGCGGGCTGGGCAGAAGGTCCTTGCCGCCGTCTCTACCGCAGTCATGGACTCCACATCCTTCGCTTCCCCAGACAGCTTCAACCCAGACAGATCACCGGAGCTGTACACCACTCTACTAGGACCAACACTATCCAAAGTAGCAGCTCCAGCCATAGCAGGTATTTTGAAAGAAGTTTTCAGGCTCGAAGGCATACGACGATCACCTTCTTTGCCTGGCAGCAATCCAGGTCACCTCACTGTAGTCGAGAAGGAATTTGCTGGCATTAAGATGAGGCATTACTTGGACTCGAGCGCACGGGAGTCGCAGTATCCGACGAGTATGATGCTGCAGTATGAGGAGCCTACACCGTACACAAACGGACATGGCAACGGGCATGCTAATGGAGTGGTGACGAACGGTAACGGCAAGGTTGCGAATGGCGTGAACAGCATGTATTGATACCCCGTGTAGCCGAGAAGCACAGATATCGCTACTCCCAAGTCGAACGATCTAGAGCTTTGACCCCGTTTGACATGGTGTTGGAGACTTGGCATGGAGCACACACCTACTGTCCCAGACGTCGTCGTCCGCGTGCTAAGAACCAAGGAAGGCATAACGTCGCTGGGTGACCAGTGTGCCTGATAGTACTCCTCATGTAGATTGTTCTTGCATGGCTGCCGTAGTTCAAGTAAGCAAGTCACAAACCCATGTCCCCACAGTATTGCAATCTGGCACTTCTTCAAGCTCGGGAACAAGACACAGGCTGCCCAATTTACACCTCGCGACCCGAGTAGATATGGAGAAGCACGGTCCGAGAGCAGGAAAGCTGGTCACTATAGTATTCCACCAACAACAAAATTCCGACCCGAGCACGATGTTGGAAACCACGAGTACAACAGCCTCACAAGGTCATAGGGCCTGCGATGTCCCCCTCGGCCACCTGCTCTCCCCACGGCACACTCCAGCCACAAGTCGCCTCCCAGCTCGATCGAAAGCGCCTCACCGCCCTGCTTCAAAGGGTACCCAACGCCCAAGCACCGCAACGCAGGCGGACGATCCTCGCTGGAGAGCCATGCCCTCAACCACCGCTTACACGGCAGTAGCTCGCGCGATACCGGAGTCCAACGGTGCCGGGGGAACAGGATCAGGGTCTCGATTGAGGCGGGTAGTAGGTCGTGCATGTGGTGCTGGAATGCGATGTCAGCTTCGTAGCTGCTCGGGTCAATCCCGAGGTTGAAATCAACTATAGCATGGACACAGATCTCCAGAGTGCGGAGGGTTGTCAAGGACTTGAAGCTGGGACGTCCGTAGCCGAGGTCGTCTAGTCTGCAGTCGTGAAAACGTCTTCCAGGATCGATGGTTAGGTGCTCGAGATGTGAGCCGAGGGCGAGGATGGCCTGTAGGACTCTGATGCCATCGAAGCCTGGATGGTCGTCGGAGCCGGGCAATATCAATTCGAGCTTGCGCAGTGTTGGGTGGAGGCTTAGTAGACTTTGGATGAACGTACGATCGAAGAGACAGTTGCTCAGTCTAAACTCTCGCAGATTGAGCCCTATAGAGGGCATGTGCAGAATTTTGGCCAGCGGGCGAGGATCGGCGCATTCCGTATACGAGGCGTCGAATCTCTGGAGGTGAGGCAGGAGCATAGCCGAGCAGGACCAGTCGTGGTCGGATACGCGGGGTGTCAGGTCCACACAGCTTGCTCTCGACCGATGACCGATCCGGGACAACGAGGAGCTCAACGTCCGTAGTTTGAAAAGGGGAAGGGTTGATGCGATCTCGGGAGGCGATGTGATGACGGCTATAGCCATGTCCTTGACAGCATCAAGGAGCTGGAGTCGTGCATACTGTGGCGTATGTATCTGCAGCGCCTGCAGATTGGTCGCTAGTCGGATCAAATCGATCCAGAGCTCCGTAGGCGGTAGGTCGGTATTGTCCACCCACGGATCGTGGAAACGAAGTTCTGCCGCCAACCAGGTGTTGCGTTGACTCCAGAGACGTACCCGGTGCCATGTCTTTTGTAGGATCGTGACTGGCGGCCTTGCCACGAGTCCGTACGGCCCGTGCTCCTCTTGATAGACGTCGACGTTGAGGATTCGTAGAGGTCGGGCTAGTTCCGGCCGGTTGGAGTGTGCGGTAGAAGAGGTTGGTGTCGAAGATGGCGTGGCCGGAGAAGACGGAGTAGAGGTGTGGTTCTACAGCTGTATGGAGCTGTCGTGAGCTTCTGCTTATGCTCACCAGGGTCCTATGGAGGGTGTGGTAGTCGTCGCAGCGGTAGTCGGGCTGATCTTGTAAATGCAGTGCTTGCCACTGCTGACCAAGGTGGCTAAAGATGTCGGCGAGCACATCGTAAGGTAGTTCGGGAAGTATGGCGAGCTAGACGAGCTGCACGTTACGGAGCGCGTAGAGACAGGTATCAGGATGCCAAGTGCTGCCCTCATAGTATACTTGCAGTAATGCTACAATATCGACGCCTGAAGGCAGCCATTTTATGCATCATTTAGCCAATGCCTGACATGGTGATGCAACGATCAGAGATTGGTCTTGAGCTGATGTATGGTCCATCAGCAGGACATTCCAGGACTAGAACCATGGAGAGGGCCTTGGGAGATACATATATACAGTAGACAGTCTAATATCAAAGAGAGGATGAAGTGAGAGGCGAAGCACATGTTCCACGTGCCTAGCTCGAACCTGACTCGCAGCTGTGATCTCACCACGCCCAAAGCTCACCTTCTTCCCCAAAGCGTCGCGTGCCTGAGCCACGTCAGCTGCGATTGAGGAGCACCAACGCCGCAATACATACAGGCAACAACATTCGCTGACCCACTGCCTAACCAACGGTACACTACCAATGATTACCGGGCAGTATTGAACGAAACAATCAATCACAATCTCATGAAGACACTCATGCGATAAGCCCCGGCGCAACACCACCACCACTACCACCAGCAACGATGCCCTTCAACCTCTCCATCTTCCGCATTCTCGGCGACGTCTCCCATACAGCGTCAAAATGCATCCTAATCTGGGCAATCCACACCAACCAATCAGCCGAAGGCGTCTCCCTCCTCACCCAACTCCTCTACATCGCCGTCTTCGGGACTCGATATCTAGACCTTTTCTGGGTTCGCCCCTGGTGGAGCTGGTGGAACACCATCCTCAAGATCTTCTATATCGGGAGTAGTGCCTACATCGTCTGGCTGATGATGAGGATGTTTGCCCGGACGCGGGAGAAGGAGTATGGGTGGAAACTCGCGACGTGGAGTTTGGCGGCTTGTGCGACGACGGCGCCGTTGGTTTGTCTGTTGTTCCGGGGGTGGAAGAATAGTTCTATTTCCGAAGTAAGTTGTTTCCTTCGATTTGGTACAGTATGGGGCGTGTCTAACAACCATGTGATAGGTGCTCTGGACCTTCTCCATCGAGCTCGAATCCGTGGCAGTCCTCCCTCAACTCCTGCTCCTTCGCCAAACATCCGTCCCCACGGTCTTGGACTCCTTCTATCTCGTCACACTAGGCAGCTACCGCTTCTTCTACATCATCAATTGGATCGTGCGAGGCTTCACTCACGACGGCATCTTCGATCCCATAAGTGCGATCTTCGGCGTGATACAGACAGCATTATACGTCGACTTCGCATGGGTGTACTGGACGCGACAACGAGTGAAGCTACGAGGAGGCGGAGTGGTGGATAGTGATGATTTGGGAAAGAGCTTCCTGGTCCGACGATTCATTGGACGAGGAAGAGGAAATGCGGAGGAGGATGAAGATACCGTTGACAACGAGACGGCGGCTTTAGCAGGGCAGGAGAATGGCACGATCGATCCGAGTGCTAGGCCAGGCGCACAGAGGAGCGGGAGTGGGAGATGGGGCGCGAGAGGAATTTCAGTCAGTGCGGACGATACGTTGGCGGAACATGATCGGAATACTGTGGCGTCAAGGAACGCAGGTGCGATGGCGGACCCGGATGCTTTCGAGGATGATCTGGATGAGGATGCTGATGCGCCGCCGCCACCTGCCAAGGATGGGAAGGGCAATGCGAAGGATGAGGAGCATGGTGGTGATGAGGAGGAAGAGGGAATCGGGAGTAGTGCTGAGGAGTGGCAGGAGAATGCTCCGAGATGAGTCTGCTAAGCTTTGTTCGTGAATAAAGCCATGCTCACGTCAGCATGCGATGTATGTATGATACCCCTTTCCAGCTGACTCTGCAATCAACAACGCACAAATTACTACCGTTCCACCATCTCCACATCTCGCGCCAGCAAGATCGCCTGCTCACCTGACCGACATGGGCACAACGCGACTCGCCACCCATTCGGAGCTGGGTCGCATTGCCAGCCCCAGCGTTCCGCACCGAATCTACCTACTTGACGCCCCACACCGTCGGGAAAATCTTCCCCAACCACCCTCGCATACTCGGCCTCAAGCTCCCCCTCACTCCCGCCCTGCCCTGCCCCTTCCAATCCGCCACCATCTTCTTCATCACGGGGCTTGCCGCCTCGGAAGGCGTAGTCTACCACTCCCTGCGCATCGGCAACCGCAAGCGGCATTCTCACCGTCTCGGTCTGGACGGCCTTCAATCCTACAGCCTGTAGGACAGCATTGTGTTCTACTTCGGTCCGCCAGGTGGAGGCGGATTCGGGGATGTGGAAGGCGTAATCTGGTCTGTGGAATGGGGTGGGAGTGGTCAGCTGTCTTGATAGGGTGACCGGAGCTACGAGTCATGGGTGACAAGGGATCCCGCAGGACCTACTTCAGTCGTTTCGCCACCGTTCCGATAGCTAGACCCCAGTCGATCCTGGCGCTCCAGGTGGCTATGCCGACCATGCCGCCCGGTTTGACCACGCGGTAGAGACTCCTCACGGCAATTGCGACTCTATCAGTCGCTTCTTCTTTTCGCAGCACTGACGCCCACCTTCATATTTCCGGAAGCATGCCTACAAGCAAGTGCTTACTCACCTCTCGGCTCAGGGATGAAACTTATCGCGAAGCTGCTTAGGGCGTGCGAGAACTCGCCAACCCCGAGACCCTCTAACGTCGCGCCATCGACTCGTTTGGTCGTTACATCAGGGAGGTGAAGAGCGTCGACTTGTGCAAGCATATCAGGCGCTATGTCCGTGGCTATGATCCTTGTCTTGGGACACTTTTCATTGATGGTGGGCTTATCGTTCGTTGTCGACATTTCTGCAATGGAATCACTATCAAAGTTCAACTACAACCGGTAAAGGCATGGAGTTTAGAGGTAAGAGTATCGTCAGCCGCTGGATGCAGCTCAGCTGGCTGACGCGACGGTCCTCAAGCTGTGGCGAGCTGAGTGTGAGGCGTGGGTAGCTTTTCGTCATCGCATTCGCTTCGCTATTGGTTCGTCTTCCCAGTCTGGCAGGTACGTACCGCACACATGCAGCGGTCTCCCCGCTGGTAGATCGTGATATTGGCGTGCGTGGGTAGTCACGCACCGCGGCTGCAAAGACTTCATCTCCTGTTCGGTGGCAGTCAAGAACTCGACCGATACGTATCGTGCAATCCAGTTACGGCGGTTTCGGCGTTGCCCAGATGCTAGGCGGACTTCTCTTTTTTGGCTTCCAACACTTTTAAGGCATCACGAAAGAACGCAGACGCTGGATGAAGGATGTTGTCTGTCGCGGTCGGATGCTCTGCCGTCTTGTTCGGAATTTCGATTATTTTCGGCCTGCCGGACACGCCGATGAGCGCATGGTCCCTCGACGACGAGCAGTCGGTCAGTTTGCCGGAGCATGCCAAGGTGAATCAGGCAGACATTGAGAACAAGCATTCCCAGCCAGCTCAGCTGGTCGAGAGCCTTGTAGATCGGCCTCTGTACATTGGCTTCGTGCTCTCGCTGCTAGTGAGTCCCCCTTTAACGTCTGCGACCGGGTTCGATATAGCTGACGACCATAGAGATTGGTCTTTGTGCCGGCTCAGTGGTATCTAACTCCGCTACCTTATTGCGGACCTTCGGATACACGCCGAAAAGTTCAGCACTCCTGAATTTAGCAATTGGCGCAGTCCACCTAATCTCGATTCTCGTATGCGGCTTTCTGGTTCGTACTATGGTCGACGCTGGCTGATTACTTTTCTCGCTGCTTGTGGTGGGATCATTGGCAACTGACTATTGTCGTTTTACCCGCATCGCAAAGCATCTGGTAAGTGCTCGCATCATGTTGCCATGTACATACCATACTCACACACGATGCAGGATCTCTTGCAGGCTTGTGGCTGTTCCAGATCATCTCTGGTGTGCTACCAATCGTATGGCAGTGGGTGTAAGTAGCCTTTACCAATAGCTTCTAACACGCTGCGACTGACTGCCCATCATAGAATGACCAACAGTGCTGGACATACCAAACGTGCCTTCTTCGCTGCCATGCTCAATGCTGGTTTCAACATCGGCCAGCTCATAAGCCCACAAACCTTTCGGATTCATGATGCATCTCAGTACAGGACTTGAGAAAGAATTATGATGTCGAGAAGAGGGCATTGAGGTAAAGGTCGACTCAGGTATGTTGTTCTTTGTCATACCGTGTATAAGTCTGAATTATGAACTTCATTCAACCCTGTCTTCGAATCAACGTCATCGTCCAATATTCGGGTGCCATTGAAGCGCGAGCGCGGGGTTGGATGTGGGGTTTGAGAAAGGTTATGGAGATGGCCCACTGTGAGGATTTGGAGTCATACACGACATTTGTTATCCTTCTTGTCCATCGTTCCTTTCTCGCACAGGTTTCTTAAGTCCTTCCCAGCGAGACGAATACGAGCACTTTCTCACAATGGAATCCTCAAATCTGGACAAGCAATTCGGTCGAACAGCAGACGATCCACGATATCTCGATTTCCAGAACAGTAAACCTGGTTCCGGACTGAACAAGTTCTCCTCGACTCTGACACGCGAACATGACTTTCCAGCTGCCCAAGCGATGCTGTACGCCGCTGGAGTGCCGAACGAGCACGTCCTCAAGAACTATCCGCAGGTTGGCATAGCAAGTGTATGGTGGGAGGGCAATCCATGTAACATGCATCTCCTCGACATCGGCAAGGAAGTCAAGCGGGCAATAGAGGGCCAGGAAATGCTAGCATGGCAGTACAACACCATCGGCGTAAGTGACGGGATCACAATGGGTGGAGATGGTATGAGGTTCAGTCTGCAGAGTCGAGAGATCATAGCAGACAGTATTGAGACCGTCACATGCGCCCAATTCCACGATGCATGTATAACGATCCCGGGATGCGATAAGAATATGCCCGGAGCGGTGATGGGCATGACCAGGCATAATCGGCCAAGTATTATGATCTATGGCGGCTCGATAAATCCTGGTTATAGTGATCTCCTGCAGAAAGACATCAACATCACCACCGCACTCGAAGCACACGGCGCATACATCTACAACAGCTTAGCAAATCCCAAAGATCCATCGCAGACCAAAGACGACATCCTCAGCGAGTTGGAGAAGAAAGCATGTCCTGGCCAAGGAGCGTGCGGTGGCATGTTCACAGCCAACACAATGGCTACTGCAATAGAGACGCTCGGTCTCTCACTTCCTGGCTCGGCGTCCACACCTGCGACGTCTCCTGAAAAGATGCGCGAATGCAAAAAAGTGGCTGCTGCGATCAAGATATGTATGGAGCGAGACATCACACCTCGGAAATGCTTGACCAAGAAGTCATTCGAGAATGCTTTGGTGATGATGATGGCGTTGGGTGGGAGCACGAACGGCGTATTGCATCTCCTAGCAATGGCAGGCACAGCTGAGGTCGAGTTAACGTTGGATGATTTCCAAAAGGTTAGCGATAAGGTCCCTTTCATTGCAGATCTGGCACCGAGTGGTAAACATCTGATGAAGGACTTGTACGACGTTGGTGGTGTTCCTTCGGTGCAGAAACTTCTGATAGCAGCCGGTATGCTAGATGGCAGCACGATCACCGTCACCGGCAAGACATTAGCAGAGAATGTGGAATCCTGGCCTTCTCTCAAGCAAGGTCAAGAAGTCATCAGAAGCCTGGATAACCCGATAAAAGCGACTGGGCATATCGAGATCCTGTACGGCAATCTTGCTCCCAATGGAGCTGTAGCGAAGATCACAGGCAAGGAGGGTATGGTCTTTACAGGCAAAGCTAGAGTGTTCAACAAGGAGCACGAACTAGACGATGCTTTGAACAAAGGCCAGATCCCCAAAACTGAGAACCTCGTTCTGATCGTGCGGTACGAAGGTCCAAAGGGCGGTCCGGGAATGCCCGAACAGCTTAAAGCCTCTGCCGCAATTATGGGCGCTGGGCTCAAGAACGTGGCTTTGATAACAGATGGTCGATACTCAGGCGCCAGTCATGGCTTCATCGTCGGCCACATCACTCCTGAAGCCGCGGTGGGAGGTCCCATAGCTGTCGTACAGGATGGCGATGTGGTTACTATTGATGCTAGTAAGCATCGCATCGATATGGATGTGAGTGAGGACGAGGTGAAGCGGAGATTCGAGTCGTGGAAGCCGCCGCGGATGACTGTCACGAGGGGAACATTGGCAAAGTATGCACGATTAGTGGGCGATGCTAGTCATGGTGCTATGACTGATCTGTTCTGATGGATGGCGCTGAACAAGATGACGCTGTACATAATGTCGATAGTAACCTGTCAGCACCATCACTCCGCTTCGGGGCAGATGAGCCGTGCTGCGATCGCTCTCTTTTCCTGTCATTGCCTTCCGAGTGTGAGGACTTGTTGCTGAGCACGTCGCCAATAATCAGGCGTTGAACATCATCAATTGCGATATGAGCCTAGATGCTGTTGCCCGAATCGTGCGAGACATTCTCCATATGTAATGGATCAGTGAGACACTTTCCGACATCTTGACCTGCTGGGTTTGTTGTCCCGTGGTCGGCCTAGCTTTCCTGTCTTATGAGCAACAGAATGTCGCTAGTGATTCAAGCCGTGAGGTTACTTCTGGCTACTCGAGAAGCGAACACATCTCCATAGCAGATGGTGCTAGAAAACCCCATCGCTCACATCCGAGTCCTTGTCTTCCACGTGCCCAACAACAGGCCGGTCCAGCCCTACCTCTGAGTCCAACGGCCAAAAATACGAGCAATGCTTAAACTCAATTCGACTTAGATTGTCCTTGGTAAGCCTTCACCACCCAATCTCGCTTAGCTTGACATCCTTTCCCGGAACCTCAGCTCTACGCCGCAACGCCACGTGCACTGCTTTAGGGATCCCTTGCCTGTAACGCATCCTTTTCCAGGCAACTTATAGCCTACTTTTCGGTGCGGAAAGAAGCGATGCCATACATTCAGAGAGGATTGGCCGCTACCGCGACGGGAAGATTATTGTTTACCGAAGATGCCGGGCTCGTGGGCTTGTTCCTCCGCAGCCTGTAGGATTTGCTCAGCCTCGAGTGTGATTGTGGACGCCTGATGTGAGTCGCTCCTGAACTTTGTCGGTGTTGTCGACCATGTTCTGTCATATATGGCGTGAACCGGGCGTACCGACTAGGATCGCTTATTGTCTTGGCCGTGGAACATAAGAGAGTAATAAGGCCGCTATTAATCTCTTCGCCATCCCTGCTTCGCCTGTTTGCTCGACCATCTATCTATCGACTACGGTCTTGTGACACAATAACGATTATGCAGATTGTAGCAACAGCAATGCTCGCCCTTGTGGCAGTGAGCAGCGTGGCAGCACTTCCTGCTGCTCGAAAGTCGAATGTAAGGACGTTACAAACACGTTCTACTCGAATGCAGCTGACGTTAGCCAGGACCTATGGTATCTCGACCCACTGGAGAAGTCGCACCAAGCCAAGTCGGCCATGCAGCAATTCCTCGCACCTGTTGTGCCGAAGAAGGACTGGTCGGAGCATAGAGACATCGTCATCCGACCACCACCACATCTCCCGCCACCCATGAACGAAGAGGTGGAAGACAAGCCAGCTTATGTCATTAGCGAATTTGTCGAGCTATTTCCGCTGGACGACATCTGAATAAATGATCAGCGGATGCCAGAACACGGAAGGCACACTACGGCTCAACGAAAGCGCCACCAAACCAGCTCCACCATTTCAAGTCACCAGGAGTGGTAGCGAAGCCTCGAGATCGGGTATCGTGATGAGCAGCGAAGCTCCCAAGGCTGACCACACAAATCGCCAAGAGCCGATGGAACATGAGCCGCTGCAAGTGATGGAGCAGGTCGAGCTTTTGCAACAAGACAGTCATGTTCGCAGCCACTGACACGTCGCCGGCGTCGGCGCCGGAAAGCAGAGAACGCGGCCTACTTGATCAGGTCTACCCGACAAGTGGACAGGATTGCGATCTTGCCTCGGGTTAGCGACCAGCATAGCAGACCGCTTGGAGGAAAGAGTACGGCGTAAGCGGGTCGGCATCGGTCATATGTTTGCCAGACCATCGTTTCGCGGTCTCGCTGACGAAATGGGTGGGCGACATCATCTTCGCCGTCGTGATTGAAGGAAGCGTAGGATTAGCAGCTGTCCTGGAAGTCCTCGGAAGTGCTTTGGTGGTCAAATGTGTGCATTTTAAGAGACCAATACCTCAACGGACACAGTCATTGCTATGGTGGAGAAATAGTGCTGATGCAGAAGAACTCTTTCGTGTCTACATCTTTGACCCTCCTTCTCGTATACAGCAATACGTAAGTGTGAACTCACTCCTCGCAGACTCATTTCTCGTAGACTCATTTCTTGCCAGTAACATTCTCCATTTCAACGACATCGTCGCCCTTTTCGATATCGGCAATCTTGTCTTGAGCATGCATAGCAGCCGTCTGCTGGCCAATCACTACGCTCTCAAACTTGGAACCGCGCTTCTCTGGTCCGATGGCCGCGGTGATCGCAATACCCATGGCAATGATAGCGGTTGCTACACCCATGACAGGACCGTAGGCTGGAACACGCTTGCCATCCGCGACTGTGATGAGATGCGACTCCGCAAGCGCGTTCACAATCTGCGCGCTAGGCGAGGAGATCATGTTGCCAAGTTGGTAGGTGATGCCTGGGAACGAGGACCTGAAGGCGGGAGGGGACAGCTCGTTAAGATGGATAGGGATGACGCCCCAGGCGCCTTGCACGAAGAACTGCAGCATGAAGCCAGAAGCAGATAGACTGCCAAGGCTGGTCGGCAGGATCCAGCCAGGGATGATGAAGGCGCTGATGAGGGCTGCGCCGACCATTGCTCGTCGACGACCGACCCATTGAGAGAGATAGCCGATGATGGTGCCGCCGACGCAGGCTCCAGTCTTCATTAGGATGCTAGCTATGGAAGCGTCGTGGTTGCCCATCTCTTTCTGAGTCTAGGATGATGTCAGTACACGTCTCCCGCCATGTCCATCAGACCATGCCTTACCTTCATGAAAGTAGTATAGCTATCTTGGCTTGTGTGCGAGTACTGTTCTTGTAGTCAGCTACCAACCTTCCTCCGCGATAGCTTCTGTGAGGACTTACGTAGTTGAACCAAGTCATGAGGATGATAGCATAGATACACATCTTCCACTCTTTCGCCAGCATGACCTTCGTCTCTCGCCAGAACTCGCCAGGCGTGACGCTCTTCTGCTCGGAGGCCTTGCGTTCGCGGAATTGGCTGGACTCTGGGAAAGCAACGCGGATGAGACCAACGCCAATAGACAGACCAGCGGCGATCCAGAAGACGGTCTTCCAGGTGTTTGTGGCACCACCGACACCGAGGTTGGCACAGGCTGCGCAGACGTAGCCGAAGGAGTAGCCTTGTTGCAAGATACCAGACATGAGACCTAGTAGTGTATTAGAATGCTGAGTGACGCCTCAGTAGCATGACTTGACATACCTCTAGCTTCAATAGGACAGTTCTCGAGGGCCATGGCTACAGCATTACCATACACACCCCCCATAAACAGACCAAACAAGCTTCGTACAGCCAAGAACTGCTGAAACGTACCGGCGTAGATGGTGGCGATTTGTAAGAGACCCAGCACAAGCATGTTGATGACCATGGGCCATTTGCGGCCATATCGATCACCAGCCAGACCAAAGAAGGCTGCACCGACTGAGCGCAGTAGGAGCGTCAGAGTAATGGCGGTGCTGATCTGGGTGTTATCGGTATTGTAGTACTTCGCCAGCTTCGTGGACTGGATACTGAGAGCGTGGAAGTCGAAAGCATCCGCCGACCAGGATGCGAAGCCGACGATGAAATATAGCCATGCCGATGGTGTAAGTTGTGCCAGCAGGGAGATGGGATTACGAAGAGGCTTTGGTTTCATCCACTCGGTCCTGGACTCGCCATATTCGTTGGTGATCTGAACTCTTTGCTCCCACTTGAACAAGTCGCCGAAGGATTGCTTGATCGTGGGCCAAGTACCCTTGGCTATGGGCTCTGCTTCTCGGCCGGTGCACTCCATGATGAAGGATGAAGGGGTCTGGGAAAGAACTCACAGGGCGTATGTGAGTACAAGGTCAGGGGGAAGAGCGGTTGTCGAGCTCGCGTGCTGATCCAGATATATCAGGGCGCGGCGTCCTACCTTCTTATCTTCACGCAGGCGTGCTCCGCGCTGCCACCCCGCAAAGCAACGCCGAGACAAACAATGCCCAGCACTGCACTGCGCTATACGGATGCCAAGGATGGTGCTTCGGGAAACATCGTGAAGGCAGACAGCCATGCAAGCGTCCGTCTCGAGCACACAGCACGTGTCGGTGTGATCATGTGACAAAGATCCACCCTGTTGCAGTAACATGGCCTGGTCCAGAGACGGCACGAGTAGGATCAGGTTTAGCCACCGGCCTTTGCATTGGATCTTGTTGGTGCTGAAGGCCGCTCCAAGGACTTGGCTGGTGGACATTCTCGTCTTGGCCGTGGATTAGATTTCACAGCCGGTGTCCACCCCGCGAAGAAAGTGTGGCTTGGCGTGGAGACATGTTATCGTCGGGTGATATCGTAATTTTCCATGTGGATCGCACATGGTTGTGGAGGTGTAGCATGTGGTGTGCCATGGGGTAGATCAATAGGAAAGACAATCTCTGCATGAAAGCTAACGATACAAGTCCAGCCCGATCTTCCCCGACAAAATGCATGCCAAGTGTTTTTCGCCATCTGGCGGCATCTGCTCCTCCTCAAGACCAAGAGATCGTGGTTGTTCATCAGCACTTCCATACTCATGCTCGATCTCGCTGGCGTACAATCATTGCATACAGCGCACTGTGCCGGTAGCCACCTGGACCTGCTACAAAAATGGCACTGCCGTCAATCGTCCTTTTCTGCCACGTCCGGCGCTCTCTCTCCATCCCGACTCTGTCCCTAATTTTTCGTAGCCGATCTGTCATTGCAAGGTTGGCACGATAATTTCTGCTGCCAGATATGGAGCAAGTGTACAGTTCTCGTCTATGACACACTCGTCGAGGTGCACTCGCCCTCGGCGTTGATGTTGCACGTGTTTAAACGTCTCTTGTCCGACTTCAATCCTTACAAAGTCGATTAATCTGCTTGCACAGTCTCCCGGGCCGGCTGTGGATACCGCTGGTCCAACAGGCAGATCTATCTGAAAGGCCTGCTGGTAATCCCATCGGTTTCATGGAGCGCGGCGGACAGAGAGCATACTGGAGACCCTGAGCGCACCAGACTGGGCTCGCTCGTGCATTGGGAGCCCTGGTGGCATGTAGGTCAAGACGTCGATGCTACCGGCTTCTTGATCAGCTGATCTGCAAGCGTCCCGCATGTCGAGTATTGTATCCGATGGTAAGAGATCTTGTGTTACGCAGACCTCATCAATCTGAACCTGATCATTCGAGACCATCCCGCTTCGCAATCGCCACCTTTGCGAAATCCCGCATCATCTTCAGGGTCGCCTGCTCTTCGTCGGTGAAAGCAAACGTCTGCGTAGTCTGCATGCAGACAACATTCCTCGGATGGACGGAATAGGGATCGCGTTCACCTCTCCGCCGTCGACCCTTCATCTCTCGTGCGTAATACTCGAAGTCGCGGAACTCGACCTCGGTCTCATCGTCAAGCTTTTGCGTAGCAAGCCAGCCGTTGAACCAGAGTGGCTGCCCGGCCCGATCGAAGTGGACCAGCTGTTGGGAGCAGATGCAAGGAGTGTTGCGGCGGTTCAATAGCTTCTGCCTCCTCGATGCGACGGAGGACTCAATCGCCAAAGTTGATGCGGGGTCTTTGCTGAGTGTTGACAATCCTTTCGCCAGAGGCTCTTGCTCGTTGGTTGAAACGGACGACTGCTGGGGTAGTTCTGGCGTTTTACTTAGAATACCCATCGTGCCTGCCTCGCCATCGTAGAAAGCATAGTCGTGATTCCCAGTGAGTTCCCACGAAAGCCAGAAAGTCTCTTTATCGCCTGATCTCGAGTCAGAAGACGGGCAAGGGCTGGGTGGGTAAGAAACGAGGATGAGACTCACCGAATACCATCTGATAGACTCCTTTCTTCCCCTTCTCCTCGTCGCCGTCCCGGTCTGGACCATTCAGTCGGGTCGTCAATAACAGCGGAAGGAAGTGCTTCCACTTGTCCACAACCACAACTCCGGAGTCCTGCATATGCGTGCTCTCGCCCGTCCACATGCGATTTTCTTCCACGAGATGAGATACAGGTTGTGGAAGGATCTCGGTCAACCAGGAACGCTTGCTACCCGGCATGGTATTGCGGTCTTTGAAGAAGAGCGCACCTGTCCCGAGGTACTGCTCATCAGTGAACAAGATCTCGAGGTTGACAAAAGAGAGCGCATCCGCGTCGATGAAGATCGCCTCCCGGAAAGACGACAAGAGTATGGCGAACGGCTTCGCGGCCCATCCTCTCAAGGCCCAATCCGTGTCGTCAATCATATGGCTCATATCTCTCGTGATCACTCCGTCCAATGCTTCCAGGATCGAGCGCGATTGCGAGCTCAGATCGGCGTCGCCGAGGAACATCACCTCGATAGGGAGTCCGCATCCCAAGCTTCGCAGCGACGGAATGGACGTCATCAGAAATGGTACTTGTGCATCGCCAGCTGTGAAGACAATGCCCCTTCCGCCCTGGTAGAAGCTCGCATGGAGTGTCATCAGGTCCGACGACCAGTCTACCAGGTACGGAAATAGACGACGAGCGAACCCATTGATGTAAGCCCGGAAGGCGTCGTAATTGCGGATCGCTTCACGAAGCTGCCTTGGTGTGAGATCGGCAGCTCGTAGCGTCCTCGTAATGTCAGTCTTGAAGGCAAGCGAGGCTGGCGAAAGATGGAGATGCAGTGACTCCCATGCGTTGAAAGCTTCTGTGAATACACGGATTCTGAGCGCGAGATCTCGAACGTGAGGCTCGCCACCAGTCGGTATGAACGGGGCGAGGAGTGGCGTCAACTGGAGTTCGTTTGGCATGAGCTTTGTCATTCCTTCTACAGATCTTCGCAGTTCCTCGTCTGCGTCTGCTTGTGCGCCGACGCCACTTTCGGGCAGATCATGTGGTAGTTCAATGTCGAAGCTCGAGGAGGGTTTAGATTCTATATGTCGTTCATGTCTAGCGTTCTGACTACTCCTTGCCCCGGTCTCTTCCACTGATGGCGGTACTGATGGCGGTACTGAAGCCGGTACTGATGCCCGTTGACCAGCATTATTGAGCGGTGCCTGTCGCTGGGAAGAGACGCGCGATGATTCTGCAGGAAAAGAGAGCAGGAATAGGCAGCATACTCCGAGAGCGATGAGCATGCATAGTTGGCTTCGACAGAGGCAAAAGCGCCGTGGCCATCGTGTTTGCAGGAATCGTAGAGTCATATCTAGGTGGCCGCCAATGAGGTGAGTTCACGAACGGTCAATGTGTTGCTCAGGTCGAGTTGCCAAGGTGAGAACAAGGGAGATGATTGCAGGTCAAGTCTTGACCTCCGATATAGGGACCACTCTCACCGGACTGTCCTGATCATGCTATGGAAGAGGAATGTTTCGTTGGAAGCGAAGGCAGCTGCGCAACGCCGAAGTGCAGGCCGAGACATGGGGCTGGCGTACGGCCTCGCCTGGGTGATGCCAAGGTGTCTGGCCATCGATGTTAACGCCTCCAATAGCGAGTGCATGAGGTCGACTCTCACTCATCTTGGTACAAGACAGTGTCTAGAACAATCGTAACATGTAGCAAAGGACGCTTTCTGGTAAGTTCACTCTCTCAGTCAGCCACAATTCATGGCGTGTTCTACCCCGTCATTTCGTCGTGCATCTCTCCTGATGTGGGGGACCTTAGTGCCCTATCACGCTGGACGCCAGAAGGGATCTCCCTCGTCTATGACTATAGGCCAGTGGTTCTTTCACCTCTGCACACGGATGAAAGAGAAAAGGAGCAACAGATGCTCGAGAGGTGCCAGGTTTAATAGGATGATTCGCCAGCATCGCCCTAAATTCGTGCCAGCAAACATTGCAGCGTCGCCGAACCTACCAGAGGTGGATTGATAGAACCGGATCGTCAAACCCGCCAACCCGATCAACGACGACGCCACATATACAGGAGGCGAGCTGAGAGTAGTCGGCGCTTGTAGGTCCCTTTCCAAGCATGGCAGCAAGTGTCAACTCTGGATGCACGTTGCTTTGGGCGTAAGACATGTCTGGGCAGCCAAAGTCCTCGAGAGGTCGAGAGGCCTCCTCACCAAACGACGTATCATATCCAGCTGCACCGTGGCACTCGGCCACATAAACTTCAGCATCCCCAGCGTGTCATTCTCGTGGCCCCCATTGCTCACCCCGTTAGTCTTCTCCCCTTACAACCCAGTCGAGTGGCAACGGCATCCAGCTTCATCATGATCACTGTCCACCTCTGTATTGCGGCCATCGCTGCATGTACGGCTGCCAGTCCCTTCGCACCGGTTTTGGAGGAACGAAACGGTGATGCCTGCCAACAGGTACGTGTTCTACTTGCAGGCAACGACTTAGGCGGGCAAGTGCCTGTCGAGCTTCTTTGCGTCTCCTTGCAGCCTGACTAGATATACTGACGGAAGTTGAACAGTTTCCCTACAGTCTGATTCTTCCCTACTCCAAATACGCTCCAGCCGAGTCTTTCTGCTCTTCCAAATATCCAGTTGCCCATGTGACGACGACAGTGACCGTCACTGCGCCCGCTCCCAAGGCGAAAAGAGCCGTACTTAGCACAACGACTACTGTACGCGAGCCAGGATAGGACCTCCCCACGTTCGTTACTGACAGTCCGTTAGGCTACTACTACGACGAAAGCTATCAGCACTACTACTACTACTACCACTACGAAAGCGATTATTCCCACTACTACGAAGTGAGTAGAACGTCACTGCACCGTCTGCGCTACGAGAAACGATTCCCAGCCTGCGCTACACCTGACGGTCCCTCCAGTAGCTCAAGAACACTGCTGATACATCTGCGTCTCCGCTTTAGGCCCTCAACCACGACCACCAAAACTCCAGTGGACGCCTCGGCCTCCCAGTTCACCTCGATCTGCTCCAAACTGGGCAACGCCGTCAGCACTGCTTGCTCGTACGTGTCTAGCCCGAGCTTTGACAGTAATGCATCGAGCTGACAGATTCCAGATGCATTGAGAAGCCTATCACGGTAACGGTAGATCTTTCAGCCTAACACCATGACGGTCCGTCTGCTGACGGACAACCATTATAGTCAACCAAGACGATTACCCCAACGACAACGGTACGCGTCTTCTCTCATATCCTGCGCTTCGTCTGCTCATGGGTGCTGACAAAATGAACAGACCACGACGGTAGAGAGCTCGAGGGACTGTGTCATTCCTCTTTGAAGTTACTAATCTCTGGACAGACTACCACAACGACCACAACTACTACCACGGTATGGAATGAACAGAGGCACTATGTTAATCCCCAGTAAGACACGCTGACATTTCGCCAGACAACACCCACCACTACTACTGTACGCCGAAATCCCACGCGCTCGCAAAAGGCACCGAGGGCTGATCGTTTGTGATAGACTACCACTACCACCACGACAACTCCAACCACTACCACCACGATGACTCCAACTACTACCACCACGACAACCCCAACTACTACCACCACAACAACTCCAACTACCACCACGACTGAGAACATTCCAACCACTACGTCGACCACTACCCCGACGACGACCACTACCACCACAACTACCACGTAAGTCCAACCTCACTTTTCCGTGCGTCGTTTATGGATAGCTTGCAAATTCGTCACTGCGAAGGTGAGCGTATTCCGCAATGCCTTGGGAAGACCTACCTATGAACGCCAGGGCTGCCCTAATTCTTCACTACTTTCTCTGGGACGCTGCCGGATTCCCGGTGACACTGCCCAACTCTATAACTACGACGACCTCTGCAGCGCCTGCATGTAAGCATTCGTCAGCCGCTACCCGACTGCCCCTCAAGCAACCCTAACCTCACATTACAGATACGCTTGCTGCATGCGATCCCGCTCAGGCCGGCGGAAATTCTGTTCGCGGCGGCTGCTCAAATTGCTTCTGTGACAATGATATGCATGGAGTCGACGCCTATTGCACGAATGATGCTGGCACGTTCACGGATCGCACCACCGACGCTGACTGTCCTGCTGGCAACTTCTGCGATGCGACCGTCGACAAAATCTGTGATAGCTCGACCGGTTGCTCGTCTTCCTATGTTCCCGGCAGCATAAAGAGGGAAGTCTTGGCAGTGCATTTCGGCAGGATGTGACCGTCCAACCAGCCTTCCGAGTCAGAAGACTTTCAAACTTTCACGATGTTTTTAGCACTATAGGATGTTGCCAATATAGCATGCTCACTCATCACAAGTTCCTTCAAGGACCTATTTGGCATTGTTCTTCACGCGTCGATTTCGTCCAGCTTCTAGCTAACACTCTGTGGCTTTAGAACAACGACTACGACTACCACCTCTGCACCATCCAAAGGTAAGCCCCTCATCAACACTGCTCACCTGGCATCTTTGCAGCACTGACTCATCTTGCAGCCTCGAATGTGCCATGCGACCCTGCCGCGGCTAATGGAGGAACCCTAGGCGCAGGGGGCTGCTCTTCGAATTGCGTCTGTGATCCCGACGTCGACGGGAATGCCCATTGCACACAGATTGAAGGCAGTGGCACGAGCTGCGCGTCGGATGCGGATTGTACTGGCGCGGGAGAGTACTGCGATTCGTATTATACCAGCCCGATCTGCCTCGACACTAATGGTTGCACGAGCACTTACGGAACCACCAGCAAGAAGAGAGATGTCTTGGCCCTGCATTTTGGCAGTATGGAGAGGGTAGGGCATTGATGGTGTCTAGCATCTTCTAAGTGGGGTCTTGTGGATTCGTGAGGGTCTAGGAGTCTCTGTTAATGGAAGTGGAATGGCCGCAGCAGTTTCTACGGGTCTGATATCCTTTAAGGTCCGGTATTCGGCAGGTCTCCATCAATTTCCTCTTCTACCACACTTTACACGATCTTGGTGTTCAAGTCATGTCGCATTTCCCTCAACATGAATGATAAGGAGGAGAAGCGGACGCATGCTTCTGCTAGATACAACATTGCGAATAGCTATATAGCTCTAGCCTACAGCCTACGAATGCCTTCCTCGGCAGTTTTATTCAGAGTATCTAGTGTTGCCTCTCGAAAGATACTTGCTATCTCTGCAACAATTTCTTCGACAAGAGCCTACACAGCAGGCGCTGATAGCTTCCGGTGCGATCATGGTGATTATGCTCTGAGTATTTTGCAGTCACTTACACGTTCGTTATTGGGCGCCATATCTAGACATCTTCACTTCTCCAACAAAGCACCTCTCTGTACAGCCTCAGTATTGACCCTCATCCTCCTAGTAGGCTCCTCCCCAAGCCATGCAGGTTGCTGCTGAATGAAACTGTCCTCAAACTCCCACCCATCACCACCTTCAATATATATTGACTTACCCACCATCGTCACGTCCACAATGAGGCCCACGATAACCTTCGCCACGCTCTCAGCAGACTGCGAGTACAGACCCGCGGCCTGGAACTTCACTGCTATATGGTGGGCCCTTGATTCGGAGCGTCAGCACTTGGCAGGCGAGGCAGGTAGGGTGAAACCCACATCGGCGTATCAGTGACCCCAGGATTAACGGCATTAACCCGGATGCCATCTCGTTCCCACAACGGTTTCCTCGACGATCTAAGCAGACCTTGAATAGCGTGTTTACTCGTCTGATACAAGAACAGACCAGGACTTTCCCGGAAAGCGTTGACGCTGGAGAGGAGGACGAGACTCTTATCGTCTGCATCTTGTCCCTTCCCATTGCGTCTGCTGTCATCCTTACTGCTCCTGAGGAAGACGGCAGCAATGCGGGCGAAATCCATGGTACCCTTCACATTGACGTCCAGGACTTTGCTATTACCTTCTTGCTTGACAGAACCGATTGTGAGCTCCGGGTCAAACCTTTCGCAAATTAGCATCCCTCTACTCCCACTTCAGGTCCAAAAGGTGAGCACCAACCAATTCCCCTGCTCAAAGATTCCCGCACAAGAAACCACATGATCAACCCTCCCACACACCTCCCTCGCTTTCGAGAAAAGCCCATAGATGTCTTCGTACTTCGTGACATCGCAATGCACGAACTCCATTCCCGCATACCTTCTACTCATCTCGTTGCCAACCTCATCGTTAACATCGCCAAAAACGACTTTAGCTCCATGCTCGTGGAGGATCGAGGCGGTAGCAGCACCTATGCCCGTAGAGGCACCTAGATATCTTCAGTCAAAACCTGTACCCGAGGAAGCATGAGGAGGGGAATTGAAGATACCAGAAAGCACAACAACTTTATCCTTTACTTTCGCAAAAGACGATTCCGCAGGTTTGAATTCCGCCATACTACAGAGACAGTCTACAACTTCGACAGGCTGATATCGCTACGTTTCGGTGTATATATTGTTCTTGTCGAGAAGTCTCCGAGGGCAGTGCTGCAAAGTGAAACCTCAATGTCAAGCTTCAATCCAGCTTAGGACTTGAGCCGCTGTATGACTCGAGTTGCTGTACTTGCATCTCGAACACATCATACAGCTCTGTGTGTGAAGAGAGGGCGACTATTGCCAACCCGGAGAATTTCATTTCGACATTACAGACATACAAGCATTTCGACCTCTCCGCGCCACACTCTAAGCCCATTCAAACCTTCCACTCGCCCGTCCACCCACCATTGAATCAAGACCTAAGAATACAACTTCGTCTCCACCCCCAACATCCCTTGAATTCCGCCTTCCGCCTGCGCACTCGCTGTCCGGAACTCAAACCTCACCTCCCCATCCCTCACACCCGTCTGCAAACCCATTACGCTCTTGATCCCGATATCCTGCAGACTGTGTTGCACGCCCGCCATAAGATAAGGAACGAACTTCGTGATACTTCCCCGATCCAACACACTCCCGCTGACACCCTGTGCGACGAGCACTTTGTCGCCCTCCGAGAAATAGCGTGCCGTGCCGGCGTTCTTGGCGTTATTTGCTGCCTTGAGGGCGGCGGAGTTGGTGCTCTTGCCCGTCGAGGGCCCAGAAGCTTTACGGTCTTCCATTGCATCGATCGAGCCCATGCCGCGGTAAGACTTTCGCAGTTGGCCATCCGGTCCGACAACGTACGCACCAGGTGACTCCGTGCAAGCAGCGAGGAGTCCGCCCATCATGACCGTACTCGCTCCAAGAGCGATAGCTTTGACAATATGTCCCACATTCTGAATACCACCGTCCGCAATACATGGTACGCCGAACTTGGCCGCGAACTCGCAGACTTTGAATACAGCTGTTGCCTGTGGACGTCCAACAGCCATGACTTCTTGTGTGATGCAGGCTGAGCCGGCACCCATACCTATCCTTAAGCCGTCGACACCGGCGGCGATGAGAGAAGCTGCTTGGTCACGTGTGACGACGTTGCCTCCAATGACTTCGAGTTTCGTGAAGGTCTTCTTGATCCATTTGACCATTTCGAGTTGGTAGATGCTGTTGCCTTGACTGCTGTCTAGGATTACGATGTCGAGACCTGCTTCTACGAGAGCCGTGAGACGCTCTTTATCGTTCTCTCGCGTGCCGATGGCGGCAGCGGAGAGGAGTTGTTTCGTGCCTGGGACTTTCGAGGCGAGTGGGTAGTGCAAGTTCTTCATGAGATCACTCCGGCTAAGGAGCGAGACGAGGTTGCCTTGGGCGTCTACAAGTGGCAATTTACCTTTCTTGGATTTGCTGAGGATGTCGTTGGCTTCGGTCAGGGTCACACCCTCGCGGGCGGTGACGAGGTCGGTGGACATAATCTCAGTCACGGGTGAATCTGGGTTGCTGTGAAACTGGGTATCTCGTGGTGTGACGATTCCAATAAGCTTGCTGCGAAGTGTGCCATCCTCTGCGTATACGTCAGCTACTGGGCCCAAATACTGTAAAAGCTGTGCGAAGTGTTGCTTGTGATTCATGTCAGAGTTGGTGGTTTGTCCACTGCGCACCCGGCGCACTGGCCGAGCGCTTGCGGTTGAACGAAAGTTAATAAGATGTTGCATCATACGAATCACATCAAGGCACCGTGATGAGACGGAATAAAGCTTACCGGTTACAGGGAAGCCTCCGAAGCCCCAATGATCCTTCAACGCCCTCGCTTCCGCGACAGTCGTGCTCGGCGAGATGACAATAGGATCTGTGATGAAACCATTCTCAAACCTCTTGACCTTCCTAATCATCTCACTCTGCTCCTCCACACTGCAATTGTGATGGACCACTCCCACACCTCCAAGCAGCGCCATATGTATAGCCATATTGCTCTCCGTGACTGTGTCCATGGGACTCGAGGTGAAGGGAGTCTTGAGTGTGATCTTCTTGGTCAACTTCGAGGTGAGATCGACTATCGAGGCAGGGAAGCCGATATGGCCTGGGAGGAGAAGGAAGTCGTTGTAAGTCAGACCGCCCATGCGGGTCTCGTCCATGAGTTCGTGGACGGAGATGCCGTCCTTGGCTGGGTAGGAAGACAAGAGCTCGAGGGCTCTGGAAGAGTCTTCGAAATGCTCGTCATCGATGCTGCCATTCGTGCCGTTCATGTTGCTCGTGGTAGTAGATGATGTCTCTTGCGGCTTGGCCTGCGACTTCAACTTCACGCCGTCGACCTCCTGATGGTCAATGGTACCGATCATATTGATGTCTATTACGGTATCAGTATAGAAGGACTCGTCAGTGAAGACTTTTGCAACTTACTCAAAGAAAGGAAGAAAGGTCAAGTCACGAGCAAACTCGAGTATCAAATTTCGACCGACTCACTAGCGCGCTTCTCGCACTTTTAACGTTTATGGGGTGCAGAGAAGTGCCAAGGACAGCACTATCACGTGCGGCGACGACATCACTCGCCATTTGGAAGAGGGGCATCTGTGATAAACGTCTTCGTATTATGTATACTAGAACAATACGGGCATGCCGCGGGTATCATCTCGAGCAGCAAATGCCTGTCCAATCTCACTAGATCACCTCCCCCTACCCTATACTGAGGAAGCCATCTTCAAGGCCGGCGTCAAGGTTGTCCGAGATACCTGGGAAAGGGATTTTGCATACTCTGTCTTCCTCCGGGTCGAAGTTGCGTCTGACGTAATCCTCGAAGTACTTAAGGCCATGAGCCAAGTCTTAGGCTTAGACGCTTGAATATGCTGGAACTTGGCAGGCCCAAGTTTGGTCTCAATGAGATTCTCGAAGCGAGCGTTCAGGAAGGCCGCGCCGCAGAAGGCGCCGTCGCCTTGGGCGACTTCCTCCTGACGCAAAGGTGTGAGCTGCTGGATCCCGTAGGATACTAGTAAAGTCGACAGTGCCGCCGCTTTTACTATTATCAGCATGGTCCAGCCATGATCAATAGAATGACGTGTCTCATCCGGCATCAATCACCACGAAGACGCTGCCGACCTTGAGGTGATTTGGCTGTATGGCTTGCAAGGTACAAAGTGCACCAGCTTCCGGCTCCGAGACCAGAACGATGTCCTTCATTCCAGCAGCTTCAGCAGCCTTAAAAGTGGCGTTCTTTGCTGTATCGGACCATACCGCAGGCACAGTGCAGACAAGCTTGATTCTGGTTGTGTTGACGAAATGGTCTCCGTAACGACGACACATGATTTCTTTGGCGTGGCCATGGATAGCACGCAGCAGGTCTGCCACCGCCATACCCACCGTCTTTCCGGACGCCGACAGGATACGCTGGGTGGCCGGCAAAGAGGCATAACTTGGCACGGCTTGATCCGGGTCGAGGAGCAGCTTCAAGCATCGGAGTCGGCCTTCCTCGAGTAGTATTAGATAGCCCCAGCGCATTACTGTCTTGGCTGGTGGAGTCAAGTAGGTTAATTCTGGTGGCCCAGAAGGTGCTTTGAAGGTTCTTGCTTCACCTTACCATTCTACGCTTCCAACAGACATCTTTGTGGAAAGGTGGTTACGTTTCATCTTCCAAGAGCATCCACAATGTAAGCGACACGATACTACAAAGCATCGCGCCCAATGTTGACTTATTGCAGGAACTATCTATGGCCGCCGCGCAGAGGCATGGACCTACGTCAGCAGAATCAGATGCGGAACGACTTGATCAGAGCCCGAACCCAAGTCTGGAGTCTGAGGTGCGAGCGGAACGCAGCCAAAACCAAGAACCAGTCCCTGCAAAACGAGGTCCACGAAGCCAAAGACGAGATCCGGACTTTGATGGTTACTTTACAAGACTCTGACACCGACGTGGAAGAAGGCAAGTACACCATTGCGATGCTGACGTATGAGCGCGACAAGTTACGCAACGAGGTCCAGAGAAGGCCGCCAGAGGACATCAAGGGCCTGCGAGCACAGCGGGATGAGCTTCGCCGCAAGCTGCACAAGTCGAGCAAGCTACTCGATGTCAAGGGGGCGGCCGTCGAGCAGTGCCGCAAAGATCTAACCGCATACAAGATCAGCATCTCCTCCGCAAACCACGAGCAGGACCAGATCCCCGACAACGAGATTCAGAGCAAGTTTGAGAGCATGTTCTACGCACTTCAAGACGTTGCGGTCTCGGCGACGCGTGGTTCAAAGCTCGGTACGTCTCGCTCTTCGAGCCAAAGCATGCCGTCCAACCATGTGTCAGATACCTCGAAGCTTCCGGAGACTGCACAGAAGTGGCTTGACGCCCAAGTGACGAATACTAGGCACCTGCCCAAGCGATACTGGCCATACATCATCATTATACTGATGTCTCGAGCAATCTTCTCATGCTTCGCGCCTCAGTACTATTTCGGGCTGTCTTCCCGACCTACGATCAGTGCGGCAACAACGCTTGCCTCGACTATGAAAGTTATCCGTTTGCTCGAGCACACCGGCAAATTTTGGGCTGACGGGTTATTAGGATCCGAGGCTCAGGCCAGACCATGGCTGAAGGCTACTCGCGCAATACTCTCTGACATCAACTCTGATGCTCTGCGTAAGTCCGACGACGCATTTGTTGACAGTATCGTACGCGAATTGCAGGACATCTTTCGCACTGCTATGCCCTCAAGCTGGAAGAATACTATCGAGAAAGGCCTTCGGAAGATATGCGCCGACGCACTTCAGCTGATGGCGAAGCTGCACTCTTCGAAGCCACTATTCGCTTTCGAGTTCATTCCAATTAAGTCTCCAGCGGGATGTCCTCATATCTTCGATCCAAAATGGATGCACAGTATCTCTGCTGACGAAGATGAGCTGGCGGGGAGGCCGCTGCAAGTCTTGGTCTTTCCAGCAGTCCTCAAATACGGCAATGAGTTTGGGCAAGCCGTAAGTAGAAGAAAAGCCAAGTGTGACTTGAATCTCCTTACTGACAACTTGCTGCAGCAGGATAAGATGACCATTATCTCACGAGCGAGGGTGCTTCTCAACGATGAGCATCGCGGTGTGCGCGGCGGTATTCTGAAGGAAGTCTCTTCTTCACGGTCTGGTAGAGCAGGAGAATGGGCTACCAGCGACCGTGGTGGGCTGGAGCCGAGCTGGTCGAGCGGTGCAATGGTGGAGGAGGGACAGAAGTTCGAGATCCAAGTCATGGAGGTGTGCTTCAGATGGAAATGCACATGTCGAGACAAGACTTGCAATGCGATCACAACGCCTGGCTTTGCTCTGTACTACATGATGCGAGCGAGGGTTGCGTACACACTGCACAGCACAAATGACGTTGTGCTTAAACACCTTCATTTCTTGCTCTCGATCGCGTTCGAGGTCATGCAGTCATCTCCTGCGGGTAAATTCACCGGCCCGGCTTCATCTTTGTCAGCTTCGTCATCCCCATCACAAACAAGGTCAACTGTCATGTCTTTCATTTGCCGCCTCCTCACGACACTGTCCCTGCCATATAGATATTGCCGTCTCCTTCCATGTCCACGCGATCGAATCCCAGTGTCGATCGCCACCATGTGGCGGGGAGATGCCCTGTCATACCCAAGCGAGCCATTCGCCCATATGCCGACCTGCATTTACCCGGTCGAATACGGGAGTGTAAAGACAGATTTTCTAGCCAAGGCGGAGAATCTACACGGAGGAACTGCACCGACATAGCCATGCTTTGATGAGTCGTGTTATGGTATAAGGACGTAGAATGCCCACGAGAATGCTCCAGGTAGGCGATCCCAGGCTTGCTCTTCCTCTCAAAACTCCAGTATGAGGTTGCCCACTTTCACTGCTACAGCGCTCTTCGCTGCAAGCGTTGCAGCCATTGGACAGAAGTCGACAGTCAATTTCAATGGCACCGGCATGCTTCTTGGCTCCAGCAACGCCGCTGTACAGATCATGGTCGAGCAGGATGACTGGCCAGCTGTGCTTCGAGTGTGTGATGATGTGGCAATGGACTTCGGCCGTGTCACGGGCGTCAACGGCACGGTATCATTGATCAATAACGGCACAGCACCTTCTCTCAACTCTAGCATGATCTACAATACCACTGGACGGACTTCACACCAGATGGGACAGGCTTCATATGGCAGCAAAGGCGGCGTAATGATTGCAGGCACCATCGGCAATTCTAGCATAATCGACTGTCTCATCCAGGAGGGCAAGATTGATGTCAGCGCAGTATCTGGTACATGGGAGGCTTATGTCTCGGTGATGGTGGCCAATCCAATTCCTGGAGTAGCACAAGCTATGGTCATTGCAGGTACGAAGTTTGACGGAGATTAAATTCATAGAGTATACTTACACATCATACAGGCTCAAATCGTAGAGGCACAATCTACGGTCTCTACAGTGTCTCGGAGCAGATTGGTGTATCTCCATGGTACTACTTTGCCGACTCTCCGCCGCAAAAGCACGACAAGGTCTACGCTACGAACACAACAGCTGTACAAAAGTCACCATCTGTGAAGTACAGAGGCTTCTTCTTGAACGACGAGGCGCCGGCACTGACAGGCTACATTATGGCGAAGTTCCCACCATCGCCTTGGGGCCCTGGCTTCAACGCCGACTTTTACAAGACTGTCTTCGAGCTTCTGCTTCGTCTCCGAGCCAACTATCTGTGGCCAGCACAATGGAACAGCATGTTCGATGTCGATGATGCACGATCTCAACCACTCGCCGACGAGTACGGCATCGTCATGGGCACTTCTCATACTGAGCCGATGATGCGCGCAACCAAGGAGTGGAATGTATTCGGCAAAGGCGCTTGGCAGTGGAACACGAATAACCAGTCAATCTATCCTTTCTTCGTAGAGGGAGTTCAGCGCTCGAAGCCGTACGAGGGCGTGCTTACCATGGGTATGCGTGGCTCTGGTGACACTGCATTGGGCTCAGGTATCGAGACCGCTTTGCTGGAAAGTGTTGTGGCTGCTCAGACGGAGATCCTGGACAATCTTTGGGGAAACGTTTCGGTCCAGGACCCAAACATCGTCCCTCAGATGTGGTGCTTGTACAAGGAAGTGCAGGGATACTATCAAGCTGGCATGCGAGTACCGGACTACATCACTCTTCTATGGACGGATGATAACTTTGGAAGTGAGTATACAACGCTATCCCACGTTCCGATAAGTACTAATCTCATCGCAGACATTCGACGACTACCACTAACCAACGAGACCGACCGTGTCGGCGGAGCTGGCGTGTACTACCACTTCGACTACGTCGGAGACCCTCGTGACTATAAGTGGATCAACACTGTACAGCTCCAGAAGACTTGGGAGCAGATGCACTTGGCCTATGAGCGTGATGCGCGAACTATCTGGGTGGTCAATGTTGGCGACTTGAAGCCTCTTGAGCTGCCAATCAGCCACTTCTTCGATATCGCGTACGACATGGAAGCCTATGATGAGGCTAGTGTGCCTACATGGCTCGAGAGCTGGGCGGCGCGAGAGTTTGGACAGTCGGTCGCTGCACAGACAGGTGCACTTATGAACAATTATAGCATTGCGGCAGGACGACGCAAGTTCGAACTTGTGGACCCCACGACGTACAGCCAAATCGACTACAGCGAAGCGGATCGAGTTCTCGCAGAGTGGCAAGCTATGCAGTCAGTTGCTCAGAGCATCTACGACAGTCTTCCAGCGGCGATTCAGCCTGCTTTCTTTGAGATGGTCTATCACGCAGTGACAGCAGCCACCACCTACTACGACATCATGATCACTGTGGCGAAGAACAACCTGTACGCCTCGCAAGGCCGTAATAGTGCGAATGCTTTGGCACAACACGCACTCGATCAGTTCGCACATGACCACCAGCTGAGTGTGCAATACAACAGCCTCCTCGGCGGAAAGTGGGCGCACATGATGGACCAAACACATATTGGCTACCAATACTGGCAACAGCCAATGCGTCAAGCCCTCCCTGGCTTGCAGTGGGTCGCCAACCTGGAGCGAGATCTTGCTGGCGATATGGGCGTCTCCATCCAGAACAGCAATGCAACAGTGCCGGGTGATGACATGTACCACACACTCTCGTCTGAAGTCCTCACCTTCACAAATTTCGACCCCTATGGCGTCAGCAGCCAATACATCGACATCTTCAACATGGGCACCAAACCCTTCAGCTGGAAGCTCTCCGCCAATGCAAGCTTCGTCAGCTTCTCTCAGGCATCTGGACAGCTCTCGACCAACGGCTCAACCGATGCCAGAGTCTACGCCACGGTTGACTGGTCGAAGTGCCCTCCAGGCAGCGGTATGGTTCTCATCAACATCACTGCTTCAGAAGCGCAGTCTACTATGTACGACCAGCAGACACTGTACGGCACGCAGTACTCGATGCCACAATTGATGCTACCATACAACCATACTGTGTTACCCTCGAACTTCACAAACGGCTTCGTCGAGTCAGACGGTCATATCACCATTGAGCTCGAGCACTGGAGCAGCAAGACATCCGCCAACGCAAGCGCTCTTGACTACAAAGTCATCCCTGGCCTCAGTCGTACGCTATCGGGCGTCACGCTCTTCCCCGTCACGGCTGCCTCGCAGTCTACCTCTTCGGGACCAATGCTTGAGTATGACCTCTACACTTTCTCGCCGAGTGTGGCAGCTGGTGTACTGAACATCACCATCGCCACCACTACATCGCTGAATACCATTCCTGATCGCCCACTGAAGTACGCCATTCAACTCGACAACCAAACACCAAAGACTGTGCAGTACATCATCGATCAGCCAGCTGGTGCCAATCCCACGGGCTGGCTCACGGCAGTGGCCAATAGTGCGTGGACCAGCACGAGCAACTTCACTTACTCAGGTCCTGGTGCGCACAAGCTGAAAATTTGGGCGCTGGAGCCTGGTCTTGTGCTCAATACGGCGTGGGTGAATCTGGGTGGTATCAGGCCAAGTTATCTTGGGCCACCAGAGAGCTACCGCGTTGTCTGATGTGACCTTGAGTCTTGCCAGACGGTTGGATTGAGCGTTGAAAGCATGCTAGCGTCATCGAAGCGTAGATGCAGTGGAACGGAAGACGTCATGTTTCCTTGATGACGAGCTTGTCCTGCGAGAGCTCGGCGGTGCGCTTGGCCAGATAACAATGCCGCAGCGGAAGACGAGAAATATCAAGATATTGTGTCGGCTTTCCAAAATCATCGCGCGCGCAGTCGAGTACGCACTCGGCGGATGTATACCATTGAAAGCTATGCTGTTGGCCCGCGATAAAGCTGGAAGATGTGCAGACTTTTTGTCAATGGCGTAAGTGTTCAATTGCCATACTTATCCCAGAGTTCTTTCATAACTTCAATGGCATCGTCTCGCCAGCCTCCACAATCCATGGCATAATGATTCAACAGATGATACAATGAGTAAAGGCTGGTGCGATCCTCGTACTCCTCGATGGGTTCCGTCTTTGGCTTTATCGCGTGATACCGGGACCAGAATCCAGCCAGGAATCCGCCGAACAGACGCATAATGGCAAATTCATATTCGTTATGCGCATAGACCGAGCTGGGATCATACGTGGTGGCTTGTAACCCAGACCAGCCTCTTACACGACCCTTGATCTGGTTTCCCATCCAGAGGTCGCCGTGCACGATCGAAGGCACAATAGGTTTGTCTCCCCCCAAATGTCCGTCTTGCAGCAGAGCAGGCACAACCCTTTCAGTCATGCGATCCACCCATGTCCTTAATTCATCATCGGCGCCATGCCGTACTTGGCACAGACGACTGATATAACCCAGTCGTCGCTCAGCGAAAAGTTCCGCCAACGAAGCGCAAAACGTGTTGTCTTGGGGAGTTGAGCCACAATATGCACTCATTGGGAATCCAAACATACGTGATCTGTGACCAGCTGGAATAGGAACAGGCTGATCGTGCAAACTCGCGAGCTTTTCGGCCAGTGAGCGTTCGGTCAAGGCGTTGCCTGTACACTCTGCATCGATGAACTCCGTCATAAGGAAGAAGTGATCAGTCTCTTGCATCTGACCAAATTGAAGCGGCCTCGGGCAGAAAGTTGGTAGCGTCGTGCTCAGGGTCTCGAGAGAAAAGTACTCACTGCGAAACATCTCCTGGTTACCATAAGTCTTGCAAAAGAAAACGACCTCCGTTCCATCGGAGTACTTCGCTCGTACTCGTAAGGGCACAGAGAACCCAGCATGACCATGGTGACTACAGTCGCAGGCAAATGGATCACCTGGTATGGCTGCCATGATTGCTGGGTCCAGTTCTATTGCAGGATCGTGCTCATTGTGATGGATAGCGCTGAACTTTGGATGTTCCGGTGGGGCCCTTGGGGCGTAGGGCAAGTTGGCGTTTTTTGTTGCAGAAGCACCCAACGATACTTCATCCAGAGCGAGTAAGGCAAGTGAGGCTGCAAGCTCGGCCGCTCCGTTCTCCTCCGCATGATGGCGCGCGGTGTTTCCACCGTGATTACGCACGAGATAGGAGGCACCCGCATCAACAAGCGCCCTCGCCACCTCATCATGACCCTGCCAAGCAGCTTGGTGCAGCGCTGTCTTACCATCGTAGCAGACCGCATCGACAGGAGCGTCATGCTTGAGCAGCAGTCTGACGCAATCAGTGTGCCCATTCCAAGATGCCTGGTGCAAAGCCGTGTGACCTTCGCCCGTACGCTCATCTAGATTGGGCCCGCTCTTGAGCAAGAATGCGACTATAATGGTTTCTCCGTTCCAGGCGGCTTCGTGTAGTGGTGTCCACCGTCCGTAGCATTTGGAGTCAACGCGCACACCCTTCTTGAGCAAGAACGAAGCGATCTCTAAATGGCCCTGCCCAGCTGCATGGTGCAAGAGCGTCATGCCCTCCCTGTCCAGCTGAGTTAAATCTGCACCATGCTCCTCCAGTACTTTCACAGCAGCCAGCTGACCTCCATTGCAAGCCCATAAGATGGCAGTACGGTTGCGGGCGTCTGGTACGTCGACTTCCGCCCCTGAAAGCAGCAAGTATTGAAGGATGTCGATATACTGATGCATCGTCACACAGTGCACAAGAGTTGCGCCTCGTGCATCACAACAATCTACATCTGCACCAGCTTCAATCAGCATACGGACCGTGGGGGCGTGTCCATTGATTGCTGCAAGATATACAGCAGTCAAGAGCTGATCGTTCGTCGTATCTAGCTTCGCGGATCGATCCACCAGGACATTGACGACGTCCGTCCACCCTCTACCAGCGACCCACATTAAGCAATCGTAGCCGAGTCCGTCTCGGCGGTTGATCTCACCCTGATCTCTGCTCTTCAGGAGAGACAGTACCAGCCAGGTGAGCCCACCGTATGCTGCCAGATGTATTGCCGCAAAGTTGAGCGGCTGTTTTTCCCATGGTTGATGTCTGCGATGCCAGTAAAGATCGAGCCACTTCTGCCGCGTCGGAGAGTCTTCGGAGAGGAACTCATCTTCCACATCGAAGCTACCGATGACACGATCCCCAGCTAGACGCATGTGCTCCAACCAGAACACCACAGGATAGCTGTGATACTTACGTATGAGCGTGCTGGCGATTCCTGTTATGTCCGTAGAAGAGTCGCATGATATGTCATCGTTCATGAGTGATTGACCGCTCAAATAGCGATAGCATGCTATCGCGAGCTCGGCATGGACCACGCCTTTGTCAGACGGAACGATGTCCTGGCGTTTCAGCAGATGCTCGCGGGCAGAGTCGTGAACGAAATACGCCACGTCTCTCCTTACTGCGACGATCGAAATGCAGAGGTCGAGATATTCCAAGATCAGATCTCGATCTTCAGCGGTCTCCTCTGTTACACGCGCGAGTATGGCCAGCTCCCATAAGGTGAGTGGCTGGAAGGCTGCTGTCATGACTCTCAGTACGGTCCGAGCGTGCTCACTCAAGCCATGGCTTTCATCCTCCAGTATTTGGGACAGAATCTGATCATAGAGCGCGGTGAGGCCAGATGGTAGTCTGGAAAACACAGTCATAGTGTTCATTGAGCGCACTTTCGGTTTGGCAAGTTCTCGGCATGCTAGGGCGACCCAGAGAAAAGTACCTTCAGCACGTTGCTGGAGGGAGGCCTTTACCTCACGAGTCAACGTATCGGAATATCTTTTCGCTTTTTGCAGCTGTGCTGTGCGCGATTCTATAAATTGTGTGACGGACCTCTCCACCATTGTTGAATTGGCTTCTAGGTCTATGTCCAGAGCATCATAGAGCTCCAGCCGAATGACCTCCTCATTCCTGCTGGTAATAGCCACTTGATACGGCAAGCCTCGGCATCATCACTGCCGTCACCACCTGTGGCACTCTCCGCCCTGCCACGGAAACTTCTTACAAGAGACAGGAATGGACTGATAGATTCCCGCTCGCATTCGTCTAGTCCATCGGTGACGATCTCCAGATGACCGATATGGCCTTCGCTGACTGCTGACTGAAGTAGTCTCCACAACGTGTACAATGCGGATGGCCCACTGAATGATTGCTCCTTTCGCTTTGCGTACTCTTGGCGAAGCAGGAAGCAAAGATGTGGACGCAAGCTGAAGAGCTGATGGAGAAGCCCTCGGAACACGGCTATCGGTGTGTTCCTGCGGTTGTCTTTACTGTCACAGAAGAAGTAAAGTAGCTGTGGAGATGCTGGGTTCTCACTCGGAAGCCGCCGACTGATCATGCGAACCGAAGAGATGGCAATGAAAGTCTTGCCCTTGCCAGGATCACCGTGTATCCATAGTGTATCTTTATCCAGTGATTTCTCCCAGGCTTGGTAGGACTCAAGCTATTCACGAGAAGTCTGGGATGGTCAGCGATGAGCTATATCACTCTACATTATTGAAGAGTCAAGCATGTTTTAGGCCGGTGGTCAACATTGATGATTGGGACAAGGAAGCGACCCCTCTGATGGATCAGACCGGCATTCGCGGACTTCTCTTGGCCGCCGGCCACAATCACTGGGGCATACATAACTCGCCAATTAGCGGAAAGGTTTTGAGCGAGTTGGTTTTTGAGGGTGAGGCGAGGAGCGCGGATATCAGCTCGCTTGACCCGCGCAAGCATGTTCACTTCTCGAACCTATAAGTCTCGCGTGTATCATGGTGCGGCACGATCAGGACTGCTACCCTTATTCGCTGCAGCCCCATGGTAGGCTCTGCAGGGTCACTGGCTGTTGAGAGTATAGACCAGTAGACCCCATCGATTGCACGGGAAGTATTGCGCCCATGGCAACTTAAACAGTTTCCGCCGCATATCGTGCTTCCTGCGACCCTTGATATGTAGGTGATGATCGCATCTGATCTGGGTACTTCACAATCCTTACGCCTTTGTGCATTCATGCTAACATAGCGTGCATATATGCCTGTCTGGGGCTGTTTCAACGTGCCGTCGACCAATAGGTCGATCTGCCTCCGGCCGGATGTGCCAACGACCCGGAGCGCCCATGCAAGGCCCTCGCCCTTCACCCGTCTCTTGAGCCTCACCCTACTCGACTGACCTATGATTGGGCGTTTGCGCGCGTCACGGGACACCATGCAAGCCCCCCGTGTTGCACCGCCATGATCATGTACTGGTGTTCTTCTCAGGCCGGGGTTCCCTTTCACTAATTTATACGTCTTCGTCGTTGCTGTTCATCATGAACCTTTGGCGCGAGCGCAAGAAGTATTCAAACACAACGATCGAAAGGATGATGATAGCACCACCGTTCAGCAGGGCTGACCAGCTCAATCAGAACCCGCTGGAGCGCGCGTATCGCCACAACGAAGATGAAAATATACTTGGCGACCATGCTGGTTTCTCGGTCCCGGGCTACAAGCACCTCGCCGTCCCGAGCTCAGAGGCACGCGACTTTCTTCACGCTGAGCTTCTGACGCCACGTTTGAACCGGCTTTACAGATATCTTTGGCTGGTGGCCAAACAAGACAGCACCCACGTCTCCTGCCTGACCGAGCAGGCTGTACGTGGACGACGCATTATCGTCACAGAGGATCCTGAGCTGCACCTAGTCTGGTATCACGATCGCATATACATGAAACCACTGCCGAAGTATCTTCTGTCTTATGACTTCTGGCAAGAAGCATTCTACGGCCAAGCTACACCGTTCGACAACGACTCGGAGCGCCAAGATGCCATGGTCGCTGCGCGTGGCTTTCTGCGCAGCTACACCTATCTGATCCAACGACCCTCCGATTTTGCTCTGGCAACCTCTTCGGACCACTGTTTGCTCCCCGACATCGTGAACTTTTCTGCCTATGTGACCTTCGCAAACAGTTGTCAGAACAACATCTGTGACGCCGATGTCTCACCACGGTACCATTACGGTGAGCTTCGCTTGAGCCGACTAAATCTCTGGTCTAAGATATCGCTGAACGGGCTTGCCTTTAAAAAGATACATCATCAGTACAGCGACGAGATCGCACGCTTCTATGGGCCGTTGCTGTTCGCATTCGCAATAGTCAGTGTGGTTTTAAATGCCATGCAAGTGGTGTTGACAGCAGAGCAGGTTCTTGGTCCGGGCCATGCTGCAATCATATTCAGCCACTTCAGCTTAGTGTTCTCGATATTGACGCTATGTACGGTTGCCATGGCAACAGGAGCTTTATGCATGGCGATAGTCATCCCGTTGTTCCGTGAGCTGATATTTGCTGTCGGGCATCTGATGGGAGGGAAGCGACGAGATGGAAATCACGATAGTGCGTCGGAGAAGGGGTAGTCTTCCACTGCTGGAGGGCTTGAGAGTCGTCTCCTGCTTGCGACAAAGCTGCGTCAAGGGCGAGTCGACCTGAGCGAAGCTCACGAGGTGGCCGCGAAACTTTTGATACTGTACAAAGCGATGAACTGTGGACAACATATCAAGTAATTGAATGTATGAACAGCCTTTGGGGTATGTATATTTCCACACCTGCTCAATCAGCTTTGAACACCCAGCACGCCAAACAAGCATGCAAGTAAACCCACCCATCATAACAACATAAACCCCACAGACACCAAATCAGTCATCCCGATAAAACTTCTTAAAAAGCAAATGCAACAACAAATTGACCCCAACCTTGGCCCCCTGCCCCCCCTCCATCCCCTCAAAAATCCCTATGCGATCCCGGCCATCATACTGTGCCTGCAACAAATCATCCAACAACAAATTCGCACTCCCGCCCGGCACCATCATAGACCCCTCACTAGCCTCGAAATGAAACACGCCCACTTCATCGGAGGAGATGACGATGTTCACCTGGCCCCAATGCTCCGGCGCGTACGCAGGCCAGGAGAGCAGGACACCCTTATCCGCTAACTGCCGAGCAGAGTACTTGTAAGAACCGAACTTGGGTTGACGACCTGCCTTTTCGAGTTCGCGTTCGTGCGACCATTGTTTGGTGAAAGGCAGGACGAACTTGCTCTTCGTGCCCTTTTTGTTGGCGAGGGTGTGGAGACATTGTTCGATGTAATCGTTATAACTCTTCAACTGCTCCTCGAGGAAATGCGCCTTATCGTCCAAACCCGCCAGCGTGGCCCGTGTACCCTCCACCTCCCTCGACCGATCCATGCGGCGTCGATGTTTCTGCCGAATGTCCGCCGCCAAGGCATTGAGTAGGTCCTGGTAAGCATTATGCCGGCTCACCCGGAACTGGGCCGGGATATGCGATTGCTCCAGCGCCAGAATGTTCTCCAAAGCGCCGTGTTTGAGTTCCGCATAAGTCATACTCTCCAGATCCTGTGGCAGATCCCTCCGATCCTCCGAATAAGCGGAAGGAGCTTCAGAGTAGACCGAATGCGCCCTCGCGCCCCTCAAACTCGCTCGCGGGTCGAAAGCTGGACTCGAACTCCCTCGCTTATGATGATGTCGTCCACCCCCACCACCCTGATGATCCCTCTCCTTCTCCGCCACCTCCTCCCTAACAACCTCAATCCACTTGTCAGCATCCTCATGCGTGATCGGCCTCAGCAAAATCTCCATCAAGGAACTCCCCGTCTGCACCCGGATAATATAAAGCACCAACCTCTTCGTCGCCATAAACAGCGCCCTAGCCTCCGCATTAGGATCCTCCTGAATCGAGAATCTCGACTTCAGCGTCAGCGTGATCTCCCCGCCATTACTCGCCCCACTAAGATCGCTCGCATTGCTCTTCGCGCTGCCCAGATCCGTCAGAAGCTCTTTAATCGCATCATCCCTGCCCGGCGCCACCGCCGCCAAGTTCTCCGAGACCAGGGAATGCAAGGCGAAGATATCCCCGAGCTTGATATACAACGTCGGCTTCGTCCGGGAATACAAATCAGAGTACTGATCGGCGTCGAAGAACTCCTCGGCAGGCGGCAAATCGAAGACCTGCAACAGCGCCTCGTGCCATCGATCCAAGGACTCGGTGACCCAATTATTCAACGGCTGAAGATACAGATTCTCCGTCCCGAACAACCGCCCCTGCGCAACCTGGCCCAACACAACGACCACCTGTCCCAAATTCCTCTTATGCACGGGATTCAAGCCCCGATCCACAACGCCCCACATCTCTGGCTCCCGCAGAGCAGGAAGGAGGTAGGACTTCCACAACCATTGTCCAGCCAGCATAGCAAGGTGTCCCGGGTCCTCATGCGGAAACCGCAGGCCCAGCATTCGGTACTGCTCAGACGCCAGATAGCGGATTCCAAAGGGCATCCGATGCAGCGTCTCCTCCAGACTCAAAAAGAAGCCATCACAGATATCTCGTAGATCCTGGAGATGCTGGACATAAGTCGGGCGGACATCGCCTTCTCTAATCGCCTGCTCGCGGGGCAAATCCCGGGGTCTCCTCGAAGGCTGTCCAGTAGACAATTCCTCATTATTGATGAGGGCGCGATAGATCATCAACGGGTCACTCTCCAGATCCAAATGCTCCTCCGCACAAATCCCCTCCCTCACCATGCCCCCCAGCAAACCCTTGAGATAAGACCGATACCCCGGATTCCGCAAATAAGCCAACACCAACCTCTGTTGAAACCCCCCCTGCTGCACCCTAACCAACTCATCCAACCCCTTGACCCCCTCCACCATCAACCCCACTCCCTGCACCATCACCTTAAGCAAAAGAAACTCCTCCCGACTCTTCAACGCGTTCCCAAAAAGCGTGAACACCAATCTCTCCGCACCCTTCGCCTCCTTCTCCGCCAAGCCCCTAGCAGTAATAGCCTGGAAAAGCCTCGCCAAGTAAAGCGGCTGCGTCTGCAGCATGAAGAAAAGTTCCTCATACCCAGTCAACTTCTTCCTGCTCGACTTATTAAGAGCCTTGAGATCAACTCCACTCGCACTCCCCAACGTCGACCCCTGTCGCAGCAACTGACTCGCCGACCCGCCAAAATGTTTCTGGTGCTTCACCACTTCATCAAGGGTGATTTTATTCTTGACCAACAAGGCAATCTTCACGTCCAAACCCTCCACATACCCCTCCACCAACTCATTCCGGCGTACACTCTCCACGACCTGACGTCTTAACCTCTCGGCTTCCAGTTCACCCTCGAAGTCGAGATTGTTGTCCGTGAGGAGATGTAGATGCCTTCTCACAACCGGCAGGGGAGGGTTCTTGCCGTTGACCAGGCTCTTATAACTCTCGCCTTGCTGTTTGGCGCGCACGAAGGATTGAAGTTTGATCACCTTCTGCATGTTCTCCCGATAATGCTTCTGCTTCTGCGCGAAGGCGGCGCGGACCATGAAAGCGCGGGCGGCGGATTGGAAGGCCATGACCTCGTTCTCGTGGTCCTCGAGCTCGGAGAGGAGAGTTCCGATGTGGGAGCGTAGGAGCATCGCACGAGCTAGAGCTTGGAGGTGGGTGATACTTTCCTCCTCCTTCTCCATAGCAACGAGCTGGTCGAAGATACGTTGGCGGTGCATGTATGCCCGTGCCAGGGATTGCAAAGTCGTGATCTCCGTCTCCTGGTCCTCGAGTGCGGCGAGCTTGGTACCGATATCTCTTCGCTGAAGCATAGCGCGGGCCAGGGACTGAAGATGCAGGACTTGGGCATCATGCTGCTTGAGGTCCTCTCGCAACTGACTCAATCGCCGCCGTCGCATGTTTCCACGCGCCAGAGACTGCAAAGACGGCAGATTCGACGACGAAGTCAAGAGCTCAGCCTTCTGCACCCTCACACAATGCCTTGCCAGATTCGCCCTCAGCAGCGCCTGTACCTTGACAATGCCGCTCTCGCGTCCTTGCAGCGCACCCTTCGTCCTCGCCTGTCGTAGCCTCGTGAGCAGACCCCTAGCCGCAGCCTGCGCATCCATGACAGCACCCTCATGAATCTTGAACTGACCATGACGCCGTTGGATCTCCCTCCTCTGCACAAGACCCCTTGCCGCAGCCTGCAAGCGCACGATATCAACACTAGCCTGCTTGGCAGCCACCTGCTGTTGTCGACCTTGCCGGCGGACGCGCGAGCCACGGAAGCAGGCCTGCAGCTCCAGAATCGAATCCTCCACATCCCAAAGCCGATTCATGATCCTACCGACCCGTAGCCGCTCCAGCGCACCCCTCGCCTGAGCCTGGAAAGCCTCGACTTCGGTCCCAGCTTCCTGCGTCTCCTGCCAGACATCACTGGCTCTCCATCTTCCCAGAGCACCGCGGATAGCCGCCTGCAGATCCTTGAGCCCATGTCGTTGTCGCTGCAGCTGAGTCCTGATCTGTCTCATCTCGGCCCTGTCCTGTCTTCCGCGCCACAAGCTCTGGACCTTGACCACAGCAGCGTGATTCTCCCTCCAAGCCCGTTGCTTGCGGTGCTGTTTCCTCCTAACCAGAAACCCCTTCGCCGCAGCCTGGAAAGCTCTCGTCGAGTGCTCCATCCCGAACTTGAACGCAAACACCTCCCTTGCGAACCCACCCCTGGCATGCGCCTGAAGTTGCGCAACAGCGTCCTCGGCATCCCACAAATCCTGCATCACCTCCCCCAACCTCAACCGCATCAACGCCCCCCTCGCCTGCGCCTGCAAATCCACCAACACCTCCTCTTGCTCGGCGAACAATTCCTCAGGACTAGGCTCCGGCTCCGGCTCAACCTGCAGCGCCTCCCTCATGCCGCCAAAATTTGGCATAGCGATCCCAGACCGCTCAATCCCCTTCTGCGTAGCCTCAAGCTCATGTTCCTCGAAATGCAACTGCCCAACCAAATTCCCGATCCGGAAATCCACCACCCCTTTCCTGTACAGCAGCCATGACAGGGCGTGGATACAGTAGATGACCTTGGGGATATTCTTCTTCTCGTACAGATCCACCAGCTCGAAGCGGAAGAGTTCGGGGAGTTCGATCTCAGCCAGGAAGCGGAAGAACATGGCTATGTTGTCCGAATGTCTGAATTGCAGGCGAGTGGAGTGGAAGATGCGCATGGCGCCTACGCCGCGCTGTTGGTCGAGTGGGAGGGATGGTGCGAGGCGGACGACGACTTCGGCTAAGGTGACGCCATCTCGGAGTGCTTCCTCGAGCTGCACGATCGGGGGGAGTTCGGTGGGATCCAGGACGTCTTCCAGCCAGGCACGCGCTTCGCCGATGTGGCAGAGGTATTCGTAGGCCTGTATATGTTTGCGCTGGGTATCCATCCATCTTGTGCTGGCGAATTGGGAGGAAAAGTTCGATTGGCCTTTGCTGTTTGGCTTGACGAGTCCCGAGCGTTGAAGTTTTCTTCTTCCAGCTAGCCCGACTACTTGCTCTTCGGGGGAGTGGACGCCCATGTCCTCGCCACCACCGTTTTCTGAAGCCATCTTACTAAGATGTCGGAGTTGCGGGGTGGTTGATTTTTGCAAAGTCGCAAGATCTTCGCCGTCTAGTTGAGCCACACTGTTGTCCACGGAGTTGAATCGTGAATGACCGCGCTCTCTTGGCCTTGTACTCGCGCGCATCGAGTCCGATCTGGAGAGTGTAGCCAGACTATTCCTCGTCGAGACCGAAGGCGGACTAGTGGTGAACGTGTGATCGGGGGTAGATGGCAAGGTAGTATCCAGACTCTGCCCACGATAATGCGAAGGTGGGCGTGGTGGCGGTCGCATACTATGATCAGACATGTGTAGCTGAGGAAGCGGCTTCCGATTCTGCTTCCCATTCTCCTTTGTAGGCGATCCCATCTCCCGCGCCGTCTTCTGTGTGTTTGCCACCGCGCTGTCTGTCCGCGTGTTAAGCTCAATGGGCCTCAGCGCGCTCCTACTCCTACTCTCACCTTCGCTCCTTCCCACCCCGGACTTCCACTCATCGTCGCGTACCCGTCGCGGAGTCACGTCCATTTTACTCGGACTCCGCGATGGCTGGTCCCGTGACTCGGTCCCGGACTGTTGTTCGCGCTGTTCCCACTTGGCAAACGCCGCGTTCTTCTTGACTGGACTCTCACTGCGCTCCCGCTTGGCACTCGGTCGCGTCACGAACGGATCACTGGTCGAGTCATAGCCGCTGTAGTTGCTGCCGTGGCTGTACGCCGAACTCGAGTGGCTGTTGATGGTGCCTTGTCGGCTTGGCTCGGAGGTGTTTTCCGTCTCGCTGTTGCGGGAGATGGTGGAGAGGGTGTGTCGCAGAGGTGAAGGCTTCTGCGGGGAGCTCGACCGCCAATCTCGGTGTGGTGGTGGTGACTTCGGCGAGTTGTACCCGGCATATTGAGACATCTTGGGCGGCAGGTGCGAGTGTGTCGCTGTGTGGCTGTGTCGAGACCGTTACGAATGTCTGGTCGTGGTTGCTACGCGGGTTTGCGATCACCGCCTCATGGTAGCGATTGATTGATTGATTGAATCTTAATCAAAACTCCAGCATGATTCGAACAGTATATGAACAGTGAAGCGAATGTCGAGGTGAATGCTGTAGACCTGGTGCAAGGCCGTGTTGCACAAGAATACTGCAGTGGATCTCTTCTTCCTCGATGTAAACAAGGAAACAACACCAACCCGGCTAGCGCCAAACTCAACCACCAGCTTTCTGCCGCGATGCATACACGTCAACCGCGTGACATTCTCCCATCTTGTTCATTCACCACCACTTGGCAGGTACTATACTGCATGCATCCATCCTTTCGTAATGCTACCGTATGCTGGAACACCGGGCGATTGGAGATACCTGATCGCATCGGAATTATACTGCCAGCGACCGCGGATGGATGTCCCTCGACGCCACCACCACTCCAGCCTCGCCTTTCCTCTGCTCAAACGCTCTTCTGCTTTCTTGCTTCTTCGGCCGCGCGAGAATTCCAACTGCAGTACGGAGTATAACACGACCAGAATCGCAGTCATGCATACCGTCTCCGCCTCCAACACTGTTGCTTCCGCTTTCTGTCCCTGCAGCTAACAGCCTATCTCATATGAAAACGCATCCCGCTCTGCATGGAAGCGAGGTCCCACGCAACCAATCCAATACTCTGACAGGGCAACGGTGCCGAATCAATGCATATATATACTCACGCTGACTTTGCATGCAAGACCTGCAAAGTAGGAGGGTGGGGGCAAGAACGCCACCTCGGCATCTGATGTCTCTGCCGCTGTAAACTTCGCACGAGAAAACAACATCAGACTTGTGATCAAGACAACGGGCCACGATATCCTGGGTCGAAGTGACGGGTACGGCAGCCTGGAGGTCTGGCTCAAATTCCTTCGCGACGGCATCCAATACATACCCTCCTACAGCGTTCCAGGCGGCAACTGGACCGGCGCCGCCATTTCCATCAGTGGCGGCTATACCTGGGATGACGTCTATCCCATCGCTCTCCTACCTCACCTATCCAACCTACTGGTCCTTCTACCACGCCGAATCCGGCGTCGAATCCCCAGCCGGAAGCCCCGGCGTCCTGACCTCCCGCCTCTTCTCCCGCCATAGTGTCCAATCATTCCCTTCCTCTCTCTGCCGCATGATCGAAACGGTAGCCGGTACACCCAACCAATACACAACCAACGTCCTCGAACTCGTCTCCGACGGCGCCGTCTTCGATCCGGACGCCTACGGTCCTCGCTCCGGCGTCAACCCCGCGTGGAGGCGGAGCTACTTCAACAACATCGTTGCTCGGTGTTTTACTGTCCGACTTGTGTGGGCTCGGGGGAGTGGGAGGATGGGTCTGGGTCTGGATCTGGGGCAGGAGCCTGGGGCAGGGGAGGTTGTGGAGTCACGAGCTAGAAAACATTCTTCTTCCTCCATTATTCTGGATAGTGCAGTCCGTGTAGGAAGGGGGATGCGATGTTCTGGTCCGAATCCCCAGAATCATTGGACTCCCTATAGGCCGCGCCATAGTGTAAACACGAACATTTCTGCGCCCAGGCACGGAGTTCAGGAGCGCGTGGTCGAGTCCGGACACGGGCGGACTCGGCATTCGCAGCTGCGGGGCTGGCTGACTAGACTTGGCTCAAGGACTGATGGGATGAGGGATCTTGAGGTGCTCGCGGATGCAAGCGGGAGAGAATGTGGTACGTGGTAGAAGAAGAACGAGGGGCAAGCGATCAGACTGACCCAGCAGAAGCAAGGGCAACTATAGCACGGCCCAGCAGAGAAGGCATGCTTGCGCAGCAGGATATCATATTTTGGCTTTTAGCATTAGCTTTAGTCGTAGATCGCACGCAATGCTTCTCTTTTTCAAGTCAAAAGCACACATAAATTAATTCCAAACAGAATCAACGCCACGCTTGACCAGACTATTCCCCTCCCATTCGAGATCCTGTGCTTACAAAGCGAAGACGGCGACACCAGCTGCTATGACGAGCCCAGCGAACGAGGTCGCCATGGTGTTGGCGGCGTTTGTCGTCGCTGGTCGGGAGGCGCTTGGTGCACTGACGGACGAGGAGGCCGTGGCGGAAGTCTTGAGCGAGGATGGCACGGTCATGGAGTTGGTTGGGAGGACGACCGAAGTGTTGGCCGGCATGCTGTAAGAGACCACGGCAGTCGCGGTTGGGACAGACATAGTGGTGTTGTGTGTAGCCGAGGCGCTGGTGCCGTTTGCGGGGACGGTGACAGTTGCGGTTCCAGTGGCGGAAGAAGACCAGGAGCCGGTAGCGGAGCTCCAGCTTCCGTCTGTAGTCCAGGCTGAGGCGGAGAACCAGGAGTTGATCGCCGTATCCCAGGGGTTACCGCCGTGAGCCCACGACGTAGAAGAGGCGGAGGCATCAGAGGACGAGGCAGAGGATGTCACGGTCACAGTCGTGGAGGCAGAGGCAGAGGACGAGCTGGAGACGTAGCCTGGGTTCGAGATACCCCATTGGGTGCTGTACTGATACTGACCATTCTCATCGTCGATCAACTGGAGACCGTAGCCAGTGTCGCCGGGCGCGAGGTCGGTGGATGGGGTCCAGGCGTAGGAGCCGCTGTTCTGGATCTTCTCCACGATGGCGTATTGAGGGACGGCATTGCTGCTCGGGCCCTTGAGGAGGACAATGGTCACGGTGCCGGAGGTGGTTGGCTGCCAGGTCTGGGATGTGTGTTAGTGACTGCTTGCGCGTTTCGGTTGTCTTGAAAGCGCCTACGATGGTGAAGGGCTGGCCGACTGGGACCACGCTATTCAAGCCTGGCTGGGAGATGGGGTTGCCAGACGGCGAGTCGCCCACGGGTTGAGTCCACGCAGCGACGGCTGGGATGAAGCAGGCAAGACCCGCAGTGAAGAGGGCGAAAGCGCTGAAGTCAGACATTTCGACGTTTGGCGATTGTTGATATTTTATGTTATGGCCGTTGTTGATTTGATTAGTCGCGTGGTGGTATTATGTTTATTGAAGGAATGTGTGAGCTGTTCTGAACGAATGACTGTAGTAAGGATGAACAACGAATGAATGATAGACTGATTGTGTGCGCGGTGAGAGCGTGGTGAGGATAGCAAAGGCGAGAGAGAGATAGAAGATGGAGTTTGTCCCCCTGTTGCCAAGTCACGCGCCTGATACATTAGAGTTCAGAGGCTCAAACGCTTGAACAAGCTCGGACATTGAGATTAGGTGCAGTAGCCCGAAGACCAATCATCGCATCTTTTCGTTCCGAACTGTTCATCTGGGGAAAGCGCACTAGGCTGAGTCCAGACATGGATACGAGCTCATTTCACTTGGTCAATCTTCCTCCAACACCTCATCTTCCTACAGTATAACTCGCATCTTGTTACGCAATACCAACTCCGCTGATCACCTGCATATAGAGAGAGAAGCTGTGCCACTACGTTGCATCTGCCACCAGCAATGCTGCGGTCCGTCGACGGCATGCGACAGCGCAACTCTGTAATTGTACGGAGCTACAGATGCAGATGCACAGCCAAGAGAAGAAGAGACTGCCGAACTCCCGGACTCCCAACGGCTTCTCCAGATGCTTAAACCACTGCTCAAGCGCTACACAGCCGTCCAACCAATGACCAATACTGTCTCCGGTCCTGATTCCACACAATGGCATCCTCTGTCGACCGTCTAAAAGACTTCTGTTCCTGCAACCTCTTCCACATCCCGCATTCGCCGTCGTCTTCCTCATCGAGTATCTGTCGACATTTCCGCCAGAAGAACGCTCTGTTTGTCTTCCCGGCCACATAGCACCCCAGGAGGCTGTGAGGCGGCTCACCACCATCGCGATGGAGGTCTCGGGACTTACGATCTTTGCATCCTGGCTGCTTCGGCACGATGAGATATGCTTGGTCTTGCCACCAGCGTGCTGCCGCTAGGTGGGCAGTCTTTGTGTAACCTTCGATCAAGTGAGACCATGAAGCGGAGTCAAGGAGGTTGATCGGCATCCATCAGGGCCCAACGAATATCTAGAGGTTGAAGTTGTTGCCGCTGATATGATCGTGGCCACGGTCAAGCTTCACCCGCGGCTACGATCATATCAGCGACAACACTGATCCAGAGTCTGATGATCGTGGTAGTAGTGCGGATCCTCTGACCGACATCTCGACATTCGACTGGACGCTCACGCACGCTGTTGGCAAGCTTGCAAGTGTACTGCTGTCATCGTTGCCTGAGTCTAATCTATCACCATGTCGTAGTTCTGTACCAACATCCCCAAACGCCAGCGATGCTCAGTATGCTTCATACTACCCTCAGCACCACACGCTTGACTGTTGATACAGATCCGCGTTGCGCAAGGATACCTTTTTACTTGGCTTTCACCTTACCCCAATCACTCTCCTCCTTCAACCAAGTCCTGAAGTCAGTCATGAACGGATACCGTCTCCGCAACGCCGGCACATCAACACCAAACCCATCGGACTTGAACCACGCAAACATATGCCTCAGATCAGCGACCATTGTCCGGATCAGCCAACCGAGCCAGGAGTACGTCTCCGGCAGTTTCTGCCCGACCACATCCTGGAAGATCTTGCCCGCCTCGTGAGGTGAAAGCGAGTCGCCGGCTAGCGAGATGGCTTTGTTGCGGTATTCGTCCTTTTCGGCATTGAGGAAGGCTTCGGCGGCAACTTTGCCAATGTCCTTGACTGTGATGACTTGGAGTTTCCTGTCGCTGCCGTTGAGTCGCCATATTGCTACGAAGGCGCGGCCGAGAAAGCCATTGGGCATGCTCTCCAGGAAGGCCTGGAATATCACATCAGAATCATCACGCAATACGCGAAACAACCTCAACTTACCACAGGCCTCAAAAGAGTATAGCTCAAATGACCATTGCTCGCCGCCGCTTTAGCCCTAATGTCCTCCTCAACACGATACTTGGAAGCGAAATGCGGCACAGGCGTCGGGTTCCCTTCACTCGCCACATCACCACCTCGATCCGTAGTCGTGTAAACGATATGCGACGTCTGGGCCTCGACAGCCGCTTGCACAAGCGCATAACCCTGTTCCTCTTCCTTCTTGATCCCCTTGTCCAGAAGTGGGACGGCGAAAACACCCCACACCGGTTTCTGGATCTGAGAGAAGATGGCTTGGGTATCGTCTAGGTTTCCCTGAATGATCTTGACGCCTTGTCTTTGGAGCTGTTGTGAGCTAGTGCTATTGGCATTGCGGGTCACGGCGTAGATCTCGAAGGATTGAAATGGTTTGGAGAGAAGTGCTGAGATTAGGGCGCCGCCTTGTTTGCCTGTGGCGCCGGTCACGAGAAGACGTTTTGTGGTCGCCATGTTTGGTGAAGGTCAGAATTGTCTTTGTTCAGACGCCGCGGCTCAGAGGAGTATATAGACATTTTATCTTGTAGCTTGACGCGTGATGTTAGTCGGAAGACGTGTCGTGCCATTGAACGTCACGACGGAGCAATCCTGCCCCGCCGGATCAGATCTTGAAGGATTTCCGCTTGACATCACACTAGACTCTTTTCCATGTACCTACATGTTGGTAAGAGACAGTCCGAAGGCAAGATTATTCAGCCCCAACGACCCTTCCACATGCTTGCTCAGAAGTTGCGTGTCAAGCGTGGAGAGATACATGTATCTGTGTTTGACGTGGTCGATGCGAAATCAAGATTTTGCAGTGTAGCTCTTCGCCTCCGTTGACGCTGGAAGCTGTCTCGATACAACGATTTAAATTGCTGTATTCTCTACCTATCGGTGCACTATCACATGTATCGCTAGCCACTCATACGAGGACCTGACCGATTGCATACATATCGACGGTAGCTCATGCGCAGACATCACATCATACGGCATCAACATATGCCTTGGACTGGTCGGTGAGATCCCGAAATGCCCTCCTACATCCGCAACTTCTCGAGACGCCATGGCTCGTACACGTACAATGCTTGTAACGGCTTATCATCACGAGCATAGTTCGTGAAGACATATTCCCTGCCGTCGCCATAACCAGAATCAGCTACAGATGATGGTCACTAAGTAGATCCGAACTTCCTCGATACCAGCTCCACCACTCACGTTGACCCAGTTGAACTGCCGCAGACCGAGAGTCGTCACATGCTTTCGATTGGCATATGCCGAAGTGTGCTCTCGAACCTGCTCGGCAACCGTTTCGTCGATAGCCTCTCACAGTTGTCCAATGGTCGAAGAACTGCTGTATGGGAGACATGCTTTGAAATTGACCGCGCAGGCATGGGCTCAAAGAGATAGAGATAGTGTCCTACCAGCATAGAGATTTGACTCTGATTTAACTGCGCGGGCATAGGATCTCTGGGAATATCGCACGACCCACAAATTCCAGCTTCAGTAACCGCCTAGATCTTTTGAAAAGGTCTCACCTTCAGCTTCTTCAAGTCCTCATCCGCATTCTCCACGCAAACCCTCGAGCTACGCACATCGGGCGAATCCAGAATCATCTCGTACACATTCGCAAAGTCCGAAGCCTTCGTCACACCATGCTCAACAGCGTCCTTGTCGTTCTCCACACGGTAGCAGAGGTACACTTCGTTGACACGAACATTCGTCTCCTCGTTCTCCCGTGCGGCCGCCTTGCAGAATGGGAAGAGAGCACCTTGGGTCATGGCAGGTACGACGAACTGGGCGATCTCTCCTTGTGCCCCGGTGCAGATCGTCCAGGTGCTGTTCGGGTTGTTTTGCTCTCGTAGGTATTTGATGGTATCGCGGTAGGCGACTGATATCGTTAGACTTGCTTAGTCGATGGTGAGACGATGAACGTACAGAAACCGGCCTCGAAGCCAATGTTCATATTCCTACGCAAGCGTTCGGTGCTCACGTTCTCGATCTTATCGAATGTATACTCGCCACCGACTGAGTGCGAAGTTTATGTCAGCTAAGCACATTCGTTATATGCCAGGCACTGCGCTTACCACTAGTCCACACATGCTGGAAAGCAGGGAGCTTGCCAGCGCGCACCTTCTCCACCACACCTTTGACCCCTGTGTCGGATGTAACATCTGCTTCCGCGATGGTGATGCCCTTGTCTGAGCCGATGTACTTCACCAGCTTGTCGGCGGAAGACTGGCTGCGGACCACGGCGAGGACATTGCGTTTGCTACGCAGAGCAGCTGTGATGGCAGAGAAGCCGATGTTACCAGTGGAACCGACGACGAGGATGGTTTCGGCCATTGCTTTGATGGACATTGGGTTACTGCGTTATGCTCCTAGATGTTTGGGGTCAGGGAGGCCCTATATGCCTGGGCTTCTTCCCTGGAATCCGAAGTGGCGGATGAATATGGGTTCCGATCGGGTACCATCTCGAGCATACCACGAGTTCTGGGTATTTGCACGGTGGCGGCTGGACCTACGTCCCGACCGGGCACTCTTCTCAAGCATGCCACGTCTTGGTGTTTGCAAGCTGTCTAGCTTTTACCGAGGAGGTCGCCCAGTCAAACCACTGTCTTTTGCCTTGTCTCGAGGAGGCATACAGGGAAGGATCGGCCCTTCCACGTTTTGCTGACAAACAACGGCCGATGACGATCCAGCAGGCGTTCGGCATCGCTGTGTATTATGAATACGGGGTTTGATTATCATGGTGCGAAGGCCCGTGGACGTACAAGACCGACGAACTTCTTCCATGTCCGTTGATAGAGTCGTTGAAGCAGCAATACTGTTCATTGACTGGTACCAAAGGCTTGTACGTCATCTGCACTCATTGCTTGGGGCCACGATCTGTATATCCCTCAGCTTCTGGTTACATCTTTCATGTATGTAACCCATCACCATCAGAACATGCAATGAGAGGTTCAGGCTCAAACACTCCAATAACACGATGCTGCAATGAAATGTGCCAAGCACTTTATGGTTGAAGTACTGGTACAAGGACGCGCGTAAAAGTTTCACAATGCGGAGAGCCGCCCCAACGAAATCGAACTATGCTACTATGAATCAAAGACTCACGTACACTCTTGTGAAGATGAAGCTGTACAAAGAGTACTATACAACTGACAAGCTTTCCAAGTCTACTCCCAAAACACCTTCGCTGTTTGCGCTTGCCGCAGCAACGTTTCCATTGCATTCATCTCAATAATCATATCCCAGTCCCATCAAGACCGAGTGCTTTTGCTCGGTCAACCATGCAAGACTATCCAGCAGCCAAGCCGCAACGAGGGTATCTCTTTATAACACAATTCCAAGCGATCGTACTGTTACATTTTCTTTTCGTCTTCTTCGTTATTCGTTAAGCGATCGTAATAGGTATGTACAATTCGTGTCGTAACAACATTGACTTCGAAACATTCTAGCATCCGCTGGCGGACGAGAAGGGTTGTGGTACGAGACCCTGTCGACGATGTTAGTATGGACTGGTCAATACAAGGAGGGGCAACGACGACAACTTACTCCTGCGATGAGGTCCTTGAAATGCCACTCAGGAGCAGCCTCGTTCTTCCAGGTCCAGAATATCCATCCATCAGCCTTCTCGAAAGCGGAGATCTGGGTGCTGATGAAGTTCTTGATGTTTTCGTAATCGGCTTTATCAAGTCCGGATACAGTGCCGGAGTACTTGCCATCACAAGACCCAATGTATGAGCTACCCTGGCCGTTGACCTGGTACGAGCCATCATAGCGAGCACCGACACCACGGCCGTTGAGCCACTGGGCACAATCTGTCATGGCGCCTGACCACTCGCCCGCGATGGTCCACTTGTTGTTCGTCGCCATGGAGGAGCCGAAGGCACAGGCAGTAGACTGATGATCTTGCACGCTCATTTGCAGCTGGCCGTTGTCGAAGACTTCGTAGTGGTGGGTGTCGAGCAGGAGAGCCCACATCCCGTTACCCCAGTCGTTCCAGGCATTGACACCTTCGAAGGCATCATGGAAGGTTACGGCAACGTTGGAACCATCGAGCGCTCCCCATCCGTCCATGTAGAACTGGCGGACGGTATCCATGTCGAGACTAGGACCCATGGGCTCGTTAACCAACTCAATAGCGGCGACTGCTGGATGGCCTGCATGATCGTCTCGGATCTTGTTCAATGCGTTATGGGTCTGCTGGATGGAATCGCCTTGAGTCCACTTGACACCACCCTTCTGGCCGCTGTTGTCGAAACCGTTTTGCGAGAGGGGAGCACCATGAAGATCGATCATGACCTTGATGCCATTGTTGTTTGCCCAGTCGAGGGCCTGGCCGAGATAATCGTATGCGCCTTGGACGTATGGGTCGCCCTCGTTGGGAGTCACGGACCAATAACCGATCGGGATTCGTACGAAATTCAGGCCGACTTTGGCGATTTCTGAAAAGTCGTCTGCGGTGATCCAGGAGCTCCAGTGGGATTGGAGGCGCTTCTCGGCCTCGACACTGCCTAGTGTCTGGCAGAAGGTGTACTCTGGTACAAGGTTAGCATGCCACCTTCACTGGAATGTTTGGGATTCCCTCACCATCCACCACATTATCTGGTGTCGCCTCGAATATGCTTGGTGTAATCCAAGGCTCAAGGACGAACCATCCACCAAGATTTACACCTCGGACCTTATCTTGCCCAAAACCAAACTTGAGGCTGTCCTGTCGCTTGAGCTTCGACATTAAACCAGTTGGTGCCGCATCGCCCAGAGTCGATAATAAGGCTACTGCTGCCACCGCAGTGCTTGCTAGATTGGAAAAGACCATGATGAAGATGCTGTCGCTACCGGGACCGGTAGGAATAATATGATGCTGTGATAGGAATGGTTCTCAGACTTCTGTCCATGTAACCAAGAGTAGGATGATATGCTAGTGACTTTCCACGCCTCGGACAATGGACTTCTGGAGCAGTTGGAGTAATAGCAGATGGAAGCATGATCACCATGGGCCGACAGGATTCCTTATGTACTGGCCAGCACATCGCCATACCATACCGCTTCCCTCCACAACATCACAGCTCATGACCGCTGATCATGATGATGGGTGGCATGAAGCTCGGCATAACGACATATCTATTACGCAGTGCGGGCATAGCGACTTCGCTACTGCTGGCTCCTCCCGTCCTTCTCCATACACAGAGCCCACTCAGCACAGCTTGTGACCCTCGACATATGCCCCGCAAGAGACTATTCCGCCTAGAGGAGCACATGAGCATTTCTGCCCGTCGCAAAGCCGACGTTAGTGTGTCGATCATTTCTTCACGTCCGCCGGCAGAATTGCTTGGGAAGAGATGACGGCACCGAGGAATTACCAAGAGAGCTGTAAACACGCAGGGTCTGAGCTCGGTTTCAGGCACGCGGCCAATCGCTATCGCTAACGGTGCGACTTCGGGACGAGAATTGATGCTGTGGCTTGAGCAAGAGTAGGATTATGCTATACCACCTGCCTCTGATAGCATTCTTTGGCGAGAGAGCTTCTGGATGGAGATGTTCCCATAGGACCCTGAAAGTTGTGTTGCATCGAAATTTTGGCTGCGCTGGATTCCCGGTCCCAAGGCATCGGCTTTTCCAGGTGGAATCCACGTTTCTCCACACTTTGTTCCCCCCATGATTCCGCTCGCTCGTCACCAGCACAACAACGTCAATCATCATCACGGTTACTCGGACAAGACATATCACGATGCAAACCAGCCCTCGCCGTCTCATCAACAAGACATCGTCCGCTCATCATACCGACATAACAACACTAACGCCACTACCCCTCCACAAGAGCCTCCCATCTGCTGCCCCGCAGAAGACGGCAGAAGCCAAGCTTCGCAACCCGCAGCAGAAAGATCGCCGAAGAAGCTAAAATCCCAAGTCTCTTTTTCATGTCTCGTGAGCATCTCACCAACCAATCAGAACATCAAAATCACCTCTCCCTCCGCAGCCAGCTATAGCGATGTCGTCAAGCGTGCGTCGCAAAGTCATGCGCTATATGACGCCTGCCGCTGCCACCATCAGACAGCTTCTGTCCAAGCCGAATCTCGCCTAAGCCGCTTGGAGGGTGTTGACGGTGATAGCATGGACAGAAGGCGGTGGCTTGCTGCCGCATACCTCACCGCTGCCTGTAGGGTGCTTGGATGCTACGTCTTGTCTTTCTTGGGTCGATGCTACGGTACCCTGACGAACGGCTGTGGCGCCGCCGTCAAGGATTCGTGCAGACGCCACGATTCCCGTCGTGCGGGTTGAGGAGTGTTAGGGTGGTATGCGGGCTGACGATGTCTGATTTGAAGGATTGGTAAGTGGTCATCCGTTGTTGCGACGCGTTTAGCAGAGTAGCTGGAAGACTGTCGTGAAGACGAAGAACGTGAGGCGAGCTGAGCTTTGAATAGTGGCCCGGAAATATCACAGTGTGGGTGATTATACAGAGGCAGGTATGTATCAGAACCCTTCGTATCTTGTGCGGTGGCGCAAATGCGGGTAAGTACAGCTCCCAGTACATTGTCTTCGTCAACTCCTTGTTCATATATGCTCTCATGCATGCTTGAGCAGACCGTAGCGGTGCAAATAGCTAAGTGCATGGCCATACACGAATTGCAATGCCATACCGCCACCTACTGCAGCGTCAACATCTACAGATTTAAGCATGAAGTGAAGGAGTTCACGAACTAAGGGGTGCCTGGTCACGGTCAGTAACACAAACATCCACCAAAGCGCTGGGGGGACATACCGTAGTAGGATCCCAAGCACAAGGCTCATACTTGCCCGTCTCCAACCCCTTCATATCCTCCGCATCAAGCTCAAAATCATACAACCGAGCATTCTTCTCGATCCTCGAGTGCGTCACACTCTTGGGTAAAATCACGAAGCCCTTTTGCAAACCCCAGCGAAGCAAAATCTGACCAGGTTCTTTGCCGTGTTTCTTCGCAATGGGCGCGAGTAGGGGATCGTCCATGCGTGTGGCGCGGACAAGGGGCGAGTAGGCTTCTAGGATGATGTTGTGCTGTTGGCACCACTTCACGATGTCGGGCCTGGCGAGCCAAGGGTGGAGTTCGATTTGGTTGACTGAGAGGATGCCGGCTTTGTCTTTTGGTTGTTGCTATTTCATGTTAGCTCCACATATACAGTCCTTACATGGCAATGGTATAGAGAACGCACTTTTTGCCACTCCTCCAATTCATCCAAATGCTGCACTCCGTAGTTACTGACCCCAATACTCCTCACCTTTCCTTCGTCCACAGCTTCCACAAGCGCCCTCCAAGCACCTAGCCTTCCCTCTTTGCCACCGTACGGCGCATGAAGTAAGTACAAATCTATATACTCCAGTCCAGTCTTCTTCAGACTCTCGTCCACGCAGGCTTTCGCATCTTTGTAATTAATGTCCTTCGGCGGGACTTTGGAGGTGTAGAAGAGGTCTTTGCGTGAGAGACCGGCAGCTAGCATTCCTTTGGCTGAGGGGGCTTCGTTGCGGTAGACTGTGGCGCTGTCAACGTGGCGGTAGCCGGATCTGATGGCGTGCTTTGTTACGTCTTCTGCGACGTCGGCTGGGGTTTGGTAGACGCCTTTTGCTCGTCAGCGCTGTGGTCTTGCTATGGTATGGTGTTAAGATAGATAGTCGTCTAGCTGGGAGGCTGTTGGTTTGGGACAGCTCTTGTACTTGAGTGGCGAAACATGGAGCAAGAGCACATGGGAAATATGGTTGGATCATGTTGGTATGAAGTGAGCAGCACGAGAGACCTACCATAGCCCAGTAGAGGGATCTCGTAACCTGACGGCATCTTCACTGTACTGTTGATGTTCAACGCCATCTTGGAGGATGAAGTGATTGTTCGCCTGGCTGTCGTAGTCGAGAGATGTTTCCCGATCTGTTGTGCCCTTCGCAGACTTATCATACTACTGTCGAATAGATTCGTTGGGTAGATGTGGTTTGTAATGCTCGTGTATGGCATTCGTGTTGTCTGACGAGATCCGATGCGTCAATTCTGGTCCGAGCTTCATGTATTCGATTGCTGTAACTTCCAATCCAGTCCAGATTATATCGCCATGATAACGAATTCTGCTCTCGGCAAGCAAGTACTACAAGTGAAAATGAGGCTCATCAAACAAAACATCGAGAAGAAGACGGGTGCAGGCACAGCAACGCTGCTGCCAGAAGAGCCGGAGGATATGGTGAGCCAGTCCGTCTCCATAAGATCACAAGTCTTGAGCATAGACTAATACTTAGCAGTGGCACGCCTACAACCTGATCCGACCAAACGATCTCCTCCGTGCTTCTGCTGTCCGCAAAGTCATCAATGAATCATCCTCAGGCAGTCGCTCAAACGAACGAGTCCATACCACTCTGACTATACGAGTAACGAAGCTGGACTTTGATCCGCAAGCGGCACAACTCCATGTCTCTGGCCGCGTAGCAGAGGAGAATAAGATCGTCAAGCTTGGTAGCTTTCACACACTGGACCTCGAATTACAGCGGAACTTTCAGCTTGAAAAGTCGGAAGGATGGGACAGCGTAGCGCTGGATATGCTGAAAGAAGCTATCAATCAAGATGCCAAGGCGCAGCTATGGGCCGTGATTATGAAGGAAGGGTTGGCAAACATCTGTCTCGTGACCGACCATCAAACGACATTACGGCAGAAGATTGAGACGACACTACCACGCAAACGAGCCGGCTCAACCGACCACGACAAACAGCTCCAGAAGTTCTTCCAGACGACTTTCGACTCTTTACTTCGGCAGATCGATATCGCGAATCCACTACCACTACTACTTGCCAGTCCGGCCTTCACAGCATCTCAATTCCAACAATACATCAAAGATCAAGCTGCTCCGTCCGCCAATGCAAAACAGCTCAACGCTCTCCTCGCAAAGACAACAATAGCACCCGCCGCAACAGGACACCTGCACAGTCTAGCCGAAGTGCTCGCCTCCCCAGCCGTAACGAGTAAACTCTCCGACACGAAGTTCGCTCGTGAGACGCAGCTCGTGGACCGCTTCTTCGAGCTCATGCGCAAAGAAGACGCGCGCGCATGGTACGGACCGCGAGAGTGCGAATACGCCGTCGCTCAAGGCGCTGTAGGGAAAGGCGGGGGCGTGCTACTGATTAGTAACGGGCTATTCAGGTCTCAGCAGATTGAGGCGAGGAAACGGTGGGTGAAGCTGGTAGATGATGTGAAGGAGGGCGGTGGGGAGGTGAGGGTGTTGAGTAGTATGCATGAAAGTGGACGGAGGTTGGACAGTCTAGGTGGAGTGGCGGTTATCTTGACTTACCCTATTGAGGATTTGGATGAGGTGGCTGGTGGAGGCGACGAGGACGGTGATGATGAGGTTGAGTTCGACCAGGTTAATGGGGATGTGCTCAGGCCGAATGGAGTGGAGGGGAGGGTTGAGCATGAGGAGGAGATAGATCTGTTATGAACCGGTCTTGAAAAGCCATGGTGCATAGCCATATAGTCCCACGTCTTTTGCATTCCAGAACTGTCTGCGCAAGCTCCCACTTTCTCGGCAGAAATTGCCCAGCAGTTGTGAAGCTCCACATTTCTCCAACATCAAATGCCAATGCTTGCGAGGTCGGTCAACCGACTTCCTTCTGTGCTCGCATCCTTGAGGACTGTAGCAATACCAAGAAGCCTTTTATCACACCCTAGCCTCACAGCTTGCCTTGTCAATCCGGTCCACCTTCGCACAATGTCAGACATGAAGGTCATCAACACCAAAAAGGCTGTGCAGCGTAAGCGATATCTGAGCGATCCAAATCTCATATAATGAGCTGATAAAGCAAAACACAGCTGTTGGACCATACGTACGTCTACCGGCCCACCGTGACCCCCAAGCATTTTGAACAATGTTCTTTCGCCGTACTGATGGCCCACATCTAGTCCCAAGCCATCCACGCCGGACCACACATCTTCGTCTCCGGCCAGATCCCCGCAGATGCCTCTGGTAAGCTCACCGAGGGCTCGATAGCCGACAAGACCGCCGCATGCTGCGAGGGACTGAAGGCTATCCTGGCGGAGGCTGGAAGTGATATCTCGAAATGCGTCAAGGTATGCTCACCCAAGGATTTCTCCAAACCCCGCAGAAGGGTTCGAGAAACGTGTCCTTTGACTCATCGTTCTGCAGGTTACCGTCTTCCTGACATCTATGGAGAACTTCGCGGAGATGAACGGCGTGTATGAGAAGTACTTCACGCATAAGCCAGCGAGGTCCTGCGTGGCGGTCAAGGAATTGCCTAAAGGTGTGCCAGTGGAGATCGAGGCTATTGCCTTGAGCAGCTAAGCTGGTGGCACGAAGTCGTATGCGCATTGAAGAGTGATGTAGGAAAGGAACAGATATACGAGTGCGTAGCGGATGGCCTATGAAGCCAACTGTACATGTCTAAAAGTCTACTCGTCCTGGTAGTCTGCCATGTAGAAGTCGTCAAGGTGAAGTCTGAACCGCGAAATATGCCCGCCACCCAAAGCCTTGCAAGCCATGCCAGGCTATTCCAGAAAAGGCAAGATGCAACGAGTCGCTTGAACGCAGCAAGCATAGCGAGCGGAATGGGGTATCTCTGAAAAGCAAAAAAGCAAAAAAGCAATCAGAACCGAATGAGCCTCCCTGCCAACGAACGAACACAAGTCGTGATGATATATCGAGCCAAAACCATCAATAACACATCTGCACATCCATCCCACCGCCATGCAGTCAAGAAATAGGCATGAAAGCAAATTGCATTGGCGCATCGACTGGACTCGAATACTGCGACATCCCTGGTGTTAAGCCCGCCGTGGTGGTAGCATGCTGAGCCATAGCCACACTTTCCAGTTCCTGGAATTTGCGCGCACAGTGCCGTGCTGGCCAGCGTTCGTTTAGGCCGAAGTCGAGCATCTAACATCAACAATCAAGATCAGTCAAGGTTCCTGAGAACATATGTAGTAAGTAGTGTAAGCTCAGTGGAAGAAAGGCTAACCTTGGCACTGATAATCTCCCACTTATACTTATCCCAATACTCGTGCGCCGACCGCAACGCACTGAGGTCCTGCTCCTCCCACATCCGGTACTTCTCTCGTAGCCGTTTGTACCGCATTTGTAAGGCGGCAACTTGGAAATTCTTGCCTTTGTCCGTGTGGAAGCGGGTGGCGATGTCTTTCCAGGGTAGAGCTTCGTCTTCTTTCAGTTGTACGAGATACCGGTCATCCTCGGACATGTCGGCGGAGGCTACGGACGAGGTGCGTTTGCGGCGTTTGCTGCCGCTGGCGCTGCTGGTTTCTGTCTGGTCTTCATCCTCGGCCATGCGGGAGCGTTTGATGGTGGCCAGGCTGGAGGAGGAGAGGTTTGAGGGAACAGGGGCGATGCTGGGGTATGATCTCCTTGGCTGAGGATGTCTGATCTCGGGTGGGCTGGCTGTGGATGTGCTGTATTGCTGCTCCTCTATGGGGTACTGGAAAACTGCGGGTGGAAAGGTCGATGTCACTGGTGGGGTAGGGACGTTGGAAGCTGCAAGGGCATAGTTGATACCAAGGCCGCTGCTTGTTCCTGGCCAGGCAATGTTCTCCACGCTTGGGCCAAAGGTGCTCGGACTACTCCGTGGTCTACTAGGGTCCTTTAGATTGGGAGAGTATTGAATGTACGACGTTACTGTATTGGGCGCCGCATACACATGTTGGTGTTGTGCTGAGGAGATGTCCGGTATTGAAGCTCTAGCATATGCTGGCCATGGTTGGCCCTCTATGGTCGATGATGGAAAAGGCGTGCTGTAAGGGTTGTCATATGCATACTATGTCCTGTCAGTATGGGCCTTGCAGTAAAAGATAAGAGACACGATCAATGAAACGAGGCGCGATGAGATTAACATACTGAAGTCGGTGCATACCATTCATTGCTGACGGTGCCAGCGGTTGTAACATCCCCACACATCTGTTGAGGGTCGATCGTCCCTGGCATGGTGGTGTATGTCTGTCTGGACGACGACATGATGATGTGTTATGATGATAATGTTGGTGGCAGCGGGTCGTAGACGGAAATGCCGGACGGCAAGGACGCCAGTGTTGTAGATCTGGAGTAGCAACAGGCACTGCTCGAGGCAAGCCTGGATGGCAACAGCAGGAGCATCTGACAGCAGTCGGACATGTTGGCTACTATGTAGGATCGACGTTAGGGCCTCTCGAGCTCTGTGATGGCTTGGTCGATGGCCCAAGGATAGACGTTAGGCACAGTAGCGAGCACAGACGACGTGAGGCTTAGGTACATTCATCTGTAGGCTGGGCTTATTTTCAGAAACCCTCGATATATCGGCATTCGATCTAGGTATGGCGCCGATGGGGAAGCTTCTCGCGGGAGGCTTGCAGGGCCAGCGAGCAAATGGTCCTGGCATAGTGAATGGGAGCTAGGCCTTCCGTGCGCCTATGCGCAGTGCAGAAAGCAAGCTTGGAGGATATTGAAGTGAAGTTCTTCATTTCCCGCACTGCCGAAGGATGCGGTGCACGGTCTATCGAGGTGTGGCTTCGCCTAGTCATGTATGTTAGCCGCCGGGGCCTGCTCTATGCCATTTTCAGACCTCATCTCAGGCGGGAAAGGCTGCATTTAGTATCCTTTCGGCCATGCATGAACGCTCGATCTACCCCACGTCGTCGTTCAATATGGCACGGCACGAGGTGATTCGAGGCTGGGCAGACCGGTTGCACCGTCTGACATGAGTGTGTTGCGTGCTTACTACTGCTCGATGTCGGTAAGTCGTCATGTACTTACACACCGGCTACTGGTACGCCACGATCTGCATAACGACCTCTGTGGGTCGGTGTAGTGTGTCGTGCAAGCAGAGCGTCCTCGTTTGATCTGCCCTTCCTTCGGGCGTCTCAGGAATCGCAGGATTCTTCTTGTTGTAGGAAAGTGTTTGCACTGCCATACCACATCGATTGAGGCTCTGTAAGCCCACATGGAGGCTATGTCATCGATCTCCACCCATGAGCAAAGCATCAAAACGGCCGCGATCATGAAACCGCCAATCGACTGGCCAGAGATGAAGCAGAGAGTAGACGGCCCGGTATGCAAGATGTCAAAGCCCTCGAGATGCAGCCGCAGCTATTTTTATACTGCAATATGGTCCAGGCTTTGCGCTAGCCGCAACTGTTCCTAACGTCACAAGGGGCGGGATTGCAGAAGGGTAGGACTCGAATCATCGATTGAAACTTGACTCGACGGGCGTCGTCGACGAGAACTCGACTATTTCGTCTACAACGTAGGCTATAGGTACACTATACGAACAAGGGGAGTCTTTGTATTAATCGTCTAGACTATTCTCGTTCTTACAGCGTACCTAGAGCATACGCTGTAAGTCACGAGGTTGAAATCTCGTCAGAATCTTGTCGAAAGTCGAGCATCGTCTCGCGAGTCCTACCCTTCTGCAATTCCCATCTTTTGTGGCGCTGATGATGGTTTGAACATCACAAAAATAGCGGTTTCGGGCTATTTTGCTGTCATTAAATCCCGTGTTTCATCTTCCAAACCTTGCAGCCACCCCGGTACCATCGCGTGGAGGCCAGGATTAGAATACTGGCTCGCAATGGCGGTGATAAGTCAGCCAGTGAGACAGCAGGTGTATGGATGTAATCATGTGCCCGATCTATCCATGTTTCTGGCTAAGTACGTACTGCAGTCCCCTGGGAAGCGAGGACGATGTATAAGGCTGTCTGCGCTCTTGGCTGAACCGTACGCATGTTTCGCTCTTGGCTTGTCAGCAAGGAGCTCCATTGCTCCGAAGCACATAAGGCTCGCGATCATTGTATGAAAGTGGAAAACATGCGGCGATCATAGCAAGCTCCGAGGCTGAGAGCAGTATTTTGAGCTATCATGGCGGTATTTGTACATATGTCATACTGTGAGGCGGTGAGAGGGCAAGATACTGTCCTTTCATGGCGCGTCCTGTACACACAGTGTACTCTGAGAGCGGTGAAAGAGGAGCGAGAGACAAAAGTTGTCCGTGCTTGTAGATTCATTCGATGCTAAGCCTGGTAAGGCTCACGGGGTATCTACGCGTTACAGAAAGCAGTACGATTCAAATCCTTTATCCAAAGGTATTCCTTACATAACCGATCAAAACAAAGTGGCCTCCCAGTAGTCCTCACAACGCTCGAAGAAGTCTCTCAACGCATCTGACGCGGGTGAGCGCGGTGCAGATTGCGTGGAACATGTTCACTGAGAACATGGTTGCTGCCAGCAACAACATCTGCAACAGGTGCGACGGACGGCGAGGAGCCTACCACAGTCGAGATCGTGGGGAAGACGATCGAGCCCGTCGCAGCGCTAAGAGATGCGCTGCTCAAAGGAGCGCTCGATGTCGAGGAGGGGGCATTAGAGCTGCTCGGAGCTGAGCTTGATGTTGAGCTCGGTATCAAGCTCGAAGCTGGCGTGCTCAAAGCAGAAGAAGAAGCCGTATAGACGGTCGTTGTAAGCGTAAGCGTGACTGTTGCTGGACCAGAGCCTGCAGCAGACTGCGTCGAAGAGGCAGCAGTCGCGCTCAGTGTTGCAGAGCTTGTCACGGAAGCGCTCGCTGGGTATGAAATACTCGGTGCAGCACTCGGCGTACCAGTCGAAACAACAGCGGGAGCTATGCCGATGGTCGTAGCATACTGCTTGATGGCAGCTGCAGCAGAAGATGAAGCAGCACCACCAAAGTCAGTGACTGCTGGGCAGTTGGCCGGGAAATTTGCATTCGGCTTGGCGTTGGCATTCCCATTGGCGGAGCAAGCGGCCAAGAAGCTGGATGCGGCAGTTGTTGATTGCCCGATGGTGCTCGTGCCGCTCACCATGATGACGGCAGGCGAGGCCGTGAAAGCCATGCGGCTTTGGAAGTCGGAGACAGCCGTACTTTGAGGGTTCTCCTGAGCAAGAGTGTTGGTGAGCTTGGTCTCGGCAACTATCGCTGCATCGGCATCATTCCCTGTGTTGGCGATGACATCGAAGTCTGAGCACGTTGTGTAGTACTCGTCCTTGCCTTCAGCGAGTGTGCAATCATGACCAGGCTCAGTGGGCCATTGCCAGATCCAGTATACCGAAAGGCTACCAGGCTTGACAGTGGTGGGGATCTTCAGATCAGTCTCACACCACTGCTCAACGCTGGAGCTGGGCTGACCAGCAACATGTGCTGGGAAAAGAGTCTGACGAGCAATCGAGATATTGCCACAGTTGATCTGATGACATCGACCATCGTCGAAGTTCTGTGCGGCCATCAAGAAGCCCTTACCGTTGCCACCGGTACCATCAGTAGACCAGTTCAAGACATCAGCAATCTGCTCGTTGTTCGATGGCTGGGCAGTGCCGTAGACAAAGACTGTCCCGCCGCCAGCAGGCTTGCCAAGTTGGTTCCAAGGAAGCGTGACATGCCCGTTCTCCAGGTACTTCATAGCAACGTAGCTACCAGGAGTGACTTGGAGTTTCGGGTACGCCGGGTTGGTGTAGTTCGAGGTACGCTGCGCAGGATGGCAGAGCGCATCAGTGGATGTGATGCGGACACCAGTTTGTGGGACTAGGTAGTCCATCGTAAAGCCATTGTAGCCGGCATCAGTACGAGCCATGTAACCACGAGGGTAGCCACGATCGCCGATGTACGAGCCATTGCTGTCAATGACTTGGAACTCTTCAATCCAGGAGTGTGCATGTGTACTGCGAATAAGAGCAAGTGTGCCCAGCACACAGAGGCTGGTTGACTTGAGGATGCGCATTTTGCTCGATGCGGGCATGGCGTGGGTTTTCGTGTTGTTGTGGTTCGTGTTTTTGAGGAAGAAGACCAGCTCCTTCGAAAGTGTTGAAATATTAGGTTGGCGGCTTAGATAGTGACTGCAGTCAAATGGAGCCTTTGGTTCTATTGACCGGTACCTGTCCGAGTCTCTTGCTTTCTGGACTTAAGAAGTCGGGTATACCGCCGAAATGAATGTATTTAATCAAGTGAGTTGGAAAAATGCGATTGTAGCGACCAGCGCAGTGTAGAAGCAGAACAATAGAAGCAGTCAATAATATTATGGGTGGAAAGAAAGAAATGCTGCAACAAAGCGAGGGTGCAGTATACGCACGCGACCACAATGGAAAGACGAAGCCTGTGGTTGCGCCACAAAGCGGGAGGGGGCATGGTTTTGTGAAGTGAGGTCCATGTTTGCTGGACAGATCGCGTGCTTGTTCAACAGGGTACCAGTCACTACGTCTAGCAAGCCAGAGATGACAGATTGGTGGTCTGGCCACGGTCTTTGCTGCCCGTGACACGCCATGCCAGATTCATGCCCAGAGTGGAGAATGTTATGCGCCTCGATACGCCATAAAGGCAGAGGAAGAAAACAGCCGGAGACACAAGCGCGTCTTTTCTGGTACACGAGGTGAAGGAGTAGCCGCGAAAGCCATGCTGCGCCAATTGTTCTGCGGTGCAAGTGGAAGATGAGAATCGGTCGTGTTGTGAAGTGATGTTGTTTCCACGGATCATTGCGTCTCACACTTCTCGCGCTGCGATTGGTCGAGTGCCACGGCTTGGGAGGTGCGTGCCGCCGATGCCAAGCACGAACCCATGTTCGTGAAACAGCTTTTGCTTGACTCTTCTGATACTACATGACACACCACATGATCAATACGGATGTATCAGTCAAAGGCCGAAATAATGACCTTCGATGCTCAAGCATATTTGAGGCCCTTCTAAGAGACCAGATAAACAACAGTATGCCAACTTCAGAAAATAACACAAGCTTCACCACCGCAACCACATTACGCATATCGTCCCGGGGAGTAGGAAGTCTTGCATACTGCCACAATCACAGCCATTTTCGGACACGGCATGCTAGTGTGGTAAAGGTCACTCGCAGTTACAACCAGCAATCACGGGAAATAGAGCCAGGAGCATCACCCAAGCAACAAGATGACAGTCCAAGGTCGACATAGACATGTCCAAAGAGCTCTATATGACAAGTCATAATTAGTGAAAAATCGCTCGTAATATACTTTGAAATGGTTCTTGCAACTGGCTGATGACTTTGAACACCACTCTCTTTGCCTCATGTGTGCGACTTTTTTTGGTGAGCAACTCGACCAAGATCATAAGTTCATCTGGCTGCTCACCTGAACCTGACGCGTACTAGCTGAGCGAGACAACAAATTTTCGGGATATCCCTCGGAGCTATTGGTCGCCTTTTTAGCTTGCTTCTTCGATCATCAAATCAGCTCTAGAAGCTAGAGTGTATGAGCTGGCGAAAGAAAAGCGGAAGGCTGTTCCAGAGCTACTTGATGATGGGGTGGCAGTTCAACGTATAGTCATACTTGCGTAGCCTAATGTTTACAGTGTAGCAACTCCGTTGGCGTACTATCTCGGCCGCACAAGCATCGCAGCCATTAGTACACCACCCACATACATGACATAGAAGTATACCATTGATCTTGGTGCGATTCTTAAGCTCTGTAGTTTACCAGATGGTGCCAATCCCCGTCAGTCTCAACTCATCTCCCTCAAGGTCACCTCGTCTATTTCGAAGCCCGGCGATGGCACGGCGCAAGCTCGGTTTGCCAATCAAAAGATTGATAGATATTATAAAGCCTCGTGCTGAGATGTACAGTAGTACGGTAAAGGTCGAACTTCTTGTCTTGACTCTTCACCTTCAGGAGGTACGTGCCCCAATACTTTGAGCGAACTCCACGAGCTCACACTAATGCATCACAGAGTTGGCCGAGTGGTTATGGCGCTAGTTTCAGGTTGTGATACTATGTTCGCTCAGCGGATGTTCATTACTCTACTAGTGGAGCAATCTTCGTGGGTTCGAGTCCCACACTCTTCACCATCCTTTTGCCTTTCATACGCTTCTAATGGTGTCCAAATCGTCGTGTTTGGTCCAGTTTCGGCCGAGTTATAGCTGATTGAAGTTTTGATTCAAATTTTTATGGTGTAAAATTTTGGCAGCATTATGCCCACCTGCCCAAGCACAAAGCATGGCAAGCATGATATGAATGGACAGTAGCTCGCCTCGTTATGGTTAAAGTACAACACACGAGCGACATGATACGAGTGGCGAAGAGAAAATAGCTTCCTGAAACGAGAAAGTAGTCGAAGTTTGTGATTCTACCAAGAACGACGGTAAGTCTACCACACCAACTTCGCCAAACTATCCCCTCTCACCTCCCGCCTCTCATTTTCCTCCACATGATCATGCTTTGCGCCCACACGCTCGACCTCGCGCACATTGGGAACGTCCACAGGAACTTCCTCTGCTCTCGCTCTCTGCTCTGCAGCTGCTTCCTCAGGGCTTGGGGGTGTGCTGCTAGCACCAACACCCGTGCCTTGCAAAGATGGGTTACGTGGTCCGTACACTGTGCCCGGTGATCGCCGAACATAGTTGTCTGACAAACCAAGTCGCTCCCAGTGCGCTCGAATGTTTGGTGACAGGCTACCAGGCGCGGGTAGAACGGGAGATATGTTGGGATAGGACACAGGAGTGTTCTGTAATGACAACTCCCTGGGGCGGTCCACAGTAGTATTTGGTGAGACGGGCGAGCCGAGTGCTTCGTAATAGGACAGCCTGCCCTGTAGAGACGGTGACACGACCCGTGCTCGTCCTCCAGATGCAATACGGCTGGTGGATGGACGCGGCCGCACATTTTCACTCTGAGCCGGAAAATTGCTTTGCGGAGAGTGTAAGAGCGGATTGCTTGCGTGTCGTCTTGGAGTTGCAGAAGGCCCTGAGATGGAAGGTCTCGACTCGAAAGGGCTGCGGAGGTCGGAGATGGTGCCACTCCTATCTCGCTGATTGTGTGGGCCGATACTGAACCAGCTAGCATTTCTGGATGAGGCGGCTGGCACAGTCGGCGACGGCACATCTGGCATGCGTGGAGCATACGAAGGAGTAGGCAGTTGTGTCTGCAATGGCTGCAAGCCACGTCGCCGAGGATTGAAGATGTTGTCAGACGGCGGTGACGGCGTCGAGGTCAATGGAAGAGTCGGGTGAATGAGCTCTTCTGCTGAGGTTCTCACAGTTCCCAGGCCGGCTGAAGGTGACGTGCTGAGAGTCTGGCGAGCCTGAGGTGTTGCCTCTTCTGCCAGGCTGCCCACTGACCTCGTCGCTGCGAGTTCATTTGGCAACGTCGGATACGTGACCTCTGCTAGGCCGCCCACTGACGCCGCCGGTGCGACTTCACTCGGTAACGTTGGATATGTAATCTCTTCAGGCGCTGTTCCACCGTTTCCTCGCGCGCTAGCTGCCGCTGAACTCTCGGGCTGATCAGCTGGAGGCGGGAGCTCAGAGTACACAACATCTGAATGAGTCTGCTCCTCACGCATCGCCCTCGGCGTAAAATGTGCCTCGCGCTCCTCCCTCGGTATACGATACTCTTCCCGTGTAGAGAATCTCGCCAGCCTGTCTTCTTCTGAGTCTCGCGGTAGAGCCGGTTCCCGTGTGAATCCATGAGACTCTATGATTTCCAACCCCCTTTGCCTCTCCCTCTCCTCTTCGTCTTCTCGCCGCATGGCCTCTTCCACCACATAACGTGCATACGCCGGATTTGGGAAGTACGCTGGCATGCCGGTCACTGGATCAAAAGCCAGAATCTCATGCTGAGGTACTTCCTGCGACGGCTGCGGCTCAGGAGCAGGAGCGGTCTCAGCTACATCCCTTTGGCGTTGATCGCGTCGCCGGCGACGGCGTGACGAACGGAGCCAGTTCATAAAATAGTATCGATCTCGGCGTCTTGGCTGCGGACTAGGGGGTGATCGTCGTCGTTGCTCTGCGGCTCGCTCTTTCATCTTTCTGGTAATGGACTTCGAGCGCGTGAGCCATTCCGATTTAGGACTCGTTCCCGATACCTCCTTGGCCGATCTACGCTCCAGCTGACCCTTGAGTTTTGCAAGTGGGGTGTCCCAACTGTCAGAGAGACTGGTATCAGAACCTTCGTCTCTCGCTTTCCGCTCAGCGCGTGCCTGGTCCCACATTTTATCGATCTCGAGGCCGTAGCTTGCGTGAGTCCTGTAACCGGCTGTCACACATAGTCGCTGCACATCCTGATTGACCGATTCCATGATCTCATGCCAGCGCGATATGGGTCGTGCATCCCACTCGGCTGCCTGCACGGTGGCGTAGCTTTGTATGGCGTCTCGCCACGCATCGGCGAGGATGCGAATAGTACGCTGTAGAGCGTGATGGTCGTTGGCAGATTGATATCGTATGCCAGGCAGAGTACCCGCCATTTCTCTCAGCACGTCCAGCACTTCAGCAGTGATACGTCTGTATCGTCTGTTCAGCTCAGAGCGAGCTGCGAGTGGGTCATGAGCAGGGCGATGTACCTGGTTCAGCCACTGATCGACAGGCTGACGGGCTGCCGGGTCCACAGATGCATTGTACTGGAGATTCTCAGGTCGTACGGGGTAAGACTGTGGTTCTGCATCTTGCTGCTGTCGTCTAGTCCGGCGCGGTGGCTCATCTCGAGGGCCACGCAGACCAAGCCCAATGTCCCTCATGCCCTGTAATTGCCTCAACACCCATGGCGTGTCTCTAGGACCTGGAGGCCTGGCGTTCGCCGCAGCAGGAACTGTGCCATCGATGTTCGTGTTGAGCGGCAGAGAGTTCCCAATCGGACCAGGTTCATTCAGAGGCTCGGCTTGATGTGCAGTCGGATTTTCTGTTCCTTCCAACTCCATTGGTGAAGGCACAGGAGATCTCGGCGACTCATCCTGCAGGATGCCATCGCGGCGTAGAATATGAGAATGCATGCCTAGCTCGCCTAGGCGCAGTGAAAGCTCCTCAAGTTGACGCTGGATTTGTGGAAGATGGCGAGTGGCTTGCGGAGACATGCCATCCATGATGCTGAACTTTCGCTGGGGCCGTTCGCCGTGCTGTGGCACTCTCTCCTCGTCTGCATTGCCGCCACGTGGGTCCTCTGGCTCTTGCTGAGTATTCTGCTGGTTGCGAAATATGGCCCCAGCCTCAGCAAAGGAAAGATAGCTATCACGGTCTGCAGGGTCGTCACTACCTTCCTGCTGTGGCATCCTGCGAGCATCTGAATCCCTGTCCCGCGAGCCTTGTGGCTGTTGCCGAGGACCTTGTGGACGGCCGAGCACGTCTGCCGTAAACGAGTCAAAGCTATCGCAATATGCTTGGTTCTCACTGCGCACACTACTTGATCCTGGTGTCGAAGGCCCACCAGCCAAAAGCCCAGCTAGATACTGTCCACTTGTCGTTCCAGCTGGTAGTCCACGCTGTCTATCGGAACGTCCACTTCTGGCTTCCTCATCGACAGGTCGCCTCTGCGCACCTCGTGCAGGCTCACCAACATCACGATCATCCGGCAGCCAGGGCCGAGTGGCACTGGCCTCGGAAGGAAAGTCAATCCTCTCGTATTCCCGGTAGCCAGATCCGGAAGCTTCAGGGCGAGGTGAAGGATGACGACCCTCCTGTAATGCCGGGGTATAATCATCGTAATGGGGTGGCTCACCCGAGACAGGCCGTACCGGGTTGGCTGGTCGGCCTGGAGGGACAGGAGGTCTATTCGTGCCCGGATCCGTGAATCTGGCATTGGCAGCCACAGCATCAAAAACAATGCCCTCACTTTCGCCAGAAGATTCCTCGCTACTGCTGTCCAGCGATACGCCGGCACGCACCTGAGACAGATTGCGGATCTGTCTATCGACGTGCTCGCTCTCGGGAGAGGCGATTGCTGCTTGCATGCCTGGGGTAAGAATAGGCGGGGTGTGTTGAGTTGGTGTTGGGAATGGCATATAGCCAGATCGGTGGAAAGGATCGAGGGAAGGATTCAAGGTTGCACGAGGAGGTAGCGGACGTGGGTGATGTAGTGGTGGTCCTGGGCTAGGATTCGAGGTTGGTGTGTTGGAGCGAGAGCGTAGGTCATGTTGACCAGTGACCCGCCGGACCTGTCGAGGTTCACGGTTCTGCTGTGCGCGCAAGCCGGCTGCTACGGCCTGTCGTGGTGCACTGGTAAGTGTAGGACGTTCTGCGTCCTCGACGGTGAACTCATTGTCGGGCTCGAGTGGGTCGTGACCTCCTGGGAATGAAGGCCGCTGTGCGGCATTGCTACTGTCAGCCGAGTACAATGTGAAGTCATCTTGCCCATCGCTGCGCCTATGAGTCGCGGAAGCGAGCTCTTCTGCCAGGACTCGCGAAGCTTCAGTCAGTCGAGCTACAGAATCGGGAGACTGCACGGGCGCTCGTGAGCCATCATTGGCACCATCTGTGGAAGTGAGAAGATCGCGGAAGGCAGGAAACGGCTCCGGGTCGTTGCGAGTGGTGTGCTGCCGAGTAGCATGAGCCTCGCGTAGAGTTGCTGCTTCTTGTGTACTGATGGATCTACGAAAGAGATCAGCTAAGCTGTATTGGGGTTTTGCAGCAGATAGTATGTCATACTCATCACTATCCAATGGGCCCACTCCACTGGGTCCAGTAGACGGATTGTGCTCAGCTGCTGATCTTGGGTCCACCTCACTATTGAGGTCTTGTAGCGGCTCGGCTGCGAGGGCTGATGTTGGCCGAGGTAGTAGGCTTTCTATGTCTTCGTCCTACGAAAGACGCCTGTGCTGTAGCGACAGGTTGTCTGGCTCACCGTCAGTAGTGCCACGTACGTTGCAAGGACTGTTATCTCGCTCACCACCTTCGTGCCGAGACGACGTTGCCTGCGAACTCCTCGGCTGCGAAGCTGACGAGTCGGTGTCGGACCACTCCGAAATGGGCTGTTGGTTGCTCTGACTGCTGTCCTTAGACTCTTCGTCGGCCATGATTCGGTCCTGCACGCCTCCAAGAATACCAGATAGATGTCCAGCCGAGCCCGATATTCGGCACGCAGTAGCCCTGAACGGTGAGGAAGGGTCTGTAAGATGAATAACAGCCGATGTAGTAGTTTAGCCGTAAGCGATGAATGGCTATGTGCACATGTAGCATAGTCGGGTGCTGGAATGGTTGGCAAATGACAGCTCTGCTGAAGATATGTGATGCGATTGAATAGTGGCGACTTCGTTGATAATGTTCAGAAAGAAGACAGACTGATAACTGTGATATGTTTGCACGCTTGACGAGGTCTTGGAAGTGGCAATTGAAATCTGGAAGGTGGTCAGCAAGCTGCTTCCCGTGGCCGCTCTGTTCAGGCAAGTCCTACTCATCTGCTTTGGAGATTACATGCCGACTCTTACCGTCGGCTCTTCAAACTTCGCACAGGCATTGCGCTCGCGTGCGTTTTCGCACATCGGCATCAGAACAGTTCAGGATATCATATCGCGGCATGTCGAATCATAGAACCTCAATCATCTTCATCCTTCGCATCCACCTCGTCATCTTCCTCCTCCCGCTTCCTCCTACCAGGACTGCCGCTTCGATCTCGGCCACCCTTACCTCTCGCTCCACCCCGTGCCTGCTGCGGCTGGCTTTTAGCCGGTGGTGGGCGCACGAAAGCAAAGTCTACCGCCAATGTCTGATCCAGCAACTTCTCGCCATTCGCACCTTCAATCGCAGCTTTGGCATCATCGAGCGTAGTGTATTCGATTAGCCCATAGCCCTGCAAGTGAGGCATCGCGTGTCAGTCCTTCGTTCCTGCCCGTTTGGGATATGCACAAATGCTTCCTACCTTGACATATCCCGTCCTTCTGTCCAAGTTGAGATGCAGGTTCTTGACTTCCCCAAACTCGCCGAACATGTCTTGAATATCCTCTTCGGTGGCTTCCTCGTGGATGTTGGTCGCGATCACGATCCAGCCTTCAATACTACGGACGGCTGTCGCATTGGCGTGGGTTGTGCTGTCGCCGCCAGTCTTGGCAGGAGCGGCATCTGGTGAAGCAGGCGCGTCCACCTCCATCTCATTCGTGTCGGCCATTCTGGAGGGTTGAAGTGGCTTGCGATATGAAGAGGGTATTCATGTGCTCGAGCTGCCAAAAGTGCGAGCTCCTCGGCTGTACTCCGGCAGCCGAATCGCCGTACCTTGCAGAATTTCCCTTGACTTGCGCGCTCTTAATGCATTTGCTAACGATGATGTGAGCTGCTGCTGGAAATAAGCGTAATCAACGAGCAAGCCATTACGATGTGAGCACAGTCAGTAGCTCATGCTGCGGCTTGACCACGTGGAACGAGGAGTATATCGGCATATTCTTGCACCAAAGCTCTACTTGTCCCAGCACTCCGGCATCAATCACTTCAACACCATCAACCCCCTCCAAGATCTTGAGATCGACCATCCATCGTCATTGTCTACCTCCATCACTGCCAAGCAAGTCCGACGTACCCAGCTACTCCCCTCTCACGAAGAGGACCTTCCAGGAGACCTTCACCGGGCGAACTGCAGGGCCTACGTCTTGTAGAGCTGCAACTTCGTGGGCTGGATCTGGCGTCTGATCATCTGCCTCACGGCTAATGTTCGACCAAGACTTGCGACAAGAAATCAAGGACCTTCATAGTTCGTGCATTTCCCACCATTTTTGCTGCAAGGCGAAGATGTTTCCGATGGGATGTGTGACTCCTTGCGTACCTACAACTTCCAAACTCCCTAGTATATTGTCATGTTGATTGATATGACAAGAAACCACTCGCGTCTCATCTCGAGGCATGTTTGTCAAACAGAGCGCAGATCAGTCCGAAGCAATAACCCAGTTCGGGTGGCGAAGGCTTGTTGTTGACCATGCCCACTGTTCTTCATTCTATGAACGACCCTCAGCTCCAGCATTTCCAATGAAGTCCGGCGGTGCTATCTGGTATATTGATGACGGAGGCACGCATTGCGACGACCAGCTATGTGTGTATCTCAGCACGCCAGGAAGACTGGAATGAGGTCGGACATCGAGCCACTTTTTGCTTCTCAGTGCAAACTCGGAATTTGTATCGAGCATCGTAGCGAATAGCAAATGTCCGACTTCTGAGCAAAATAGTGCAAAGCAAGACATTCCATCGATGGAGGGATAGCCGATCTGGGCTTGCGCTTTAGTCTTCTCTACTCAGCAACAGGCACAACTCGCTATCGTATCGCTCTGCTAATGCACTTCATCTCAAACGGCATCTGGCAGAGGGCTCGGTCTTGAAAGCTGTTCATGTTCCTTCCAGACACTGTTGTTAATCGATTGTGCTGCCAGGCCTTATAGGACACGGAAGTCTTCATCTTGACGGCAGTGCATATGGCGTTCGCGTACCCATCACCAGGCCTCGTACCTATTAGTGGTAAATGGAACCCTGGGCACGAAAAGGGTACTTGTAGCTTTGAGACCCGACTGTGGGAGAGAACGGCATCCATTGCCAGCGTCTACTTCCAAGCCATGGATAGAAACCCAGGGGTACGAAGAGTTCGAGACGATGTTTCAGAAGCCCAGGATAACATCGAGTCTGCCAACCACAGCAGTCTGTCCAACGAAATTGCGGCCATGGACTCCGTCACTAGACGGCTATGTGCAGCACAACTTCGAGCTGACAGGAAAATCAATACACCCGGCAAGCTGCCTCTTCTTTGGACAACGGAAACGACAAGACCTCGTATCACTCACAAAGTCGAAAGTATAGCACAACGGCTGCTGAAACTGGCACCTCAACATGCACCTGGCGGGCCCATACAACAACTCCGGTTCCTGGAGCAAATTTCAGGCATCAGTGTGGGTCCTCCGCCCTTGTGTGTAGCGTATCAACTTTGAGGAATTTTGGCATCCAAAGCTACTAGAGATGAGCCACATATGGTTGCTCATCAATGTACTGTGACGACTTCATCAGAGCAAGCCAGCCAGCAATCGCGGGAGTACCTGGAAGCACCAAATATTACCACTTTGCAGGTTTCAGCTGCATCAGCGGATCCTCTAAATGGAGCAGACTCTACTCTTGGCACAGGACTATCAGACTTCGCTCGGGCACTGCTCGCGCTTGCTCCGCTGCAGTATCCACAGTATGTGCTCAGCCAGCTCAATGTTATGGCAGCAAGCCACTCTGCAAGACCAGATATGAGAATTGAAGATGCCTAGGGAAAATTCTTCGCCATGTTCGCACCAGGCACACGCCTCAGTGAGCGACAGTCGATTTATTCCCCTTTGGCAGACTCTCGGTATGCTACCTCCTCATCAGCTGGCAATACAGCGGTCGAAAGCTTTGAGCCGCCTATACTGAAAGCTGATCGTAAGCAACGAGATCACGAGTTGCAGCAATGGCGTACAGAGTTTGCGATACATATCAAATACTTCCGGTGGCGAGAGGGTGCTCCCCTATTGCCACAGCCTGTCCAATATCCTGGCGTGAGTACGAATGAGCTTGCAGCAATATGCCTTCGGAAAAACATCGCCTAAGGTATGCTCGACGCTGCACCTTGTGATGCCCAACCAATTGTGCTCCGGGTTCTGGAAGCCGCTGCTGCAGAGCGGCCACTCGTTGACGTTATGACAGCAGCACAGGCTCTGGCGGGTCTACGCTTACTGTCCATGATGTTTGGGAGAGACTGAGACAGCACGAGCTGAGAAATTCAGACTTGACGCCCGCGCGTTTCGAAGAACTCGACAGCGAGAGCTTGGCTGGAGAGTCGTTTGGTCTTTCGTAACCAGGCGGCAGACGAAATTTACAGCATTCTGGTGACAAACCACGTCTAGACGGTGACAATCGGGAGTGGGTGAAGCAATTCATCAAGCATGTCGCAAATGTGCGACCAATGGTTTCCTTCTTGGCTCGGAACAGGACGCTCGACGATTCCATCTCGATCAAAGAGCTCAAACGTAGGCTACCACTCATTGATATCCTTGCCCTAGCAATTCTGGTCACGACCAGACCGTACACTCCTCCAGGGATCCAGCCCATGCTTGAGACTGTAATATGGCAGCCGCAATGTCGGCTGGACTTTGAAGCCGTGGCGACAGCACTCCGACAACTCATTGTGCAATTTCGTATGCTTGAGCTCCATCGACAGGACAGTCCAGAATTCCCTGGGGCAGGGAACAGATCGGAAGCACTCGACGACATGTATGCTAGGTACATGAGTCAAGCCCTGTCCGCACGCAATACGGCTTCGCCACATCCAGATGCATTTATACCACCTGAGATGGCCCAAAAGCTGCTCAACGGAGGACCACGCATTCCCAAGACTATGAAGCGTATGCTGGATGAGCTCATGAGTGGCCTCCCTGCTGGCCTAGACATGAGTGACGATGCAGTCGATCTGTTATTGAACGAGCTTCGGGAAGATCAAGCGACAGCTCTGGGCTTACCACTGTGCGTACCAGAAAAGATCAGCAGAAGCCGCAGTGCGGCAGACTCGGATGATGAGGAGTCTGATACAGCTGACCCCGAGGAACGGGACGACGAAGCGATACTGGCGAGTATGTACTCATTGTTCCCGAATGAGTCACAGCCGATGCGTATGCCCACAACTCCGTTGTCGTCTTTTGTGGGCCAGAATTTTGGGGAGAACATGGACGAAAACGTGCAGCACGACCAGCACCGATCTCACATCGTTGGAGACTGTACGAACGACGAACCAGATTCATCAAGAGCCTAGCCACCGGACTGGGTTTGACGAGGCCGATGGCGATTTTCCATCCGATGACGATGAAGAGCGGGATGCGGAATCAGGACTGTTCAGGTTGACTGGCAGACGGTGGACAGAACTAATTGATGAAGCTCAGCTGGCAATGGCAATGGGAGGACTTTACCTGCCGGAGGATGGCGAGATGCTAGAGTACCCCGACGACGAGGCGGTCGACATACTACGCCGGGTGCTCGACCTTGACTAAGTGAATATGTCGGTGGCACAAAGCAGCCCGACAGCAGGCTGTGTATGGAGAATATCCGCAGTGTTAGTGCTCAGATATTACCGCTTTCTGGTAGGCGCTCAGAAGCAGGGGGACGGCTTTGCGTGGCAAGTAAGGTCATGCAAGCCGCAGGTCGAAGCAATAACAACCTCCCTCATTCATGAAAGCCATGAGTCCCAAGTCTAGCATTGATATGGTATGCTAGTGCCTTTAGCGAGCAAACTGTTGTCTGACATGCTGCTTCTGGACACACTCGCTTATATCAGACCTGTAGAGGCTGTCGAGCCCGAGCAGTAGCCCTTTCCAGAGCTGGAGCTTCAAGCTGCTGACCTTCCATCATCATGCGCCTGCAAGCTATCGCGAGACAAGGGTCTTCGCGTTCCTGCGTATGCGGCTCTGCTAAACAGTGATGCAGCAGCCGAGAATGCTCAGGACAGCATCAATCAAGGTCTTGCATATGCTTCTCATGTCGTTATGAGCTGCTTGTCCTGCCTATGGGAAGTGACCAACGCGCCATATGACTTCCTGCATCAGTGGGAAGTGTGTTCAGCCCCAGATCACTCTGATGAGACGGGAAGCCTTTCAGCCTCGCCTAGGACACCTGATCGGCTTCATGCAGGATCGACTTTATTGCTCAGCTGTGGCGTTAGTGTATGTTGGTACTCTCGCTGGTCTCTTAAGGCCGACCTGGAAGTGAAGGAACGGTATCGTTCTAGGTGCCGATATACTAGGCAAGTAATCACGCGTATGACCTTTCATGCACGCCCATTCATACAGTTAATGGTGAAGTTCGAGAGAAAGTTGAACACGATCGCCACGGCTGCTCCCGCTTTCAACCAAGCCACCGCTCCTCTTCTCTCTGACTTCCTATTGTCATTCGCTGAACACAGCCCAAACAACAGCTCTGAGCTGTGCCATCATTACTGCTCGGCATCGCTTTTCAATCGTGTGGTCAGCCTCGTATCACTCCTTGTCTATGACCCGACTCAGTGATACAATTGCGCAGTAGACCTCGTGCAATTGCCCCACTGGTGATCTCAACAGTCCGTTGCCTGTCAGATTTTAAGCACAACCTAACGGTCACAGCATTAACTCTAACAGCAGCACAAACCTGCAGGTCGCCCATGACGTACGCCCTGGAGACTTCACTCGTGACGGATCAGCATATACCGAATCCACTCGGCTTTCAATAGTCTGATCTTTCGATAAGGCTTACCACAGAAGTGGGCAACGCTTTTGCCCTCCCAGGTCTATTCTCAGATTGGACAAAATGCTGCATTGCTGAGAAACTCTCCGGACCTCAGGCCCGTCATCTCTCGTCAGGCTGGCGGCAGCAGCAGCTCACTTGTCCTTCCAACATCTCAGGTAAACGCTCGCTACGGGACGGCTGTCACCTTCATTCGCGACTGGCTCGCTTCGTACACGTGAAGCTGCACTAGAGCTGCCATGCGGCTACCTGCTGCTGATCGACATACAAATACTCCGGACGGTGGCTCGCCATTCACTCGGCCCTTGGGTCAATGTTAGCGACAGTAAGATACTTCGATCTCACGTAGGCGTGCAGTAGCATGTGTACCTAAGTCCAGCCCTCGTCTTTCATACCATGTGGTAGACTTTCCTTGCATCTCCTTCTTTCTTTCCTGACCAAGAGCTGTGGTGTCCTTCGACTAGACTGCTTCTGTCCACAATTGCGCTCACACTCGATCTTGAGGCAGATCTTGATTTCTACGATGCCAGGTATTAGTGATATGGCCACTGCGGCGCTCAGTGCCCGACAATGGGGCGGTTGGGTAAAGCCGACCACAGGTAACTGTCAGTTCTGCCCACTTTCATCGTCAGACTGTTCGGTGTTGACAGTCTCTAGCGCTCTCGCCTCTTGGGACGCAAGAGCAACCAAGCTTCCCGCATTGGCTTTCCAATAATCCTCTACCTCAAGGTCGACCATGGGGTGGCTGTGATGCTTGGAACACGAACTATTACGAGACCACACCCAACACGGGCGTGACTCGATACTACGACTGGACGGTTGAGAAGCAGAGCTGCGCGCCTGACGGTGTTAACATCACTTGTCTTCTGGCCAATGGGCAGTACCCTGGACCTACTATCGAAGCCAACTGGGGCGACTGGATCGAAGTCAAAGTTACGAACAACGTCGAGGACGAAGGCACGGCTATCCATTGGCACGGACTCTTGCAAAAGGGAACGCAGTACATGGATGGTGTGCCAGGTTTCAGCCAATGTCCGATCGCACCTTACTCTTCCTTTACGTACCGTTTCCAGGCTGATCTATATGGCACCTCGCACGTATTCCTCGGTGACCCACATGAGCACACAGCGAACTAACACATTCTAGATGGTGGCATTCTCACTGGTCGTCTCAATACGCTAGTGGCTTAGCAGGCGCCATGATAATCTATGGTCCAAACAACACTCAGTACGATGAGGATCTTGGTCCAATAATGATCAACGATTGGTATCATGAGTATTACGAGACTGTCATCGACGCCCTCTTCGCTCCACTTCCTGCCGCGAATATCCCCATGAGCGACAATAACTTAATCAACGGCAAGAACAGCTTCGACTGCTCTCAGACCAATCTGCCATGCAAGGCCGATGCTCCTATGGCCAGCTTCAACTTTACCAGTGGCAAAACATATCGAATGCGTTTCATCAACCCAGGCTCTGCCGCCACCCAGAAGATCTCAATCGATAACCACAAGTTCACAGTCTTTGCCAATGACTTCGTCGAGATTGAGCCATACGAGACGGATGTGCTTACTCTTGCTGTTGGTCAGCGGACAGATGTTCTCGTTAAGGCGACCGGAACCCTTGGAGATGCTGCCTGGCTGCGCGGCTTCAAGCCTCAAGCCTGTTGGCCCTCCCACGGCGGAGATGAGGTCAAAGCTGCGATCTTCTACCAGGGTGCCGATCAGACCAAGCCTCCTACCACATCAGCGGGCCCCAATGCTTACAATCAGTACTGCGGCAACGATCCACTTTCACAGACCGTACCCGCCATGAAGCTTGATCCAGGTAAACCCACAAGCAGTGAAGTGATCCCACTAGAATTCAAACCCAACGGCACAAATATCCTCTGGTACATGGCCAACCGCACTTTCAGAGTCAACTACAATGATCCCATGCTTCTGGAGGCTAAGCTCGGCAATCTCAACTTCCCATATATTGAGAACGTACACAACTATGGCAACAACAAGAGTCTCCTCTTCGTCATTGAGAACACTGGACCACAGCCTCATCCTATGCGTAAGTGCGATAGATCGGATCCACAACTCTAAGCCATCCATGAATCTACACTAACATTCATTCCAGACGTTCACGGCCACAACATGTTCATCCTCGCCGAGGGTGACTGCATTGGCAATTCGACAGTCTTCGGAAATGCCCCAGGTGTCACTCAGCCAGGAAAGAACTCGACGTTAATTACAAATTCGACCATAGTCACTCGTGACCTGGAGGGGCGGCAGAGCAGCCCGTATGGTATGTGCTGGGATGGCAAGATCACCAACCCGCAGAATCCACAGCGTCGAGATGTCCAGATGTTGCCGGCCCGGCGATATATTGTCGTGCAATGGAACCAGGATAACCCGGGTATGTCTCCAGTTCTCACATGAGATGGCGAACGTAAGCTGACAAGGACGTAGGTACATGGCCCTTCCATTGTCATATCGCTTGGCATCTAAGTGCGGGTTTTGTCTGGTCCGTGCTTGAGCAGCCCGATGCTATCAGGAACGAGATGCAGATTCCTTCGATCATGGCTCAGTAGGTCCTCATCCACAATATCGGTTGTGATGTGTGCTGATGACCACTTTAGGACATGTCGTGACTGGTCCGCTTGGACTGTAAGGCTCCTGCACCTTTTCGAGCTCTGTATAGGCTGACATGTCATGCAGGGCGATCATATTGTGGACCAGATTGATGATGGCTTGTAGTGGCCAGGCCAATATGCCGTAAGTCAAGTACATCCAAGTCTTGATTTGCCGGCAGGATGGTCTTGGACCTGGACTGGCAATGTAAGCAGACCCATGAACGGCCTCCGGCTGACATGAACCCGGTTTGATCATGCCGCGGGGTTTGTCGCTCGTTAGCTTCCTACAAACATACAGGCCTGTATTCCTGTACAGACCATTGCCTGCTTGGTTTTCATGACCACCCTCTCACCGTTCGCCTGCCACTTATGATGACCAGGAGCTCACAGCTTCCGAAAGCCACTGAGGGTAGCGGCAAACTCCATGACCATCCCGTGTTCGCACGCCAGAGTGACTCGAGCAGGAGATTTGAGGTCAATCTAGCGTTCAGCCTGGTCTTCGCTCAGCATTCATCTTTGTAGACGAAACAATTCACTCATATCTGCTGAATGTTTGAAGCATCCTCCGAATTCCGCACAAATACATGCTCATTTGCGGACATTCATATTTCGAGTCGGCTGTCGGCACCGACTGGCAAACCACTCTACACTTACCCCTTCGAGCAGCAAGCAATCCGTTCACTCGTGATGGTCTCGTGATCGAGATTTATCCACACGTCTGTGCCGCTCCAGCCGAAGGCCAGGATTCGTGCGAATGCATTCTGCCGTTCATAGCCTTTCTAGGTCGTCAAGGCTGCGATTAGCCTGACCTCCCCGCACGCAATGGCCATGTGCCTGTGGAGAAGTCGGAGGTGATACGGAGCGCTCCTGGCGTCCTGAGCGAATCGTGTTTTATGGCGGTGTGCTTGTGTACAGGTTTGCGTCACTTGAAAGTTCGCAAAAGACGTCTGATAGGTGAGTGGAGGTTGGACTCAGGGTAGGTAAGCCCTAGTATGCGTGGTAGATATCGTCTAATGCCAGATGTGGGTAATGCTGGACTGCTCGGTATCATGATTGAAGCTCCTCCGTAAATTCATCCCGGTGGAGAAATCGCGAAAGCTTCCAGCTCCGTTGCCCTGTGCAGCGCTTTGCAACGGTCAACAAAAGTGAACTCAAACGTCATGAAGGAAGCTCCTCCACGTTCCCGCTGGGGTGAATGCATGGTTCATGCAGGCACAGATTACCAAAGCTGCGTAATGACGGACTCTCTGTACCAGAGTAATAAGACCTTGTCCCCCGCTCGGTAGGAACACTGCGTCTCCTCGTACCGTTCATCCTCCTGCTGCCTCACAACGACCCCGAGACGTACAGGTAGAGCTACAGCACTTCCAAGATGGTCTCCTTCACCAGCTCACTGCTTGTTGCGGCTGCTTCGCTCGCAGCAGCACAAGTCCCAGTCAATGGCTCTGACAACTTCATGAATGCCGCTTTCAAAGCCTTCTCCGGCAATCCATTTCAGAAGTACACCTTGACCGCTGACGGCATCAATGCCACATTCATCCCATACGGTGCTCGTCTCACGAACTTATTCGTCAAGGACAAGGCAGACTGCTATCAGGATGTTGTGCTGGGATACGACAATGCTACCCAGTACTTGACGGACAGTGAGACGAACCATGCCTACTTCGGCCCAATCGTGGGTCGTTACGCCAACAGGTATGATGTGGAGGCGGCTGCAATGCGAACGTATATGACTGACCAGACTACAGAATTCTAAACGGTACCTTCACACTCGATGGCGTGACCAGCCACATCCCGGAGAACGAGCACAATGGTACCGACACCCTGCACGGTGGAGAGGTCGGCTACGATCAGCAAAACTGGACTGTCGCCTCCGTGACCGGCAACAGCATCACCTTCGTCTTCTATGATGAGGCTCAGTCCGGCTTCCCAGGCGATGTACTCAACGTGGCCACTTACACCCTGACCGATGCTCCAGCCTTCATCAGCCGCCTCGTCTCCATCCCATTGAACGAGCAAACACCAATCATGCTTGCCAATCACATCTACTGGAACTTGGGCGCCTTCATCAACGAGAAGGCCAAGTACATCCTGAACGACACCCTCTACATGCCTTACGCCGACCGCATTATCGATATCGACGGCATCGAGCTCCCCACTGGCGGCATCAACATCACGAACGGCACTGCCTACGACTTCACGAAGCCCGGCAAGACCATTGGCCAAGACATCGGCACCCTCGTCAACTCCTGCGGTACAGGCTGCAGCGGGTACGACAACGCCTTCATCCTCGACCGCCCACGCTACTCCGGCCCCGATGACCCTGAGCTCGAAGTTCTCCGTATGTGGGCACCAGAGACGGGCATTCAGATGAGCCTGGAGAGCAATCAGCAGGGTCTCCAGATCTACAGCTGCACGGGCCAGAACGGCACAATCCCAGTCAAGGCCAGCCAGCAGCATGCCAACACCACAACTTACGTGGAGAAGGCTGGTTGCGTCGTCATTGAGACTCAGGATGTAAGTGGAGGAGCTTGTATATTTGTGATGAGGTTACACGCTAATTGCTTTTACAGTGGATCGACGGCATCAACCAGCCACAATGGGGTCGTAACGAGTGGCAGGTCTTCTCGCCCACCACCGAGCCCGCCATCAACTACCAGAAGTATACCTTCAGCGTAGTTAATGCGTAAGGGAGAGGAAGTGGAAGGAGTAGGAGGCCGTAATATCCGATGATGAGTAATGTGTATGTCGTACTGCATATCATAGTATAGACAGGTGAAACTAAGTGCCTTTAGGCTTTACTCAAGCTTTCTCGTGCAGGTGTGTTGTGCCAATTACTATCGTAAATGTCATCAGTATACTCTTGTATGCCATGGTCACGGAGATCTGTGATCATTGTCCCGATGCATGGCTGTTGTACAATGGGTATCATAAAGGTCATCAATACGTTATACCATCCCACTGGCAAGGAGATCTGCTGGCTAGGCGCTCACTCTCTGCGCCCAGTCACCTTTGCCAAAAGCTAGCCTGTTCACCGCCATGCACACATTCCGCCACCCTCCCTCGAGAAATCATCTCCTCCTCACCTCCTCCGGCTCCCTCCTCACCCAAACAACATCACCACTACCCAGCCTCATCCCCAGCACCTCCCACAACATCCCCACCCCTTCCTCCGTCAACTCCACCCTCACCCACCCCTCAATCTCCGCAATCGTCTCCTCATCTTTCAGATCTTCCTCCGCCTCCCTCCTCTCCTCCTCCGTCTCAAACAATCTTGCTCTGCGCCTTTCGGCGGCCTCCTGGTCACGACGTAGCGTGCGGCGTTGCTGCTGCCGCTGCGCTTCTTGCCGCTCCATCTCGTTCATTACTGCTGCCGAAGGCAAGACGGCGTTGCCGCGGTCGGAGCCGAGGAGTTGAGCTTGGAGGGTGGCTAGGGTGAGGCCCACGGCTGGTGTAGTGGTGTTGATGTCCCAGTGTGACATGGTGATGTTTTAATAGTGTTTGAAACCTGGCAGTGAGACGAAGGACTCATATACCAGGTCTTTCGGTCGCTGCCTTTGTCTAATTGTGTTATTATGGGACGATCCGCTTACTAGTCCCTTTGTAGTTAGGCTAGCATCGAATTCAGATGAGGAAGGAACGTTGGAATATGTCCAGATCACTATGCATGCAGTGTAACGAGTCTTTCTATGCTTCCAAAGACGACAAAGTCGCTCTCTCCAGATCGTAGTATCTCGCTGATGTACTGACAGCGAGTAAGCCAGGATATGATCCCTTGACTACAGATGAGATGTCTGAGACTCTGAGCCTGATTCACCAGGTTCGACCTACGCTCGGCATGTGTGGGATGAGATTCCATCGTGCTCGCATACAGGTGGCCACAAGAGTCTCCAGATGGCCGTAGTCTTTCGACACATTGGCAGGATATGTGCCAGCATCATCACTCCTGGTAGCCGATAGCATGATTGAGACCACAGGTGTTGCTCGCCAGCAGGAGACGTTCGTGGTACTGTCCAGATGATGGTGAAGAAGCCAGTGACCTGATGGAATTTATGCCAGCTAAGGCCTAGTAGTGCCAGCTGAGATGTCTGTAAGCCACTTGCCCGGCAGGTCTACAGAATCTTGGGGTTGTTCGTAACAGGTTGAATGCCTCCCATCGTCCTGGTCTGTAGCTGTCAGATATTTCACGGCGAAGCCGATCCCAAGCGGCCACTTTTACATGCCCCGTGCGAGGCTACGGATTAGTGGTCAGCCCAATCATGTGGTCATCTTGTAGAAAGGAGATGATCAGAGCATTGCCAGTATTTCCGTCAGAGCTTGCCCGGCGAATACTGATTGTAGCTTGTCGGACGACGTCGCGCTATAGCATACAGCAGGTAACGTTCGCACATTAGGATGCCAATGGTACCGATGCTATCGACATCGTAGCGCGGCATCTGGAAAGGAGATGAGATTGCTAATGAAGTTCACACGCTGAAGATACAGCCTAACCACATTCAGCCAACGTTATCCAGTATCGTGCACGATTCGGGACCGGGGCGTCCAGGAGCTGGGGTCGATGATGAGCATGATTATAGACTAAGAGATACTTCGTACAAACTCCGTGTTGGACAACTTTACGAACTAAAGAAAGAGACGATGCTATGATGAATGAGGAGTGATCAGAGGTTGAGCAGAGCAGACGATCTCTAGGCTGGAAATGAGTGCATCGGATCTCACGAGCAGGACGAAGAGACTAAACGAATAGAAATGGATACACCAGTATCGCATAATAGCCTGGAGGGCGCAAACATGACGGGAAGCCCAGAGCACTACCAGACGAACGTCCGCGCTCCTTCAGAACTTCTCCCACATCTTCCTATGTCAACCCACGCTACATTCGGCGACGAATCATCACCCCGGAGCATCAACGGTGATCACACGAACGGCCACTCAGCCACTCTAGCAAAACCGAACGGTATAACGAAACCCCTAGTCGATGCACAAGGACGAACACTCAACCCGCGATCATGCGTGACGTGCAGAAAGCGAAAAGTGAAATGCGACAAGCTGAACCCATGCTCGAATTGCAACCGAGCACATATCGAATGTATCTTCCCTGCACCAGGCAGAGCACCGCGGAAGATGCGAAAGCCTGGCGAAGGACGGGACAAAGAATTGTTGGACAGACTACGAAGATTAGAGGGAGTCGTAAAAGGTCTGGGCGTCGACCCAGAGGCAGGCGAAGGCAGCAGTAAAGAAATCGAGAGCTCGACGCCCGAAAGACAAAAAGACGTCATCCTCAGCGAAAACCACAGTCCCGATCCCTCGCGTTCCCACGGCGACGACATATCCACCACCACCGCAGCAAACCAGCCAAGTGCTGCCGAGAGGAACTTCACGGACAAGACCCGGTATATAGAAGAACACCAACAATCGCGCTTCGAAAACCGCTTCGGCCGGCTCGTTATAAACGAGGGCAAAAGCCGCTATATCAACAACTCCTTTTGGGCCAACCTCAGTAATGAAGTTGAAGACTTGAAGGGAATCCTCAACCAATCTTCCGACGAAGACGACGATGCTGACCCCGGCACTAATCCCATGATCACGAACCATCAAGGCTGGACATTCGGGTTCAGTAGTCAGAGCGTGGATATGCTTGCTTTACATCCTATCCCGAGTCTGATAGGGGTCTACTGGGAAGTTTTCAAAGATCGAGTGGATCCGTTGGTCAAGGTGTTGCATCTACCTACTGTGGAGGCCACGGTATTACAGGCTGCGTCGCACCTTGGTAACCTCTCTCGGGGTTTCGAGGCGTTGTTATTCGCGATCTATTATGGTGCTGTTACTGCCCTCTCGGCACCGGATTGTCTGGCTAGATTCCAAGAGGAGAAGAGTGTCCTTCTTTCGCGGTACCGATTTGCTGTCGAGCAGGCTCTTGCCAGGGCGAGTTTCTTGACGACAGAGGAGGCGGTTGTGTTGCAGGGGTTTGTGATTTTCTTGATTTGTCTGCGGAGGAATCACGACGCGAGGGTTATTTGGACGTTGACGGGCTTGGTAGTAAGAATTGCACAGACGATTGGGATTCATCGGGATGGATCGCATTTTGGCTTGTCACCTTTCGAGGTCGAGATGAGGCGGAGATTGTGGTGGCAGGTGTGCATTCTGGATATTCGAGCGAGTGAAGATCATGGTTGTGATCCGACGATTGTGGAGCAGGCGTTCGATACGAAGATGCCGCTTAATATCAACGACAGCGATATCAGTCCCGACAGCAAGGAGTTCCCGGCTGAGAGACAAGGATGTACGGATATGTCGTTTTGTCTCATCCGTTTCGAGGTGGCGAACACTTTCCGCCGCATCAACTATGTCCCTCCCGGCGCTATGAGGCCTTCTTCGGATAAGGGTGGGGTGGAGGGAGGGATCACGTTGCAGGATAAGGAGAAGTGGATTACGCAGTGTCACCAGAAATTGGAGGAACGGTATCTGGCGCATTGCGATATGAGTGTGCCGCTTTTTTGGGTTACGGCTACGGTGGCTAGGTTGATGATGTCGAAGATGTGGCTTATGGTGTATCATCCTTTTCAACGACAGGATGGTGGAGCTAGTTTGCCGAGCGAGACGAGGGATAAGCTGTTCATTACCAGCCTGGAGAACATCGAGTATGCGCTTTTACTGGAGACGGAGGCGAGGACGATGAAGTGGGGGTGGTTGTTTCGCACGTATATGCAGTGGCATGCGCTGGCTTTCATGCTGAGTGAATTGTGTCATCGCAGTACTGGAGACTTGGTAGAAAGGGCGTGGGTGGCGGTGGAGAAGACGAGGGACTGTCGCTGGGGACGAGCGCTGGACGAGGACGTCAGAGCTGGTCACCTGTGGAGACCGTTGAAGAAGCTTTATCGCAAAGCCAAGGAAGCACGACGAGCTGGGATAGCGGAAGAGATGCTGCGGCAGCAGAATGGTGGTAGTGGTGGGCCGCAGGTTGCTAGGACGTATAGTCCAAACACGAACCCGATGTTTGGCGGCCATCCGAAACGACCGACTGTTACGAGGGCGCCGTTGAGCAATGCGCAGGTGCAGAGGTTTGTGCAGGGGCCTGTGTATGGGGAGGTGCCGCTGGATAAGCATGAGATGCTGAAGTCACCTAGACTTTCTGAAACGGTGGGAGGTAGTGAGGTTGATCCGATGGATATGATGGGTATTTCCAACGATCTTGGTCAGCCGGGTATGGGCCAGCAGAGTGGATCGTATGGTGTGGCTGGTTATGGTATGCCGAGACAGAACATACCTGCACCTACGACAATGAGGGACAACAATGCCTTGAATGGCCTACCGCCTTTCGCGAACAATTTTGTAAACACGACTGCGAATATGGACTACAACTTCCCGCTCCAAGCCAACACCAAGCCGCTCACACAACCGCAGATGACTTCTGCTATGGACCTCACCAACCCATCTGCACCAATCAATATGCTCCGAATGGACAGTCTGGACTCCAATAACACGAACAACGGCTACGATCCCACCCTTGACGCAAGCATGCTAGACGCGTCAGGGGAAGTGAACTGGGAGAACTGGGATGAATTGGTCAGGCAGTTTGGGATGGATGTCGATACGACTTTCGATCGACGACCTGGTGACCTTGGAGGTGATGGGTTGGGTGATGGGGCTAGACAATGGAATATGGCGCCGGGCGTAGGGGTGAATGGGGGGATGGGAATGGGTGGTGGGCAGATCAATCCTGTGCAGGGGAATTTGAGGATGGCTACGGGGATGGGGATGGGTGGTGGAGGGTGGTTTTGATTGTGGATGTGGTTGTAGATAGTGTATATGTGTACGATTGATGTCATGTATCACTTAATACGCGTTCTGTCAATCGCTCCTGCCTACTTGCAAAGGTCATCGTCGTCGTATGCAACGTGCGCTGAGTCAGCGAGGATTTTTGTCCAATTGTCCAAGCTTCCTTGAGAGATTCGACTCGACGGTCAAGCTCACTTGTCAAACAGAACCATCGACAACATTTCCTGTTCTCAACACCAATTTTCTGACACGGCAACTCATCACACCGATCAAGCGGCGGGTCGTTGACTGAATGTCACCGTGAGGCTTCACGCCACTCACTGATCGATCGTCGCGTGATTTTGTGCGTCGAGCAACCGCAGCTCACACCAGTCTCCAGCACGCGTGATTAACATCACTCAAACAACACCTACACAACACAACATCGCATCGCCAGCATGGGCAAAGCCAAACGCAAACATGAAGATATCCAAGAGGTGCTCGACCGCCCGTGGTGCTACTACTGCGAGCGCGACTTCAACGACCTCGTGATCCTAATGTCGCACCAGAAATCCAAGCACTTCAAATGCTACGTCTGCAACCGTCGCCTCAACACCATCGGCGGCCTCTCCGTCCACATGAGTCAAGTGCACAAGGAGAAGATCGACACGGTAGAGAATGCGCTCGACAACCGCAAGGATATCAACGTCGAGATTTTCGGCATGGAGGGCATTCCCGAGGAGATTATGTACGCGCACAAGCAGCGTCTGACCGAGGCGTATTTTCGTAAGGAGGCGGAGCGTCGGGCGGCGACGGGGAATCCGCCTCCTGGGGGTGGTGGGCAGGTGGCTAAGAGGCAGAAGGTTGAGGAGACGCCCGAGCAGCTCAAGGCGCGTTTGGCGGAGCACAAGGCGAAGAGGGCCGCGGAGAAGTTGGGTCTGACTGCGACTGGTAGTGGTGGTAGTACCCCACAGCAGCCGGTCGTGACTCCAGGCAACGTCGTAAGTGACCTCACTCAATCCCTCCGTCGCGTCGAATATTAATCATTGATCAGGATTTCGACGCCCCAATGCCGCCCTACACTGCGAACGGCACGTCGCCACCTCCAAGCTACGGCTATGGTCAGCCGGCTCCAATGCAGGGCATCGCGACCTATCCAGCTGCGTCACCCAATGGTCTGCCGTCCGCGTATCAGTCTTGGCCTGTAGGCTCTCCTGCTCAACCTTTCCCTACGCCGTACCCGCCACCTCAATCCCCGTATGGCTTCCAGCCTCAATCCACCTACGCACCTGATCCATATCAGCAGCAGTCGGCGTCACCATGGGTTCCACCACCAGGCCCTCCAGCTCTTGGTCCAGCTATGAATATGGTTCTACCTCCACAACCAACAGGTCTCAGCCACCCATCAAATTCATACCAGCAGCAGTCGGCGACACCATTCACTCATCAAACCACGAACACGGCTCTGCCTCCGCCACCGACAGGTCTGCCACAGCGTCCATCTTTCAACCCACCTAACCTCAGCAAGGAGGATATGGCCAAGATGCACACGGGCCAGAACATGCCGCCAGGCGTTCCTCATGCCCCGCAGCCTGTACGCCAATCTCCTTCAGGCTATGGGCCACCGCACACCAACAACTTCGCCACTTCCGGCTCTGGCATGTCGGAGCTCGATCGTGAGCGCCTGAACGATGGTATTCAAGATATGATTGACGAGGCGACCAAGCAGGGCACGTACGCGTCTCAACCCGTCATCAAGCAGGAGCCGGATATCGAGCATGAGCCGGGTATGGCACAGGAGCCGCGCATCAAGCAGGAGCCGGGCATTGAGCAACATCCTAATGATGGCCGTGAGTACTCCATCGGCCCCACCAACCATGCTTTTGGGTCAGCTCACCCAGATCCCTCGACTTCTTCTTCCATCGGTGGAGCATTCGAGTACGCTCGACGTCCCTCCAACGGCGATGTCGCCCTCATTTCATCCTCACCAATTCCTACAGGTCCCGCCGCTGTGAGGGCCTGGCACTCGAACCCTTCAGCTCCACGCCGCGGCTCACGGGGTTCCAACCCAAGCAGTCGTAGAGGCTCGTGGTCATCCAACCCTACAAGCCGTAGGAACTCTCACACCTACGTCCCGGGCGCCCCGACAGCCCCTGCAGCTATTCGCCGCAACTCAAACCCATCTGTTCCATCAAGTCCTGCGGCTAAACCAGCATCAAGCTCTGCAATCCCGCCGGCGCCTGAAGCGGTCATTCCACCAACTGAACCCCCATCGGCCTCAGAAGCCGCGACTTCAACAACCACGTCGCGTCCGAGCAAGAAGTCGTCGGCCAAGAAGGAAGCTAAGAGCACCCTCGACCCCCGCCTCACCTACTCCGACCCGATCCTCGGCACCGAAGAATTACTATATGACGACCTCCCCAAGTTCAATTTCGATAGGCTCGAGAATGATAGCTTGGAGGCGCAAATGATGGCTGCGGCGCACGCGCGTGCGAATGGCGCGACTGTAGGCGATTCCGCGGCTTAGGAGGCCGATGGTCATCGTTCACAGCCGCCGATTAGTCTGGCGTTTCGGCCTGCGAGGAGCTTGCCGTTGACGCTCAGTGATCCGTTGGAGAAGATTTTGGAGGGCGATCAGGAGTGGGGTGAGGAATAGGAGAGGGCTGATTGATGGAAGACAAGGATGGGGTTTCAAGGAAGGAGGTACGCAGGGTACGAGATGGTATGGGATTGGGAGCGAGGTGAGTCCCCCGTCCAGCTGGCATGGCTGGCGGGCGACCAGGTGTGTGCATCAAGTTTCTTTGCGCGATTGCGCGACTGCTGTGCTGTGATGAGAGCATACTTATCTCACGACTGACAAAGCTGCGCTACGCTGTGGGAAGGCCTCATAAGGGGGTCAAACACCCAATCGATGCGCATGGGGACGGCGCAGGGAGTATACGCCGAACGCTTATCGAAGGATTGGTTGAATGGCAGTACGTGCGCGATTTTCTCCTTGATGCTTGCTTTTGGCAAAAATTGACCACACAGCTTTTTTGTGATGTTTACTTGAGACATGAAAAAGGTAGCTTGATGAATGTAAGTCTTGTTGCTACAAATTTCCTCGTCAACATTGCAAGCTGTCCTCGCGTTCTGCTTCCTGCCGATCCAGGCAACTGCTATCTTGTATCGCGCGCTACGGCATCGAGTTTGCACGTCGAGCTCGGCGTGGAGGAATGCTCTCTTCATGTGTGCGGCTGCAAATTACTGCTCTCGATGCGGCATCCAGATCTCTTGACCATGCCGCGTCTGCCGACACACTCGCCGATGCTTCATGCCCAAGGTCAAGTCGTCGACTTCGTGGGTCTTTCATCAGTCCACTGATTCGTCATACATTCATTCATCCAACAACCGTGCCCCTCCTCTCCATCCTCCCCACTTCATCCGCATACCTCACAAAAAGCTCATTAACAAAATGTTCATGCTTGATCCCGGGAGCCCTCTTCTCCGCAAATTCGGCCAGAGCATCAAGAAGTCGATAGCCGAGTCGCTCGATGAGATAACAGATGATCAAGAAGCCAGTTCGGTTGAACCCGTAGTGACAGTGAATACCAACGACCGGTCGCACATCTTCTTCACCGGGCTGCTCGCGAATGACTCCGGGTTGTGGATGGTGTCGTGGTTGGAGTTTTGGCGCTTCCCGTAGATGGTTGATGAGAGCGATGAAATGTTCCACCTCGTCTGCGGTGGGAGGGAGTTTCGACACGGGAGGAAATTTATGGTATTCCACCCCTCCCTCCTCCAAACCCTTTGGATCATAAACGGGTGATTCATGCGAAATATCCACCACCATCGCCACCCCATCCGCCAGCACCCCCGCTCCAAACTTCTTCACGAATTCCCGCGGATTATGCACTTCGTCCACTTCTCTCATCGTCTTCATCGCTCGGAAGACTGGGATTGGTTTCCCGATCGGGGCAGAGCAGGGGGCGATGGAGGACCATTTGGAGAGGTTCTTGACGTCCCATTTTCCGCTTGTGGCGAGGTGTTGGAGTTGCCAGCCTAAACTTAGGCGCTCGTCTATGTGGGAGGAGAGGAAGGTTTGGAGGAAGCCGCAGAGGGGCCGGAGGGTGGAGGTTGTGTACATGATGGCGTGGGCTGCCGGGGTGGGGAAGATGGTGGTTTTTAGGGCGAAGGCGTGGTGGGTATGTTGTTGTTTGTCCTTGATTGGGACGCCGTCGATCTTTGGAGGGTCCATGGGGCTGTCTGAGGGGGTGTGTAGGCTGCTTGAGAGGTGGTGTTGGGCTACTTGGAGGTCGCCTGCTGTTGTGGGGATTGGCGCGGCTGTCTCTGTTGAATTGAGTGGTTCGGCATCAGGCGCAACCTCTTCTTCGTCGTTATACCGCTGCCGATCAGCATGCGTTTCTGCATCATCACTCCTGCCATTCTTCTTTTCAACATCCCTCGTCAACCACCCAGCAATCTTCTCCACCTCCTTCGGCGAAGTGACCTTATCCGCCTCACCCGCCACCAAAAACAACGGCACCTTGATCCCACTCCAAACCTTCTCTCCGGGCAATCCGACCTCGGATCCCGCCGCTCCAGGCAGCATACCAGCGACAAACCGCAAAACCACCGGAGACCGACTCTGCTCATTGAAACTCTGCTGCAATTTCCTGGTCTCCGCATCCGCACCCTCCCCAACCATACGCGTAATACTAGAACTGTCCACCCCACCCAGTCGATCCCACATCCGAATAAGATCGAATGCCGCGACAGGAAGGTGTTTCAGTCGACTCACTGCTCGTGCCTCCTTGGCTATGAAGGGACCGGCTCGAGGGTTCAAGGCGATCAGACCAATCACATACTCGCACTTCAGCCTCTCCCTCAGTGGCGAAGTGGAAGAGGCGAGGAGAGCAGCGATCGAACAACCCATGCTATGTCCGATGAGTATGACTTGCTGATTACTCTCCGCATCCCTAAACTTCTCGATAGCGGCACAGACCAGCTCAGCGAACGCAGAAGTAGTATACGCAGCAGCATCATCTGGTTTGAAATCCGATTGTCCGCAGCCCGGTAGGTCGATGGCGAGACAGGGTGCGACGTTCACTAGACTCGTGAGTAAGGGAGCGAATTGAGTGGCATTCCCTCCCAAGCCGTGGATAAAGACGAGAAGTGGTAAGTCCTTGGGCAGTTTTGCCGCTTGGGCATGGGGGCTGTAGAAGAGGCGGATGCGAGGGTAGTGGTGGCCGGAGACTGTGGTGAAGGGGGAGAAGGTTGAGTTCTTCTTGAAGAGGCCTGGTTCTGAAGCGCCGCGTTTAATGGTGAGAGATAATACTCTGCGTAGTGAGCCCAGGAGTGCGAGACTGAGTATGGTTGTGAAGAGGGTTGATGATCTCCAGTCCTTGAGCCAAACTGATTTTACGAGATGTTGCATCCTCTCGCGGAGGCGAAGTAGTTGCGAGCGATCCATTGACTTTGGCGTTCCTGTGTCTTGTCTACTAGGAGTACGTGTGGTGAGGTAGTTTTCTTGCTCGCCACGCCGTTTGCTGGAAGTAGGAGGTAGATGGAAGTACTACCTTGATAAGGATATTTTTATGGCTCGGAACAATAGCCATTGCACAGTTCTTAGTCTTTACTGTCGTACAACGTGCAGCCGCGAAAAAGTGAGACAAGATTTCGTCGTCTCGAGACGTCCACTAGTTACTTCACCCACGTTCTTGCTACACATCGGCGCGACATTTCTCCGCTTCCGAAGTCACGCCAAGAATCCACACAGCACCTCCACATCGAAAAGTTCTATGTTAGCAATTGCGCAAGCCGACAGCCACACACACCTACACCTACCTCTACCACCTCTACCACCACCACACACAATACCGCCATCATGCCCGGTGTCTCCGTCCGCGATGTCCAAGCCGACAAGTTCATCAGCGCCTACGCCGCCTTCTTGAAGCGTCAGGGCAAACTTCCCATTCCTGGTTCGTGAGCCCGCTATATCCAGATCGCCAGTACACACTTCAGCCTCCCACCGCACAATAGAAAGAGATGGATACGTTATATGTTACACATACTGTACAGAAAGATGTATACACATACACACATACACACATATTCAAGGCTATTTGAGAATACCTGAATCCCGTGCGGGACGGGGGGCTGCAGTGTCGTGCTTTTCACTTCTGTCATGGAATTGAAAATGCTGACGTTGAAGTCTACAGGTTGGTCCGATACGGTGAAGACGAGCCATGCCAAGGAGTTGCCTCCTCAGAGTATTGATTGGTGAGTATATAAACATCCATTCCATCCACTCACTTCCACATCCACACACACCTAGGTACTTACACGTATGACAGGTTCTACATCCGCGCCGCAGCAGTAGCCCGCCACATCTACATGCGCAAAACCGTCGGCGTAGGCCGCATGCGCAAAGTCCACGGCGGCACCAAGAACCGCGGCGTCGCCCCGTCCCACCACGTCGACGCTTCTGGGTCTGTGGATCGGAAGGTGATGCAGGCGTTGGAGAAGATTGGTGTCTTGGAGCAGGATGAGGACAAGGGGGGCCGGAGGATCACGCAGTCGGGGCAGCGGGATTTGGATCGGATTGCGCAGACGACGATGGAGGCCGAGGAGGAGGAGGATGAGGATGAGGAGTAGATTGTGCTATGTCTGCGTGGGATGGTGTGATCATAGCATGGCGTTCGAGGATGGGTATGCTGATTGCCTTCTGTGAAGGCGACAGCACGGGTGTTGCAAGCCTTAGTATACAGCAATAGCTGAATCTCACGACATCCTTGATCCGCCACATGCCCTGTGCCTATCGTGTCATCATTACAACTACCATACAACATTCTTGGCAGCGAGGGAAATCATGAAGTTCAATATAGGTCGGGAATATTCCCGCCAGCGCCAGAAGCCGCAAAGACATGGCCATTGTGTTATCGGTGGCTCGAGGCAAGACAAACGAGTGCCACACTGATCATCTCTAGCATTCGCCATGGTCGAGCGGGACGTTCGGGCCGCAAAGGAGGTGCTTGCCACTCTGCACCTTACATGAAGCCTGCCCACAAAGGTGCCATCAACGGACTACGGCGGTCCTTGCAGCGCGAAGTGATGTACATTCGCTACATACTGTACATAAGTCGTCATGGATCAGTGAGCCATCAGTACGTTTGTCCTGCATGTCACGCAAAGTCGTGTATCATAAAAGTGTGCATAGAATCAGAATGATAACATACATATACGCCAAACCCAGTAGATTGTCGCTGTACACACCATCATGATTCAAGGCCATCAGTGCCAAGTTCGGTGTTGATCTCTTGTCGTACTTGCTGTACCGTGTGGCGGTATGTTGTTGAGGACCACCAAATCACGGGCCCACTTTCTCTATCCGAGCTCAGTAAGTTCCCGCGACAGGATTGCCAAATGGGACTTGTGACGATGGAAGTGCAGTCAAGGCCGTCTAGGTGTTGTTCAGCCTATCTTCAAGCCAAAGGTTCTGCTCGTGGCGACTAGGCCCATACGTCCTGTGGTCGACTGGCTAGTATAATCCCGAGAGGTCGTCACAGTTGTCGCAAGTGCAAGACTTGGTGTTCCAAGGCTGGGAACACGAGACGCCGCTCCCTTCTGAGCTTGCTTCGTGGAACAAAGACGACTCCGAAGTCCTCGTTATGCAGTGCCTGGCTGTTGGGGTTCCGGCTAGCTTGCAAGAACAGTCTTGTGACGGCGTCCACGTTGCAGTCGATAGCGATATTCAAAAGCAACGGCTCGCAGTGATCTCCATCTGGATTACTGTGTCCATGGCTGTCGACGATCAAACCATGGTTGATCAACAGTTTCAGCTCACCAACGCCTGTTTCACCGTGTCCTCTGGTGTGGCAAGCACTTTCCAGCAACGAACAACCAAGGTCGTATTGAGGCCTAGCTCTGCTCCTCAAGAGACGATCTGCGGTACCATAATCTCTCGATTTGATAGCAGACCAAAGTGGGAAGTCTTCAAAAAGGTAATCCTCACGAAAGATCCAAGGAGCCGGCCTCACAGCCTCACGTATCCGCCCGTCTGGATAGGTTCTAGATACACCTTTCAAGTATGGTAACAATGATCGAGGGCGATCTTCCCTTGCAACTCTTTGAGGGACGCAGGTACAGCATGGTGTCGGCCAGATTCTGCACCTGATCGGTACCATGCTTGAGGATGAGCATCAGCACGTCTTCTGTGAGGCACCACCTGAGGCGATAGAGCATTTTAATGCTTAGGCAAGCACCTGCATGGAGCAGGATCTCCAGTGCGATAGCGTCTCGTGAATCTAACGTCCTATATAGGGCGCTGTTAAGGTCTTGGGCACTCGTGCCGACATTAGCAACACGCAAAACACCTGCGGCATCGTGGTCGAGAGCAGCGTCTCTTAGCTGGTTGACCAACTCCTGTTCTCTACCTAACGCGAGCAGCAGCAAGCCACGTCTGACAACCCCCTCTGGCTTGCCCGAGCTGGTTCGGGCGAAATGCAATCGAACGTCCTCCAGATCATTACTTATGGCCGCGGGTTCCGAGCGAAAGCTAAAGATGCTAGGGACCATGGTCTGCATGGACCGTCGCCGTAGAAGCTGTGCAGGCAGGCTAGACGTACGGACCAGTCGCTTTTTCCACTTCAGAGTATTCGCATATCCTGCCTGAGAACGCATAGCGCTAGATTGCACAAGTCTGAGCGGTAGTTGCCTAAATTTGAGTCGCTCATGATCCGACCAGACTCCTGCCACAGGTGACGGTGCATGGTGGCCGGCACATTGCTCGTGGTGCTTGAAAGTAAAGCCGCATGCGTGACCTTCACAGGAGCCCATATGGTTGGCCTCCAGAGCACAGCAACTCTTCCGAGCAGCAAACCTTAGATGATGGGTAAGATCGTCCGCACGTACGAAGTCGATCTGGCAGATATTGCAAACCAGGTTGTCGTCGGAACTAAGGTCCTTGATATGGTCTTTGAGGTGCTTACGGAGCGCCGATTCATTTGTCTCCCAAGGTCGTGAGCAGTACAGGCAGTTTCGTGTCATCGCATGACGTTGACTTTGGGTGGTTTGCATGCCTGGATAGTCCCGAGGCTTCTTGCTGCGCATACGGCGAAGCATACTGCCAATGGAGGAAGTGGACTGCTTGGAAGAAATTGACACTATGTCCCCGCCGTCGACATCCTGGTCGTACTCTCCATCCTCTTGCGGCAACAAGGTTTCACACCACTGTGTGTTCTCGGCCATGAAGTCCATGAAGTCCGAGATCCAAGTCCTTGCATTGTCTGAATCTGTGCTGATCTCTGCTTCGACCGTTAGGATGTTGTCGACTTCGATGCTTGGAAGCGCCAAAGCTGTTGTCTCGATCTTAGCACCTTCAAAATTTGCTGTGGAGTGTTTGAAATCGCCATTACTCGATTCAGACTCAAGGTAGGAGTCATGTCTAGCAAGTTCGAGGACGAAATCGTGTCTAGAAGACATTGATGCGCAGGATCCGTCGGATTGTGAGCTACCGCAAGCCTCTGCCTGGACAACACCTGCGCAAGCGTGCAAGCTGTTCCCGGACTCGCCAACCTGATTTTTAAGCTGCTCAACCACAAGCTCGCCGTTGTTAAGCGATCCATCGTGATCACCCTTGTGATGTGCCGCAGTTGAGGCACTGAACTCGTTGGCATCGTCAATATGTGGCTTGGCATTTGGCTGTACCCGTTTCATGCCGTAGTGCATCTCGTTTTCATGTCGTCTCCGCGTCTCATCTCGAGGATAGGCATTCTAACAGAATGAGCAGGCGGACTCTCTTATCACGGGTCCTGAGCATGAGGGTTCGCGCTGATGCCGTTTGAGAGATCTCCATTCGGTGGAGGACTTGTTGCAATTAGGCCGATCGCATATGAAGCCACGGCGTTGTCGTTTCGAACTAGAGCTTGGAGCAATGCCCTGGTGCTCTATGTCTAGGCCTGAAAGCCTGGTAAGAGGCACTGGGTCGGAGCTGCAGTGCTCTAGCTCTTCGTCTATGGCATCGAGACGGCGCGTTCTACCGGCGGTGGCTAGAGTCATCTGGAAGGTTAGTGCTGCCATGGCGGGCGAGGATCGCTCTCCAGAACTGTGGACTAGCAGACACCATCATATCCTTCTGCACCACCACTAGCGCCATGATGATGATCGATCGCAAGGCTGAGACATCAGCTCGATGTAATAAATGCCACGCCACCGCATGCGGGCGCACGGACGGGCACCACCAGATTATGCGCTAGAGCGAAAGCATAATGCGCTGGTCCAAGCTTGATATTTGATGCATCCCGAGGACGCGATCCACCTCCTCCATCAAAGAGCGTTTGTAAGGTTATGCTCTTATGCGTACTTCAGACTTGCAATCATTGCCAAGTGGCAGGCAGGATGGTGGTGCGAGGAGATAGCCTTCTTCGGTAAGGGATATAGACCCGTCCGCTCTAGCAACACTTCTTGTGGTCACCACCTCTCATGCTTCCGATAGCTATCAGGCGAGGACGACAGGCCTCGACTAAGCTCCTCCTAGAAACTGGTGCAACAGTCAGCCCGGATCACGTCCTCAGCTGTGTAAGCACGCATCATACTGAGCTACTCAAGCTTCTTTTTGTCGCATCGCAACGGCAAGATCTGTCGTCAGACTGTTGGACCATCATTGTTGACTATCGCTACTGGCTTCAAAGCACTCCCGCTCATTACTGCGCTCTTGGAAAGCGGCGTCGACCCGAATGAAGTTCCTAATCAACTATGCGAGGACGACGTAGAATCCGCGCTGCGAAGAATGCGAGACAGTATATTCACATCTTTGACCGAGCCTAAGGCACATCTCGGGACAGCCGAGTGCATGCCCTTTGGCCGGCATGCTCTTCACGTCGCTGCAATGATGGGTGACCTTGAGATCATCAACATGCTTCTCGCTGCTGGTGCAAAAGTTGACGTATGGGAGGCCCAAGGCACGGCGCTAGGCGCAGCTATATCGTCAGGTTTCATCGATTGCCTCGAGGCTATGCTTCCACGTGACCAACATGTGACGTACGAGAGCTGCTGGAGAACATACGACGCCATCGAAATAGCATGCATAAAGCTGGATGGTAACCTCCTGAGCCTGTTGCTGTCTCACTGCGAATCAAGCGGCCGCGGTACTTGCGGGCATATATATCCAGCGTTCTCCTTCGCGTTGGCAGGAGGCAACTCGGATTTACTGGACGTAGTTGCAAGATATATGCCTTCAATCTATCTCTAATGGGATATTCAGAGGTTTGCGACCTTGGCTTTATGTACGTCGAAAGTAGAGAAACACATTCTGGATCCCGTCGTTTTGAAATCCCACCCCTAGTGACGTGTAGAAAAGCGCCACTTTCGAAATTTATGTGCTTCTACTGCTACGCGAGAAATTTGCATCGCGGTCATCAACACTTATCTCATCATATAACGATACCAAGGAAGACGACATGCCAGCTGCGCTATTTCCATCATGCTGCTCTCATGCTCTTGTGATAGCAAGACTCAGCGAGGGGTTTCTCCAGAAGCGGAGCGGAGGCTGTGAACACCTAGCAGCTGTCTTGCTGTACGGCTAAGATCATAGCCGAACTACCTTGCGCTCCATCACTGCGTCTCGACATTATGGTCTGCAGCCGTGTAGTCTTCAGGTCACACCAGACTTCCAAAAAAGATTCCCTGGCTCTCACACTCGCTTCAAATCATGGCTCGACTGCGACCTGCCATTGCGACCGTCTCACTCGGCCGTTCCAGCGCCGGCCACAGCATCACTCAAAAGCTCCAAGCCGCCAGTGAATTTGATTTTGAGGGCGTGGAGATATTCTTCGAATGCTTGCAGCATCATGCCAGGGATCGCTTTGGTGCTTCGGATCGTCTGGAGGCAGAGAAGCTGCTCGCAGCGGCCGGCGACGTCCGAAAGACCTGCGACGATCTCCATCTCGAGGTCGTCTGCCTGCAACCATTCACCTTCTATGATGGTCTGGTCGACTTCGATGCACATCGACAGCGTATTGAGGACTTGAAGCTCTGGTTCCGAATTTGTAAAGTTCTTGGGACGGACCTCATCCAGATACCTTCCAACTTTGCCATGGAGGGCACGACAGGGGATCGAGAAAGGCTCGTGGCTGACTTGGACGAAGCTGCACAGTTGGGTCTAGCGGAAGCGCCTCCAGTGCGCTTTGCCTATGAGGCGATCAGCTGGGCCGATCATATCGACTTATGGGAGCAGTCCTGGGAGATTGTCCAGAAGGTCAATCAGCCAAATCTTGGGCTCTGTCTCGATGTGTTCCACATTGCTGGAAGGATATGGGCAGATCCAACAACGCCATCTGGACAAGTTGATGGCGGAGACTCTGCCTTGCAGCGCTCATTGGCCCACTTGCTGCGTACTATCGACATCAAGAAGATCTTCTATGTTCAGGTTGGTGATGCACAACAGCTGTCCCCAGCACTGAACTCAAATCATCACTTATGGAATCCTTGCCAACGGCCGCGCATGACCTGGTCCAGAAATGCCAGGTTGTATATGTTTGAGAAAGAGCGCGGTGCCTATCTGCCGATCTGGCTGGTATGCCAGACAATCTTTACACAGCTCTCCTGGAAGGGCTGGGTCAGCATGGAGATGTTCAATCAGAGCCATTACGAGGTGGGAAATGATGTAGCGAAGTCTCACGCGGCCAGAGCCCAGAAATCCTGGCAGAAGCTGCTGAGCAAGCTCGATTATCGAAGACCTGGAGACTCCGAACAGCTTCAGCTGGGCCGCAGGATAGCATTATCCGGTACTCCGATCTCCCACTCACTATCGCCGATCTTCAATCACACCCTGTGGTCGCTGATTGGACTATCTTGGATATATGAATTGATGGAGACCACATCCCTCGAAGATCTGTTCGTTGAACTGCGTTCGGGTACCTATGTCGGTGCCTCAATTACCATGCCGCACAAGATCAAAGCTCTGGAGCTGGTGGACGAGGTCTCAAGTGAGGCACAAAAGATTGGTGCCATAAATACTGTTCTCGTCTCTCGGGAGAAAGGATCTGGCGAGCGAAGACTTCTCGGTGACAATCTTGATTGGAAGGGAATGCTTCTTGCCATGGAGGCTGCTTGTTCGTCTGTGGATCAATACACCAACAAAGATATCGGGATGGTCATCGGTGCTGGGGCGACTGCACGTACTGCTGTGTACATGATGTGTGAACACCTCCATATTTCCGAAATCTACATCGTCAACCGCGACGCAATGGAAGTCTCAGCCCTTGTTCACGACATCAAGATTCGCGGAGTCAAGGCAAACATGATACACGTGGCTCGAGTGGAAGATGTTTCAAGCTGTTTTAGACCTACAGTGGCTATCGGAACGGTGCCAGACTGCAAAATATCCTCGGCCGAAGAGGAGCAAGCCCGCGAAGTTGCTTTACGTTTGTTGAATTTGCCGGCCCTGAGAGCAGCGACCCAGAGCTGTATTCTGGACATGTGTTATTCTCCCGACCCGGAGACTACACAAATCATCGCAGCCAAGAAGGCTGGTTGGGTGACCGTTTCAGGTGTGGAGATCGTGGCAGCCATCAATGTTCTACAGAATGAAGCGTGGCAGGGCCGGAGCCGGGAGACATTCTGGAACACGAAAGTTGAGAACCATTGCAAGATGGCCATGCAACACGCACTTGGGAAGAGGGCTTGTCCATAATCTTGGTATCTGATATATAGTTGAAAATCTTCCAACTTGAACAAAAGAGACTACCATTTCGCAGCCGGTATGATCACATTTCCCGGCTCGCATCACAATCACATCTGTTTCATGAAATTCTTGACCCGAGAGTTGAACACGACTGGCTCCTCCATGAACAAGAAGTGGCCGTGATCATTCCAATTCTCCACTTGCAGCCCGGGCATATGCTGTAGCCACCGGCGATCGATGTCCGCATAGACAGGCGTCACTAACAGGAGCGCAGGAATATCGTACACCTCGTCATGACGCCACGCGTGAGGCAGCTTGTCTGTTGTGACTGAATGCAAACGCACATATTTCGACGTCTCGGTTGTCACCTGGAGGATGCGTTCTTTGACAGTCTCCGTCATACGATCTGTCAAGAACCTGCGTCGTATTGTATCGCGGAACTCTTGATCGTCCATCAGGCTTTCCCTCCATGCTTTGCGTTGCTTTTGATTGACGTAATTTTCTGGCAGGTCGAAAAAGGAGTCGACATAGATGATAGCTGAGACCCTGTTGCTGTGTAACCGCAGCAGCATGGTTGCCACTGGTCCTCCCATGCTGTGGCCTACGATGACTGCCTGCTCCACCCCCTCATGCTGAAGCACACTCTCCACTGCTCGGGCCATATACTCAATCGTCAACTCGGCTTCTGCCACCTCACTTTCGCCGTGTCCGGGTAGATCTATCAGCACACAAGAGTACTGCCCGAGCAGATCCGCTTGCTGGGACCACAATGCACTGGAACAAGACCAGCCGTGCAGAAATACTAAAGTTGCTCCGGCTCGATTTTTGATCCAATATACCACATTAGCCCCGTCGTATAGAATCGACTTCTGCTCGAGATCTGGTATGAGCTCCATTGTTCGATGTGCTTGAAACGCGAGGTACAGCCCAGCAGTATCAGTCCGAAAGATTGGTATTTGTGTTCTGCCTCCAACCCATGGCGTTGTCACGTTTTTGTGCCTGACATTGACCGGCTTGGTGCTGCTTGTGAATGTCCATCCCAGTACCGGCTATGACTTTGGCCGAGCCAAGCTAAATGATGAGGTGCGTTCTCGGATACGGTATAAGCTTCGAGATCTTCTCTATGGCAATATACAAAGCCGAAACAATGAGTGCCCTTTTCGCGAGGGTGTGCCACCGGCACACAGATATGCAATATATGACAAGCAAGGCTCGCTGCGAGTCGGGATATTCTTCTCGCCACAGGATACCATTACTTCTTCTCCAGTGCCTAAATGGCTGCTCAACCAAAATACAGCGCTTGGCGCTTGCTTTACTTTATCTTGCCGAGTGCAATCACTGGCTTCGCTTATGGCTGGGAGGTCGGCTCCATGGGCGGTATACTCGCCATGCCACAATTTCTGTCTTACTTCGACACACCATCCAGCTTCTTGCAGGGTCTTATGACAGCCGCACTAATTGCTGGAGAATTCTTTGGCTCTCTGGTCGTCGGCTTCACCATTGCTGATCGCTTCGGTCGCCGCGCCACTATCATAGGTTCAGCCATTGTCTATCTGATCGGACAAGTGCTCGTTGTAGCTGCTCAGAATCGGGGCATGTTCATAGCCGGCAGAGCAGTCAACGGCCTGGGCGCTGGCCCGCTTTTCCAGACCGTGTCATAGTAAGATACGGCTCGAAGTATCCGAGGTCATGTGTAATGACCATTCATAGTTACACTGCGGAGATCACGCCAGCCCACATTCGAGGGAGAGTGACGTCGACACTCAATTCCGGAATCGCGGTCGGTCTCCTGATCTCGTACTGGATACAGTACGGAGCACTACACATTCAAGGTAGTGGTTCCTGGCGAATGTGCTTTGCACTACAGTTGGTGCCGGGAGTCGCCATTGCGTTATTGCTGTGCAAACGGCCCGAGTCCCCTCGCTGGCTGGTACAGCACGATAAACACGAGGACGCCCTTATTGTCCTCGCGAACTTGCATGCAGATGGCGACGTCAGCAATGTCGTGGTGCGGTCGGAGTTCGAGGAAATAAGAGTGGTAGTGGGCCTGGAGAAGTCCACCGCAGCGCCGTCGTACATCACCCTCCTCTTTGGTCGAGACTATCGTCGTCGTACAGCCCTGGCAATGGGGCTACAATGCATGCAGCAAGCGTCCGGAGCGAACATCGTACTCTATTACGCTGCTAAGGTGTTTGCGCAGACAGGACGCAACGGGCCTTCTGCTGCACTCCTGGCGAATGGCATAAGTTCGGCTCTACTTTTGCTTGGAACAGTCTTACTGACGCTGTTGCTCGACACGTACGGCAGACGACGGCCAATATTCCTGGGTCCGCTATGCATGGGTACATGTCTGGTCGTTGTCGGATCAATGCTGGTGAGCTTTGGATCTCCACATTTCGATGAGGTCACCCAGGCGGTCCAATTCTCCTTCAAGAACGTCCAAGCCGGCAACGCAGCTATCGCGTTCATGTTCCTCTTCCAATTCTTCTTCGGCCATCTCAGTAGCTCGATTCCTTGGACCTATCAAAGCGAAGTATATCCTGTCCTTGCGCGTGCGCGTGGGACAGCCCTTGCCGTTGCTGCAAACTACTTTACGAACTTCTGGCTTGGCCTCTACATCCCACAAGGTCTGAACACAGCGTCTTGGCGTATTTACTTCATCTTCGCAGCGATCAATTTTGGCTGTGCAGTACTCGGCTACCTCTTCTTCCCTGAAACGGCGAATCGTACTCTGGAGGAATTAGATCTGCTCTTCCTGCATGATCGTCGGATCCTGGTGTGCCGAGACCCAGATGCTTGTCGAAAAGGTGGGATGCTTGAGACTCGCTTGGACGAAGATCCAGAGATGGTTGCACTGGAGTTGAGCAAGAGGCTTGGGAAGGAACATGAACTTTTTAATGGTAAGCAATTGCAGTCCGTCGAGTATGTGGACAAGGTCTGAGTGGTATCAGCCAAGTGATAGTGGTTGAAGAGGTCGCATAGTTTCAAGCACGGAGTCAGTATGAAGCGTCTCGTCCAAGCATGTAAGAGTGGTGTGATAAAATATCTCTCGCTCCAGTCTTTCTTGTACACTGAAGTTGGTGTCTGAACCAGGCATTGATGCTAAGTTTGTGTCATGGATTTCCACGAACATAGCGGATTTACTTCTCCCATAACACTTCCCCAGACATAGCACTTCATTCAGGCGAATCCTCGGCATACATTGCATGCCGCATCGTCTTGACCGGCGCTCGACGTCCTGTCATTTGTTCAAATTGTCTCATGCCCTGTTCAAGCAGGATTTGCAAGCCGTCAACAGTGGACCACGGTTGACCCGTAGTAGCTTCGTGTCGACGCACTAAAGAAAGCAGAGGTGTATCAACCGGAGCATAAGAGAACTGGATGCAGTCAGCACTAAGCTTCATTTCGTGTGCATTGAGAGCGCTACTCACATCGACCGCGACCCCGCCATGTGCATTGGAGAGCCAAATTGAGGGCAGTGTGGTGGTGTCATTCAGCCGAGACGCTGGAATGCATGATATGATTACGGATGGCAAAGACTGCCCTGTGGGCCATGCAGACTGAAGGGCGGGTAAGTAGCGTACAACCTCCGAGCGGGTACCAAGGTTGTCGTAAGCCCATTTGTTGAAATGTGCCGCTACTCGCTCGGCGTTCGATTGCGTTCGATTTCGCAGAAAGATTGATCTGTATCCAATTTGCAGTAGCGCATACACAGCCGCACGGGCTGTGCCACCAGCGCCGAATACCAGCGTCGTGGCCTTTGGTATGTTTGCGGAGTTCCAAGGTGACATCGCTTCTCGCAGACACGCATAGACTCCGTACCAATCACTGTTATCTCCGTATAAACCAGCAGCTTCGCCTGCGGTATTGCGCACCAGTGCTGCTTGCTGCGGCAACTTTGCACTTCGTCGCAATGGTAGGACGGTGTTGACGGACCCGATCGCCGACGCGTGAGGACTGGTTTCGAGACACGCCCGACATGCTATTTCCTTGTAAGGGTAGCTGACAGCCGAGCCGCCGAAATCGGGCTGATACCACGCGTGAAGCGCATCCTCGAAGGAAGACGTTACGAGCGGCCGAAAAGAATGCAGAAGACCATGTATCTTATATGCTGCATTGTGCATCTGTGGTGTTCGGCTCTGCAGTACATTGTCACCCACCATAGTGTAGATGAGCGAGTCGTATTGGTATGTGTGGAATAAGGCGGCAGTAGCTCTTTGGAGGTCGAATTCGGTGATGCTGGCATCCATCACGTTCAGTGGGAAGAATCTTGGGCTCACGGGAACAAGAACATTGCTTGTGACCAGCGAAGTCCTGCCCAAATGCCCGGTATTGTATGCCACTATCACCGGTATATGTCCAACCCGCGACCTCGCCTCGCGACGGAAGTTTACAACACCCTCGTTGTCATCTCGCGATAAAGCTTCCTGCGTGAACCGTAAAACGTCAAGGCTGGCGTAATGGCTTTGTTGCAAGGATTGCGATCTGGCAGGGTCGAGCCACCCGCCTCCTAAAGCCGGAGCGAAATGTTTGTGACCGATGAGCCGAGTAGACGATTTGTTGCGGATCATCGCGTGAAGTACGGCGTCCGGCATTTCCAGATCAACGGTAATATAATCTACAGCGACTCTGGCACCAAATTGGAGCAGCGATGTAAGCTGATCGGTAGTGAATCGTGCTTCGGCCATCACAATCGTATCAATGGTGTAGATGAGCTCGGCGTCCATGTGACGGCGGAGACTTGCTACAAACCTGGCAGTGTCTCGCAGCAGGGTATTTGAGACAGTGTCAATCTTCAGCTCGACGGCATCTTCACACAGCTCGAGAGAGGTCAGATCCAAGGTGCTAGAGGCGAAGTCAGAAAGCTTGAGCGTGATCACGTAACTGCGGGCCCTCCTCTCCAGCGAGAGACCGGCCATTGAGAAGACACCAGTGTCTTTGACGGGAATCCGACCAAGGAGGCGGTCCACATAGCTTTCAATATCGCATTTAGCACTTCTTAGTGCGAAGGACTGATGTGGCGTTGCCGACGCTGTGGTGTCATCCAAGACTGCTGCAGCAGTAGAGTCATGTAGATTGAAATAGGTGAAATCGGCACACTGATGCAAGGCGTGATCAGGCCTTTGCATGCGGAGTAAGGCTTCTTCACTGAGGTCGTCCAGCCTTGAGATCTGCTTGTAGCACCTTAAAATGTGAACAACTCGGCGCGTGGTGCGGTATCCTTGTAACAAATCGTGAACCGGCTCATGCAGACTGGCATAGCCACAGTCAATAACGGCTTCCTGCGGATTCTGCAAAAGCATTTGCCGCACAACATCGAGCATACGGGCTTGAAACTGCTCGTGGCCGAATTTGTCCAGGAAAGCCTTCTCGGAGATGCCTGTGGCTCTGTGAAAGTATAAACCGCCACTAATCCAGCGCCATCCTAGGTACGAAGCTGCGATGAACGATAGCGATCGCTTGCCTGCGCCGGGCAGTCCGACTAGAATGATGGAGGCATGGCGGTCGCGGATCGGGACGTTGTCCATGTGTCATATAAGTAGTCTGATGAGAAGCATGTCAATGACATACAACTGAATGCAATTTCGCGTGGCGAGGATGTTGAAGACGTGCATGTTGGAGGATGGTTGAGCGACAGAATGGCCCGTGTCATGGTGAATGCGATCAATGGAAGTCCCAGGGGATTTTGTTCATCGGGCAAAGTCATAGCCGAAGGAAGTCTTGGCTACGCCACCTGCCTTGCTCGTGTTGCATGTCCACCGCCAGGACGACAAGATTCGTGACAACTCGTTCAGCGGACTGACCATGTGGGTGTGTGAGGCATGGACGGCGGCGTTGGAAGCACAGAGTATGCAACAAGCACGCAGCGGAAAACGCAGAGACGCCGAGTAGAGAAGGCTTGTGATATCTGTCGGCGGCGTAAAGAGAGATGCAATGGCGCGAAGCCGCAGTGTTCGACCTGCAAGGCGGCCACACGGACATGTCTCTACACCAGTGAAACGAAGCGGCGAGGCTTGCCAGAAGGATGGGTCAGGGCGCTCGAATGTCTCTGGGCCTTCGCCATGCGCTGCATACCAAATCTCGAGGTCACCCTTCTCTCAATGATGCGTGACCAGAATCGTCAAGCCTGGCACGCAGACTTTCTGGCAGTGTGGATGAGTGTGATCGATTCGCAAGCTTTGAGTAAGGGGTGGAAGCAATCCACGCTTTACGACGAACTTCAGCGGCTCGTCACAGACTTGGATGTCACGGAGATTGTTCAAGGGAACAGTCCACGATCCGACAAGTTCGAGAACTTGTATAATCTTGTTGCGACCAGAGCCCACGGCGAGCACAGACCTGCCTCAGTCCACGGAGGACCACATACCATCTTGCCAATCGCAGCATTGAGGCCACCACTTCCATCAAATGCATCCAAATCCATAGACTTTCACTTTCGATGGACTCAGAGCTGGCTGCCCATTATGGACAAAGGCAATGTCCATCGTTCACTCTACCGCGTGCGTCGAGACGAGGCGGTCGAGTGCGCAGCTGACGAAGCCAGTCTATATGCTCTGCTGAGCCTGACGACTGTGCAGCAATCTGGCGACAACCTAGAACATCAGCTCAATACTTCGTCTGCTTCGCTGTTTGCCACTCATGCGCACCGTTTGCTTCACGAGTGTACTGGTCCACCCACGCCTACTACTGTCCAAACCATGCTTCTTCTTGCCCTTCACCACATCACGAGGGATTGTCAGGAAGACGCCTGGGTACTCGTTGGTCGGGCAACACGAGCTATTGCTTTGCTACAGCGGTCTTGTGGTGATGAGCTTTTACCGCTTAGCTTCCGCCCAGAGCGTGAATTATTGAAGCGCCTTAATCTCGCAGCGTTCGTCCTTGACAGTCTGCTCTCTGCTCACTTGAGATTACCGCATGCCCTTGGTCCTTCTGGTTCTGGCCCAATTGAGCGTCTGATCGCGGACGGCACCGAGGAATGGGAACCAGGCCCAACATCATCTACAAGCATTTTCACGAACGGTCCCGGCTTTTGTCTCAGCACCTTTAACGACCTTGTGGATTTCAGTGTTCAGCTTAGCATTATGCAGAATTCGGCTGGCGGAGATCAGAAGGATATGATGAGACCCCGAGTACGGTTGGACCAAGTGGCAAGCACGTTTCCGCAGCATCAGACGCTTCATCTTTTCGGCACAGTACTGGCGCTAATGGAGTCTCCCACTGTAGCTGATGATGGCGATTTAGACAAGCTTTTGCTCAGTGTACAAACGGTGGTTACTACATACAACGTCTACTACCCGATCAGCACAGTGCCTATCATCTGGCCAATGTTAATCGACCTGGTCAAGGAGAAGATAGAGGCGCTACCACGCACAAGCAATGTTCAAGATACGGCGATGGCACTGGCGCGCTTCCTGAAAGCTGCTGAAGTCAATCTTCACGTTGCTGCTTCCGTGAGGCCAGCATTTGACAACATCGGAGCCCGCGAGCCGACCGACCCATGTGACCCCGGTTCCCTCCACATTCTGAACACTACAATGGCAGACCACCCTTCGAATCAGAGTGGACTCACTCGATTCACAGCGGCAACATATAACGTTGATCCAATGACGCCACTTTCTGGTGGAGGGCGCACGGACGTATTCGAGGCACCTGTGCCTGACACATTGTCCACTCTTCCCGCAACTGATCGACCAACGGATTTTGATGTTAATGTAGATTTTTCGGGATACCTGATGGATGGAGATGCATATGGATGGTAAGATTAGATGACAACTGTGAGCAAATATAAGGTGCTTATGCTAATGAATTTCAGGGACCACCATTGGGATCAAAGTCTACACAACCTTGGGTTCGCAGACGTTGACATGCCTCTCCTTGACCTTGACTTTCCTTTGTCCACGGAGCAAGAATTCTCTCTCGACGGAGCGGACACTGCAAGCTAATGTCAAAATGCTATGTCCTCACCAGCCAACCACTGCACAGCTTGTTCGTACAAAAGGTCGTGCTTGGACCCGTTGATAGTGCCGCCGTCTCTGGCATGACCGGGTAAGTCCTTCGATATTGTAATACCCATAGCTCGTTGCTGGCAGTGGGCTAGGTACCGATAACCTCGAGGATAGGACTTCAGAATCTCATCGTCCAGCATGGGCACATGCCGAGGATCAACTGGAATCAGCTTATCCTTTTCGTACCAGTGACGAACATATTTTGCGAGCCAATCACCAGTAGACGGCTGTTTTTCGAAGAAGAATATGAACCGGCAGTCGGCCTCAGCGTCAACTTCGCAGCCGTCGAGTTCGAATCTCTGTGTGATGGTGGCCTTCATCTTTGTCACCGCTCTCCCGGCATCCAAATGAAGATTCGAGGTGACGCCATGCGCCCGATGCATAATAAAGACACCTTGATCGACGCCCATCTTTGAAGCTTCAATGAAGTCGTCTACATGGAATTTACCAGACCAGGTTGTATAGACGTAGGCCGCTTCGGCAAAGATGGATCGAAAGTTCTCCCATTCGCAAGCATCCCTTCACAAGGAGTATCAGATCCGGAGCGGTATTGTCACTGCGAGCTAGAGTCTCACCTGTAGCATACCCAACCTTCGGCGAGCTCACGAAGCTTCAAACGCTCCAACACTTGCGCATCGGTCCCATTATTGCGATAGATTTGAGGTGGTTGATCATTTTGGTCGCGATTTTGCAGACTCGCCTCCATATTGCGTCGATGCATTCTCCAAGAGTGCAGAGCTGGATGAGACGATCGTACTCATAAACACCCACTGTCGGCTCTACACGGGGAGCCTGGTCAACGAGACGCTTCCGGCTCTGGTTTCCATCGGCTTTGACTTTAGCCGAAGCAATCTGGCGACATATATTCGCCCTTGGACTGACAGATCACGAGGCTGCTCGTCGAAAATCAACGACCATCCAGGTATTGCGAAGCGGCATCTCCACAACAAAGACGCCATGGGATCATGCGGCGAAGGTAAGCCGGTCAGCATCGCTGTCATTGGCGCAGGAACGATTGGCGCGAATCATGCTCGCAGGCTTGCGCGCACAACCGACACTGTGTTGGATTGTATCGTTGACCCTACCACTCAAGGACAGATTCTGGCCGCTGAGCTCCAAGTTGCCTGGTATTTTGATGCAACACAAATGCTAGAGTCGCATGAACGGGTACCTTCGGCGGCGATCATCAGCACCCCTAACAAAATGCATGTTCCCATTGCGATGGCCTTGATACCGCACCACATACACCTATTAATTGAGAAGCCATTGTGTACATCTGTGGTGGAAGGCCAGATGCTATTATTCGAAGCTCGTAAGAACGACGTCGTGGTTGCAGTAGGTCATCACCGGCGGCACAATCCAAGGATACAAGCAGCTTATCACGCCTTGAGGAATGGAAGCATAGGTCGCATTCTTGCAACTTCTGGACTGTGGGTGTGTTCGAAGCCAGCGTCGTACTTCGACGGTGTTGGGGCGTGGCGCGGCGGGGCGCAGGCAGGGATAATCTGGATCAACCTCATCCATGAAATCGACTTGCTACAAATGCTTGTAGGCAGGATAGAGCGTGTATACGCCGAGCGTGCGCCATCATTACGCAGTGACCAATCATCTTCCATTTCACCGGAGAGCACTGAGGGTCTAGCACTTACACTGCGCTTCGCTAATGGTGCAGTGGGAACGTTCCTAGCGCTGGACAATGCTCCGAGTCCTTACTTCATGGAGGCTGGTACAGGCGAGAACTCGAACTTCCCATACAGCGGCCAGGACAGCTATCACATGTTTGGCGATGTAGGCTGTATGACAGTGCCTCATGGCAAGATCTGGCGCCCGGAGAATGCCGCAGATGGGCGAAACAGCAAGAATGTGCTCGAGCAGCTTCCAGAAAGCAACGTCGAAGAGAATGTCTACGATCGACAGCTCAAGAACTTTGTGGCGGCTGTACGCGGTGAGCAGATTCCATTATGCGCAGGTGAGGATGGCCTGCTTGCTGTAGCAGTGTGTGAAGCGATCCAGGAGTCGCTGAGTACTCTCAAGTCGGTGCCGGTCCCGCTTCCAACGCTAGGGTGAAGCATGACTTGGCAAGACATCCTTTGGGCGTTATGGTCTGCCTAATGAACTGGTTCACAAGTCGACTTGCGGTGGTAATGTGTTTAGTCGGACATGAGCTGTGAAAAATACATGTACATATCTCCTTGGTGTCCAATAGAATTTCAACTTCTAGTTCGGTTCAGCGACTGGGATTGACATTATGGTTGAGTAGATAGCTGCTTAACGGCTTTAGAGAGGTAGACAACGATAGGTGCATCTAATCCTTATTTAACAAACTCCTGGAGGAGTGCCCGCATTGGGAAGCAGAGCACGAGCAAGATACTTCCTCTTAGCCGCATGCCAAGCTTTTGTCAAGCTTTGTGTCCAAGGGCCGTCGGGAAGATTGCAGGGGTCAGTTTCCAGGTTCTGCTGACGCGTCTTGATCCATCTCCAGTGTATTGTATCGTCTCATTTCCTCGCATAACTATCCAGGACACACCGAAAACTCGAATTGTTGATGTATGAAGGCCGATGCTACGCAGGAGAAGGACTTAGCTCACGCAGTCGATGATGCCTAAATTGCCAAGTCCATAGCCCTTTCACGAGTCTGGAACGCCAGGAATATACATAGCTTCGACCATCGAGTACTGGAGAACTTATCATACCATCCCACGGTAGAATCTTGACAGCAGCAAATCTAGCGGTCCTCCACATTCTCCTCAGCTCAGGAATGTGATCCTCACAAGCGACATTCCGCAGTCCACATGTCTTTGCTGGCGGAAAGGCCATCAACACTTTGATTGTTTAACACTGAGATCTGGCCATGCGAGCTGTACTCGCAGATCTGGTATCTTTCTTGCTTTACTTTCCGCTCTTATCTGCTTCACTTCTCTTTCGTGGAACCAAGCGCGACGCACCGTACGAGCAGGTGAACGACCACCCAGGATGGAGTCATCAAAACGAGGACAAGGACGAGCCAGACAAGTACTTCCATGAGTCAAGCTTCTCAGAGCACTATGATGGCCGCTTCGCCACCGCACCACTGATCTATGAAGATCGCCAAAGCCACCTGACGGCATTATTGCGCACATACATGTCTTCGATGCGTGATATCGGCGCTGAGACGTGGATCATGCACGGCACTCTGCTAGGCTGGTACTGGAGTCGCACAATCTTACCGTGGGATGGAGATCTAGACGTGATGATCTCAGAGAAGTCACTGTACCATTTGGCGAGCTTCTATAACATGTCAATGCACCACTTTTCGCTTCCTGGAGCGCCAAACGAACCGCGAGTCCGGCATAATTATATGCTGGAAGTCAATCCACATTACAAGAACTCCAGCGTGGAAAGTGTCAACAAAATAGATGCCCGGTGGATCGACACCGAGACTGGGCTCTTCATCGACGTCACCACTCTCCGCCGCAACAAGACTGCTCAAGCACTAGGCGAAGAAGACGCGATGATGGTCAAGGACAGGCACCACTACTATCATGACGACATCTTCCCACTCAGGTCTACAACATTCGAGGGCGTACCAGTCAACATTCCTTTCGCATATGCTGAGATCCTGATCGAAGAGTATGGCGAAGAGGCACTGTCAGATGTGCACTTTCTGAACCACCGGTTCGATATCGAGAAGCAGGAATGGAGAGCTTTGAGGTACGCAGAACTCGTTCGCTATAGAGAGCACGGTGCGATGCTTGGTTCTACATTCTGGGGCAAAGCTGCGGATTCCGAGTCTTACTTTCCTGATTGAGATGTTCCCTGTCTAGCATTACTTGCACGAGAGTGCCATGACATGCATACCTGACTTGACTCCTGTCTCGTAGTTGCAAAGAAACCAATACCTGCGGCAGCGGTTGTAAGGTATCTGATCGGCACGATTACCTGGTGGAGGTTGGAAAGGGTGAGGAACAGCTGGCTGTCTCTATTGGACCAGCAGCCAGGCCTCCGAGGATCCGAATGGCAGATCGGACGGAAGCTCAGCAGAAAGTCTTGGGTGGGCCAGAAAGGACACCCGTGCCAATTAGCTTACCGGCAAGGCTTTTGACTCCACGAGTGTGGAGAGAAGGGAGATGGCAGGCTTAGGGCGAGACCTGCTGTTTATCTCATGAGATGCTGGTATTGGACACGATTAAGACGAACATGAGTGAAGACGTGCGCCACCGGGCCGCTGTGGTCATGCGGATCAAACCTTAATCTAGATGGACCTACTGTATCATGTACCGAGATGTCTAGCAGCGCTAGCCTCCTACATCGATGCGATGACAAGCCTTCAGCCGCATTACACCTCAGGTACCTCCAGCAGCTCGTAAGTATGGCCCTTCGCATCGAGCGCATTGTACAACCTCTGCATGCCAGCCAAAACCTTTTCCTCTTCAAGCCTGCGGCCAACAAGTTGAATCGCCACTGGCAGACCAGCCATCTTGACGCTGTCGTAGTGCTTGTATGCACCTCTCGCAATGCCATTCATCTTGTTTATATTGATGGTCGTAGGCAGCGCATCCTTGACAGCGTCAACGTGCGTGACAGGCATGATACCCGCGCTGTAGTCGAGCAGATTGAACAAGAATGTATAACCACAAGCCGCAGCAGCAGAACTCATACCGCCATGAGGCACAGCCGGGGTCGAATTTGGCGGCGTCAGAAGAAAGTCCATGCCATCACCCTCGTCGCCGAAAGTGTTCCACCATGCGTGGAAGTCTGCTTTGTAGAGCTCACGCTTGGCGACCCATTGCCAGTTTTCGAAAGCACTCTTCTCGTGCCAATGCTCCAGCAGGCCAGCCCAAAGATCGTCGCGTTTGATGTACTTGACGTATGCGTAGTAGAACCACTTGACGATTCGAGGCAAGCGCATGTAGCGGCCGAACTCGCTAGCGCCGACATCGTCTGTCTCGCCCGTGCGGAAGAAAGAGCGGAAGGTTCGTGTGCCGTCGGCGTTGAGAAGGTTACTAGCGATAACGAGAGCTTCGTACGGATCCGGTGGTGTGACGTCGAACACCTCATGGCCCTGATCTCTCAAAGCCTGGACAGACATATCCACGGCACGGACACAGGCAGGAGATGGATCGACCACATTGTCGGTACGCATGACGCCAATCTTTAGGGTCTTCTTGTCGGCATACTCCTCTTCGACTTCGGTACGCCAAGCAAGAGGATGCACAGACTGATCGTATTTCCACGGTTGCATCTGTATAAAAGAGCGCGTGAAGTAAGTGAGATCCATAAGAGTGCGGGCCATGGGAGAAAAGACGGATGCGATGCCTTCCTGACCGGGCATGGATGTCTTTGCGCCCAACTTCGGCCATCGTCCAGTGCTGCATCGAATACTGTAGCATCCCGAGTAGTGCGCTGGGGCACGAACAGAGCCTGCCACGTCGGAGCCAATACCAATTCTGCTGCCACCAAAGGCGAGAATTGCACCTTCGCCGCCCGTACTTCCACCAGGAGAATACTTGGTATTGTGGGGATTACTGCATTGACCCCATACATCGTTCGTGCTTTCGAAGCTCAGAAGTGTGATAGGGAGAGCAGTCTTGACGAATGGAACAGCACCGGCGTCCTTGAGCATGCGCACGACAGCTCCATCGACAGGCACTGGTTGGCCAGTGTTGCAGGAGTAGCCAACGCTACTGTCGAAGCCGCCGACGTTGATACTGTCCTTCAAGCTGACAGGTATACCAGCTAGTGGGCCTTTGAGATTGATGTCGCCACTTTTGATCCAGCCTTCAGCCTCCTTGAGCATCACCTCGGTGATACAGTTCGTCTTCTCTTGTGCCTTGACGGCGACTTTACCATATGCCCGGAGGACATCAACAGCGTTCTTATTGCCATCCTGAACATCCTGAACCAAATCGTCGATGTTCTCGTCCAAGATGGTCCTCTCGTTACTATTGAGAGGGTACTGGTAAGGTTTAGATAAAGAAGCGATGCGTTCCGCCCGCTCCTCCTGCTTGCGCTTACTGCGTTTAATGGTCAGCAGTCGTCACGTAAAGCAAGGCCACTCATCCCATGCCCTTCGCTGTTTTAAGGAAGGTGGAGTAACACGCGCGTGGGATGAAGTGGGGGTTTTGGACGCACCAAGCGCTCCAGTGGTCGAAGATGTCAAACGGCCGCATGTCGACGGGTATTCGCGGCACCGGCTTCGTACTTAGTCGCTCTTGTCCAGCTTTCGACTTCACCCCTTGTGTATCTTGATGCTTTTGATGGAAGATGCGATGAAGATGACTTTGTATCCCACACCGCCAGCCTCCTTGCTAGATAGCGGGGCTCGGCTTAAGCTGGAGATAGCGCGAGAGAGCTCGAGTGGCCTTGCCGAATCCGGGTCTTGAAGGAATCTCATCTGGACATGATTGTAGTCATTATTATTGGAAGTGGTGAAACCGAAAGACCCACCGAGCCACGATGACAAAGGGCGTGGTCAAGCCTACACGAAGTCGACTGCCACGTCAACATGGACCAAACCAGCATACATCTATCGAACTACACATTATTGCCGCTGCCGAAGACGCCATACACCTCGCCAATGCATCTCAGACCGATAAGCCGGTAGCACGGCAGTCAAAGCAGCCACTCCCTGCGCTCTGCTCAATCTCGTGTCTGCGAAGCCTCCCAACAAATCCTCGAGCCATCGACTTGGCCGCCGGCACACCAGCTCGCTTCGCCTTTAGCCAGAGTGTCGGAAGAATGAGGCTGCTGCATGTGAAGAGAATGCAGCACGAAATGCATAGTCCCCAGAGCGCCTTGGTCTCGTAGCAATTGACCTTTGTGCTTCCAGCCCAGTTCCCGAGCCCAAGGGTGCTTCCACTCTTGCCCAAATTCGATGCTAGACTCTGTGTAAAGGCAGAAGCCGATTGTGCGTTGGCGGCCGCATCTGCGTTCGCGACGACGGCGCAATTCAGGAAGCTCAATGGCCTGCCAAGAACGATCGAGACGATGGCAAATGCTAAGCAGAGCAAAGCATCAAGGCCTGCCATGATGAAGAGTCCGAGGTTGGCGCGAGCGTAAAAGAACGGTATGCTGATCAAACAATAGAGTGCTGCCAGGCAGGTCTGTAATAGTAGTCAGTACTGCAAACGTGTTCGACGAGTGGTGTATCATCGTGAACATACGATTGTGAGCGTTGCAATGACTTCGCGAGGTGGGTCGATATTCGTGCTGACGATCTCGGAAACGAAGTTCGCAGTCAAACCGACGATGCAGACCATGGCGAACAGTGCAAGCCCACGGGTGAGCATGAACGTCTTGGCTAGAGGAGCTGCGCCGTAGTCTGGGATAGGCATTGTGGCGGTGATTTGAGATTGGCGAGGAGGATCGGAAGTGTCTGTCGGGTTGTTGGAGTGTGTGTGATGGTAGATGAGCCTGCCGGAGGCGTTTGCTGAAGCAGACGGAATGTGTCGATCAGAAGCAAAGAAAAGATATCAGATCCGATGCCAGACGAAAACCACAAATGAAATAAGAAAATGCTGCAAGACGGATGTGCAGAGCAGAAGCTAAAATTCGTCTCCTTGAGTGTCTTATACCTTCTATAGACCACTCTCTCACAGACCTTTCCAAACATAGCACATGTGTTCGCTGCCGCTGACAAGACATGTCTGTGTCCGACCTCGTTTCATAGCAATACCGCAACGCGAAGTCATCGGCCAATCAGCGTGGACGGCGCTGCTCCGTTGGAGGGCGGCTACAGAGACACGTCTATGTTTGTTGGCCGGTCTTGTCCATCGACTTTTGTATGGCTACCATCGTATCTTCCGTCGACGAGGCTGTCCGTGCCGTGTTTGCAACCTCGAGAGGTATCGGTGCATGCCATGCGCGCCTCCAGAAGCCTGGTGAGATTCCGGCATATGCGATGTTGCCTCCTAGCTCGATTGCCACGCAGCCATCACCCAGGTATCTGTTGTAGTCTTCGAGGCTGGCAGTACACCAAACATGATAGGTAATGTGCTTGCGTTAAGGAAGAAGCTCGTGGACAGCATGTTCGAGATGTAAAAGGCCTCCATGATCATGCCTATACTCTTGTCGCGGTGGCCCGTGCTTCATTGGTTTTGACTATACATCTATTCTTCAACACGAGCGTGGTAGATTTACAATATGCCATGTGGATGCTACTAGGACAACATAACTAGGCTATAAAGACGTAAAATGGGAGTACAGATGCTCCACCATGAGCAGCGATGAGGGTCGGCGGCGCGCAGTGCCCATCGCGTCTCCGGCGGCTATTCCAAAGCCGCCGCCATTACCAGTTCCGAAACCTCTGCAGCGCGCCAGGGAAGCAGCATACAGGTTCATCGGCTATCCTGCATCGCGTCCAAGTACGCCAGACGATGAGCTGATTAATGACCGTGCTGCTCGAGCTGGACTTCCGAGCAGATCTGCGACCCTCAGCGCCACCCAGAATGCGAGTGCCATCCATAAAACTGGCTTAGAAATCAATACCATTGCTATCAATGAACCGGGAACGCATGCCTTGGTTGGTGGGAGGGAGATCTTCAAAACCATCAAGGTCGATCATGGTACCTGCGCTGAGGACCTTAACCTGCGAAGTGTCATCCGTAGCACACCAACATCGGCCTCTGGTAAGCCTCGACAGGTGTACTCCGTTGACATTGCGGATGTCGCTTGGGCAAAAGGCGATTTCAGCTCGTATGTTGCGGCAGCTACGTCCAGTGGTAAGATCATATTATACGACGTAGGTCACGCTGCGCTGCATGCAGTACAACTCCATGAGCATGTTCGGCAAGTGCACAAGGTGACCTTCAACCCTCATCGTGGAAACTTGCTGCTTTCTGGTAGCCAGGATGGCACTGTTCGATTGTGGTGAGTAGCGGGACGTCAAGATCAAAGTTATGATTGCCTCTGATAGTGCTTCCACAGGGATGTCCGTACGATGCGTAGCGAAGCTAGTAGCTTGCAATCAAAGCACAAATACTCTGGGCAAAGCGACGGCGTGCGTGATGTCAAGTGGTCTCCTACAGACGGCGTGGATTTCGCCTTCGGTACAGACAGTGGATGGGTGCAGCGATGGGACATACGCAATTTGAAAGCTGCAAAGCTCAAGATCGCAGCACATACCTTGTCTTGCAACGTCATTGACTGGCACCCTGATGGCAAACACATCGCAAGTGCCAGCACGGACAAGACAGTCCGCATCTGGAATTTCGAAGCCAGTAAGAAGGGTCGAGCAGATTGGGAGATCAAAACACCTTATCCAGTCATGAATGCGCGGTGGCGATCCTCATGCGAGTCTTCTATGCTATCGGATGATGGTGCTCGGCAGTGCATACAACTCGCTACTGGATATGACTCGGAGCACGCAGTAGTCCACGTCTGGGACCTTCGCCGGCCAGCTTTGCCTTTTCGAGAGATGGTTCCGTATGTGTCAGCCCCAACAGACCTACTCTGGCACTCCCAGGATCTCTTATGGACAGTTGGCCGAGAAGGTACTTTTATACAATCAGATATTCAGCATGCTCCGAAGGTCATCGATAGGCGGAATCTTCAATGCTTTGCTGTGTCACCACTGGGAGATGTCAATCCGATTACTACCAGGCGTACCCAGCGCCGCACTCCTAAGCCCCGTGATGCAGCAGAAGTTTCGTCATCGCCAGACGAATGGACGAAAGATCACGCGACATTCGTTAGTCGCAGCTGGGATGATGACGGTCTCGATCACATCTTCCTGAGCATACGACCAGTAAAAGCTGCCCAGTATCCAGCTAATCTAGTGAGAACGACCTCCGCTACGAGCAATGATTTGTCGAACACGCTAGCACTGGACCAAATACTGCACAATCGGAAGTCATTCAGTCCGCCACAGCAAGCAGTCAGAGGTGCTGTACCGTATCACATCGATCGGAATGTTATCCGATTTCTGGCGATCAATTGTGTGAAGGAAATCGACCTGTTCGGTAAAACTTCTGATGCGTTCTTCGAAAATGTACAAGCTGCTTTTGATCGAAATGTGGAACTAGCCAAGCAGGCAGGCATGAAGAGAGATGCAGTGACATGGCGGCTGGCACGAGAGGCGACGCTCAGCCATCTCAAAGTTCGACTCGCTGCTCACCAGAGGGGTAAAGATGTGACCAGTCCATTCATATTTGAAAAGTGGCTGGCAGCTGACATAGAAGCTGGTCAGCCGTTCGAGCTTGTGCAGATGCTGAAACAGATGACCCAGGAGGCCACCAGCCATGGGAGCATTCATCTTATTGCACCGCTCTTGCTCTTGATCTCGCCACTTCTGCCGTCGATTCACCCGCTCCCAGACCACGAACAGAAAGCCACTATGTCGATCTACAGCGAAGCACTGGACAAGGCTGGTTTCGAGCCGAAGGAGATCGGTCGCATCCTGAACGAGGACATCAAGCATACCATGACGACAGGCTTACAACCACTGCAAATCGAGACAATCTTGGCCTTGTACCACGGACAGCTGTTGGAGCATCGTCTTTTCGCCGAAGCAGCTGAGATACGTCAGATGGCTTATCCGGCTTACCCTAGTGTATACGACAGCCATCTAAACGACAATGCAGTTCATAAGGTGGGTCGAGCAAGGTGTATGTACTGCGAGCAGGCGAGTAGCCCGCAAGGGAATGGAATGGTGTTGTCCACATGCTTGAGTTGCGGCCACAGTATGCACGCCGGCTGTGCCAGGTCTTGGGGCATGTGTGCTGCGGATGTCGGTTGCGTAGTAGATGGCTGTGGTTGCAAGTGCTTTGCTAAGCACAAACCCAAATTAGGGCGAGGAATCGTTCGTGATTAAATTTATGCATTGAAGCCTAGTCGCAATGAAGTGTCTAGATCGCCTAGTTGCTGCCCTTGTTTATAGTAGTACAGTTGATGCCATGCAACAAGCTCTGATCAACAGCGCCGCAGGTGAATTCGTTCTCCACCCCATTCGGGCTCACGACAGCGATCTCGTTCAATGTGATGTTTGAGCACACTTTGGGGTCGCTGCAGACGACATACCCACTTATTGGTTGGTACTTGGTGCTTGTAGTGCCGTGAATGTTCGTCATCGTCACATCGTTGATCGTCAAGCTAGATGGGAATTGGTTGCACAGAGTTAGGTTCTTCTGGCCATAACATTGCGTTACCTCGATCGCATAGTCGACGTTGGCGATGGACATGTCGAGGTAGGTAATGTTGTTGACACGGCCGGATCCACCGCCGCCCTGAAGATCGCCGGAGAGTGCAGATGGTGAGCCTGGCCAGACTTTGATACGAGCACCGTCCGTGGCATTAGACATCTGGATGTTTTGCACCTGCGATGGTCAGTAAACGAACCGCTACCTTCTGGTTGTCACGGAAGACTCACCAGAACGTTCTCAACGATATCGACCTGGCCAACATACTGACCCAGCGATCCAACACTGATGCCGTGACTGCCATTACAATGCAAATTCTGGACCAGGATTTCCGTACTGTTAGGCTTGAACGAGACACAATCATCGCCGTTGTTAATCACACTATTCTGGATAACCACGTTCGAGCTCCGGTAGGTGTCCCAACCATCAGTATTCTTGGCTGTGTTATTGCTCTGGCTGTATCCGCTGATAGTGAGGTTCGAGAAGACAACGTCGGTCGAATTGGCGACAAAGTTGTAGTACTGTGGCGAGTAACGCAGGTTCAGGTCGGAGATCGCGCCGCTGCACAAGCCAATGGTGCCGAAAAGGATAGGCCTGAGGATGTAGATGTTCTTCGCATAAAGATCGTACCAGACTTGACCGTTACCGTCGAGCATGCCGCCGCCGTAGACATTAACGTCTTCGCCTCCGAGCTGGAAGAAAGTCGTGGCGTTCTGGAAGGTCTGATAGAAAGCATTCTTTTGCCAATAATCGGTGTCGTTCGTGAACTGAATGTAGCCCTGAATCTCTGGAGGAACGTTAGCACCTCTTAATATCGAAGGACTCGATGGGTACAAGCGTACGAATATCGATGTGCTGCAGGAAGGTCAAATCGAGCGCCGTGCCGATCACGTATGTCGTCCCTTGTGGAAAGATGGCTCGTCCACCATTATTGCACTGGTGAAGCGCATCCAGAATGTAGGGCGAATCGTCGGTCTTGAAGTCATTGTGGCTCTGCACATAGCAATTCTTTCCTCGAGCTGTCGACTTGGGCAACGGCTCAAATGGCTGATTTGGTGAGAAAGAGATCTTTGGCTGCGCAGCCTGGTGCTTCGAAGTATGGGCTGGAAGATGGGAGAGGTATTCCTGGTAAGCAGACCATGTTGCACTTGCACCTAGCGCTTGCAACAGCAATGCCGCTGCAGAATTTTTGAGCCACATGTTGAGGGTTTTTATCGAAGAAGCACTCAGAGACGGAGATCACGAAATGCCACGAGGCAGGAGATGCTCCGCCTATATACCTCATACATGACCCTTGCCACCTTGACACGGTCCTTAACTCGCCGTGCAGACGCGGCTCTTCTATCCAGAGATCCTCCGCATGGCGAGGTGCGGAGATGAATGCGGAGACGATCTTTTGTTTTGTCGCTGCTCCAAGAAGGAAGAAATGTGAAGTTGAAGCTGATTGGTGGAACTTTTCGTCGTCGGCCAAGACTTGACCTCGCTTCTGTTCTCAACTCTGCTGCCAAACACACCATCGACCTCGCACGCCGTGTAGGCGAAAGCTGATATGGCTGACGATCCACGCGTGTCGCGGTCATCACAGGATGGAAGACATCGACATGACAAGCTCAAAGCACGTCCATCACGACCCCATGGCTCGCTGTGTCCGCACTCAATTGTGCCGCTACCTTGGTCGATGAGCCCCAATCATCGGCATCAAACCCCAAATATCAACAACAGCAACTCCATTCAATTGAGCTCACCCGATTAGGTAGGAAGGGCAAGATATCGTGAGGAAACAATTGATCATCATACAGCACTTCAAGTCGAGCTTCTTACACCTATCGACTCTCCCAGCGCTCAAACGAGAACGCTGCAGACGCAGTCTCGACGGTCAAAATCCGACGGAAACCTGATCGCAAATGCATTCAATTCTCGCCAAGCTCAGCGCGACATGCAATAAGCGCAACCAAGAACCCTCCTTCGACACGCCAGGACCCTGGTCAACTAATCGCCATTGCACCCCAGCTGACTCCACGACGCGCACTCATTGAACACAATGGTTGCAGTAACCAGTCGCATCCGAGCTGCCAGGCATAGTCTCAACAGCAGAAATGAACTCCATTTTGCCACAAAGCTGAGGCTGCACCTTTTGTGGCGGTGGCGGCTGCTGCTTATACCCAGCATACTCAGCCCACTGCTTCTGCGACTTCGGCCAGACCCTTGGCATAGGCGAGAATTTCTTCTCCGGAGTCGTCATAGCATCACCCCGTGGGAAGAAAAGCATATTGACCGGGTTACGAGGATCGATCTCAGCTTGTGGACCGTAGCCTGAGAAGCTGATCTCGCGGCCATCGCCACCTTTCCAGCCATAGGGATGCTTCAGAGGGTGATGGTTCGAACCAATAGTCCAGACGCTTTGCGGTGTTTTGATGGTCGAACTGTCATCTGAAGCAGGCGAGAATGGAGGTGTATTGTTAACGAGGCCTGGAATTTGCATCGCTGTGATCAGCGGCATGGGTGCCCTGCCAAAACTAGTGGGCATGTGATCTTCGCGTGGAGCACCATTAGCGGGCATTGGAGATTCAGTAGGTGAGGTTTGCATTGCGGTCTTGTTCATCAGCTCGCCCCAGAAACGCTGCTGCGAGCGCTTGGAAGGCGACAAACTGCGCGAGTCACCTCTTTTGTATTCGCGAAGCAACGTGATGCTGTCCTTGACTGACGGAGGTAATACTGACCATTGTTTGTCCGTGTAGGAGTCAAATGTGCCCTGCCACGAGCGCATACTAAGCTCCTTGGCAGGATTGTCCGCTTTCCACAATGGCTCGAAGGATTGCGCCGTGGCACGCAGGGACGACGATGTGGCTCGTGGTGGCGGCATTGACGAAGATAAGGAATGGCTCTCCAATTTGCCAGCTGCTTCGATCTGTACACCACCCCTGGGGTGAGATGCATCCTGCATGTCGGCAGCTGGGCACACGTCTGGCGGCAGAGTGGTTGCTTTGCTGTTGGCACCTTGGCGAGCGAGCCTGGCGACGTCTATCAAAGCACCCTTGGCCTGCCAGGCAGTCGAAGCCCTCGACCTATCGAAGTCCGGACTAATCTGCTGCGCCGAGCTAGCTAAAGCCTCTTGGGCCTTGGCTGCTGGGGCGGACAGATTTGATGCATCCGGCTTGCCTTTCTGCAGGCCATGCTGGTCAAGCTTGTCGAAGATGGGCTTGAGGATATTAGCGTGAGAGGTGCGACGCTTGGCTGTAGTGTTCGGGATGGAGATCAGAGGCTTCGGCAATCTAGCCTCTCCAGCATAGCGTATCAGTAGGTCGGAAGGCGAATCCAGGGCTTTAGCTTCTTTGAAGGCTTTGGATGGGCTCGTCAACATATTTGGCATAGCTTCAGCGATGCCGCGAGACTTTCCCGACTGATTGGCGATCTTTGCTCGAGCATTCAGCTGTTTTACTCCGCGGGAGGATACTTCGGCATAGCTTGGTTTCCGGGGAGGAAGCGTTGGCGGCATATTTAGGCTGGATATGAGACTCTCGAAATGTCCACTCGAATCCGAGGTTGGACTGCCAGGAATGATCACGATATCTGTGGGAGACACGCCGCTATGGTGCTTGGTGGCCGCTGCGTCTGCCACCCAAGGCTTGACTTTCGGCTCGGAACGCATAGCGCAGTCTTCGCCCAGGGTCGCGATGGCACGCTGTGTCGTGGCAGTAGTAGGCGACATGTATGAGCTAGTCTTCTTCCGGACTTGTGGAGTTTGTGGCTGGATGGAGTTCTTGGTGGTAACTGGGGAGTGGAATCCCATATCGTCACTGGCCACCTCCTGGCCTGCGCTGGAAGTGCCATCAGGCATGGGAGTAATCGTTTGGCCGTGGATGCCAACGCCCTCTTGCTGGGTCTGCGCGCCACCGACCCAATAACTCGGCAGCGACTGCCGTTTGTTGTGTTTTGTGCTCGCACGCTTGTCTGTCTGGAGGGTCGGCGACTTCGCTCTCGTACTCTTGATAGGTGACGTCTCGCTGGAACGCTTTGCTGCCACGGCCGCAGACTCTTTGCGTAGACTTTCGCCCGCTCGTCTAGCAAATGACGTGGTTGGCTGTGCGAAGTGAGGACCTTCTTTGAGCGGCTGGCCATTAGGCGCGGACAGCACTGCCGGGCTGATGATGACTGAACTAGCGTCCTCCATCTCTGGCTTCTCAACCCGTCGAGGTGCCATAGGCCCTGGAATCTTGCTATCGGCACGCTTACTTCTCGTGCCAGTGACGGGCTTCTTGTTCGTGGAATAGGAAGCCGCTTCGGATGCTGTGGTGGAGCGAGGGCGTGTACGAGCGGCTTTATGTGGCTTTGCAGTCCTGACACCGATGTCGAATGCAGGAAAGTCGTCAGGGCCTGGTGGTGCTGGTGGGGATTGAGCCTTCTGTGTCTCTTGTGGCGACATTGCAGCCCACTGCTCATGCTGCCTTCTAAGCTTCTCGGCAGGTGACAGAGCCTCGTGCCCAGCAAGTGAAGACTGGGGCTGTGCGGCGTCGTTCACATGCTGCCCACGCTGATGATGTGAATTGGCATTGCCGGTCTTGAGCCGCAGCACCTCTTCTTTTAAAGCGTCCACTTCTTGCTCGATCTGGTCGAATGAGTCTCGGATCTGGCTGCCGTCCTCAGAGATCTCGTACGCGGAGCCTTGGGCAATATGGGCACTGCAGCGATTGGTGTGATCACGGATGCCGAGGCCGGTGGGTGAGTCGGCCAGATGCTGCAGTAAGTCGGAGCTACACTTCATGATGAGCAGCAGTTCCACACGAGGGTGAGGACATCTAAGCGTACCTGTTCGGCATTTCCCAACTTTCATCAGTATCTTGGCGTAAACCTGGCTCACGGCGGGAAAGATGACCAACAGTCGGTGCTGCTGAATTCGGCTGCCGATGAAGCAAGTAAGTCAGCATGCTGCATCGTGACATAATTGCGAAAGAGGACTTACTGCTGGAACATCATCCTCCGGAGGCTGCTTTGTACCGCCACCGAAGAATGTCTGTAGTCCAAACGGCCTCAATGCCGCCATATCAGAGGTCTGCTCGTGCTGCGGAACAATAGATGAAGATGTTCTCGGTGAGTACTGATCAGTGATGGATGGCAAAGATGCTATTTGGTTATGGGTCGGGTCCGGAGAGGGAGACTTGTGATCGTTTGTAGATGAAGGTAAGTTGCCGTTCTTCTGCCTCTGTCCCTCCTTCTTCTTCAGCTCCCTCTTCTTTCTTAGGAATTCTGAATATCTGGTATCGTGCGGCATGCGCGACTGCTCGGCCGCTGTCTGCGTGGCAGGAAGATTGCTCGAAGACGTGCCGTTCTCTGGTACGGAAGTCGCATGCTCACAGTACTTGACAAGTACGCTCTGCTGGTGGCGGCAGGAAGGATAGAAGAAATAGCGATATTGGCACATTATGCAAGGCCTCTCGTTGTAAGATACATGAAATGCCATGCGATGCGATGCTCAGGTTCAATGCCCGGTGAACGCCAGTACCTACTTACGACACTCTGGGTAAGAAGTGCTGTCTGAAAAGGGGTGCTGCGATCTTGTCTGTGGAGGCGGGTGAAGCGGGTGAAGCGGGTAAGCGTGAAACCCTGAATGTCGACCAACAAAGGAAGGCACGAATGTTGAAACTGTTTGTCGCGGAAGGTGCGAAGGAGAGGCTGAGCGACAGCGTTTCACATACATTCATTACATGCTGCATGGCCAGATAAATCTGGATGGTAGAAATGGTAACAGCAACGGGAACGAGAGCATTGGCGCTCATAGTCCTGCATACATCTTGAGCATACAAGAAAGGAAGATATGACCCACCCATCCATACACATGCAATAACAAACGAAGAAATTGCTTTCCCATATTTCATGCCCCAGGCGCCAGCGCTAAAGTGATCCCATCATGTACCTTACACCTCTCCCTCTCACTCCCTATCCCCACCAATTTCCCAACACACACACATCTCCATTCTACCTCCCACCACCAAACCCATCCCCACGCGGCGGCGTCGCCCCAAAAATCTCCGCACTACTCCCCTGCAACGCGGCATTCGCACCAAAAGAATTCCGACTGATACTATCCGCCGCCCGATGATGGTTCACCGAGGCAAAACTCCCCGGTCGGACTTCTTGCGTGCGTGGTGCGCTGAGAAAATCGGGTCCGGGTTCGGATAATCCGGAGTCGAAGCCGGAGAACATATCGTCATTTTCGTAGGGGTTGTCTGTTGAGTCTGTTGAGAACTGCCGAGGAGCGGGTGGTTGGCGCTGTGAAGCTGAAGCTGAGGCTGTGGGTTGGTGGGAAGATGCTGGTAGAGCAGTGCCGCCGTGGTTCCATTGCAGCTCGTCTACAGCTTTGAGCCAGTCCTGTCCGCCTTGCGTATTGCCGATGTCGATGTTCTCCAGGTTCTGGCTTCGTCGGGAATTGAAGCGCGAAGGCAGGTCTAGGCCTCCCACGCTTTCTATCGGGCCGAGCGAAGGTGCTATGGAGAGATGGTACGGCTCGCGATCACCAGCGATAGAGGCGGAATGCCGCTGATCATAGTCGCTGCCCGTGTCCGCGCTCGGCCGTGGTCGGTCGTAATCGCTTACATCATCGCCACTCGGTCGTGGACGATCATAATTGCTGATAGTATCTGCACTTGGTCGTGACCGCAGACTTGGCTGCTCGGCTCGCAAGCCTGGGTGTAATATATTTCCAGCATTGTGAGGTAGCTGTACTGCATTCGCTCGACCACTGTCCTGCCTACCTGGCACACTAGCCACACCATCAAGCCCAAAGTTGAAGCCGCGCTGTCCGATAGGTGGCGATTGTTCATCTTGCACCGGACTGGCTGCACGCTCAGCCCCGCCAGAGGCCTGTCGTAAGTCGCCTTGCCGCAAAGGCGGTGAGTCAAGGTATGGCTCATCCTGCCGCATGGGCGGACTAGTCTGCATCTCCATACCATCCTCCAGATCACGCATGCCCGGTGGTGCTCTCGAGCTACGCACAACCTCGAAACCCTTAGTCGGCTCCTTCTGCTTATTCTTCACGCCAAAGACCAACTTCTGCAGCCAAGTCTGTGCATTTGCAGCCGGGCCTTCGGGATCAGCTGGACCAGTCTTGAGCTTGCGAGTTGGTAAATCAGATAGTGCTGCGCCACGATAGTATTGATCCACTTCTCGCACAGCATAATCCGGTCGGGGCAGGTTTTCGTTCGAATCCGCTCGGTCACGGATATATGCCGGAGCAGGTGAGTCCCGACCAGGCACAAAGCTGCCAACTTCATAGCTACCCGATCGCACGTGAGAAGAAGGGTCTTCACTTCTCGGGTCCGGCGAGTCCTTGTATGTATCCGAGCCACTTCCACTACTCCTCCCGCTCTTTCTCGTCTTGGCACCAGGAGTGCCAAGCTGCTCAAGAGTCGTCCTTCGTGGTCGCGGAGGTCGGTAGAAATTCTGCTCAGTCTCCTTCTTCGAAACAGCGTCTGCTTTATTCACATAGCCAGCGCCACCGGGCACGAAAGTGAAAGGCGACTGCGCATGATCCATGTCCGTACTGGGAGTCATCTGTGGTGGTTCGCCAGCATTCGAGAAGTTCTCAAAGCCACTGAGACGGTTCATGCTAGATGCCCGTCCCCCCTGGTTGAGCAATTGTTGGCTACTCGCAGACATGCTTCGGCTACGACCACCAGCATAATTGCTTCTTGCATCTGCGTCCTGGAGTATGGCAGCGTGACTCGTCATGCTAGCACGATCACCAGTCTCTGGACGATTTTGTCGCTTCCTCAACATCCGCAAATTCATGATACTACCTCTGATCGCGCCTGTCTGAGAATCGCTTGCCACGCCGGTCGATCTTGCAATGACCTCGATAAGTGTCTGCAGAGCATTGAGGAAGAAGCCGAAGACCAGCACGAAGGCGTGGAGAAGCAGGATAGCATAGCCGATCCAGCCCTTGGGTGATTCTGCGACGTTGAGGGAGGGTACGAATGCTATCGACATCAGCACCGTGACCAGCCTGATGGCCGAGAAAGAAGTGTGGTAGGCGTTCATGCTCGTCTCATTCTGGAAAGGTCGGAAGCCGTTGAGTGTTAGTATGAGAATGACTTCGCAGATAGCGAGCATGATGATCTGGGCAATACCGCTAGGCTGTACAGCACCGAGCGCAACAGCCCGCATAAAGGTGATGAAGACCGGAACCAGTGCGAACGGGGCGGCACTATCGCTGTACGTGTTGTAGAGCGGGCCGTACATCAAGACAGTCGGCATGTCGTCGAAGAGATATGTTCGTGGTTTTGTCGTCAAGATGACTCGGATAATCCAGCCAGCGACCACCACTACCAGAACGAGCATTATGACTGCACATACGATGACGCTTGTCGGCGAGCCTGGCGATATTACCAGCTGGAACAGACTGAGCGCTACGATCGGCAGGATGAAGTAGTTGAAGACCAGCCGAATCATGTTGCCAAAGGTGAAAGGGAAATTCTTCTGTCGCAAGTCCTCCTCAGTGGTGTCGGTGACGGTTCGGTATATCCATCGGGCAAGGAAGCCGAGCTGGCAGAGCAATAGGACAATGCCAGCGATCACAAGCAACCAAATCGCCATGCATGCCCAGATATCCTCGACGCTGCTCTGGCCAATGAGCTGACTCATGGCTGTCATGCCGTAGGTACCATTGTACTTGTAAACGCCGTCCACCAAGCTCTGGGTTCCGTTGCCACCGCTGACGTAGCTCTGGTTGAAGAGGAGCAGACTCCAGCTCGTCTGGCTCACAGCTGGCTGGTAAAAGCCAGGATATTGCAGCGACAGAGCTCCGGTCAAAGTCACAAACTGAATGTATTGCAGACAGTCTCCGAATCCGGGTGTCACCAACCGCAACTGATCTTCATCTCTTCCATAATTGCTACTCCACCTGAAGATATCACTGCTACCCCAAGGCGACCAGATTGCTGCTGCCAGTGTGGCAATGCCCTTTATTATCAAGATCGCAGCCGGGAGCCATGTGATCAGGGACGTTACCCCACTCCCGAGATCAGGTGTAATATTGGTGCTGATGCAAGCCAGTTGCGGAGCGCCGTTGTCTCCGGAAAGGACACTGATCTGTCCAGCCAGTGTGCTGAACGAGTAGCCGCTGCCGAAGTCGTGCGAGACGGTGAAGGCTGGCAGGGTATACGGATTTGTGTCGTTCGCGTCGAAGTACGGACCCAGCGGACACGAAGCGTTGACCAGGGAGCCGCAGAACTCGGATGCCTTGGCATTGTAGGCACTATACTGCAACACCTTGAAGTCTGCCAGAAGTGTACTGTAGTTGCCACTACCACTCGACCCAATATTGCTGATCTTGCCAAAGGTCATATTCGGGTTCTGCCAATCCGGACTGGTCGGCGGCGGGTAATTGCCCACCACCTGCTGCCCAGACACATTGCCATAGATCGTCAAGGTCAAGTTGTAAGGCGGCTCGCGCTGAAACTTGGCGTCGACCGCCAGTGGAATCCATTGTAGCTGCAGCGGCTTCGAGTGCACCACGTTCGTATCCAGACAATTGTCGAAATTGATAAAGGCGGCGTGTGCAGTTCGTGGTAGCAGGAGACCAACGAAGACGAGGACAGGAAGGAGCGCCCGGGATAGGCAGCGCAAAGTCGCGCTCATTGTGAATGTCGTTCGATCATAGGTGTTGGTGAAGAAAGAATCGTCGTGCCTACTGAAGCATCTGTAATATCGCGAAGGCGAACACGTTAGCTCGAGGTCCGCGGAAAGAGTTTCACTTCGCCCAAAGCTTCCTCATCATCCATTGCCCCAACCCATCCCCGCCTGCCCGTCGCACACACACCCGGGGCGATCCTCACACGGGTGAGACGTACCATTACAAGGGTGTAACTTCGAAAAATTGTTGCCGAGTGGAAGGTCAGAAGCTAAGGGCAATTGTCGTACTGACGAAGCAATAGAATCGGACTAGCATCCACGACGAGAATAATGTCAACGATGAGCTCAAGTTTCTGGGAGACTTGGATCCCGGGCCGCGTCTGACGGAGCGAGCTAATCTTGGCGCATATTCTTGTCGCGCTAACGGTAATCCTTAAACTCAAGACCCTTGTCCGCGCTGCTGGGTTGACGCTGTGATTCTCGAGGCGATAAGATGCTGTGGCGATTGGGCGGAAGTTGGTGAGGTTTTCGAATGAACCTCACGACAACGCCTCAAAGCAGTGACACGGCTACGAGAGATGCTTGATAGTTCTTCCACCTATACAGCGAACAGCCCCGCCTCGTATTCAGCTACTATATGTACCCTGCCCTGCCTTACGCGGCTCTGAGATCCATGCGAACCTATAGCTGTCGCGCTATACAAATACTCTGTGCAGTACATCGTTCAGGCTGTCGGCTCATACAGGCCATATGAGCTGCCTTCGTTCTAACCATTCAGCGAACGGATTTGATTGTTAATGGTTTATAGTCTGTCAATGGCTTATCTGCACATTTCTACGAGGTACTGTAGGCAGGCTTGTCTCACTCTCACGTTTCGAAGGATCGTCAACGCATCGGCACTCAGTCCGCGGTCGTGGCTGTGCTGCAAGTGGCTGCTCCGAGTATAAATCATCTTGGAGAAGTCAATACAGCATCCGATTAGCAAGTAATCATATCTACGCTTTCACAGAGTCCAGTCTGTCCGAAAACATTCGATCTCCTGGGCAGCTTGATGTCGGAGTCCTCAAGATCGAACAGTCAGCAAGCTGACCAAGGATGTGGCGTGAAGAGTAGAGCTCAGACTACATAATGCAGGTAGCTAACTTATTCGTATGCTCCATGCTGTCCACGAATGCGAATACGCGATAGTGCAGCCGCGGCTGGGAAGGAACATTCGATAAGTATAAGTATACATGACAGCACGTCAGCCTAGTCGCGATGCTCTCTGCTCAACCTCATCGTCCCCAAGGATAGGACCCGTGTAGCGACCTCGGCGAACCATCCACAATGGCGCACATAATCCTCACCGGCGCGACAGGCCAAGCAGGCTCCGCCATCCTATCCTACGCCCTCAACTCCCCAGCAATCTCCCGCATCTCCATACTAGGCCGCCGACCACCGAAATTAGCCGAGAACCAACCCAAAGCAAACATCATCACCCACAGCGATTTTGAACGCTACCCCCAAGAAATCCTCGACCAGCTCAAAGGCGCCACGGGATGTATCTGGGCGCAAGGGATAACTAGTCGTGGTATGAAAGAAGACGAGTACACGAGAATCACACTCGACTACCCTATCGCGGCTGCGAAGGCTTTTGCGGGTTTGGGCGAGGACGTGAAGTTCGTGTATATGTCTGGCGAAGGGGCGGATATCAATGAGAAGGCTTCGACGATGTTTGGTCGGATTAAAGGGCGTGCTGAGCGGACACTCCTGGGTCTGGGCAAGGAGTTGCCAAGCCTCAAAGTCTATGCCATCAGACCTGCTATCATCAATCCGCAAGGCCAGTATCTCGCTGAGAGGAAAGTGACGTTGCAGGATCGTGCATCGACTTTCCTCGGCGGGCTGTCTTCGATGATGTTTCCGAGTTTTGTGATACCGACTGATGCTTTGGCGAAAGTATGTGTTGATTTGGCGATTGGTGAGGGCGAGCCTATTGGTGCTGGAAAGGGCGTGGCGGAGGATGGGAGGCTGTTGAGTAATACTGCTTTGAGGAGGCTTGCTGAATTGTGACATATATTCCTTCTGGTTTGATGCCCACGGGCTGTGGCGTTGCGACAGCAAGTCCGTCCAAGACTGTAAGATATCCATGGGATCTTTCAATGTCATTGAACTCGGCCATCGGACATTTGTTTTCATCACTTTCACATTATCTGTGCAAAATGACTGAACACATAGATTACATGTCCAGATGGACCAAACACAAGCATCGAGGAACAGCCTCTCCATCATTCTATCTGCAGTGGAAGCACCACCAGCGTCCGGGAGCTGTGCACAATGCAATAGTCTCGACCCCACGCCCATATGTCCCGATAGAAGAAACACATCTGGAAAGTGAAAAGCAACCGAACCAAGGAAATCAACGCTCAGGCCGTCCAAGATGCAAGCAAACCCGTCGTTGCCTTTCTCTCTTTCCATCCACCACATCCCTCAACTCTCCATCGCAAAACTCGTCGCCTCCCTACTCACATCTCCGGAGAAAGCTACCGGTATCCCATCCTCCGACAACCCATAGCTCCTCTCAGTCCCCAGACTCGGAGTATCCGGCTCGAACTCATCCTGATAGGCGATCATGCCGCCATTCGTGAAGTCGATATGCTCGAAATTTGGGTCGGAGATGGATGATTTGGGTTGGGTGTCGTACATGGCAAGCATCTGTGGTGGTGTGAGGGGTGCAGAGCGAGGGGCTGGGGACATAGTGTCGTCCATGCCGATGAAGTAGGGACTTGATGGTTGCTCGATCATGGTGGCGTAGGGTGGTTGGTGGAAGGGTATGGCGGTGTTGCCGTTATAGATCATGCCTGGGGTGAAGAGGTTGGGGCCTGGTTGACGAAGTGGGTAGCGCATGTCTTGCTGCTGGCCTTGACGCTGTCGCGAGTTGAGGTTGGGGTATGATCGTGCTTCGCGCAACTGCTGCTGGCGGCGTTGCGCGGCGCGAGTCGCTTGACCTCCTTTCGCGCCGGAGAGCTGACGCTTGAGAGCTGGTACGGCGCGTTTGAGCGGCTTGTGCTTGGGATCTTTGCGGTAGCGGGTCGTGCTGATCACGCCGTCGCGGAGAGCTGATGCCGTCAGACGCCAGAGGCTACCTTTCTTGACGCCGTGCGACTCGCGAGGAGGTACTCGCTCGAAGGCCTGTCAGAAGGAATGCGACGTTAGTGCTATGGAGGCATCACTTGAGGGAGAAAGATACTTACGGCATTCATGGAAAGATTGTGCCGCACACTGTTCTGCCAACCTCTATTCGCCGGATCCTTGGCCTTCTGACTATGCTCCTTGATCCAATCATACAGCTCCTTGAGCGACATGATCTGATCAGGCGCTTCCTTCAGGCATCGATATAGGAGCTGGGCGTAACACGGATCTCCAGTATCGAGGCCGTCTTCCTCATCGCTCGGTAGACGCTCTGGCCAGGGAGAAACCGTACCAGGGTGTGGAGACCAGCCCTCGTCCATGTACTCGCTGTCGTGAGGTGAGCCTGCCGATAGCATGGGACTTGGTCCAGACATGAGGTGATGTTCGGCGTTAGTGTGGGTGGGACTGTCGAAGGGTGAAGGGATGTGCGCTGGCAGACCAGTATGCGACGTCATTGTCATAGGTTGTGAGTGTGGGACAGGCGGTCCAAACCAATGTGCTTCCTCCTCTGGAATCGTTGGCGGTGGTGGATACGTTGGCATTGATGAGTTGGATGCTGACCAAGTTCCCGCATACATGGGTTCGGGATGCGCGTAGGAGTATACCATGTAATCGTTGCTCTGATGCGACATTTGTGGCGGTGCGCCCAACGTCACTGGCCTTTCGACACTCTGTCGTGGCGCCTGGTGATCAAATTCGACGGATGACCCGGATCGTCGTGGACTAAGTATGCTGAAGCTCCTATCAGCCGAGACGTCGTTGTCGCCGCCTTGCTTTGCCGAGACAGAGTCGAACACCTGCTGCCATTCCTCCTGTGAGATCTTTCGAGGCGATTGAATCTCGGCATCAATTGTCGCAAGATCAAATGTAGCGTTGATCATGGATGCCTGGTCAAATGACTCAGGCCATGTGCTGCACTGGGCCTCCATGATGTGGGCTGATCTGTCGTTGGTGAAGTCGATATATTCACTATTTCGTTGTAGCTAGCGAAGGATGCAAGCCAGGATGCTGAAAGATGTCGAAAGGTCGGTGATATGACCAGGATCTCTACCTTAGATGAGGTAGTCGTTGTCGCACAGGGCGTAGGCGGCTTGGCCACGCTACTCGTCAAGACCGCCCTGCTTTGCCGGAAGCTGTCCAGATAGCCTCTCCTCTCACTACCCGCACGCTCACGTCGCTATGTCCCGTCGAGCCGAAGAGTGACTGAGGATGATCCAGGCTTGCTTGGATGGCAATCAAGCAAAAGTTGATAGCAATGAAGCAATAGCAGCAAGGAAAGACCGAGCTAGCCGCCGACGGGAAGCAGAAAGATTTGATAGTCAATGTGAAGAGCAAGCTTTGCCAGACCAGGCAATGAATGTATCCGCGGCGGATCTGAGCCGGTAAGAATGATTGTGTGTGGTTTGTGTGTTAGTGATCAAAGACCGCTCTCTTACAACAAGAGCAAGATCCAGAACAAAGTCGTGAACAAGAGAAGACAAGAGACATGTATGCAGTGACCAATGACCAACAGAGAGCATCGCATGTCTCCTACATACATAAATGATACGTATGCATGCATGCATGACAAGCAGCGGCCAAAAGAGGAATTGTCAACACTGGGCTCCACCAGTAGGACCTACCTTCGTCACCTTGCCCTGCCCTACCTGTCAAAGAGCGACGGCTGTGTGATGGTCTGTCCGTCGCGGGGCGGATGTAGCCACTGTGTCAGTGACGCTTGACGACGAGACCTGACGCCAACGCATGCACGCTGTAGGTGGGTATGGCAGCCGGTAAGCAGCGGCAGCGGGTATGCGAGGGCGGGAGGGCGTGGGCAGAGTGCTCGTTCACATGGTGCCGAGCAGGACCAGTGGGTCCGGCAGGGCTGACGAGGTGTGGACTTGGCAGTTGATGTGCTTTGGATGGAGAGTAGTGACTGGATACGCTTGTCGGCTCATTGTGTTGCTGGTGATCATGTGGTTTTGTGGGACGAAGCAGGGGGGCTTTGCTCTTTGCCGATATGGTTTGCGGGCCGAATGATAGATATGGTGTGTGCGACAGGCAGTCGGGCCGACGTTCAAAGGCAAGCATGTACAGTACGATATGCTGCTGGCATGTATGCGCAATTCGAGAGACTTGGCTGTCGCCAGCAGAGCCGCAGAATCCAAGCAGCGACGAACGATAATTGCAAAAGCCTTGCAATGTGCTCACCAGTAGTGGCTATGCAAAAGTCACCAGGCTTGTATCTGTGTGTATCACATCCCACAGCAGACCGCACCACCTGCCCGATCGTCCTCCGCCCACGCATCGATCAGACAGACAACATTCGCCTTAGTAGCCAAAGCACTCCATAGGTCGAGGTCGCACAAACGCCCCAAAGCCGGCCCATTTCATTAAGGGGGAAGCAGGGAAGCCGCACCGATAGGCGCGTAGTGCTGCAGTCGACTGTGGGACAACTGCTCGTGCGCCTATAGCTGCAGCACTAAGAGTGCCGAGGGTGTAAGCCTGAATGCCTGTCTGCAGGCGAAGTATGTCAGATTAGGCTCGTGCGGAGAGAGGCATAGGGTACCGATGCCGTCGACGCCACCCAAAGTTTTTGTCATGTTTGGTGTTCCTTGATCTTGGCTGGCAAGCTTTGCTGTAGTCGTGACTGTCTGCGGCGCAGACTTCGATGAGAGTTGCCAGCTTGCTCACTCTCTCCCTCCCTCCATGATCTTGAAGTTCTTCCCACGTGATCTGCGGACGTCAGTTCTGCCCACCGCCTTCTTCACCGTTCTGCATTGTTCTACCCTTCGCGCCCACGCCTCTACATGCGCCACAAGCCAGCAGCCGAGGGTATATGCAGCCATCCGACAATCAGACACGCGCGTACCCGTCCACCACGCAGGCACTGCAGTAGCGCTTCAAAACCATCGTAAAAGCCGCGCAAGCACCACGATCTGCGATACCTCAAGAATGATGTCGAGAGCGCTCCGCGACTCCACCCGGTGCCAATGCTCGTTCACAATGGGTGTACGTCTCTCTGTAATTGTCATAATGGTCGCACAACATTACAGGCGGTGCAGCGTCCTACCACAGCAAAAGTACAGATTCTGCCGTCCATTGTCCAAGGACCGCGGAAGTCGCACAGCAGCTGTCATAAAGCTGCTGTGAGTCGATGTGTCCTGGTCGCGTAGCTCTTTCATCGATACGTTTACGTTGTTACTTCGTACATGAAACAAGACAGGGGTGTCCTTCTGCGGCAGGAAGGTGACACTTAAAAGACCTTTTGAGGTGCACAGATGAAGTGGTGTAAGCTGTCAAAACAGCCCACGGGTAGATCTATGAAGTCGTGCGCCCATGGTCGAATGATGTCGTTGAGGTGGCCGATAGTGGTACGGCAAGAACATTCCCTGACCAGGATGAGTAGGCATTGACATGTTGGCACCCGATCAAGACGGAATGGAGCGTGAGATGACGATCTTCGAATGGTGAAAAGTATAGCATTGATTCTGATGTGGCCAGTCAGGTCTCTCCATTCCCTGCCAGAGGCTAGAAAAGGCCATAACAGGGTCTTACAAGAGCGTACTGAAGTTGAGGATCCTGCATTTCCCGCTCAGAGGAGCAAGCTCAAACTTGCGCTATTGCCCTTCGCGAGAGGGACGTCATGGTCGTGAAGCTCAGATCAAATGTCGGATCCGATGCCGGATTCGTGGAGCGCCAGATTCAGCTCTCACTTCCTGTAATATATCTAGAAGAACGTCAGTATAATGATTTTGACGTAGGCAATCATTCGCCACGAGGTCGATTGTAAAGATAGACTTACCTTCTTAAACTGAAAATGCAACTGCAACACCCCCTTCTCAAACCTACTCCTAAACCCCCGTTCCCGCTTCGCACTGAAGTCCCACTCCTTATCCACGACCCAAAACCCCAAATCCTCATACGGCGCCCCGGCCAAAAACCTCACCAAGCACATCTCCTCCTCCCCAGCCGCCTTCCCTACGTCCACCTCCCCCCTCCTCCGGCCCCCCTCCCTCTCAATCCGATATGTCGGCGCCTTCACCACTCCCTGCGCGTCTGGGATTAAGTCCGGGTAAAGAATATTGAATTTATAGCCTTGGACGACTTTCGGCGGAGGGTTATCGGCGTCGTAGTGGGTTTGGTTGTATTTGTTCCATTCGTAGCCGGTGATGCGGCGGGCAAAGTAGCGGGGTTGGCGTGGGGGGTGGGTGGCGGACCAGGTGGAGAGACCTTTCGTCACTAGGTTGGTGCAGGGGGTGAGGAGTTCTTCGTTGGGGAGCAGGGTTTTGGAGAGGTCGGCGTCGAAGGCTGCTTGGGCGGAGTTACTAATGGAGGTGATGGTGGTGATGGTGGTGGATGGGATGGGACTGCTGGTTGCTGATATTCTTTGGCGCTTAGCAGAAGGTTCGTCGGATGTGGTGGCGTTGATGAGGCTTTTGCGGCCGGGGATGAAACCCTGCTTGAGCACTTGTTCGCGTTCGCTCTTGACCCGTTTGAGAAAACCTGCGTCCGATAGCAGATCCAGACGATCTTGCTCTTCTTCGGTGGCGGCGTCCGACTGCTCCTTCCTCGCCTCTGCCACCTCCCTCTGTTCCTTCCGCAGTGCTTCCAGTCGCAAACGCACGATGCTATCCGTCACGTGCTTCAGCTTCGCCTTGGCCTTGTACGTCAAGAGTGTCTTCAGCAGATGCTCCCAGTAATCGGCGTCGATCGGTTCATCGCTAGCCAGCTTAGTCTTGACCTGCTTCTCCAGCTTCTCCAACCCTGCCAGATCTTTGGGTCCCAGTAGCTTGTCCAGATCACCCGCCACGGAGCTCACACTCCTCGCGGATGCTTCGTTATCAGATTTGAGACTCTTCCGTCGTTCCGTGCAGGTAGTTTTCATGGTCTGCTGGCCTGTCAGCAACAGGCTCGATTAGCACACGCACAGGTGTCACTCTGATGTGATTGATTGAACTCACCCTCCAATACTCCACGCTACTCCTCGCACTCTCCAACGCCAAATACCCATCGATCCCCTTCTCCAGCTCTGCCAACTCCTTTTCGTGCAGTGCTGTGAAGACACTCTCCGGCTCCTGCAGATCCAGTTCATCAATGTCGACCTCGTCGTCCAAAGGGTCGCGATCCGGATCTGTTGCTGCCAGTATCACCGCCAGCCAGTCGATTGGTGAAGCCCTCCCACCCTTCACTCGTATGGCAGCCTTTTTCTTAGTCTGCTGCAGCACAAACCGGTCCTCGTCAGCCACCCATGCTGCTTCCTGAGCATCTGGTGCCGAGCGCTTGGCTGGGACTGATGAGCGGGACATATCAGCTTATACTGCTGCACAACACGATGTCCGCACCGCGATAGTGTGATGATTGTGTGCTCCGGCGCAAGCGCTATTCCGAAGAAGTGAATTGCTTGCATGTGAATCGACACGAGCGGGACGCTGCCGCTTCTGATTCTGACGGACTGTGGCGTCGTGGCGTGGCGCAGATGCCTACAGTACAACAACGCATCCTTGAAACACACCTCAGAGATCTGCATCTGCCTGGTCGGCCGGACGTATAAAATCATGACTGAATCCTGACCCTAATGACGGATATCATATCTCCACACAATGGCATCCTGGAAGTCCATCCGCCTCCCACAGGATAATCTCCCTCACCTCCTCGTCAAAGCACGTCTCGACCCCACAGGATATACCATCCACCTGACAGACCTGAGCCGAATATGGAGCGAAACCCTAACCAAACGCGAAGTCGAACGTCGAGCCATCAAAGAAGACTGTAGTATCGATCCTGGGGAAGACGACCAACAATATTCCATTCTCCTGGACAAACTACGCAGCACGTTGACACAACAGGACAACACAACTCTAACCCTGAAACCCGCTCAGCAAGCCGACGGCCTACTGCTAGATCTCTCCGCACCATTACCTCATCCTCTACAACCCCTCAAATGGACAATCCACCTGACCCTCCAACCCCAACCCCAAATCGCCACCCAACTGATCCATCCCCTGATCCTCCTATCCCAAACCCAACACTCTCAAACCCACCATCTCATCCACCACGAGCTGAGTGAAAAGGATCGTATCATCGCGAAACTCACCGATCGTCTGGAGACTTCGGGAAATGATCTGACGACTGTGTTTCCCGGTGTGAGTCATGTTAAGCTCTCGCGAAGAAAGACGCAGAGGGAGCAGTTGGCGAGATATGTGAGGGGTTTGGGAGACTTTGATGAGGGTTTATGGAGACAGCAGGTGAAGGATGCACATCGGGAGGATGGGGCGGGTAGTGTGGGGTTGGAAGCGATGGAAGGTGTTTTGAGCGAGCTACCCGAGGCTGTTACTGAAGGCGAGGCCGAGTATGCTCAGGAGTGGTGGAAGACGCTCGATGAAAGTCGTATATCGCAGAAGAGTAATTCTCATCCTGCCGGTACGACAAATGGTCCTGCTAAGCAAGGAAGTGCCAGACCAACCCCAGCACCACCAGCAGATACAGATCATGAGATCCCGACTACCAACGATGACTCTTTCGATGCGGATTTCCAGCGCCAGGGTACACCACCACACCTCAGGCAAAGCAATCATCGTCCTTCTCCAGCTATTACCAACCCTACCTCTTTGAAGTCGCCACTTCCTGCTCCTCCTCCAGTGGCAGTACAGCCGGACGACGAGAGTACAGAAGACGAAAGCGATCTCGATGCACCTATCAAGAAAGCAAGACCAGGTCAGGCTAGTCACTCGAGCATGCCGACACGTCGGCGGAGTGTAAATCCAGATGTGCCACTAGCGGAATCAAGCGCTAGTGAGAGGCAAAAGCACTCCTCACCGCCACCCGTATCTCCACCGCAACAAGCCCCGCAGCCTCGTGGGAAGCTGGGAGCTATAGGCGGCAAATTAAACGCTCCTGCCACTCCCTCGCCTCCACCGGAAGCTGAACAGGAGCTGGAAAGCATGGAGGTAGATCCCGGCCCAGCACCTGGAAAACCTCGTACGAAGCTAGGCACGATAGGCGGGAGATCCAAAACCTCCACCACCCCGCCTCCAGGAGAGCCAGTGACGATCTCAACCACCGCATCCCCAGCCAAACGCCACGGCCTAGGCACCATCGGCGGGAAGAAAGCTGGGAAGCTAACAACCGCCAGTGCTACCGACACGAACCAACCACGACAGGTTTCAGAACGCCCCTCAGCAGCAGCCTCAGCCTCAGCAACGACAGCCACAGAGCGTAAATCCCGAGCTCCAGAAAGAAATGAAATAGCGAGAAAGCCCACGCTACCACGCGAGACGTCGCAGGAGCGAGCGGATAGGAAGCGGAATGAGCTGAAGCGGCAACTAGATGAGAAGGCCAAGGTACCTGTGAAGAAGAAGAGGAAATTTTGAGCTTGCTTGATGCAGTCCGGCACGTATCGGTAGGGGGCGAGATTCTGGGGTTTGTGTTTTGATTATTGTAGCTATATACCCATTCTAGGTTGTATACCTCACATTACTCTTTCCAGCCTACAATTGAGCACTGCAGAGCACTGGCAGTTCGGGGGAAAAGGACTTCGGTGCTTTCACGCGAGTGCCCTGTTAGTAGCAGTGGCTAGTGCCAGGTTCATCTGATTGACCTGGCGTAGTGAGCGTCGTGGTATGATTACCGCGATCACACACGCCGGCATGCTGCGGTCCATGGGTCCTCTTGCCAGACGGTTTCGTGCACCGCACCACTGGCTGGCGGGGTATTTTCATTGAACGCTACCAGACCCACGTATGGAATTTGATCGGGGCTTTCGTGAGCGTACTGCACCTGGTAGATATATGACGTCCAGTCTGCGTAAGTTATGTGCTGAGTTGCTCGGACGCATTATTGAGTTTTCTGCAACCTCGCACCTTGACGCGGCAGGAGAGAGGACATCTGGAACAGACCGACTCACTGGCCCAATGACAACTTCTTCATCAAAACCGGACTCTGAGCTCCAAATTCCACAGCCCCACCTACACTCAACTCCCCCCTTAAATCCAACGCCATCCCCCGCTTCGCCCCCTCCACATCCTCCCCATGCACAGCGAGCAAGAAAGACAACTTCGTCAACGCCGCCTCGGTCGTCAAATCAAATCCCGGCACGATCCCAGCTCGGCCGAGAACCATAGCAGGGGCGTAGGTCGGACTCACACTACCAGTCAGACACTGCGTGACGTTCACGATCACGATCCCGCGTTCGACAGCTTCGGTGAAGATGGTTATGAGTGCATTGTCCTGACCTGAAGGGGCATTGCCTGCGCCGAAGGTTTCGAGGACGAGGCCTCGAAGCGTTGGGAGGCGGAGTACGGCGTCGATCATTGCTGGTAGTATGCCTGGGAAGATTCGTAGGGAGGCCACATGAGTGGTGTCTAGATCTGGGCGAACTTTGAGATGGGTGGATGAATCAGTTTTGCCATGGTTAGAAGGTCGTTGACGGATGACAGTCCAGTCGACGTTGATCTGTGAGGATGTGACAGTGGCCAGGGGTGCGAGATTAGGAGAGGCGAAAGCATCGAAGTGATTCGCCGAGATCTTGGTGCAGCGGTTGCCACGAAAAAGCTTATGCTGGAAGCAAATGCAGACTTCTGGGATCCAGAAATGGCCTGCGATGATTAAAGAGTCCAGGAGATTATCTGTAGCATCTGTCTGTAGCTCGAAGATTGGTGCTTGCGAGCCTGTGAAGATGACCGGCTTTGCGAGGTCTTCCAGCATGAAACTCAGGGCTGACGCGGTGTAGGCCAGACTGTCAGTACCATGCAAGACAACGAAGCCATCGAAAGCCGCGTAGTTCAGGCCGATGGTCTTGGCGATCTGACTCCAGCCCTTGGCGTCGATTGAGCTACTGTCCAGGAGTTGTTTGAATTCGAGTACTGCGTAGCGGACATGTCGCTCATAACGACTTTGTGGTGTTCGCAGAGTCGAGAGTGCAACAGAAGCTATAGGTTGCTCCGTCAGCATAGGAGATGTGTTTCTCTGTTATGGTGGAAGGAAGATTGTGATGTATGGAAGGCTAGGCGGCGAAGAAAGAAGCTCGAATGTTACCTACCTCCTGTCTCTGAGTATGCACTAATCTCAACGGGCTCGCTGCCATCATTGAAAGACGGTCTCGGCGCCATGCCAGCATCGAGGAAGCCTTTGGCAGGAACTAATCCTTCGGGGCTTGGTCTCATGCAGATAGTGCCGCCGGTCATGATGACCAGCAGCCGAGATTCAGCTGAGTGTACAGCCATCTTGACTTGGAAGCCAAACTGGCAAGCTACAAGCGCGAGTCTGCTTGGGATGTGTTGGTCGGAGAGGCAGAGGGGGAGAAAAGTCGTGATGAAGTCTTCTATTGTGTTCGGCGATATCTCGGCACGTCTTGCGGTACGGCTAGCTCCGCTCCGCTCCGCTCCGACAGCAGGAGAGCTTCCAATGCACAAACAGCACAGCTTCGGTGACAGAAGCCATATAGTCCCCGTTGCACACCCACCATGTTCCTCCGCCGTGCCGCTCCTGCGCTTGCCAAGCGTGCTCTCTTCCGCTCTACCGTAACGCGCTCCTTCACCACCTCGATCACTCGCCGTACGTTTTGGATACCAACCGCATTGGCGGCGCAAGAAGTGAAGAAGCGAAGCACTAACACATAGCAGGCGATGCGCGACCGAGCGAAGGCAACCCGGCGCCTGGAGCTACTGATAAGCTGATTAAGCCTCTGGATGGTATGCTTCGACCTGCGGAGGAGAGAGGCTGGCGGAGACATGAGGACTAATCAACAGGATCCAGACATCCACAGCGAGCACGACCTTATGCCTCCGGGAGGTACCCCTGGAACCGTTCCCACGGATCTCGAGCAAGCGACTGGTCTCGAACGTCTCGAGATTCTCGGAAAGATGCAGGGCGTGGATATCTTCGATATGAGGCCCTTGGATGCGAGCAGGAGAGGTACGTTGAGACACACCGGCAGCACTAGCATCGCCGTCTATGACCTAAATACGTCCTCTGACATTCACTTCTTCCCAGGGACCCTCGACAACCCAATACTGGTCAAATCGTTCGGCGATGAGCAATACGTCGGCTGCACTGGCTCTCCAGCCGACTCCCACGTCGTCATCTGGCTCACCTGCTCCCGTGATCGCCCGGTCGAGCGCTGCCCAGAATGCGGCTCAGCCTACAAGATGGAGTATGTTGGCCCCACAGATGATGGACACGGACACGGCCACGATGTGCATGACTCGAGCGATGGGCACCACAACTTCGAGGGCGAGCCGAAGACGATGGCCGATTTTGTGCGACCGGAGTATAGATAGATTCGGATGGGATGAGAGGCTGGGAAGGGGAAGATGAGGTGAGATGAGGCAGCGCTGTACAGATACTGCTGAAGATAGTCCGAGATATAGGTATCCATGAGCTCTGTACATCTCCCGCGTCACCAGTCACCATTACTCAAGCCTCTAGCCAAAATCCAGCAGTGCAGACTCTGCGCAGTCACTATCTAAGCAGAAGCCGAGCACAATCATGGCGTGACTAGCCTACAGAGGCAGAACACGTGCAAGTCAGTACGCCGCAGCAGAGTGAAAGTACTTGCCCGTCTCCACCATCTCTCTGGGTGCAAGCCAACGGCGATGCAAGTGGAGCGGATTCCAGCCAGCATATCTTCCGCCTCTACATCGTGCCCGCACAACCCCCCACTGCTAGTTCTTCCAGAAAATGATGGTATTTCGGCGTGTCGGCGAACTCGTAAGACGCCGCCGATCCGCGACCAAATGTTTCCATCGTGTACTGACACGGACGACGGCACTTTAGATCATCTTCCGCCAGTATCAAAGTCGTGTCCGGCTTGTCCTGAGTTGCTCTATCCAATCTTCAGCTAGAGCTACGATTATATAGGTCGCTGAATGGTATGAAACGATGACAAGTCTTGTTCGTATGGATCAGCGAGAAGTTATCGAGCAATGGGACAATCGAGCTCCAGCACACCTCCTGCATGGAAATAACAATTCCTGCGGCAGCGGCAGTGTGCAGTAATCCGGGTTTACAGGTACCGGAATGCCCTTCACGGTAGAAGGCCCGACTACGGTCTTGCAATTCGATGAGATACTTTTCGATGCAGCTCTGGAGCTCGAATGTCGAGCAGCGAGGTACGCATTTTGGCCTTACTCCTCATTCATGCATTCCACATGAACATGCACGAAGTTCGCTGAGACTTGCCAGGAAGGCACAAGAGCCGCATGAGCACATGCCTGGGCTCTCGTCACTTATCCACATCCTCGCTGCCTTTCTCAAGATGCAGCGAAGCGTCCATGTTGCCGACATATTGGCTTCATCCTGCGAAGGATGCCTGCACAACTAGGTGCATGATGCTCCTCACGACCTCCTCACAATGCCCTGCACAATGTCAATATGATGCGGCGAAGGAAGTTCGAAGCACTCAAGCAGTTGTAGTATAAGAGACTACTAGGTAAGGCCCTCAAATTCTGCAATCACGCCCCAAGCGACTCGCGGCCCTTCTTCACATTTTTGAAACCTTCCACCATTCACGTTCACCAGTATGAGACTCCTAGCCTTCCTTTCCACTGTCGCGGTGTGTGCTGCAGCAGTCAACCGCACGGCAACAAACGGCTGGGGCAGCACACCCTCCCAGCGCCACTATATCAATGCCACCCAAGCACTCGCCGCCATAAACGCCGCAGTAGACTACAGTAACTCCATCGGCGTGCCGAACGATATCGCCATCCTCGACCCCTCGTCCCAACTCGTCGCCTTCCTCCGCATGGATAACGCTTACCTTGGATCGGTGGACATCAGCATGAAGAAAGCAAAGACTGTGACCTACTTCAACGGCCTTTTTCCATCATATGGTTTGCTTAATCGCTCACAAACGATGGGAGATCTTTTCGGCATAGAGGAAACCAATTCGGGATTGGTCGTCTTTGGAGGCGGTCAGCCGATTTATGATTATGATGGATATTTCATCGGTGCCATAGGCGTCAGTGGTGGGACTGTTGCGCAGGATATTGCGACTAGTGTGCATGGTGCGGAGAGTATTGGAACGACTATTACGATGTAATGGTTTTCGGTGAAGTCTGGAGGAGATCGTTGGTGGCAATTTGTTGACGGTGTGTTTGGCAGCGGAAGATCGAGAGAATCCAGGCACGGGCAAGCTGCTGGGGTCAGAAGTAGAATTGAGGCTCTGCCGTCGATATGAGTGAGAGTTCGCGATCGTATCAAAGCTCGGGATTCTAGACCACAGCCGGTCAATGTGACATCCCGTCGTGCCAAAAGTGTTATACGATGTACTCATCTGCGGCACCTGTGTACCCAGCGGTGTCAACAGCCTTTGAAAGAGAGAAATGTGAAGTATTCACGGTCCTGCTCCCAGGTTGAGGTGGGCGTGATCTATCATGCGTAGATGGTAGGAGTCGAGTGCTCGATGCTCTGGTTGTCTCAAAGTATCGAGAGAGTTCTCATGGCCACGTGTGGGGATTGAGACGAGTACGTAAAACGTCCGCTGATCCGATTGACCTCAACTTCACATCGTCATTGTAAGATCTGGACAGCTGTTCTCAACTCCACCACGCCTGAAGATACCTCCCATGACCGGGAACAGGAAACTGCATAAATTGCCGTCCTGTCTTGCAGCGACGATCTGGAGAAACTCTGGGGTCCCCACAGCGCCGATCGGAAATAAGCCTCACCATTGACCACGTTTTTCAAATACTTGACGCACGCTCCTCTACCCGCCGTCCAATCATTGTCATCCCGTGCAGACGACCATGGAGTCTGGACTCCTGAACCTAGGTACCAGACTTCACGTCACGTGGCTCGTACAGGCTCAAAGTCCGTAATGGTCTTGCGTCTATTACCGCGCGACATGGGTGGTCTTGGCCAGAAGCAGGCTGGAGCTCACGCGTGCCATGAACACGCCCGTGATGCCCTTGGAGCGAAGGGGCGAGACTGCGTGGAGCATTGACCTCCTCGCTATTGGAATGGTATTGCTCGTGGACTGGATCAGTGGACGACGGGAGAGATGTAGGTTCGTGAGGGGAGAGCCGACCATTATTGCTGTGGTTGGTTCTGGGTTGTGTGAGTAGGTATATGAGATGGGGTGCCGTCTTCTTCCCTTGATTAGATGTAACTAGAAGCCTTGCTTCCTCACCCCCCGTCTCATACAAGCTCGTCAACAGATCTGCATATAAGATCCTGATCTGACCTTCAATTCACGTCTGCAACGACTTCGTTCTCAACCTGACAACCTCGACGTCTCGACCCTCACAAAGGCAACGAAGCCGCACAGCACCGCCCGAAGAGACCCAGAGCCACCATCGCCACTATGTCCAATCACGACATCCCAATCAAAGTCTCTGACCTCAACAACCATGAATACAACGAAAACATCCTCAAGCCTTCGCCTTCGCACTTCGAGCAGCTCTATCTCGCGCCCGAGAAGCCCGTAGCAGGCAACCTCCGACTCACCTTCGGTAACCCGACTCCAGTCGCTCTTGCCGGTTTCCTGCTCGCCAACTCCCCAGCAACAGTCATGTTGATGGGCTGGCATGGAGCTGGTTCAGGCGAGGGAATTGCAAATGCTGGCACGGGCATGTACTTTTACTGTGCGGCTGTCCTGCTGTACGCAGGTGGTATCGGCGAGTGGATCCTGGGCAACACGTTCCCATCTGTGGTTTTCTTCGTAAGTTCGTCTCGTACTCTACACTGATTGCTCGCTGACATACTCCTACAGACCTTCGGCGGTTTTTGGGGCACTTTCGGCGCAACTCTTACTCCCTTCTACGATGCAGTCAACGGCTATCCAACCGCAGCAGGCTTCTACGATAGTTTCGCCTTTTTCCTCATATTCATGGCTGTGCTCTGTCTCGCATACACGATTTGTGCTCTTCGAACGAACATCTGCCTGGTCTTGATCCTGCTCTGCTTCACCATCACGTTCCCGTTGCTGACAGCTTCGTACTTCGCCGCTGCTGGAGGTGCCGCGACTCTGGCCACGACGACCAGGATCGCTGGTGCGGCATTTGCGTTCATTGCTAGCATGATTGCCTGGTACCTGGTAAGTCATGATCGTTAATACTGGCAAACAATCTTGTAACGATGCTGACGTCGTCAATAGTGGTTCTCCATGCTCCTCGATGCCGTGGACTTCCCTCTCGTCCTTCCAGTAGGTGACTTGACTAAGTATGTCAAGGGCAGGAACGACAAGAAGATGAAGGATGCGGAGCATATGGCATGAGCATGTCCACCATGAACGACGCAGAGGCGAAATGATAAGGATATGATCTGTGCTGTGCGCGCTCATGTATATAGTTTCCTCATGGCAAAATCGATATTTCACCAAGTTAACCATCACCACGAACAATCCGTGTAGTGACTCTGTGTCGTCGCGAGGACCCGCTGACTGGACCGTGCAAGGGACGTTCTGCACGCCCAGCTCTGCGAGAAGAAGACAGCACCCAGAATCGGACTATGGCAGTCAGAATTTGGCAGATTCTGCTCCGCGACCTCGACACGATATGAGAGGATCCAGACAGGAACGTAGCATCCATGTGTGGTCGTCGGGCGGCCATGCCGGTTCGCAGAGCCTGAGACCAAAGGTCAGGACTGCTAGTGAACGGCCGAGAACGGGATAGCAATAAAGAGTATTGCTCGCCTTCCCAAGCGCTACCAGCTGTCTCGATATAATCATCGCCACCAAACGTGATTATTGGCTTTTGCTCCCCTACAGTCTTTACCGGAGACCGTGGTGTTCGGGCCCACGCTTTCTTGCTCAACACCTTGGGGCAGCTCGATTACACAATTCTCTCCCTCCACAAACGGACGTCTGCCCCTACCTGGAAGCGCAGACTATTCGAGTCGCTGTTGAAGTGCACACTGGCACCGTTCTGTCCTGCATGAGGAGATCCACGAAGATCACCAAGTAGTGCAGTTCAAATACGCTCAAAATCAGCCAGTAACATGCCAGGCATGGCAGATGCGCGAGCTTACGAACCCATAGCATATTCATGAGGTCGATCGGGACGGCAAGCATCATTATGTGACGCGTCCGGTTTTCTGCTTGCACTTTTAATGATTGAAGCTTTGGCTTGTACAATTCTGTCGAGGAGGTCGGTATGTGGATGATCGTGTACGCCGCCGCCTTCCCACGGCATCTCATGGAGTTAGTAGTAGCGCCCGGTCAAGGTCCGTACATGACTATACATTTGGTCGGAGGATGGTGAATGAAGTCGTGGTGACATGGAACGAATGCTTCGTTCCCATATAGCTGGCCTGTGCTTTAGCACTAGCCGTTTTCGTATTGAGCAATGCTTAGTCATGCACAAAGGCGCCCGGATAGCATGTGGAACAGTATCCTGGCTGATCAAGTCTACTGCCATAACGCGTGCCTCTTTCAACACTGGATCGATGTATTGAAGACTGTCAGTCAGATTTTTTGGGAGACTCGGCATAGCACACCACACCTAGGAGTATCCTAAGAACATGGCTCGCGGCCAGGAGCCTCTCGTCGCCCGCGGACCTCCATCAGACGGCTCAGACGACATAGAAGAAGAGGATGCGCTGTTGACAGGCCAAAGAACGAGCAAGCAGGCGCCGACTAACAACAGTGTTCTGCGATCACGATGGAAGGACATCGCTTTGTTCACATGGGCTCTCCTGGCAACAGCAGCAGTCATAGTCCTCGCAGTCGTGTATCAGCACAGCCGGACTGAAAGCCCCAGAGGGGATGGCAAGATAGGGAATGGTGCTGACAGACCTTCGGGGAAGAGGAATCTCATCTTCATGGTGTCTGATGGTATGGGACCGACAAGTCTGGCTTTGACAAGGAGCTGGAGACAGTACACCGAACAACTGCCCTACGACCAGACCCTGCTGCTCGACGAATACTTGATCGGTCAAAGCAGAACGAGAAGTACATCCTCCCTCGTCACGGACTCTGCGGCAGGTGCGACAGCTTTCTCCTGCGGCCACAAAAGCTACAATGGTGCCATCTCCGTCCTCCCAGACCACAGCCCCTGCGGAAGTGTAATGGAAGCCGCGAAGCGCATGGGCTATACCACTGGTCTTGTGGTCACTACACGGATTACGGATGCCACACCTGCAGTCTTCGCCAGCCATGTTAGGAGGAGAGAGATGGAGGATGAGATTGCGTTGCAGATGATTGGTGACACACACCCACTTGGCCGGATCCCGGATCTCATGCTTGGAGGTGGAAGATGTCATTTCCTACCTAACAGCACTGGAGATGAAAGTTGTCGTAATGATGATGTGGATGTGAGGAGAGTGGCGGGTGATATGGGGTGGGATTATATCTCTACCAGGAAGGAGTTTGATGGGTTAGGCACGAATCCTAAGCTACCACTGATGGGACTGTTCGCCTACGATGACATACCGTATGAGATTGACAGACAATATCAGGGTGATACTTATCCTTCGCTCGAGGAGATGACACGAACCGCCTTAGATGCTCTCAGTGCAGCCACGGCAGACAAAGACCAAGGCTTCTTCATCATGATCGAAGGCTCGCGAATCGATCATGCCGGACACGGCAACGATCCTGCTGCGCAAGTGCACGAAGTTCTAGCTTACGACCACGCCATGGCCGCCGTGCTGGAGTTCATTAAGGACAGCGCTACGCCAACACTAATGGTGGCGACTTCTGATCATGAGACTGGTGGGCTGGCATTGGCGAGACAGCTGCACCCGACTTATCCAGCTTACTTGTGGTACCCGGGTGTCCTGGCAAATGTCACACACTCCGCCTCCCACACCTCACACGAGTATCACGATTACCTTTCGGCCAGCCGACTTACCTCGAACATGCGCGGCTGGCTCACAACCCTCCTTTCCGAGTCCCTAGGCATCCACGACCCCTCTCCATCCGAAATGGCATCCTTGATCGACCACCCAGCCCTAGCTTCTTACACCTTCGCCGACATGATCTCCCGCCGCGCCCAGACAGGCTGGTCCACCCACGGCCACAGCGGCGCAGACGTCAACATCTACTCCTCCGACCCCGTCGCCGCACGGAGACTCGTCGGGAACCACGAGAACACCGAAGTCGGGGATTTCCTGCGCTGGTATCTTGGAGCTGAGGACGAGGTAGAGAAGGTTACAAAGACATTGAGGAAGCATCTTGAGGTTACGGATGATGCTGGGGAGGGGAAGGTGTGGTTAGGTAGTGTGCCCGAGTCCAGTGAGAGGTTGGATGGACAGGATCATATGGATCATTATGTTGGGGATCATAAGAAGAGGGGAGAGCATGAGGGGTGCGAGGTTTGTAGGCGTTAGTATGGGCCTCTTCTTGCATCGTTGGGAAAGGTGTTTGTGGCGTTGGTTTCTTTGGTTGTGTTTGTTTGAACCATCATCTATCTGTCATGCGTTCAAGCGGGCGGCGTTGAAGAGAGGGGGCCTGTGGCAGGTGGAGTACACCAGATACCCCTACCATTACTGCATTTCTCTATACATTCTCATGGCTTTATTTAACGGCATATCCTCGGTTATGTGTAGAGCCAGCGAAAGGCTATTGCTCGGCACGTGCGCTCTGCCGCTCTCACATCCAGCCCCTCGTTGATGACATCACACCGTTTTTCCAGTAACATTCGACCATACGCAGAACGACGCCAGAAAGAAGTCCATCAACCACTCTTTCGCAGCTCGCCAACTCAAGCGGGTCGAATAGCACCGTCGAGCACGCAAGCTTCCAAGATATTCTGGAAGATCACGTCTGGATTAATTCTTTGCCGCCGCACACTCGGCACTCGGAGCTTGGTTTCCCCAGCCCCAGAGTAGATCCTGGACCCTGCCTGCTGCTGCTGAGCTCATCAACCGGTGTGCTCCGCCACACATCATCCGCCCCAGCCCGACTTTTCACTTTGAAATGGCCGAAGCTTTTGTCGAACTCGGTGCAGAAGGAGTCAACCACGTTGTCGAGAATTACTGGGATAACATCCACGACGGAGCTAAGAAAGTCGTTACTGGACAAAGTCCCTCCGCACCCACTAAACAACAGCAAGAAGCGAAACCGCACGCACCAGCTTCACAGGCTGGATCACAATATTCGCGCGCACATCGCCAGGATAGTAAGCGTGACGGACGACAGAGGAAATATCGAAACGAATTACCGAGTCCAGAGCGTGACTACGATAACAGAGGTGAAGGAAGGCAGAGGCGACGCAGAAGCGATAGTCTTGAGCGTGAGAGCCTGACTTCGGAACGGGTGACGACTGCCTACGAGAACGAACGCGACGACCCCATCAGACCGATCGATCCTAAACTTGATAGGAAGTTGAGGCGCGATAGTGGGAGAATGTCGTACGCGGGTGGTTTAGGTGCGGGCGATAGACAGGATCGGGCGCATTCGGCTCAGCCGTCTAGGAGCAAATATTATGACGATGACGAGAGCGATTATGATGAGAGGACTGGGAAGAGGTATTCGGGTGGTGGGAGAGGGTATGATGATCGGCATGATGATGATCGGGGTTATGATCGTGAGGTGATTACGGAGGAGAGGTATCGGGGTGTAAGTGGACCATTGGTCGTCAGTACCCTGCTGTGACTACCCAGACTTCTTGCGCATGTGCTGACTTATCTCACGCTACAGCCTGCTCGAGGACTACCTTACGACAACCGCCGCAATGACAGCTACACATCCCGTGACCCGTACGGTCCTGGCGCAGTAGCTACCTATCGCCGCAGCCAAGGAGACTTGACCGAGGCCTCTAAGCGCTCGCGCTCTCGCGGTCGTCGCGACAAATACTACGATGACCGCGACAGATCGTACTCGCGCTCCCGCTCTGGCTCCCGCGATCGCGAACATGGTAGCCGAGGCGGAGGAGAGGAAGGCTGGCGCGGCAAGCTAGACGAGACCTTTGACACTTCGACCCGCGGTCTTGGGGTCGGCATCGCAGGCGCAGTCATCGGCGGACTGGCTGGAAGGCAATTTGGCAACAAGCACAAGGAACGTGATATCGTGCTCGGTGCTGTCCTTGGTGGGCTGGCATCGAATATTGCTGAGAATAAATATGCGGAGTGGAAGGATAAGAAGGAGGGGAAATTTGAAGAGAAAGAGCAGAAATGGGAGCAGAGATGGGATGAGGGGAGTCGTACTGGGAGGAATAGGTGATGTTTTGCAGATTGAAAGCACTACTGAGCCGAAATGGTGGGTTGGCTATGATGACGAGTATAACGATAGTATATGCGATGGTTCTTGTTATGCGTTTCACGATAGATATGTTTGGGTAGTGGGGTTAGCATTTCATCATTATAACTACATGACCCATCGTCACGAACCTTTGGCATACATAGCGAGGCCGAATCTTTTGCTGGGCTAACATGAAGATGTCAAGACATCGTGCATCTTGTGCTCATTATTGCACTCACTGATCTGCTACTCGCGAACAAATCAGTAGTCGCATTCCACCTCATCCCACCACGTGCGAACCTTTCCAATCTGCCTGTCCACCGAACGCCACATCCGCTGCGACGAGAATAGAGGAACCCGAATTCGGCCTCGAGCCTGCAGAATCTCCTCTTCCTTCCACTCCCGATCGAGGCAAGCTGGCTGCAGAGGAGGACTTTTACTCGCCAGCCACGCTTCCAGAGTTTCCTGTCTACCCAGGTCACCCGATTCACACAGCCTACTCTCCCGTGCATGCTTTTTGTGTACGCACCGTGGCCAGTGGCGATGTGGTGGGAGGTCAGCTGTGGGATTCGATCCCCTCTTGCCCGCTAAGCCAAGGAGAGGCGTTGAGTGCTGACAGCAGGAGCTTGAATGGCTTTCTTGTAGCTGTGAAGGTTTGTGGGTGTGGTTTAGTCTCTATGCCTGTTTGGTGTGGGCGTGTCATCTCACTGCTCGCACTGGGCAGGCCCAAGATGTGCTTCCATCACTTCTCTGCTCACTGTCATTGCTGACATTAGGTACGACGGTGGCGAGTAGTGGTCGTTATGCGTGTGCTTTCCACGAATGCGTGGCCGCGCAGTGGGTTGGGCAGGATACTGCTTACGACGCTCGTGGTGGTGCTGTTCATGGTCGTTTCAAGGCACTATCTACCATCCGTCCACGACTCCGCCGAACAAGTCGTCTCGAAGTACGCACCGGAACTCCATATCGAGCGGCCGCGACCATCGAAGGTACCGTTTGAGGAGGTACTACACGATGCGCCTGAGAAACACATACCGACCCATAGTCCGTCAGCACCCTCACCAATACCTACGTCGAGCTCGAAGCTCTCCCTACGAGGATGTCCAGTGATACCGAACTCGGACGACTACCTCATCTCCATGAAGACGGGCGCCACAGAGCTCTTTGCGAAGCTACCGGAACAACTGCTCACGTCGCTACGATGTGTGCCGAATTATATGATCTTCTCCGACATTGAGCAAGAAATGGGTGACTATCACATCTACTCTTCTCTTGAGGATGTCAGCGACAAATACAAGTACAGCCACCGCGACTTCGACTTTTACCGCCGCCTTCTAGATCTCGCGGCAAAAGGGCAAGATCTCAGTCTAATGAAGATCACCAAGCAAGCTGCTGGATCGGCCTGGGATCTCGATAAGTGGAAGTTCCTGCCTATCACGCACAAAGTCTTTGTTGAGCAGCCGAATGTAAAATGGTACATCTTCCTCGAAGCCGACTCCTACATGGCCTGGACGAATGTGCTCGAGCTTCTATCTCTGTACGATCCAGACGAACCATGGTATCTGGGCGCCACGCATTTCTTTGGTGATGTGGCGTTCGCGCACGGCGGGATGGGCTACTTCATCTCGAATCGTGCTATGAGGGATCTACATAGGATCTATGATGGCAAGCATATCAATGAGTGGGAGAAGCGCATATCAGAAGGGTGCTGTGGCGATGTCGAGTTAGCTGCCATCTTGTCTGAAGCTGGCGTGAACATCACCGGTGTGCCCGGTCTGTATGGCGAGTCTATCACTTGGTTTGAGTGGGATGAGGGCAGATGGTGTGAACCGGCGCTTTCGTGGCATCATATGGGCTCGCATGATGTTGAGGCGCTGTGGCAGTTTGAGTCCAAGCACTTGACGCAGGAGGTCAGCCATTATGTTTATAAGGATTTGTTTCACAAGCTTGTTGAACCGCATCTGGCTCAGACTCGGGAGGACTGGGACAATATGTCTCGAGACCGTATCATGACTGGGCCGAGTGGGTTACATCCGGACGAGGGACGAAGGTACAGGCTCAAGACAAGTATTGGAGATATGGACGATGAAGGGCGAAGGGATGCCTTGCGCGACCTCAGCGACGAAGATAAGGAGCTTGCGATATCTGAAGGCTTCTACATGAAGGAGATGCGCTGGGGCGAGCTCTCCGAGTCCGAGCAGGAAGATGCGTGGATTGATCTCTCAGATGTCGAGAAAGAGGCTCACACCTCCCTTCGTGCTTGCAAAGCCGCCTGCGAGGACTGGGGCGAGTGTATCCAGTTCTTCTACATGACTGATAGATGCCACCTGCATCGAAGTGTCAGACTGGGACACTACATGCAGGCTAGCTCAGGGGTAGAGGACGACGAGGACAAGGAGCCAGTCAGGATGACTTCAGGGTGGATGATGGATCGTGTTCGAGATCTCAAGGATAGAGTGGGTACTTGTAAGAGTGTGCCGGAGTGGATGAAGGAGTATGCTAAGAACGAATTGAGGAAGCATGATGATTAATTGACACAGTGGGCTTCAGAGGATTTAGGGTATACCAGGAACCGGTCACATATACTTGTAGAATTGAGATTATTTTAGCTTTCAGAGATCGATGCTTGCTCCTTGGCCTCAAGCAAAATCTCGCTCCTCGCTTCGTCCACCAGCTGCTGCTCTCGCTCTTCGAAGACTTTCTGTGATTTTAATTAGTACATAGCACGCCACGAGAAAGCGTTAGCACTTACATTAACGGCAGGTTGTGCAGTGAGCCAAGCAACCATCAGCATACTCTGCAATGCCCAACTCCCCGAGAACTCCGCAGCCCTCAATTGATCCCGCCGCCAGCTCAAAAAGTTCTTCTGCGGAAAGTTGGCATCCAAATGTAGTTGCAGGAGCCGAGGGTACCTCTCAAGCATAACCATGCTCTCTCGTAGACTCGTGCGGTAGTAGCCCCATGCTCCGAAGACGAAGCCTCCACAAGCACAGACGAGAAAGGGCAGGGCAGCGGTGCCTATGAGGGTCCCGCCAATGGCTGCTCCGCAGAGGCCCATACAGATGGAGGACATGGTTCCAGAGAGCATTATGCGCACCATGTAGTGGCCTGCGCCTAGTGGAGAGTAGCCGCCGCCTATCCGGAGGAAGTCCCGGCCTATGTCGGTGACGGAGTAGGAGGTCCCATCTTCGTTGCGGGCGCGAAGTGCCATCTTCGGCGGTATGATCTGGTCGAATCGCGGTCAGATGATGTTGAGTTGCTGGTCATGGTGTTGTTGTGGTCGTGGTGCGGAGTTCGGGATGAAGTCCAAGATTTGTGGCGCAACGCTTAAGCCCGTGAGGCAACATTTGCCCTACTCAATCTCAACATCCATCTTCTTCTCTTCTTCATTAAAACGGCTGTTTCGAGAACGACTGACATGCGACAGGCTGTTGCGGTCATACAACCTGTCCCGCAATAGCCGTCTTACCAGCCAGTGCGCTGATCAGCCCCCGACTTCTGCTTATCATCGCGCCTATCTGTGATCTGCATGACCCCGGCGGCTCAACCACAACGTGTTGCAGGTTGCCCGACGGCATCGACAAGCTCTACTCGATCCCTACCTTCATCTTTGTACCTGCCACATTCGGACGATGGGAGTGATCTGAGACGCACATGGCTATCAGTGACATGTCATGCAATGCCGTTGTGGTGAGGGATTGCATCATGGCTACTTATCACGAATATCCACAATCCCAGCGTAGGATTGCCGAGCTCGCTGCGCAATATGAATAACTTGTAGGTCGTTGAGGTCTGCAATTTCTTTGATCAAGTCTATCCTCACTCTACAGACTCACGGCGCTTTCGCCTTCCGAGATACTATCAAAATGTCTAGCGGCACAGCGACCGTCCTGCCCCAAGGCGCTGGCTATGGCGTCGTGGTTGGCGTGGGCTTCTTCTTCGCCTTCGTCATGATGGGCATCACCTACCTCCAGAACAGATACACCAGATTCAGCACCAAGACGTCCGAGGAGTTCAATACAGCATCGCGAAGTGTCAAACCTGGCCTTATCGCCTCTGGCATCGTCTCCGCCTGGACTTGGGCTGCCACGCTGCTTCAGAGTAGCACAGTCGCATACAACTATGGCGTGGCTGGACCGTTCTGGTATGCTGCAGGTGCTACCGTACAGATACTGATGTTTTCTATATTGGCATGCAAGGTCAAACAGAACGCCCCTCGATGCCACACATACTTGGAGATTATCTACACCAGATATGGCAAAGCAGGGCATTTGACTTTCATGTTCTTCGCCTTCCTCACCAATGTTCTTGTTGGCTCTCAACTTCTTCTCGGTGGTAGTGCGGTTGTGACGGCCTTGACTGGAATAAACGTTTATGCTGCCATCTTCCTGATTCGTGAGTACTCCGATCATCGCAAAGGAGAGCGGAGCTAATGGAAGGCTAGCCCTGGGTGTATGTACCTATGTCATACTCGGAGGCTTGCGGGCGACTTTCCTCTGCGACTACAGCCATACACTGATCCTGATGGTCATCATCCTGTTCTTCATGTTCCACGCATATGCCACGTCCGATCTGATCGGCAGTCCATCGAAGATGTTCGACCTGCTGCAGGAAGCAGCTGTACAACGACCAGTGGCTGGCAACCAAAACGGTTCATACACTACACTGAAATCGAACTATGCACTGGTCTTTGGTGTCATCCAGCTATGTTCCGGATCTGGTACTGTCTTCCTCGATCAGGCGTACTGGCAGCGTGCCATTGCATCTAAGCCGACAACAGCGGTGAAGGCATATATCATGGGCGGCCTGGCGTGGTTCGCGATACCATTCGGTTTCAGCACTACTCTCGGACTCTCTGCTGTTGCTCTGGTCGATAATCCTCGCTTCCCAACATACCCAGCAGTGCCTACCAAAAGCGACATCAGCGCTGGACTTGCTGCTGCATTCTCTGCCAGCGCTCTCCTCGGCAAATCTGGTGCAATGGCATTGCTAATCGTCTTGTTCATGGCCGTCACCTCCTGTGCTAGTGCAGAACTCATCGCAGTCTCGAGTCTGCTCACCTTCGACGTATACAAAGCCTACATAAAGCCGAACGCACCACCTGAGAGCCTGATTTTCGTCAGTCACGTATGCATCTGCATATTTGGCTTGACCATGGCTGTGTTCGCATGCATTTGGAATGCGATTGGCATAGATCTCGGCTGGCTGTTCTTGGTCATGGGCCTACTTATCGGCGGTGCAGTCTTTCCAGCCGCATTTGCTATCACTTGGGCGGGTCAGTCGAAGGCTGGCGCGATATCGGGAGCTATCTGTGGCTTGTTTGCTGGTCTTGTCGCTTGGCTCGTGACCGCCAAGCAGTACTTCGGTGAGGTGACGGTGGCGAGTACTGGAGAAGAATACGCTACCCTTGCTGGTAATCTAGCGGCGATCCTAACCGGACTGATTGTCACAGTTGTGGTGTCGCTTATCAGACCTCAAAATTTCGATTGGAGCATCACTCGCAACATCAACGCACGACCACTAGAGACTGGTGGGCCGATTGCATCCACGCAGCCCACCAACGAGACGACCACGGACAAGATAGACATACCATCAGCCGTAGCTGCCGATATCGACAACGATGAGAAAGAGAAGTCAGATGCTGGAACCATAACACCGCCTGATGAAGAGGCCGGGCAGGGCAGCATCAAGGATGTGGATGCCGACGAAGACACGGAAGAGCATCCGCAGAAGCTCAAACGAGCATTCTTCATCGCATGCGTGGCATCGTTCGTGCTGACATTCATTATGGACTTCCTGGTGAGGGAAAATCACGATATCACGATGAGAGTACTTACTGACCCTATTTCCAGCTCCCTATACCGATGTTCTTGTCACACTACGTCTTCTCGAAGGGCTTCTTCACGGCTTGGGTCATTATATCGTTCGTTTGGGTTGCGGTAGCTACTGGTATCAGTGTGATACTGCCAGTAGTCGAGGCCTCGGGTTTCTTCAGACAGTTTGCACGGGACATTGCTGGTGGAAAGAAGAGTCGTTCGTAGAATACGCAGTATCCACGTAGTTTCCACTGATGACACATGCCTTGATCTCTGTTTATGTCTTCGAGCGATTCGTGCCACCAGATGCCGTGATAGCTGTTCATTTTCATAAGTCGCTCCAAGACACCGTATCTCATGCGTAAAGTCGTTATGCGCCATCGGAACCACAGCGTATTCTTCATCGCTTACCTCGCTTCGCTATGCGATCCATAAACCCCACGACAACTCGTGCACAAGTAAGCGCTAATGGTACAGGGTATCCTTCGTGGCCTGAGTCGCCTGCTCACTCTTAAGCAGATGCTGGGTCACTTCCATCACGGTCTTAACGTGATCGTAGCTCAGACCCTCACCCCTCTTACTCGCCAACAGCTGAGCGGTCTTCAGGACGTTTTTGATTTGCCGGCCGTTCATGCTCATACTCGCTAATCTGGTCATGTCCTGGTCCGAGATGTTGTGTGCGAGGGTGCGCTTCTTGTGGAGCTCTTGCACCCTCGCGTTGGAGTCCTCATCTGCACCATCGGTACCTGAAACACTATCATGCGTTCCGTTCTGCAGCGCCTTGGCTGCGGAAACGAGAGCCTTGAGTGGACGGTCCCGAGCAGCCGCTTGTGCGACATCGTGCTGTTTAAGGAAGTTCTTCCACACCGTCAGCCTGCTCTTGTGATCGAGCTCCTTGTAGTCGAGGCTGATATGGATTCTGCTCTGGAAGGCCGCGTCGAAGGTTTGGACACGGTTGGTCGTCAGAAACATGATGCCCTCGTAGTACTCGAGCACACGCAGGAAGATTGACACAAGCTTGTTCCGCTCAAGCTCGTGCAGAGATCGAGACTCCAGAAAGATGTCGGCCTCGTCGAGTAGAAGGATGGCGTTCCAGCGAGTGCACATATCGAGAATGCCTTGCAACTTCGCCTCGACATGGCGCGGATCCAGACCGAGATCGCCGGCGCTCATCATGTAGAGCGGCACTTTCATTTCCTCCGCCACCGATTCCGCCGTCAACGTCTTACCGACGCCTGGAGGTCCGCAAAGCAGGATGATGATGCCGCGGCCCTTGCCCTCGATTACATCGTCGAATTGACTACGATATGATTGTTGCGTCTCCGTGAATCCGAGAATGAGCTCCTTCTGCGACTGAGGCAAGACCAAGCTCTCAAATGCGCGAGTGCTGAAGTCGACATCTTGGACAGCATTGACGAAGAAATTGAGCCAGATCTTCTCCTTGAGCGCGTATCCGCGCACCAACGGCGTGCAGATCATCTTCTGCTCCTCGCTAAGCACCACACCCGCACGCTTGCTCTCTTCCTCATCCTCATCCGCAAAGTAGCCATCAAGTGGCATCCCACCATCATCGTCATCGTAGCCCTCGTCGTATTCGTCATCGCCACCATATTCGTTGATGGGTGGTGTACCACTCCCAGTACCAGCAGCATTCGGCGTATCCTTCACATGCAACGGCGTCACATAAACGCTCATGTTCGGATTAAACCTGTTCCAACCATATGTGTCGACGACCACACGGCCCTTGATGCTGTACTTCTCCTTGACGTTCATGCTGCCCATGCGCCACCCAACCCCGTTGTAGCCGCGATAGTGTGAGCCAGCAAGTGCCTCGACCTTGCTACCGCGCTCGACGAGCTTGGCTTTGATCGCATCGACGTCGCTATGTGAATCAAGAGGCGATGTTGGTAGGCCGGTGATAGGCTTTGTGCCTTCGTATGCGGGGATGCAGAGGTTGAGCTTGTTCGTACCCCATCGTGAGCCGTCGTAGTCCGTGTATTGACATGCGAGCCAGTAGACTGGATTGCCGCTGCGATCTGTGCCGTACTTAGAGGAGTGAAGGCGGAAGATCCTATCTTGGCCCTGCTGCTTGCTGTACACGAACGAGCCAGGCTGAAATAGAGTCCACAAGTGCTCGTATGTCATCACGCCTTGGCTCTTGAGGTCGGTAGCGGCGTCGATAGTCTCTTGGAACTCCTTTGTAAGCAATTCTTGCAGGAGTGTGGCGTGCTTCGCCTTATCTTCCGACCTGTCGTCCTCGTTCTCGGAAGTCTGGCGGGCCTTCAGCTTCGCAACTGCGGATGTGAACTCAGGCCAACGATGAATGAGCGGCTCGAAGCGACCGGAAAATTCGAGCCTCTTTAAGCCCACCGTGACGCCAGGGTAGCCAGCGAGCACCTCACTAAGCATATTCTTGAGAAGTGGGCTCTGAATGACGATAGAATGTATCGACAATACCTTCTTCGGATCGTTGTAAGTCTTGATGTGACGCACAATGATGGCCCACTGTTAACGAGTGTCAGTACACGTTATACGTCTGTCAGTAGATAGAGACTGCTCACCTTCTCGCTCTCTGCGTCTTCAGCTGGCTTGCCTAGATCCTCCGGGATGGTGGTCTGCCACTGAAAACGGCCTCTCTTATCTTCCTTACCACTGTACAAGTTCTTGTAGCCCGCAGACATGCCTATCAGTTGGTCAGCCATGGGTGCAATATAGTGTTGTAATTCGTGGATGTAGATGTGGCATAGTAAGCGCGTAAGAGGCTGCGATATAGAAGGGATAGTTTGTTTGCGAAGTGGGTCCCCGTAAGTGATTTTGAGTTTAGTGAGCAGCGGAAAATGGCAGGTACGACTTACCGATCTCGCTGGGGTCGAGCTTCACCAACTTCTCCTCCTCCTTGGCATCCTTCGCCGGCCCATCGGTCGAGGGAGTCTTGGAGACGCCATTAGGCTGCTCAGGCGCGACGTCAGAATCGGACGAGTCGCCATCGTTCTTCTGCGCCATCCTGCGACGGTTCTGGCGGAGTTGCGCGTCCCGGCGATTTTGTTGGAAGAGGAGGATTCGCAGCCGTTGATGCTCTTCGCTTACTTGGCTATCGTCGAAGTCCTCGTCGGCTTCGATCCAGTACGTTTCCTCGGGCGGGATGAGAGCGTCTAACGGGTTGCTCATCTGTTTCTTTTGTGCTTAGTGGTGGGGATGCTGCTTTTATGGGCCAAGTCCTGTTTGTGCGGTGAGTATATGTGGCTAGAGCATTCGTGCGACCTATGAGGCTGTGGAGATGGTGCTCCTAGTAGGGTATGAATCATAAGATGAAGGCAACAGTAATGTTGAAGTGAGGAAGCATGTGACTGACTGCCTCAAGTGTTCACCGGCCGTGAGGCGCAAGCCTAAGGCGTCAGGGCTGCCGTGGTGAGATCCTAGCCAATCAAATCTACAGGGGTGGAATCGAGGCGACGACATGGGCGATAGCACATTCAGATATAAGAACCACGCCGACGAATCTATGATATCGAACACGGCGGCCGCACTCCTCCTTCGTCAATAGTGGACGTGCACGGGAAAGCTGTCTCTGGCAACGAATGTACAATTCGGATCTCAGTCTACAGAAGTGATGACTCCTTTGACACGCATGATCAAGGTGACTCTGAGCAGATGGTTAGAGAGTCTGCGTTGGGATTACCAACACTCTTGTAGGATCTGATGGCTGTCTTTCCAGCTCTGAGAATGTTGCCATGTCAGTGACGCTTCTATGACATTGTGACGCAGGAAGCCATTACTCGTCGATGGACGCTGCCATATTCCTTATGACCGTACTACCCTTGGGCATGCATTATAAGTATGACAAGACGAGACAAATCTTCAATCGGAGAGCAATGTCGATCTGTCGAAGGCCGATGAGTAGCGTGCAACGAACAACAGTTACGTTGAAATGCGATCAGCACGGCAGCAGCAATACTGGCACTTTTCAACAGTCGCTTCGTTCTCCGAGCTCTTTACACTCTGTTCGTCGTCGAGAATTCCCAAACGATGCCATACTATCTGTGCGTTGGTCTTGATCGTGTTCTGTAAGATTTCGTCCTTTGTGATCATTTCTCAAGAGTCCTCTGCGCCGCACGCATATATCGTGAGCCATATGGGCCAGGAAGGAGTCGTACATGCCACAGCCAGCCAGGAATGGAGCATGGGTCTGGCAATGCTGAAGTGTGATAACGGCGGCCTGCCACGCCTGATCTCGTTGTATGCTCGCAACCGTTGATCAGTCACACTTAGCGGACACAAAATTCTGCTGTGCCTCGCGATTGCCCTCTAGCGGTACGCCATTGTCCAGCTCAGGTTTCATCACAATTGATAAACCATACAGTAGCTTGAACCCCCTGAAAGCGAAGAATGATGACCTGAGAGGGTGTCCCTACTTGACTGCAGCGTGATATCGAGACACCGTCCAGCGCAGCGCACCTAGCAAGTGTTTAGCAGACTTATACCCCTTGAGAAAGATTGTAGGATAAATAGAAAACACTAAAGATCCACTAACTAGAGAAGGGGTTTTGGTAGCTCCCTCTTCCTGATATAGCCACATCCGCGCAGACGTCCGACCAATCAAGCCCGATCGGGATGTGCTGATTCTCACCCTCCGTCTGGGGAAACATCTGGAAGTCCGACGGAGGAAGTGGTCAAGAATAAATTACAGCTCCACCTGCAGGAGAACCCCCCCGCCGCTCAGCCGCCTGCTGTCAGCATTGCCAACGTTTCTCTCTCTTCGACACGATCGATCAACAGAGCCGTCGCGTCAGTCACTGAGATAGAGCGACTCCCGCCTACCCAAAGCAACGACCAATGTCAGAAGGTACACGAGCTCGTTCGCGGTCTCTTCTATCCGACGAACTCAAAGCATCGCTCAAGCCAGCACCACCACCCAGGATGTCTGCCAACATGAACACCACGTATGTCAATCAAGCAACTGAGCTGACCGAAGGGAAAACAATGCTAATCCAATCACAGCGAGCCCAAGAACCCGCTCAAGAAGCCCGTCCACCCAGCTCTCGTCCACGCCCCCATCGCCTTCATCGCGCTCGCTGTCGGCCTCGACGTCGCCAACGCCTTCTCCTCCGCTCTCCCCTCTTTCATCACCAGCTCCCTCCCCATCGCCACAGACGCCACCCGCGCCTCCTACTTCCTCCTCTCCCTGGGTCTGCTCAGCAGCATCCCCGCCGTCACAACCGGCATCGGTGAGGCCAAGAAGGCAATCGACAAGCAAGGTCTCTACGAGAAGGACGGCAAGACCATCAAGCAGAAGTTCAAGGGCGTCATCGCTCATGCTATCGCCAACGACATCGTGATTGTGGTCATGGCTTACATCTGGTACTGCAGGCGGTCGGCCGCTAGGCAGAGTCTGGCTGGCAAGATGGGGATCAGTGGTCTCAGCACGCCCGAGGCTGCTTATGCGCCGGCTTTCTGGATGGTGATTGTGGAGATGTTGATGGGTGCTTTGCAGCTGTTCTCCGCCAACATTGGTGGTAGCTTGACCTACAATTACGGCTTCGGTATGGCTATCGGTGCTGGTGGCAAGAAGGCGCAGTAGAGGATAGTGAGCCGACCTTGGGAAGAGCTTACGCATCAGGTCGCTATGCAACGACGCATCAGTGGACACCCGCCATGCCCTTTTGACCCAGATGGAGGATTGTGTTATTGCGAGGAGTGTGAGCAAGAGCGATCCAGGCGTTAGTACGAGAGGGCTGTGGGGTGGATGATGTGCTTCTGGACAGTAATGATACAGGAGATCGAGGCATTGAGCTTCCGTAGATGGGGAAAGTCTTGTTTGCAGTACAGGCTATGTAGAAATGTAATGCATGACCATTACGCACAATCTTAGCTCCTCACGACGGCAGCATCCACATCACTTCTTCCTATACACGTCCCCGGTCCTCTCCACTTCAAACATTTCATTCTTCCCTCTCCCCTGCTTCTCAAGCTCTCTAACAAGCGGCATGACTTCCTTACCGAACAATTCAATTTCCTCCTCGTAATGCAAGAAGGCAGTCAACAAGATATCTACACCCAACGACTTCAGCAACATGATGCGTTCCGCAATCTGCTCCTTCGTTCCAATCAACTTTGTCTTGAAGCCATCGTTATATTGCACGAGGTCCTCGAACTTGCTGTTCGCCCACATGCCTGACTTATTCGAGGCTGAACCGCCAGCATTCTGGACCTGCTGACGGAAACCCTCGACGGCTTCTGCATCGGCTTTACCTTGAATCTCAGCGAGCACACGATGAGCTTCTTCTCCCGTCTCGCGGCAGATGACGAAGCCATTCAAGGCGAACTTCACTTGGCCCTCGCGACCAGCTGCCTTGGCCTTCTCGCGCACGCTGGCAATCTGTGTCTGGAAGCCTTCGAGAGTGTTGCCATTCATGAAGTAGTAATCTGAAACATGGCCGGCATTCTCCTGCGCATCGTTGCTGTTGCCGCCCTGGAAGATCCCGGGATGTGGACGACCTGGCCAAGAAAGTGGTTTGGGCTTGAGAGTGTAGTCGTGAAATTGGTAGAAGTCGCCTCGGTAGGTGAATTTTTCCTCCGTCCAGATGCCTTTGAGGCACTCAATGAACTCCCGGCTGCGGTGGTAGCGCTCGGCGTGGTCGAGCCACCACTGGCCTATGCTGGTGAACTTCTGGTCGTTAGCATACCCACTCAAGCTGTTTACTACGTACATACCTCGAGCTTGAACCAGCCACTGACTACATTCACAGCTACTCTACCGTCGCAGTAATGATCAATGGAAGCTATCTGCTTTGCTGCGACTGCTGGATTCCACGGCCCAGGCAGCAAAGCCGCAATCAACTTCAACTTCTCGGTCTTGCTCAATAGTGCTTGTGAAAGCGAGACAGGTTCATGCTGATTCTCGGCTCCATAGCCAGCCATGAATCGGATCTGACTTAATGCGTACTCGAAGCCGACGCGCTCGGCAGTCTTTGCATAGCGGATGTTGCTCTTCAGATCCCAATGTGTCCGCTGCGGAATCTTGGAGATGACGAGGCCGCCGGACACGTTAGGTACCCAATATGCGAACTTGATTCGGTCTGGATCGCTATTGATGGCTTCGTGGTAAGAGAGATCTTCGCCGCTGTGAAGTAAGCCATCATTACCATTTGTCTGTGGTGTTGACGGTGGCGAAGTGATTCGAGACTCGTTCCCGACTGGTACCACGATTCGCTTGCCGCTGAGAGTACCTGACCTTAGTCGGTCAAGAGCGCTGTTTATTCCCGCAAGTCCACCTTCTGCGATCTCAACTTCTGGAAGCTTGAGCTTGTTCAAGACGAGGAGCTCTTCTAGCCATTGCATCTCTGCTTCGCCGAATGCTGGCGATTCATGAAACAGCTTGATTGGGATCTTGTGATGTACTACATTCGGTGCCGCTTCCTTTGGTAGACCAGTGAGTCCAACTAGATGCGACTTTGTGGTAGCCGTGTCCGACTGTAGCACCTGCTGCAGATTTTCCGCAGTCTCCTTCCCCGTACAATCAATGCCAAGACGTAGCTTGTGTCCTGTAATGGCTCGCAAGATCTCAACAGCACGCTGAGGGTCATGTTTGTCCACCATGAAATCCGCACCCAGCTCAGACAGACGCTGTCCACCCTTGGCAAGATCGGCGATGCATGCGACTCGTAAACCAGCTAATTTGGCAAGCTGGAGTGCGAATCGTCCGGTCGTGGTATTGGCGCCCCAGATTGCCAGCCATTCATCTTGCTGAGGTCGTTCCGAGATCAAAATCCCGTCAAAGACTTCGCTTCGGATATCTTCTGGCACGTCTCGTGAAGGTAAGTGTCGCACTTGCCGTAGAATATCTGGGCCAGCGGGTGATCCACCCTTCGTCACGTTGAAGTCCACTCCTAGGCTCACACCCAGTGCAACCAATGCTCCGGTGAAGGCCACGCCGATTGCTGCTCCATTCTTGACACTCACGTCTTGCGGCACTCTTGCTACGTTGTAGTCGGTTGTCACCACATACTCTCGATACGCAGCTTTCCGAATATCGCGATAGTCTGTTGATGGCCCGAACACGACATCGCCTTGCTCCACTCTGCTCGAGCTCTTCGATGCTTTCACAACAATACCCGCAAAGTCTCTGCCATTGACCCAAGGATAGCTCGGCTGACCAAAGCCATAGTCGGCACCTTTCCAATCGACCGGATTCAAGCCAATAGCCAGTACCTGCACCAGAATCTCGTTGTCGCCCTGTAGCTCTGGGATGTCTTTCGATCGCTCCAGGGAGTACTTCTGTCTTGGACCGTGTAGAAGTAGGATGTCTTGCTGTGGACTAGGTAGCTTGAGAAATTCGTCCTCTTGGTGTGGAGCTCCATTCGTCTTGCCATTCAGGGACGCGCTCGCAAGCCTGGCGTCGATGGCGTCGACACCATTTCTGACACCGTTTGCGTGACCATTGGCATTGCCCGAGGTACCGTTCGTGCTTCTTGGTGTATAAGCGGATGGCTCCTTCACAGCCGAAGCCTCGCCATCGGCTCTGAGTGAGCGGAAGGAAGCACTTGGTGCCATGATTGTGGTCAGTCGCGTCAACGAGGTACCAAATACAATGCAGAAGGAGAAGAAGGAGAGCAAGGCAAAGGGATCAACGGCAAGGAAGACCCAAATAACCCACTCTCTTGCTGCCACTACCGAAGCATGCATTGACGGAATCTTGTAGCAGCATGGCGAGCTCCCAACTATTGGGCACAGAGATTGCCGCGCATGAGCAAGAGAATGATCTTCTTAGATGATCATCCAGCATATGTGAGCTATTGTCATAGCACACATACTTTGGCTCGGATGGTGTGCTTACCCCGCGACGCATATTGGTCGAGCAGCAGGACATTGAGTTTGATGTCCAGTACTTTCATGGTATTCCGTCGCAGAGACAGTATGCTCACGTCCATTAATGCTTGGGATCCGTGCGGTATGGCCAGTTGAAGGCATTGCTACAGTAGCTGCTTCTTCTGGTGTTGCCAAGGGCGGGCATTCAAGCAAGGCCAAAGCGCGTCGTGCACTGTTGCAAGCAGGCGTGTCGAAGGCATTAGCATTCTCCATGGCATCGAAACCTTACAAGGCACTAATACGCGTTCACAATGCAATTCAGGCAAAGTGAAGACGTGAGGATGATGTTGGTGGGATGGAGAGTACGGAGTAGTGGACTCCATCTGATGGTTGCCAGATCGAGCCTAGGGCCAACGTTAATGGGTTTGGACGACATGCCGTCTCGCCAGCAACCATTTCGATTTGACGTGCTGCATGCTGGACTAATCAGTGAAGTACGTAAGGCGACAAGGTGCAAAGACATAGTGAGGACCTTACGCCCAGCTCGCGGTCGGCTGCTTGACCTGCACCTCTGGTCACCGGCCCGCAGGCAGCAACGCATTAGACATGTCCAAGAGATTCGCGCGCAACTACCATTCCACAACCCGACCTTCTCGCAAGATCGGAAACGCGCGTTCTCTTTCCGATGCCTTCACACTCTCTCGACGAGTGACTAGGTCACGATCTCGGCAGACCACAGTCGAAGCAGAGCTGCCAAAGGTCTTACACAGCCCGCAAGCAATAGGTTTGCGCGTGAAGCCTACCGTGGAGCTGAATATAGCCAATCTGCCTGATATACGACAATTTAGACCGAGGGATGCTTCTCAAGATTAACTTAAGCTCTTGCGACTCAAGCAGCAGAAGTTGCGTGAGCCTCATGCCCAGATACCGGCTTTCCTTGCCCGTGACGGCGAATCGTCATCTGGCGATCAACCAGTATTGTATGAGGCCGTGGCTGCGACTCTGGTCTTTGGGCAAGAAGCAGCAGGTACGGCAGTGTGTATATCCTCGTCTGGTCTGCTATTGACTTGCTCGCATTGCGTGGCCGAAAGCGCAAGCGATCTGGACATGTCGAAGGCTCACTGGCTGCTGTTTACCGATGGCCGCATCGTACAAGCAAAGTGTGTGGCTTGGGACGACCGACGTGATCTTGCTCTCTTACAGATCGTCGCAACTCAAGATCTTACTGGTCTAGACATCCCGACCTTCCCAATTGCCGAGCTTGCAGGCTCACCATCCAAGCGCAATTCGCCACTACTTTGCGTCGGTCATCCAGGCTCTGAGGATCTGGAGGCCGATCAATCTGGTCTTCTTACAGACTACGACGTCTTGCACATCAGCCGAGGTCGGTTCAGAGGTCTTGCCAAAGGCCAAGAAGTCCAGGATAATTCAGATATCGGAGCTCTGCAGCATGGTTGTTGGACGTACTGGGGTCACAGTGGTGCGCCGTTGCTTGTTGAGGATGGGAGGCTGGTTGGTCTGCACTCGAGCTGGGATGATGAGACGGGTATGAGAAGGGGTGTTGCTTGGGAGGCTGTAAAAGCATTCTTGGGTGAGCATACTGTTGTTGGCTGAGCAGTCTCTCAGCTACTCCGCTCACAGAGACGCTGCCGACCTGTATGGTGGTCTGATATATGTCGGGTTGCTGGAAAAGATTTGTCGTGCTGCGAGGTCTCTCGTCTCGTTTCGGTCGTCTGTGCCCTTGTCGGCCGCTATGATGCCGCTGCACTGCCTGCGATCGATGGGATGAATGGGTGGTTCACCAAGCGTCAACCACCTTGAAGAGCCGAGCTTTAGTATCTCCACATCTGGTATTCATGCCGACGATTCGGCCCATTGCTTCGTCTATGCTTGCACCCAACGCTCTCCACGCCCGACCGTGGCCGTCTGACTGCAAGATATCGGAGTGCGCAGCAAGATTACACCCGTTATGATCCTCTTTGCAGAACTCACCACGGCAAGCATAGAGGCCTAGGTAGGCGTGACACATTTCGTGGAGTAGCGTCTCGAATAGCACAGTCTCGAAGTCGCCAGCAGAGTAGCCGAGAGGTGGATGGGGCTCCGGATGCATCCAGACGTCTGCAATGCAGCCGTCGACCGAGCTATCAAAGGCCGTTGTGGTGGCACCAAGAGCGATCTGATCCGCGTGAGACGGCAGACCGAACCATTTCCATTGGAAGCGTATAGACGAGCCAAGAGAGCTACCGAACAGCAGATCATCCAGTATGCCGACAAGACGAATCATAGCCATCTCAGACGGGTCCTCTTTGGTGAACTCGTAGCCTCTCCGCCACATGCGTACACCATCCCAAGCTTGCTTTTTCCTCTCAGACCACGACTTGCGCGGCTGATTCAGCTGTCCTCTTATCAAATCGACCAGATCCTTCGGTCTATGAGATAGTTGGGCCAGGCCCTTCCCCACCGGACGATGCTGGTCTCGAAACAGGGTTGTGATGCTCTTGGTCCAGCCAGGGAGCGTCATAGTGAGATGGTTGTGTTGTTTTGTGTTGATATCTGTTTGTAAAGAGAAGGATTGCTGAGATGGGAACATCGGCCACTTCGAAGAAAGACGTATATATACTTATCAAGTGAGGTTTGTGAACAAGACGCTATTGATATGCTCCGTATTGTCTGCGGATCGAGATGACAAAGTCCACAAGGCAGGATCCCATTTGTTTGACAATACGGAAGGAACAGAGTCTCCCAGACATCATTGTGCTTTTGACACAACGTGATGACCGTCAATGGGCACATCCCAAGTGGAGGTAATTGGGATGTCAATAGCTTGAGATGATACAATACTTGTGGAAATATCAATAGCGAAGGACAGTTCTCAACGGCGGTGCCTTGCTCGTGAGCAGGTACAGCGTCTTACAGCAATCCATGTGTGATATAACCGCTGGAGATGTATTGTCGATGAGTACTTTCAGGAGATGTCATATGCATGTACGGAACGATGAGAGTGATGTGCCTTCTCAAAGCCCGAAGTCGAGTGTGCCTGAACTGCTGAATAATCCGGATGCGAGAAGCAGGCCCCCAATCGACATCTCCTTTGAGCATGGATTTAATGCAAGTCAGCCTCAGGGCGCAAAATAGCCCAGTAGACGGCCGTGTAGCCTCTCAAGGTAAGTCGCGAGGAGTCGTTATTTTCCAGTCTCACTAGAATCACGTTGGTTGTTCGCGCGGAGCTGTCGCAGCAAGAGGAGGAAGTGGATTCAGGAAGCCGTGACGCCATGTTCAATAACACTACCATCGCGGCGCCGATATCATGGACACCCTCCGCATACTGGGACGGCAATGATGGTCTCTGGAACACCTTCACTGTTGGCGTAGGGACACCACAACAGAACTTCCGCATACTCCCCTCTACAGCTGGACAGGAGACCTGGCTACCTAATCCCGAAGGCTGTGAGACCGCGAATCCTGCCAACCCAGGCTATTGTGGATCTCTACGCGGCGCTCTGCCGTATCAAGGCTCGAACAGCTCAGGCTTCGCCAATAATGAGAGCAGTAGTTGGGACCTGATAGGTCTGTATACCGTGGACGCGGAAGAGGCGGATTTGGGATATGAGGGGAACGGACTGTATGGCTTCGATACCGTCAAGCTCAATGGTACGAATGAGGCCGTCAATCAGACCGGGCAAGTCCTGGCCAGCGTGCCTGATCTTGACTACTGGCTCGGGTACTTCGGACTTGGCCCAAAGACGATCAATTTCACGACGTTCAACCAACCCATCCCCAACTACATGAGTAATCTTGTCAACAGTCATCAGATACCAAGTCTATCTTGGGGCTATACGGCCGGCGCACACTACCGCAATCAGTCACCGGCGTCTCTAACCCTCGGCGGGTATGACACCAGCCGCTTTACACCGTCCTACATCAGCTTCTCAATGGACGCAGACAACTCACGACCACTGCAAGTTGGCGTACAAGGAGCTATAGCCGAAGGAGCGCTCGATGGTGCTGGCGTCAACCTTTGGCCGACCCCTACCTACCACTTCATCGACTCCACACTTCCACACATCTGGCTGCCAAGCGATGCATGCGATGCCTTTGTGGCCGCCTTTGGCTTGACTTATGACAACACTACGGATCTGTTCCTCATCAATAGTACCATGCGGCAGAGATGGCTCAACGACAAACCCACTGTGACATTTGTTCTTGCCAACACTACTGTCCTTGGTGGCCAGACACAGACGATCGAGCTACCTTATGCCGCATTCGACATGCAAGCTAGCTACCCATACTATCAGAATGCCACCAACTACTTTCCAATCAGGCGAGCAGCGAACGACTCGCAGTACACTATCGGGCGTACCTTCTTACAAGAAGCATATCTTATTGTGGACCACGAACGCAATAATTTCACTGTTGCTCCGACCATGTTTGACAAACTCGACGAACCGCATTTTGTTGCCATTTACAAGCCTACGAACACCAGCACCGACAGCTCCTCGGACGATGGTGGCAACAGCAACAAAGGTTCTCAAGGCCTGAGCGGAGGTGCGATAGGAGGTATAGCCGTTGGCGTTATCGCTATCATAGCTCTTCTCGGCCTTGCAATCTGGTTCTTTACCCGGCGGAGCGACAAGCCCAAGCATCAACCTCTACCCACTTCCGATCTGGAGAAGCTCGAAGGTTACCTAGCAGACAAGAAAGATGGTACACAGGTCCATGGAACAGAACTGGACTTTCAACAGAATCTACATGAGGTGCCGGGCAGTATGGCAAGGCATCCGAGTGAGCTACCTAGTCCTGCCGCAGCTACTGAGGTAGAGGGCGACATGGGTAAGATGAGAGGACGGCCGGGCATGTATGAGATGCCTGGATCTGGGCAGGGAAGTGGGAGTTTGGAGGCTCCTGGGAGTGATGGTGTGAGGCATGAATTGTACGGAAGTGGCCCAGCTCACAGTCTGAGTCGAGCGAATCAGCATCTACCGTGATTGATCGGTGTACATCCTTAGTATCGCATTCCAGCAATGATTTATGCTAAAAGCCCACCCAGCAGTGTCTAGCATCCTCAGCAGTCTGTCTACGATGTCATCCGGCCATTCTGGCCGGGTAGTACTGGCGATGGTATGTCGGCCGTGGAACATGACGTCTGATTATTTCCTTCAGTGGCGGCCCAGGCGGCGAAAGATTCGATCACAACCTCCTGTCGAACTTCGCGAACATGTCTTGGGGTGCCGCGTCATCGTTTAGTCTGACTTCGTTTCCTGCTCTCCTTGTGCAGGACTTCGTGCGAGCAGATCATGAGTCTTATCAACACGATGAGGATCAGTAGCCACTGCGCCTTAGGCCAGTACGTAGGATCCATGGCCATTGGCTCTTGCTGCATGCATAGTTCGATAATGCTGTCTGTGTGCGTCTTGATCAGGACGGAGACGGTGTTCTTGAGTACACGGAACAGGGTCGAGACCATGTTCGTAGGTGCTGTGGTTTTCTTGGTTCTTGGCAAAGCAGTCTTGGGCTTGTTTCATCTTTTGCAAACGATAAGCTATTGCTTATCTTTTAAATCCCGGGTTTGAGGGGAGTTGTGGGAAAGGATTCGGGACATGGTACTTGTTCTCCTGGGGCTTGCTGTTCTGAGACTGGAGTAAGACGCCCTTAGTAGGCTGAGCGATGTTCCGTCGCACATACCTGTGACCATATGATACATATCAGTTGTAGAGCAGAGGCCATCTCAATGAGAACAAAGACATGTCGTGCTGGCCTCAGTTATGGGTGATGACCATGACCCAGCAGGCAGAATTTGGTTGAAAATCTATCAGATCGAGTCAACACCAGCGTTGATTAGTGTGTCCATATCGCTGAACATCCAGCCAACCACCTCATATCACACAGGATCGCGTATTGCTCATGAGCATTTTCAATGTTTGTGAGCTTGAAGTGCTGGGAGTGAGAATGATCAAGTCGTCTTCTGCATTCGCTGTCAGCGGAAGCTTCTCCGCACACAAGCTTGATCGCCACATGGTAGTTCCACCGCCAAGCCTAATATTAGAGTCTCTTCCCGCGCATCCTTGGACCGGGGTCGCAGCAGCGAGGCATCCCCATTTCGTGCACATGCTGTATTGGGCGGGCCCGAGTTCTATCCATTTCCCAATTCTCGTGTGCATGTCTCACTCTTCAAAGCCGTTGTGACGTCGCCGACCAAGATACCGAGAACAACCGTTTGGGATGGATGCTTGGTGAAGCTCTTATGCAGAAGGGCAATGCGGCTCTGTCCATCAAATGCAGCTTTCAGGAGCTCTCAGCTGAGCTTAGGTGCGCCTCTTCGCAGGGCTGGACGAACATCACGCGTCTGACGGATCTGGTTGGCCTGGCTGGTACATGTGTACGGGAGGGTAAAACGTTTGCCGCAGAACTTCACGTAGATTGAGAAAGCTTATTGCAATTCGCCTTGCTTTTCCGCCAAGCAGACGTCGTGGCAGGCCGGTGGCTTTGGTGATCGCGGTGAGGTTGTTCTGCTGTCGTGATGCCCGTGTCGACCTTTTCGGCTGGGAGCGAGGCTGTGAGGAGTAGTCATGGGCCGATGATCGAGCGATGGAACAGCACCCGAGATAGGATTGCGAGGGACGAGCGAAGGACAAGTAACAGTGAGATCACGGAGATGGATGGGACAGGCTTGCATGAGAGGCCGAACTGGCCGCTCGCAGATGCTATTTTCCCAGAACGCAGTGTCAGCCCAGACAAGGATGAGCCAAGAGCACAAGAGGCCGAGGTAATGCAAGATGCCGTAATCAGGAGGAGTGAAGATGTAGCAAGTCCTGGGCCAGATGGAAGATGGCGTGATGAGTTGGGAGGAGAAGATGATGGCCACGAGGACGGCCGTGTCAGTGATATTGAGGAGGATGTGGAGGATGATGAGGCCGTGGCAGGAGCGGAGCCAACACTTGGTCCAGAGGCACGAACACGATTGCAGGATCAGATAAAGGCACCACAACGAGAAGCAGCGCCCAGTATATCGCCAAATCGCAGCTCTCTGTCCGGTAGTTCGCGGCGGCCCTCCAGTGGGAAGAGACGCGTCCCGTCAATCGCAGACAGTGCAAGCTCACGAAGCCCTCGAGCTCAATATGCTGTACAGCACCCAGATCAATCTCGCATTCTGGCCCCAGAGGTTTCTCCCCTCAGAATAGGGTGGCCGTCACCAACATCCATGGACGATGTATCACAGTTCGGAAGCACAAATGGCGATCACATGTCGCAGCACTCGCCGCGTTCTAGATCCGTGCGTAGATCTAGCGGAGACGGAGCGAGCGAGAGGGATTTCCAGGCTCCGCAAAGTCCTCGTACGATCACATCACAATATATTGCGGAAAGCAGGCGAGCATCATCAAGCTCGGTACTACCACAACGCAACGGCACACTCATAGTAGAAGCACAACCGACGGCGAACGGACACGAGAGATCTGGTTCTATGGTAAAAGGCCCACTACCATCCCGCAGCACTTCACGAGCTTCGATGTCAACAACACACATCCCAATGAACAAGGATAGGGTGCGCTACAGCTGGCAGTCGATGAAAGATGATGAACCCAATCGACCACGAATACACATCATCAAGCTTGTATCGGAAGTGGCGACAGCTTCGGCAGGCTTCCCAGGTGGCGAGGCATTTGGGTTCAGCATTTCGCCTGCAGGGCGAAGGATAGCAGTGTACAATAGTGCAAGGCTGTACGTGCTGCAAACGGCGGCACTACCTGTGGGCATCAGTCAGGACTATGCGCTCAAGCGGCGACCACTTGCTGTAGAAATTGTGGACGAGGGCGGGTCTATGGCGATCCTGGCGGATGCGCATACCATCAATATCTACGATCTCGGACATCAACGACTGAGACGAACGAAGACGATCAAGACTGACTTTCCTACAAATTGTATTGCTCTGGCACCCACAGGAGGCTTGATTGCAACAGCGTATGAGGGTGGTGTCGAGATTTTCAGCTTGGACCCGAATGCGCTGCCCACAGACCGTCGAGCAGTCCGAAGTCAGCGAATGGATCGCTTGGCCTTCTCTGCAGATGGCTCGACCTTAGTTGGCACAACTACACGTATCAATGTGAGCTCGACGGTCGTGGTCTCGGTTCCTGTGTATCCTGTCGCAACCAACGGCACTCCAACACACCAAGAGCTCAAAGAAGCTTGGTGCTCAGAGCTCCTGCATCCCGAGAATATTCGAAACAGCAGTCACGCGACATTCTTGCGCGAAGGACAAGCTTCATGCAACGATCGGCTCTTCGCGTGGAACGGTGCTGCGGATACTTTTGGCATACTAAACGTGGAGGATATGCAGTATGGCAACATCGACTTCCCTGTTGTGATCTCGCCACCACTTTCGACATGCGGTGGTTTGGGTGCAGCAATACATAGTTGTCCAGCCATCGACGAGCACGGGGATACTGTTGCGATGATTGTCAACGATCGCACGATTAGGCTTTACATTGTGCCGCCGCGCGTGGGTGATGACGAGACGACCGTAGAAGCACACTCGATCGATCATGAGCTTGATGAAGGATATGGCTGCCCTTTCAACGAGGTGCGTTGGGTATACAGTACTGCCTCCTTACCGGCACCGATCAGTGGTCAAGCACAAGTCAAAGGTCGCCTGATTGTTACGAGTCCTGGTGGCGTGGTCGAGCAGGGTCTGAACGGCGAGGACATGGTCGACGACGTTGAAGGCGGCCGCATCATCCTCTTCGACTTCGATCCGCAGTTTTCTGGCCAGCCTGGACAAACATTCAGTCTGACTCTTGGCAAGAGCCCACCGCAGATGCTCGAGGAGCAGCAGGTGGACGTTGCAGACGAAGTGGCGCTCGTGCGGCGGCGGACCGTAAATCAGAGCAAAGGAGGTGGGTTGAGCTCGAGGCCTGTCACGCTGGGTCGAGCCGCAACACAGTTCAACAGTGGCGGACCTCGCAGTATTCGCGCACCTAGTCCGAACTTCTTGCCACGGCCGAACAGATCGAGTATGATGAGTTTGCAGTCTTTGCAGTCGGAGGCTGTGCGCTCACTGCCAGATCTCGCCGAGACTCCAGAGAACAGCGAAGGCTTCGAGGAGCCTTATGCGCAGAACGCGCCACGTAGTCAAGCTAGTCTGCAGCGAGCAGCGTCAAACGCGCAACGGCATCGATTCCAGACACTTGAGGAGCGCAATCAGGAACGTGTCTCCGTCGACTCGACTGGGAACTTCTTACCTTTGCCAGAGTACAGCGAGGAGCCGAACGCACCACTGCCGAGCCGATTTCGAGCTATGGCTGGTCTCGATGCGCCACCACAGCCTCCGCCGAAGCCAAGTATCGTCACGAGCTCAGGTGGGACCACTGTTGGTGGAACGGCGGCCACCGCACCAGCCACAGCTCCAGCTGGTACAGCCGAGAGCTTCAATGCGGATGAAGCATTCAGGACTGCTGCAGCGACCTACTCGGGTGTGTCGCAGAGTCGACAAGACGCTGTGGCTGCAGCCATGCAAGCGCCGAGTACTTCAGGCTTCTCAAGGAGTGAGACCTTCAACTCTATCAACTCTATGCCAAGGAGCCTCCAGCGTGCCTACAGCAACGCTATCTCTCCTTTGGGATCTGGCCCTGCGCCGAGTCTTATCGGCGACTGGGAAAATGTCAGCCCCGTGACAAGATCTGGCACGCTGATCAATGGCACTTTCTCGCCTGCCTCCGCGACCTCGCGCGTGCCAGAAAACGAACAATGGGACGCGATCTCGGTGGCTCCCAACTCGACATCGGGGAACTCGTCGCCCTTCAGCCGAGCGCAGCAAGCTTCGAACCCAGCTTATCGCCACTCCACATCCCTGTTCAACCCACCAGGACACGGCAGCGGCGCCATACCAAATCGTATGCCCAGCAACGCCTCCTCATTCAACACGATGAACTCCACCACAGCCTCTTCCAGTCGCATGGGGCCATACAGCCCATTAGGCGTAAGCACAAGTCGCAGACTACCGCCACATATGCAAACCTTCCGCACAGCAGCCGCAGCCAACGCCAGCGCCAACGCTTCAGCATCCCTGTTCCTGCCAACACATGAATCAGACCACGTCCCTCTCCGCGTACCACCAGCTAATGCAGGCTCAGTACCCCATCCAGTCATGGCATGGCATCCCCCGGCCGCTTCCTCGATCTCAGGCCCACCAGGCACATCGCCTCGAGGGGGACATAGCAGGAAGAGCAGTCTAGCTGGTCGAAGTGCTTTCGCTTCTACGGAGAAGGCGAGGAAGTTGGGGTTCTTCAAGAAAAGTAAGAAACAACCGTTCATGCCTGGTGGGTACCCGGAAGATATGCAGGGCAGTTTTAACGGCGGAGGGAGAGGCAATGAGAGTTTGATGGAGACCAGGAGTACTATGACTTGGCGGACTAGAGGGGAGGGGAAGTGTGCAATGATGTGATGAACAAGAAGGAGGAAGAGAAGTATTTGGCGAGATCTGCACAACAGCAACGCCTCGCCCATTCGAGCTGAAGGCTTATAGCACTTTGCTGAGCGTTTTGGCGAATCGGAATCAGAGACATGGGAAGGACAAGCGTTGGACTTTAATGATACCCTGGACGTGTATAGTGAGAGCTTAGAAAGCTTTGTATCAGCGGTTGGAAAGCTCTTCATGTCAAATTGTTGCTATGCCATCCTCAGCTTTGTCCTGTCCCTAACGAACAATTGTCATCTTTCATAATACAGACTCGTCTTCGTTGTCGGTTTCGCATGTGGAATCATCGTGGCGGCAGGCGAGCATGAGGGCCAAAAGAGTGGCGTTGCTCTAAAGTGATGACATCAGGCTAGATCGCCGAAGGACACCAAACATCTATAGTTCTAGAGAACAATCTCAAATCATCCACTATAACAACATACTCTTTCCTCCTCCTCAAAAAAAGCAATCGACAAACTGAAGCCATCCACCCAAATCCTCCTTCTCTTCGTCGGTCTCCTCACAGCCTTCACCATGACTTCCATCTTCCAGCGCCTCACCAGGCCCTTCACCTCGACCACCATGCGCTTCGCTCCCGACCAAGCAGCCCAACAGATGAACCTCCCTGAAGGCGCACAAAGAGCCACTTTAGCAGCGGGATGCTTCTGGGGTATCGAGCATATGTATCGTAAGGACTTTGGTAGCAAAGGATTGCTGGATGCGAGGGTAGGATATATTGGTGGCGATTCGCAGAACCCGACTTATCGGGCTGTGTGCAGTGGAAGGACGGGACGTAAGTACAGTAATAGCCAATGGGATGGGGGGAATAATGCTGATATGATGTGCGTCAACAGACGCAGAGGCCTGCCAAATAATCTACGACCCGACCAAGCTCTCCTACCGCACCATCCTCGAATACTTCTACAAGATGCACGACCCCACGACCTCCAACCAGCAAGGTCCGGATCGGGGCTCGCAGTATCGAAGTGGCATCTTCTACCATGACGAAGAGCAAAAGGCCGTGGCGGAGGATGTCACCAAGAAGGCGAATGAGCAGTGGTGGCATGGAAAGATCGTGACGGAGGTGTTGCCAGCAGGCGAATGGTGGGATGCGGAGAAGTATCATCAATTGTACTTGGATAACAACCCTGGTGGGTATGAGTGCCCGAGTCATTACTTGAGGAAGTTGCCGGATCTGAAGTAGATGGTGCTTTGGGTGAGGAGTAGGGAGTGGTGTATAGTACCAGAATGCATAACTGTCCATATACCTCATCATCTTACTTCTTGTCAATGGTCTGCTCAAGCGACTTTGTAGTCCTCGGTCATGCCATTCCCCGCATGGTCATCGTCGTTTTGTGCCATTGTGGTGCCGTTGACTTGAACACCGCAGGCGCTTTGAAACAGAGAGCTGTCGAGTGCTGTTGGCATATCTGTCATCCACTTTCCGATTGTGGAAGGAGCTGGTCATCCGTTGACGTTGCTTGCAGAAGTGTAGCTACCTTTGACGGCCCTTCTGTGGCTTGAGTGAAGGAGATATAGTCATTTCGTCTTCACTCGATCGTCGTCACACGATGCAATCCCAAAAGCAGCGAACGTACATACGCGAGTGTGACGGTCTCTGGCATGGGTATTTCTGGTCCACATGGTTGGGATTTTGGTCTAAGCTTTTGATGCTGAAGCTGTGAGTATCTCGGAAAACGAAATGCTGTTTTCGCTACTATGGCACCCTACAGCATGATGTGAATAGCATGCGTGGTAGGGATATATCGCACGACCCCCTACCATCGTTTGATCTTGGGACTTCAGCCCAATCGTTCAGATTGAAGTCAACTTCACTCACCTTCTCACCCGTGTCGTCTCGGCTCAGTCTGATATCGTAGTTGCTAGTCTCATGAGCTCGAGTATGATATATATGCGTAGACGTCGTCGCCGTTGCGTGGACTCCACCAGACAATGACAAAATGCCCTCCGTCATCTTCGTCTGGCCTCGCCGCCTCGCCATCGCCCTCAACTTCGACGACGACCTCACCAATGGCACGGTGGAGATCTTTTGGCCTCGGCCACAATTCCTCGTGTAAGCATTTCTTCCCATCCCTTTTATGCGGGGGAAGAGGTAGCAAAGCTGACTTCACCATCGTAGCCCAGCGCCCCTCCCGGTCTGGGAGCTACCGCCTCGCTGGGGGCCCGAAAGGGCTACCCAAGTCTTCCTGGACGAGTTCCCGTGGCGCCGGGCACCGGTGCCCTACTGGACGGTTGGTCTGCGTGGCGCGCCCGCCGATCGGCCAGTGGAGCAGGAGTAAGTCAACGATTTCCTGGATCCCTCACCAGGATAGTATGCTGATTGTAGTTTCAGGGAGGAGGAGCTCATCGATCTGTAAGTATCCCCGAGATCCAGTGGCGATTTGAACGGCCTGGTTGGTTGTACGGTAGCTAATGCGTTCACAGCGATGAGGCGGGACTCCCTGGCCAGTAGGGGTAAGTCAGCATTTCCGATTCCTTTCTCTCACCTTATCTCGCATATCTCAGCACTCCTGCGACCTATCAAAGGGCGACACACTCGCTCATCTGCATGTTCATGCCATAGAGAGAGGTCGCAGTCGTCTCGAAAAGAATGGCCGGGGAAGCAAAAGCCGAAGCCTCGGCACAATTTCCCGAATACCCATCTCGCGACTCGACTCTCACATGCGAACCCTCATACATTTTTCCCCTTTATCCTCTCCTCTCGTTCTTGTACATACAACAATGCGATCCAAATGACTGACTTCGCCGCAGCTCAACAACGCATCCTCGCCCGTCGCACCGCCCGAGACGCCCAACAAGCAGCCGAATCGTCTCTCCATCACAACACACGCGCCGCACAACTCATCCGACTCCCTCCCGCCTTACGAATTCTTGCTCACCAGACTTTGAACGCCTGGGACACGATCAAAAGCCCTTATGGAACACAACCAGCATTCCGAGTCGGGCAGGTGGATGCCGAATTATTGGACGAGGAATTGTTGAATTTGTTGAAGAATCAAGTGGGGGAGGGGCTGAAGCTCTTTGGGACGCATCTGAAAGAGGAATGGGGCGATGAGATTGGGTTGGTCTTGAGGGGTGTGCTGTGGAAACTGGCGATATGGGATCATGGAGCGAGTTACGGCGCGAGTCTACAAGGGCTGAAGTATGCTGATGCGAGAGGAAGTGAGACGGTTGGGCCAGCGAGAAAGAACCCAACAGCATGGCAGAAGGTAGCCTACGGACTCCTCACAGTCGGCGGACGGTATGGCTGGAGCAAATGGGAGGAATACCTCGCCAACGTCGAGAACAGCTACGAAACAGAGCCCAGCCTAATGATGAGACGTTTGAGCCGCCTGACAACGCTAGCTGGCACGACACACGAGATCGCAGCCTTTGTATCCTTCCTGGTCTTCCTCTACAATGGCAAGTACCGCACCCTAGCCGACCGCGTTCTTCGACTCCGCCTAGTCCCCAGCGGCAACCTGACCAATCGCGAGGTCAGCTTCGAGTACCTCAACCGGCAGTTAGTCTGGCACGCTTTCACCGAGTTCCTTCTTTTCCTGTTACCGTTAGTGGGTATCAGCCGATGGCGACGCTGGATCGCACGGGCTTGGAAGCGGACGAAAGCCGGGATTACACGGCTCAGGAAGGGTAATGAGGCCGCAGCTGCTGCGGAAGACGAAGAAGAAATGATGAAGGGAGAGCTGGCGTTCCTGCCGGAGAGGACATGCGCAATTTGCTATCAGGATCAGAATCCTGCGGGTGGTAGGAGTGAACAGGAAGCTATCGCTGCTTTGGCTGGAGCTAATACGGGCATTATTGGGAATGCGAGCACGGATATTACGAACCCTTATTCTGCGATATCGTGTAGCTGCATTTACTGCTTTGTCTGCCTTGCGCAGCGCATCGAGGCTGAAGAGGGAGAAGGGTGGACTTGCTTGAGATGTGGGGAGGTGGTCAAGCAGTGCAAGCCCTGGGATGGAGATGTGCTGTTCAGTGAGGGGAAGATGGGAAGCAGTCGCGCTGTGAGCGAGGAGGGCAGGCCGGGTAGTAGGAAGAGCATTGCTTGGGCTGATGAGCTGGTGGAAGACGAGGGAGAGGAGCATGCACTGGAGAGGAAGATGAGCCATGTTGATCCAATGCCCGTGGAAGAAGAGGACGAGGGGTATCAGGAAGGGCAGGACGAAGGCTGAGTTACGGCGCCAACCTCATGAGTCACGAGCACGGCATTCAAGACCGGGGCGGCATCCCCTATGGTATGCAGCGGAGCGTTCACGCGGAATATTCCTACTAGTTATCCACGATGCTGTCCGCGCCGAGGAAGCTCCTCCTAGTGGGCTTGTACGAAAGCTTGACATCATGCATCATGCCGCGCTAGTGCTGCAGGTACCAAATCAATCCAGCGTAACTACGTCTGTATGATGCGACTCTGGCCGTCTTTCTGATCTCGATAATATTGTTGCAGCTGCCACACCAAACGCAGGCAGTCGGGCACCGTCACCGTTTCGCTCGCAATTTAGAATTCGAATCTGCTGGACTCATCATAAGCCCGCAGTAGGTAGACCAAGACAGCGATCATGGCGTCCAAAGGCCTCGATATCAAGACGATCGCCATGATCGGCTGCGGCTCTATGGGCGGCGGCATGGCCCAACTGTTCGCCGAGAACGGCTACCACGTCGCTCTCGAAGACCCGTCTCAGGACCAAGTTCAAGCTGTTCTCGTTGCGGCCAAAGCCTCCAATATCCCATCCGACCGTTTCAGCAAGCATACGGACTACAAGTCCCTTTGCGAAGCGTTAGATTCGCCGAAAGTCTTCTTTTGGAGTCTGCCGCATGGTGGTGTTGGCGATAAGGTGCTGGAAGGCCTATTGCCGTATCTGGAGAAGGGCGACATTATTGTAGATTGTGGAAATGAGCATTGGGAAAATACTGAGAGGAGGCAAGGAAAGTGTGTTACCAAGGGGATTCGGTATGTGGGATGTGGTGTTAGTGGTGGGTATCAGGCTGCGTGAGTACAAGCATGGGTTCATGATGAGCGAGTCGCTAATGTTGGGATCACAGACGGCGAGGACCTTCAATGTGCCCAGGCGCAGACGATGAGACACTCGCGCTCGTCCTTCCACTCCTCCGAACAGTTGCTGCGAAGGACAACAATAGCAACCCAGCTACTGGCGCAGTAGGCACAGGAGGAGCAGGTCACTATTGCAAGATGATCCATAACGGCATTGAGCACGGCATGATGAGCGCGATATCGGAAGCCTACACCATCATGCGGAAAGGCTTGGGCATGAACTTGGACGAGATTGGCGACGTCTTCGAACAGTGGAACAGCAAGGGCGAGCTTCAAGGCACCTTCCTGATATGGATCTCAAGAGATATCTGTCGGACGAAGAACATGGAGGGTAAGCGAGTGCTAGATGAGGTCGAGGACAAAGTGGTACAGGACTATACTGGCGAGGAAGGCACAGGCGTCTGGTCCAATCTCGAAGCAGTGGAGCGCCATGTACCCGCACCCACTCTCACAGTAGCACATTACCTCCGCATAGCCTCTGGCGACCGACACCAACGAGCACAAATACAGAAGACCTTTGGGACAGGCACAGGCGATCCGAATAAAGACCACACTGCCGCTTTCCCACCCGAGGAACTCGATGTCGACGACCGCGGCAAGTTTCTGGAAGATCTGCGCATGGCGGTGTATACCGCTTGCCTAGCAGCCTACTGCCAAGGCATGCTCATCATCGAGAAAGCAGACAAGGAGCATCACTTCAACATCAATTATGTCGAACTCATGCAAGTCTGGCGCGCAGGTTGCATCATCCAAGCCGATTACATCTCGGAGACACTCCTCAAACCAATTTACGACAACCGCGATCTAAAATCCGAATCCTCTAATCCTCTTCTCCATCAACACGTGGCATCGGACCTAAAGCGAGGCTTTCCATCACTTCGAAAAGTGGTGGCGAGTGGCGTCGAGGCCGATCATGTCATACCGGCTCTGAGTGCGACATTGGAGTGGATAAAATATATGAGTTCTACCACGCTTCCGGCGAACTTCTATGAGGCGCAGCTGGATTACTTTGGAAATCATATGTATGATCGGAAGGGCGATGATGGGAAGGGTTTGCCAACACAGGGGAAGCATCATGTTGAGTGGAAGGCTGCTTAGGGGGGAGGGGAGGGGAAAGTGTAGTATGGCTGATAGACGACTCAAATACTCCGATTAATACTTTGGGGATCATTCTAGTACCCGTGCTGTGGTAGTTCCTTATCACTCAAGACTGTCGGAGCCCAAGTCCGAGCTGTTCGATGTTCATGGCGGCTCAGTGGTGAACATGCTTCTTTTGACCATTGGATAACGGAGCATAAGCAGGAATTTCATGCTATGCTTATGGGGGCTCATCTCTCACGGATCAAACCCGCCGAAAAGCGTCATGTTCTACCAGATTGTAATGCTTCGTTCGCGACAGTACCTGTTACTCTGCTGGCTACATATACAACTTGTCTTCGTCGTTGTCGAGCTTACCCAAATCCTAACCCTAATCCTTGCAGAAAGGCTTGGCTTGGCAGCTGCATCTCAATGCCGAACTCCGACACCACTCGCCACACTAGGAGATCCTTCGCGGTGACTCGCCCAGGCACCAGCACCCCTTCGAAGACCTGCACTTCCATCTGCACCTTCGAGTGGATGCGATGTACGATAGAACGTCTTTTACCCGGACACGATGATAGAGTATACGGGGATGTACGATATGGAGCAAAGCGCGTTCATTCACGCGCCACTTGGCCTTCAGAACGCCTCACTACCACGTGCTGGCGTTGTATCGTCAAAGCCGCTGGAAGGATGGCCCGGAGACCATTGTTGGCGACATCCATGGGATAGCAGGACCGCTCACTTTCGACCATGCTTTCTGCCAGTCCTCGCAACTGTTCCGGTCGTTCTGGCACTGATACTGCTGGCGTATCATGTCCTTCGACTCTTGCTACCATGGAGACCAAGCTGGGCTCGGCCGTTTGTGGAGGAACATACTGAGCCGAAGCCAGAGGACTTCGTGCCACCCAAGCGGACCTGGACGCTTTTCACGGCGGCTTTGTTACTTCTGTCAAGCACAGGACTGATTCTGAGACTGATATTGCTGCTGGAGACATTAGAGGGTACATTACCAGCAGCGACATGGCTCGTTGTGGTTGGCTTGACAGTGGTATACCGACCACGGACTCTGCCTCACACGAGCTTGGTAATTTTGACCATACAGGCAATAGTGCAAGCGATCATTTATGCCGATGGATCCGCCAATCCAGGTATCGAACTGGCAACTTTGGTGCTGGCCTTGCTCAGTATAGCTGTGATGCTCTGTATGCCGCTGCGCGACCCCAGTACGCCGAGTAGAGACATCAGCCAACCCTTCTCCGAAGCTACGTCTTCGCTTCGAAGCCCGGAGGATGATCTCAGTCTATGGCAATTCATGACAGTGTCTTGGATGACACCCTTGATTCGTACTGGATCTAAGAGGCAACTCCAGGACGAAGACGTGTGGCAACTGGGACACGAGTTCCAGCACCGGAGCTTGCACGACAACTTCCGACAGCTCAAAGGCACTGTCATACAGCGACTACTTCGTGCCAACTACATCGATCTCTTCATCTTAACCTTTCTTGGTCTCGTGGAGCTATGCGCCAATTACGCCATTCCGGTGCTGCTGCAGAAACTGCTGAGTTCCATGGAAGATCCGATGGCGCCGAGGAGAGCAGCTATTGTGTATGCGGCGCTCTCCTTGGCTGTACGACTTATCTCATGTCAGTCTGGTGTCTTCAGTCTCTGGTTCGGCCGAAGATGCTACGAGAGATCCAGGGGTGAGATGATCACTATGCTGTACGAGAAGACGCTGGGTCGAAAGATTGCATTCAAACAAGAAGAGAAGAAGGAAAATGCTCTGAACGGCCATGCTGTCAGTGGTGACAACGGTGCAGCACCCGAGCTTGATCCACCGAGTAAGAAGCAGCCGACCTTCTGGCAGAGGTCAACTCAGAAGCTGTCGACACTCTTCACGAAAGCAAAGAGCCCAAAGCATGTCAAGGAGCCGGCATCTATGGGCAAGATCTTGAACCTGATGCGGAACGATGTGTATGAGGTTGCCCAGCGCTTCTGGGAGTTTCAGCAACTCATCACAAAGCCATTGAGCTGTGTCTTCTCTATTGCACTGGTAGTCAACTTTCTCGGATGGTCTTCTCTACTAGCTGTTCTGGTTCTGGTTTTCTGCCAAGTCATCAATGCTGTGCTTGCGCGAATCATGATCCATTACGAGAAGAAACGCCGAGCAGCGACTGATAAGAAGTTGGCTGTAATTACACAATTTGTCGAAGCAATCCGCCACCTGAGATGGTACGGGTGGCAAGGCAAGTGGCTGGAGCAAATTATGGACGCACGGCAGACAGAGCTGAATATCAAGGTCATCACAAATCTCTGGAACTTGGCCATCTCGTTTGTCAACACACTGGGTCTTGATCTCACGCCGGTGGTCGCTTTTGCTGCGTACACGCTTATCGCCAAGAAGCCGCTGAGAGTTGACGTAGCATTTCCGGCCATGCAGCTTTTCCAGATGATGACCTCTGCTCTCCGTGATCTGCCAAACTTGATCATCGTCATCATTAATGCTTGGGTGGCCGTAGACCGTATCGAGGACTTCATGGCGGAGCCGAACAAGCAGGAAATGAGCACCGAAGCTTTGATCGGCGACAGCATGGCGATTGAGCACGGCACTTTCAGCTGGCCTGGAGTTGACACGTCCGTTCTGGAGGACGTCAATGTTTCCTTTCCACCAGGTCTAAGCGTGGTCATCGGTGAAGTGGCATCGGGAAAGACTGCACTTTTGCAAGCTCTGCTCGGTGAACTGGACATGCATAAGGGAGGACTCATGAGACCTCAAGATCCCGTGGCTTATTGCGCTCAGACACCCTGGTTACAGAGTATGAGCATTCGTGAGAACATCCTGTTTTCTTCGCCTTACGACGAGTGGCGCTATAAAGACGTCCTCGATGCATGTGCACTGACACCAGATCTAGCCGAGTTCAAGGCTGGTGATTTGTCGCTCATTGGAGAGAACGGCATTGGCTTGTCTGGTGGTCAGCGAGCACGAGTTGCACTTGCTCGAGCAGTCTACAGTCGCAACAATATACTCCTTCTGGATGATCCACTATCCGCGCTGGATCAACAGACTGCAGAGGCAATTGTACAGAGGTGCTTGGCTGGTCCGCTGATGAAGGGCCGGACCACAGTGCTGGTGACGCATCGAACCGATCTTGTGCTTTCTATGGCCACACAAGTTATAAAGATAGAGCATGGTACTGCTACCATACTCGACCACGAAGCAGCCCACAACGACAGCCTTCAGCGAATTATGTCAAGCAAGTCTGGAGACGAGGCTGACGAGGAAACTCGGGAGAAGCAGAATGCTGCTGCCGTGCCGGACAAGTTCATCGAAGATGAGCATCGTGCTCATGGGGGTGTCAAGGCCAAGGTGTACTGGGAGTATATCAAAGCTGGCAAGATAGCCTGTTGGATATTGCTGGTCTTCGTGCTTGCACTCTATCGGCTTGTCTCTGTCGCTGAGATCTGGTTCATCAAGGCATGGGGCGAGGCATACGACAGACAGCCCAGTCTCGAGCTACAGAAAGCTAACGGCACTATATCTCCATCCGGTTTATTTGACAGCCTACCGCCACCACAAGAGAACATAAGACCATGGCTCATAGTCTTCGCCTTACTGGCACCAGGCGAATCAGTACTCTTCGTCCTGAGCCAAGGCATCATGATCGTGATCGTTTATGTCGCAGCTCGTCGCATGTTCCGGGAGGTCATGACCAAGGTGGCGAACGCTACCTTCCGCTACTACGACATCACCCCAGTCGGTAGGCTCATGAACCGCATGACTAGCGACATTGGTGTCATTGACGGCAACATCAGCCAGCGGTTCCAAGGAGTGGCATGGCTGGGCATATCCTGGATCTCCTCTGTCATTGTCATTGCCTCTGTGACTCCGACCTTTCTGGCCTTCGCTATTGTGCTAACGATTCTGTTCTTGCTCATCTTCATGCGCTTCCTGCCAACGTCACAGAGCTTACGAAGACTGGAAATGGTCTCGCTGACCCCACTCATGTCCAACTTTGGCGCTTTACTCAATGGACTCACGACGGTGCGTGCGTTCCATGCCCAGAGCCGATTCCAGGACCGTGTAATAAAGGTAGTGGACACCTTCCAGAAAATGGATCATTTTTACTGGAGTTTGCAGACGTGGCTGATGTACCGCTACGATGCCCTCTCAGCGATATCGACCTTTGTCCTGACACTGCTGGCACTGGTCACGAATGTCTCTCCTGGTCTGACGGCCTTTGTGCTGGTAGCTGCGAATAAGTTCGTGCTGTCAACCCACTACTTGTGCAAATCGTACGGCGCACTACAGATGGAGTTTGTCTCGGTCGAGCGGGTGGTGGAACTATTGCACCTGGATCAGGAGCCGGAAGGGGAGGTATCGCCTCCAGCCTGGTGGCCCTCCTTCTCTGGTGATATTATGTTCGAGAAAGTGACGATCAAGTACGCCCCGCACCTCGACCCGGCGCTCAATGGGATCTCGTTCACAGTCAAAGGTGGCTCGAAGACTGCAGTCATTGGTCGCACAGGGTCTGGCAAGAGTACTCTCGCATTAGCACTCCTCGCCACGATCCTGCCAGAGAGTGGTTCAATCACGATCGACAATATTGATCTAGTTGAAGTGGACAAGCAGCTGTTGCGCACCCGTGTAACATTTCTTGCGCAAGATCCTGTGCTGTTCCCTGGTTCCATACGTGAAAATCTGGATCCTGTCAGCGAGCACTCAATCGAAGCTTGCGAGCTTGTGCTTCGTCGGGTGTGCGATCGTCAAGGTTGGGATCTAGAGACGAAAATTGAAGCTGGAGGGCGCAACCTTAGCCAAGGCCAAAGACAATTGGTCGGGTTGGCTCGAGCGGTGCTGCGTCGAAGTGCGATTATCATCCTAGATGAGGCAACCGCGTCTATTGATCGAGAGACGGCTATGCAAATTCAGCAGGTCATGCATGAGGAGATGAAAGAAAGCACTGTCATCACGATTGCTCATCGGCTGGAGGCTGTGCGTAACGCGGACTACTGTATTGTGCTTGGGAAGGGGAAGATTCTTGAGCAAGGCCCAGCGCATGAAATGTTAGGGAGGCACTCTCAGGATATGACGGAACGTGACGATGAATGATACACAGGTACTGCTACTGGAGTGCTTGATAAAGAAGTAATAAAGCACACCATACATCTACATCAGGGCTGCCAGTGCATGTGCATATGACACGTCAAAACCGTAGCGATTTCTCTTGATACTGCTTCGCCATGGTACTCATCGTTGCCTGCATCGAGCGATCACAGCGCCTTTTCATCACAATCGGGTCGTAGTAGTACGGGCGAGCGACCCAGCAAATACCCTACCTCACTCCACTGTGTGTCAAAGCACGCACCAGATGTTTCATAAGCCCGGTATATCCGCTCCGCTCACGATGTGGCTCTCATATCCCTTGCGCGCACCGGGACAGATCCGCAGACCAGATCACTATTCAGCACCCAAAACAACTGCTTTGGATCCTTGAGCTCCACGCCATACTTCTCGTGGGCAATCCGAAGCAAACGCAGCAATTCGTGCAGTGTAAGATCGTCCAAGTAAACGGTGACGTGGTTGTGGGCCGTCAGGTCTGCTAGAAGCTGTTCCGTGTCTGAAAGTACCGTAGACTTCCAGATCATCATAGCACCTTCGTATGCAAGAGTCTGGGAAACCTCTCCCGCGTCCTGAAAGTGGCTGCTTTCGTCGCCATCCATCAACTTCTCTACGGGAAGCGCATACATACGCAAGCAGCTACCGAGAAGACAGAAGCGTTTCAAAGGCGTAGTATGGAGCTCAGTAGATCTCGTGAGGATGGTCACGAGATCAGCCGTCGTCTGCCACGTCGACCTCTGCGACATTTCGTCTCCCGCAACCGACCACGAAGCCACCCGTATCAGGTGGATATTGAGGTTCCGCCGCTTCACGCTGGGCGTCAAGTTCTCGACTTCGGCAAACGGGGTGTTGTGGATGATGCGACTTAAATATTCCAGCTCTGGTTGGGCGACACTCATTTCCCGCAGCGATCTTCCGTCGGGAAGTAAAGGTGAGATGTCCATCAGCGTACCATACGTATGGACTAGACACCAAGTTTGGTGAGCGTACTCAATAGGGTATATGTTGTGTACATCACGCAAGTACACGATCCAGACTCGGGCGGCAACCTCCACCGCTTGTGCATCGATGAGGTTTCTAAGGTCAAGGCCTATCTCCACAGCAATTGCTGTTGAGGATCTCCAGACCAGATCTTGCCACTGCAAGTGCTGCGGTGCGGTGAGTTCGGCCATCTCTTGTGTGAAGGCCTGTATGAACGCTGGCGTAACTCCATAGGCCGACAGATCGTACGACACGACCTGTCCATCGAAGAGAGAGTCTGGCCAGACCGATTGCATCGCTAGCCAACGGAAGGTAGTCGAGCACCCTGCCCTCTATCTCATGCGACAAGATACCAAATATTGCGAGGGGCTGTGGCGCAGCTGACGAGGTGGACGGAGTGACTGGTTGTGTGCCAATCGTAGCACTGTCGCCAGGAGGTGTCATAGGGTCGGGAACAACGACGTTGGACGGATGATTGCTGGGATCGAAGCTCGTAGGCTGCTGCGAACCAGTATCGCCGGGCTTCGCCATGATCAAACCTGTGTCGATATAATAATGAACGCGAGCAGCTGTTGTAGACGCCGAGACGAGGTGGAATCTTGAGATTCGTTGTGTGTGTGGGGAAGTTGCGATCTGTATCGACTACACCAACGGTGGAAAAAGACCTTGCGCCGCTGGTTGTAACTTTGAGCTACTGTACGTTGAAGGTGGGGAAAATGCTTGTCCGCTTCGAGAAGGTACGATATGAGAACACTAGAATCTTCCCGTACATAGCCGGACGGCGCGAACATGCATTCGCAGTCAGGTTCTGATGCTCGGTACATGCTAATCACATTCGAGCTGCCCAAGTCACGTCGCTTGGAGTCACCGCAATACTCTGACAACCGAGTGATTATTATGACAGATCGTCTTGAGCGCTCCGAACGATCTGTATCGATCAGTGACGTCCCAGCAGTACAGGTAGCCCAATGAGCACCTGCAACGTCTCCGTCGACGGTTCATCGCTATTGGTCAAGTCCATAAGCTCGTACCTGCCCTGCGTCGATCTCGCACCTCCCGCTCAACGACATTGATCTTGCGTCACCAGATCAACGGTCTCGTGATTGATACGGCTCGGAGTTTGATTGATCTTGCCGCTGCTAGCGTGGTGATTAGGTATAAGAAGTTTGCGGTCGCCCTTCAAATCCTCTTCTTCTTCTTCCTTTACACTTACTAGAAATTTGCTAATTTGGTGAATTTCTGCAACAGGTCCCCGACTTGCTTCCCTTCGGGGTGGCACAGTTCAGGGGCTTGTTCAACTGGCCTTCTGGCAATTTTTTGACCTTACGGTGTCGCTGGTATTGCACTACCTCCAGCTGATGCCAACACTTTTCATCATACGTTGCCTTCTGGCAGCTTCTGAAGAAGAGACTCGTTGTTCGTAGTGAGATGGGTGTTGGAGGACTGACGTATACTGGCGATTCGGGTTGTTTGCTCACTGAACGCGTTCGCTATTGATCGATAAAGGTGTCTCTGTGGTACACTGGTTTGCGATGAGTGAGCATGAGTCCGAGCAATCTGGCGTGACGTCCGTGAGCTCGACTGGCGCATGGGCGAGTACTGGCAACATTGAGATGCGGTTGAGACGTACGCGATCTGATTACCTGGTGTATATACTCAATAGATCGATGCTGGAACGAATAGATACTCTGCCACGTCCAATACAAACTACAAGCGGCAGAACTGCAAAGGCTTGGGATCTGCGTAGCATTGATCCAGAAATTGGATTTCAGGGGTAGATTCACATCTCTGCCACTGAAACAAAGAGCTAGTGCTCGTAGCTTACGACCATCATGACCCACATTGTGCAGACTTCCAAAACATGTGGCAGAAGCCGAAGACTAGTACAGCGGTGACATTTCTCCAATACTTTAGACTCTCCTGGTGATACGCCAGGAGCTTCTCTAACGTCGTCAGTTGCTCTGTCTAGTAGTACCGTACAGAAAAGCTCGAAGAGCTCTTCCTTGGAAAGGCGATGCAGCGAGCCTGTAGCTAAGCTGGAAGATAGATATTCAGCGGCTGCTAAAACACGAATGCGTTGGCTTCCATCACTCCAGCACATCTGGATAGCATCGGAAGATCCTACCATTGTCGACACGGTCGACGCTCATGTTTCTCCCAAGTATTCGTTGCAGGCTCTGCTGATGCAGTATCCCAACGATCACGTGCTTAGGATGAAGGCCATTGGAGTCGATCGCTCTTTCCTCACCAAGTAGCTCGACAGCTCTAGGATCACGCGTGCAATTACGGAGATCGTTTGATACCGCCGCAGCTAGCGCGGTTGAGTGAGCATAAGTAGTTTTTCGAAGCGCCTTCGTGACCTGAACTTCTTCTCTCCATAATGCCAGTCCAGGGGCGGGGCCCCTGGCAATTTTTGGAACCAAACTTTTGTTCAGGTACTGTGCTAATCTATATCGCACAGTACCGGTTCTCCTCCACACGAGACTTCTCAGTGAAGGGCTGACGCTTCGCGCCCGTTGGTCTTCTGAGAGGTTTCTTGCTCTTGGCCTGCCTTCTGGTGGCGTTGCAGTGTAGCTAGGCGCCCCCTTTTTCCCCAAGCCATGCCTTCTGGTAGCTCTTGGAGAAGAAACAGTACCGACAGCGATAGTCCCACAGTGAAAGGCAACGTCGTTGTCAAGTGTGACGAGCGAGGGGAGAGGCTTTTGGTAGACAATTCACGATACGGCTGAAATTCTTCAAGCCGCCAGGAGAGTGCTGATTTTGCAAGCAGAGGCAATGAAACTGAAAGAAGCAGAAATACACTTTGCTCCCTTCACGCCGTTAGCAAGTACCGCCACTGCTCACATCAGACGCAAAACTCCTGAGTTTTGGTTTCACAAGATGATGACCTACGCCGCTCGATCTTGTGTGACGACGATTGCCACTTCAAAAGAGCGATGATTCTTTGACCTTCGTGTGCGCCGGCACTACCGAAACCGCATACGCAGGCACAAGACAGCAATCGATGAAGGTAAGGATCTATAAGGACAACAGAGCGATCACATCGAAGCGCGATTGTTTGCCAAAGAAGATCACCCGCATCCCGCTGCACACAGTACTTGAGTATCGAGCTGAGCGCTATGGCAACATCGAGAGACTGTGAAATGGCAGGACGGAGTGCTGCGACTCCTCTAGACTTTCAGAGCGGAAGGGGGTCTTCCGGATACATCATCGATGCTGCAGTGAAGGCGGCTTGTCAGCGCGCTGTCTATATGTGTCACGGCTCTGGAACGCAAATTTGATGGTAACATCGACATACTACTTCATTATGCGAGCTTTTGGCAAGCAGAAAGCTCACTGGCACGGAAAGGCGATTGGATCTCTCCAGCACATAGTACAATACAACCTTTCCATGACGCGGAAAGCCTTACAGAGGACTGCTCCATCCACACGAGACACCGCCACCAACGCCATGGCGAGCAGCTTCTGTACGATAACGCAGCGGTCTTGTCGCGGTCGCCGATGAGCCTTCGTACCACAGATGCTTTCTATCACTTCCGCTGGGTGCTCTGTAGCCGTAGCATAGCTGCCTTGCCAACGTTGTCCATGTCGCCGAATTCCAAGTCCTCGCCAACCCTCAAAAGTCTCCGAATCCTCTCTTTCGTTGGCTCCCTCGCTGCCTCCGCCCTCCCCTTATCCATAAGAGCCATCGGCAATGGTATCGAATACCACATCACCTCCGAATCGTTCACCTCTAGTGTCTCCATTCCTATCAAGCTCCTCTATCACCTACCGGCCATTGGCATCTCGAGGATTACTTTCGACACCCTGAAACTCTCCAATGGTAGTCATGGCGATCGATTCCTCGTAAGCAATGGACAGACACGATGGTAGATTCACGCACCGAGTGTCACGTCGTTGGCAGGAACGGATCATCCGCAAGATAGTGCCGTTGGGAGCAATGTTCGAGCCGACGAGACAGGTTACAGTGCGCGTAGATGTCGTCTCGGCGCAGATCATAATGAGCAAGGAGCTTTCAGCCAGTATGTAAGCTCTCCACCATCCAGAAGATCATCCTCGCGAGCCAGAGCACCGTGCGGGTCCGCTACACGGAAGCAGTAATCCGCACCAGCCTAGTGCCATCCAGCTACCACTGATTGTCGCCCGGCTCCGTCTTCGTGATTGTCTCTCCCATGGGGATCAAGGGCGTGCTCGATGAAACGACCGCCGCAAATCAAAGCCTGTAGGCCCGCCGTGTCAAGCATTGCATATCGTTTGTAGGTCGCTTCCAGCTCTTTCTTCCAAGTATAGCAGAACTTCTCCTCAGACACATACAGCGAGATATACTCCAGCATCACATCCATAGTGAACTCCTCGACCTTGTAGGTACCAGCCAGAGGAGTGTTCCCGAATAGTGCAGCCAGATCAGCAAGTTACTGGGCAGTTCGACGGCTTCGAACCTCGACGAACACCAATCGCACTTGATGTTCTAGCTGGTTGAGACTTTCTCTGCGGCATCGTGATATGGCGCAGCCTGTCGGTGAGCTCGGCCGCCCAATAGAAGCCCGATAGCTGGAAGTCAGCCTGTTGTGACGGTCTCATTAGCTATCTGCAGAAAGTAGGTTGTGATGCCGGGCTTTCGACATCCTTGCAACCCCTTACTGACCAGTCGTAGTAGGTGATGCGCATTGAGATAGATCTCCCAGCGATCTGAGACCTCCCGCGCATGCCTTGATGAGGCGTGTCACGATCCACAGCCACGTTGGTAGCTGACACACTATGGTGATGCTTTGACTCGATCTGCGGCCGCGCTGTCGAAAAGTATCTCCGCCCGTGGGCTCTGTAAACAGTACACGAAAGCGACGCCTACCCTACTTCTAGTGTTCGATGGTTGTTAGTTATTGTGAAGAGAAAATCTGCTTGCCTAAGATCCTTCGAAACCTCTCGCTTGTAGCAACAATTTTTCTGAACGGTATTATGATTCAGGTTGTACAAATGCGAAAGGCAAAAGCTCAATTCCGCAGGATGTGGGAGAAAGAGAGGATGACCGGAGTCTTTTGCTGCAGCTGTGAGGTTAGCTATGCTTGTATGAGCCTTCGGCTTTGATCGCGTGGCAGAGTATTAGAGAGTGGATATGCACTACAGTATGGTCGACCAATCTACTGCATTAACCGAAATGGACAGTCTTTGCTCGGTCCCTCGAACTGGGAAGGTTCGATGACCTAGATGTAGACGAGAAAATGTTTTGCGTTCTCGATATGCACCTGGCTTTTACGAGGCAAGCAACTATCTGTCCGCAGCCATTAGCAATAGCATTTCAATAACGACCTCGGGACTGTAGATCCCCGTATCCCTCTCACCATCGCTCACCACGTCTTCTCCAAGATCTTGCAAAGGCAAGAGCATGATGAAAAAGTGTTCGCGTCAGCTGGAGGTAGTGCAATACCAGCGACACGGTGCCTTCGGTCATGAGCAAGCTCGGAGGACCGAAAGACGGATTGCCAAGAATTGTAAAAGGTTGAAGTGGTGCCTGCACACCTGGCGAGTGCGAACCATTGGTGTTGTCAGGCTGACCACTTGGACCTCCGAAGAGGTTATGAGAAGAAGAGGGTTGCAAAGCAAGCTTTGGCAAAGTTTTGTATACACAACTTGATCGGTGTGGCCCGCACACTAGTTCCCTGGCGACGACGATGACGAGTTGACCAGGCAGTAACAGCACGTGCTGGTATATGATCGCCCTGCATTGCTCTTCTACAAGCTGAGGAAGGTGCGGCTGATGTGACTGATAAAAATCACATGATCTTCGTAGACGTACGTTGATCTCCTCACCATCACGAGGCAACTACTGTACCAGCCAGTACGTGAATAGCTCTCGAGATCGACAGTCTACCCAAAGGCACCAACGATCGATCGGGATGTCTCGACATGCACACCAATTACATCGCTCGTCGCCATTCGATCACAGCTACAAGACGATCCTGCCAGCAGTCTTTTTCCAGAGCGACGGGGCAAGTCTTCTGGTCCTTGAAGATATCTGTGAACTCATCTTCACCGTTGTACCAGACTCGCCAAGATGTTGACGGGGAACTATTCCAGATGAGATACCATGCTCGGTGAAGTAGGCTGCACAGTCCAGCCATTGTGGTCTTCTCACGCATGCCGCCACACGGCGTGAGCCACATTACCACGGGAAACTCCGTGGAGGAAAACAGACCACCACACTGGACGCTGGATACTGGACCGTTTGGGACTAGTGTTGGATCAGTCGTGCATGGATTTACGGGAGACAACTACTTCTGGCACCCATAATATTGCAGACACCTGGCCGGCGCCTCCTTCACTGCCAGCAGCTCAGCGTCGATGGCTTGGCAAGGTGTGTAGATCATTAGACGAGCTTCATTGATCGACGAGACATGGCTCCTGCTACGGATGTACGCCGGGTTGTCCTCCAGAGCTACATCAATTTGGGCTGCCACAGCATACACCTACGTGGACCAGCTCTATGAAGCTGCGACACAAAGATTTACAACGAGAATCCTGTATAGCAGAATGAGTACGGCAGCTCTATAGTGCTTCCTCGCACTCAGCGCCCATGTTTGCCCGCCTTGGGCGCTACACTGATTTGATTAATGCGGCAGACCTCTCCATTCCCAGCTTCATGTCGGGCCTACCATATCATTAGCGCTGTCAAAGGGATGTTTGGATGTCCGAGAGAAATCTAGGCTGACTTCCTAGAAGGAACATCCTCATGTGGGATTCGGCTGATAGGAGGCTCGACAGCTAGAAGGTGTAGTCACATGTCTCTGTATAGCTCAAAAGCGTACCAGAAAGTGTCATACCAACGTGTGCACAACCTCATCATATCATGTTCACGAAGAATTATGGTCTGTCTGGGCTCTAGTCCGTCCATCTCACGTCTGACCGGCTATGGAGGCCGAGAGTGACACTTGTTAAGCTCAAATCACGGCATAGCTGAGAGCACTCCCTAAACTTCACTCAATTATGTGCAGATCAGACATCTGCTTTGTCATGTCACGAAGTCCTCCGTAGGTGTAAATGACTGATGTTATCAAAGCTAGCAAGCCTCTCTGCTCTCATCCATAGAACCAGGTAAGACGTCAGGCAGCATCACTGTTGTGCTCTAGTGAGATCCAGAATCGATGTAGTCCGTTGCACCAAGTACAGTATGCTATTTCCGTCTAGTCCTACTTCTTTGGCCTTGATTGCTGTGAGGAAAGCAAAGGATCCATAGATATACACCAGGGAGGAAGTCGATATGATTCAGATTTGGCACAGTGTTGCGGAACACGAAGACCACGGAACGGGTAGTGATGCCTGAGACTATCCATGTCGATGACAAGCAGCAACGAAGTGCGGCCAAACTACCGAAGATGAGTCGGAAGGGGCGGCTAATAATTGAAGAAAGTGCAATGAGAATGAGCTTGCTTGACGACCTCCTCTTTCAGCTAACCAGGTAATAGATGTAGTGGGTTCCTTTGGAGAAGACTGCTTCTGCCATATCTGCTCCTGTTCATGATGGCTGTATTGAGGTCACTAAACGTAAATTCTAGACCTGCGGATGACAGACGTTCTCCAGTCGTTGCTTCAGCGACCGGTCGTTGTCGACTGCCTGTAGATAAGCGTACTGTTGGAAAGCTCCGAGACCCCTAGTACCTCTGACAGCTCCCGCGATAATGGCTTATCAAGCTGCGCATGGCTGGTAGTCGACATTGTTAGCTCTCAGACCTGCTCATAAACCGGCAGCTATGGAAGTCCAAGTTTGATGGTGGATTAACATACATACTCTCAACTTCCTCATGCTCACATCAACGATGTCGGCGGGCAGGTCTTCCACGGCAGCTTGGAACCTGTCAGTACCTTGGCAGAACAGAGGGACGATCGATGCAAGACCCGTCAGTCCAGGCGCCATAGCCGAGGGAGCTTGATGGTTGTCTCGATCATGATCTCAAGCAGGTATAACGTATTGTAGTCGCTGGAAGGTAATATGAACGCTATGAGGCTTTGAGATGCGTTGGAAAGTGATGCTTCAGTTGCTTGGTGTATGGTTGAGTCGTCTACTGCCTCTCCTGTTGCTGCTACTGCTACTGTTGCGTGCTTCTCCGTTCCTGGATGTACAAGACTGTCTCGTTCCTCTTCTCCTTCCTCTCTTCTGGCTGCAGTCATCTGTAAGCGTCGGTATAAACTCAGGAAGCGCCATAGTATTGTACCGTCAGCTCTACCGGTGAAGATAGCGGCGCCGTGGGCCCAGGTGGCGGAGATGGTGTTTGGCGGTCGCGCCATGGGATGAGATTCTGCTGAGACATTAGTTCTATGAATAACGGCGGCCGTCAACGAGACACATACGCCGTTCGTCCCTCGCTTGGCTGCCATGATGGCGGTATAGTTGTCCTTCTGATTCGTCATCGTGACTTCGATGATGTTGTTGCCCTTGTTATGGTACGTATGAGCCTGTTCATTAGACATGTGATGGAAATGTCACGGCACAAGTTTCACGAGCATCAAGGGCTACTCCCAACGCGACAATTCACGGCTGACATGTAGAATAACCACACACGAAGGAACATTCCACTGGGTCAACATACATACGAAGAAAAAGCACAGATACTGATAGAGGACCAATCTACTGTACAAATGAGAGAATGTAGGTTCTCTGCCTATCGAAAGACCATTGAGCTCGGTCAGTCGACACATTTCAAGAACCAAAACATTGATCTATGGCGGTGAGGAAGCAAAGGGGGAGCAAAGGCAAGGGTTCCTCGTGGCGGTATGTCGTGCCAATTAACGACGCGTGTGCTACAGTCCTTGCCATGGTAGAAGGCATCCTGCAGGCGGCAACGGCGGTGGTGGAGAGGAAGATGGTTGCGAGAAGCAGATTGCAACTCTTATGCCTAGCCAAACGGCGCTAATGCACGTCTAATCACGCAAGGCAGATCGAGTCAGATGTACTGACGAGTCAGTGATGACAGCCTCGTGAGCTCCGATCGCCGGTGAGATCGTGATAGATGGTGGTACGGTCATTCCCGTTAGTGTGGGAGATACCAACATATTTTGCATATCATTCGTCGTAATGTCTTGGACTTGACACTGACTGAGAAGCCAAAGCAATCAGACAAGGCTGAGAAGCAAACCATTCCTCAGTACGACACCTAGCGAGGCTACAACCAAGAACCGTAGAGGCTCCAACGTTCATGAGCCGCAGCACCTTCGCCAGCACCAGCCAGGTACGACAGCTTTGGGACCCCTGCGACCTTCCAACACCATTGACTCTTTGCAAGTACAGTCATAGTGCTGGAGCAGCTAAGTGAGCTCCGCAGCTCGATGTAACCTCCCTGCCCCATTGCATCGCGGAGAACTTGCTAACACTTATTCTGCCTACAGAACAACAAATTCTTCGCTGGCGAATCAAGCACCTATTCTTATGCACTTTCTCGCACGAATCAATGGGTCGGGACACTTACCGCCTCTCCGAGTGCTGGTGTTGGACCGATCGCAGCAAGGAGCGGCCATGAGACTTCGCACGGCGTCGCTGCACAGCATTATCAGCCCTCTTTCCGACCCCCAATCACACCTCGCTGCATGTAACAGCGAGAAAGTCACATTGCAATCACTTCAACGACATCTTAGAGCCAGGTCCTCTCGCCACGGGTAAAAAAGGAGCGGCATACAAAGATGGAACGTTGATCATGAGCAGGACTAAGATCAACACGGCGATCATGACAATCATCGAGCACGATTACCATTACGGTGAGACTCAAAAATCCCTCACGTGTGGCTGGACCGTAATGCATCATCCGACTTCGATCTCAAATCATACCACCACCATCGAAAACGCGAACGATCGCACAATCGACGGCTAAAGGTCGCAGAATAAAAGATCATGCTTCGCTTTTGTTGAGCCAACATCTTCAGTACTGTAACGGAAGGAGAAGAGCTGACAGGCATACCATCACTGTCCCGGTCTTGCATTGACACCCTGCCCATGGAACACTGACGCTTTCAACGTGTGCGGCATCATGTGGCGGACTTTCATCTTCTGATTCATGAGCTAATGATTTCCGGAGGGCGGTACGCCTGGGTACATGACGACACTTCATCGGTCATTCCTCCAAGATACGTGCTGATCCGTCCATACTTCCCCATACCTACAGAACAACGACTTTTCAATAGAGGTACTCGCTATCTACAAGTATGTCCAAAATTGATGTCGAAGATCGAAGGGTCCTGCTGCAGCTTCCAGAGCTAATTGCTACTTTCCACTACACTTGATACAATTTGCGATGCTGACAAGTACACGCGTACGCCAGATCTCGTGCACTGGAACTCTGTCCGCACTCTTTGCTAGCAACTCTCACCGTCACATGAACGTGAGCCGTCATCACATATGCAATCTGCCCGAAATAACGCTACCAATATCACAGCATTGGCTGTTATGGCGCTCGTCTGGACCGCCGCACCTCCTCCAAGACTGTATCCCCTGTTTGGAAGTAGACACTGATCAGCCTTCTACAGCAGCGATGCCGCTTCACTCGTCTTCTCAAACAATCGAACCCTCAGACAACATCCCGACTCCATAAACAGATGTGCTTGTTGAGCCCGCAGAGCATATTCTAAGAACAGGTCGAAGATCAATGGCAACGTCCACAAGCACGCAGGTGTCTTTCCAGCTGGAGACAATGCTGGAGGGTGACTGTATCTGCTGACATACAACCCATCATCGAGACTGCACATGCAAGCTTTTCTAATCTTGAGCGCTTGGGATGGATAGGTGGCATACGCAGGGGACTGCTCTTCATGTAGATCTCCCATCAGACTCGGGACGTACACAGCTCCCGTGCTTTTCAATCCGATGGCTATTTATGCCTTGACTGGATTGTGCGGTCATGGCTATAAGACTGCGCCCTTGAGGCCACGCCCTTGAAGCTGAAGAATGAGCAAAGGACTTCGTCATCACACCCACAGCACCAACTCCACAAACTGCGACCAATTTGAGAGGCTTAAATTACTAAATCAAGTCTCTTCGATGTGTGGTCGAAGATCAATCACTCATGTCACGGCGCTCTTAGGTCCTCACGGCTGTTCAATGCCGCTGGAGATGATACAGTAGCTGACATCCCTCATGCATGAATACCTTGGTCGTATTCCGTCTGCACGATGGCAATGTAGTGCTGTCCGCCGTTTTGTGCTAATGCCAGTACACTATTGTACGATGAAGACCGCATCACCACTCTCTGGACCACTGGTGGACCTATACACCTTTGTGAGCCCAATCACCGATCTCTTGTATGAGGAGCTCGCATACCTCCCAACGAGCATCTTGTTAAGCGATCGAACATCGACGGCTCAAGCTACAGCTTTGCAAACATCCTCTTGGCTTTTCCCGTGCCATCATAGGTGCCAAGCAGTACAGCTGACATCTTTCGCTCTTCAAGTTATCATGTGTAAGTCATAGCGCCACCGTGCGGTCACATGTCGACCATCACACGGCGGGGAAATGCCGAAGGCCAACGTATTCGCAGCGCTGCCATCAAAGCAGGGGTCTTTGAGTTTGCCTTCCAGTAGCCAACTCTCTTCTGGACATCTTTCAAAGGACAGCTTTGTGTACAATTCTCCCATGGTTGGAGATCTGTCAGTACTGACTGACGTCCGAAGGCCTGCTGGGACGTCTAACGCCAAAGTAGGTCATTGCATTCCTTCCCAGCACCTGCACGGATCGATCTTATTAGGAGAAGCTTGTCGACTTACTACCAAGCATCTTCTCTTTGGGATCGAAGATCAATGTCTCGCTGCACAGCTTCTCAGGGGTCGACATGGCATACCTTGCGTCGTGAAGATGACTGAGGAGCTGACATTCCTCTGAACTCCGCTACACTACTCTTCGTTCCTATTGTCAACCTTCTTTTCTCTTGTTTCGTACTTCTACCCTCATGGCTAGTGAGGTTCGGAAGACTTCACCCGCCGGCCTGGGTCCGCCGTCGTACGATGTTGCGGCAGGACTGGTGCCATGCCAACATTCTTGGGCATGAGCTGCTTCGACCATTCGCACAACAGCTTACTGTCGCTTTCTGGTGCTACAGCAGGCAAGCTACTTCCCGGTCACGATGTCTCCGGTTTGCCCTCGCATATCTGGCGCCTCGGACACATCTGCATCCTTACGCCTCAAGAGGGAATCATCGCCACCATACACATGATCATGCGACAACACAAAAAGTGGTAGATCTTTCAAGCGTGTTCCTCCTAGTGCACCGAGTGCTCGATTGCGTTCAAGCCAGTCCACCGTGGTACGCTCCAAAAGACATCACTTCCAGCAGGACCAATAGCTGATGATGGCAATTCAGGCTGCTCAAGCAGAGATAAACTATTCATTCATACACTTGCTGGTATCTGGTAGCATAAATGTGTCTCTTAGGTCAGCTTCGCACAGAATACATGGCATCTTCGCGACAGCTGCAACGGCCTCAACGTCACTCGACACGCCTTCGACACAGCACGCATCCATCAGATACCTATCAACCTTAATCAGCAAGATACCAAGCGTACATTTCAGGCTGTAAAATGCTCCTGACGACACAAAACAGCCTATATGCACCTGCACCCCCCGCCAAAACCATGGCATTTGCCATCGCGAAGAAGACATGTCGTCCGCTTTCCTTGGCTTTCCCGAGCCGCCGGCCATTCATCTCGGCTCTTGGCTTTACTTTTCACACTAACACGCATCGAGCTGATCAGGAACCGCCGTGGAATGACCGCTGACAAGTCCGCGACCGGCGCTTGATTGCGGGGCAGGAAAGTCTCCGCGTTCGATCAAACTATTGCACTCCAGAGCTGAAGGCCGATGATAGCCGTCTGAGTAGTAGTCAAGGAAGACTATGCAGTGGAGCTATCGTGGTCTGCTGATAAGGACATGGCGAAGCAGATAAGTAGGTAGATGGGTAGAGTGTACGAGTCTTCTTTGTTCTTCTCAGCATTCCTTACTCACGAGTGTCTCCTCCCTGTTCTGCTTTGGAGCACGACCACATTAATCTTATCTTCATCATACCAGCAGAGTATAAATCATGGCAGCCAGACCGAGCATCAGGATAGAGGGCGGCTTCCTGGCTACAGTGGCACAGAAGCATACCACGCTTATTTGCCTCAATTCCGTGTCACACAAGCAGAACACAGCCAGACGGCGGCAAATACATACAACAAAGCATCGCGATGCGGCCACATTTTCGCCTTCTCTGGCTGCTACTTCCTCGTCTCCACTTCCGGCAGCCTCACCTTCCACAGACGCAATCTCAGGAACATCCGTAGCAGAAATGCCCGCTCTATCTTGCCTCCCGCTCTCGCAAGTACTACGGACGTACTTCATCACAGCCGTCTCATCTTCGCCCTTCCTTCTCGGAACTTCCACATCCATCTTACGGCGGATGCTTGAGAGCAAGAGCCCGCTCTTCAATGTAGAACGGAATCCTGTTCTCCGAAGTCTCCTCTGGCATACGTTCTACCTTCAATTCTGCATGGGCTCAACTCGAGCCGAAATCGACAAAGCATGTCTTGAACTTCGAGCACAGGGCTATAGCGGCGTGATCCTTGAATACGCTCTCGAGGTCCTGAAGGACGCAGAAGGCAACGAGGCAGAGGATGTGAAAATCTGGAGGAAAGGTATGCTGGATACCGTCGACATGGCACAACCTGGCGACTTCGTGGGCTTGAAGTGGAGTGGTATGGGCGCAGCAGCTATGAGGCGGATGAAGGATGATCTCGAGCCCACGGAACGGATGAGCGAGGCTATGCATGCTTTGTGTTCTGCTGCGAAGGAGAAGAATGTCAGTCTGTTGCCTGCGGCGGAGGAGACATGGAGTCTAAGTGGCTTTCACAATTGGTGTCTCAAGATGCAAAGGGTGTATAATCTTGGCGGCAAGAGTGTGGTGTATGCTACCTACCAGGCCTATCTGAGGCAGACTCCTCAGACTGTGGCCAAGCATCTTGAGGTGGCGAAGGAGGAAGGCTTCACACTTGGGTTGAAGTTGGTCAGGGGTGCATATCTCGGAAGTGAGAAGCGAGAGCTCATCCACCCAAGTATCGAGGCCACGCATGAAGCCTACGACGGCATAGCAGAAGCACTACTGAAGCGGGAACCCAACTCATGGGTCTCATCTCCAGAAGCGAGCAATGCCTGGCCAAGAACAAACATCATGCTAGCGACCCACAACGCCATCTCTGTCTCCCGCGCCCAGGCCCTACGCCGCACTCAAGCCGCTTCGGACATCCCCCTCACACCTCTCGCCTTTGCACAGCTTCAAGGTATGGCGGACGAAGTCTCCTGTACACTTGTCGCCGCTGCGAAAGCTGCTGAGAGTGAGGAGGATGCAGTGAAGGAGAGAGTGTATAAGTGTGGGACGTGGGGTACTATGGATGAGTGTTTGAACTACCTGCTCAGGCGGGCGGCAGAGAATAAGGATGCGGCGGGACGGACGAGGGAGACTAGGATAGCTATGGGCGCTGAGTTTAGAAGGAGGGCGAGGCGGTTGGTTGGGATGGCTTGAGCTGAGGTGGGCGTGATTTTGAGTCCATGTTTGGTCATCTTTGGCGGGCAACGCTGTCTTAATATCAGCCTCACGAGATAATGCTGGGATACATTTGGCTTTGAGGTCATGCACATTGCAGGCACATTGTTGGAGTTAGCTTTTGCTTGGATTAGCGAGTATTTTATCGTCTTCTTAGTCACCTCGAAGTATTGAGTATGTGGTCTGTAGAGATTGCCGTTATCACAATGCGTGATGCCTGTCCTCCTGCTAGTCTCGCCTTCGTCTTCGAAATCATCTGATCTATACTCGCCGTCCCAGTCCACCATTACCTCCGACTTCCTCGACCATCCACCATTATATCAACGCTTTTTTTGCACGAAGTACACACCGTGATGTTTGACCAATCGAGTGGTCGGGTATCGTTCCAGCCGCAAGACTTGGCATTAGACATCTTTATCATATCCCTTTCCTTCTTCTCATCCCGATGCTTTGCCACTGGCCATCATAACCCAAGCCGCTGGAACAGCTGCCGCTTCCGTCGTGTCATGTTGCTGGCTGTACTGGCTTGGTAGTGTCGTTCTGTATCACAGTGTCTTCTGCTCCAGATCTGAATTATTTCTTGCGCAGTCTCATGCCCCCAAACATTGTCTTCGAAGGCATTCACACAACGAAGGCAGGTGGCTGACCGTCCTATAACGTCTTGTAGAGGGACTTCTGGCGAGTATCGGAATTCGTGCTTGCGACTTTATCACGATGTCGCCGCTGTTTCGAAGGCCGCATATGTGGATAATTTATGCGAGGCTAGATAGGCTGTGATTCCAATTGCGCAGGTAGGAGATATCACTCATGTTCAACTATATCCTTGGCTATAAGCAGAATCTGGTATGGGGGCAAGTAGTTTCGTAAGTCTAGAATGATCGTGACGGACCTGATCATAATGATGCATGAGCGGCGAATTGCTTAACCTGTAGCCGAAGCAAGGGTCGTTCGAGGATTGTAGGGGCTGCTGTGACTTGGTATGGTCCCGGGTCTCTTTAGGTCTGATATTGGTAGGCAGGGTATAGCGTAGCAGCTTCCTCAAGCCCTCGGCCACATAACCGTAGACTGATGCATAGTAGTAACCATCGCCACGGCCATTGAGACATAGATATAGAGCATGGAAGTAGTGCGCAGTCATGCTACATCATTGGGGCTGTTCTTTGGTATCGATCGATCTTGCTCCTCCGTATCGCAGCTTACTGTTGAGTCCGTTGCCGTTGTAGATGCTCCATGCACCAGCCTGTGAGGAAGCAGGTTGAGGCATGGGTTCGGCCTCGTCGCTTTCCCTCGAGGAGGCAGTATATAGCATACAGACCTCGAGGCCTCGATCTACATACGCGAGGCTTATCTCCTGATCCATTAGATCCTCCGCAGTACCATCATACCCTCGTTTGGCTCCTTGCCGCCTCGTAGTCGTCCCCAAGGGCGAGCATGCTCGGAAGTCTTGGCACGACCTCCGCTGGAGCTTTTGCTCTATCGCGCTGTTTCAACAACACTATATTCCCACCCACGACTACAACAAGATGCAAACACCTCCAAAACACGCCATATTGACGGCGGAGCGTCTCTAGACCTCCCTGATCATCCTCAACTCATTTTTATCATTTTACACCCCCTGCCACGGCGGCGCCGGGTGGCCGAAGGTAAAGGCACCTAGTGGCTTGATGGGCGCGGTTTGGCTCCTACACTACCACACAGAGCTCGGATGAAGATGCGGACAGTCACACCTACTTTGCAATGCTCTAGAACTGCTACGGTATGATTTTCATCCATTGTACCCGCCTTCTTGTTATGATCGCTGACACCCGCCGCAGACTCGAAGACAGCTCCTCCGCTGGCTTGCAGAGGGTATACCGCCTTCTACAGCGACACACAGCGCTGCCAAAGTGTCAAGGAGACTTGGAGCTTGATCTCCATGCTCTAGGGCTTCTATGGTATGATTCTCATGAATCATACCCATCTTGTGTAGATGTTGCTGACGCTCGAGGCTAGCTTCCCAAGCCCACATAGCCGGCTTCACCGCGGGCTTAAAGAGGGTATCTCACCCTCTACAGCACCACACACCCTCCCAATACTCATGGGAGTGACTGGAGCTCCATCTCCATGCTCTAGAGCAGCTTCGGAATGATTTTCATGGTTTATACCCGCCATTTTTGGTGGTTGCTGACGAGCCAGGGCTAGAAACCCACCCCAAATCTCCGCAAAACCTACCCCCACCTCTCCTCCGCCCTGCCACACGCCAGCTAGGCACATGCAAGGCCGGGAGCACGCCATGTTCTCACTCGGGAGCACTCGGGAGGCACCCGAAGCTTCAGTAAGAGGGTTTGGAAGCCTCACTCGAGCGGGAAATAGCGTGGACATAGCGGAAAAAGGCATATCCATACTACACCGGCGAGTCTGGGGCGTTTGGCAACGTATCTCGCGCTCTAGCGGCCGGGAAAAGACGAGATGAGGCATTTTGAATCGGCGAAAAGATGCGCAGATCATGAAGGCTGCTCGTGCGTCATTTTGGGGTTATGAGACCTTGCCGTCGTCGCAATATCTGGCAAGATACGTGTGGGGCTTTGGCTTGGCTGGCTGCTTCTTCGCCTACACCTGCTTCCACCGCCATGATCAGACGAGTAAAGCGCGTTTTGAGTTGGCGGGAAGCTGCTCTACGTGTTCAAGATGCTTTTGCGAGATTCTCATCTTGTTGCCACCTTGCTGGCAGGTGTGATTGGCGTGGATGGAGATTGGCTGGCTGCGGGCGCAATTTTGCTTTTCGCCTCGACCACCTCCCACATACCCGACAAAGGCCTGCGACACTCGAGACGAGCACCGAAAGCAGTAGAAACAACTTCTCAAGCACCTCGACATTGCCTTCTCGACCATCTCGTCCTTGCCACAGCAGGCGGGCACGCCGTAATTGGCTTTTTGACTCCAACTACGCCTACAACACTGCCCCGACAGCTAAATGAGACGGCAAAAGCGATCGCACGCACGAACATACCTCCGCCATCGCCTTTTAGCAATATTCGACCAAATTGCGACCGTGGCGCGTGCAAAAACGGCGAGGAATGGAAGTCCGTCATTTACGCCAAGCCCGGCTTCTCCGCTTCTTTCGACTTTCCTTCTCCCACCTGTTACATACCCATACATTGCCCTGTGATGGCAGGAGAGCAGTAAGAGACGGAGAATACCGTGTTTGGACACGCTGCTGGAAAGGCCAAGCCATGCAAGAAGGCTTGGGAAGAGCACGGAGAGTGCCTATGGCCTCCAGGGAATAAAGGGCGTGGTATACCAGCACCACAACCAGACCGGCGAGCTGTCAGGCCCGATGAATACCATCTCCGTCAGCTCCTGGGCTTGATATTGCGGTGTACATAATACCCGCGCATCGCCACAAACGCAGCTTCTTTGGGATCATGCTCGCCAATGAGCTCTATGCCCGGCATACTGACATAATATCCCTGCAGCAAACCTTTTTTGGCGAGAGCTTGACGGCCGTCATGTATTAACAACAGCAGGTCTTTCTCGTGGAGAGCATCATGCCCACACTATGCTATCCCGGCGATGACCTGTACGGGTCGCCTGGAGATCTACTGACTTCTTTAGCAACACCATACCATGCTAGCGATGTCCTTCCATGGCCGCTGGTGTGATGTCTGACTTCTCTAGTTCCTCGACACCGTCTTGGCGAGGACCTTCTGAGGCCGCTGTAAACCAACACTAACCTCTGCAGCTTCCAAGGCCGACTAGCGAAGACCTGCTGAGGCCGCTCTGTCGATGACTAACCTCCGCAGCTCTTCACCACCAAGCCGGCTCAGCGAAGATCTGCGAAGGCCGCTGCAGTCGATGCCACCTCGCCAACGCCTTTGATTTGCATATGGTGCTGCAAAGCCCATGATTTGCTGACATTTGGGGTCTGATCTACAGCATCTCGCCCTCTGCGTAGCAAGGCTATTGTCCGTGTCCGAAACACAGCATAACGTCGTGTACGCCGACTACGTACTGCCATTGCGCTGCAACGACGCACATGAGCTATGCTTCCGGCTCTGCTTGAGCTGGGTCTTGGGCTTTGTGATCGCAGGACTGCATGCCTCAACTTCTTCTCCTCTGCCGACTTGATGTCTGGCCTTTTGTCCTTGTCCGAAATACAGCATGACGTCGTGTACGCCGACTACGTACCGCCATTGCGCTGCGACGACGTACACGAGCTATGCTTCCGGCTGTTACCAGCTGGGTCTTGGGCGATGTGGTTCTGCAGCACGCCTCAACTTCTTCTACTGCGCGCTACTCTTCGGGCTCCGTACTTAGGTGCGTTGAGGCTTTCTTGGAGAGATGTGACCTTCTTCTCCGCTGCTTGTCGGTGTTGAGCTTGCCCTTCCTTGCCTTGCTTTGCCTCCCTCAGCCCGGACGACCTACTTGGCCTGGACGACTACTCCCGTGTGCCTGTCACCGGTCGAGTCGATATTACCTTCAGCTGGCGAGCCTGATGGCCTGGCATGGACTTTTCCTCTCTTCTTGCCGATGAGCTGCTTGGCCCGACGACTCCTCACCCCATGCCGGCGCGCTGCTTGGCCCGACGACTTCCCACAGTCGGTGAGCTGCTTGGCCCGATGACTTCCCTTGCCGGCGAGCTATATGGCCCGATAGATGGCACTCCCAGAGAGCTGCATGGCCTGGACGATCTTTCCCGACCTCCCGTGTGCTTGCCACCGGTTGAGATACCCTCTCCAGCCCGTGAGCCTCGTCCCGGATGACTGCACTTCAACCGTGTCGTTCTTCGCTTGTGGGTTGACTCTGGCTAGCTTTCCAACAAGGCTGGTCACCACCGGACACCACTTAGCAGGATCTGGTAAGCGCATTCGACGTTCGACACATCGGCGAGCGTGATTGCCCGCCTCTGCTGAAGCACGAATAACGCTACGGCACTGGCCTCGGAGACGACCACAGGATGTCTATAACGGCAACACAACACTTGCCGGAGCTGGAACGTCTTCAGGCACCACAGGATAGCGGCGAGCTTCAGCAACCCGCCCACCTGTCTACAACCTCCACCGACCTAAACGACACCACGATAGCCGAGCGGTCGCATAAATCCCAGAATACAACTACCGGATGACCTGGACCGCTCGATCTATCTGAGGAAGTATCTATCGCGACCTTTTCCTCCTTCGTCGACATCATTCCAGTCCTCTCCCATTACTCTGCAACTACTGACAAAACAGATACTTTTGACTGCTCTCCTCGCCTCTGGCCTGTGCGGTGAGCCTTGTAAGCCCGTGCCGCAGAGTGTGCAATGGGATATGCGGAATCTGGTGCAATCCCAGTGCCACCCGAGGGAACCCGTAAGAGCCGGGTAGACGACCACAAGACAGCTTTGTGTCATGACAGTCATGGCATCGTCTTGATCAGACCGCTGAGATTTCGTGGGGAGCCATCGTGCCCATGCATGAGACTCCAACAGCCTCGTTGACAGTACAGTTCGAGACGGCATCTTTCTTACCCAGTCACGACAGATGAGCGAGATGACGAGAGCTTGCTTGCAGGCCGTGACGCACGCCTTCCGAGCTGACAAGACAGGATCAGACATCATCAGCATTTGGGACGGCAAGACCATCTTTGCCGTGAGCACTGCGCCGGCTCCCATCCCAGAACATCTCCTCGCCGCCATGACTCTTCCAAGAATCCTCACAGCTCACGTCGCTGTCGTCAGCCATGGTCTCGGATTCGAGATTGACTGTCCCGCAAGGGAGTGACATGCTATTCAGCTTTCGTCGCAGCCGCCGGCCATGCGAATGTCTCTGAGGGAGTTCATGAGAAGCCGTTATCCTGCTCTCCACCACCAGACTATGCGATGACCTTCATTGCCGCAAGCCAAAAGACTGAAATGATTGATACCGCGCTGGGATATGCTTGTCTTGCCATGATCTTCCAATGCCATACCTGCCATGAGAGCCTTCAGGCCGTGATGGATGTGATGCCGTTGGCTTGGTGATCCACAGCCCAGAATATACCTGTGTGAGCATCATAGCCGCAGAAGATGCCGCTCGTTGCTGCTCTCAATTGGTGTCGCTCGCCCGGTGGCGTGGTGCTAGGATACAATTAGGCGTGCTTTGCGGAGCCCTGATACAGATGAAGATTGTAATATGCAGTGTCAGAGCATCTGTTCTCTTTGCCTTTCTTCGATCTATGATATGCTGTTGCGAGAAGTTTGGGGCATGCTGCGTACAGTCGAATCGCGGCCACTGGTATGACGTGAAGCATTGGAGGCACTGTCGTACATATCTCGCATCTCGATCCTGTCTTTGTATCATAGATCCCTATCGTCTCACCTTCTCATGGCTAGTATAGCCGCAATACACTTCTTTGCTGTCAGGTGTATAGCATGTCGTCCACAGTGCTCGCGGCGAAAGACCTTCTCACGACCCTCTCTTCGCAGCTCCCAGGTGTGCTTTCAGGCCCTGGCAGCTTCAGGCAAGTATGGAGAGACTATGACGCTGCTGTCGTATCGCCTCGGTTTGCGGATACTTATGAGCGTCGCTCCAGGAAGATGGCGAGCCGGTATAGCCCTCAGACATAGCCTGGCTCCTCGACACATCCTCGTCTTGTCGCTTTCCTGTGTTCGTCGCCTTCGATGCAGGGGTAGCCTCGGATGATAAATATAGTATTGGATCTCTGGTGGCGGGAGGCATATTTTTTGAACACGAAGCTATGTGAGCAGGACACCGGGATCGGTATGGACTTCAGGAACGCTGGGAGGGGTGGTACGACAAGTCGCAGTCGTCTGTTTGCGAGGCAAGCAAACGTTCATGCTTTGTCCATATGAGCTCGCCTTGGGACCTCCAGCAAAGCTTGCGTATCCTTCTTGCGCCGAGTAAATACCGCCAATGCTTGTCGCCCATCAGCACTTGGAACCCAGCTATACAGTGGCATGCTGATCCGGTGTTACCACATGCTATTGCCACTGTTCAGCTCCAGGGCGATCCCGTATCCTCGCTTGTAATGTCCACAAAACGAGCTGCTTCCTCGATCATACCTCAGCTCCTGCCCTTCCTGTCTTGCTCCTTGAGGTCGGTAGGCTGTGCCTTGAACGCGACGGATGCTTCTGGACTTCGAAAAGGGTTGGTCGTGTCAATGTAGGTCAAGCTGCGTTACTGGGTGATCGAGAGGTCGGGCGCGGGATAGTCCATGGTATCGAGGCGAACCAGTCTGAAAGCCCTGTCCTACAGACTTATATGCGGCCAGCTGCCTGACTGTAGCGGTAGTGGCTCGCTGTCTGATCGCTGCGTCCATTACCGCACTCCTCGAAGATTCCTCCAGCTGATATCACAGTCATGATGCCAACCGTATCCCATGTCCTGAGCCTCAGCAGCATTAAAAGACCATACTATCTTGATCCGTCTCTTCCTCCCTTTTCTATCGGCAATGAGATGCTTTACTGTTGTACACATCCACTTCACAGCCCCATTCTGTTCTCTATGTTCCGTTTCTGTCACCAGGCCGCACTCTGGGCAACGGAGCCGCGAGTTCTCAAAGCGATATAATAATGATTGGGATGTTTCAAATGTCACCTGGTTTTGCGGCAGGTGGAACGTTTGGCAGTACAGGTGTTGGTATGTTGTTTGTCTACTTTACCTCAACAAAGCCCAGCCTGCATGACCGATCTGATATCGGAGTATTATCTGCTACACGACCCGGGGAACTTTGCCACAAACATACCGTAGCAGCGACTATAGCAAACAGAGTCGCCACTCTCAATCTCGACGGCAGAGTACTATCGGTTACAGCTGACACAGCGTACAATAGCGAGACATTGCAGCACATACGTGGAGCGCGGTTGCATTCGGCGTAGAGCAAGACTGACATGCCCTGAATCTCAGACCATCAACGACGTAGCACCCCAGCCGCGACCACGTCCATCGAACTCCTGCCAGTTCACAAGGTACTCCATCTCAAGCCACCGACATGCCACCAGCTTCATCGTCTCTACTATGCCTGCCGGCAAAGCTACGCAACAGGATCTACGAGTATGCCATGATAACCAACCAGCGGATCGTTTTGGTCCGCGGCGTCAATGACTACGAACACGCTCTCATCAAGGTCAACAAGGAGATACCACAGGAGACATTGGAGGTTTTCTACGGCGGCAATACCTTCGTCTTCGAGGTTCCGCTTCACATCGACCGATTCTACTTCAAGCCTCGCACGCTGAGATTTTCCTGGATGAAGGGCATGCGTACAGCGATGGTAAGGGCCGGGATAGTGCCTGAAAGGGTCTCATACATTCGTACTTCACCGCATTGGGGTAGGGAAGTCTATGCTTGTATTACTGCGACAGGGCGTGGTGTGGATCTGCCTCTGTCTGGTACAGTACCAGCGTCTTTCATCCATCACTTCGATCATCACAGTCTTTTGGTATGAGTATGCACTAACAAGAAACCTCTGCTCGTAATCTACACACGTCGAGGCTGAATCGATGTAGGCATGCGGTCAGGAAAGATGCTTCAAACTCACTCCAGCATATCTGCCAATACCTTTCCAAGCTTTTATCATACGAAATGCCTTCCATACAAAAACGTCGTTTCGCACACACTTGCGAGATAGCGACACAGCACGTGGCGGCAGTAGCATGTTTCTAATTGTATGCACATGCTCAATTCTCACATTCTTGCAGTGCCCGTGATAATTTCAATCACAACATGGATTCCTTGGTGCCGTGCCAGACTGGGAGCATTACGGATACAGTCAACGTCCTTCTGTATAAGTGATGTTTGAAAAGATTTGGCGCAACAAGATTTCCCTACTTGTCCAGCCTGATGCCTTGTACTGCCTTTGTGAGGCGCAAAACAAAACGTTACACGATATAGACGACGCAAAAAAGTGAGCTTGGAGTACTGGGAGTCGAACCCAGTTCTGATCCATAAGGACATACGTCAAGGGACAAATGATACCGGTACACCATACTCCAGAAAAAAGTAGTTTGCTACGATCTTAACCGAGCTTTGATTGATTCTGTGATTCTAACGTCAGTAACCTGGTGGCTTCGTATTGAAGTCATTTGTGTATGTGAGTCAAGGGGTCTGTTATCTGGCATTTCCTCCTCTTGACCATTCCCAGCTCTTTCTGGAAGTCGCCAACTTGATTCATCATTATATATCCATCCCTGCAGTCTCCGACATAGCTCCTTAGGTGAACGTGGGATCGATACTCCCAGCGTGTCTTGTACTCGATCAGTAGCATCCCCGAGGCCTGCGCCTCACAGTCCACCACAGTGTCTACAGTACAAGTCGGCTCTCAAAACATGGCGCTCGAGATCAAGCTCCTGATTGTCCCCAACCTCGTCAAACCCAAGGATTGATCGGCCGATTAGCCCTGTGGTGGCATATACCACCTTGTACGGCTAACAATCGCCTATTTAATGGTCGATGACTCTCCTTTTGCAGACCAGACACTCAGGATGTGGTCGGTGGACATTTCAGGACTTTCTGACATTACAAACACGTGACAGACGGCAAGTCAGACCCGGTCACAAAGGGAAGCGGCAGAGAGAGAAAGCGCTTCGACTTCTTGGTATACACACGAGAAGCAGAAGATCACGATCGCAAAATGCAGCTTGTGCAGAAGATTGCTGACTTCTTCTACGCTGATACAAGCTGAAGGGCGTGGCGCAGTAATTTGGCACGAACTTCCGGCTTCCGGTACGACTCGAGGAGAGGGAGTAGTATGGCTCAGGTTGCAGTCGACACAGGAAGACAAAGGACGAGACAGTACCCTGGAAGAGTGCTGCATATAGTGAAGTGAGCCGGCTATCTCGCAATAGTCTCTTCACAGCTGCATCATGCACCCACCTTTGCCTACACCAGGACTCGATTATAACCATGAGGATCCGCTGCATTTGTACTCCAGCGCCATGACTCGTCGAGCCGATTCGATCCAACGACGAAGTGACTCTATCCTGGTCGGCCGTTGATTGCCCTTGGTCATGACTTGCCAGAGTGATCCTCTCAATCGTCATGCGGATACCGCTTGAACGAACAATCTGCTCCAAAGGCCTCCTTCGTGGTATTTTGTTAGTTCCCTTCAGCTCTTGTTGCTCAGATGAGCAGTCAAATTTGTTCGAGTGTTACTCTACTGCCCAAGCCTTGCTCACTGACTTAGCACCATTACCCCGTAGCTCGTCCGCCAGTCCCAGCACCTACATATTATCTTCGATCTTTTGTGCCTCTTGGACCCGATAGCGCGAATGCCTTTGTCGAAAGCGCCTTGAGTGCCTGTAATGCGAAACAGTAGAGGGTTCGACGTTATACAGTTCTGCGAGTCGGACCGCATCCAGGATGTCCACGAGTGCTGCATCCGGATTGTGGCGAAGGTACGTACTGACTTGTGACGTGAGTGGAGAGACTCTTGTGGTTGGCTGGTAAGACTGCGCGAATGATAGGATGTGGTGTTGGCTTGATGAAAGATTTGGTCTGTGTCGCCGAGAAGAGTCAGGCAAGTAGAGGTCACAGAGTGCTTGACTTTCTACTGATAACGTCTTGTGGGGAAGAGGCGGAAGACCAGTACTTTTGCGGTAAGGGTCTAGGATCATCCTCCGCAGATACGAGCTGAGTGCTGCAGCCGGCGCCAGATCTTGGTGTGCGGCACATTTCTTAACAACTAAAGGTCCCTCACTAGCTCACTCGTTGAAGGTGTACACGGGAGAAGGGGGATGTAGAAGTGATTTAATACTGCGATGGGAAGAGCGTCAATCTCGACCGTGTATCTGACGGCCACGGAAATTGCAGTCGAGGAGCTTTTCGAATAGACTGATTTGACCGATCAACACTCATCTATCAGATTCACAGCACCGTATACGGACCTCACATTAGACCCAAGACACGACTGGAGCCCTGCTCTAGTTTTTGGCGGGCATTAGACAGCGACGGGGAGAAACCATCGAGATACGTTGATATACAAGATTGGCAGCCTATGTTTCTTTCGTACGCCTTGTCTCACTCGTCGTGAGCCAACATCGAGCATCCGCTGAGCCGAAATGACGATCTGCGCTCCTAAGCAGGTGCACATCCATCCAATGCTGACCCAGGCTCAGAATATGATCAGAGCAGTATCCCGTGATCTACTCAAGTATCTGCTCCTTTGAGCCCAAAGGTCGGGAGTCCCAAACCCCAGTCCTCGGGTATCTCAGAATCTATTGGCGACACCTGCCGCTCTGAGTCCTGTTCATCGCTTCTTCTACCGACAACCAGCTTATAGATACCGACATTCGGGCACCAGACATGTTCGATGGCCTCCGCAAGCTTGTCAAATGCTCGACCGTACTCTGTGGGACCTAGCTGAGATCTCGCTGCGATGTTGCACTCTTCGTCATCAGAATTGCCGCAACAGTTATGGCTGATATATCCATGGTTCGCATCGTGAAGTAGTGTGGCCTCGATGGAGTCAGTCTAGCAGGCATCGATCCCTACCACACCAATCTGACGGGTCAAGGTAATATGGGTCGAAGGACCGTCATCCTCGGTCACGCCGTGAACTTGTTCGCCCGAATACTCATCGGAAAGGTCTTCCACTCTGACCCCAACATGCGAGACTCTGTCCACGAAGGAGATGATGCTGAGGGGCTGGAGCATTTGCTTCAAGGGCTGCGATGAGAGGAGATCCTTCGCGTTCGTCCCACGGGAAAGCTGTGTCATCTCCTTGTATCGTGTGACCGCGTACTGCTGATCGGAGCTCCAATGTTCGCATGATCTATTGAATGTGCTAACAGCCGACTCGGCAGCCTCGTTGGGCAGATGGCACGCCATGTTAAAATACCTGGCGGATCCTCTTACTTGGGTTGATAATGGTAGCGATCTCAATCATCGAATTCACCACGACTAGCGGTCGGTCGATGTCACTGGTCGGCTCGATACTTGAGATTGTTGTTGCGGCGTGTTGATGGATCCTCTACAAAGCTGCGAGCCAGAAAGGAAATCTGGGTTTTCTAGCGGGTGGAGGCCGAAGTGTGCAAGCTTGGATCGAATGAGGTGCATCATGCTCCGCTAGCGTTTTGTACCTTCCCTATTGAGCAGAGCTCGAACCCCCGACTCCATTGCCGATGGCCAAGGGAAACGTGCGCAATGGCCGCCTTCCACAAGATCATGTGTCTTGAGGAGTCGATCGGAGAGGAAGTCTCTGTCGTAATTGGGAGCCTCTCCGGAGGGTACGTGTAGCCCGCATTATGGCCTGCCATCGTTGCTGTAGCAGCTCGAGGCGTTCAGTGGGGAGACTGGTGGGAGTCGGAACAACGACCCAACGTCTCGTTCAGACAAACAGAACGTTCAATAACCCTATATCTCGCCTTCATTCCCTTGATCTAAGTCGTATGATTCGTCAATGGTGAGCATTGGGTCTGAAGCTGTCGGAAGCTGATTATAATACAACAGGCTCTGGCCAATGGGTGGAATAAACAAAGGTCCAGCTGGGCCCTGATTGATGTTGTTGAAGGCGATCTGATATGCGTTGTACCAATCTGGTGTTGGTACCCGAACGAGACCATACCGTTGTAAGATCCATGCATTTCTTTGGAGCACCATGTTATAGGTTCCAACTTGAAGATCGCTCCATGCTCTCTCTACACAAGCAGCCAACATATCCCAAGCATGCTCGTGACTGGTAGGACCCAGCTGAGAGAGCCAGATGTCAATGCACTCTTGACGTCCGCATTGGCCGTGGCAGCAGGTCTCCCAGAAGAAAGCATGAATCAGCTCATGCATCAAACAGCATTCTACGGCTTCAGCATAATCTTGATGATGGGGATTTTGGAGAAGCTCGGTATGCAACCAGATCTCGCTGTACCTTCCGCTCCAATAACCTTCCCATTGCCCATCCATACCGTCACCCAGGTCCTTCGAACCTACTCGCACCCTCCACAGCGTCTTGCCGAAGAGGGCGCAATCGAATGTGTCTGCAAGCTGTTCGAGTCCGTAAGGCTGGATCGTGTCTGCTTTCGATCCAGAGCGAAGCTTGACTGCGAGCTGACGGTACCTCAATATGGCATCTGCTTGCAATGCGGAACCAGGCTGTACGAGACCCTGAAGACTCGCAATCACCTCAAAGGCCGCTGCCAAGGGTGTACGACAAGTCCCGTCGTCGTTCATGCTGTCGGTGAAGATAAACGTGGTGCAAGGGTAGTGGTTATGATGCTCGTCGTCCTCGACGATCCTGGTGTTGCGCTGGATAGTACAACCCGGCGGTAACTCTCTGCTGGCTTCAGGAGTTATGCCCTGTAGAAACGCGACGATCGGCTGAAGGACTACTCGCTGCGATTTCTCTGTCTTGTGTGTCTAATTGATGCTGGAGCTCTTGTAAGTCTGTAGGTGGAAGTTGTTCAATGGCCCGACGTTATGACTTAGGTGGTTATTGCGACTTGATAAGAAGTTAGTAGATCAGTACATGCAAGGTCCGTGATCTTGCACATGTCACTCAATCTAGCTGTGAAGCGCAACCTCAAAGTCATTGGCCAATGAGACAGCGTTTCCGGCCGACTTGCACATGACGCTTCATACATTCAGAGCTTTACAGTAGTCAGTATACGTGATGCCTGATGGGGACCGATCCTTACGCTACGTAGAAGACTCAATGATGGGAGAGACAAAGAAGACTATAGATTGATTTTTACTGGCTGTCGACAGCCGTCAAGGTGGCAATTATGTAGTAGTCTTTTGGTATTCCACCTGTAGTACCCTATTCTGTGGTTTTCGAGAGCAGAGAATGCTGCCCAACACAAAGAAGTTTGCTCAGAGCTATGGTACCAATTTTGTGTCGATAAGTCGATGCACCTAGTGTATTATTGTAAAGAAGCATCGTGCTGTGGACTGCAGACGTGTTAGAGAGGATATCAAAAGAGCCGTAATACCAGAAGGTCGACGCTTGTCCGTTATCGACTTTTGAACCAGCATAATCCCCATCATTGCAGACCAGATTTATCGTCTACATGATCTCGGAATCAACGATCAAAAGACGAAAAAAAAGCTGTGTAGGCCGAAGCCCAACAGAGTCATTGCAAGCAATGTCTGTGGAGAGATAATTTATCTATTTGATTGAACGATCAGTATTTACTCAATCAATATTGAGTTGGTATGGTTAGAGTGTAATAACGCTTCCCTTCTGGCCTGCGTATCTGCCACTCAAAATCCGTAGGGGCGACCAACCGACGCCTACGGGTGTTCTGAGATATTGGAGGCACATTCGGAAATATTGATATTCGTCAAGTGAGCTTTCACCGACATGGCGCCGATTATGAGGAGGATGAATGCTGGTGTGGCGACAGTACTGCTGCGAGACTGAATAACTACGCATCGTCGACGACACACTCAGGAAGATCCCCTTAGTGAAGACCATGGTCACTGAGCTCCTCTATAGAGTCATAAGAGTTGCTCTGCTGTTCCGCAGTTCTTATGCATAGCGATAAATCTGTTTGACGATCTGGGCATGAGGGTCTAGCGTCGGGCGCAGCCGCCGTCGAAGCAATCTACAGCTCGCAGCGATCTATGACTCACTCTTGCGATCTCCATCACTCTGCGAAGACTGATCACGGCCGCCGCATCCCACTCAAGTCAGGTAAGTCTCGATTGCTGTATAACATCGCTGCTGGATTCATTATCATGGAGAATGGTTGGGAGGGAAGGATGGTGGAGGACGAATGCGAACGATGATTTTGCGCCGAGCACGACCGTACGCTCGACACAAGACAACCTCGACCACGGTGAGCTGGCTACCTCATCGACACGATATCACCAAGCACAAGAAGTCCGTACACCAATGATGGTAGCCAGCGAGATCGCGCCGAGGAAGGCTATAGGCGACACGGAGCTTTAGATCGGGTTTCAAAATACGGTCATCAGCGCGTGCGAGGCCTACAAGTATGCATGTCACAAACACGCGTCATTTGCATTCTGCTAGGATGCCGCCTTTTGACAGTCATATCCCGGATTTTGTGTATGGCAAGAAGGCCAGTCATAGTGTCGAAGGTAAGCACATGGGTCTGGATTCAATCGAGTTGACTTCACAGAACTTCATTTGGAGATGGCCGAGCTCGACAACAGTACCGACGCAACGGAAATTGCCATGCTAAGCAATCGCATGCATAGTTTGTTCCACTGCGATACACACATCCTCGTCTACCGACTTGGAACCCGACTGTCACTCGCCACGTTCTTGTTACGAACATCGGCATCGATAATCCTCACCTCGGCGACCACAACTTCCAGATCTCAAGGACGTATGTCAGACCTTTCGAGGACGACCAGGAGCTCGCTCTACGTCTACGTCTCTGACGTTGCTTAGCATCAACACATGCACAAAACGCGTTGCTGCAGAGCACGATCAAGCTATCAAGTCTCGCAAGCCAATGAGATTGCCCACTGCTGGCACTGCGTCGAAGGGCATCATCGCGTGGACCAATAACCGGGGATGCTTCAACCGCGCGGCATGATAACTAGGAGCGACAGTCAGGACCGTCGTTGTATCGCAGCGACCATGGCAAGAAGTGCAACAGCTATCTATCTCATGACAGTAGCATGAATCATGAGCATTTCTACCTAACCCATTGTAATACTGCACCATCGTGTTGCAACACTTGCTTCACCAAGCCACATATTTTCCGGCTCTACAGCTGCGAGAACCTTACCTCTGGACGCTCAAGGCAGATTGTAAGTTGAATCGCCACTGGAAGCTTTTGCATCACCGTTTGATGTGCTGTCCCAGCCCCGACATACAATGAATGGGCAAATATGCTTTTGTCGGACAAGACATGTCGTCTGGAATCCCAGGCCAACTGACTCGCGTCCGGGAGTCCGAACCTTAGATTGAATCTCTTGGCAAAGCTCATGTCGCCCGCCCGCCATCGGCGCCGCTGACCTATCTCGATGCGGCAGGTGGCCAGTCGATCTGCGATAGGACGACAAGAGAGCATCATCACTCACCTTTCATCGGGGCGACGGGCATGCTGTTATAGGTGTGTGTTGTGTGCTAGAGCAGGGTACGTACCTGAACGCCGGAGTGTAGTAAAGATTTTGTGGAAAGTCAAGTAGGCCTGCGAGATGCATGAGAAGTTTGGCAAGATGCCGCCGTCGCAAGAGCAGCAGTATAGCGAGCGCACGCCGCTGATACAGCGTGTGCCCGTGGATGATGAGAGGAGAGTTCATTTTCCACACCAGCGAGTATGATAGAGACAGGATGAAGTGTCTTGGGCCTGTAGACTGACAAAGCTCTAGGTAAGAAGATTTTGCACCATCGGCTTGATCACCATTCCACTGCTTACGCTTGCCATCATCTTCTTCTGCATCGCGATAGCAGGCCAAAACGATCTCTTCGGCGACCATCAGACCGAGTCGAGCGGCACCCTCTCACACCACCAACGAGATTCGCAAGAAGTTCTCCACGGCGACCTCGCCCTCCCGCATCCAGCTTGGCCTGCCAGTCAGGGCATCGCCTACGACGAGCTTAAGCACATCCTGCATGACACCCCGTCGCCAAAGTATGCGCGCGAATGGAGCGAGTACTATACTGCCGGGCCGCATTTGGCTGGCAAGAACAAGAGCCAGGCAGAGTGGACAAGGGACAAATGGGAAAGCTGGGGTGTCAAGAGCAGTATCGCGGCTTATGAAGTATACCTCAACTATCCGAAAGACCATCGTCTGGCACTGCTGAAGGATGGCAATGTAGCATTCGAGGCTACACTGGAGGAGGATGTGCTGGAGGATGACCCTACTACGGGCATGAAGGACAGAGTGCCTACCTTCCACGGCTACTCGGCCTCTGGAAACGTCACCGCGCAGTATGTGTACTGTAATTACGGCACGTTCGCCGACTTTGAGGAGCTGCAGAAGGCTGGCATTGAATTGAAGAGCAAGATCGCGTTGGTGAAGTACGGTGGCATCTTCCGTGGACTGAAGCTTAAGCGAGCGAGCGAGCTCGGCATGATTGGAGGCATCATTTACAGCGACCCTGGTGATGATGGAGAGATCACGGAAGAGAATGGCTACAAGACCTACCCGGATGGGCCAGCTAGGAACCCAAGCAGTGTGCAGCGAGGAAGCACGCAGTATCTGAGTGAGTTGCCCAAGTCACCGTGGACGACGTGAATACTGACCCGACTTTCCACAGGCGTTGCACCAGGCGATCCAACCACTATCGGCTATCCATCACTTCCAGGTGCACCACGTCAGAGCACGAAAGGCAAGATTCCAGACATCCCCTCCGTTCCCATATCCTATGCCGAAGCTCTACCTTTGCTGAAGGCACTCAACGGCCATGGTCCGAACGCTACGTCTTTCTCCTCATATTGGCACACCGGCGGTCTCGGCTACAAAGATGTGCACTACAACATTGGTCCTTCGCCTCCGCACACGACCGTCAATCTCATCAACGAGCAGGAGTATGTCACGACGCCACTGTGGAACGTTATCGGTGTGATAAACGGCAGTATACCGGATGAAGTCATTGTGATTGGCAACCATCGCGATGCTTGGATAGCCGGAGGAGCAGGCGACCCCAACTCTGGCTCTGCTGCACTGAACGAAGTCATTCGATCCTTCGGCAAGGCACTTTCTGCTGGCTGGCAACCACTACGCACCGTCGTCTTCGCAAGCTGGGATGGCGAGGAGTACGGTCTTCTCGGCAGCACGGAGTGGGTGGAAGAGTACATCCCATGGTTGAGCGAGGCAACGGTAGCCTACATCAACGTCGACGTTGGTGCTCGTGGACCGAACTTCCAGACCAGTGCCGCACCACTCCTCAATAAGCTGATCTATGAGATCACCGACGAAGTGCAGAGTCCCAATCAGACAGTGGCGAATCAGACAGTACGAAATACCTGGTCCGGACACATCAGTACAATGGGAAGTGGCAGCGACTTCACAGCTTTCCAAGACTTCGCCGGCATAGCATCCATCGATGTCGGCTTCGGCTCTGGCAAGAATGATCCTGTGTATCACTACCACAGCAACTACGACTCCTTCCACTGGATGGACAAGTATGGTGACCCGGGCTTCGAGTACCATATCACTATCGCCAAGATCATCGCGCTCATGGCGGCAAAGCTGGTCGAGGAGCCAGTCATCCCACTCAATGCTACAGATTATGCTTCCGGTCTGGCAACATATCTTGAAAGTATCAAGAAGCTAGCACACGAGTCTAGCTTCTCCTATCTGGAGAAAGATGCCTTCGACAGTCTTGCTGCCGCTGTAGCATCGTTCAAGGATGCTGCTTCGGGCTTTGACGCCAAGGCCGCATCACTTCTCGACAGTGTGCCGGGTCCTTCTGCCTCGGTCTACGCTGACGTACGGTCAGTGAACACGAAGTACAAGCTGCTCGAGCGTCAATTCCTATATGCTCCTGGTCTAGACAGCCGAACGTGGTTCAAGCACGTTGTCTTTGCACCCGGACTTTGGACTGGATATGCCGGAGCAACTTTCCCAGGTATTGTGGAAGCTATTGAGGACAAGAATACGACGGCTGTGGCGAAGTGGGTCAGTATCGTTGAGGCGAGAGTCGATGGGGCTATCTCACTTCTTGAAGGGTGATGCTACCATGCGATGAAAGGCTTGCAAGATCGAACTTTGGATTCACGGGTGGCGATTGTTCCTACGATATACGCTCCCAGCGTCTGAATTCATACAGGGCGGTGAATGTATCAGGAAGCACTGACAACGATTACGACAGATTTGACCGTAGCATCGACGAAACATGATGTGATGTCCGGCCAGATCTTCCCCTCTGAGTGCTAGAAGGATCGGAGTCTGATCCCACCTCGCGAGCGCGACTTCTCTCCATAGCAGCTTCGCGCTTAATGATCGCATCAGGTTCAAGGGAGGTTGGTGCTTCGACGCGTTAGTATGATAAGTTGGAGTATCCTGTTGGTAGAGAGGCTAGTAAGCATATATGGTCGTAAATTGCACACGCTCGTAGGCCAACGGTGTCCGCATATTGGTCTCGTCCTGTGTCCGTTCGGCCGACTAAGCCAGTAGGTGAACATATCGAGCATCATTGCCGAGAGTTTGCAACGTACTTGCCTGCTGATCATACCATCGGCAATAGATGGTATGGACCACCGACCACTTGTTGTGAAGATCAATTTCAGCACTCATTGCTTCACAGCCATCGACCTCCCACCAACCGCATGTGTCAGGGGCTGCTACCACGCCGGTCCGGTGAGCTCATTGGCTTGTATAGGACGGATGCTTGCGGCTGTCTTCTTCGCACATGAATATCACATGCGAGCCTTCCTGACCCCTTGGTCAACTCATGGTCGATCATTGGTCACATCCTCCTGCAGACTAGCCAATGTACAGAAAACCACAGCAGGCCTCATGGGCGAAGCTCCTTGGTTCATCGCGTATCGGTATCGACACTACTGTACAAGGGAGCCGTCTCTGAGTATCTTCAAACTGAACGCCGTCTCCGTCTTAACAATGTTTATGGGCTGGCAACGGCGTCACATTGCATTCGTATAGCCATGCTTGGGGAGGAAGAGATCGTCCAGGGGCAAGGGATTATGACATTTACCCGACTCAGCAAACAGCAGATGCGGCAGTCGTAGTAGTTCTAGATTAGGGCATCGATCGTTGGAGGCTCCGGATCAATCTGCAAACTTCTCAGATCGTTCCAACGCGTGGTAGTAGAGGAATGCGCCACCTTCGCCGCGGCGTCGCACCTTCCTGCTACACAATTGTCGCTAATAAATCTTTGGCGTTCGACATGATAGCTCCAGGGGAAATTGGCTATGGCCGGGACTCGTGGCGCACAGGTGGTACCCCATAAGCGACGGCCACGGTGATGTATCAGCTCAGAACAGCTCATGAATTGGCAGCCGCAGTACCACCTTGGCACTTGCATGATGCAAATAATAGCCGGATCGTCAGCCTGCCTATTAGCTGAGACTGAGTTGGCTCGTGAAACTTTCCGATTGTCAAAGGCATAGCTCGCCAGCATCCTTTGAGCAGCCAATACGCCACCGCACGCCGTGCTTTGGCAAAGTGGTGCCGCTACGGAACTATTACCGGTCTTCAACACTCAATTATGCACCCCACCCCCAACATTGGCCGTCCCCCTCCCCAAACCCTCCTTATACCTCTCCAGCGCCCGCTCCCTCCCGAATTTATGCTCCACCATCGGCCTTGGATACCCTGCCTCCTCAGCCTCCTTCCCCTTCCCTCTTCCATACGGATCATGTACCGCCTTTCCCTCAACGCCAGCCAGCTTAGGTACCCACTTACGGATATACTCACCTCTCTCATCGAACTTCTCGCTCTGTAGAAAAGGGTTGAAGATGCGGAAGTAAGGCTGAGGATCAACCCCCGTAGAAGCGGAGAAACCCCATCCTCCGTTGTTGGAAGCGAAATCCCCGTCGATAAGGCGTTCCATGAAGTACTTCTCCCCCAGCCGCCAGTCGATCAGAAGATCTTTGGCGAGGAAGGAGGCGACGATCATGCGGCAGCGATTGTGCATCCATGCCATAGAGTTCAGCTGCCGCATTGCCGCATCCACTATTGGAAAGCCGGTCTTGCCTTCGCACCAGCGAGTAAATTTCTCTTGGTGATAGTCCCAGCGTATGTCGCTGTACTCGTACTTGAACGGCTTGCTCATGCAGACGTAAGGCCAATGACAAAGGACATGCTTGTAGAAGTCCCGCCAGGCGAGTTCAGAGACCCAGCCACCGAAGAGGTTGGGAGGGTCCTTAGATGAGGAGCTCTTATTAGCAGTGAGGGCCATCCGCACCGCTGTTCGGGCCGCGAGAGTACCTGCGCTGAAGTGGACAGAAAGCATCGCTGTGCTGTTCTCCGCAGGGAAGTTGCGAGTCTCCTTGTACTTGCCTAGCTTCTGCTCGACAAAGCGCTCTAATCGCAACATGGCTTCATGCTCCCCTGCTGGCCATAGATGTGATAGATGATCTCGTTGCGCGTCCGGAAGAGTCTTGTTCGGGGGCGCAGACGGTAGTGGCATGGAGAAGATTTCCCGGAAGCGCTCGACTGCAGAATCAGGATTTCGCGTAGGCGGTTCTGATGGCTCAAGGACGTGAGGATGGTCATGCACGTATTTCGTCCATGCTCTGAACCAGGGAGAGTAAACAGAATAATGCTTCCCGGCTCCAGTCCTGAGAATACCAGGCGGCACAACGACATCGTCATGCAGGACTTCCACCGCTATACCCTTCTCCAAGCCCCGTTTCACCAGCCTCGCCTCTCTCCTCAGCTCATCCACCTCATACTCCATATTGCAGAACAGATGCTTTGCTCCCCACTCCGCGCACTTGGTCAGAATATGCCCGAGTACATCCTTCCTCTGCTCGATCGTAGTAACATAAAGTGGGATTCCCTTCTCCTTCAGATCCTCCTTCAGTACTTCCAGCGTCCTGAGCTCAAAATCCACGCGTGCAGCAGAAGTTATATGCGCCTGGTAATCCTGCGGACTTATGATAAAGATACACACCAGCGGAACTCCCTGACTCTTCGCCTTCACACTGGCCCTTTCTAAAGCACGATTATTTGTCTGCCGCAGGTCTCGCTTGAACCAATGTACCACCGCATCGCCAATCTGTATCTGCTCCCGCTGTGTCTTCGTCTCTGCCAATGCTTTCCGGAGTACGTCGATGGGAAGTGGGAGATCGCCATTGAGGTATCGCTTGCAGCGCTCATTGCTCATCTCTGGTGGGTAAAAGTCGCGCTGTATAACACCAGACTGCTCTTCCTCTTCTGCTTGGTCCTGACTCTTGCGCTCGGTGTCGGCTTCATGATCGAGTGTACGCTGACGCCTTGCTGGCGAGCCCTCCGGACGGACGGGTGAGGTCGCGGCGCGGACGATTTTGCGCTTCGGTGGCATTGTGCTGGAGGTGATGCGAGTGGATGCTTTCACCATAGACGAGCAGCAGTAGCTTTCCCGGGTGGTAGAGAAATGTGTGGAACTGTGCACAACCAACACGTTCTCTGTGCAACCTACCGTTTGCCTTGCCTACAGGTCGCGCTATCGAAGTTAGAACGCGTTTGTAGCATGATGCTGTGGCTGTGGCTGTCCAGACAAAGTCTTGTCGATGATTTGACGATCGATTCTGCCTTCCAGATCGTGGAGTCGCACGGAGCATTCAACGATCACAGCATCGACGAGGCAACACGTGCGTGACTTGACGGAGCGAAGCAAGTGATCAGACATACAACTATCACGCATTCTGCTATTGCCTAGCTAGCCTGCCATAGTGATTGCAAAGGCGTCTTGACTAAGCCCGCATGTCTCTGCCAAAGCATGTCCACGTCTCCAGATGACTGGCACATCCTTATCCTCTCGCCAACTCTCTACCTGCAAGTGTAGCCACCATCAATCACCAGATCAGCACCGGTAGTGTACGTCGACGCATCCGAAACGAAGTACACATAAGCACCCTTCAACTCCTTCGCATTGCCATCACGGCCCAAGGGGATCATCGAGTGCCACAATTCCTGCGTCTTCTTATCGACGAAGTCAGAAAGACCAGTGTCGATATACCCGGGCGAGATGGAGTTGACACGGGCGAAATCGCGCCACTCGTTGGCCAGGGAGCGAGCCATGTGGATGCATCCTGCCTTTGCGACGTTGTAGCTCGTCTGCTCCTGGGGATAGTTGGCGATTTGGCCGCTCATGCTGGCGGTGATGACGAGGGAGCCGGTGCCGCGCTCTTTGAAGTGGTGGCCGATGGCCTTGGCGCAGTGGAAGGTGCCGTTCAAGTCGACTTGGACGACATGGTTCCAGTCTTCAACGGTGCCGTCGAGGACACCGCTGTCGGCCGTGGCGCCGGCGTTGGCGATGAAGGCATCGATCTTGCCGAAGTCGGAGATGACGTCCTTGACGAGCTTCTCGGCGGACTCGTACTTGTCGACCTGGAGCTTGTAGGCCTTGGCCTGGATGGAGGGAGGGGAGTTAGCATGTGCTCTGATGAAGGTATCTTGGAGTCGGGCAATGGCTCTTACCTTCACGCCGTATGTCTCAGCGAGCTCCTTGGCGTTCTTCTCACCACCCTCAGCACGGGAAGCGTAGGTGATGGCCACATCGGCACCCATCTCAGCGCAACCGCGAGCAGCCTCGATGCCCATGCCGCGAGGTCCGGAAGCACCGGTAACCACGACGACCTGGATTTCATACTTGTCAGCTCATCCTCTGACTCGATCCTCGAACTCAGGCGATCCGTACCTTGCCCTTCAAGGACAGGAGGTCCTGCAGCTTCTCGGCCTTGGGAATAGAGACAGGCATGTTTGCTGTGATATGTGTGGTATGTGTAATATGTTCAGGTTTTTGTGAGTGTCAAGGAGTTAGTTCCTGACTCAAGAATATGGTACTAATATGAATGAGCTCAAGAAGATAAAGTGATGAGTTGCCGACTAAGTGAAGTGAAAAGGATTCTACGCCATGATGTAGCAGCTCGCTTGACCATTGGGCACCTCCTCGGCGAGCTGCGGGGCACCACGAAAGCTGTTTCCCTCGCATTCCGCTACTATGCGTCTTTGGCAGGACTTCGTAAGCGATTATTCATCTATGCATCAGTTTTACGACATCTATTCCTTCCGATTTGCTACGTATTGCATTTGTAGAGTATGATCCTCCATCATTCACCCTCTCCTGCTGTACGAAGCCGAAGTTTGTCGACCACCCCACGGAAGCCACGGGCATGTGAACATTTGGCGGGGCAGTGACGACATCACGGCAGCGTTCACGGAGTCAGGCGGCATAAGAAACGGGCCTTCTTCACGATAGCGTTTGTCCTTGTGCTCACTTGCTAACTACCTGTCGAATACACAATCATCAAGTATACAGCCCTTGCCTGCTTGCATGTATTTCCACGAGAGACTGCATAGCCACAAAAACAACCGGCATCGGATATGCACGTTGACATGCATCTCGGAGGAAGTGAGCTGTCATGCAAGGTACGAATTTGATAGCCTTGTAGCTCATCGACGGCGATGAACAGCTTGTCCTCTTCATGAACAGGATCAACGAAGCCCTGATGTGCACTTTCGAGAGCACGATCAGAAGGAAGCACGACTGGCACCGTTATTGTCAAGCAGAAACAATGAGCATTTGCCTCCCTCTGCTGGCCCTCGGAAGGCCTCGTGCGTACGTCTCATTCCTCAGCGCTGTCCCTATATCCGCGATTCCCGTCCGACGTATGCTGTAACGTGATACAGGACCAAAAGCCCTCGGGTGGTTTCCGCCAACTCGATGCCAGAGGTGGACAACTTGTGCCGGGTCAAGGTGGATGACGGCGCCTGCTTTCTAACCTGGTACTCTGCGAGTGGCATTCAGACACTTCCCTGCCTGAAGACATTGCAGTGGTGGCGGCTGTGAGCGGATCTCTGCCGGGAATAGGCAGGAAACACTCGATATCACTCTTCGAGGTCTGCAGTGTGGTGCTTGAGCGAAGTTTACGGGATGCTAGTCCTCCTCAAGACACCTTCGACTCCAGCACCCTCTTCCCATGACTTCTAACCACACCGTCGAGGATGCCTCGGACCTGCTTACACCCATCGATGCCGACGCTCAGCATAGCCTCAAGTCTCGCCATCTGCACCTTCGTCTCCATGACGAGCACCATGACCTTCTCCTCGCCTCCACCAGGTCCCCTTCCGCACGTGCCTACCGTCATGAACGGTAGCTCCTGCTCCTCCAGACCGTTCAAGTCCAGTAGCGGATCCATCTCGTCTAGACTTTGGTCCGAGGAGGGAGCAGACGCCACAGTGACAGAAGATATGTAGTCCGACATGGGTATGCCGGCATCGATCAGTGCCAGCGTCGCAGCATTCAGACAAGCCGCTAGTAACGATCCATCTTGCGACAAGATATGTAGAGTGACAGTGATAGTACTGTGCGGGAACAGGTGTGTGAACAGCGTGCTCTGAAACGCACTGGCGATCGTGACCTGCATCTCCTGCACCCTCTTATCACTCCTCGCTCTCCTCTTCCTGTCCATACCCGAGAAAGCAGCTATGTTCATCTCCACATCTACTTTCGCCTCGTTACCCTGATCGCGTGCCCCTCCTCGCCCGCCCTTTTGTTCCTGTGGTCCGCTGACTGTGCAGAGGACTTTTGTGTTGCCTTGCTCGAGGTAGGAGGAGCCATCGGCGGCAGCCTGGGTGCTAATCTGAGCGTGTAAGCGACGGAGTTCGTTCCACCGACGACCGTCTAGGCGGAGGTGCGCGAGCGCGTATGTCGAGGTGTCCAGCGGCATGTTGGGTGTGGTGTCACAGATGTGAAGGATCACTTTGGTAAAGCCTCACCCAAAAAGTGAGTTGATTTTGCGGGGTGCATGAACTGCTCGCCGATCATTCGCGTGGCGCGTCACCCCACATGACGCGGTTGCCTTCGCATGAGATGAATGCTTCTGAGAGCGTTATAATTCCTTTCGCCGTCCATCTACTGACAATGTGTAAAGATGGCCGCTCGAAAGCTCGGCACTGCCGGCCACCGCAACCTCAACCTCGAGGAGAGAGTCAATCTGATGGAAGGCGAAGACGCGCTGAGCGAGACCGATAGCGATCTGGATGCCATCCCGCGCAAGAAGAATGGCCAAGTCAGCTTTGACGACTACATCGACTCACTGGAGAAGGAGGAGGTGGTGCACGTACTCTCTGACACGGACGAGGAAGGCACGAAGAAGCGCAAGCGTGGTGAGCGCATAGCCTTTGATGATGATGATGAGGATTCTGATGGTGCTTACGAGAAGTTCAAGGCGAGGAAGTCTGAGAAGCGAAAGAAGATGCTGGCCAGTACGCGGAGAGCGAGAATGAATGTGAAGAACTCTAGTATGGTCGGACGTAAGCCGAAAATTGTCATCAAGGTGAAGGAGAGCAATGCCAAGGGTGCGAAGGTGTATGGCGAGGAGACAGACGAGGACGAGGCACTTATGGAGACCACACTCCCAGACTATCTCAAGCAGCGGAGGTCGAGCTGGGACGAGCGGCGAGAGAAGCTGGAGGGGACGGCTGGTCTCCAGTTGCCACCACAGTATGACGACGTAGACTTCTCCGAGGACGATCGTATGGGGAATCTGGCAGAGCGACCTCGACTATCGCCGGCTATGTTGCAATGCCCGTACGAGGACGTCCAGCTTCGCTACTCGCTCGGCATTGTGCCAGCTCCCATTGCGCAGTACCTTCGGCCGTACCAAATCCAGGGGGCGGAATTCCTGCATGAGCTATTCGTGTACCAGAGAGGTGCCATTTTGGGAGATGATATGGGTCTCGGCAAGACTATCCAGGTCATCGCTTTCTTGACGGCAGCCTTTGGGAAGACAGGCGATGAGCGCGATCACAGGCGCATGCGGAAGACGCGGCGCATGGGTGACGATCGATGGTATCCTCGCGTCTTGATCATTGCACCTGGCTCTCTCATGGCGAATTGGAAGGCTGAGCTAGACCGCTGGGGCTGGTGGCATACGTACGTCTACCATGGCACGCCGAAGGAGAAGGAGGCGGCTTTGGCTGCTGCGCACAAAGGACGTCTGGAGATCATGATCACGACATACGACAGCTATCGCATCAATCAATCCGCCATCAATGGTATACGCTGGGACGCTGTAGTGGCTGATGAGTGCCATAAGATCAAAGAGATCGGTGCCGAGATCACGAAGGCGATGAATGGCATAAATGCCCTATGTCGCATCGGCATGACAGGCACTGCCATTCAGAACAAGTACGAGGAGTTATGGACTCTGCTCAACTGGACCAACCCAGGACGCTTTGGGCCGATCAGTGTCTGGAAGCAAGCCATCTGTCTACCGCTAAAGCTCGGCCAGAGTCACGATGCCACGATCTCCCAGCTCGCCATTGCACGGCGCACTGCGAAGAAGCTGGTCGATAACCTTCTTCCGCCTTTCTTCCTCCGCCGCACAAAAGCACTGATTGCACATCAATTGCCGAAGAAGAGTGATCGAGTAGTCTTTTGTCCTCTCACCGACACACAAAGCGAAGCGTACAACAACTTCTGTGACTCCGAGATCGTCCGCACCATTCGAGAGGCCTCCAATCCATGTACCTGTGGCTCCGACAAAAAACAAGGCTGGTGCTGCTATACCCACGTCGACGATACGAAGTGGCAGCACCACGTCTTCCCAACCATCGTGACATTGCAGAAGCTTGCAAACCATCTTGCCCTTCTCATACCATTAGGTGAGGCTGATAAGGAGCAGCACGACAAAGATGTGAAGAAGCTCGAGGCTGCTCTCCCGGATACGTGGAGAGACCTTTATCGCCAACGTGACAGCATAGTGACTTACGCCAATCAAGACTTCTGCGGCAAGTGGCGTGTGCTCAAGAAGTTGTTGAAACTATGGCACAGTAACGGAGACAAAGTTCTAGTCTTCAGCCACTCTGTTCGCCTGCTGAGGATGCTCAATATGCTGTTCAAAGCAACGACCTCATACAATGTCTCCTACCTCGACGGCTCGATGCCGTACCCCGATCGGCAGGAGACCGTCGACACCTTCAACTCTGATCCGGGTCAGTTTGTGTTCCTTATAAGCACCAAAGCTGGTGGTATAGGCCTGAACATCACTAGTGCAAACAAGGTCGTGGTCGTTGACCCAAACTGGAATCCTTCCTACGATCTACAGGCGCAAGATCGAGCATACAGGATCGGACAGACCAGGGATGTAGAAGTGTTCCGACTTGTGAGCAAAGGCACTGTCGAGGAGATCGTGTACGCAAGACAGATCTACAAGCAGCAGCAGGCCAATATCGGCTACAATGCAAGTGTCGAGCGAAGATACTTTAAAGGCGTGCAAGATCAGAAGGAGATGAAGGGTGAGATCTTCGGTCTCGCCAATCTTTTTGCGGCAGTGGCAGAGAATGTGGTCTTGAGGGAGATCGTGAACAAGACTAACATCGCCGAGACTAGAGCAGGAGTCGAGATAGCTGGTCTCGATCTAGAAGCTAGCCAAGAGTCTCCGGACGGCGAAGATGATGATAGCCTCCTACCCATTACCAGCACGAGCCGCGCCTCAAGCGCGGGTGCAGAAGATGAAGCAATGTCCCAACTTGCCCGCGAGATCATCGATGAGCCTTTGGGCAAGCAGAAGAAGGCAGCGGAGAGGGCGAAGAAGGATCCGGTGTCTGCTATCTTGGCCAGCGTGGGCGTGGAGTATACACACGAGAATGCTGAGGTGGTGGGGACGAGCAAGATTGAGATGAAGATCTCGAGTCGAGCGCAGAAGGCTGGGAATGATCTCGACTTTGATCAGGATAGGGCTTTTGGCCGGGCTGCGCTGTCGCAGGATACCGGCGGTGGAAGTCGTGGTGATGGTAATGGCAAGCTTCGGGGTGCAGCTAGTGGTGGGGATGGTGGCGAAGAGGATGAAGTGCGCTATCAGTATCGTCCGCCTGCGGACGTGCGAAGGAGGCAGTTCTGCTCTATGGCGAAAATAGCTGGATATGCTGAGGATAGAATAGAGGACTTTGCGCTCGTGGTTGAAGGCTGGACGCAGGAGAATCGGAGGGAGTTCTTGGAGAGTTTTTATGCTGGGCGCAGGAAGGACTTAGAGAAGTACTGAAGTCGTCTTAGCTGGTGTTTTCAGTACTGCGCCTTAGCTGGTGTGGTATCGAGGTTCTGTATGGTACGGATTCTCGACCAAGTGCTGGGAGAGAGGAACTTCCATTACGAGTTCAATCACGATAGATACATTTCAACCGGCACATCCTTCTCTCAATCTCACCACAACCACAGTCGTCCCGCCTCTCCTCCGACCATGAACATAATCCGCCAATCAGAGTCCTCATCTGGTGCGATATTGCCCGGCCACGACGCCTTCTCTCTTACTGCCCTCAGCTCGAACCCGTTTCTCACCAGATAGTCACGGAAATCGTATCGCCAGAACTGCACCGAAACCCCAGGCATCCCATTGCCGAAGGGCATCATCGATGCATTCCTCTTCACCCTCACTTCCGAGTCGTAGTGTGTCGGCTCGTAGCCCCAAGGCCCTGGTCGCCATCCAGTACCGGAGGCGCTGCTCACTCACGAACAGGAAGCGTATCTGGCCGGTACGACGGACGAGATGGGAACACATGCGCGCGAGCAGGAGGCTGGGTCGATGCGGGCGGAGGCAGGAGTTTGGACAATTCTCGTGGCAGGCTGAGAAGAGTGGAACGATGGTGCCGGCGTCGTTGATGGCGAGGGCTTCATTGCGGATCTGGTGGCAGGTGCGGAGGAGGCGGTGCTCGATGGCTGGGCGGACGCGGTTCATTCTGCGGTCGTCGAGTACGAGTGGTAGATCCTGTCGCGAAGCTCGTCTGGGAGGGCAGTAAGCGGAAGTGCTGCTGGTTGGTGGTGTTATTGGTAGTCATTCTATCATGGTGAGTGCTGTTATGTATCTTGATACGTGCTAGTCCGCTGATACTTGAGATTCACAGAACTCGGGTAGTAGTATTAGGTGTCGAAAACAATTGAGCAGTGCTGCGCTAGGTAGATCCATTTTTTTTGGCGGAATGCCACGGTAGTGCCCTCCAATTCTGTCTGACTTTGGGATAAAATCACGTGTTTTGCACCTTTAGCATACCGACATTTGATTCATCTTGTGGGTGGGGGGGAACAATTACTAGGCATCCAGACGATGCAGTGCTTGAAGTGAAGATGGCAAAGGTTTCCACGGCTTCGAACGGTGCGCACTGCGCTATGTGGTCGCATGGTTGGATCGTGGAGGGGATGCTTCCGAAGGATGACCAAGTCTATGTCAATTGCTTGTATCACAAACGGCCAGGCTTCTGGACCTTTCCCTGACCAGTCGCCACATTCTACGGCGTTGTACAGACCCTCAGGCCACATACGAATGAGCCTGAGGCGGTACTGGTCGAGTTCGTGCTTGAGAGCGGCGACATCCGTGGGACCGAGTTGATGGCGACGAGTGGCTCAACGTTGCATAGCTGGTACTACATACGCTAAACAATGCATCTACAGCCTATCGGGGAAGAACTTCTTTTCAATTGGTCTCGCAATGAGATACGCGACCATTGAGAAAGCAGCACCAAGCTCCCAGCCCACATCACCACCATAAGGAGCCTCGCCAGCCTTGAGAGCGATCCAGCCAACCCTGCGAACTGTTAGCAAGTAGTCCCACTGGTATAGTGATAGCATGGAACTTACCACCACACCTGACTCATGCCAGCGACCATGCCGATGACACCGCAGCAGAAAGCAAAGATGGCAGCAATGCCTACAGGCAGCATGCCGGGAACATCGTAGAACTCCGGCCTATAGCCCTTGAAGCCGCGCTTGAACACAAAGTGCTCAGTCAAGCCAATGGACGAGTAGATGGCGAGCCAGTAGCCGATGAAGTTCATAAAGTTGTCGAGCACAGTCTCGAAGTGCTGATAGCCTGCAATAGCAATGCCGATATATGCTCCCGTAGCGATAATAGTCCACACAAATCGAGGCACCCACTGGACCCAGCGGCCAAGGACTTGTACGGTCAGAGAAACGGAGTAAATGTTCGGGCAGTTGTTGGCGATGATGCTGAGAGCGAGCATGACCAAGCAGAACTTGCCAAAGCCGCCCAGATGGTAGATCAAGACGGCGCCCAGGAGGCCGCCAGTGCCGGAAGCATCATACCCGTCCTGATAGCGGTTGACGCCGCCGTTGAGTGCTGTGGCGGACATGACAGCCACTCCCAGCATTTGCGTGAAGATGAGCGGGAAGAACAGACCTAAGAATGTCCAACCGAACACCTTCACCTTTGACTGCGTGGAGGGTTGGTAGACGGTGTAGTCTGCCGCGTAACTAGACCAGCCGATCGCGAATCCGAAGATCACAGAGCCAAATGACAGGACAGAGCCCATCTCGGCCTTGCCCATCTCCCATGGAATGGCCACAAAATCGCCGCTGTGGCCAAAAACACCAACGGTGATGAGGAAGATGATGAAGCTGGGGATCCAGGACCAGAACTCGTAGATGTGCACAATTTTATAGCCAAAGATCGTGACCAAAAGCGTGCACAAGGCAATGATCAGGATACTAGCCCAAGGCGGCATATGAGGGTTGACGGTGTTTATCAGTTGCGCGCCTACAATGCTGTTGACGGAGCTCCAGCCAATGCAGGCGATGATGTTGAAGCAGGCGATGAGCTTCACTCCCCACCATCCGAACCAGAATCTACTCAACACCATCTGGCGAAGACCGAACGTTGGCCCGAAGGTGCTGAAGAGGGAGACTATAGCTAGACCAATGATGTTGAAGAAGAGGATTACGAGCATGGCGTCTGCCACTCCGAGGAAGAAGAGCGATTTGCCGAGGAGTCCGAGGGCGAAGGAGGAGACGACCATGTTTGCGGAGCACCACTGGGAGATCGTGTTAGAGCATCAGACCGCGTGATGAGCGATGTGGCTCGCATACCATAGTCGCGACATTGAGTAACGCTTTGAAACCCGTCTCTGTCCTCTCATCCTCAGGAACCCGCTCAATACCTCTCTGCTCAATACCGATCTTGCCAGCGAAGCGCATAAGCTTTGCGCGGATGCCAGTACCATACTCGAAGCTCTCGCCAGGTACTGCGCCATCAGGTTCCTGATACGAGCCATTTCGCTTGTCTAGATTCTTGTGGTCGGGTGTGTACTCGCCGCTACCGCTGCCGGCAGTGTTGGCAACGTAGCCCTGGTTCTTCTCGACGTCATACGTCGTGTAAGCCATTGCGAAGGTGGTGCGCAGGCGCAAAGTTGGTGGTAGGCGTGGGGTTGGTGAGCTTTCCTCTGATACGAGCTTGGACTGGACGCCGACAACGCAGTACCAGCAAGTTTATTCTCGAGGGTGTCGTTTCAGACGTTCACAGCATCAATGAAGACCTGGTAAGTAGGCTCATGAGCAAGAGAGCGCGCACATCTCATTTTGAACAAAACCCACCCACGCGGATGGCATCGCCGGCTTGAGCCCGCCGCTTTGCGGTAGCTCGCACATGGCCGAAAAGTTCGCCGCCGTCTGATAAGCAATGCAGCGGAGACTTGACCGAGACGGGACTAGAGTACTCGTGAAGTCTATTTGACGAGATAAGAGCTTCCAGACCTTTGAAGTGTGGACGAGATGAATTGCTCGCGTGCGTTTGTTTCCCTGCTATCGAAGCATCGAGTGGAAGGAAATGAAGAGAGACTCATGCAGGCGGCCTATATTGCATGAACATATGCAGCTTCCATGCATTTGCCCCATGTGCTACAGATCGCCACGGCAGTGTTGGTACTAACATGTACGGACTACGCTGCTTGGCTTCTCGAGGTCGGCTGCTTATGATCATCAGCATCGAAACCGGCCATGATTGACACAGCATAAAAGCAAACACAGAAGATGAGGTGAGATAAGAGAGAGCCAGTAAGACAGCTGGTGCGAGGATCACGCCGTGGTAGGTAGAGTAAGCGAAGACGCTTTGCCTTTTCAAGAGACGATCCGCAATGTCGGGAAGTCCTGACTCAGGTGAATTTCAGCTGCTCGACCTCAGATATCATTCTCAATACCCAACAATGTAACGCCTCTTTCTGACCTTCAAGCAATGGATGTTCACGCTCGTGGACATACGACTTGGCAACGTCTCTCTCGTTCATGCTCATGACCACGTATCACGCCGACCTACCCCGCTGATTCCATCGACAGAGTTCTGCGGAGCTCGCCGCAATACTCCAAGTGCGATTGCAGCCTGGCCGTGACGAAGCCCAGCTATGCGGACGTGAAAGCTTTGTGGACAGGAAGACGAGGCTGCGTTGCCAGACAAGTTTGGATCATCGTGGGACGGCTGAAAAACCAGAGATGTGCACATGCATCTCACAGATCCTGGGTGGTTGTTCGAGCTGAGCCGCAATGTGATATTCGTGGCGGAACGTCTCTGGAGTCGGTCAACTTTCGGACGTATGGCCATTAGCAGGCGTCCCTCAAGTTGCAATTGAAGCATGTTCAAAAAGAAGCTGATCCGCATCTCCAGTCGCGATAAATTTCCCCGGTCTCTGTTTGGGCTTGATTAGTACTCTGTTCATGTTGGCGTGATGCGTGTCCATGGGTTACAGAAGCTTACAGTTCAGAGAGGATTATCAAGTTCAAAAGATTGGCCTTAGCCATCTAACAGTGAAGCTACAAATACCATCACGTCGCAAGGTCGATACTACTAGGAGGAAGGCCATCTTCCCATATTCTCGTCGCTTCGTTATAGCGCACAACTGGACGTGCGGCATCGTTTCCTGGTATTGCTTATGGTCAGCGAGAACATTTGGCTGTACACTTGCAAGATATGTTGGAACATTGGGAAATCAATCAGGCAGTCCTTTATGTCGGCTCGTATATATCGGATCCACAAGTCTGGCTCATCATGTCATGGTGTATAGAAGGAAAGCCTAGAGGTCTTACGCTTTTCGAATGATGGAGCTTGATGTCCTTGCGTTGGCGGGATCGAGATCGTGGCGACACATGCTACGGCATGATAGATGGGGAGGTAATGCAGTAGATTTTGCCTTGGCGCTCTCCAGCTTGAGGAGCTATCTCAAATTCGTGGCTCGTGTGGCAACGCCGGAGGCGCTTGAAGGCTTCCCCGATGTCCCGGACACAACTTGACGTTGCTCGATTGATTATCAGCGTCGGATTAAGCATCACTGATGTGGGTGTTGCGGTTGCTGGAACGGTGAAGTTAGCTAGTCAGATCTAGCCAATCAAGTGATGAGATAGCAATTCAGAAGATGCTGGTCAGAAAGGAAGTAAAGCTCCGCATTGCTTCGCTCGGATCAAATGAGAATACAAGACTTGAGTCATCATGCAGACAAATAAAGTGCTAGTCATTGTGAAATAGACTCACTAAAGTGGTAGCGCGTTCCTCGGCCAGCGTCAAAAGTCTGGCTCTCATACGTTGAGGTTGCTGTAATGATTTGAGAGATCGGCTGTCTTGCATTCAGGAGCAACGCATCTTGTTGCGAGACTCGGAAGGTCCAGTGGTGTGGTCATAGCCCGACCGATGGTTACATCAGTTCCTGCAAAGAGTCATTATCATGCAGCAATAAGATTCATCCACCGTGCTGTGTTGGTAAAAGGAATTGTCAGAAGTGTAGTATCATGAATCTTAGCAAATCATCCTTGATATTATGTATGGCTTGGTTTGGCTGTCATCATCCAACGGGATTCATGGAACGCAGTCGGGAAAGATTTACGTACTCGGCCCAAGGCAACCTTGGAGTGGTAAGCCAGGCTATGATCGCTTCCAATCTTTCGCAGCCATCCGTGCTGGGAGTTCTTGATCTGCCTTTGATGCGATTAGCCTGATGTGCTGTTAGCTGCGATTTGTGGTCATTGCCTGTCTCAGAACTAGTTCAACAATAGATGGAAGTGCTAGCAGGGGGGATATCTGTTCCAATGTCCACATCCTCACTTTGGCATGTAAGATATCTGTTCTTTGATCATCATGTAAAGCTGGCTTGCGGGTATTACTATGGAAGGCGAAGGGTGACCTACGTTGACCCACTACGACGATTCTTGACGGCGTGGGCGGCTACGTGGACCCCCGTCAGCTCCCAATGCTGTCCGACCAGCTGGAAGTGAGCTCTGTAGAATGAACCATTGTTTTAGTCGCAGATTTGTAAGCTGTTCTTGTCATGGCTCGGAGTGGCTTCCTTGTCGCGGTCGTCAACCGAGGCGGTTGTAGAAGAAGTTGCGTCGGTCTCCGTGCTACGTGTCAACATGGTGGATCATGCGAGGCGATGGATTCGCCGAATATCGACTGTGGTGTACTGGTAGACTGTTGAAGGTTCAGAAGGTGGCGTGATGGACATCGCGACCTCTGGTAGTAGGTTCTGCGTTGTAGTCTTGGTGTTGATCAACAGGGTTAGTGCTGTCGAAATCGAAATTTCTGAGTAGAGTGTCATGCTCGTCAGCAGTGATCGGCCCCACCTGCCTGTCGTTCTTTCCTCGTATATCGGAGCCATCTGCAGGGTCACTAGTAGCTTTTGCTCTCTTGCGGGCTGACATGTGCTGCTCGAAGGCTTTCATCACCCCCAGCGGCTTGCTGTATCGACAATATCGACATAATATCTGCACCTAATTCACATTGACGAGATTTGGATCTTATCGATCGTCCGTTCGACGGGACATGACGCTCTCGTTCGAATATCGCCCCCCACCCTAGAGGGTTGGGTAAAGAAAACGCTGGCTCAATACGGGCGGAGTGACAGTAAACTCTGAGCTCCCACATGCAAGAGTCATCACTAGCCAGTTGTTTCTTGTTATGCCTACATAGCAAAGCCCATCACTGATCTGTCTACACGCAGCATAGTGTGGTCGTTAAGGGCACAGAATCTCCGAGCAGAGAAAGCCGCATGAAAAGAAGCGAGATGAGTGCACACGACTACGAGTAGATAAGGTCGAGAGCAAAACATTGCGAAATGACATCAAGCGACTCTTATACTAGCAATATGTTTGCAAGCCCAATGAAGCGTCGTCGATCACCTCCTACTTTGCGCCAAAACCAAGCCGGATGTGAGAAGATATCGACCCGTCCTTTCCAATGCTTTGCTAATCGTTGTCCCCATACTCTGTCATTGTGGCACGGGTTTGTGATCACGAGATGGTCAATCTACTCCCCCGTCAGAGATGCATGCTGTATTGGGTCGATGCGCATGTCTTGGGGAATGAGTCCAGTATAGAGCTTCTTCTGTGCATCCATTGATCGTTTGCGCCGTCGGTATCATGCTTGTTTCCTCAGGTATGAGATTACTGACACCCGCTGCTAGCACAGCGACATATACTTCTGATTAATAGGGCTAGTGAACCATTGAAGGATTGCGACAGGAGTACAGGGGTTCGTGTCAGCAGGATCGATCAACTGAGATGATCTCATGAGGACTATCGAAGATATCCTAATCATGATCCCGAGGCTCGAGACTGTTCCTTCGTCAGGTGATTAGCTGGAGCTTAGAAACCACCGCTACAGATAAATTGGCCCGAGCATGACAGCCCCCATTTCTCTTCCTCCGCGATATCGTCAACGCCGTATGGAGACGTCCGTATATCATTGGCTACTAAGAGCAGTGCACTAGTTCGATGCAAGTGGGGGACTCCTCACACCACATCCTCATCATCGTCTGCTACATCGAGCCCTTCACAGAGTCCATTGGTCGTCAGATCCTTGCCCGCTAGCCGCTGCTCTTCTTTCACATGCTCACCTGCGGTCTCGTGCTGAAGCAACTATTGGTCCCTGTCTCCTACACGCTAAGCATCGTACCGCTTTCACATGCTCAGCCAGTCTGGATTGAGACCGTCATTCGTCGTTGATTCGTACGCGCTAGCTGGTGTACAGCTTTCACATGCTTCATCGGACCCCATCATCAAGGTTGGTGCTCCAAGTCGATGATCGATGGTGGCTATCGTCGACTAAAACACCAAGACGCGCCGGAAAGTGTACGTCGATGCAGCTGCACTGCGCAACATCGTTGTCGAACAGTGCAGAGCTCGCTGGATGCAGAGGGCTGCTCAAGGATTCGCCGTCGTGAGTTTCGAATATACCAATGATTACCAAGACTGGCAGGCCGAAGTGACAATCCTGAGGAGCCCCAGCTTCGCATGCGCACATGAATCCGCTGTGCTCCTGGTATGCCTTCAATTCTGGTGCATCTTATGTGCCGTGCCGGTAAGCTACACAAGATTACTCCTACAAATGACAAAGTAGTCGCCCAGCTCGCGATGAGCCGCCTTTGACATCGTTCGAATTTTGCGATGGCAGCAGTCTCTTTTTTGATCACTGTGGAGTCAAGGTGGTTTTATGGTTTGATTTTCCCGCAGAGCTACTGTCTATCACACTCAACCTGTACCGAACCTTTGACGACGCAAAATGCCTTATCCTACTACTACCGACGTACAGGAATATCGAAAAGCTACCAGCACAATTTGCTGCATGATGTTCGACGCTTGTACACGATCAACCGATTTCATTGTTCATCCTGCGTAAAGATATTTCTGTCGCGATGGCAACCATGCGCGATGAACCCAGAAGAAGTTTGGTGGACGTACCGACAAGCGGTTACCCAAACACGGTGTGTGAATTGTTTCTCATCTCCATGGATAGAGGCCGTACACAAGAGCCTTAACAGAAGAAGGACAGTCTGCGAGGTGTTAGAAGATCCGCTCATGATCTGGAATATCTACCACAGGCTTGTGGTGATTGCGTCATACCGTGCGCGTCGAAGCGGACGTCTACCTTCTTTGTGGTGGCACAGTTGTTTGCAGACACAAGCCAAGGAGATCGTGATCGTGATGCTGGGGCCATTGTAGTACAAAATCGAGACTTGCGCCCGGGCGGACAGCACGGAGGCACCTCTGCACAGGTTTCGTGTCGTCGCGCTGGACTCAGCTAACACGAACGTTCTTTCGGAAAGGTCACTTCCCTGCTTCCAGCTTCACTACGGCTCGGAACTCGAACATACGCATGCTCTGTCGACGTCTAATCTTCAGGACCTATTGAGATGGATAAATATCAAACTCGGCAACGTGCCATCTGTGTCTCTCCTGGGAGCAATGGCTCGATGAGTGTATTACTGCATCCGCAAATCGTCGTGCGTGAACACACCACGCTTTCCAAGCGCGCTTGATCCCACCATCCCGGCTCGATCTCAATCGATCACATCACCATGATTATCACTGAGATCAATGGCTCTGTATCTGCATCTGTTTGGGCATTTAGACAGTTATTCGTCCTCTACTACGCAACAAGGATTATCAGACTCAATAACTGCTTGGTTCTCCATGAACCCCCTCTCGCTTATGGCTGAGAATTGCCCCGTCAAGCGCTCTGTGCAATCATCCAGAACGCTTTTGCAATGGTCTCAGTGATCTTGATGGCAGGTCGACAGTCAACTCTGATCTCATCAGGCGGTAATCGTGGTGCTGGTACATAAGCCACCACTCTATCTAGCCTTCCATCGACGACGGAGGTTGGCACATCGGTCGTACACAGAGGAGGATACTTCGTCTGAATTAGCGTTGCGGCAGAGCTGGGCAGTGAAGTAGTCTGAATGTACGTATCCTCGGTATCATCGCTCTTTCCTCCTGGCAGTGAATTTGCGTCTGTCTGTCATGTGAGTATCCTCGTGCGACTGGTCAAACGACGCTACGACGTTTTCGGTCGAAGTGAAGCTTCATGTATGGTTATCCTCACTTTGACCTTCTCCTTCTTCCTTCTCACCGTCAACAATGGAAGACGAGAAGATTGTTTGGTTGGCCGAGTTCTTCGCGGCACTCAAGTAAGTTAACCATCAACAGTAGTACTATCGATGACAACGATGCTGACGATGGTCAATAGGACTCCCCCCTCTCCTCCCCCGTCGCCGCCCATCACCTCCCTCGACCGCTGGTCAACACGGGCGGTTGACGAGGGAGGAGTTGGAGGAGCTGTAAGTATACGAGACTCACCACACTATAGTTGAAACATGACTGACTGTTTGCAGCGAGTGCGTGCTGGAGATGGGCAGATTTGCGCAGTCGAGCCGCGGCGTTCCGTAAGTGAAGTTGTGTTTCTTACCTACTACATCTCTCCACCATTCCCGCCATACCCATTTACTTCCAGGATGTCAACAACTGTTTCCACTGGACAGAAGCGCTCACAAGACTGCAGAGCCCGCTCCGCCAGCTCAGAACCATTGTATCTCAATGGGATCGCCATTCTGCGAGTCCAAATTCGCGCCCTCTCCTGATGTCTGAGCAGCGTATGCTAGTAGCATATGTGAGCAGCACATGCAGTCGACTGGGATGCCGGCTTCTCCTGAAACGCATGTTTATGGAAGGGAATGCATTTCGCAATAACCTTGACGGTTCTCCAGCACAGCCGCCTCTTGGAGAGCTGCATCGACAGGCCATCGAAAGCCACGATGCGCGCACCTCGTACAGCATCTCTTCCACGCTACGGACAATCTATATAGTTGAAAGACCACTCAGGGCGAAGACGTGAAGTCCACGAAGCGGAGACTCTGGTACGCTGCTCGTCACGTGCTAGCGTGCGGCTCCCGCGCCGCTCCCCGCGCGCTAGGATCTGGGCTTCCGCTTTCCCAATCTCATCAACATGCACATTGTTTACGCGCTCCTTTACTTTCTTATTCATCCTGGCTTCCCTTTTGCGCTCTAGATGCTTGTATACAGCCATGGAAATAGCTGACAGTCCTCGGAAGCCCCTCCGAGAATTGATAGGAAATCTCTCATATACAGCGACCGCCGAAAACCGAAACATCAGTGGCGAATCTCTCACCAAGCGCCGGCGTATTGACCTAGCCGACCCATCTACCATCAGCATCGTCTCCAGGAGGACCAAGAAGACTACGAAGATCACGACAGACAAGACCGACACTCCCAAACCGACGAAACGGCCCAAAGCTCCGGGAAAGAAACCAAGGACAGTGACCGACGCCGCTACCGCGGCATACCAACCACCCGAAGCTGCTGCGTTACCCGTCAGCACCGTATCAAAGTTCTTCTCGCAGGAGAAAGCGACAGATCGCGAGCCCGGAAAGGCCGCCAAGAAGCCTCGAAAACCACGAGCGAAGAAGTCCGAAGAAGCCACCGAAACCCCTATTACCACTACCAAGAAGTCTCGTAAGAAGAAAGTCGTCATCTCGAAACCAGACCCTCCATTGCTCTACACGCCACTCAAAGCCACAGCACAAGCCGACTCCCAATGCTTCTTTTTCGGGACGTCTAGCCAACTCATGCTGTCCGAATCTCCCACCTTGATACGAGAAATGCAGACCGCTATTGAGGAGTCTGAGGCCCTGTCACAGCCTCCACGGACGAATCTCACGACTTCCCCGAGACGAAGGAGTTGTCTCAAAGTACCCACGGCGCCCCATGGGACTTCATTATCAATTGGGCAGGCGGAGAAGGAGCACTGGTGTGCGTCAGCGAGGGATTGGAAAGGCGGGCTGTTGAGGGAGAAGTCGGGGTTGGCTGCCGCGAAGAAGTCTAAGCCAGTGAAGCAAGTCGTCCCCAAGCCGGTTCCCGTAGAAGTGGTACTGCTGTCAAGCTCTCCCGGCGCCCTCCCTGTGATTGAAACCCTACCAAGTCCAGCTGGGAAGGATTTGCCGCCGAACGGACTGCAGTCGGATTCATTCCTCGATATCGACGAGCTACAGAAGACGCCAGAAGACTCCCGGGCCATACGATCAGACTCCTTCATGAATATAGATGACATCTCCGACCACGAGAAGCCTCCAACACCCTCTCCGCCGCGACGCAGAGCTTCCGCCCAGCTCTCACCCGTCCCAAAGCTGTCATTCGCTATCAAGGCAGCCGACGACCTATCAACAGCACCCGCTCTGGCCGGGATAGCGACCACGAATCCTCTGCCATGTCTCTCAGCCACAGGAGTACTGAAAGCCATGGACGCACAATGGGCGGGTAACAAATCTACCTTATTCCCAAGGATCACAGCCACGGTAAAGGGCAGCAAGCGGTCCTCCGACCCTACAAAACCGAGCTGGCACCAAAAAATCCTCCTCTACGACCCGATAGTACTGGAAGACCTCACGGCATGGCTCAACGAGCAGAAGTTACGAATAGAAGTACGCCGACTGAAACCCAAGTCAAAGGCAAAATCAGGTGGCAAAGGCAAAGGCAAGAAGAAGAAAGCGGACGAAATAGCCCCGGGGGAAGTAGTATCGGCTGCAGTACCAGCGCAAGAAATCGAGACATTGCAGGAGGAACTACAGGCTTGGATGGTGCAGAAATGGTGCGAGGAGAAGAGTATCTGCTGTTTGTGGAAGGAGGGCTTACGAGGTGGGGTGAGGAGCAGGTATTGATGATGTATCTATCTTATTTGGCCCTGATTATCATTCACCAGGACGCTGAAGCATTAAGCTTCGGCTGAGGGAGGATATGGGGAGCTGGGGTATGTAGTAGTGGAGTATGAGAAACGGCCGTTCATGACATTTCGTCCCTTTTAGACGTTCGAGCTTCGTGCGATGATGTGCTGATAAGGGAGATGGCAGCCGAGACGGTCCCGGTCACTGACGAGGGTGGCAATGGTTGAAGATAGGCACTGTACATCTACCAACGACGCAACATGATGCAGAATACAGCGCTCCGAACACCGTGCTAAAACAAGACAAAATCAAACGCTATCCCACACGCAGACAAAAGACCGCCCCAAAACCGCAACCACAACCACATCAAGCAGAAACCCTCTTCCCGCCCCTCCCAACCCCATAAGGCGACAACATCCTCCCCTCCCTCCTCCACCTCACCATGTCCCTAACCGCCAATCCCGCGACAAGCAAACTCAACACCACAAGCGGAATCAAATTCCACCTCCAAGCCTTCATCGTCACAAGATGAACACTCACATCCCTCCTCACCCCGGCATCCACAAAATCCAATTCCAGAACAGCGGAAAACCAATTCTCAGGCGTCCAGAGAAGGTCGGGGTAAGCGACGTAGTTCGGGTATGGATGGTTGTCCAATTTGCTTGCGAGGGAGAGGTCGATGCTTTGACCGGCATGCGTGGCGGTGAGGAGGAAAGTGTAGATTAGAGCTACGATACTTAGGAGGGCGTTGAGGCAGGTGAGGGTTAGCCAGGTGAAGTAAAAGCCCTTCGCGAACCCAGATCCTCCGGTTCCTCCTCCGCCGCCGATTCGTTTGCGGAGGGAGAGTGCCACGATGCCTCCTAGGCCTACGGCGACGAAGGCGGTGCCCGCGGCGCCGTTGGAGGTATGGCCTTGATTTACTAGAAGACCGACGGGTTTGCCGTGGAGGGAGAAGGAGGTATTGTGGTAGAGGATCTGGAAGGCTCCGCCGGCGGTGTAGTGGAGCCAGTACACCATATTCGAAAGCAAGGCCATTTCGAGCGCGGCGCAGAGCATTAGGATGCCGATAGACAGGCGGAGGAGGAGGGAGGACATGGTTGTTCGGCCGCGACGACCGGGGGAGTAGTTGGAGATGGGGTGGTGGAGTTCGTAGTTTTGGGTTAGGTTGGCTTCGGAGGATGTTTGGGGGACGGGGTGGTAGGGTTGCAGGTGCAGGGATTGCATTTGTGTTTTGTGTTTAATGTTGGGAGGGTGAGAGGGGTTGTGATGTTGAAGGAGCGGGATTGATAAAGGTATGAAGGAAGGGCTTTGGTGGGCGAGATGGCAGAGATGTGTTTGTTGGTGCTGACGAGTGTCGGGTCTTCGACGTGGTCGGGTTCGGCGGTTCCCAGGGCTGAGTCTCCGGTCTGACTTCTGGTGTTTAGCTACTGCATGGAGGGAGAGTACGAAGTTGCGGTAGGGAAATTTTCGGAGAGTTGTCAGTCGTGGCGGAGTAGTGAGCAGAGTATCTGACCTGGCCTGATGGTCTCTGCTTGAGTGAGGTAGAGATGAGACTTTGCGGTGGAGCAGAGATACAGAAGTTGTGAATAGTGAACGTAATCATTACATTGCACGATCCTTTCGCACAGCTGATGCCAGTGTTTACCTACCATGCATGCTTTCGAAGCGACCTGTGCGTCAAGAGCTAGCCATGTTCTGCCAGCAGTATGTAGAATATGTAATTAGGCCGCAATAGTCGTCGATCATGGCCACGCCGGTATCAGCATGCTGGGGCCGGAAAACACGAAACATGGTTGGTAGGAATGGAGTCGACGCCAGAAGGAGAGCAGACGGCCGGCTCATGTCAGCGTGGCTTGGATCCTGCGGCTATGACCCCATTGGCTATTTATGGGTGGCTGCGCTATGCTATGCATAGTTTTGTTGGTAATGGTTTTGGCGGGCATGAGAAGCACAGGCATGGATGTCCGACGGCCTTGGACTATTGTATGACTGTGATCTATAACTAGAGTAGGAGATGGGGTCTTTGTCATCGTGCAGTGTATGTATGGTGAGCTGAAACATGAGATGGAATGTTCGTGACTGGATAGAGTTTCAGCGCGGAGTTGCTTCCGCCAGCATCATGAAACGCGGGCTCGGAAATGGCGGGGTACTGTAAGAATGCGAACTTTTGATGAGACAGTACTGTAATTGAAGATTGACATCACACGACTCATCCTTCACTGGCATTCCTTTCGCTCTTCACATCCCCATGATTACCCGATAGCACCACGCCTCTACCTATCACGACCGCCACCATGCCCTTCCTCCCCAAAACGTCGCCGGAAAGCGAAACCCTCTACACCGACCTCCTCGCCGCCGCCCAAGCCAGCGACGAAGGGCTCAAGAAACTCTTCTACCAACCCGACATCAAAGACCTCGCCGACGCCACGGCCAAATCCGTCGACATGCTCCTCCGCTTCATCCAAGAGCTCGTCTCGCACTGCCTCCTCCGCACCTCGCGCCAAGGCGGCGCGCTATGCTGGTCCACCCGGCCCCGCGCCGCCGCAGAGAATATCCGCGCCCTGGCTACGAATGAAAGGACGTTGTACGAGTACGTTGAGGATAGCCATACGAAGGGGATATGGTTGCGGGAACTGAAGAAGCGGTCTGGGATTGAAGAGAAGAAGGTGGAGCGGGCGATGGCGAAGCTGGAGAGTGCGCGGTTGGTGAAATTGATTAAGAATATCCGGGCCCCGGCGCAGAAGACCTACATGCTTGCGCATTTGGTGCCGAGCGATGATGTGACGGGGGGCAGTTTCTTCGACGCCGGCGATTTGGATGAGAGTTTGATTGAGGAGGTGGGGAATTTGATCGTGTTTCATGTAAGAAGTCAGAGTTGGGAGGAGAGGAAGGTGTATTCCAAACGTCCGCCGCGTGCTGAGTCGCCGATTTACATCAATGGTCATGGTGGCGGTGGCGAGGCCGAAGTGGGCTCGAAGCGGAAACGCAGCCCCGACATCGAGGACATGGCCGCTCCCCACCACCAAAAACCCTCAAAACACCGCTCCCATCGCCGCCGCTCCTCCCCAGACCCAGAACCCTACACCCTCCAGCAAATCCCCCACCCTGCCTCACCCCCCTACCCTTACCCCTCAACCGAAACCATCCACACATGGCTCACCACAACCTCCGCCATCCGCCAATCCAAAGCCCAACAGCTCACCCTGGCCGAAATCCAAGGCGTCATCGATGTTTTGGTGTGGGATGATAAGCTCGAACGGATCGCGGGGGGGTATAGGACTGTGAGGGGGGTGGAGTTTCGGCCGCCGGGGTTTGGGGGTGCGGTTGGGAGCGGTGGTGGTTGGGGTGGGTATGGGGATGGGGATGGGGATGATGAGGGGGAGGGAGAGGATGAGGGTGAGGGGTTGGGGGCGACGAGGAATGGGAATGGGTTGACACAGGTCCCTTGTGGACGGTGTCCGGTTCTTGAGCTCTGTGGGGTTGGGGGCGGGCAGGTGAATGCGGGGAGCTGTGTTTATTTTCGGGAGTGGTTGGGGAGGGAGGTCTAAAACCTCTCGTTTCGGAGTTTGCATTCAAATTTAGTCCCGTCATCTTTTAAGCGTAGGCGCTGATCGGTAGTGTTGCGGTGTTATGTCTTCTAGTAATTGGCATGGCTGGGTAATCCTCAATCTCATTCCCCTACAGACGCCTGTGTCTCGCTGTGCATCATCCTCCCCCACCCACCCCCTTCCTCAGATTATACCGGAAAATTCCCATCGACCACATCCGGGTCTTCATATGACCAAAAGCCACCCCGGTCAGCATTACGATGGATTATTGAGACGGTCGTAGCTAATGACGGTACCGCCACACGCTCGGTAAGGAAAAAGGCCGAGCCGGGATGCTCGCTCGGTGTGTCAACGAATGCTATACTCCGTCAGTATGCAGAGCGAATTTTTCCCCTATCAGCCTTTTTCCGGCGATGGTTTGCCCGGATCTGTCATGGCAGGATTGCGATGTTTCCGGTAGGTTGGGTCAAATTGTATTAGTACCGTATCACCGCTCGTGATAACAATACAAAAGACCGCGGAGAACATATCGGTAGCAAAGTGGCAAAGCATGATTGTATCGTGACAAGAGTGGTATAGTCTAAGAAGCAAAAAAAACTAGCCCAAGTCAGTGTCGGTGTTGACCGCGGATCGAAAATCCCCGACGCCAACGCTGTGTATATCCGACAAGCATTCCATCATGAAAAAGTCATCAAATGTATTCCAACCAGAAGATTGCGGATCTTCCTTGGTCCTTCCCCGGGTGGGCTTCTACTCCACTCTCCCGAACCTCTCTCTCAGAACTCTCACTTGTTCCCTCACCTACCCCTTCCCGCAGGCTCGGGAACCACGACCCGGAAACCCCCTCCCACACATACACGTTCTGGCCCTGGTTTTAACTACCATCCCTCACAACCCCCCTTCCTCACCTCCGTACCCTCATCTCCAACCACTCCTGTCCTCCATCTCCCTTCCCCCTCAACCCCCAACATCCCCCACCCCGCTCCTCCTGTTCACTCATGTAACATATGCGTAGGACAACTCCCCCCACCCCTCCTCTCCCACCACCCCCTGATACAAAGTCTATGAAACCGACACAAACACTCCATCCTCCCCATCTCATCCCCCGGCTGAAACTCCTCGAAGCAAATCACGCACTCAACTTGTTCCCCCGTTTCGGCGTCCAGGCAGTCTTTTTCCGTGGCGCGGTAGAGTGCCATGCCGCGTTGGGGGCGGTGGGAGGGCGCTCTTGCGCGGGTGGGGTTGGAGGAGGGGTTTGTGGTTGTGGTTGTTGCTGTTGCTGTTGTTGTTGTTGTTGGGGGCGTGGAGGCGGAGGGCAGGGATGAAGAGGCGGAAGTGGAGAGGGCTGAATCGTGATCCGCGGGTAAAGGTGAAGGCCGAGAAGGGGGCGGCGGACCCATAGCCGTGGTGGTTGAGGAAGGCGTGCCGGAGCTAAAGCGCGTGGCGATACATTCCTGGATATGTGCCTCCCTCACCTGCTCACCAGCTGGCATTTCGATCCCGCAGACGGGACATTCGTCTTCTTCTTTGATCACTCTGCGTGGCGGTCGAGGTTGTGGTGGGGCTGAGGGTGCCATTGTGATGGGTGGTCGCGAGGAGGATGTAGGCAGTGGGATGTGGGTGCTGTGGGAGTAGCGGTGGCTTGATGGTCGTGTGTGATGGGGAGGCGGTTGTGGTTGTGTATTGCCGCTGGCATACGCGCTTCCGTGATTTGAGGGTGGTGGGCGGCCGAGAGGTGTCCCGGTCGAGAGTGGGATACTCCTACTGAAAGGTGCAGAGATAGGCTGATGCGATTGGCTTCGGTTTCTGGTCCCGGGTGGCATGTTCGCAGCAGCAGGCATATATCTATACCGCTCCGACCTCTGCCTCTCGACCTCGCCCGCATTCCTCGCACCATCAATCAAAGGCCTCGCCCTCACAGCCCCCTCTTCACTCCCTGTCCTGGCCGCACTAGGCACCTCGGGCGTCCAAGGATCAGGCACACACGGATTGCACACCCTCACCACTTCCCCACCCCCCAAGCCCCTCCTCTCCTGCTCCCCCCGCTGCTCAACCTCTTCCAGCCCGAACTCGGCCAGGTAAGGGTTTGGTGGCTGCACGATGTACTGTCTTGGGATGGTGATGCGATGGGGTGAGCAGGCGGCACAGACTACGCGGCCGCATTTCCGGCAGTGGTGTCTGCGGTTCCAGAAGGCGAAGACGGTGTTGCAGACGGGGCAGCTGGAGACGCTGTTATCAGGTTGCCATTTCGGGAGGAGGGTGTCGCTCTCTTGGCGAGTAGGGGTGTTTGTGCTTGTTCTTCGTGTAATCTGGTTGGGATCATTTGGGTTGGTGATGCTGCTCGTCGGTCGTGGAGGCGTGGTGAGATCGAGGGGTGTCGCTCTCGTCCCACTCTCTGGCCTGGTCGGACTCATCGCTGCTGACCCTTGGCGATTATATCTCGACGGCACTCGTGAACTGCCTGCAGCAAAAGTGTGATAGGGATAGTTCCGCCTCTCCGACTCGGCCTGAGCAGTATTCTTGCGCTTCCTCTCAGCACTGGAAGCTCGCTGGTCTTGCTCGGGCACTGTGCCGCCTGCTGTTCTCAGGAATTGCAGCCAGGTGAGATCATCTTCTGATGGGCGATGATGTGATGTAGGGCGTTGTGTTGAGTTCGAATTCGGCTGCTGCGGTGGTGGGACCGCTGCTGACCGATGCAGAGATGCGCTGGGATGCGATATGCGGTGGTGATAGTTTATGGGATAGTGTGGAGGGCTGCTCATGCTCGCGTGCTCGATCAGATTACTCGATCTACTCGCTTCTCTCCCGAAATCTCCCGATATAATGACTGTAAATTACTGTAACTATGAGTACAATAATGCAGGAGTGCAAGCCGGATGCATGTCAAAGGAGGATAGTAGTACTGTGATTGTCGTCTGGCCTTGCATGCTGCCTATCGACCGATGTCCTGTCCGCTCCGCATACAGTAAGCTCGCCTTTTTGACGCCAGTGGCGGGGCACCGTCCCGGAACTCTGAAACCTGAAACCTGAAGCTCGATCCAAAATAGCAATCCAAGAGAGGCAAGAACAGGATATCAAGTATGGTAAGTGTATAGCAATAGCGACCGAGACGATGTAGTTATCTATTTAACTATTTACACTCCGATCAACACAGTACCTGAACTAGAAGGGATAGTGAAAGGGAAACATTACGAAAGCGATGGATCAGTCGTGTCAGTCGTGTCACATGCTAGCGCCGATCTCTTCGGCTTGCTCTTCCGACATCCACGCCAGTGCACACGCGACTCAAGCAGCTTGAAAGTCCAAAGACTCGAACAGGCATATATTCACTTCACGTTGTCTGCCATTAACGAGCTACTACCCACCCTCCGACCTACCGTAGCGATCACTCAGTACTCTGACAGTCATCAACCATGTCCTCCGATCCTCGCCGCCGAGCCCAACCACCACCTCCTCCGCCTCCGCCGCCAGCAGCCGCCACACCAGAAACCATTCCCCCGATAACAACTTTAGACGGCACGACCGACGAGCGAGAAATCCAATCTCCCCCCAACGGCAGCACTCACCCACAACAACAACAACCGCCAATAGTAGAACCGACCCCAACAGAATCAACCCCCTACACCCTAAAATTCTGCACCGTCTGCGCCAGCAACAACAACCGCAGCATGGAAGCCCACCTCCGCCTCACCACCACCACACCCCCCTACCCCACCATCTCCTTCGGCACGGGCTCCCTCGTCCGCCTCCCCGGTCCCTCAATCTCCCAACCAAATGTCTATAATTTCAACACTACCTCCTACAGCAGTATGTACGACGAACTCGCCGGAAAAGACCAGCGTCTGTATCGCGCGAACGGGATCTTGCCGATGTTGGAGAGGAATAAGGGTGTGAAATGGGGGCCGGAACGGTGGCAGGATTGGCGGGTTGGGGTGCCGAGGGTGGGGAGGCGGAGTCCGGCGGCTGTCTTACAGGAGCAGGAGGGGCAGGGGCAGGGGCAAGGACAAGGTGGGCCGGTACAATATCATACTACTGCGAAAACAGAAGCGGAATTCAAAGACGACGCGGGATACGCGGGCACCGAAGCCGGAACGGTAGATATCGTCATAACGTGCGAAGAACGCTGCTGGGACGCCGTGGTCGACGACCTCTTGACCCGCGGTAGCCCTCTCAATCGTCCCGTCCACGTCTTCAATGTCGATATCAAGGATAATCATGAAGAGGCTTTGGTGGGTGGGAAAGCTATTCTTGAGCTGGCGGACGAGTTGAATGCGGCGGCGCGGAGGGAGAGGGATGTTTGGGTGAGTGGAGGTGGGGAGGAGTCGGGGTTTGATGGGGGTGTGCAGGGGGCGAGGGAGGGGTTTGATGAGCGTGTTCCGGAGATTTTGGCCGGGTGGCAGGAACGGTGGCCGGGGTTACCGGCGTTGTGGACGCTTGCTTGGTTTTGATGGAGATTGGGGGTTTAGGGGAGGTAGGTGTGGATGATGGGGAGGTGGGGGTGGATGATGGGGAAGTGTGAGGTGGTGGAGTTGATTTTTGTCTGTGGCTTGATGATGATACCCCCGAGTTTTCAGCGCTTAGATACTATGCTATGATATGTACATGTCTGCGCACGTCGCTTCCGAGTCTTCTTTGCCCGTTGTTCCTCAATTACTCATGTCAGCTCATCCGCCTTGCCATCAGCTCCTTTCCCGAAACAGTGGGGCGGTGTGTCAGATAGCCCGCTCGAAGAGGGGTGGAGCTGATATTTCTCCGCTCAGCCGCCGCACGACTACCAGTACGTGTGCATTTGCACTTTCGACCGTTGGCGGCGAGATAATCGGCGGGTCGAGGATGCTTTCTGGAATCCCGGTTCTGATATTTTCATTTTGGCATGATGTGCCAAACGAGAAAACTTCGAAAGATGCTTTTGGGGAGCTGCGTGGACAGGGCGTGATGGGCTCGCCGTATCTGGACAGGGAAGTTCCCATTTCCTCGGTGCGCGCCTCACGAGCGCAGTCCTCTTGTTGGCGTGAGAGGAGTGTGTCCGGAGACAGTCGGAGGATATGCGGGTCTCCAAGGTAGCTCGATGCGATCGCCACCGCTGGAATTTCCGTCTAGTAGCAGCACGATTTCCCTTCCTCACGATCTCGGCGGCAACCTCGAAGCCCCGCCGATCCCCTCCACCTCCGCCTCCTCCCCACCAGAGAAAGGCAGTCCCTCGCCCTCCCCCCCACCGCCTCCATACGTCTCCTCCATAGACGGCACAATGACATCCCATTGCTCTGGCTTGTTCTCGTTCAAAATCTCCGCATCTATATCGATCACTGCGTCACCCCCCTCCCTCCTCTTGCTCTTTTCGACATCAACTTCAGACCTGAACTTGAAAGCCAGGACTCCACCATCCCTCAACCCGGCACCTTGTGGACAATCCGTGGCTTTATTTCCTCCCGACTTGGCAGCCCCGACGACAGCACCGGCTTTTCCCTTTCCCTTCTTATCCTCCTTTACCACACCACCTTCCTCTCCTCCCTCCCCTTGCTTCTCCGCCTCCAATGTCTCCCACCCTAGACTCAGATCATTATTATCCACGGGTCTCGCAAGTAGGACTTCGCTCTCATGCTGTGGGATCTCGTGACTGTTGAGTATACCGCTTGGATTTGTCTGGTGCAGGGCTCTGAGCAGTTCGGTGCGGACGGAAGAAAAGGGCTGGAGGGGCGAGACGTGGAGGAGGATTGTGGTGCGGGAGTGTTTGAGGCGGAGGGTCCAGGTTTGGGGGTTTGGGGGGTTTGTCATGGTTGTGGTCGTGGTCGTGGTGTTCTGGCTGGGGCTGTGGAGTAAAGGGGTTATCGTGTCTGCATTGCAATGCAGATATGAGTTTGTCAAGAAGATGAGGTCATGTTCAAATGGATAGACTTTCGAGATCGCGTGCGAGTCGCGTTGCGGGGATTCATTCATTCATTCATTCATTCATGCGGCTCAACTTCACCTCCGCAACCCGCAACGAAGCACAACCGCATTATTCACTCGACAATAATACACTTCCCACACCTATACAACCGCCAACATGGCGACTCTTCTTACTCTAGACGACACTCACCCACCATCCTCACCCCCCTACAACCCCCTAACCGAACGCCTCAGCACCCCCTTCCCCGCCCGCCTCCTCCTCTCCCTCACAATCTCCACCTTCGCCGGCTTCACCCTCGGCCTGAGCCAAGGCGGCCTAACTTCCGGCCTCCGCTTCCGCGCCGAAAACGCCCATCGCTTCCCCTCCACGCAAACGGGATGGTATCTCTACCACAAATCCAAGAACTACCATATCGCGCTCGGAGCCGTGCGGGAAGGGTTCCGGATGGCGGGACGAGTGGCGTTGGGGGCGGGGGTGTTTTTTACGTTTGAGGAGGGAATTGATCGGGCGAGGGCGGGGGTGTTGAGGCAGTGGAGGGAGGTTAGGGGGAGGAGGTCAAGTGAGGGGGAGGAGGATCGAACGATCGAGAGTTGTAGGGATTTTGTTAGTACGATTTTTGCGGGGCTGGGTACGGCGGGCATGTTCAGTGCGTGGAATCGGTTTCCCCTGTCTACGGCTGTGAGGACGGCGAAGAAGGCGGTGAGGTATGGGTTGCTTTTTGGGGTGGTGCAGGATATGCTTAGTGTGGCACGGGGGAGGCGGGTGGGGTATGTGGAATTTGTTAAGAGTAGAGTCTTTGGGATGAGAGCTGGGGCTGTGAAGGAGGTGGGGGTTGCTGGGTGAGAGAGGTGTGGTTACTGGTTTTGTTCTATGAAGACATGGTCGACGACTTCTGGTCCGCCAGCAAGAATGGAGGTCTGGCGCCAACATTACCTCACGTACGACTTTGCCTTCGAGTTGCAACATGACGTCCACCCAATGAAGTCTGGCCGCTTGACGGCATGCCGGACAGGACCGAAGCAGAGATAACACAAGTCATGAAAGATGCGGCAGAGTGGAGCACGACGAAGATTGAAGCGTTCGTGCTCAGGCATGGCCACCAGTCTCTCCTTCTTGAGCCGAAAGCTGTGGACAAATGTAACGCCAATCTTGCATGGAGGAAAGCAAGGAGAAAGTAGACTGGTTCTTGAGAAGATTGCACTGAAACCCCGCCCGTGCGTCCATGAGAGAACAGCTTCGCTGAAATTGCGTGCTGCCCAAGCGACGGATGAAACCTTTTGCTACGGCTCGCCTGGCAGGAGCAGGCTCTGGCGATCGCGGGTCTTGAGGGGTGTGATCTGCCTGGAATGTATGCGCAGATCCATTTGAGTATGCCTCTATTCACATTTGCCCTAGTCATCAGACCGCCGGCTAGGGGTCATCGCGGAGAAACGAGTTTCGACGCGCACCGGCTATTCACGCTTTGTCAGATTCGTGAATGGAGTGGCTCGCGCCAACCCCGACGCGCACACGAAGTTTTGGTGGCTGTCTGGTCGCTTGAGGATGATATAAAGTCTCTGGTGTCAGAGACCTTCATAAAACGTCAATGCCGAGCGTCAAGAATCCGCACTACCACCCCATCGAGCGAGACTCATCATGGCGACTAGCCAAAAGGTACAAGCTCTGAGACACTCCACCTTCTCTACACCCCTTAAGAGCGTCCGACACCTCTCATCACGCTCGCCACCATCATCTGCAGCTCCAGCCCTCATCGAAGTCGAAAACAAATTTCGCCCCAGCGGATACCTCAAAGAACTCCTCGGCTTAGCGCCTCCCACTCGTCCTACGATCTCCTCACTGCTCCTCGGCCCAAAGATCTACCCCTCTCTATCATTCGAAGCTCAGACAGGCAAGCTCATCAAAGACCAGTACTACGACTCGAACAACAAGCTCTCATCGCAAGGAATCTGGTTACGGTACCGTATGTCCAGATCCGTGACAGAGAAAGTCACGGATATGAATTGGCGGGACCTCCCTCCGACGGACGATCCGTCGGCGTTTGCGCGGTGGGAGGCGAAGGTCAAGATCAGTGGTGATTATCAGGACTCGGCGTTCACGGAGGTGGAGGGAGGAGCTGCAGTTTTCGGCATGCTACCGTCTCGGCGCGACTTCGATTTTGAGAAGCTTAATATGGTGGCTTGGCTCAATACTTACCGTTCCAGCTGGCGCATCGCGAGCAAGCTCCTATCGCAGCAGCAACACGTCGACATCCCTTCCCATCCTACCACTGACGAGTCCTTCATCGTGGTCATCGACAACATCGAGCAAGGTCTAAGCCATCTCTCCGACAAAGGTGCCGGCCGTCCCGACGCTTTTCATCATGAAATCGGCGAGATCGAACTCACGGCTTCTTTGTCTACGGCTGGTTTGAGTGATGGGGAGATCGTGGAGGCAGAGGCTGGAAGGGCTGGGGAGATGAGGATGAGGATTAAGGCGCTCATGATGAGGTATCCGGCTTCGTTCCCGCCGGGTGATGAGAAGGTCGATGGGAAGCTTAGTGCTTATTTGGCTTGGAGGAGGAAGGAAAGACTGGGTGGTTGTTTTGGAGAGGTCTGAGGTTTCTCATAGATTCATAAGGTGAGGGAAGCGGGACGTGCAATCTCGTGGACGGGATCCAGCTGAAGGGGTATGCGGCTGGACTAGATGCTGATGTCTCCTTGATGATTGAGGAGGAAGCAGAAGATGAGAGCCACGGAGCTACGTGATGCTATTCCTTGCTGATTGTCTACATGCGCTTTGGCTACAATTTCCAGCAGAGGCCGATGTACCCCGAAGACGCTAGATTCCAGGACTATGGAGATCGCTACAATTCGCGACACGACTTGCACCGGGTCTATCTCTCGTCCCAGTTCCAACTACCAGACCAAGTCCTCGTTCATACCACCACCGCACGCGTCGGCATTGGCCGTGGCATCTTTAGCCCAATCATACAAACCACCACGTTGCTTGAACGCCACCTCATCCCATTTGACCTCGTCCAAAGCCTCCTGAACACCAACTTCCAGAACACTGTGCGACTGAGTCTCCTTCTCGCCGCTCTTGTCCAGAAAGCTGAGATACTCGTCAAGAATAAGGTAGCTCGCGGCCCGTGAGTTGGTCAGCGTCATATACGTCGCTCGTCATTGGCAGGCAGAGAAGACACACCATAAGCTCATTGCTCTCCGGCACAAGACACTTCAAATGCTTGTGCCTTCCACAGAACCTTTTGAGGAGGAGCAGACCGCGTTTCATGTCGCTTTCGGTGGCGATAAAGCTGGTCTTCTCGGTGTGGAAGCAGAAGGTGCAGGTTTGTTGCATTTCGGGTCAAGTGGTAGTTGACGCTGATTGGGATTGTGCGGTCTGGGTTGGTTGTGGCTTGTTGCCAGCGAGTGTACAGTTGATGGAAGATGAGCGAGGCGACGATGATGATCGCAAGGATCGTGAACAAAGGGTGACGCATGTTGGGCAGTGTGCGCTGTGTCGATCTGATAATGATCTGGCGAAAGAGCAGTCGTCGTCGAAAATATAGGAGTGGAGCTGGCTGGTATCGTTTGCTGCATGCTTGTCTCAGGCTGGACAGAGGCATGCGGTCAATCTGTTGTTCTCGACGGCGGCCTACGTCCCGGCTTGCTACGGCTCATTGCTGAAAGAGCTGGTGTTGAAGACTCCTTCCCACCCAGCAAGCCCAAACACAAAGCCAAGCATCCTCGACTATGGTCCAGGTGGCAAACAGATCATCCCTGAAAGATCACGATCAAGCTGTGGAAGTCTAAGATTGCCTTGCTTGCATCTCTCGCACAAGCTCACCCATCCGGCAAGCTTCGCACCACCATTGCAATGGCCAACATAACCCAAACAGCAACGACACCAAACGAGAAGCAACCACTCCAAGTCGTCTTCGTCCTTGGCCCTCCAGGAGTAGGCAAAGGCACTATCTGCAAGCGCCTAGCCCAAGATTTCGGCTGGTATCACCTATCGGTTGGCGACTATCTTCGTGAACTCGTCAACAGCACAACGCAACTCCCCGTTGCGCAATGTGGTGGTATGTGCTCCGACGAGCTCCTGGCTCACCTGAAAGCCGAAAAGTCGGTGCAAGGCAAGACGATTGCCGCCATTGTCGAGCACAAGATTTTCGTCATCCAAGAGCAAGGTTTCGATCATATTTTCATCGACGGCTATCCCAGGCAAAAGCAGTCTACCGAATTATTCGACGAGACGTTTGGCCGACCGATCGAGATTGTCTGGTTCGGGTGCGTGAAGTCGACGGCAAAGGCCCGATCCATGGGTTGCAAACGAGGCGCCGATGATGATGAGGTGTTGGAAAGCAGATATGCAGAGTTTTTGGAGAACAATCGTGTCATCGAACACCATTACGACGTTCTCATGCAGATTGTAAGTCAGTGTTGTCCCAATGATGTCTTCATATTACTGACGATATGTAGGTCAACACGGACGGCGAGCGTGAGGAGAGTTATGTGAGAGTGAAGGCGGCATTAAGCAAGCTCTTGTCGGGAACAACGGTGAGATAGGAAGATCTGAGATATGGTGTAACGGACTGTGTCCAAGATAGCATAGCGTCGCTGTAAGAGTCTTCAGTCGAGCTCCATTATGGCATGACCGTCCAACCTAACTCGCGACCTGTGACCACCAATCGCACTCTTCACCACTCACTTCCATCACCACTGCCCCCCATACCCGCCACCCATATCACCATTGAACCCAAAAGGCGCCATACCATCGCCCAAGAACCAATTATCCAATCCACTACCCTGCAAGCCATCCACACCACCCAAAGCAATATCCATGGCCTGCTCGAATCCACTGCCCCAGCCGTAGTCTTGATTAGTGGGATCCACCATGCCCATAGATGGCACACCCATTTGTGGATCAAGCTGAGGATATGCATTCTCGGGAGCGTTAGGGTCACCAGCAGGAGCAGGACCAGACGGTTGGTTCCACTTGGGCATCCGATAGTCTGGATGATTGGGAGGAGGTCGTTGACTGTAGTCCATGACGGTCGGGGTGTTGAAAGTCCAGTCGGGTCCACCTTGGCTGTGCGATCGCTGGTGACTCTGCTGGCCTTGAGATTGTGAAGGTGGTGGGTTTGTGGAAGCGACCGCAGCTTGACTCAGTAGATGCAGTGGCGTTTGATTGAAGTCTTTCCTCTGTCTCTCGTGGTCCTCCACCTTCACCTTCCCACTCTGCTGAGCGGCGACATTCTCCTTATGCTTCCCGAACCAGTCGCGCAGAACTGTCAAGATGCGCAGAATCTTCGGGTGCGGCCTGAACTCCTCGCCGCCTTTGCTGACATAGCTGAATAGATTGATAAGTTTGTCGATGTAGTAGTCGACCTTCAGATCCTGCGGCTTCATCATCTTGCCGAGCTCGCTGTTGGGTGTGCACACAGCCACGTGCATCTTGATCAAGATGACGATCGCATATACACAGCGCACAAAGAATAAGAGCATGGGAAGACTCTTAATCGTTTCCGTTTCGTAGCTCAGCATGGTGTCCAGAATCCCATGCGCGGCTTTCAGGCACGCTTCGAGCGCAGCAATCTGATTTGTGGTCAAGGTGTCGGCAGTGTTGTTGACAGACTTCAAACTCTCCTCGGTGAAAGGCAGCCGGAAGTCCTCGATATTGTGATTGAAATGTAACGCAATCTCGTGCAGATACAGGCTGCACACATGTTCGAAGAACTGCAGTCCGGGTCCGCGGCACTCCTGCGGCACTTGTTCTTTCCACGTCTTGAGTTGATTCTCGAGCACGTTCAGTGCGTAGCTGACCTTCGGATCCGTGATGCTGATGGTGGCGGTGTTGTCGTCCATGAGGAATTGGAGCCCGATGTCCTCGCAGATATGCTGAATCTTGACATGTTGGCAGAACAGTTTATCTGATGGGTAGGCGTCTGGATGTGACTCGAGGACTTCGATACACTCCTTCATGTAATTTGTCCAGCGCACAAGATTCGGTCGGCGAAGTACCATTGACGCGCTGTTACATTGTCAGCACTTGGCTAGATTTCAGGATAAGAGCCGGCACTCACCTCGCGCACAGGTAATAGCAACCCAGCCACGCTCTTCTCGCTTCCAGAGTGTCACTATCCTGCGGTAGCGTCTTATGCGGACCAGGGGCGAAGTTCGCGTTGGGTCCTCCAAAGCCTCGTCTTGACTTCGCTGGGTTGAAACGTTTACCAAGACCGATATCAAGAGCCATAACAGCTGCCATGTGTATGATCTGATAGAAGTTGGTCTGCTCAGCTTTCTCTGGAGGCTTATACCATAGTGCCATGACTTGCATTGCTTGGATCAGCTCCAACGACTTCGCTCCATTGCGTACAACACAGTCGGCAACGGCGCCCACAGCCTCACGAGCCAGCGCTCGAGTAATGTCCGGATGAAGCGTGCCGAAGGACGCAGCAGACAGGATGCTCACGTACAAGATTGGCTTGTCTTTGAAGAGCTGCTCCGCAGTAGTGCCTGGTGGGAAGACAACCGCGGGTAGGTGAGGTGCAAGCTTGTTAATATACACGCCAAAAACATCAGAGGCCATCTCTGGATTGATAAGCGAGTTGATGCGGGCAGTAAACTCTTCCGGGCTCGTGTGATGCAGATAGCGCTTCGCGTCCGTTGGCGCCCATGAGTTCTGTATCTCGCTGAAGGTCCTCAGAGGGTCATCATTTGACGTCGATGTTGCTCGAGACAAATCAGGCTGCACAGCGCCATCGAACGCCTGCGCCAGATCCATACGTTGTCGCTTCCGAGATGGCATGACTGGTCCACCCGGCGTGACTTCTGCTGGGCTCTCGTCAAAAGCCTGGCTGTACTGTCCACTCACACTCCCCTCACCAGCCTGCATCATATCTGCCAAAGGCGCTCCAGGGACTGTCTGCGCGCCATACTGAGCTGCAGTCTGTGCATGCTGATGATGCAGTGCCGCCGTCAACGCGTCCAGCTTCTTCTCCAACTCAGCAACTCGGCTGTCAGCCTTCTTCTGCCTCTTGCGACTCGGTTGCGTGATCACGCATGGCCTGTTCGCCTTTGCGCATCTCTTGCAGGGTATTTCTGGGTGTGCAGGGTCCTGGTCACATCGGACCTTGAGAGCTCTACATGATTCGCAAGCCCGAGGCCTCTTGGCATCGTCTCCTTGCAGCCCGTCTCCATCATCGTATCCTTGTGCGTCCGGACTTGTCTGACCGATCGCGGCGTATGCTAATGCGCTTTGCTGGTAGGATCCATTCTGTTCCGGACTTGCCTGATTGCTGATGCTGCCAGTGCTCGGTGCGCCGGTCCCTGTACTATGCTGCTGTGGTGTTGATGTGTTCGGAGTTGGGTATTGGCCGTGGTAGTATGGAGTGGTCGACACATTCGCATATCCATCAGCCCTCAAGCTATCATTTCTTGGCGGCGCGAATCCTGGCTGGAGAGCCTGTGCCTGGGGTATATGTTGGTGCTGATGCTGATGCGGGTGTTGAGGTTGAGGCTTCGTGTTGGCATATGGCTGTCCACGTTGCGGTACTGGTTGGTAGTGGCCAGCGCCACTTAATCTGGGGTCTATCTGGTTGCTCATGGCGCGTTTGCGACGCGTTTTCGATGATGTCGAGTCGGTATGTCGGCGTGATGGTCACGGCGACGAAGACTCCGTCTTGTCCGAAGGTGGCGGGCGCGTGCGCCGGGTGTGACGAGCGTTCGGATCTGCTCCGAGATATAGTTCTATTGCACAGTCTTCAGGATGGAGCGACAACAACCTTGCGATGTGTGATTCAATTGTGAGTACGTGAGATTGATGCTTGCACTAGATACAATCGTGCTCGATGACGACTGCGACTGCTAGATGGAGCTTGAAACCCTGCTTAGTAACTACTTTACAACACGAAGCTCGCATTGACCTCTGCAGACCACTTTTTGCTGGACAGTACTGATGATGAAAGTGGATTGCCATCAAGCCTGCATCAAGAGCCTATGATAGGCAGGTATCTTAGAGGTGCTTCATCATGAACTCATACATCTTCTCCATTTGCACGTTTTCCTCCTTGTCAAAGATATGCTCGACATCATGTAACCGCTCGTACTGCACTTGCATGCCCAACCCAACCATGATCCCAACGACTTCATCCGCCTGCTCGATTCCCACAGCACTATCGACATCTCCATGCACGATGTAGGCAGGCGGGAGACCGCGGTCGTAAATCATGCGCGGTACTCTCCAAGTGTTTTCGCCAGACTTCATATGCAGGAGCTGGGCCAGATTCGCCGACTTGAGCATGTATCCATACATTTGCGAACGCTTGCTGTCAGGCTCATTATTGGCTACCACCTCAGCCGTGATGTCTGCGTACGGCTTGACGCCCTCCATATCTGGTTCGCCTCCGCCCAGAGCGGGTGGCTGAGAAGTCGTGAAGAATAGTCCGAATGGATCCGTGATCGGGTAGATAGGCAGGATGGCCATTGGCTTTGGCTCGACGTAGAGTCCGGCAAGGAGAGCCAGATAGCCGCCAGCGGAGCTGCCGCTGACAGCGAGTCTCTCAACATTGACAACGCCTTCACCTGCCCGCTTTGGAAGATCCTTGCGAATGAAAGCGATGCAGTCCTTGACATCCTCGTAGATCTCTGCAACGCCAACCTGAGGAGCGAGGCGATAGTCGGCTGAGACGAGGGCAATGTTGTACTTGGTCACGGCGCGCAACATGTGTGGCGTGACGCTGTTTCGCTTGCCTTGTAGAAGACCGCCACCATGGAACCAGACAAGGATGGGCACATCTTTGGCGTCTTTGGGAAGGTACAGATCGAGCGGAATTTCCAGCTTGTCGACAGTCTTGTAGGTGAACGTCCTTCGTGTTGGAGTGTCGGAAGACATGTTCGGAAATGATGTCTTTCCTGCCAAGTGCAAAGGTACAATAGTGGTGTTGCGATACTGTGGGTGCTTGGACCTACCTTTCCCAGTTCAGAAGCAGCTGCTATCAGACGACTGAAGATACCACGTAGCTGGAGCTTCCTATGCGGCTCCACATTATCACTTCGTCGAACGGCCGAATTCGGTAGGTAAACACAATTGGATCATGCAACTCGCGGGGTCTCTCTGCTGGCTAAAGCGCCGCGGCATCACCATGTAGCATACAGGCCATGGTGGACTATGGCCGGCGCCGAGAATATCAGGGTCACAACTTACGTGATGTGTGAAGGCGAAATGGTGCAGAGAGCGCGAGAAAGGTTTTTGGTGTGAGCAAACGCCGACGTGATCGGCAATTCGCGGCTTGATGAGCCGGCTATTATGCAAACATTACAGTACATCTTTTGATCACATTGATGTTGCTCCGTCTTCTTTTTGATCATAGAGCAGGTACGACGACACACAGAAAGTAGTAGAACTCAATATCAGGCGCTTCTGCACCATATCCCAATCGACATCAGACCGTTTGCAGTGCATCTCGACAACGCCAAGAAAATTGTTGATAGTACCTAGAAGATGAAGCTCCTCTACCCAACATCTCTACGCCTGGATCCCTCAAAACTCGAAGGCTTCAGCGTCGATCTGCAGTCGTACGACGTCAAGACGTCCATCCCGGAAGAACACACAGATGCTGATATCCTGGTGACCTGGGCCAACTCTTCGGACAACCTCAAGGACGCCAACAAACGTCTGACAAAACTACGATGGATCCAGTCTCTGGCAGCAGGTCCGAACGATGTACTAAACGCTGGCTTCGATCCCAAGAAAGTTTCCATCACGACTGGGTCTGGCCTTCACGACAAGACAGTAGCCGAGCATGCCCTGGGCCTCCTTCTCGTCAGCGCAAGGAAATTCCATCTCATGCGTGATTATCAGAACGATGGCAAATGGCCAGGTCCTCTCGGCGGACCCCAGCCAGACAAGGAACCAGGTACCTTCAACACGCTCGAGGATGCCAATATCGTGATCTGGGGCTTTGGAAACATTGCCAAGATGTTGGCTCCTTATCTTACAGCTATCGGTGCGAACGTAACTGGTGTAGCTCGACAACAGGGTGTCAGGAATGGGTACGAAGTCTACGGGGAAGACAAGCTGGCTGAGCTGCTGCCTAAGACGGACGCTTTGGTCATGATCTTGCCTGGTTCTGATGCCACGAAGAATGCACTGAATGCGGAACGCCTGAAACTGCTACCCAAGCACGCATGGGTCGTGAACGTGGGCCGCGGCACCTCAATCGACGAGAAGGCCTTGCACTCTGCCTTGACGAATGGCGAGATTGGTGGTGCTGCGCTGGATGTGTTCGAGACTGAGCCTCTGCCGGAAAGCTCGCCACTTTACAAGCAGAAGAACTGTGTCGTGAGCCCGCATGCGGCAGGTGGCAGGCCGAGAGGTGCAGAGGCGTTGATCGCGGAGAACTTGAGATTGTTTCTTGCGAAGCAGGAGCTGAAGAATGTCCTTTGACTAGTGCAGGAGCCGGTCAAGGCTGACAGGGTCAAGGCGAAGGCGAAATTGTGACGTGCATGTGGGAGGCATATACTGCGAGGGTGTGAGGAGAGCACTTATGAGCAATTCACGGCACTGATGCGGCCACCTTTGATGACAGGGACGAAAGATGTAGTACAGTGCCCGGTTAACACAAGAGAGCATATATACCGGTACAGTAGAGCTGGATATCTTATTGCATGGAATGATCCACACGATATTTCTTCCCAGTCATGGCCCTGCGACCCTGTCAATCAATCTCAGCGCCCTCAACTTCGGTATCCTCATGAACACATCGACGCTAACAATCTCGCACTCCCAAAGGTCCCCTATCCTGGCCTCCTCATAGTGCCTATTCCCAGGTACCGAGACCTTGGTCATGATGCTCTGAACATTCCATTCTACAATCATAGCCGAGGCGGTTGCGAAGTCCGGACCAGCGATTCTGTAAACCCATGCCTTGACCGTCTTAGGTAACTCGGCTTCACCAAAGTGATGAGCGCGGAAGAGAAGCTGCGAGATCCAAAACTCTTCCGCATGCTGTTTCGCGCGCATTATGGTGCTTTCTCGTGGCTGGAGACCAACGATGATGGTGTCGAGGACGTTCTTGCTGAAGGGAAGAAATTTCCGGTCCGCTTCCTGGTTGGTGGTGACGAGGTTCTGGCCAGTCCGTGCCTCCTCGCGTAAGGCGGCTTCGATCTGCCAGTGTAAGATCATATCACCATATCGGCGCAGAGGAGAAGTGACTTTGCCGTAGTGGCTCATGCCCAGAATAGCATGGTTGAAAGGCTTTGTGCTGAGACCTGTTTGGCCAAAGGTCTCCAGATACTTCATACCGAGGTGCATTGGGTATTCGCCGTTCTTGGACGCTTTGACAGCAGGTGCCAGAGTCTCTTCAAAGTATGTCTCCGGTGAAACGCGATCAGGTCGGCGGAGCGAGCCCCGGAAGACAGCTGGAATCTGTCGTTCTTCACACCAGGCTGCTGCTGTTTCACAAGCGAGCAACATCATCTCTCTGACCAAAACGTCCACGGCATCGTCCACAGGAGCGAACCAATTCGAAAACCCCTGCGTGCGCATTTGGATGACGGGATCACCTTCGACCCTGCGCCAGCCCTTGCGGAAAGGGTGGTCCCATGCTAGACCGGTGCTCCTGTCCGATTGCCACACCTTGATATCTGGCTTGTGTGTGTCGAAGAACAGTCCACCCGCTGCTCGTCTAACCTCTGACCTCTTCTCACCCAGCATGCGCAGCCACTCGAGCTGCTGCGCCATTTCAGGAGTGATCTCACCGTGCTCCGGTCTTTTAGTAAGGTCGGGTGGTGGATCACCCCCAACGGTCAAAACAAGTTCTGGTGTTGCTGCCTTGCCAGTATCAAGGACTTCGGCCACTTCTTGTCTGGTAAGTCGAAGGACTTTTCGAATGTATCCGCTTCTGATTTTCCTCTCCAGCGTTTCACCTTTGTCATTCAGGCGGGCTGAGAAAGTCAAGCACGGTCTGTTGCGGTCGAGGGAGAAATGTCTTTGCGTGGCCCATCGTGGCAACATCATATACGTGCGCTCGGGCATATAGATACTCTCGCCCATATGCCTCGCCATCTTCGCCATAGGGTGGTCTCGCTCGAAGAACGCCGTAGGATTGGCAATATGGATATGCACCCACCATTCCTTCGGGTCATTCGTGCCAGCGGAAATAGGCTCAACAGAAAGACCATCATCGATCTCGTGCGCCGAAGCATCGTCTATACAGTACACGGGAAGCGCACCCCAGTCATGGCGAAGGCCAGCCATGGAGTCCTTAAAGTCATGCTTGTTGGCCATTTCCTGAAGCTTCGCCATCAGGTCCTGCAAGGGTCTCGAGTGTTGGCTGCTTGGAAGCAGCAAGTGCTGGTCAAATCTGACGCGGTTCTCGTATGGTAGAATGGTGCCGATCTCCTGTAGAAGGAGCATTCCAGTAGGGGCATTAAGCTCGTATTGCTTGTACAAGCCTATGGCTTGCAGCAGAAGTGGTGGTAGAGACTCGATCCGTGGCAACCCAGCGAACATGTGGCTCAGACTCCACGATTCGATGAATTGTACCAGCTTAGTGTCTTGGTCCGTAAAGCACTCCTCTTTCACAATGCGCACAGAGTCCCGACCAGCCGTGATGGGGATTCGGACCTTACTGGGACCAATATTACCATATTCGGTAGCATCGCGATGCTCTCGGCTATTCAAGACGATCTGCTTGATCTTCTTCAAGAAATCGTGCACATACACTGCGCCTCGCCTTGGTTTATGACGCTTCACCTCAGCCTCGGACATGGTCGCAGTGAGAGCCAGATCGTCTTGCCACTCTCTAAGCCATCCTCGGACCGAGTTCACCATCTTTACGGAGTCCTTACTTCGGATCTGTAAGTAACCGGTCAAGCGATGTGAGCGGCGGTCAATGTTGAAAGCGAAACCAGCTGCGGATAGCGCTTGCCGTACTGCGAACAGTCCGGTCACCGGAAGCTCAGCAGCTGGTATTTTGAGTAATGTAGTTGCAGCGGTGACAAGCGAGCCGTAGCGGAGATCGCTCTCGTGTGCCAGAAGCTCATGTGCATTATCGAGTGCCCTGGCGTGACGGCGATAGATCTCAGTTGCTTCAGCCTGAAACTGCACCATTCTGGTAACAAGAGGGCTGGCGACATTGCGTGGTACAGAGAGATCTTTCATGTACGCCTGGTCAAGGAGCTCATCCAGGTTCGTCTCAACAAGATCAGGGTCGGGTAGATGCTCCAGCAAAGGGCGGACCATGCTCTCGGGCACCCAGCCAGGAATCGAATACTGCAATTTCTTCTCCAACACATGCACCCATCGACCTTGTAAAGTGTAGAGCTGCGCAAGACCTGTCGTGCCTACTCGGCGAACAAAGATCGCCACAACCGATGGTGCATCCGAGCGGAGGTACTCCACTTCTACGAGGTCGCCCATCTTCAGGAACCGAGTATGAAAGTCGCCGGAATTAGGCTCGTCATTTGGTGCCTGCATGAAATGAGCCATAGCCTCACGTTCGTCTTCCTCGGACTCGACTTGGGAGGTGCGCAAGGCATTATCTGGATTCTCAAGTCGTGTCAGGTTGTTGGTTGTGTCGCCTCCTATATCATCCGCATCTGGGAACGTGCTGTCTTCGTATATTTGGTCCTTGTCAGCATTCATCTCTTGCCAACGGCGTAGTTGAGCTCGAATGCCATGAGGGTTCTCAATGTGCTTGCTGCCCAAACCGACTAGCTCAGGTGGTACGCTAGCAAGTCCTTGCCCAGTAGTCCTCGCCTGTTCTGTTAGTGTTCGCTGCAGTCGAGACGTGGTATGATACGCTCGAGCCATAGTACAGGTATGACCCAACCCTTGCCGTCTATGGTTTGTCGAGGTTGATGCACGAGTACGTGCCGACGTGGTGGGCTGAGAAGCTGCAATGAGCCTTGACATGGCATCATAGCCTTCGTCGCCCAATGTGGTTTTTGGAGACAGACGCGGCCGATGATGCATACCCTGTGACGATATCGGAGTCGTTTCCGATCCACTAGCGGACCATGCCTGTTCACGCTCGATCTGTGCAGCGGGTGGACCATCTACCGCCCTCCGGCTTTCTTGAATCAATGGTTTCGACTCGGTCAAGTCGTGGACATCTGCGTCATGTTTAGGAGCGAGAGAGTGACTCTGAATACGCGGAACCACGGTCTTTAGAGGGCTAGACAGGTCAGATGATAGCTTGTTACCTACCACTGCTCGAGAGTCATCTGAGGGCCAGAGAGGGGTCTTGTGTTCCATTGCTTCGCCATACTGCTGTCTTTGCTGGAGAGCTGTATGCTCATCAAACGCCTTTTGCTTCGTTCCCTTCTCTGGCGCTGCCCAGCTCAGCTGGCTTGATACCCCGTCATCCCCAAAACGAATGACTCTTTCTCCTCTTGCATGCCTCACTCGTCGCTCAGTCTTCGCTGTGAAGAACTGAGCGCCAGCCTGGTCCGCAGCATCATTAAAAAGAGCCTTAGCTCGAGCAATAGCTGCATCTCTTGCCGCAGTGCTGATCTTTGTCTCCTCCTTCGGGCGTCTGGACGTCGTCTTTTTGTGTGCGTCGGCCTGCTTTGATCTTCCTACAACCTCCATTTTCCGTCTAGAGCCGTTCTGTGTATCTGATCTTTGTCTTCCCTGATCGACGAACGACTCTTCCAATGCTGGGAGACGAGGTTTGGCGCCATTCTCCGGATCCAGTCTATCATCGTGGCGAAGGCGTTTCCTCGTCTTCATGCGGCAGCCAAGGCAAACATAAGAGGATGAAGCCGATCGCGCGACAACACTCCGAGTGGGGAACATTGTTGGTGAAAAGGGCAGAGAGGCGACTCGGCCTCGAGCGATGGATGGCGAATAGAATAATATGTTCGATGTTGCGGACGGCGGAAGTGAATTGCTTGGGCGCCATCAACCAATATTTGGTTGACAGCTTCAATCAATTCCATGGACATCCCCGAGCGACTCCGCATTTTCTCATGCCAACACCAACTTTGCTGGCCTCGTCTCGTTAACATACCAGCATCTGCAGCACAGCACATTATCACTGTCTGCAGCAGCTGCTACACACAAGGTACGTCTCAGACATATCCACCCCTCCTGTCACTCTCACATGATGCCAAATTTTGTCAGCATGTATTACCCTAATGGCGCACCGCGTCTCTGTGGATTTATTAATTAGACTCTGAAATACCTCGAGCAAATCACCGCATACTCCTTGTACACCACCGACATAAATTCAAATGCTGATCACACAAAGACAGAATGGCCACGCCCAAAGCACCCGCCGACCACTTCACCCTCCTCTACTTCGCAGCCGCTACCTCCTTCACCCGCAAGCAGCACGACTTCCTGCCTGCTCCTATGCCGTTGAGTCAGCTTTATGATACAGTCGAAGCAAAGTATCCCGGCATTAAGGCGAAGGTACTTGAGTCTAGCGCGCTGACAGTGAATCTGGAGTACGTGGATGCAGAGGAGGAGGGCGCCAAGGGCGGTCAGGGTACGGTGATACAATCTGGTGACGAAGTTGCCATAATCCCGCCAGTTAGCTCCGGGTGATCTAATAGTACTTGCACAATAACTTGAACCAGTGGCCTTGCCTTGCTTGTGACAATTGCTTATTTCGATGGGAAGAAGTGGCTTTGGTTAGCAATGTCTTGCCGCCGAGAGAGAACCTACCAATGTGGGCGAGCAAACCCATAGATTGCCCGTGGTACCCGGCCTGAGATCAACAGAGGTTGCAGACATGCTTTGCCATATACTACTTCTACCTGCCGTGGGCGTATAAAGAAGCCTTTCCTCGCCGAGAAAACACCCCATTTTCATTACACTGTAGCTGTGCCTAAGCTTGAGGGTGGTTTGCGAGGCTGGCATCTCTGGGCGTGTGCATCATTCAATCATCTCGCACTCTTGTTCGCCGTTATAGAATACGTTTGTAACGATTCTCGGTCTCGTCATGCGAAGCAATGGCGATTCCTGGCAAGGCATCATTGCATAAATGTCTGGCTTAGTTTGAAGTGAACTATCTGCCACTTACAACGACAATTCGCAATGGTTTTACAGGCGACAAAACTGACAACTGACAATGATGCAATGTATCATTCACGGGGTTGCCACCTCACAGGTCTTGAATACAGCATGTGCAGTGCAGTGCAATTCGCTAGCCGAGCAAAACCTCATCCTCACCTCACCTCGCCTCGGCTCAGAAGCGGGGCGGTACAGTATCTCTAAGACGTCTGTTATTGCGTCCTTGCTGTCATCTTCGTTGTATTTCTTCGGCTCATCATCACCTCATAGAGGTGCTCAATATCAACAATCATGGCCCCGAAGAATCAGGGCAACGCGTATGTGCTCGGCGTAGGCCTGACACCCTTCATCAAACCTCGACGAACACGAGAGTATCCCGAACTCGGGTTCGAAGCGGGCGTGAAGGCTATGCTCGATGCCCAAATCAATTATGATGATGTCGAGATGGGCGTGGCGTGCTACTGCTATGGTGATACCACAAGTGGTCAGCGGATCTTCTATCAGTTCGGCATGAGCAGTATCCCGTAAGCTTGCCACAGTCGAAAGTGTCCATGAGCATGAGCTAATGGGTGGACAGCATCTACAACACTAACAATGCTTGTGCTACTGGAAGTACCGGCCTTCACATGGCGAGGACTCTCGTCCGATCTGGTGCCGCAGACTGTGTCCTTGTCATTGGGTTCGAGCAGATGAGTCCTGGCAGTATCAAGAGCGTCTGGAGTGATCGACCAAGCCCGATGGGCTTGAGTACTCAGATGATGGAGGCAAGCATTGCTCTTTCGTAGCCTGGGTCCGACGCTATGCTGACGGGAATCGGTAGGACACTCGAGGCAAGCATGACAGCCCGCGAAACGCTCAATACTTTGCCAATGCTGGCCGAGAATATATGGAGAAGTAAGTGCTCTTTAGTACTTATGTATCGGGAGGGCAAAGCTGACCAACAACAGATACGGCGCCAGAGCAGAAGACTTCGCTGAGATCGCCCGCATCAGCCACGAACACTCGCAACGAAACCCCTACGCCCAGTTCCGCCAAGAGTACACCCTCCAGGAAATCCTCAAATCACCCATGATACACGCACCTCTCACTAAACTGCAATGCTCGCCCACTAGTGACGGAGCAGGCGCCGCTGTCATCGTGTCTGAAAGCTTTCTTGCTTCTCGGCCACAACTCCGTAGCCAGGCGGTCTTGATCGCAGGACAAGCACTAATGACGGACTCTCCAGCTTTGTACTCGAAGAGTGCTATGGACCTCGTGGGCTACGACATGACCAAGCGAGCCGTCAATCAAGCCTACAAAGAAGCCGGCGTAGGACCAAAGGACGTCTCAGTCTGTGAGCTTCACGACTGCTTCTCCGCCAACGAGCTCGTCTTACTCGAAGGTCTGGGCTTCAGCGAGCCAGGCAAAGCACACGAAATGGTTCGAAGAGGCGACATCACCTACGGCGGTAAGGGTCCCATCATCAACCCAAGCGGCGGGTTGATCTCCAAAGGCCATCCCCTGGGTGCGACAGGATTAGCACAATGCGCCGAACTCTGCTGGCAACTTCGCGGCTGGGCGAACAATCGTCTCGTCGATGCGAAGGTGGCCTTGCAGCACAACCTCGGTCTTGGCGGAGCAGTGGTGGTGAACGTCTACAAACGCGCTGATGGGCAGGCGAACACGAAATTGTCGGATGCCGAGATCGTGAAGCAGAGTGCTTTCGAATACAATCCTGCTGCTGAGGCACGACATCCTAGCAAAGCAGATGCTGAGAAGGTGCGGAGTAAGCTGTACAAGAATGATTATGCGTTGGGTGATACGCAGGAGAAGATACAGGCGAGGTTGTAGATTCTGTCAGCGATAGCCAATTATAATGTCCTGTTTCATGTAATGAACAGGGCACACAGCCTATCCACCGAGCAAATCAATCCTCTCCTCTCGATCCCAGACAATCACCCCATCATCCGCCCGCTTCAACTGCCTGACACGGTGCTGCGGAATAAAGTTCTCATCCTCCGTAGCCTTGCCTCCCCAATCCTCCAACGCCATCCACTTCAGCCCCTCATGCCTGTCTTCATATCCAACTTCGAACGCCACGCCACTCAGACCAGGATCATGTCGCAAGCGCGAAATAGCAGCATCAGCATTCCGGAACTTCTTGTTCTTCTTGCGATTGGCATTTTTGTTCTTGTTTCGTCGTTTCTTGCGCTCCTTCGTGCCTGGTGAGTCGGATGCGTTGTCTTGTGAGTCGTAAGCTTCGCTAACGCCTTCGTCTCCACTAGAGTTGGTAGCTTGGGGTGGCAGGGACACGGTGGTCGAAGTAGTCCCGCTCATATCTCGAGGCCGGAACATTTGGTCTGCCTTATCTTTATCAGACTTCGACAGGGTGAGGAGAGCACTCAATGCGTGAGTGGCGGCGGCAATTGAGTTTTGCATCTTCTCCAGATGATCTTGAGGCATCTCAGTCTGTGTCGAGATTATGTACGACCAGCAGGAACCTTCTTTTCGCGGGTAAGGCCAGATTCGCGGTTCGCAACGTTCGATGAAACGCAGTGTCTGATGTAATATGACCTGCAAGTCTTCCTCGAAGAATTTTCTGCGGGTCTTCTGATCCCAGCATTCTGCGGTAATTACGAAACGATGCGGCGCTAATGATTGGAAGGCAGTCCAGCCGGTGAACGGAGTGGTCTGCAGCCAGCGCATATTGATCTTGCCTTCGTTATTCGAGCAGGCCTTACGAGTGTACTCCAAAGACTGCAGGATAGCGCGCGCTCCATAAGGACTTGGTGGGCCAGACGCGAGTCCGGGTAATAGCTTGTGCGCAAGCAAAAAGAAAGCATCCAGATACTCATAGTCGGACTCTCCAGCTAAACGCGACAGATGCCAGCCCCGGAACGAACTATGCACCATGGACATGATTTCGTTGCTGTTGAGCGGCCCCAGCTCACGACTCACCAGGCCCATGAACGTAGCCCATGCATAGACAGTGGCGTAGCCACTCAAGAGACATCCACTGTATGCGTCAATTTCTTCTTTGTTTCGATCGAGGATCTCGAGGAATGAGAGGACGTCCGCAATCATCTGGTGATACTGTCGGATATGAGGCGATACCTCACCCTCGAAAGGTGGCATATGTGGTGTGACGCCTGGCTGAGGCGTGATCATGTCGAGGTTGAAGCTCTCCGGGAAGTGGCAACGCCCCGTGTACAGTCTACTATCCTTCATATTCGTAATGATTCGGCCTTTGAAGCCGAGCTTTTGCCACGGGATCCAGATCTCTTCTCCTCGCATGGCAGGCTTGTAATCGTCCTGATCGAATAGCTCCTTGATGCTGTCCCAGAAGTGTTTAGGAGCGCCGTCGTGCATGTAGATGAGTCGAATATCATCGCCTGGCCGCCATAGGCCGATCGCGAAGCTGCCAGTAGGGAAGATGTAACGACGTGGTTTTCGGAGTGGCTTGTCATCCTCTCGATCACAGTCCGGAAAGTCGACATAGAATGCTTGGAGGAAGTCCGCCAGTCCCTCGATTATCTCCGTGATTGCGTCGTAGAGCTTGCGACCATCACTGCCATTGTCTGCCATGACGAGATTGGTGGCAATTATGGGTGATAGGAATGGATGGAGTGCAAGTGAAGGGACGTAAGAAAAGAATGCTGGACCTATGTGCTCTAAGAGGGTCCATGTGACTCTGCGCTCTTTGCGGCGTCTCAAAGAAGCAGCATTCAAGAGCGGGTGTTGTTGCGTCTAGTGGACATGAATGGCAGGAGTGCTCGTGACTCATGCCACGAGCACAGCCTCATGGTTGGTTGGTTGGTTGGTGGGCGGTTGGAGGCCATTGCGGTCTATCTACAACGTGCCACAGTTGATTTCCCATCTCTTTGAAGGATATCCAGACAGCGGTACATATACGGGAGATGGCATTTTACCAATGCCTACTATCGCAAATGCGAGAACCAGGAGAGGTAAGTACATGTAGAGATCCAATGTGGGTCGCTTACCAAGATGTTCTCCCGCTTCTTGCCGGCTTCGATCCGAAAGCTTGTTCATGATGATGGGTCCGGCAGAAGTGGGGCGCGATCAGCGTCCATGACATCCGTGTCTCGGCATTAGAGCTACAACTCCTTGCTTTGTCTATTATTCGAGCTGCATACCGGCATTTCGGGACAGAACGTTTCTCACAATCATTTCCCGGGTACTCGTGCTGACCGGACATGCGAAAACCTTGACCAAGGCTGGCAGGAGTAGAGTGGCGACATCTACACTAAAGCTCGAACACGAGGGGGTTTCGGTGGGCGCGTTGCGGAGCATTTCCAAACGCGCCAGCAGCCTTGCGTGGCATTGGCGCTGTACCATCATTTCTCCCGAACACAGGACTGCGCTATATACAGATACATCGCAGCACACCGATGCTTGTTCCCCTAGGCCGTGAATGAGAGCTCAACATCGTCGGCTGGCTGCATACAACGGCATATGCGCTGGAACAGCTCACCGCTAGAGTCACGACTCTCCGCCTTCGTCAGCAGTCTTGTACGGTTGAAACGGCCGGGATAGCTAAAGTTCTGCGCCTTCTTGTGTTCAATCGCACTTTCGAGGCGACACGATGCGACGACAACAATATCGAGCCTCGCAGACGGCCGTCCGTACGGCCTCTGACCCTCAGAGTCTCTTGCACAACTACGATGCTGTCCTCAACCCGTCTCGGCCTGCCAAATCGTCGCCGTTAGGCAACTCGACAATCGCTGGTTTGCCACTAGAGCTACTCGAAAGACTCAAGGCTTTCCCACTCTTTCAGACCGCACCAGAATCCTTCCTGCTCAGTATCGGTAGGAGCCTGCGACCAAATGTCTACCAAACGTCGGCCGAAATTATTCGCGAGGGCGAGGAGGCCAAAGCGATGTACTGGCTAGTACGCGGTAGCGTGAGAGTCACCAGCAGGGATGGCGAGTCCACTTATGCAGAGCTGAAGCCGGGAGCTTTCTTCGGCGAGATCGGCATTCTAATGGACATGCCGCGGACTGCTTCGATCGTGGCGAGTATGCGCAGTCTGGTGGTGCGGTTGAACAAGGAAGATCTACAGAAAGAGCTGCCGAGGTATCCTGACGTTGAGCGTGCGATCAGAGAAGAGGCCCTTGAGAGATTGACAATACTGGAGCGGAAGAAGAGCGAGAGACCAGTATCGAGTGGCGAGGGCTGTGGTGTAGTACGGTCGATCGCTGCACCACGGAAGAGATCACGAGACTGGATGGCGGGTGATGTAGAGATGGGTGAAGCAGGGTCGCTGATGGATGATGCGGTATTGGCGAACAAACGACGGAAGTCACCTTCGCCTGGTGTGGTCGAAGTCGTGGCGTCGAATACGATGCACGATGTTCCGCTGACAGTGCGGTCGCTGTTGAAGGAACTACCACTATTTGCTGGACTACCGAACGACATCCTCCACTATCTGGGCGTCAATGCGCAGCCGATGTCGTTTGCGCCATTCACGGACATCATCAAACAAGGAAGCACGGGACGAGATGTTTACTTTCTCATTAAAGGCGATGTAGAGATCCTGACGGAAGGGCCAGACTCGAGAAGAACATCAGCCCAGACCGGACCCGACGGTAAGGCACTCGATGACGGAGCAATAGCGCCCAGGCAGCGTGTCCGCGCAAGACTCAAGGCTGGCCAGTACTTTGGGGAGGTCACGAGCTTGTCTCTAGCACCGAGAAGGACGGCAACAGTGCGAAGTGTCGATTCTGTGGAGTGTCTTCTGATCAACGGAAGCACTCTTGATGAGCTCTGGGCGCGCTGTACGCCAGGTCTCCGCCAGCAGGTTGAACACGAGGCGAAGCGAAGACTGAGTGCTGCGAAAAGAGACGACGATGTAGTCATGTCAGATGCCAGCTTCGAAGGTGGTCCTTTCGGCGGTTACGCTGTAAAGCAAGACGATGCGCGTCATGAAGAGCTGAATGCTTGGCGGAAGAGTCTACCGACCGTGACATTCGAGGAGCCACCACTGGACGACCTGCCTACGCCAATACAGCAGATGGAGCCAGTTGATCCAGACCCATTTTTCAACCGTGACAAGCTCGATAACATGCGCGCAAAGTCGCGGCGATCTTCTCTTGCACCGCCTGTGCCGCAATCGGAGATGCAGCACGATTCATTCAACGACGCACAGCGCACGCCTAGCCCACCCGCGCATCTTCGGATCCTATCCTCGTCGCCGCTCAAGCCAGGCACAAAGTTCTCGCCCTTCGCATCACCAACCTCGCCCGCGCGTCTATCACCGACAACCACGCGAAGACCAAGTCTCGATCGCCGACCATCGAGTTTCGGCAAAGGTCGACTGCCAGATTCCCTTCTTGTCCTGATCTTCCAGCAGCTCGACCTCGTCGAGCTTATGCGATTTCGACTGGTATCGATGCACTGGTGGGATCTGCTCAACACTTCTCCTGATATCCTGCACCACCTCAATCTCGCGAATTATAATCGTCACGTTACAGACGATGTACTCCGCAACATCATCATACCTTTCGTAGGCAAGCGACCCCGGCACATAGACATGAGCAACTGCTTTCACATCACAGACGAAGGCTTCAAAGCACTTGCCGAGGCTTGTGGCGAGAGCGTGAAAATGTGGAGGATGAAGTCTGTCTGGGACGTGTCCGGTCCAGCAGTACTAGCACTAGTAGACAAAGCCAAAGGCCTCGAAGAAATTGACCTTAGCAACTGCCGCAAAGTCGGCGACAATCTCCTTGCCCGGGTCGTAGGCTGGATCGTCCCCGATAAGCCAGCCCAAGCGCAGCCGGCTCCACCACCAGTGACAAATGGGAAGCGCCTGCCCGGCAAACGAGGAGCCACGCAGCCTGCGCAACCTGAACAGCCACCTCCTGCGCCGGGTACAGTGATCGGCGCTTCTAAGCTCAAGAAGCTGACACTAAGCTACTGCAAGCATATACAGGATAGAAGTATGGCCCACATAGCCGTGCACGCCGCCGAACGCCTGGAAAGTCTCGACTTGACTCGCTGCACTAGTATCAGCGACGCCGGATTCCATTCCTGGAGCGTGTATGAATTCAAGAACTTGCGGCGATTAGTCCTTGCCGATTGTACGTACCTCTCTGACCAAGCGATCATTGGCGTTGTAGGCGGGTGTCACGGGCTGAGGGAACTGGACCTCAGTTTCTGCTGTGCGTTGAGCGATACAGCTACGGAAGTCCTTGCCCTCGGCCTGCCGGCTTTGAGATCCCTCAACATGGCTTTCTGCGGGAGTGCCGTGAGCGATAACAGTCTAAGGTGTATCGGCCGCCATCTCCTCGAACTGCGTTATCTTTCCGTCCGCGGATGCGTACGCGTTACGGGACAGGGTGTGGAGAGCGTGGTCGAGGATTGTAGGGCTTTGGAGGTCTTTGATGTGAGTCAATGTAAAAATTTGCGAGTATGGCTGGACAGGGGTGGGAGAGAGAGGGTCAGAAGTCAGGGCAAGAGTGTCAGGATTGATACGGTGGCTGATGGTAGTTGGAGGACTAGGGAAGCGTGATTGTTTTGATACCCCGTTTGTATGAACGCGATGACTTTTCCGAGCGTGAGCGTGGTGTCTGTGATATGTGTTGGCGACTGAGATATTTGTGAGATATGGTTGTGATTTATGAGTTCATGTAGGATACACATCTACGTGCGGAACGCGATCTAGTGCTCAAGTTGACTTGGCTAGTCGAGGAAGCTGACCACATACTCCGAAATCCTCTCTAGTGTTCCGTGGGCTACGTTGCATTTAATTGTGCTCTATGCGTTCGAAAGGGGGCACTCGGCGCCGCTCCTGCCATTGCCACATCGATCGCCACGCTTATGTTCGTTCTGCGTGAGCGTTAGGTTCGAGGAAGCCATAATCACCTTGGAAAGTAGGATCGTGTCCTGCGATCGAGTGTGCGATACCTCGCCGCGTCGGACTGCAAGGGCCGACGCCGTAGGGCTGGAAGAAGCTGTCCTCCACTGCTTTGGCTGAACCCATGCCTATCCCGGGTGGTCCTATCGCGCCAGGCGATCTGCCTGAGATCAGATCGCATTGTGTATCATCATGATAGCTTTGAGACCATACGCTCTTGGAACACAGGCCCTTCACTTGGCCTTCGCATCCTTCTTCCCACTTCCTTCTTTCAAGCCCTTGGCTGAAATCCTGCCATCGCGCTTCCCACCTCTCAGTAACTCCAGATGACCTGCTCTCCCAGCCAAGGACTTCTCGGTCATGGCCGCAAGACCGGCTGTGTGCTTCTTATTCATCGTCTGCTGCTTTTGCAAAGCGGTTTTCTTGGGCTTGATGACCCGGTTGCCGGTTTGCTTGCGCTGTGTACTGCAGCACGGTGTTAGCGAAGGCTCATACCTTCGCGATTGACAGAATCATACAGCTTTGTGGCAGGAGCCTTGGTCTTCTTCAGTTGGCCTTGTGCCATCTTTGCGGGTTGGTGAAGAAATGGCGGTCGATTTTGTCCTTCATGGACTGTTCGGAGTTCGACAAATCAAAATGTGCGGAATTCGGGCGCACTTCTTCCATCTGCCTCTTCACGATCGGCGAGAAGGTAATGTCTGCACATGGTGTCCTTGGCAACGGAATTGCTCGACCAGTACCTGCATGCACCGGAACGTGTACACATATTGAATCAAGAGCTCAACGCCTGCCTTATCGAAGCCATGAAGCCGCCAATTGGGCTAGCTGCCGTGAGTCGAGACGAAATGGGGCCTAACCTTGCGGATGACTTTTGTGATCTTGAAGAGTGGCCAAATCCAGAAGATTCGCCATTTCCGAGGTACCCGAGCACTTCCACCGCATACTATAGTGCCGGGATGTAATCGCCAACCGAGCCAGCAGCCGTCGAGTGACGCGCCCTTGATTTGGTTGCTCCCTGCGCGTGGGCACGATATCATGGCTCGACGCAGAAGGTGAAGTCAGAGGTACTGTCTATATACTGGCTACGGGACCACTGCTAGATGGGTACTTTAATTTTACTTCTTGCTCATGCGCCTACGCTTACAGCTTGCAGGACCGCACGACTATGCTCCAGCTCGTTGTGACCGAAGATCCACTCGTGGAACTCAGGAGGATTTCCTACAAGATCACAGGGTCAGAGGGACGACGTATTAACAGTGACAGGAAACTCACTAGGCATTGGTCCTTTGACGAACGGGCGTGCGGCTTTTTTGGTACGTTCAGGCTGATCCTGGCCTGCATTTGAGAACACTTGGAGGGCCGCCGCGCGATCGCGACGGCTCTCCTGGACGGTATGCAAACGATCTGGTATCTGGCTTCTGTCTTGGATATTGGTCAAGCAGACGTGCAATGCTGCAGCGTCTTCCAGTGCCTGGTTCGCTCCTTGCGCTTGATCTGTCAGAGTGACTAGTCAGTCAATGGGTAGCTCAAAGTTTCTGCGATACCTACGTGGGAGCATAGGATGGATCGCGTCGCCAATCAGGATCGCCTTCCCACGAGTCCATCGAGGCACTGGCGCTCGATACAGGAGCTTATACAGTTTCACTTCATCCGCCATACCACACATCTCCCGTATGGCTGGATGAAATCCCTTGAAGGTCTCGAGCAGGTCTTCCAGTCGGGCAGGGGCGTGCCAATCTAGCCACTCCAAATCAGCACGTGTAAAGCACGAAGGCTGCTTAGTAACCGTACCTTCTACCTCGACCCGATTGTTCTTATCTGGATGGAGTGCGACGAAATTTATGATCTCGCCACTTGATTCACACGGTCAGCATGATCGACTGTGGAATAGTCCTGTTGCGCTCACCCTCTACATGGATACCATGCCAATCGTCGATCATCTGTGGTGGCGGCATTGAAGGAATTGACTCGGTATTGGAAGTAGGGCTGGGTCTTCTCGTTCTCTGATAATTTCGACGTTGGCATCAAGAATCGGAAAGCACATACTCCACTGGGCGAGGGCTTTGGTGTATCTTCTCCAAGTACATGCCAAGCCACCCGGGACTACCGAAACCACAGGTCAGTAAAAGCAAATTCTAGAGGAGTATCCGAGCCTACATGTACGCCATCTGCTCCGATGATGATATCCTTCGTCGTCGATGTGCCATTAGCGAAGTGAATCTTACCGGTCTCACAGTCGACATCTTTCACCGCTTTGTCGAGATGGAGACCTGCTGCTGTTCCTTGACTGGGAGCAATCAACGCGCAACGCTTGAGTCCATTGTGCAAGTCTACGCGATGGGCAAAGTACCACGGTGCGCCGAATCTGTCGCCATACTCCGAGTAGTCGTTGTGGATTATTCGCTCCATCGTCACACCATTCCAGATGTTGCCTTCCTCTGCTAACAGAACTTGTGCTTCATCCACCTGGAAGTCTAACAGCTGTAGGACGCGGGTGCCATTGGGACAGACGTGGATTGCTGCGCCGATTTCATTGGCGAAGACAGACTTTTCGTACACGTCTACGTGATGCCCGGCTCTTGTCAAGGCGGCGGCTGCTGCAAGACCCGCGATGCCAGCGCCTATGACACCGATATCAAGAACCAACGGTACCTTCCCATCAGCCTTGGACTGTATCGTGGTTGGCGAAGTGCTTTGCATGGTGCGGTACTGACGCTGGGTCCTGATTTGGCAGTACGCGGAGGTCAAAGCACACTCTGTAACCAAAACTGAATCTTACAGTGTCACGGAAGCCCTATTACTTTATTGTTGGGCGATTCAAGGCGAGAAAGTAGATTGTCTAGAGACTGTTTTACCCCAGCTTTCGACTCCGGCTAAGATGGGGTAGCTATGGGGTACCTGCATGTACCCCAGACATGCTTCGTTAGCCTAGACCATCTCCTAACCCATGCCTATGATACATAACAGGGATTGATAAAGGCTGCGGAGTTTGCTTCCATAACCATAAGCCTCTCCCTGACTGCTCTGCTCCGCGCTGATAGTATTGACGGCCATAAGTACTTCACGACATGCTGTTGTTCGGTGTCCTGACTTGCCTCTCCTTAGCGCTGTTAGCACGATATGTTCAAGTAAGAATCACCATGTCCTAAGACGAAGTATATTATTCTGGCCATTGCCTCAGTGCCGGCATCTGTCACCTCTTCGCCGCATCCCGGGTCCCTTCTTGGCCAGCCTAACCGAGTACTGGCTGGTTCTCACTGACCTGGCCGGCAAGCGCACAGCTACTATTCATGAGCTTCACCGCAAATATGGCCCCGCCGTGCGCATCGGTCCCGGTGAAGTCTCCTTCAGCGATGCTGCAGTCGTGGATCAGATATACACGCAGCAAACTGTCTTCATGAAAGCACCAGCTTACGACTTCATGTCTGTGGAGCCGGCTGGCATTTTCAGCCTTCGGGATAAGAGTGCTCACAGTCGACGTCGTGGTCTCTTGAGCCATGCTTTCTCGCAGCAGAGTCTGGATAATTGCTTGCCACTTATCAACGACAAGATTGATCTCTTGCTCGCCACAATTGCACGGAATCGGGACAAGCCATTCGACACGTTGTTACGGTTTCGACTTCTGGCTCTGGATATTGTGGGCGAGCTGTTTCTAGGCCAGTCCTTTGATGGACTGAAGGAGGACAAGCCGCCGCAATTTCTGCATGATGGCGATTTACACTTCATCCAGAGTGGTCTCCAGGGTAATCTTCCTTGGCTTCACAATTTCCTGAGCATCCTCCCAATTCAGTCAGTCCAATCTTTTCTCGGCTCATCTGAGCGTGTTGCGCAAGTATGCGTCTTTGCAAATCCCCGGGGCACCACATTACACTGACCAGCTCAATTTTTTAGTTCGGAAACACAGCTTACAAAGACTACATCAAGAAATACGGCAGGGACTCCAAGCGCCGAGACCTGCTTACGAAGATTCTAGCTTCTGGCTCCAGCATGGCCATGACGGACCGTGAGACCTACGTAGAGATCGGGAATCTTGTATTTGCTGGATCAGGTAACGGAATATCTATGGCAGGTGTAGAAAAAGCCAGTAATAATATCGACCAGATACAACGAGTACGACACTCACCTACATGTTCTGGGAACTCGCTCGGCATCCTGAGTGGCAGACGAAGATTCAAGAGGAGCTGCGCAGGTCTGACGAGAAACAATCGCTGGACTACAACCGTCCCCTACCGGTCCTCGAAGCCGTCATCAACGAAGCCCTGCGACTCCATCCTGCTGCGCCCTCGAGCCTTCTGCGTGTTGTGCCTATGGGAGGTTCAGATATCGCAGGCTACACCCTCCCACCCGGCACGACAGTCTCGATGCAATGTTACACTACCCAGCGCAACTCAACCGCATTTCCGGACCCAGACACTTTCAACCCACAGCGATGGCTGAACAGCGACATGTCGGCAGACGCAAAACTTCTCTTCATGCCGTTCTCGCGAGGCACTCGTGCTTGTCTTGGTCGAAATCTGGCCATGATGGAGTTAAAGGGGTTTCGGCGGCGTTGTTGGCTAGATATCGCGTTTCTGCCCCTGCTCACACGGATGAAGAGAGCATGACGATGGTGGATCACTTTTTGACGCAGCCAAAGGCAGGCAAGTGCGATCTTATCTTCACGCCTGTCACTTAGACATTACACGACGCTGTTGTTATCGAAGCCACCCAAGGGTTTTGATTAGCGTCGATTTCTGGTGTCCATTCACCTCTCACATTAATCTCTGACTCCAGCACTTCCGGTACTGCTGTCAAGCCATCGCACAAAGTCTTACTCGTCCAAGGGGTGGCAACACAGCACCAGTGAGATGTACGTGAGCTAGAACAAACGCTTTTGTATTGCATAAGCAGCATACCGTGCTCGGTCTGCAGGTGTAGGTAAACTAGGTATCATCTCGTCCATCTCGCCATCTATGCACCCCTCATAATCCATGATACCTTCCATTCGCACACCATCTCATCATCCCGGAAAGAAGAACGCCCAACGCCATTTTAGGAAAACACAATCCCGTCTCATCGCCTCCCATCGCATCTCATGCAGCTCACGACTCAGCATCCACAAACGTCTCCTCGTTGCCGATACTATTCATGCGCTTCACAGGCATTCCTGGTTTCCATCCTGTCGGGCCTGATCCGGAACTTGTGCCTGCTCCTGCTTCTCCACCAGCTCGTTGTTGTGTCTGCTGCTGCATCTGTGGCTGCTGTGGTGTGATGCTCACGTTGCCCATATGTGCTGCCAAGTCATCACGATTGCTCATGCCCGCCATCTGCTTTCCTTGCTGTCCTTGCATACTCGATGCTGATGACATGTACTGACCTGCGACCGCCGCACCTGAAGCCGTGCTAGCACCGTCATGTTGTCCGAAATCGATCAGCTCATTTCCCTCTGCTCTTTGCTCTTGCCTCTGCACACCTTGCTGTGGCTGCATCTGTTGTGGCTGCATCTGTTGTGGCTGCATCTGTTGTGCCTGCTGCTGCGCCTGTGGTGGGAGATCTCTGCTCTGTTGCTGAAATTGTCCCTGCTGTGCCTCCCTCGGATCGCGGTCTTGTTGTGCCTGTGATGTGCTCTGACCTTGACTCTGACTCTGCTGACCCGGCAGTATAGGTGCAATGGCGAGGATCTGCTTCACCTGCTGATCTGGCGACGCGTTGCTATCAACCTTCGCGTCAATGACCCAGTCAAGATTCTCTTCGTCCCCAGGTGGTGCAGCTCTGAAGAGCTTCGGCTGCCATGTCGTGTCTTCGCCTCGCTCTGCTGCTTCCTTTCTTTGTTCGTCTTCGATTCTACTCTTCTCATCGGTTGCTGTCTTCTGATCTGCTTTCTTGATTGCTTTCGTCGTCGTGTCCCATAGCCGTTGGCTCTCGCGAGGTGATTGTTCGTTCAGTGGGCGTGCCTGCACTATGCTGGGCTTGGCTGTCGACGCGTTGAACAGCAGGTCTTTCTTGCCTGTCGTCAAGTCCTTGATGTACATCTCTTCGTGCCATAATCCGCTCAGCTCAAAGAGATTCTTGCCGGTCTTGCTGTCCTTAATGAAGCCACCAATCGCGTTGTAGGTGCCTCCCATCCAGCCTTTGACCTTGAATTCGATGTCTGCTTCTAGACCGCTCTCTGGGCAGCGCACGACTGCGTGATCGCCGAGCTCGTACTTCATCTTGCCGAAAAGGATGCCACGGGCGTACATGTTAGGTTGGGTGATGAAGCTGCGGGTGTCTCGGTTAGCTGAGGGCGTTTTCAAGCTAGTTGAGGGCATGGCAGATACTTACTACCGCTCATTACGCTTAAGAAACGTCATGACCGCAATACCCTCCATGAAACTGCCAACACTGTTGCCCAAGAACTTGCTTCGTGGCTTCAACGTCCCGTCTATCCTGATCCCGTGTTCCGGCGCCATGAAGAAGTAGCTGCTCTTCGGTGGGTGGTGACATGTCTGCTCGCTGATGTAATATCCTTTTGTGCCATCTGGATAGCCCCAGTAGCCAGTGAAAACTTCGCCAAGGATGGGGTTGAGTGGTTTCTTCACACCTGGAGGCTTGATGTGCCATCCGGACAGGTAGAACTTGGTGACAGCTACGAACCGCTGGATTGGGTCGTCGATGGTGGGGATGGGGAGCATGAGCTCGGGGTGTGCCATGAAATTCGTGATTCGTTCGAGCATGCTGCGTGGTTCGAGGATGAAGGTGGGGAGGGTGACTCGGGAAAGGTCTGCTCCCGGCCGCAGTTGTGATATGATGTGCGTGAGGACATTGCCCTGCTCCGCATTGACGATTTCGACATCCTCACCGACGTCGCTGTCTCTCGCTTCTTCCGTGGACGATCGGTTGCTATGGCTAGCGAGCGAGTTCTTCCGATGTCCGAGTACCATGGTGGGTGGTGGAGGAGGCGGCTAGGCCCTGAGGAGAAGGATATGTGTTAGTACAGGGATGGATGTTGCAGTGAACAGAAGCGAGTGAAATATGGTGCGAAGTAATCAGTCACTGCCAACACAGCAGTAGTGGAGCGAAGGAAGCAAGCAAGCACGTTTCGTGTCCGAGGCCGAGCGTCGGCCTGCGTCATAGGATCCGCTAAGCCGGATTGGGTCGCTGGGCCAGATGAATCCAAGAAATTGTCTCCGAGTCAATGAGCGAAGACGATTTGCTCATCCCACCCTGGTCCTCGTGTCGAAGAGCTATCACGGCGGCCGAAAGCTTGCTAATCATTGTTGTGTAGATGGAGAAGGCGCATGCCGACCAGGTGCTGACATCTATAGGATCCTGATCGTGAAGGCGAAAGCTGTACGGCTAGTCTCACTTGTCGGCCAGTCAACAGCTCATGTACTCATCTAGCGGCCGCTAGAGTAGCTCAAAGTTTGTAGCCAGCAACGGGGGAGGGATCTGTGTCTGGTATTCGGCAGGCCGGCCATCTGGTTATGTCCATGGAAGTGTAGTTTGGATCCTTGGTACTGGTGAAGTCGTCCACTGTCGTCTTTGAATCGATCTCGTTCTTGCGTGCTTGCTTACTTGCTTGCTTGCTTGCTTACGGCTGGTGAAGTCAGGGACATGAACGATAGGAAAGCTCATACATACTTTGGACGGAAGGCCAGCCCCCCCATCTGCCACCCAGCAGCCGCCTGCTGTGGTGGTGGTGGTGGAGGAGGAGGAGGAGGAGGAGGAGAGGGAGAAGGAGGCGGCGGCGGCACCATCTGCTGTGGTGGTGGAGGAGGGGGAGGAGGAGGGGGAGGCGGCGGCGGCACCGTCTGTTGTGGTGGCGGAGGCGGCTGCGCCGGCCACTGGATCACCGCACCGCTGCCCCGAGCGGCCAGGTGATATTTCACCCGGCAGGTGAAGCAGATTTCGTCCACCATGCTGGCATCCACCGCCTGCCGGGCGGGGCAGCCCCCGGTCTTCTTGCTCCTCCTCCCGCACTCCGAGAGAAGGACGTCGGACGGCTAGACGCGTGATTAGCTATGGTGAAGAAGCGAGCAGTGTGGTTGTGGTCGACGGAGAGGGGACGACTTACATGTCCGCACAACCAGAACCACTCGACTCTGACAAAGCACATCTGGATATCGAGTATTAGCAGTTTTCGGTGAGGATTGACGAAGATTCTAGACGTCGGAACGGCACAAACGGACAAGATCTCCGTCCCGTTGTGGTTCGTTTGAGCTGTAAGGTAGGCCCGTAGCATATGATGGGCATCGGGTTTTATGTGGGATAGTGCTTTGGAAGAATTGCAGCGACGAGTATTTCGCCATGGCGATGAGGTATCTTGTTATACCAACAGGCCATTGAATAGCTTATGGTATCGGCAATGGCGTCGAGAGCTGCTCTTTCTGTGCTTGTGGGATGGTATAATAGAATGAAGGAAATGGTGAGTCTTACGGTGCTGCTGTCGTGGTGGTGGTGGTGGTGCTGTCTGTCGATATGTTAGTCCCATTATATTGCTGACGGCCGTTTGTAAAGCTTTTGAGAGTCGAAAGATGACGGGGATGATAGATAGCGATGAGGTATTGTAGGAGGACTTACGTTGGTTGTTGTTGTTGTTGTTGTCTGCGAAAGGTGTGGTTAGCAGGCACTTAAACAGCAAACTGCTATCTCACTCGATAGCAGCAGCAGCAATAACCACGCAGCAAGCAACGACGATACAGTCACCCCACCTAGGCATCACTCCTCGTCGTCGCCGCCGCATAGACGTCACCGCCACCATTGCGAGATCAATGCCTGCTCAGGAGAAGATGGAAGACTTACCAAAAAAAAGTGTTCTTTCGTAGTCTGCTAGTATCACAGTCAGCACTCCAGGCTCCTCACAGTACCGCTACCGTGGACGGCGGTGAGGATCCGATATCGAGTACTTACGAAAATGTGTGTGTCGCTGCCAGGGGGGGGTTCAGGTTCAAGCGCGTTGACCGAAAACAACACCCACTGCCAAGACTGGACTACGGGACTGTCCGCCTCCCTGAGACGGCTACACAGGGCTCTGAACAATAGCTATTGAGGTGGTTGTGATGTTTTGTAGGTATTGTGAGGTTTGCTGAGTAGTTAAGACTGTTTTGATGATCTTTGGAACACATTGGGATGATCTGTTGAGCGATACGACCCCCAGGATGAAGGTATGTTACGATAAGCTGCTGTGGCGGCTGCTGTACTCAGATGATAGATCTTCGCCTCAGAGATCGTGTCAAGATGATCCATAGCCATGCTCAACAGTTCACAGATCTCGATCGCTGTTGAGACCAGGTTCGACACCTCCCACAGGGCAACCAGATCACTATAGCTACCACGTCGCCTGTTGTAATCGATGGTGTGGCGTCGCCAACGGGATGAAGTAAAGCTGGTACATACTAAGTAGTACTGCCTGCTATGATCGAATGTCCAATAGTCGTCAAGTATGGATGAAGCTGATCCCACAGAGTAGAGAGATCGAAGTACACTCATGTCACCTGCCATACTGGTACGAGCGATTGCTGCCGAGCAAGATCATATTGAATCGATAGACAGTGCTGTTCAATACAACACAGAGCTAATACTCCGTACACAATGCTTTCGATATAAGATGAAAGCATTCGGTTATAGCTTCCAGAAATTTTGTGATATCGGAATCAGGAAGTGAATGCTCTCCATCGTCGAGCTTCATGATGTCACTTAGTCTCTCGAAAGGAAAGAGAACCCTCTATCCATACTCACCTCCCTACCACAGAATATACTTCGAGTCGACTCATTCAATCTCATACAACCATACAACCACCAGTATCTGCACTAGTTACTCGATCTCCTGTGTTAGTAGTGCACGCAGTACAGCTAGAGCAGACGATATTGGTGTGAGACGCTCATGTCAGAGCACCGAGCCGATTTTGGACTCGTATTCCTGCAGTATGTGCTCCATTGCCATCATTTGCCGTCCGGCCTCTAGCGACTCTAAATCCGTCAAATCGTACCCATCCTGTCTCTGACAGGTATACTATATCCTCATCGCGGGGCTACATGTCGCCTGTAGCTCGAGAGGCAAGCCTTCAGGATTTGGAGTCATTGCTGCTGCTGAGCCTCAGAGGCTCGTGTCATCTTTTCAGACTGTCCGCTCCGCCCAGAGGTGGCCTCACTACATCTCATAGCTACGTCCGCTCAGTCAGCGCTCTAAATTGCAGAACAGACCACTCTTGCGATTGACGCAGGTCGAGGAGTTGTACTTGACACCAATATGCCCGGTATCGGTAGAGCAGATCCACCCTAAATGCACTTCAAAAGGCTTCGTGACTGGCACATCCTAGAAGTAGAGCTACGAGTCAGATATTGCGAGTTCTGGCATTGTAATGTGTCACAGAAGCGGGACCATCTGTGCCGTCGTTTGAGTTGACTAGGCTGGTGCTCTGTTGGTATGATTTCTCGGGTATGAGAAACCATGGGTGATCGCTGAGAAGTCTAGTAAAATGCGAGTCCTATCGACTTCCAGCATGTCCTGCGTGAGCAGGGTCTGCGTGGATGCTCAGCGCATTGCAGAGTCCGGTGGCTCGCGGCTGTGCATCAACACAGCGCACCACTCACACAATCTCTTCGGTCGGACATGCATCGAGTGTACCTATGCGGCTATTTAGGCATCCTGACAGGTTCCGGGTTACTTCTCGTGGTCATAGTCGTCATAAAGGGAGTGACTAAGATTTATCGAGCGCACTACATCAGCTCAATCTTTCTTGCCTGTACTTCTAACTATAAAGCGCAGCTCAGGGTCGCATCCCATGCATATTTGTACCTACTAGAACTCTGTAGCGACCTGACGAGCACTCTGGTACGATACTTGCAGCTGCAGAGATGACAGAAGCCCAGGCGTGATGAAAGACGTGCAGTCGCAAGAGACTTTGCCAAGACACGGCGAGCTCCGCTTCCCAGACAGCTCGTCCATTCATATACACTATGGCCACGACAGCGACGATAACATGCCCAACACGCATACTGACCATCGGATGCGCTTGCCAAATGCTTATGCATGCTTGTCATCTGCTTAGATAGCATGAGTGAAATCTGCTGGTGGCGCAGTGAGCTGACCGAGGAAAGGTACTTGGGCAGCCGGAGCTCTCTTTCCTTTCATCCACCCACATCATCCTTCTAGACCACTGCCGCGCGAGCCCTCGACCTGCCGCTGCACTTCAGTAATTACGTGAACATAAGCGGTAGGCGATCTTCTTGGCCCGCGAATGCCCTGATCGTCGTATCAGTGAGGCGAGACTCGAACACACCACTTACAATCCAGCACCTCATCCTCATCGTGCAGCACAACCACCATGAGTGCGCCGACACCAGCGAACTCGGCCTTGGCCATCATCGACCTGTGAGTGAGCACCTCATGCCTCACTGCCTGCCCTCAGGCAGAAGACGAGTGAGAGAGCACTGAGCGCTATGCACCACGCAGCCAAAATGACTTCTGCCCTCCGCACGGCGCTCTGGCAGTGACAGGCGGCCGTGACATAGCCCCAGCAATCAACACCCTCCTTTCCCTCCCCTTCGCCCTCAAACTCGCAACCCGCGACTTCCACCCACCCGACCATATCAGCTTCGCCAGCCAACACACAGGCAAGAAACCCTTTACCGACAGCCACACGATCGTGAGCCCGAAGAATCAGGAGGAGGAGCAGACAACGTGGGTCTGGCCGTGAGCGACTAGCCGGCAAGCACAAGAGCTGATAGCACGTGTGATGAACAGACTTCTGTGGCCCGACCACTGCGTTCAAGGAACACCCGGTTGCGAACTGATACCCGAACTCCACACCTCCTCCCTTCACTTTATAGTAGACAAAGGTCAAGACAAGCGCGTAGAGTCCTACTCCGCCTTTGGGCCTCCTTTCCGCCGCCCTCGCGTGGGGATGACAGAGCTGGATGCCAAGCTGAAGGAGAAGGGTATCGAGCATGTCTTTGTGTGTGGGCTGGCGTGGGACTTCTGCGTGCAGAGTACGGCTGTAGATGCTGTGGAGCATGGCTACAGCACGTACGTGATTGAGGAGCTGACGAAGGGTGTGGATCAAAGTGAGGATGGGCATGAGAAGACCAAGGCAGAGATGGAGAAGTCGGGTGTGAAGGTCATTGGGCTGGAGAGTCCTGAGCTAGATGCTATACGGAAGAAGTAGACGGTTGTGAGGGATCCTGGCCACCACGCAATAATAGCAATGTGTTTCTGGTGAGCCGTAGGGCCCAGAGCACAGTACACTCCATGATAGAACCAGGCAGACATCCTGGTGTGGCATCTAGACGGGCCTGAACCATGCTTGATAACATGGCATTCTGGCCAGGCTTACCCTCCTAGCACTGAGCGGCGTATGAAGCGATAGCAGGATGAGCAACAACTATGGATGGATCAGACAGACATCCTGCTGCCACGCAGATGTGGTGCAGTGTCGGCAGCAAGTGAGGCGTATCCATTGCCTGGCAGTCGCAGATGCAGCTCCAGGTGAACAGCATTATGTATGAAGTGCTTGGAATATATGCTTATCATATCTGTACTTTCTAATCGGACTTGAGATCGATATAATCTGCCTCTTCATTTGAGATCAAGGCGAGCGTCAGGACATAGTATGCTTGTGGACAGCAGACGCCGTGGAGGGTGCCAGTCTTTAGCTATTCTGTTTCAGCTAGAATCAGCCACACTCCCACGCAAGAGCAAGTTCTCCTCGCCTGGTTACTGCGGGAGCTGTAATGTCCATTGACACTGGCTGGACAGGCAGGCAGGCAAGCTGCGAAGGAAGGACTCAGCTCTCATTACAATGCTGTGAGATCTGGCAAGTCTCTGCTTCAACATCACAGCATGCCAGCTTCAGGAAGCCGCTAGGGACTGTCCATGCTGGCGCTGCTTCACTCCGTGCCGATGACTCGGACCAAGAACCAGGAGAATGGTTTGAAAGCAGACGATGGCCGCATAGGATGCCAGGGTAGCTGTCGCTGTCCAGATCGTGAACCGGTTCACGAAAAGCCTCGACCGTTGACAACGCTCTGGAGCCGGCTTTGGAAGCTTCGAGATCATACGACCGAGGCACGGTACGTCCTCATGTTAGCTGCCGCTCTGGAGCTACGGCAGACGTGGTCTTCAAGCTCTTGGCACGTTGGCTGCCCGTTCCTCTGGACGCCCGGCACCTGCAGTCTAGGATCTGGGTTCGCTGAGATCCTGATGTTCGGCTCTTGAGGATCGGCTGGCAGCTTGGAAGGCCTGGCTCTGCCTGGGCTCGTCAGACTACTGACTGCTTTGGTTGCCGGAAAGTGGTATGAGGACAATGTTACGATCGATCATGGACGAGGTAGGCATGTCTCGAAGATTGAAGATAGGTCTACAATCTTCTCGCTTTCTCAGAGCGACTCCGCTGGACCATCTATCCTTGACCCAAGAAGTCGAGCCGCTGCATCAGATGTTTATTGCTTCCGGGCATTGCACTTCCAAGGAGAGAATAGGTCCAGTGCTTTACGACCTGTCCTTGCCTCTAGCATACGGCGCGATCATTATGTGAACGCCGCTATGGCTCATGTACCTCAGCGTTACCGCGTCGCACAGCGAGATGCGCGTGTCTCGTATGGGGTACTTACGCTGTTCACTCATGACAGACCTGGAAGTCTCTCTCTCGCGTTTCCGTACCACTTGGAGCGGCCGTCGGCGAAAGCTCTCTCCTCGTCCAGATCTATCCTGTGGCGGACCGTGCTGCGCCAGAAGCATGCTCCTGTTGGAGTGCAACCAGCCCATGATACGGGTTCTCTCGGAAAAGCTGATTCGCCCTCTTCCCACTGCTTCCATCCCAGTGCGTGTCTTGTTCGCGTGGAATACAAGCGCGATTGAAGCCCGCCTCTGCAAAGAAGGTGTTACAGGTTTCAGACCTACCAGCCAGGTCGACTGGTAATTTCAGCGGCGAATGCGGACGCAGAAGCTGCATTGACACTGATATTATATCTGCTCGCTGTCGCACCCACGACGTTGATGCGCATGATGGTGTCCTAGGAGTACAATTCGCCTCTCGTAGGATGTTGTCTCGATAGACATCGCCTGCCAATCAGTTCGAAGGATTGTTCTGGCGAGAATCGTGCTGCGTACGAAGCAGTATGGCTCGGCCAAACTCTTGCGCCCCTGATGGGTGAAGGAGCCTTTTAGAGCTGGCGCATTTCATCCGAGAGAGGTCGCTGCCCTGCGACGGGCGAATGGTTGTGTAAGTATCGGGGTACGAGACCGCGACCGGCCGGTTATGAGGTGCTTTGCAGGATCTCAAGGCATAGTCTGGGTGTGCTGGCGCTCGCTTTCGGTGAGGTAGATCGATCCGTCGCGTCTGTCATGGTTGGTGTAGATGTTCAAGAAGGTCGTAAGGAATTGCGAGCATCGCGGAGGAGGTTTGCGAGGTCGGGCATCGAGGTGTGTTGCTGTTCCTTTCCTTGACTGTTTCTCAACGCCTGTCGCTGCATGATGCTGCACTTACATATAGCGACAACTGATCTCATCGTCTCGTGTCTTGAAGCGATATTTCTGATACTTTGAAGAGCTTGTGTTGCGACAGATTGCTAATTGGCTTGCTGCCCAAACGAAGCTCCAAAGCGAAGCTGGAGGCATACAGCATCAAGAAACACCATCTCTCGACAGCAGTACTGTCGTGAACCGTCTTGATGGAAGATGATAGAGTCTCGAGACCTCTGTTAGAAGTGTTCCTCAAGTCTCAAGAGTGCTGACAGCCTGGTGGACTGGTCAAAGGTGTACTGCGCATCCGTGGAGCTTCCATCGTCCATCACACAAGCTACAACAATCAAGCCAAATTCCCTAAGTCGGAGCATCCCCGGAGGGCTCAGAAGAACATATATGAACAGTAAAACAAGCCAAGCATCTCGTGCGAGGCACATGTATATTAGATTTGCTTTGCCACTGCGATTTGATTGATCCACCATTATGATGAACTGTCGGCGCTAACAGTGATGAGTCTAGTTACACAAGCAAGTGGCTCTGCAATGAACTTTGGTTCTAATCCACCTCTTTTCTCCGGTAACGTGGTTGAGTGGTAGAATTCTTCCCTTCGGACTTATGTCTACCTCTACGGAAGCGGTCCCAGGTTCGACCCCTGGCGTTGTCAACGAATACTTTTTTGCTTTGGAGAAGTTCAGGGGGTTACCATTCGGCTCTTCTCGCGTCAAATCACCGCTGGAAACGATTGCAAGGGCCGGAATACGCTAATGGTATGCTGATTACATCTTTGAGTGAGCTAGGTGACTACTGATCGATACGGCGAAATAATTGTGTTTTTGCTTGCTACAATAGTGTAATAGTAGTATATACGGCTCAAGAATAGTGCATCGCTTCCTAGATCGACCAGGAGACGCCTGTAGAGTAAACATATGAGTAGAGCTCCCCAAACGTCCACAGGGCTAGGCGTCGAACTTTCCGATCATTCTGATATTGCAAACGCGCCAGTTCTTTCTTCTTCTTTCCAAGGATAGCAACACCACCACCACCTCACCAGATCCCCGGCGCCAACAGCAACAGCAGCAACAAGCACAGCAAGACGGCTTCGGCCATACAAAGCAATTTTCACTCCTGGGCGCCACCGCCGCCACCACCACCACAACACGCAGGGTAAGTTATGAGTCGATGAGACTGCAAGAGAATGAGTTTCGTATACCTCCTCACTGGATATCGCTGGTTCATCACCTATCATTGTATTTAAGATGCCGCCAGGCCATGGGGACCAAGCGTTCTCGACTGGTCAATACATACCCCTTGAAGGACACTCCATTTTTCCTACAGCCTCCTTCCCACGACACGGCGACGACAATAGCTATCATGGCGCCCTACACGCTGTCCACCGTTCGCCAGCGTGATGGGAATAGAGCTGTGACCTGTCATTCGATTTCCCTGAACCCTGCAAAATGGCTTCGCCCCTCCCTTTCAACCCTTCAGCTTCTCGATGGTCAAGTCATCAGCAATAGCTAGCACGTAACCCTCTGTCCTATCAAAAGCAGCGTCATGCTATTGGAAACGAGCAGCGGCGAGAAGACTTTACTCGGTGACGGCAAGGCCATGTCCACCATCTCTTCCCCTTCTCTCAAGTACCAATTCCGTGGAGACAGCTACTCTGACGTACTCCATCCTGTCAATCGGTCTAATGCTAGCTCGGGAAAGCCACTACTGACGCACCATCGTCCGATCCAGATGTGCCACGACATCACCACCGTCGCCTTCCCCTGCGCCTGCATCCACGGGTGCACCTACGTCCGCTTCGTCGTCGTCGACCCCTGCGCAGCGGGGTACGAGGACATGCCTTGCTTTGCGTCCCGTTTCTTGGGCGTCGACATCGAGGAGGTGTGGGCTGGAGACGAGGGGGAGATGCTGTGTCCGGGGTGTGCGCTGGCGGGGCTGGTTGGGGAGGTCCGCGTGGAGGAGAGGAGGGGGTTGAGGGATTGGGAGGTGCAGATGACGGAGGGGTTAAGGTGGTGGTTGAGTTGGTTGAGGAGGCAGAGGGTGGAGAGGGAGGAGAGGGAAGAAAGAGAGAGAGGATGATGAGGGAGCGGGTTGAGGTGTGGTTGGAGGGTGTGGTTGACAATGGGGATGAAGACGAGGATGAGGGTGAGGGTGAGGATGAGATGGAGTGGGATTTGGCCGCCCAGCAGTGAGCTGCGGTGAGATAAGAGGGCGCTGGCATGGCGGCTGCAGGTCGTCTCCGTCGTGAGAGGGCGGGGACGTGGCGGCGTAAGAGCCACCAGTAGTTTGAAAGTGCGTTTTCCCGATTGCAAAGTCTTCTGCCAGACGTCGCTATCATGCTCATCCATCTCCTCGATCCAGCCGACTCTCCACAATTGCCGTGCCATGAGCTACATCAAACGATCTCAAGAGCCTTTGAGAGCGATCATACCGACGACATAGGCATCTGCTTCGTTCCCGACGACGTCGATCTTGTAGGCTTTTCGTAGACAAGCTTCGTCTGTCATGCCAGCTAATACTTCATCAGTGAAAGGGACGACAGTGCCTTGTACTGACTCCTTTAGATGGGTTTCCGTGTGAACAGCGTCACGAGACGCCACTTTGATGGCTAGTAGATCCTTTGTGGTATCTGAGACGCCGAAGCGACGAAACGACTCTGATATCTGTATGTATGTGGTGAGATTAGGAGTTGACGAGTACAGACAGATGAAAGATAGCTTACGTTGTTATTCGGCGACAAGGCAAAAACGATCTCACTATGCACGTTCTTGCTCTTCAGACGGCTTTGTAAAGTATCGTTGATAGCTCGAAAACACGCCGCGAACACATGCTCGCGAGACAAGATGACTGCGGCGTCGAGGAAGGCATATTCAAAGTCTGTATTGCCGTCTAAGAGTTGCTGTCGTAGGAAGTCGGCATTCTTGACTTCGCTGAATAGGACGACTTGGAGCGGAAATTGCGGAAGGTGAGGAAGTGTGATGGTTTCCATGATATTTGTGATGGATACTTGCCTCGGTGGCGAACTATGGGAATAGTGCTATTGGGCTATATTTGTGCAAAAAGGTGGGATAGCATTCATAATGTCTCGCCGATGTCTCGGAGCGGCATGGCGAGAGGTCTGAGATGGAAAACTCCCATCACGTCCCAAAGCGCGTGCGGGCAGAAACCATAAACAACCTTCTCCATTCCTGTCCAACTTTCTCGCCTGAATTTAGTTGAAGAGGATTGTACTGGGACAGACGGCTGACTGATGGACGTGGCTTGCACAACATCACGGCTCCCACCGCGGCATCTTCCAAACCAATACAAACCAACCCGCACGCGCGCGAGCAGACGACGAACGCGCGGAAGATGCCATCGCCCATTGAGCAGCATTTGCATCAGCAGCTGCAGCAACATCATCACTTCCACCACCCTCCGCTCCACCACCCACACGTGCACGCACTCCCGCCACCACCACCTCCTCTCTCCGTCGCGACCAAACGCGCAGCAGAAGGGCCACCGCTCGTCGAGCTCCTCTCCGCCTCGACATCACCCACAGCACACAGCGGCCATGGCAGCAGTAAATCCCGCAAGACCAACTCCTCCCGCACAGGTCAAGCGTGCGACCGCTGCAAGATCCGCAAGATCCGCTGCGATGCCCGGACGGGCGGATGTTCGCCCTGTCTGCAGAACAACACCGAGTGCAAGACCACGGACAGGATAACTGGGCGCACCACCTCGCGTGGCCATACCGAGAGTGTGGAGAGCGAGAATGTCGAGCTCAAGATGTATGTTATGGAGCTGCAACAGCAGCTGAAGGGTCATGGGGTGGAACCTTCTGCGCCGCCGATAGCACCAGTGGGGTATGGGCCGCCGCCCCCTGTTCAGGCCATGCCTGCTGGGTACGGGCCCCCGTCGTGGAGTAGTCCTAGACCGAGTACGGCCTTTCAGAGCGTCGGTGGTGCTGCTGCGAATGAGAGGCCGATGGCGATGGGGTCGCTGTTGCCAGAGTTCCGGTCGGGATGTATCGGCGACAATTACTTGGGTGTAGGGTCTGAGAATAACTGGCTGAGTACCATCGAGGGCACCTCCATTGCGCTGTTTGGGACGAAGATCGACTTGGCTGATTTTATGCCACTCGAGCCGAATCCTGAGGCGACTGCGATGTCTTATGAGACTTTCCTGGCTTTCGCGTTTGGCGGGCAAAGATTGCCTGGTATACCAGATTTACCAGAGTACAGCCAATGTCGGCAGTATGCTGAATGGTACTTCCGCACCATTCAGCCTTTCACGCCCGTGCTGCACAAACCCGACTTCATGCGACTGCTTGTTCGCATCTACCATGAGAACTACCAGCCTACCCCAGCCGAGACGGTGATGGTGCACATGATGCTCACGATCATGTACTTCCAGTACTCAGCCCGGAACGAAAGCGCAGAAACAAGGCAGATGTCTTTCGAGCACTACCACTATTCACTCAGCTTCATACCACAACTGCTGATGAGTCACCGCCTCGAAGACCTCCAAGCATTGGTACTCATCTGCGCCCAGCTACGCAACCAGCCACGGCCCGGCGCATCATGGATGTTCACGAACACCGTCCTTGGTGTGGCCATCGAAGCAGGCCTGCATCGTTCTACCAAAGCCTGGCCGAACAACACTTCTACGCTTGACCCGCATACGACAGAAATGCGGAAACGTATCTTCTGGACCCTCATGCTCTTCCACATCAACGCCAGCGGCAACTATGGCCGACCCATGCCCTTGCGATTCGAGGACTTTGATATCGAGATACCTGAACCTGTCTATGACTGTTTGCCGGAAGAAGACCACACCACCCGTGAATGGAAGAAATGCTCTTTCCGAGCTGGCATCGAAGGCTTCAAACTACTGAAAATCCTACTCGGAGTCTACCACACCATCTACGCCGTCAATCCACCCCCAGATGCGCAATACGAGGCCACCGTCCGCCAACTAGCTCAAGATCTCGACGTCTTCCTCGCGCAACTCCCCCCAGAACTGACCACTGGCCCTCAATCTATCGAGGAAGATCGCACCTTCGCCCTCTACCTCGAGCTCAGCGCAGCCGAATATCAGCTCCTCCTGCACCACCCGGCACTCTGCCGCTCCAGCGCCCCACAAGTCTACTCCCGCAATCTGGATGTCTGCCTCGATGCTAGTAACAGTATTCTCGTTGTCGCTTTGAAACTGAAGCAGCTGAAGAGTTTGGACACCACGTTGTATTATGCTACGGACTTTATTGCGGCGATCTGTACGACGATCTTCGCTTTCAATGAGAGGAAGAATGCGTTGCAGGTCGGGGATGTGCAGAGATTGAGGCAGGACATGGATTCTTGGCTTGATGTCCTTGCGCAGGTGGGTCAGATGCTCGGGACTGGTCTTCGGCTTCAGCAATTCGTTGGCGGCATCATAGATCGTCATGTTGGGGAGATCAGCCGCTACGTTGCTGGGCAGACGGCGAGCGCGGCTGTGCATCAGGCTACTGCTGCCGCGGCTGTGGTCGCTGCAAACGCAAGTGCTGGAGCCGAGCATTCCAATCATCCCGGTGCGAATGAGTATGATCAGCAGCCAGCTAAGTACGAGGCCCCGCCTAGCGATTACTATAGCACGCCCTACTCCTCTTACCCGCCTCCGCCACCTGCCGCTATGACTGGGACGCCAACGCCACAACATCAAGCGCAGCAGCAGCAACAGCTGCTTCCGGCATCGAACTCCGTCGATCCGACGGCTTGGAGGCATTTCGCTGATAATCTGATGTCAGGCGTCAGCGGCGTCAACCCCGTCACGCATGTACCTGGTTCCGCCACGGCACCTGTCGGCGTCGGCGTCGGCGTCGGCGTAGGTGGCAATGGAGGAGGTGGGTATATGAGTCCCGTTCTGCAAGGTCTGAACGGCACGATGACCCCAGCAATTGTGGTTTCGGGATTACCTGGCCCGCCGGGGTCGGGGGCGCATGCTAGTCAGCAGGAGTTTGGCAGTATGCCTTTACCGGATAGTAGTCAGGCGTGGCCGATGGTGCAGTTTAGTACGCTCGGGGGCACCGGTGGGGGGTAAATGGAAGTCGATGGCGACGGGAGAGGGTATGCTTTGCTTTTTCTGCATGCTGTGTCGATTGATGGTGTGGACTGTACGATAGATGGTGGTTTTGCTGGATGCGAGATGTATGCCCGCATATGGTGAGTTTCTGGGCATCCCGTCGGCGTCGTGTAAGAGGCGCTGGCGCTGCGTTGATGAGGTGGGAGATTTGTACCATAACCATCACGACGAAGCGGGCAGTCACATGTCACTTTTCTGATCATTTGTGGTTCCAAACTTTGCGCTTAACCCATACCTTGAGCTGAGAATATGCAGGACTACGACAGACCTTGCTGATTCTGTTCGATTTTGCTTCAATACAACTGGTTCGATGGAAGCTGCAGCTCTTACGGCATTACTGTTGGGGAGATGTCACGTTCAAGCACTGTCGCGGACTACATATCGCAGCTTTCACCTTCGACGGATATCCCCTCGCCATTTCAAAATACTTTGAGACTGGCGGCGTAATCGATCGCGACTAAAAAGTCACCAGCCTTGGAAGACCGCAGTGCATTTGAAGCCCTGTGGGTCGGAACAGCGATAAAGCATGCGTGAAATCAACTTTGGATGGCTTGGGAGATATGTACGGGTACCTATAGTCGTTGCGGCCAGCTTGCTATGCGACGAACGTGACTACGCAGTCGTTCGGAGAGATGCTGCACCACGCTTTCCTGATTTCCTCCCTGCAACGCAGGCACGCGGATTGCTGACGTGAAGATTTGCCTTGCGATCACGCCTTCGGCTCTAGCTATTTAGTAACCGTGGCCGTCTGGATGCACCCGCTTTCCTCCCTCAACGATCCCATATCGACCGTTCCGTCAGATCTGCGCTCTCGACTGGTGTCGGCGGATCAAGTTGTAGCAAGAATCTGAGAGTGCACTGGAATATTGATCTCGTTGCCACCACGCCCATATCTGCTAGGGTCTCAAGCAGTATCGACGCTGGACTCGGTCTTTGTGAGGTCGACTACCAGTGCAAGTTGTACTTGTGCCGCGAGGTGAAGGCTGTGCGGCATTTCTTCGTTCTGGGCCTGGATTGAGTTCCGGTGGCCGAGCTCGTCGTCAATAATCGCAGCAGCAGCAGGGAAAGTAGTGCTGCCAATGTTTCCGCTTTGAAAGCTGCTCTCGTCTGCAAGGCATTGACTCGCTCAAAGGCATTGAGACACAACGGGCTATGTCCAGAGAAAGCAGCTGCTGACGTGCGTATGCCGTTTTTTGAAGATATAACCATGCTGCGCATACACATCGAGTGGTTACCGAGCTCACGGGCTTGAAGGAGACACCTGTCGAACGTGTCCTCGGCGTTTCTGCTGATAGTTACACGGCGTCGACTCGGTCTCCTGGTCAGGCTTTCCGCCGCATGAAGCAGGTTACCTAAGCTATCTCAATGAAGTTCTCGAACATCTACGCTTATATGTTCCTGAAGCTGGTGTAGAGAAGGCAATCGTTGAGCACCGGACAAGTGGACTTCCATCGTTCGTGCTTCATGCTTGCCGCAAACGGCGCCCCGTTGTCACGCGCATGGGAATGTTCTGCTGGGAAGTCGTTATACGAAGACAAGGCTCTTCACTAGCCGAGTCGCGAATACTGTACATCTGTCCATCATCAGTCACATCGTTTTTCGTCACATCTCCATGGTTGATAATGCTGACTTGTTGCTTTGTCCTCCTCCCGCTTCCAACTGTCTTCATACGGCCAGTGTGGATTCTTCTGGAGCACTGTCTTGCCGACCCGTGGATCGAAAGCGAATATGTAGGGGCCTGAGTCTGATAGTGATTGTTTTCTCTCTTCCTTGTTGCCATTCGTCTTCTTGCTGAAGATGGAGGAGCGGCGGCGGGCTTTGGGTGAGGCAGACTGGTCGTTCGCGTTCGTCGGAGCCACGTCGCTCGGGTTTTCTCCGCCATATCGTTCTGTAGTCGCCGCATCCTTTGTCGCGTCTGCGTTTCGAGTCGAGGGTTCTGCGGCATCAGCTTGCTGTGTCTTCATGGACGAACGGCGTCGATGGAAGAAATGCATTATCACTACTTGCGAAGCTCAGAATCAGCAGGCAATGTGTCTTGGCTGCATTACAGCTACGAATAGCTGTCTCAAGGCCGAGCATGCCGCTACCGCCTGCACGATGATGTGTCGCTAGAGAGCTCTTCCAGCTTGCCAGCCGATCGGTTCGGCATCGCGTGGCAACTTTAAACGTCCGCGTGGCTTGCTGGACGTGCACGATTCGCAGCTCTGTTTTCTCGACTTCATGTCGTCGCCGCCGTATGTTTGTGATTGGAACGTCGATGGGAGGATCGCTATAAACCCATCCCAGTGATGGAAGCATATGTAGAAATGCTGTTACGTTCTACAGGCTGTTTGACCGACGCGTAAGCTGTTCAGACACGAAAGTTGGCACGGCGGCGAGCAATATAGGCATGTCAGTGACAGTAATGAAGGGGTCTAGACATGATTATTTCCTCGACGGCACGGTGATGGTAATGAAGACTCTTACGAAGGCCATTCGACGATGATGAGGCTATGACCAAGGATCCGTACTGCCTCCATCACAGCCAGCGGCCTGTCGACAACACGCCATGGGCGCAATCTCACAGCCCAACACTCACTAAATCTCAGCAAGCAACAACGCACATTCTTCTCCAAGCCCCAGCAGTAAAACTGGAGCGATGATGAAAGAAAGAGCCACGCAAAGCGTGAATGCGGACCATCAAAAATTGCTAGCGTAATGTATCAGCATTGATATTGCAGTCAGAGGAGAAATTCGATGAGCTCACCGCCGCCCAACCCCCTTGCGGAAGTTGGCAGGCTATCACGCCACGCTGTGCAATGCAGGTGATAGCCATGTCGACCCGGTATTCGTGAGCACCAGTCGAGCAACAGGGTCTGTGATGATGTATTAGCAGAAGGTATCGAAGGTTTGGGGGGTGGGTTTGGGGAAGACGTGCAAGTATGAGAGAAAAAGGAAGCAAGTGGGTTTGGGGGCTGAGCGAGTACTATATAGGAGTGAGAACTGGTCTGTGCTAGGGTGCACATTGTGCGAGTCAGTTCTGCTGGTCCCGTACTGCGGGAGAGTGCTGACTGATTGAAGCAGGGCGTTGACGTGGTGACGTCGAGGGCACGTGTCGGGCGGCGATGCTTGAGGGAGGCTCGGGGGTCTGGGAGACAGGTGCGGGCTCGTTCAACGAGGAACGACGTCTTATGTGGCCGTAGTACGTCTCTCGTAGTCTCGTTGTTCCCTTAGCGGTCGGTTTTGAAATTCTATGAAGCTTTACTACGCTGAAGATCGATTTACAGGCTAGACATTTGGCTGTCGGGTCAGATACAAGCTCAGAGAGTCACCAGAGTACGCTTCGTGACCTCCTGAAGCCGTCTGTACCCTTCAATAGAGCGTCCAGTGATCTATCATCGTTCATAAGCGACGGGAGAATTGTGAGTTTCACAGTATTCGACTCGATACGACGTTTTGGCGACCCATCACGACCAGTGGGCTGCTTGAAGCTGAGCTCTACTCGTCTCAGCGTGTTCTTGAAGCATTCGCTCGATACGATCATGCTACAGTGCCGCTGTATCGCCTCCTAGAGCCCTATGTGGTAACGTTGTACTTCACTTCCCTTCTGCGTTATTGCTGTTCTGTTTTTTCCCTCCCTTGGGACGACCTCCGGACGTCACTGGTCCCGGGGCTACTCCGCAGACCTCATCCTACCTTCGAACGAAGCTCTCGAAGCAAAACAAACGATCTGGTCGACGAGGCGCATAACACAATACCACAGCTCACCACAGAAACAAGCACAATGCCATCCAACGATCCAACAAGACCACCATGCCCCTGCAAGCCTCGCACCGAGAAGTGGAGTGTCGAAATGCTTTCTGGCCGCGTCCACGCGATGAAAACGATCAAAGAAGAGAGATGGTTCTCCGAAGAGGAAATGGCATTTTTGCAATGGCAGAGAGAGACGCGAGAGCAAGACGAGACGGCGAGGAGAGCGAGAGAGCAGTGATGAGGTATGGTATCCCGGCGGCGACATCAGTGGCAATGGCTAATGCGTCGGCCCACAGCAGTATACCATGACAATCACCCTGTGAGATACGACCATTGAATTTTGAGCCATACAATCTGTACATCATGTGTCGTCAGTCTCATATACATTCCTGTGCATCATACCACATTCCCTATCATCATCGAACCATCAAATAGCATATACCATAAACCTCATACCACAAACCTCACGTCCAGAACTATGCCACAACCGCCTCACAAACCCCTCCAATAATCCTCGCCCCTCTCAACACTCTCCCTGACGGCACCCCTGACACCCGTTCCAACCGAACCCAAACTGACACTCCCCTTCCTACTCCCAGCCGCAATCGCCGCTTCCTTTCCCTCATAGACAAACCCGACGATCTTCCTCCCAACCTTCCTCGGAGGCGGCAAGACATCCTGATCTGGCTTCACTTTCGCCTGCGTTAGCAAACCCTTCGAAAGCTCCCGCATCACGTCCACGATTTCCTTTTGCGCTTTAGTGAGGTCGCGAATCTGCGCATTTTGCGCTTCGATGCGGGAGTCGCTTGTCTTCCTGCTGTCTGCAAGCTGTTGAGTAGTGCTCATACGCTGCCGAGCAACGTCCTGGTCTCGTTGACCAGTCTGCTTTGTCAACGTTGCAACAGCCTCGGATGTCGAAGCAATAGCTGTGTGCACCTTATCGACAGTCTGACTCTGCGTCTCCCGTATAGTTTTGACATGCGCCGCATTCGCCTCCGTCACCGCCTGGATCTTACTCAGATGCGATGTCAACGCTGACATTATGAATTTGGCATCGCCGGTCCCTGGGCTTGTGTCACGATATTGCTTTTGCTCCGTAGCTTGGCGCTCGATGGATTTATGGATGCGGTTGAGGCGGTTAGTCAAGGGTGTGAGGTCGATGTCTGGTTTCAATGGTGGTATTTGAGTCGACGATATCTTCTGCTGAGACTCCGTGAAAGCACGTATATGCTCTAAGTTCTGTTCGGTGGCTGTGCGCATGGCTTGCAGATGCTCGATCAGCGACCCAGAGTCGCTGTTGTTGCCATGAGCGCCGCTCTCCAATAACTCCTTGGTCACATGCTGCGCAGCAACAAGCTCGGTCAATTGCTCGGAATCATGTTCGACCCATTCACGTAAAGCTACAAGGTGGCTGTTAACTTCACTGAGCTGTTCAGTCAATGGTGAAAAGTCGATTCCGTCCCGGCCGCTATCAGCAAGGACCTCGTGTAGCCGTCCATGGGCACCAACAAGCTCTCGCGTCTGATCGTGCGTGCGCTCAGAAGCTGTAGCGATCTTCGCAAGCTGCTCATGCAACCCATCGAACTTATTTGCAAGTGGCTGCAAGTCCTGCGGCGAAGAAGGCGGGTCGAGGATAGTATTCTCGAATTTCGCATGATGCTGTAGCAAGACCTCGAAGCGCTCACTTGCCATCGACGACCCGTGTATAAGCTCGGCAAGCTGCTGGCTCAGACCATCGAACTTACTTGCCAGCGGAGACATATCAAACGTGGACTTGGTGTCCTGGACAGCTTGTCGCGTCGCCTCCATCTTCTCCGCTAAAGGCGTCAGATCGAGCTCTGACTTGTTCGACCCAACAGCCACCCGCATCTCCTCCATCTTTTCGATCAACGGCTCCAGACTGATCCTTCCCGTACTCCGCGCGAAAGCATTGCCTTCCTCAATGGCATTATAAATCTGTTCTAAATGCTCTCCAAGCGGCGCAAGGCTCTTCTCCGCTGTATCGCCACCTCTGGTCCCACCACCAGGAACGCCATTGCCACCAGCACCAGTTCCAGCGAGTTCGTTCGGCACCTCCTCATCCCCGCCACCTGTCGCAAATCCTACAAGTGCTTGCATATGCGAAGACTGCTGCTCAATAGCGTGATGGATCATCTGCAAATGCTCCGTCAAAGGTGACAAATCCATTGTTGGAGGAGCGGCAGTCATCTGCGCTGCAGCATCTTTACCCCAGAATGGCGTCCCGGGTTTCGACTCCGGCGCGGAACCTTCTTCCAAAAGTGCTTTGACAAGAGCGGAGTTCTGCTCGACAGCCTCCTGAACTTTCTCAAGTTTGTCTATCAGAGGTGAGAAATCAATCTGCGTAGGCCGCGCCTGCTGCTCGACGGAAGACTTGGCATTGTCCTTGCGCTCGGTGCTATCCTGCTCCATAAGCGACTGTATGCGATCGAGATGCGAAGACAGCTGCGCCATGTCGAGGTAGTCGTTCTTTTGTCTGCCTGCCATGTCCGCCATAGCATTACTTAGTTTCCGGTCATTCTCGCTCTGCTGCTTGCTCAAGTTCACCATGTGCTCCGAATGACGTTCCAACAACTCATTGACGCGATTGAGATGCGATGACAGCTCTGTGCCTTCGAAGTAACCACTCTTCTCACTCTCCTCGCTCTGCCTCATGGTCATCTGCCTCTCAGCTAGAGCAGCAACTTGTTCCGTATTCCTGTCCACCGCCTCCATCATCTTGACAAAGTACTCCTCTAGCTTCGTGATCTCCTTCCCGACCTCTTTACTCTGCTTCTTCATCTCACCCATAGCACCCGCTAATTCTGGACTCGAAGGCGCAAGGGCAGATCCACTGAGCATATGTCCCTGCGCATCTTGCACTGGGATAATTCCCTGCGCCGCGCCTCCTAGTCCACCGTCTTGCGTATCGCTGAAGGAGATATACATCCATTTGCTCTTCAGGTGAGCGAAAGCTGGGTGCTTCCATGCTTTGGAGAGGAGGTCGGGAGGGTCGACGAAGGAGAAGAGTTGGGGTCCAGGGCGGGAAGTTTCGGTGAAGTTGGCCTGGAGGAGATGCCACCATTCGTTGGCTATGCTGGCGCTGGCGAAGGTTAGGAGGTAGCGGGATTGAAGGTCATTACCCTACAGATGGGTGGGTAGAGGTCAGTATACTTTCATCGTTGATGGCTGGCGCAACAGCGGTGGGAGAGCATGTGTCACTTCACCAGATGGAGGCACTCACTGTTCGCGCATAGGCATAGAACAAATTCCCGTCGTGCTCTTTCTCTACCTGCGTCGATGTATCGTTGCGATCGATTGCCGGCTGGCTGAATGGTCTCCTCGTTGGCGTCACGGGCGGCCGCTCTGCGCCTGCCGAAGTCCTCGTAGTCGCTGGCGAAGGAGGCGCCTCGGTATCGCTGCCAGCTCGTCCGTTGCCTTGCCCGTTGGTACCATTCACCTTGGTCTGTAGATTACCCGTCGTCTTCCTGCGCTTCGGTGAAAGCCAAGACATCTCGCGCGGCATAACGTGGTACGGTGGCATAACCTTGTCTCGCGAACCAAAAGACTAGTTAGTATACAAGCTGCGTCGTTGTGCTGTGTATACACCGCACGCAATAACGTGCAAGCAGGATGCGACGCATGATCATTATGCGAGGCGGAAGAGATCCTGCTCTACATTTGGTACGGACAGGGATCAGGTCTTGATGGAGGTGATGGAGGCTGCATCGTGACGTGACATCCATGCTCCACGGAGCGCTGCCAGTGTCTCGGCTGGGAAGCGATGCTGTTCGAACGAAATCGAAGTAATTTTAACGACCATAGTGCACACGACAATGTACTACTCGAACAGTACACAAGACAATGCTGCAACGCTCCTGCCCCGACCACTGCTTGGTATGACGACGGCTCCGTCTTGGGCTCGGCGATTCTATCTTCCAGCGCGATGAGGGTCGTCTTGGTCGGCGGGTGCGTAATTGACGAGCTATATCGATTGGCAACGTCGCCATCAACATTCACACCAGTGCAACATTACCTATTCATCCCGTTCACGGCAGGCTGAAGGTTCAGGTCGGAGGCCACCAGATGGGTTCGACCTCCCGACCCTCAATGGACCAAAGCGAGTCATTCTCTGACATCCAAATTGATGGCCATGGATCGGAGGGAGACACTGGCCAATGCTACAGCAAAGAAGTAGCTCTGATACATCCAATCCAAGAGGACTTCAGCATCATCAGTACGGGAAGACCTTGGCGATCACAGTTTATCGTCATTCATGTTTGGCCACTCAGTCTCATCAGCCCTGTACACCCACTTCTCACCACTCGGCCCCTTGCCCTCTCTCATAGCCTGCATACCCTGCACAGCACCCTGTAACCCACCAGGCAACAATTTCTCGGGATGACACTTCCACTTCCCTTGCTCCCACAACCTCTCCGCCGATTCGACCCACCTCTTTGCAAACACAAAATCCTTCGGCTGAGCAGGGTAGCTATCGCCTTCGAAGATATATTCTTGGCCTGACATGGAGTAACCGAGGAAGAACTCGGATTTGACGTCTTTACGCGGACACTCAGCACCAAGGAGGTTACAGTATAGGCCTCCTTGTGCGCCAAAGGCGGTGGCACAGGCTTCAGCTGTAGACTCGATGGCTACAGTGTCGAAGATCTTGGTCAAGCTGTTGTTCGTCTCTGCGTTGATCTTCTCGCCGACTTGTGGATCACGCTACAAGGAGTCAGCGACCTTTTCTTTCAAGACATTTGAATGGTTTTGACCCACATAATCATACACCATATCAGCACCTCGCTCCTTGACCATGTCGAAATGCCTCGGACTACAAGTTGTCAAGACCCTGTAGCCAGATCTAGTTAATCCAGGTCAGCGATCCGCGACATTTGAACCGGAACTCATTGATGCTTACAGCTTAGCAAACTGAATCGCGATCGATCCCGTCGACGTGCTCCCCCCAAAGACCAAGATCGACTCCTCGCTCAGCCCGCGACTTACCTCCGGCCAAGGAAGGTCCAAGATCTTATACAGGCCATAGCCTGTGGTGAGCAGACCCACTCCCGCTGTTGCAGCAGTCTCGAAAGATACATCGTCCGGGATTCGGATTTGTATGTCACCTTTAACAACGATGTATCTCGCAAAGGCACCAGTCTCAGGGTTGGCATCATTGCCTGCAGGCGTGCATGTCAGTATATCATGAGTCCAACCAGCGGCACGGTGAGGAAGAGATCGCGGTTGCTTACCTCCATGACCAATCCCCATCACACGATCACCTTTCTTGAACTGCTTCACCACGGCTTCGCCAACTTCTTCCACGATGCCAGCATAATCACAACCCACAAGAGTTCCGTCGTCGCCCTTAGCATCTAGGGTTGTCCAGTCTGTTGGGTTCAACGCAATTGCCACGGTGCGCACGAGGATGTAGTCGTCCTTGAGTTTGGGAATGGGGATAGCTTTCAGCACTGCATTACCCTCGCCTTGACGTATAAGTCCGTAGTTCTGGTTGATCATGGTGAGATGCCTCAAAATCTTCGTCGGCTCGTGCTGTACAGCTAATGGCCTCGTCGTTGAGTATGCGAAGATGCTAATCAGCAGGTTCTGCTTCGGCAAGGTCTGGCCTTGACATTCCATGCTTTATATCGACCATTTTACTTTCTACTTCCCTGTCCAGCCATGGCTGACAAATGTGAAGGCGTGCTGGCCCGACGAAGTCTTTAGTCATTGGGCCATGGATGCTTGAAGGGTGGAAGTGCAGCATTACGGAGTCGGCGTTCGTGAACTCCATTGCATTCCTTTGATGCCGAACACCGGCAAATGTTGTGCGGCAACAGACGACTCTCGCGGTGGGCATGGCACAGTGCTTCTGGTCTGATTTGTAATATCTATAATTGATCTTGGCATCCGTACTATCTGTCGATAACGCAGCAATGACTACCAGTGACTCTCTCATGCTCCTGAAGGCCACTGTTATTCAGCAATGCGCGAATATTGGCTACAAATAGTTCTTCATCTTCCAAATCGGCGCAACTCTAGCCAGCGTAGTGGTGGAAACACAAGGGCGGCCCATGCGAAGCCAACGTAGTTACCCATCTACCATTCTGTCAGCAAAGTCGGGACATCAAGAAAGTGGACAGTGAGACTAACATCTGCACCATATTCCCCAACCAGTCGTGCTATTGGTCCAATATACCACTGCGAGGTTTCAGCATTCATTACACGGAGCTGTTGATTGCGATACGGCTCACCACCTGCGCCATGGAAAGTATCGCTCCCACCCAGCCGATAACAAAAGCGATCAAAGCAGCAACTCCAATAGGCAGCTTCCGTTGATCATTCCAAGCCTCCCAGTTCCAGCCTTGCTTCCGCCTGAAGATGAACTGCTCCTCGAGTACAATGGCGAACCATATACTGACCCAATATCCCATGAGAGCCAGGAAATTTGTGAATATCTCTGCTAGATGCTCTCGGCCAGCAATGGCGCAGACAGTGTAGATGACGCAACCGAGAGTATTCCACACCACACGGGGCACGATCTCAAAGTAGCGGCCCAGGACCTGAAAGTCTACACCAGAGGAGTAAGTCGGCGGAATGAGATTTGCCACTAGCCCGAGAGCCAGTATGACTGACAAGAACGAGCCAAAGCCGCCTAACGGCTTCAAGGCTTCCACAGCCAGTGCTCCTTGCGAGATCTCGTATGCATTCGACCAATCAGGGTTGGAGGCTCTACCGGAAGTCAAACCTATGCCGATCACGAACTCGAAAGTAAAGGAAACCACGAGTGCGAGAAGAGTCACCCAAAAGACCTTCCACCTCGGCGTGTCCTCCGGGTAATAGACAAAATAGTCGGCGCTTGCACAGGCATAGGTGACCGCAGCCGCATAGCACAAGCTGAAGAAGCTTAGTCTGTTGCCGATGACAGTGCGGTAGTCCAGCTCGGCAGCGGGATCAGTGTAGAGATCGAACTTCGGGCCAGCGACTCCAGCTAGGATGCAGATGACAATCAATTGTGGCAGCCAAGCATATCGCTCATACCAGTGAAAGATGCTGTATCCGAACGTCGTGATGATCCACGTAATGACCGCCACAATGACAATGCCAACGACGATGGTGAGACCGTTACTAGTGCTCACAGCACTAAGGATTTGACCAGCGATGATCGCGTCGAGAAGTGAATAGCCCAGCAAAATGACCAAAGTCAGAACTACGATCAATTTGGCTGGCCACCAACCCATGATGTAGCGTGTAAAGACCATGGTTCTGTTGCCGGAGCGGGGACCGAAGGTGGCGATATAGGCCGTAGGCAGACTACCAAGTACAGCACCGAAGGTTGCGCAGAGACTGGCGTCGAAGAAGCTTAATGAGAATACTGCTGGTCCGAGCATCTGAGATCGTCAATGCCCAGATTCCGGACGTTTCTTGAGGTCTTTTACTTACACCCAGCGTCAGATTATTCGCAGCCAAATTGATCGAGATCCATAGCAAGAAGACTTGCATGAATCCAAGCTGACTTCGGTCATGGCGTTGGCTGGGTGGAACGCGCTGTATACCTCGAGCCTCCAGATTATATCTGATTAGAGTCCTCTCGAAGGCTTTCAGAAGTCGACTAAGGCCGCCACTTTCGACTTCTGCCGCACCATCGGCAGCGGCATTATGCAAATCATGGCGAGAGCCCTTTTCTGCTTCTGCAGGGTCTTGTATGTTGTGTTCCGGCACTGCCAAGGAATTAGTGTTCGCTCAGATTGAATCCAGAGGGCGGGAAAGCATGATTCTTTCGCTCGCATTGCCGAGATTCAAGTTCAGGCCGTATGTTCTCAGCAGGATTTCTTGGCAGGTGCGAAGAGATCGAGCACCGGCTCATGCTATAGCTTACGCAGTACCTCGACTTGAACCAGGGTATGGCCTTGGCTGTAAGAATCATGATGGTTGTAGTTGCGTACTTTCGACTGTGTCGGCGTGGCGTTGAGTCATGGTCAAGAAGGTTCGGGGCGTCGTGTTGTACAACGCTGAAGTCTACAACAGCAGATGAGGCGTACGGAGAAGATGCACTCCTGTCAACGCCGAAAAATGCGTAGGTTGACTGTACTTAAAGCTCAAGAGACTAGAGGATTTTTCTACATCCTCTGCTGTCTGTTACACTGAACTCTACGTCACGCCATAAGATTTCGTATCTACCAAATGTAACAGGGTCCAGCGCGGAGGCCTGTCGCTTACGCCTTAGCGCGGAACGAGCGGCCGTTATGTCGAGTTTTCCAGCCACCTTGATGCTCCTCTTTTCTCGTCGTTACACACGCGCAGTTATCGCGACCGTATTAGCGAGCCATTATTGGGGCATTGTGCCAACACGTCGCGTATCGCCATCATGCCTCGCCCACCAGGTAAGTAGCCACTAATCCCTCAGTATGCGTTGCATGCGCGCCTACACGATCGGACAACATCACTGACCTCAAGGCCCAACAGACACATATACTCACAGCCAGGTAAGAAGGAGCGCCTTGGCAAACCTGCCAAAAATACTCACGCAGGTAGTTCACGCCCGTCGACGCCGACACGAAAGGCGAAAGCGTACAATGTAACCACTGCAAGGTCTGGACTGGGAACATCAAGACCTTGAACCGCAAGAAAGACCACCTTCTCAAGTGCCAGGCGTACATGACCTGGCGAGCGCAGGGTAACGGCCAGGATATCCCGCCTGCCAATACTTACAACAAGCGGGACTCAAATGTTGAAGGCGAAGGGTAAGTGGGCTTCACATTCGCGCGTTATGCTCGCCGAATATGCCATGATATGTTTGAAATGCTGACGAAGCATTGCGCACAGCGAATACGAATCACCATATGGTGGATATGCTCCTGCCCAGGCCACGCCCACATTCACACGTGATCGGTCTAACTTTGGTAAGTGAATGACACGACGGCGATACGGTCACTTGGCGACTGCTTTAGGCTCAATATCTGCTACTTGCACATGTCTTGCTAATGCTGAATAGATATCACGAAATCATTCGACGAGTTCTGGGACGACACGGCATCACAGAAATGCATGCGCGTACGCTGCAAGCACTGCGGATTCGTCCGGGCGAAGAACACTACTCGCCAAGTCGAACATCTGGCCACCTGCCGAGATTTCCTCAGCTCGACTGAAGGTCGGGAGGCCCTTGCAAATGGTGGGCTCATGCCCACGCCTACCGAAGGCAATGGCGAAGTCTGGCGTGGTGGCGCACCTAATCCCGCCCTGGCTGGCATGATCGCACGACGTGGTCCTAACAAGCTACGCCAAAGCACAGGAAATCAGCACACACCAGCACGAGTACAGGCATCGAAGCCCTCACTGGCCAATCATCTTGTCACAAGATTGACCGTCGCATTGACAGATGCCACGCAGAAGCCCTTCTTGTCACATGCGGGAGTCGGCACTCTGTCAGCAGCAGCCTTGAACCAGTGGCTTGCCCAAGAGATTCACATCTCTCGAGCACTGGTGCCTTTCGTTGGATCGCTCATCGGCAAGACCCGCATCCCAGAGACGAGCAATCTTACCCAAGACCCAACGTATCGGGCCATCGATTTGCTCTGCTCCGCCGTCAACAACATGAAAAAGGAGCTTGAGTTCCTGGAGAGCACAAAGCGCAAGTACGATCTGGAATTTGACGACGAGGAGCCGCATCCTGCCACGCAAGGCTTCATTGATATGTTCTCAAGTGCCTCGTCCCCGCAGAGCAGTCTACTTGAGGGTCTGGTCGTGCTGTGGGCTACCGAACACGTAAGTGGGACTTAGGAATTGTGCGGTCATGTATAGATACTGACAGCCCGCTAGTGCTTCTGCACCTCATTCCAGTACGCGAGCGGCCTAATGTCGACCATGCCTGCCTCGTCAAGCTACTCACTACCGTCATACCTCACTCCCGGCCAGACAAGCTCCAACATGTATGGGAGTTCGCGTATGGACGGCGAAAATCAGCACATCACAGCACTACACGAAGCATTTATACAGAACTGGACATCTGCCAACTTCGTTCGCTTCGTCTCGGCCTGCAAGTCTATTGTGGACGAAGTCGCCAATGCACAGACTACGGGTAATGGCAAGACAGAAATGATGGCATGTGAGCGGCGTTTTCGGCAGGCCATCTCACTGTGGGGTCAAATCTGGCCTGATGTAGACGGTATGGGCGAAGAGGAGGAAGTCGTTGATGATGCCGCCACTGGCGCTGCTAACGGTGCTCGCGGCAACGGCAACAAGCCAATCGAGATTGAAGACGAAGACGAGGACATAGATGCAGACGGCGCTGCTGATTCGCCTTATGGTGGTACTGGGCTGGAGGCAGTTGCCGCCCACAACAGAGAGTCTGTCGGGTAGAAGTTGGCAGGTGGACCACGGCGCTCATGACGGAGGGTTGGTTGGTCTTGTGCTTGCTAATAGTTTAGCGATGTAGTAGTAGTGATACCCAGTTAATTATCTTCCACCAGAAAGGTCGACTGCCGGTAACATTATCCCATGCCAAAAAATCCATTCATACCCGTCCACTTCTTCCAAAAAGTACCTTTCGTTGCTGCGTCCATCTGAGCCTTCGAGTCTACAACATATTAGTATGTACGGGTTTAGTACCGGTTCTGTGGAGCTGCTTGTACCAGGATTGACACCTTTTTCTCTCATCTTCTGCCGGCTCGCTTGTTCTTCTGGTGAATATTCCTCTTCAGGCTTGGTATATGCTGGTGGATATTTGCCCGGCGTCACTCCCCATTTGAGCGCGGGATCTGGTCGGACTTCCTTTGCTTTCTTGCTCTCGGTCATCTTTGTGATTGTGTACTATCTTTACGAGACGTCTGCTACCATGAAATGTAGCTATGCTGCATGTACTACGGTCTTATACGTATATAAGTGTTTCGCGTATTCTAGGTTTGGTGCTCGTCCAGATCGTCACAAGGCTGAGCACATGCTCAAATCCTTCGACGGCACTCGGATTGATACGACTTGGCACTTGAGAGGGCCTGCTTTTTGACGACATTACTTCCGAACGGTATTCTCTGTCTGCCGTAAAGGCTTTAGCAAGTAGATAAGGTAATCAACAAGTTGCATGTTTAGGGCCAACGAGCAAGATCCACGATAGCTGTTCAGACTAGTTCCTTCCAGCTGACGAGCTTTCTTCTTGAGAATCTCACAGCTCGCCTCAATCGAACTTGCACTGTAAGTACGCCGACTACTCGTCTCATCTGATCACCGAGATCTTCGTCGTGTCGAACATTTACTCAATCTAGGTAATCTGATCAAGATGGCGGGCAATCCCATACCAATACCGGTCAAGAATCTCGATGAGATGATACTATGTATCGAAGACTTACGCATAGCAGCATCGAAGAAGCTATCAGACAGTGCTAGAGGTACGCTTATACACCAAGTTCTTTGAAGATATCGGCAACATTAACGATAAGCTAGACTTCTACAATTCTGGTTCTACTGATCAGATAACAATCCACGAGAACTCAACAGCCTACGCAAAATACCGCCTGCGACCACGGGTTCTCGTCGACGTCTCGAAAGTCGACACCTCGACGAAATGCTTCGGCCAACAAGTGAAGTTCCCACTTGGCGTGTCGCCAGCTGGTCTGCAAGCTATGGCACACCCAAGTGGCGAACTAGCTACTTCACGTGCCTGTGCGAGGCTCGGCATCAGCATGGCAATCTCCTCATTCGCAAATTACTCTGCCAAGGAGATTCGTGATGCGGGTAAAGCCATTGGACCAATTCGACATGCAATGCAATTGTATACCATGAAAGATCGTGATCTGGAGCTAAGGATTATTCAAAATGCTGAGGCTGCTGGTTGTTCGGCTATCTTCCTCACGGCGGACTCACCTGTGCTTGGTATGCGGTACAATGAATGGAGGGTAGGTCAAGAGAGACCCTTCGCTTCGATCATGCCACAACAGAATCACTGACACTTATCTCTCCTTATGTAGCACGATTTCAGAACCCCTGCTGGCTTGGCCTTTCCGATACTAGAGCGCGACAGCGAGAAGATCAGGAAGACCAGTCATGACGATGGCTTTACCTCGTTCAATGACGATGCTCACAACTGGACGAGGGATATTCCCTGGCTTCGCAGTGTTAGTCAGATGGAAATCTGGATCAAAGGAGTACTTACTGCGGAAGATACACTCAAGGCCGTCGAGCTGGGTTGTGATGGAATAATTGTCTCAAACGTACGTGTAGCTTGTGAGTCACCGCGGGCCTTTATGCTGACGTGTTGTGCTCGTGCAGCATGGCGGGCGTCAGCTAGATGGCGTTGCATCAACCATAGATGCCCTACCAGAATGTGTTGAGGCCGCAGCTGGCAGGATACGAGTTCATGTAGATGGCGGTATCAGGGCCGGGACAGACGTTTTCAAGGCCCTGGCATTAGGTGCCGAGCACGTTTGGGTTGGTCGTCCGGCCATTTGGGGTCTTGCGGTGAGTTGGACTCGATAGCAGGTTCATGCTGTGAGGCGTGCTGATGGTGCTCCAGTACGATGGCCAAAAGGGTGTCGACTTGATGTTGGATACGCTTTACAATGAGTTCAAGAGATGTATGCAGCTTACTGGGTGCAATAGTGTCAAGGACATCACCAAGGCATGCCTTGGCGTTGTTCGGCCTGATGGACCACTTGCCAGGTTATGATGATGGACCACCTGCTTTCCACGTCAACGGAGCGAGTCATTAGTTGGCTTGATACACCTCGTGGTCGCAATAATAGTTCCTAGCGTAGCGGTCGTCTGGTCCGAGAACAGCTTTTCTAGACGCGCATGCATTAAATCCACATTGATTGTATTCGTGTCGCCAAGCACGGATAACTGCACCTCAGTCTTCCCATTTGAGAGACTCTGCGGATTGATCCGGCCAAGCGAGCCGTCGATGTGCTTGAATAACCAATCACAAGTACATTGCATCATGACAATGTAGCCAACATGTGGATTACGGATCGTCGGATGCATCCAGCCCGGAAGCTCCCCCACTTCAGTCGTGCTCCCCGCTTGAGACTTCGGCGATATCATGGCTTGGCATGAGTTGATTAAAGGCTCGATGATGCTGCCGTAACCTTGGTACCTGGTGAATGCGGTCGTCGCCGAGAGTATAACGTTGTAGATTGTATCATGCGCTGTCGCAATTCTGTTCGATAATTTCTAGTCCTTGTTCAAGCAAATACGGAAGCCGTACACGCCACCATCGTCCGAAGTCACCCAAACTATCGCCAGCAGGAATCGAGCTGCGTACGATTCGAGCTGTACTTGGACGTCTGGGCCCTGCATACAGTAGGAGGCTGTGTGCGTGACTGTGCCGAGCAATTATCACGAGCCCAGCTTGGCTGGTCTCTGTAGTCTGGCGCAGAGCACGCGATATTCACTGCAACATTCATCTGCCGTTCACGAATTATCCTCCGACCATTAGGCAAAGCAACATACCATCGAAAACCTCGACATGCCTTCTCGGCCTCCGCGCAGGACGCGGCCCGCAATGTATAATACGCCGCAGATCCGCAACGGTGGGTTCGGTAAGTAGCGATCGTTTGAACCAATATCATATCTGAGCACGGATGGGTTCTATCTAACAGTTTTCGGACGTCTAGGAGCTCTACAGGTGGAGGCTGTAACAAATCGGCCGTTGTCTATCGCACGTCGGCATCTAGCCGCCAGCCAGTTGCGCATCCGTGACATCGAACCAGACGAACTGACCTCTGGCGAATGGGTGCGATTTCTGGTTATGCAAGAACACGAGCGAGAAAGATGGATGACCCAATTCTGCCGACGGAGAAGGAACAGTGACGAAAGCACCTCTTCAGCAGAGAACGATGGAGAGCTGGCGTACGATAAGGCGGAGGAAGTAAGATTGGAGGCCGTGCAAGCGGCGCGGGAAGAGCAACGAGCAGCAGCAGGTCAAAGCTCATCGAGTTTTGTTGGTGGAGCGCCGAGTGGCGTGACACCGCCAGTGAGCATTTGGGCAAGGCATTTCGACAATGCGGAGGATCAGGAGCGGAGGCCGGCGAGTCCACCATACCAAGGAAGGCAAATTATGCATGTTCGACGAGGAGTCGGAGAGGTGTTGGTGGAGGCGCCGCCGACATACGAGAATGCTGTTAGATCCGAAGCACCACCACCAGCATATGAAAGGCTGGATAGTCGACCAGGTTCGCCAATGTCTGGTTAGGACGTTGTGGGAGGGGATGAAGTGAGAGCGCCCCTATCTTGACCAGTTCGTGCACTGATCCAGTAATTCCGGATGGTGACCTTTGTAGAGTCGCGAGTGGCAACGACGCTCTTGATGAGAGTGCCTGAGATGCGATTCACGATCCCAGAGACTGCTAGGATCAACGTGACAGCCGGCAATACAATCTTCAATTGATTGGAATGATGCAGTGGCTCAAAGGTTGCCAAAGTTGTATATGGTTAGCGAGGCGTCCATCTAGAAGTCTGTCGTTTCGGGACAAAAGGCCATTGGATCTGCCTTTCGTAGATATTGAGTCTATAATTTAGCTTGAAAGCTCACCTCTCCCAGTCCAGTACACGTCTGGAACCTGATCAGCGTGCCTTGGAGTTTAGCAATTATAGTGCCCGACTCACCAGAAGAACTAGACACTCCACTGATTTTGCACCGCAGTATGGAGACTCTTCCGTCGACGTCTTTGGTGCTTCTACAATATCCTCACATGATCCCCAGCCCTGTAAAACCGGCAACGACATCCTCATCAACATTGATCAGCCACTCCTGCTGGAACCTCTCCATCCCACCACACGCCTCCACCACCTTTCCCAAAGCCTGCGTCACACACCCCGGTAGCCCAATCGTATGCACTTCGTCACTACACGTCAACACCCTCTTCCTCGCATCCTCCGGGCTCTCCAACGACTCAGCTGCAGGCGCAGGCCCATAGACAAGCGAATCAGCCATGGTGTCACCGTTACCTGCATCCTCGGACGCTTCGCGCAACTCCACAATTACGTCTGTCCACATCGTCATCAGACTCTGTAGATTCAGCAGAATGAACGGGCGATTAGTCTCGAGGAGTTTTGTCAGCGCGAGTGCCATCAGCTTTCTAAGCGATGGGTCGCCAATGTTCTCGAGATGAGAAAACCATTCTTCCAAAAGCCACTTCATGGTTTCGTCTAGAGATGCTGGGCTGCCGTTGATGAGGATGCTCTGAGAGCCGGCTTCGACAGCGCTACTAAAGCTGTTGAGGTCTGCGAGGATAAGTCGGGCAAGGACGACGAAGTAGTCGGTTTCTACTATGCCGTCTACCATCGGATCTTTCGCTTTCGGGCCAGTAGTGCAGTGGGCTACCCAGCTGCTTCGGAGGCAGCGCAGGATATGTGGGAGGATGGTTCGAGACTACACCGTCAGTAGGAGGCAAAGTCAGAGTAATGTCGAAGGAGCTCACCATGTTCTCAGCCAGTGGCTGGATAGCGCCCACTCCATCCACTCGTTCAGCAGCCCTAATCAACTGTTCCACTACTTTGCAGACAAGCCCATGCGGCTCAGGCTTACCAGTAAGCGCATCAAGCAAGTCCACGAGCGCCTTAAGCAACGGCTCGCGCACAGCCCTCGGAAGCATGAACTCTGGAGCGAGTAGAACATAACTTTCCGTAATCCCCAACGCACTGCGCAAATGCTCCGACCCAAACTCATAAACCGGAAAGAGCGAAGGCACAAGCTCCAACGCCTCTTGCGAAGCCGGCTGAGGCGTCTGCGTGATGATGGCACCCCAGAGATCCATAGCGTCTTCAAGAAGATAGACTTCCGTGTCCGAGCCTGGCTGAACAGCGCCACGGATGATAGGGAGGACCATGCTGTGTAAAGGTACCGAGTGTGCTTTCATAGCGTTGACCAGGCGCACAAGAATGGTGAGGATGGCTTGTTTCATGAGATGTTCTTCCCCTGAGCTTTCCCATAGGGCGGGAAGCATGCTCACGATGCCCTCGGCGAAGGGAGAAATGCGATGTTCCATGCGCTCAACGATGATGGAGGTTGTGTTGAGTAGCGCCATCTTTGTCTCGGTGAGCTCGACTTCCTCGATCAAGGACATGAGCTGCCTGATGATGACTTGTGCATAAATTTGGAGTTCATCTGGTCTAGTCTCCCAGTCATCAACGATGGTGGCAAATTGGCGGCCTGCTGTGACTCTTACGACCTGATCATTGAGAGGATCATCCTTACCAAGCAGGTGCTGAAAGATTTGATATACTAGCCCTCGCTCTGTAATCTTCACGCCGATCCATTGGGCAAGCAAGATCGCGGCTCGACGGCGAAGGACATTATATCCCGGCTTCTGCATCTGCACTTCCGCAACAAGCACATCCCGAATGAAGGCGTCGAAGTCCAGCTGCTCAAAGACTACTGGCGCGGCAAGACCAATAGCCGTATACAGTGCATCCTTTAACAGCACATTATCGTTCTTGATTGTAGCGACCGAAGAGAACACCTGCAGGAGGGGATGCACGAGCATATCCTTGTAATTAATAGCGAGATCAAGAAAGAGCTTTTCAGAGCATGAGCGTAATGAGAACTCCCAGTCCTCACCATCACCCTCTTCACGCTTCTCCCATTCTTCCGGCTCCTCCTCCCATTGGCGAAGATCGCTGGCGCGGAAGACGAAGAACCGCGAGACCACGACCTCCATGATCTCCTGCACGAATCGTGATGACAGTAGACTTTGTCGTACAAGCTCAGTGGCCCTGCGCTTCTCTTCTTTATCCTCTGGCGTGCGGTATTTGAACGTCTGTGCTGGACTGTGCACCATTTTCACACATGCTCGTAGGATTAGCAGCCCGCGCAACGCCAGCTTCTCCGTCGTTGGCTTCTCATCCGCGTCGCCGTCCATGCCGATGAGATCAGCTGCAACAGCGGATTGGACGCAGTCATGTGTGCCTATTGACTCGCCAAAGCTACGAGCAAGGCCCCAGTAAGCACGTGCCAGGTCCATGCTGTTGGGTAGAAGTGCAAATGAGGCCGGATGCTCACGAGTCATCTCGTGATGGAGCTTCGCAAGTTGCAGCGCCAGTTTCTCAAGTTCACGATGTTGCAGACATGTCTGAAGATGCTGCTGCGTGGTGTGCCAGATTCTCACGACTTCATCGTGTCGACCAGGATGTTCGTAGCCTGTTATCAAAAGTCGCCTTAGCACTTTCATAGCCATGAGAGCCAGCTTGGCAGCACTCTCACTATGACTGTTCTGCCAGTACTCGACCGCGTTGACGTATAATGAGCTGAGGACATAGACGATCTCAGGCGAAGCAGCTTGCAGGTTCTGTCTTGAACGCTGCAATCTAGCAGTCGACAGTTCCTTTACGATCGCCAGTAGTGCGAGAAGTGTTCTGGCCAGCTGTAAAGATGGTCCTTGGCTTTGCGATCGAAGTACGTCGACCAACGATGATAGTGCATCTGGCCATTCGTGAGGGTATTCGAATCGTGCTATCTTCGCAATAACAAGGGCATCTTGCAGAGCCAGCCGTTCGTCCTCCTCGTCCAGGATGCTTGGTAGAAGACGTGATCGAATTACCTAGAAAGCCAGTCAGCTCAACAACACCGCTCTGAACGCAGAATTCAATACCTCCTTATCTTGCTTCGACACAGCATTGGTCGCGGTCTTGCGCCAATACTTATCGATGCCATTCTTGAGCTGGATGACAGCAAGATACCGAAGCTCCACAGGAAGTCGAGTGTCGATGTATGCGCTTTGCAGGTGCTTGTAGTAGCCAGGGGAGCGCTCCCATTGTTGTAGCTGCTTCGTGCCGGACTGTATTTGTGTTGGATCTGAAGAAGCAGCAGAACTCAGGACTTGGACAAGCTGGTGCTCGGTGAGCGGGTTGACTTCGCCTTCGACTTCGATGGAGAAGGAGGGCATCTCGGAGCGCGAGATCTTGAGGTCAGGTCGTGGTGGCGTGGCAGTCTGGCCAGAAAGGAAGGCACGAATCTTGTTCTCCAGTCACACGCCTTTCTTCGGATCCAGTGACAGTGGGTACTAGCCAGTCGGTTTGTGATGCATTGGAACCGGGAGTAGTTATTGCGGTGTTCCTGCTATCATTCTCGCAAGTCACTCATGTTTCGATTACGACTTCTTATTCACATGCATATGCTTTACGAAATCACAACCCATACCTACGACTTATGCATCCGAGATCCGATGGGGCCCTAGTTGATGCATCCATGTCATGTCACGTGCAGCATTTTGCGTCAATACTGTACTCCAAAATCCCGCCATGCACGATCTCTTCTTTTCTTCAACAAAAGTTGATTCCACCCAGTGCAGATTAATAGGCTTCTCGGACCGTCAGGCTGGCCTTGAAGTTGATATATACTGGGGAGACTGATACAGGCCGTAGTAAGAAGCAGTTCGACAATCGTGTATGACAACTGTCTCCCGTTATCTGCCGACATACTCTTTCATCTCGAATTACTTCGAAGGAGTAATTCGCTCCCGTGTTGCCACCCATCGACCCTGTCCACACCCGAAGGAGCTTGATACACATGTCTGCCATGATCGCTGAGATCTACGCGAGACCTACCAACCACCACTCCCTCGCCCACGCAGCCGTAAAGATGGCTGCATAGGCTTTACTGCATTGCTGGAATATGGCTTGCACCTTCCCGGTCTCGTACCTATCTACTTCCTCGTTCATAGTCCTGTAATTTGTTCTATACACTTCCTACACACCCACGAGCCTGCCCTTCTTATACACCACGCCATGCCGCCAAGAGCAAGGACTAAGAAGACTGCCTCCGTCGTGACAAGCGCAGCGACGTCTACTACACCTTCGACCGTACCGTCAGCCATCCAGTCACGCGATGTCTCCCCAACACCTAAACAGCCCTTCCGCCTCTTCGACTTGCCGTCAGAGCTGCGAGTAAGAATCTACGAGGAAGTACTACATGTCCCCAACCCACCCATCGATCTCGGTAAGCACCAGCTCCGCAAATCTCCCACAACCTCTTCTGACCACATATCACTACAACAGACCCCCAAAACTATCGGACCATCCACCCCCGTCTCGCCCTTTTCCTCATCTCCCACCGTCTCCATAACGAAGCCTCCCAAATTTTCTACTCCCAACCCATCCTCCTCTACCCCTTCCACGGCCGCTTCTTCCACACCAAGAAGCCCCTCCTCGCTCGCCTCCCAATACACTACCGCGAAGCCATAACCACGCTCTGCTGGCGAATAGGACCAGGATGGTCATCACCTCCCAAGAATCAAAACGCGAACGAGACTCTGGGACTACGAGAGTGTGTGAATCTGAGAGTGTTAAAACTATTCGTCGAGATCGACCCAGCAGATGGCATCTTTTCGGGTTTCAGAGGCAAGGGAGCCAAAGAAGATACGTATAAATGGTTCTGCGTGGACCTGCTTCGGGAGATTTTCGAACAGGTGCCTAGTCTGGAGACGGTTGAGATCGATGCTTTTCCTGTGATCAAGAAGGACTCGCCGCTGGTGGTTGGGTTGAGGAGATGTATTGAGGAGAGTGGGTTGAAATTGAAATGGGGTCCGCTGAGGGGATGGGAGGACGATACCCTTGTGTCGGGTGGGCATATTGGGATTGAGGCTGCGATGGCTAGTATGGCTTTGAGGGCGGAGATGGGTAGGGTTGTGGAGGTGCGGGCGTAGATCGCTGGACGTGCATGAACGGATGGTAGTTGGACTCTTCTGTCACTTTACTCGGCCTCTGGCGGGCATACAGCACAATGCAAAATGACAGCCAGCATCCCCAAGCATGCGAGTCGACGATCTTGGACGACGTCCGGACAACAACGCTTTTTCATCTACTGCCCTCCATATCGACAGTACTCGTTGACAAGAGAGACTCGTCGCGCGGGCGAAACAGAACCAGCCTCTACCACTTTCCATGATGGACTTACTGGATGAAACAATCCAGCGTCACACCCTGCCGTGACCTGGTATTGCATCTTCATGCTGCCAATACATGTAGCTCAAAGGTTGCCATGGCCAGGAAGTAGGATTTGAAAGACGGAGGTGTGTAGAATTGCGAGAAAACATGCTTCAGGGAACTGGCGCCTCCTCAATATGCAGTCTCCACTTCCGCATATTACACGCACAGGTTTTTTACTGGAATTCAGCATGGTCAGAAGATGGCCAACATCACCAGGCATGCGAGTTCGAAGATCTTCGATGACATCTCCACGAAGATGCCATCCCATCAGCTATCCTATGGTGTCGCGTCGACGTCAAAGATGTGGCTGCTTGGTATAAGACTAGTCCTATGCTGTTCATATGGAGCCTCACCTACTCGGTGCTGTGCCATCTTCGAGCCAACTTGTGACATCTCATATATGGTTCTGGCCATGCGCACCCGGATCTTCTCGACAGGGTCTGCATCACGACACGATCGTCGCATCGTTGTTGATGTGATCTATCTTGGGCAGCTTCGACCCAACAGCGACTCCGATCCATATCACAATATCGCAACCAGCAGGACTTTTGTGTCGAAACTTTCCACGGGAAGTCTTACACGATAGACAAGGACGCTGAGATATTGAGGCCACTGGAAAGATCTATGTCGACTGCGATCTACTTCTGATATTTGACGCAGCTGGATTGGGCGTACTGCTGTTGACGCCAAGCTTCACCATCCAAGATGATGGCTGATGCCATCCAGTAGGCCATAAAGGGTTGACTTTCTGATACCGAGGGAGGCATCTGCAGAGAGTGAAGCCGGTCGTGATGTGGCGGTCGATGTGTCCAAAGATGAACTATGACCGTCTTGCATAGGATCCCCTCGCCATCGCCACTCCTTCGGCAGCTACATGGTACAGCAGCCCTGCTTCGTTGTGTCCTAAAGCAGAGAATCGTCTTACTTGGCTTGACTCTCTGGCATCATATCCCTGCGCCACCGATACTCTCTCAGCAGTCACATAGCACCACAGTCTTGCTATGTCGGTAATTTGGGCAGAGAATCATCTTGATTAGCTTTACTATCTTGTGTTATATCCCCACGCCACTGGCTCTACTTCAGCAGCTATATGGCATAATGGCCCTGCAATGTCGGATCTTTGGGCAGAGCATTGTCTCAGCTGGCTTGACCCTTGTGCCTCATCCCTACGCCATTGCTACTCTTCCAGTCGCTATGTGGCATTGCAGCCTCGCGACGATGTATCTTTGAGCAAAGAGTCGTCTTAGTTGATACGTTCTGAGCTTTCTACGCCCTGGCATCGTCCTAAGTGAGCGGTCCAATTCAGCATTAGACTGTACGGTAAGCTGGGTTCTGGAGTTGATGCTAATGAGCTACGCAGTCTTCGATACACATGACTCCGTTTGATACGTTAATGCCACGGGCATACGTCTCATGCATCGATTGAGCCCACAGTACGGACAGTCTGATCCATAGATGTACATTGTCGATCATCGGACTGCTCGCTCTATGGGAGGTGCTGCTCGCTTGTGTCAAGACATTTGACCGTCCCTTGATTACAAAGTAGCAGCCGTCCGCCGAGTTGTGGCATTAGAGGCTTCGGACCACAAGATCCTGCGAGCAACACACGTCGACGACTTCGATAGCGCGCATTCGTCTGGCAGTCGAATCGGACCAAGACTTTTGGCGTGGAAAGTCACCACTGCCCCGTTCAGCACACACAGCCGCGCTGCATCGACAATGGGCTAGTTTGCCACGAAATCCAGATCTCTGAAGCATGAGGAAGACGAGAGGGAGGGTAGTATGTCCGTAGTCGGCTTTGCGCGCCGGAGAATGATCTGCAATGGGTGGGAAGTGCTCTCATATATGTAGACTCCAGGTAAGGAGCGACCGGGTGAGCGTTAGTTCATTAAGGGGACTCAGGGTGACTATGGGCTGGAGCCGTTTCGTGGCTTTGGCTAGGCGTCAAGTCGTTTTGAGAGCATGATCTTTTGGGGCCCTCGCTTGGATCCATCGATCTCATTATCGTTCGGTACGAGATGTAGCCTTGACGCGATGCATGTGATCGATGTCAACGCTTTCAGACCAACTCCTCGCGCCTGCCCTGCGCTTGCATGTGCGTCACATAATCTTACTGTCGGTCTTAAGGTGGAGCGGGTTACCAATTTTCTCTCACTGGCCATCGTCGAAACGACAACTCGCAATCATCACTGCTACAAGCAACCATCGTAATAAAGCAGCTACAAAGCGATGGATCACTCACCCCTGGGCGCTCTCCCACCAGAGCTTCGCGCCACCGTCTTCGTCCTCGCCCTTCATCGAGATCATCCCGTTATGATCGAGAAGGGCGACGCAGATCTCTCCTTTACTTGCCGCCAGATACGCGACGAATGCCTGCTCATGCACTACGACGTGAATCGACGCATGACCCTCTTGGTACCTTTCGGCAACACCATCAACATCGATCACAAACTCCAATCGCTCGCAAAGCTTGGCAAACTACGGTTCCTGGAGCATCTCACGATCGAAGTTGAATGCGGCTTATACAAGGGGTCTAGAGCTGACGATACGGGCTTCCGTTCTCTGGAGTGGTGTACGCGAGTTGCTCATATGCTTGTGGGGCCGATTGGGTTGTCGTATGAGCAGGCGGAATGGCTTTGTGTGGGAAATGTGTTCTGGAGGAACGCAAGGCCTGGGCCAGGGTATAAGCCCAAGTTGCAGTTGTTCAAGTCGATTGTGGAGGGTGTCAAAGAGGATTGGAAGCTTACTGCGGATGCTGCTTCGAAGGCTCGAGAGTAGAAGTTGATGCAGTCGATGTTGGGAGCTGGGCAGGATGGTGGATCGCTACGTTCTACTTGGGGGGCTCTGCGAGCTGACTATATCCCATTCCACCACTGAGATAGCTGCCACGGAGGCAGTACGGTCAGCTATAGGCGCAGGGTTGAGAGCAAATGTAGATGAAGTCGTTCTCAATGGTGGAGCGTTCACTTCCAAACTTGGAGACAACCATCAGAATGGATCATAACAGCCTTCTGTCAAAATAGCAACAATTCTCTACACCGCAGCGATGGGCTTCATTGAGAGTAGAGAACAGGGTAGAAACAGAACAATAATGCTCGATGTTGTTGTTGTCGGGAAGACGAGATCGCGAAAGTTTCGCGGCTGAGACAAACTCACATCTTGCTTCGCCGCTTGTGAAACATTTGACTCTACCCCTTCTTGTTTGTCTCATCCTCATAAGATCGAGTGCTGGACAAAGATCTCACGCTACCTGGACAATATCGCAAACACGACAGCTGATGGTGCAGGAAGGATGTTCCCGATTGTGATGTTGAGTAGCCGCAGATGACTATTACAGCCGAAAGACAGTCCCATCCCTGCGCTGGCCATATACCCTCGTCAATTCCAATGTCAGAATTCCTAGATGAGAATGCGAGTATCAACCGGCAGATCCTTAGCCCACAAGGATGTCTCTCATACCATCGTTCAGGAGCATGCCAGGAGGCAACGCACCCCGATGACCGCATAAGCTAAAGGCCAGAACAACCGCGAATAGCTCATGATATGAAAGCAAGACACTTACCAACGGCCATGATGCAGCAATGTCTAATGAGCGTGTCTAATGGCCAAAGACTCCTTGGTGAACTTATATACAAGATGTACCGTCGATCACAACACACGCTCCTTCCCATCATTCTCACAGTCTCTCTCAGTCCAGCCTACAAGCAAATAATCTAATACGACCAACTCTACGTCACTCGTTCAACAAACCACCAATCAACAATAACCGCCAGAATGCAGTTCACAATCCTTGCCACCATGATCTTCGCCTCCGCCACTACTGTCCTGGGTCTCACGGATACCTACAACTGCTTCGGCGGTACGGCACTGTGCTGCGACTCCACCACTGCCACCAACTGCGTCAAAGGTACTATCCCGAACATTTCTCCCAGCTAGATCCATTAGCTGACAAGCATAATAGCTCTCCACACTGGCTCGAACGGCGCATATTCCTGCATCGACGGTGTCAGCACCACGGATCCTGCTAGCTTGGGCCACGTCCAAGGGTACTGCTGCTTCGAGTGGAAGGTATGTCTGTCTGCTTCGTCATCCGACGACTACACAATCTGGTATCGAAACTTGTTTGCTGACAACGGTCACTCCTCCAGAACACCAATTCTATCCTCAGTGGTATCGGCTGTGGTGTCGGTACTGCCGTCGGCGGTATCTAGACCGATTCAGCTCAACAGATTATAATCAGGGACTGGGATATCTCGCACTGCAGAATGAAAATTTCCACAGCATCTGCGTCGTGCTGTGACGGAGCCACTCATAGACGCTTCGATGGGCTGAACTTGACTGCAGAAGGACCAGGAGGATTTAACCCCATACTTTCGTATCATTCCATGGCTATACCAACTGACCTCTTTCCATGTTCCGATGTCTTGCTCACTCCAATACCTTCCTGACAACACTGAAGATGAGATTCCATAAGGCTACCTGCACCTCCATCACGACACTGTCCTTCCAGTGAGCTCACAATGCAGCATGAATCCACCTATCAAACCATCACTCATGATCCCTCTGACGTCCAAACCCACAATTTCTGCTGTACAAACTACCATCACATCCCAGACGGATCAGAGCGCCGACGCTTGCAAACCAGTAGATCACAACAAACGCCAGCCTAGCCTTCCATCCGCTATCGGGGAAGATCTGAGAAACAGTGACCCACAATCGCCATGCGATAAAGGTGAGGATGGCGATGAAAATCAAGTACAACCTTGGTTCGAGTCCGAACTCGCGGCCTGGCCCTTTCCAAACGCTGTGCAAATGTATCAGCTTGTGTGGTAGGTCGGATGGTCGGCGATGAGGGTGAATACCCATGCTGGAGTACAACTGCTACGATAGCATAGGCTGGCAAGAGGATGATCAAGGTGAAGAAGAGGTAGAGTGGCAACGCCATACCGGCGAAGAATGCCGCTCCCTGGGAGACTTCTCCCCTCCGACTATCTGTGTCGTTCAATCCTCGCTCTCGATCACTGTCTACTGCAGGCCTTCCAGTTGTGGTGGCATCTCCTGGTAGCAAAGGCGATTGCTCATTGTGTTGTGCCGTCATACTGTTCTGCTTCTGGTCGAACAAAGCAGCAGTCCAGTGCTGCTTTGGTATGAACACGATCTTGCCCAGTACCGTGGAGCATGGAAGTAGACGAAAAGCGGATTCGAATCCATCTTGTACGGGAACAGATTGAAGCTGCTAGGCTGCAGACAACAGGTATCCTACCAACGCCGCAGACATACATTTATCGTGGCAGTGCAGTGGCTAATGAGCAGCCTGAAACCAACTAACCGACTCAGCTCATTGCACTTCAATCCCCATCACCAGGACGATGATAGTAATAATGCTCCCTCTGCCTCCCAAAGCCACAATTCCTTGGGTAAACACTATAACATCCAACATAAAACAACGCATAAATACTACACACCCAGTATACCGCAACCAACAATGCCCGGAAGCTATAGTGACCAGAAGGCCACATCCACCAAATAGTGGCCCAGACTCTCCAAGCAAGGACAGATATCAGCAAGATGAATGGGATGTACATTCGTGGCTCGTCGCCGAATTCCTTGTCGCCGCCTGTTGAGATTCTGGAAGCGTAAGTGATTAGCTAGACCGGAGATGTCATGCCAGATGTGCCTTTTATGATGACACGTGAAAGAATGACCTACCCTCTGTAGTTAACACTGGCCATAAAGCTGTATAGCGGTAAGACAACATAGTAGGCGGACAAGATGTAAAGAGGCAGAGAAATCCACGCCCAGATCGTCATGAATCGTGCCCATTCCTGGTCTTCCTGGGTGCGGTATGCAAGATCCTGCAGCGTATTGGCCGCATCGCCATTGTCTGGACCTTGATAGCGACACGTACTGTTGTCGTGGGAGGATTGCAAGAGGGAGGAGCGTTCGTTACTGCGTATTTCTGCCATCTCACAGGTCGTGCAATCTCATGTTCCAGGTCGGCGATGTCCACAGCGGGTCAGTACGTAATGATGTTCACCATTGGCCTGGAAGGAGGTGCAGACTGTTCGACATATTTTTAAATCAGTGTATCACTGTGTAGCTAGAAAAGTACCTAGGGACGAGCTCGAGGAGGGCAGGCTGCAGCTTTCACGAAGCATTGTGGCAGTGCAAGCGCCACCATATCTACCAAGAAAGACGGCATCGAGCCCATCTTCCATGAAACACGAGGTGAAGAAAAGGGGATGATGGTATGATGAAAATGTAACGCCCGTATCTGTACCCAAAACAGCCAACAAACTCAACAGCTGCAGACTTATTCAGGCGCTTGCACCAAAATCGGTGGTATCAATCTTGGCTTGTAGAATGCGCGACACGGGCAGAGAGCATGGTTTCTGTGAAGACCCCGATGCAAGCTTCCCGTTATGCACACTCTTGCCTTTCCTGTCGCTCTCATGTGACCTACCTACCTGTGGTACGGTGGGTGGAAAGCGAAGGCCTTGTGGTAGCCGAAGTGGGGATGGGATGTGGGAGGGGTGGTTATGACGAGGGAGGTAGTAGTGGAAGAGAGGGTCAGAACAAACGCTGAAATCGTAGGTTGATTTGGGATGGGATTGGATAGCAGGTTGTTTTTCTACTGCGTGGTCGAGTCGAATGCGTAGTGCTGCGCCATCAAATCCAGCCCTTCAGCCGCGCTACCATGCCAATGCCGCGCCGAATCGAGTCGCGAGTGGCCGCCGAGTCCGCACATTCCCATGATCGCATACCATCTACCACATAGTCAGCACACCAACCCTTCACACCCGAACACCCCAATCGACCCCTTACCATATGTCCCCACCCCCAGCTCTCTCACAAGATTCCCCTACCGACTCCCACTCCAAACCCCCTTCAAAAACCCATCCCTCTGCGTCAACCGATTCACACAATCATCCGACTCCCCCATGGCGCGCACGAACCCACACAGCGCGTAAACCTGGTTCTCCCCAGTATAACGCCCATTCTCATCCACTTTGCCGACGGAGAGTTGAACAGAGGCGTGGTCTTTGGCTTTGATGATGCGGTTTGTTGCGCTGCATTTGCGGGGGACGTAGCTGTGAAGTGGAAGAAAGTGAGTCAGTGGAGGTGTTCTGGTCTGGGGTTTGGTATGCGGTGGGTTTGGGGGAGAATGTGTTGATGTGCTTGTGAGGGGCTGGCTTACAGGTCGACGAGGTCGCCGCGTTCGTTCTCCATCTTGGCTGATTCTGAGAAGAGGAAGTTGTAGAGTATGTGGTAGTACTTGCGCGGCTCAAGCCAAAATGTCGCTGGCCTCAGATGCACAACCACCAATTCGAAGTGCGGGATGCGGAAGTCTCCGCGGCGCAGAAAAATCTTGGCAGGAGATTGGTCAAGGCACGTGATGCGGAAAGGATCATAGTGCAGATGAGCAAACATTAATTCGTTGCGACAGAACATATGGACAAAGAAGAAACACGCCCATATCCCATCCTCGTCAGCACTCGCTATGCGTAAAAACCCAGATCCGCACCCATCAGACACCCCCTCAAAGCATCAAACACGCCACAAAAAACCCCACCAACGCAATCGCACTCCCAGTCGTCACCTTCGTCCCCGGCGCCGCCTGACTAGAACTCGACCCCTGCGTGACACCCTGCGAGAACTGCGTATTCCCACCGCCCTGATTCGATCCCGAACCCGTATCGCCATTCGTCCCGGGGTTATTCCCACTGCCCGAACTACCAGACGAGGTATCCGTGGTCGAGCCCGCATTACCTGCGTTTCCACCTCCCGCGATACCGGGCACGGTCTGTGGAGTAGCCGAGGCCGTGGCGGCGGAGGTCTTGGCTGAAGCGGAGGCGGAGGCGTTGGGATCTTCCTTCATGTTGTCGCCTGTGGCGAAGAAGGAGGCGAGGACTGTGTTGTTGTTGCCTGTGCAGACGGTGTCGTTTGTACCGAACGTGCTATCGTAGTAGTACGCTTTATTGCCATTATTGTTGGCGAAACCGCTAGGTGGGTTGTAGCAGTTTACTTTGACCTCTGACACGCTGGCGTAGTAGTACCCGTTCTGCATGTAGGGGCTGCTCCAGTCTACCAGGCCTCCCGACCAGTCGATTGTGCCTTGACCGTTCTTGGACAGGCCGGCTGGCCAGAGGGAGAGCTGGACACGGGAGGGTGATTGAGGGTAGTGGTATTGCTGCGTTGTGGCGTTCCAGGTCTCGTTACGGTTCTTGGTACGCATGGCCTTGCCGTCGATGTACCATGTTAGCGCATCAGGCTGCCAGTCAACCATATAGGTGTGCGTGTTCGAAACCGTGTTCGACACAGTCAAGTTCTGCTCGTTGTCATCTGGTTCACTATGTCAGCATTGCCCCATATCTCAAAATCGTCCTTCCTGGGTGGTACTGACAATCGGTGATCCCCTGGAAATAATAATTACTCTGCGCATGCTCCAGATCCACCCCAACAAACTCGAAATCAATCTCATCATGCACATCGCTCATCAGAATGAACGCCGTCACCACTCCCGCTCCCTGACTCGTCGTCATCGTCGCACTAATCTGTCCATACCACACGTAATGCGTACTCATCAACAGCGTGCCCACGGTATCAGGCGCCATAGTGAGAAGGACAGCCTGGTTATTATAAACCACCGGTGTTCCCGAGGACACCCAGTTCGTGTTGCTCGAGTCTCCCAGATAGACATTGTTCTGCTGAACATCGTCGAGGGAGGTGAGTTTGTAGTCGGAGCTTTTGCAGACGGGCGCCGCAACGCAGGATTGCAGGTCGTAGCTGTAGCGTGGGTCGCAGCCGCCTAGACAGTAGGCTCCTACACCACATTGACCATATTGCGAGCAGCAGGGTGTATCCTTGCCGCAGAGGTTATTTACGCCGCAAGTCGGGATGGTAGGTGGTGCGGCGGACTGAGCAAGGGTGAGGGAGAAAGTGGCGGCGAGGGCGGCGGACAGGGAGTACGTGTGCTTCATCGTGAGTGTAGGTCGCCAAAAGTTGTGTATGGCTGTGCGATGATCTTTGTTGCGAAGGCGGTCGGGTTGTTGTTCAGCGCTCGAGTGCGCTTGTTGTATTGATCAGACTGTTGTGCTCCAAGACCCCCAAACAAACAGAAGCCTCGTGTTCGTCCCGTGCCACACAAAGCGTAGACCGTCCAAAAGTATTACAGCAGAGAACCAGAATTCGAGCGACAGTCAATAATCCCAATGTCGAGGAAGCACAGAAGCAGCAGCAATGGTGATGATGGTGGTGTGTCTCGAAAGGCCGCGCACACACCCTCCGTTCTTCTTCTCGAACTTCGATTGCTACGCCCGCGCGACCCGTTAGAGTTGTTGAACAGGGGACACCTGCATAAACTCTGAGTACACTATCCCGCATTCAGCAACGTGCTCATGCTCTCATTGGTTCGCCACGCACTGTTGCTATACATGGAATCTCAGACGGCGTCAAGTGTGGAGGTTGTGCATACGAGATGAAGAAGAGGCAATCGAGGGCACGATGTTGCCTCTTCAAGAGTACATCTTTCAATTCGAGCCTGTGTGTGACGATTGTCCTAGCTGCCATCGAACTGCCGCACAGGACATGTCCACACCATGCGGTAGTCCAGTGTGCTGAAGCATGGTGGCCACGGACGAGGATGAACAAACAGAACGCTCGTCTTGAACTAAAGTATACATTTGCGTTACCTTCTATCAGAACAAACTCGCTGCTCTAAGCTATGCTCCTCGCAATGCATCCTTTTGGTTCGCACCGGGTATGTACATGCTCTGCTCTTTCCCATCTCCATGAACGCCGTTTCGCTGCAAAACAGACCACCAACACCATCAAGACATCTTCTCCTCCCACATTACTACCGCCTCGCCTCTCGCCCAGCCCTCTCAACAATATTCGTCATAGCCAAACCCGCCGGATTAACTGGCTGTGCTCGTCCCGGACTCACCGCCCTACTCGGAGCAGCAGTGGGAGCCGCAGACCGATTATGCGCCATATGCGCCCTAACCAAATGTCCCGCCGCCAACGCCGAACACAACGACAATTCACCAGCAAGAACACCAGCCCCGATAACCCGAGCAAGCTGTCTCGCGTTTTCCCCAGGAGAAGTCGGATGGGCGCCACGGACACCGAGGAGATCAAGCATAGCTGCCTGCGGTTCCAGGACCGTCCCGCCCCCGATCGTGCCGACTTCAATACTAGGCATGGAGACGGAGATCTGTAGGGCGCCATTCAAACTAGAAAGAAAAAAAACATCAGCATCCACATCTCGTCGTTTGTCATGCGCCCTGGGATGTTTTGTTAGGTGTACTCACTTCTTCATCACAGTAATACAATTACAACTCTCCACATTCTGCGCGGGATCCTGGCCCGTGGCCAAGAACATCGCCGTGACAATATTCGCCGCATGGGCATTGAACCCGCCTATTGAGCCCGCCATAGCAGACCCAATGAAATTCTTACTGATATTCAGCTCGACCAGCGCATCGACGTTGCTCTTCAACACGCTCCGTACGATCTCGCCGGGAATGATGGCTTCGGCGACGATACTCTTCCCGCGTCCGTCGATCCAGTTGATCGCCGCGGGTTTCTTGTCGGTACAGTAGTTGCCGCTGACGGAGATGATGGCCATGTCCTCGAAACCGGCTTCTTCGCGCATGACGCGCAGGGCATTCTCGACGCCTTTGGAGATCATGTTCATGCCCATGGCGTCACCCGTCGTGGTCTTGAAGCGGATATACACGTATGTGCCCGCGATTGCGGACTTCAATGTCTGTAACCGAGCGAAACGCGATGTGCTGTTGAAAGCCTCCTTCATGACTCGTTGCCCGTCTACACTATCCAGCCACACTTTAGCAGCCGCAGCACGGGTAAGTGTCTCGAAACCAACGCAAGGACCGCGGGTCATGCCATCGCCTGTGAGGACTGTGACAGCTCCACCACCAGCATTGATGGCTTTGCAGCCGCGACTCGTACTCGCTACCAACACGCCTTCGGTCGTGGCCATGGGGAGGTAATAGGATTTCCCATCTATCGTTATGGGTCCTGCAACGCCGACGGGGAGCGGCATATAGCCTATCACATTCTCACAGCATGCGCCGAAGACGCGGTCGTAATCAAAGTGTTCGTATGGCAGTTTCGATTTCTCGAGCTTCGATGTGAATGCTTGTGCGCCTGGGGTGCGAGAGATGAGCGCTCGGCGGATCTTCACGGCGCGGGTTTTATCCTCTAATGTCTTCTCGAGAGCGTATCCAGGAATTTTGCCGCGGAGGGAAAGGTCGATGAGTTCCTGATCATGGAGTAAGGGCGCTTTCTTCTCCTTGAGCAGGGCTTCACATTCCTCCACCGTCCTCTTCTGGCCAGGAACAGCTGCTCCGTCCAAATCACCATCAGTCACAGCCTCCGCATCTCCAATGGCAAGTACAGGAGGTCTCGCCGTACCATTCATGCTCAGCTGCCTCCCATGCGAGCTCGTAAGTCGCACACTTTCGCCACTCACACTCTGCGCCCTCGCCTGCTCGAGCTCCGGATCCTTGATACTCCACCTCGCTGCATTGAACAGATACCCATTCAACACCAGACTCATGGCCAAAGCAATAATGACCCATTTACTCAGAACCGGGTCCTCAAAGCTCTTGAGCAGACTCTCCACCACACGTCCACCAACAGCAGAAAACATACCTTCTCGATAGTCGCCATCGAAGAGAGACCACTCCGAGTGCTGCTTTCCTGCTGCTGACACGGATGGATACTGGAGTTCGTATTTGATCGGGTTGAAGACCGTGACGGTCACAGCCTGATTGCTGCGCTTGGCATTGGTGAAGATGTAGTCGAGACCATTACCCGCAACCTTGAAAGGATCCATCGGCGGTTGAGTGACCACACTCGAAAGACCAGCAGTAGTGACAGGTGAATTGTTCCGTGTACCTCGAAATGGCATGGTACAGAGATTTAGTACGTTAATCAGAATGAATCCAGTGACCATGAGAACCTTGAAGCGAGGAATACTGCTATCCCGGATCTTGCGACCAAAGATGCTGTAGGTATCCTTACTCTGGAAACTTTCATCCTTTGGCCACTCGTTGCTGGAGGCGACATTCTCGGCGACACGACGGCTGACACCATCTTCCTCTAGTGCTTTGCGGAGTGTGACATGGCGCTTAATGCGATTGATTTCAAGCTTGATGGTTAAGATGGAAGTGTAGAACGTGAAGAGCAGGATGCAGTCGAAGAATAGAGTCCACGCGGCCAAGAAGCAGAATTGTCTCAGACCTCCTTGGATTCCTGATGCTGCTCCAGCGCAGAGTATGGCGATCTCCACCAAGTAGTCCCGCACGATCTCGAAGCCTCGTTCCCGTACCGCAATGCCCACTGCATTCTGAATAGTGAGTGGCGCATCTCCATTGCCCTGCCCATTTGGCTTCTTCGCCTGCAGTGCCGCACTAAGCACCGCCTGCGTAAGCACGATCGGCTTCTCAAACCCAACCGTGACGACCAAGAACGGCACGCCCTCGGAAAGCAGTACCACATTCTCCGGCACACCAAGCTTCATCGTGACCACAATCCCAAACAAGAACGCAAAGGCCGAGGAGAAAAGCACGGTTGTCCCAAGCCAGAAATTAGAGCCCATGCGTCGCATGCTCAGGAAGAGTGAGATGAACGTCAAGTACATCATGAAATAACCCAGAGACATAATAATGATGTCCAGCGTCTCAGCATTCTTGAGCAAGTCAACGAAAGCAGTCCAGGAGTCCTTGGCCCAGTCGAACATGTTCCCTGACCGTCCACTCCTCTTGCCATTCTTCATCGTCCATCGCGCCTGTTCTGGCTCATCGTCCGTCTCGTTCTCAGCTTGTGCCATACCATTGCTCGAAGCAGGCATGTCCTTGGCCGTGTCCAGGAATCGCGGAACTTCTGTGTACGGCATGGAGAATGCCAAGGTGACGTCCGAGGATAATGGACCAAGGATGTTCGCACTGCTCGGTAACAGCTCTGCCGAGCTCGAGTGTGGCAGGGGCACATTCTGAGCGATTGGAGCAGTGTTGGGTGTCCCATACGTCTCCGGGAAAGCCAATGTCAAGATCGCCAATTCCTCGGCACTGACCACACTCCTGCTATCCGTCGCACCATTCTCCTCGAAATGCCACTTCCATCCCGTCTCCTCTCCTAAGAACAATCTCCTGCTCCCAGCACTGAGCACCCCAAAGTCAACCTTGTTCGCAAGCGTAGCCGGATCAGGAGCGAAGAAGCCCGACTCAAGCAAGTTGACATAGAAGGCGCTGCCGAGAATGGCCACGAATGCTATGGTGTGGATGGGGTGGGTGCAGGCTTTATGCGAGACGGCCTGCAGATAGGGAGTCAGATGGCGATTGTAGAAGCCGGGCTTTTCAGGGTCGGTGATGTCGTAGTTGCGGCGCCAGCGGGTGGGGATGAACGAGCCCAGCATGTTGAAACGCTGCATGGCTGGTTTGTCGGTGGGAAGAGTGGTGATGGTGTTGGTGGTGGAGGGGCGGCAGAGGTCGTGGTAGAGCTTGGTATTGTTCGGACGTTTAAATCGTGGCTTTCTTCATGCTCCTCCTACTCGTGCAATCATGTGCCTGGTACAGATCTTACGTTTGGCTTCGCAGTCCACCCTTGACGAAATCAACGACTGTTCCAATGGCGAAAATGGTACGACCAGTGACGTCGTCCTCGTAATCACTCCCGTCACCTCGCAGCTGGCCTAGCGATCCCAAAGAAGCAGGAGCGAGACAATAAAAGAAAACAACGAACTGGTCAAAGAACAATACGAAGAACTCCCACCAAACAATCCCAAACGACGATCCCATCCACCCGCCGCGGCCTCTACTAGCGACCAAGTTCGTTGACCTCGTTAATCCTTTAGAACCTAGCTCTAGCGGTCAACGAGCCGTGCTTCAAAGGCAAAAAACCCTGGCACTGAGAAATTTATCCCAGCAGATCCCAGCGTCAGGTTACTCAGGTACTGTAACTCACTCCTTCTGATTGGACTGCGCCACGCTGCAATGGAATGTACCCCACAAACTCTCCTTTGCCATATGTCGAGTCCCGGGTCCACTACGAGAGATTGATGCGGGTCTGTTCGCGTATTGTTTCGATGAGCAACCTGGATGGTTGACTTGGTGTGCAGGACTGGGTATATGCTCTATAGTACTGCAAGCAACACTCTCCTCCAGACATAGAGGTCGCAGAAACAGCAAAGGCGCAAAGGGCAAGGTGTGTTCGGCATTGTCCTGCCGTTCCGCGGCATGGTATTACGCCACTGCTCGTACGATATCTGTGGCGGAACTCGCAGAGCCGCATGCCTAAACGAAGGCAGATTATGCAATCTACTAGCACTCATACGCCACGCCCGGTAGCGAGGTTGAGTTGAAGTAGCTGTACAGTCCACAATCTATGAGATCGATTGTCGGGTACGTCCACCGCACACGTGACCATTGGCTCCACCATCGCCACATCTACTATTGCACTACACTACACCCGTCTTCCTCCCCAACGCAACATCCCCCCCCGTCAGACCCCTCACAAACCCCTCCCCCGCCTCGAAAAGTAAAACGTGAAAATGCTCAATAGCATGCACACTCTTCAACCCATTCCAATTCCGAAACCACCTCACCTTCTCCCTCTCACAACCCCCCCTCTCCATAAAAACCTCGCTCACAAAAGCATCGATCTCGCTCCTCGCCTCATCCGTCAAATCCTCCGTCCTCGGATCCTCGGGAAAGGAGGATTTGGTCCAGATGATTAAGTGCGTGATTCGGAGATCTATGCCGTACGGCCAGTCGTTCTGCAGGATCTTGTAATCCGCTGGATTCTGGAAGGGTGATTCGCTTAACGGTTTGAGGTCCGTCCAGTGGAGGCGGTGGATTAGGATGAAGGACATGATGCTACCATGTTCTTTTACGATCTTGAAGCAGTATTCTCGATAGCGGCGGAGATCGCTGGGGACGCGTTGGAGTAGGTCTAGACGGTTACGGGTTATGAGATCCGTGACTTGGGACCAGGAGTGGCGGTGGTAATAAGAGTCGGGTGTGCTGAGAATGGCTTGGTCTTTGAGGTCGGTGAAGGCGTATTGGAGGTAGGGTGGGCATTCTGTTGTGTGTTGTGATGGTAGGAGATTTACGTTCCAGAAGGCAGTTGAAGGTCCTTCGTGGCTAGTCATGCTGGTGATGGCTTTTCCGCTGTCTTCGTGTCTCGAGTAGAACCTGGTTGTGCTTTTCTTTTTATCTCCCTACTGGATGTTCTAAGGCGATGGTTGAGGATGGAATGTAAGATTGTGAAAAAGGAGAGAAGAAAATTGATACGGGCGACGTTACTCACTTGCTCTACCTGCTGTCTGTGATAAGAACTTGCTGCGTTTCTGCCGTTCGCGACACCTTCTCATGAAGCACACGAAATGTCCTTCTATAACTGTCATAGTCTGAGGAAAAGGCCATCGCTGAATTGACGGTGTGCTTGTTGACGAGTCAGGGCGAAAATAAGCATACCTCACCGTTCCTGCCATGAAGGCAATTCTTCCCTGATCTCTGGAAGCAATAATTGCATCTCACGCCTTCTTTGTTCTCGCCGCTTTTCCGTTCACATACCTCGCCACTCCCGCTCGCCTTCCTCTCCGGTCACGCCTTTGACCAATATCGTGTACAGTAGCGTACAACACAACACAATCCAACCAGTCGGCAGATTCGTACTCAGTGGAGCGTACGCCAGAAACGTTACTGGCGATGCAGGGGCCAAAAAGCTTCGAATGTCGCCTGTCAGGTACGGCTCTTTGATTGGCTGAGCGCGATATAGCCGCGCATTGAGGGTTCAGGGGGATTTGGTGTCGTGCAGACGGCATGCTGGGTGAAACTCACTTCCACCACTTCTGTGAGATTCCTCCTCTTGATGCGATAACGATAGTGAGGGCGTGAGAGTACATACGATCATCTCACATAGGATTCGTTCGGGTAGTAGCGGAGGATTCATTCTTTTGCTTTCTGTCGCGATTACTGGGGGTTTAGACGAGGGCAGCGGAAGGTTACACACGCACGCGGAAGGAGTGACTGGTGATTTCAAGGCGCGGCCTGAGACATCTCCGAGACGTCTTTCCTTGCCTCAGCATCAACCTCAGACGCCGTAGCCAGACTCTCGAGCGAGTCTCACGTGCTAGGTGGCACGGCGACAAAGACACGACCGCGCCAGCACGACTACAACTACAACCGCGCATGTTCGCGTGCCAGCGAGAGTTTCACGAGCTAGGAAGCATTCACGGCCGACAACTACTATGAGCATGAGCAGACCCGGTGTTGGCGGTCCGCTATCTCCGCTCTCCATGAGCAGCAATGACAGCCATGCGAATCGCTACCCATCTCCTCCCAGCATTGCCGGCATGGGCACGACTGGCGACGTACCATACTCAGGCGGGCCATACGGGGCAGCGCGACCTGGTCCTCCTTCACTGCCCGGTTCGCAACACCCAAGTGGCAGCACAGATATGTCGCGACCATCGGCCAGTGGCAGCAGTATAGGCAGACCGCCTTCCTCTGCGAGCTCAGTGGGCAGAAGCAGCGACGGGCGGATGTTTGGCAGCAGACCAGATAGTGGGAGAAGTACTTTCAAACCCGACAATGAGGCGGCGCTGAGCAGACATTACGAGGTGCTAAAGGGGTATCTGTCTCAGCATCTCGCCGATCAGCATGGGAACATCAAGCCCAATAAAGCACGGGACAAGCTGTTGCGACTGTCAGTCACGCAGTTCATGGAGCTCAGCACGGATGTCTACGACGAGCTACTGCGCCGAGAGGACGATCGAACAGGACGAGTACAGAACGTGCCCAAGTCACTCCTCCCAAGACAGAACTTCCACCCGAAGCGCAACCAGGCACGGCAAAAGCTCAGCACTCTACCCGTCGAGCGGTTTAGGCAACTAGCGACAGACGTCTTCTACGAGCTCGAACGAAGGATACCACGTTTTATTGGTCAAGATATGGAGAGACCATCCAGCATTGCCAGCTCTGCTCGAGGTCCAAGTCGCAACGGCATGAGACCTCCACCAGGCGGTCCACCACCACCTGGAGGCTATCGCGGTCCTCCACCGGGTATGGGAGGACGACCACCAATGGGTGGACCGCCGATGAACGGTATGCCGCCACCTCCTGGTGGACCATATCAAAGTTTTCGACCTGCGAGTCCTGGCCCTGGTGGTCCGGGCGGGAGGCCTCCTACGGGCGGAAGCGATAGTTCGAATTATAACCGACCTTTACCGAAAACGTTGCAAAGTAACACTATTGTGCCGAACAAGAGCACTATGGTTGAAGATGACGATGATGACGATGAGGATGCTTTTGATCTGGACAAGGAGTTGCCTGATCCTACTGGTACTGCGAGTGCGGAAGACAAGGAGAAGATTGAGGCGCAGGAGGCTGAGATTGCGGAGTTGAGGGAGAAGCTCGAAGAGTTGGAGGGTGCAGCCATGAACAAGGAGCATGAGTTCCAGGGCATGAACGATAGCCTAGCTGAAAGGGAGCAGGAACTTGAGAGGATAAAGTCTTCGGGTCATGAGCGAGAAGATGGCATCAGTCGGGAACGCAGCGAGTGGTATGATCTGCGTGAGGAGCTGGAGCAAAAGCATCTAGATGCTCAGCGATTGCATGACGATCTGCAGAGAGAGCTCGAAGCCTTTAAGCGCAACAAGGATCGAGATGAGCATGAGATTCGATCACAGCACGACCTGGCACTGGAAGATCTGAGGTCGCAACACGGGCAGCAGCTAGATGGCCTCCAATCACAGCACAGCCGAGCACTAGACGACATGAGATCACAACATGAGCAGGAACTAGGCGGCCTCCAATCGCAAATGGGTGATTCGCATCGTATGACCATTGGCGACTTGCGCGCTCAGCTCGATAATGTGCACGACCAGACTTCAGATCTGCATACCCAACTTCAAACCCACCAAGCCGAGAACGACGAGCTGCGCCGCCAACTGCAGGACCACCAGGACAACCGACCCAAATCCGTGGATATGAGCGACTACGAATGCCGGATTGAACTTCTCCAAGATGAGCTGGTGGGTCAGGAGAAATTGACGAATGAGGTTCGAGATGGGGCTATGCTGTATCTTCGTGAAATGCGCGATCTATCACGACAGAATGACCAAGCCATCGAAGCGGAAGAACGGCTCGCTGCGCGTGTGACACAACTGGAGCGCGAGAATGAAGAGTGGCGACATCGGTATACTAAGGTGAAGGCGCAGAATAGACACCTTCGAGCCTCGACCATGGGACTGGGACTCCAGACATCCTTCGACTCCGGCTCCTTGCTCAGGAAAGAAGGATTAGTGTCCGAGGGTGGTTTGGTGAGGGATGTAGACGTCACGAGGTTCCAGCTTGCGATCGATGAATTGTTGAAAGGGGCGCGGCAGCAGGAAACGGAGCCAATGTTGCAAAGTGTGAAACACATCGCCATCTCCGTCCATGCTATCGAAAGCGCAGTCGGCACGGATGGCTATCCCACTCCCAGCCCCAGTCCCTTGGGACCCATGAGCCCCAACGGCGAGCACAGTCGTGGTGGCGGCACCGACAGCGTAGCAAAACTGCAAGCCAGAGTTAAAGGCACAGCCAACAGCCTCATCACCGCCACGAAACTGCACGCTACCTCGCACGGCCTCTCCCCCGTCGCTCTCCTGGACGCCGCAGCCTCAAACCTCACCGCTTCGGTCGTGGAACTGATCAAAGCTGTGGGTATCAAGCCCAGCAGTAAAGACGAACTCCAATCTGATCTTGGAGACGAGGATCGCTATTCGAATATGCATTCCCTTGCTCCTAGCGTCAATGATTCTCTAGCTGGTAAACTCCAACATGATAGTATCGGCTCCTTCTACGATGACCGAGATCGGCTTTCCACTAGTGATGCGTATCAGCATAATCAGCATCTGCCTCCCTCGGCTCTGGCTCCTGCTCCAGCAACCATGCTTGTCCCAACCTCAGCAGCAGCGGGTGGTGAGACGCCTGCGAAAGCTGCTGCCGCCGCGGCATCACCAGCGCCGTTGAGTCTGGGAAGGAGTAATACTTCTAAGAAGACGAATGGGTGGTTTGGGGGCTGGGGGAAGAAGAATAGTATTGATGAGACGGAGGCGTTGCCTTCACAGCAGCAGGTGCACGCTGTAGTGGCTGGACATGATGGAGAGGGGCAACGGGAGGGGGAATATGATCCTTATCGGTAGGGTGGGGAGATAGATAATCCTGGTTGTCGCAGAGGTTTTTTGGGCGCAGGAAATTGGTGTTTGGGGATGGGGCATGATACCACCACTTTTTCAGCTGGACCTTGGGGCTTGGATAGTAGCCCTTGTGGTGGATGTGGAATGGGTTCCGCGGTGTGTTCGGTCTAGGTGACGAGATGGAGGTCTTGGGAGTTATGTGGTGTATGCTAGCCCTGCAGCGTATTATCTTGGGACAATCATCTGGACCGAGCATCTATTTTAGCGTTGTGTAGCGGTGCATAATGTTGACTTTAACGTCTCGATTGAGAATCATTCATACACCACCTACTCCGTCCCTTGATATCTGTCATTCAAATGGCCTAGCAATAAAAAGTTAGGGATGGCGATGAGATCTAAACGAGTTCAACTACAAGCCTGTGTCAATCAAAGTTAAGGAAGAGGTTCGTGAATGGAAATGGTTCGTCAAGTATCGTGGTTCCCATGTATGTCTCTGATGCCTACCCCTGCTACTGCTGCAAGCCCAGCTGGAATATTATCAATCCCTCCTCAAAGGATCAACATACCTCCGCCCATCAACCCCACTCACGGGCCTCGGCGGTCTCCCACCATGCTTTCCACCTTCCCTCTCCCTATCATCCCTCCCACCTCTACCATCCCTACCATCCCGTTCATCACGACCATGATCTCTATCCCTATCTCTGTCCCGATCATCCCGATCATCTCTCTGCCTCGAACCCCCGCGGCGATCTCGTTTGTCCGACAGCGGGGGCGGACCCTCATCATCATCCTCCGGCCCAGCGAACCTCGTCATTTTCGGTCGACTTTGCCTCCCTGCGTCTGAAGAGGAGGGAGGTGGGTAAGATCTGTCGTCTCCACTTTCTCTTCCTCTTTCTCTACCAGGTGGTTGACGCCTTCCGCCGTGTCCAGGTGGAGCACCATCTTCTTCGTGTCGCTCGCCACGTCCGTGTCCAGCAGGACCACCTCCACCAGGAGGTCCATCGTCGAATCTCGCACGTCTGGGGCTCTCGTACCTCCGATCCATGGGTCGACGATCCGAGTCAGCAGGATTCTGGCTATATGGTCTCCGGTCCTGATCTTGTGCACGACGTCGTGGGTTTAGACCCGTGTAGTTCTGCTCGTCGTTGCGGGGATGTGGACGGCCGGCTGGCTGATGAGGAGGATAGCCACCGAGAGGCCCAGGCTGTGGTTGTGGTTGCCTCGCAACGTGGGTCGCAAAGAGCGGTGAGGCGCTGGGTCCGAAGCCACCACCTGCATTACTTCCCTTTGCTGGCGGGGTTTCACTAGGCGCGGAGTCGTAAGCACTATTGCGGCGCCTGTTTGGATCGTCATAGCCTTCGAAGTAGTCGCCTGTTTCCTTCTGGGTTGGCGTCGGCTCATGGCTCCTCGAATGTCTAAGTCCAGCGGCTGCCGAGTCCCTCGAGCCAGGTCGATGCGCGTCGCTGGGTGCACGTCTGTGCTGTTGCGAGCCATGCTGATGATGGCCGCCATGGCCGTGAGGATGTAACGGTGGTGTAGGTCGAGGTGAGTAGTATGCACTACTCTCATCTCCATCAAATGCCTCGTCGCCAGAATCAACCGGCTGTTCCGGCTGCTGCGAGCTCCGTCTTCGTCGATATCGTTGATCATGTGGACTCAGCCCAGCCGGACCTCCCGCTGCACCATCATATGCACCTGCACCGCCGATCTGCTGCGATGTAGGATCACCAGGATAGTGCATCGGGTGTCGATGATCGGGCGTACTACGCCGTCGTCGATCTCTACTAGAGTGACGACTAGTCCCGCGAGGCCCATCCCATAGATTCGGCGAGCCGATGTTTCGGATGACATGGCCCATCGTCGCTGCAGCTTCTTTGCCCTTGTCCACCATTGTTGGCCTCGGGCTGAGAGTAGGCCTCTTACTGCTCCGTCGAATGATACTTGGTCGACCATCGACATGCCTGTACAGCGGGTTCCGGAAGTAAGCCAAGGCAGGTCCACGACTGTCAACCGAGCCTTCATCATCAGTCAAATGCTGTTGCGTCGCCAGCTCATCCGCCGCCGCATTCGCAGCAGCTGAGACGGGCACATTAGGTCTGTGCCTCAGTCGCCTTACATCCGTCCGCTCCGTCTCCACCTCCTTCGACCTCTCCTCATCCTCAGCTTCCTTCCTCAACCGCTCCGAAACACCCTCGTACCACATGACCATATGCCGATCCGGCTCCGTCGGAAAGCACCTCCTCGGTAGGACCTTCGGAAACATCTCGCCGGTGACAGGATCCTTAAGATCCCATTTCTGCACCGCCTCAATAATGAATTGACTATGCTCGTCCGGGCCGAGAAGGAGTTGGATAGTCTGCCACATAATCCACCCTTCAGTCTTCAATGAAGGAACAGTAGGGTCCGTGAACGCCGTACTCTGCGCCCAGGACTGAGGTTGAAGACTATGGAGACATCCTAAACTCTTGTAGATGAAGGCTATGCTCTCGCTCGGAGTGCCAAGAAATAGCTGATCGTAGTTTCCATTCAACTCGCGGTAGAAATGCGCCAGTTGCTCTGGTGTCAGGTCGGGCTGGTTGTCGATCGTCTTGTCACCGTGCACGTGGTCGGTGTTGTATTGCGTGTTCATACACTCTTTCAGTCCGCGTAAGAGGGATTTGAGCTTATCAGTGCCGGTCTTGTCTTGCTTGAACAGATAGCCCCAGTAGTCATAAGCTTCCTTCTCTTCCACCTCATGTTGATGGTGGTCTACTGTTGGTCCTTCCGCCTCTGATGGAGTCGCAGGCATGGGAGGCGCTGTCTCGCTCATGGACGGCATCGTGGGAGCGATCACTGTTGATTGCGCAAAAGGACGTCGCTGATGTGCTCAGCTTACGCTTTTTGATTGAGGCCTAGTCGATCAGCAGACAAAAGTGTTGCATGGTAGGAGCATGGCTGAGCAACAAAACAAAGAGCATGTGTTGACGCCCCGAATCTCAGATTGTCTCGCATGTGCTCCCGGGAAATGCTCATGCACGCAATACTGCTGACGCAGCGTGTGGCGTTGATATGTGGCGTTGATATGTGGCGTTGATATGTGGCAGTGCAATGAGTATGAACTTTGTTCGATGCTGGAAGAATAGTACTGAAGACATAGTACCGTCACAGAGCAGAGTCAGATCGTCTTGTAGTTTTCATAATTAACGCCAGATGACGTTATACATCTACAAGTGTAGACCACGCGTCCTGCATGCTTACTGCCAAGAACTGATCCGACCTATATAGAGACGCCAGAGCTCCTCGCCAAAACGACAACACAGAAGCACATTTACACCATCGGCCTAGGATAAGCCGGCGGCGCTCCAATCCCACTCGACTGGCTCTGATAAGGCCTCAACGGCACATCCTCAGACCCATAACTAGGCATTCTCCCATAAGCCGGAGGCGCCTGCATATAAGCCGCTCCTTGCGCCGGCCCTCCAAACTGCGGCTGGACGTATCCATCCTGTCCCGAAGGCATCGCGCCCGCGGGTCCCATGTTGCTTTGCTGTTGCTTCTGTCTGCGACCACGACAGCAGATTCGTGAGCCGAAGCGGACGGTAAGGTAAATGATGGCCATGAGGATGACGATGACGATATAGGGTAGGCAGAGATGTGGGTTTCCTGCGAAGACGAATCCAAGGGGTGCGTTGATCACGCCGAAAAGGATGATGCCGGGTCCTAAGTACTTGTGGATCTTGCCCATGATGGTTGGTCTTTGCTGTTTCTTGTAGATACGGTGGTGTATTATCCCTAGTCCGAGTTGTGACAGCAGAGCGAGGAAAAGCAGGATCCCGATGATCTGATGGGCAGAGGCGAAATGCTTGCTGCGATTATACTGCATGCTGATCACGATTCCGCCGGCAGAGGCCATCGTCACTAGGACGAACCCGAGACCTTGGACCCAGGCGTGGAGAAAGACGCGGTTGAAGACGCGGAGGATGAGAGCTCCTAGAGGGAAGACGATGACGAACATGACGCACATGATCAGCGCATGGATGGCGGGTGCTGGGTCGTTGTCTGCTTTTGCGGTTTGAAAAGTAGCGTCCGTCTGAGTATAAGACGATCCTGAGCTGTTCGGACGAGGCACACCGACGTCTGTGGAGGATACAGCTTTCGTCATGTCCATGGTAAAGGTACCATAAGCTTCGTGCCTGCGTAGTCCAGCAGTCATAGAGTTGGATTGCAGGTTTGAGCCACCAGGTGAGCCAGGTCCCACGGCGAAGACGAATGGCTGAGCCTTGTTGGTGAAATCGAGGCTGCCTTCAAGCCATTTCGTTGCGTTGCTACACATAGCGTTCACAGTCATAGTAGAATTGTTCCCACTCGAGACGATGTTGCTGTTTGGCAGGTCGTCGGCATAGACCATTGTGCACTTGATATTGTCGTAATAACTCGGCTCGCTGTGTCCTGTAGCTACCCTTGGGCTGAGAGTCATGCCCGTTCCATTTTGACTAGCATAGGCCACGAACATGAGGCTTCCTGCCATCTGATGCCCAAATCCTACAGCCATCCAGTCATTTCCTGACGGGGCAGACATGTGGAAGTAGACGTCTTGCTTGTCTTGATCGACATTCAGGGCGAAGACGAATTGGGTGTCGCTGTATTCGTTGTGGGGTGGTGTGTACGAGAAGACCGCGGCGGGAATCGAGCTACTGTTTGTGTCTGCTGCGTATGCCGTGGGTACACTAAGAAGTGAAAGTGCTGCGAGCGTGGTCGCCAGGATGGAGGACAGCATCCTGCCGTCTGTCTTGTATCAGGTCGAGGAAGTGACAAAAGGGAGTCAATGGCTGCAGACAAACGGGAGGGAACAGTGTGCTCAAAGGATGGTCGCTCTCGCGCTTTATGTCAAAGAAAGAAAGTGTAGAACCCCAAAAACTCACTTCAGCCAGAACCTCCACGCGTACATGACCGGCGTGTCACCGCAAGGGAGGTGTAGTGGCCAATTTCTAACGGAGGCACAACATTAGTATTGGGATGAGCGGCTGCGGCAGTGCTAGAAATAGGAGTCGACTTCCTGCAGGTCAGCATTTCAACAGCCACAGCGGCTCACAGACCAATGGTCGGCTGAAGCTTGGTGGCAGTTTCAGGGTCGGCGGTTGTTGACCCGCTAGAAATATCCGACCTTCTCACAATGCTTCCGGTCGTCTTGTCATGGGTCTCGAGTCAAGCCATTGCGATAGCAAAGCTGTGCCTTCTAATGGCCGAAGACTTCACAGTCTTGTCTTCCACAGATTTGATGTCTGACTCGAATCGTCCTTACGATGGTTATGCTGCAGAGGCGAAAGGAGCTAGCTCATCATGCATACCAAATCTCTTCAGCTACCGTCAGCCTTAGCAGCATGCGATGATTGCACAGTATGCGCACTCGCACTTCGGTTTTAAGTGCACCTTCTCGCGGCATAAATTGGGGCATACTGAACAGATGAGGTGTAATACACAGATCCGTAGTTCTTCGATACTCAAGCTGTGGCCATGGGAGCAACAGATACCGTAGCCCTCGTGGCGCTCATAGTCTCGCTGGTTGCCCTGGTGGTCACGACCGTCCAGCTTCTGCAACAGCTATCTGGAACAGCTGATGGGTACCGCAGATGTTCCCCGACTGTGATCGGTCCATGGGCTACATTACGAAAGCGCAGGCTGCTTCCCTTCGAGCTCAGAGTAGAGACGGAATACTGCACGCCTGAGATCATGGTGGTCACCCATGAGAAATTACTCGAGCTTAGAAAGCAAGGCCTGCACCCTCGTGTTATTACCTCCATGTCGGATGCTGGAGACAATTCACAACAATTGCAGCAGACTGTCCACGGTTCCGGCGCACACCTACGTCACACAGCACGGAACAGCCATATGGTCACTTGGTTGGCTCTTCTCCAGGAAGTGCATACCTTGTTCTCTAATTATTGGCCAGGTGACTGCAATTTATGCATGCAGCAGGAGCAAGGCACATCGGCTCTCAGCTTCAACAGTAAAGAGGTCAAGACGCATATCACAAACGCCGCGGTGATCTACAGGCAATGGACTTGGGATCTGATGCCCTCAGATATGCCCCGTCCTCCAGCCATAACCACGGTTGGTGACATCATGGTCCTCGCACTGCGACTAGGCATGAAATGGCGGTCCTTGGACTTTGCAAATGGCAGGATTTATGCTGATGGCTGCGGGTATACTCTTGCCACGGTCGAAGGCCGAGGCTTAGGTCTTGTAGTAAGCTTCAGCCGTCCTGCCACAGCTCCGGTACGATCGGCCATTATTCCCTCCCAAGCGGTTGACAAGCTGATTTGTGGTATCCTACCTGGCTGTCCCATACTGGTACGCCGCGATTACGACTTTGTCGGCGATGATGGCCAGGTGCTGGGTCACAAGATGTTAGAGTCGATTGGAGTGGGCTATGAACTTCGCGCTGCAAAGCGTGCAATGGGTGGCTATGAGCCGTATGCTGATGCTTGCGCGCTCCTTTCGCCCTTTCTGCCGGTCCTGGGGTCTTCGGCGGTATGCTATGCCACACCTCGCTGGAGCTGGCGACACGACACCGGCGCCGTGATACATTTCTGGGAGGGGAGGATGGGCCTTTTACATGGGTTTCAGACTTACGCCGCGGGCCAGAATCTTAACAGGGACCTGCAGCGCGCGCTGGGCTTCTTCGAGCGCCTTCAGTCCCGACTTACAGCAGACTTTACAGGAACATGGTCTGAAGCTGTCCTGTCCGGTACAGGCACCACGGACGGCACCCGGCACAGCTCAGTGCAGGATCTCATACATGAGTGCGAAAGTGTTTTTGAGTTTACGACAGAGTATTTTGTAGCTCAAGGCTTCACACGACGCAGCAAAGATGGTCGAACATTGTACGAAGCATTGGTGGCAATGCATGTTAGCATCGCCACAGTCGCGACTGAAGCAGTCCTACAAGAAGTGCCTGACCTGACCGACCACGATCGATATCCCTGGTTGAAGTCCGTGCCATACGAGTCCTGGGTGCCTGAGGCATACGAAATAGCACGAGCGTACTGCAACACTGCCACAAATAGCGAGTTCCTCACGAAGTACGCGAGGCAAGACCCACACTTGGCGGCATTGGGAAGGGACGGGAGGTCCTTAAAAGAAGCGTGGTGGATATTGATGCTTAGAGGTGTGGGTTGGCGACTGTCTACCTGGCAGATAGCCCAGGACAGGAATGTACCAGCCTGGTGTTATGAAAATAAAACTCCAGTGTGGATTATGTAGGCTGCTTCGTAGGGGACGCAGCCCCATGGCATCGGTCATGTTCATCGTATGTGCAGGCGCTTAAGGCTTACTCGTTGGGTACTGGGTATGGACATTCTTTCGAAATATGTACTCGCGCAAGGGTATATGTAACGCATCAAATCCAACGCCATGCTCGAACGCTCAAAACTCAAGCACCACGATCACCTCAAAAGATAATCACAAGCCTCCACACTCCCCTCTTTATACAAGTTCACCAGCTGTCCTGGCATAACCCCTGGTACCACAGCATCTCCAATAAGCACATAGTGATCCTCACCATGTTTCCGCACAATGAACGGCCGGCTAGCACCAAACGGCACGATAACCTCATCGCCAGGCTCAAGGGTAGCAGGTCCCATGCCCATGAATCCATTGTCTGTGATGAAGAAGTCACGACGCCGAAGCTTAGACGGAACATGATACATCTCCTTCTCATCGCTCAGAAAGCGTCGAGCTTCATCGTCGGGAGTGTACAAGCCTTTGTGCCGGACGGTGATGAAAGCATTTTCCCATAGCGCAGTCAGGTTGAGGTCCAGGCGAACGGCATCGGTCAGTGTCATGTCATACTTCTTCACTAGCTTGTCAATCTCTCGCGAGATCATGCCCTTCATTTCATCAGTCGTGCGTACGCGCTCGATGCGTGTATGCTCGGCCACTGCACTCCTCTCTCCGCCAAATAAGTAGTCGAGGATCAGATACGACAGACCCTTTGCTCGGTCCAGTTGCAAATATGGCTCCCGCGAGAAGTCAATTTTGAGGCATTCAAAGACCGCATCCACAGTCTGTAGTGGACGTGACAGCTCTGCCTTCGCGTGGTCGTGGTTCTTCAAGATGACTCTGTGCGTAGAGTCTGGTGCAGGTAAATCCTTCTCGCTTGAGCGATATGTGATGCAGCCAAAGGGTATGGCCTTTACTTTGAGCGCACGTCCTGTGTGCGATGTGCAGATCTCGCATTCGATCGGCTGCCTTTCAAGGCTGACAACTGGTTCGCCTCGACCAGCCTCGTAGCCATCCAGTGTCTGGATCAACTTGCGATCTCGCAGCATCGTGAAGTGCGGCACCCATGTCGGATATCCACCGCCTGATCGTTCCAGGCGTCCGTCCAAGAGAACGTCCAGATTCTTCTCCGATTGCAGCAAGTACATCGTGGCATCCTCGTAGACTTGTGGAACAGGCTCAGCATAATCGGGCTTGATTGAAGTCGTGCCACCCTTGACCAAACCAAGAAGTGCGTAGATCCTATCGCGTGGATCACTGCAATAGAAGTCCTTCGCCATGAAAAGTAGCTGAAGGAGACTCTGCTCTTCTTGTGACCGCAAATGATGGAACAGTGGCAGGCGGTCATGCGTATCAGTCTTCATTAGTTGTGCAAAGAAATTCCAGCCGATCGCGTGAGGTCCGATATAAACGGTCGGATGTTCACGAGCTCGAGAGAACTCTTGAATGACCCAAAGGCGCTTCCACCACACATCTCCATGGGTGACGTTTGAAGCCCACTCCAGCTGCTGCAGAACATCGCCGAGCTTCTTCGAGACGTGATCGTGCTCGAGCGCTGCCAGACCAGGCTGCGTACACCATACTAGCTGTGAGTCGTCGTGCTTGCTAGCCGAGAATTGCCGTTTGCAAGTGGACGTCTGCGCTTCGGTCTCGCCTACCCATACGATCACACGGTGTGCTTTGGCGTAAATCTTCCACATCAGCTGGACCGAAGCGTTACGTTCTGGTATATTGGCTTGATTAACACAGATGACATCGATCCAGATAAGACGGTCGCGGTTTGGACGTCTCAGACGGCGCATTGCGGCGTACAAATGCTTCGAGACTCGAAAGTCCTTGCCATCGACTTGGACGACTTCGAGCTCTTGCTGAGCACCCCAGCAGTAGGAAAGGCCATCATACTGTGGTGGCGACTCAAGATCGAAGTATTCCAGGGTTGCGCAGATCTCATCGGTACCGGGCTGGATACGCAGTAGCCGAATACCATTTTCGTGCTCAATATCTTGACTATAGACTTGAGCATTCTCTGCTCTGACTGCCTCACGATCTGATCTCGCTTGGTTCTTGTTTGGCTGTGGAAGTTGTACCTCCTCTGAAGCGGCGTCCGCGTGTACATCCTGTGTAGAAGTGGCGGAAGGTGCTTGTTTTAGTGGAGGCAGGGCAAGCTGTGGCGTCCTCGATTTTGGCTTCTTGAAGATGGCAAAGACATTCCGCGATTCCCGTACCGCTCCAATACGCTTCATGAGCAATAGCTGTTCGCCTCGTAGTCGGCTGAGAAGCCACTTGTGTTGCCTTTCCGCAGCTAATGTAATCCAATCGGAGCTGAGCTTAAGGAGTAATCAAATATGCCACCAAAGAACTTCAGGACTGTGATAACGATACAAGTGCGCGGTGATCGTACAGAAGAAGGAGAAAACAGACAAGCAAGCAATACTTACAGCGGCTGGGTGACATTGACGACGTTCAAGATGGAGGGTGTAGATGAGGTCGGTGTTGTAGCTCAGCCTCACTGAAGTCTTCTTGGCTTCGAGTTGGGGGCCAGGCCAAGCTCGCGTACTATTTCCAGCAAATCGGCTTGGTCAACTCATGGAACGTAATGGCATCGATGTCCTGTCCCCAGCTTTGATCTCGCTGTATCATACACAGCCTCACATGACGCTCAAATGCGTCCCGCAGACCATTCTGCCATGAGATGAACAAAAGATGCTGACGATCGTGAAACAGAAGTCATGATCCACCACAAACTCCTTCCGGCGAGCCACGCGGATGTGCGCGCACGTGCCGTCCCACAAATCTCCTTGTCGACCAACGAGACGGCAGAGACCCTGCGACTTCTCTAACAACATCTCCTATTCTCTGCCAGGCCTGCATCAATATGGTATCATATCGTCCTAACACACAACATAAAGAGTACTACATCCTAGGTCGCGTGAGGAAGAAATCAATGCCGCCATCCACGGCTCTACGCCACCCTTTACACCTCCTTACGGCCCTCCTCGTACTCATCAGCCAACCGCCAGCGCCTGAAGCTTGGTCCTCTGGATCGCCGTTGGGGACTGGAAGATATAGGACTTCATCTCGGTCTCTGCCGCCGCGACGGTATTGTCGCTGTCAAATCCCGGGCATAGCAATGATCGGCTGCTATTCGTTCGTAGGCACCCTTCTCCATTTCACTGTCTGGACCTCATCGTCTTGCTGTCGCGTTGATCAATCTTTCATCTTCTTGCCTATCTATCGACACTCATTATTTTTCAGCGTAGCATTGCACTTCATTCTTTAGTGCTGCCGTCTGCTTGTCGTTCATTACCCATCGTTCTTTCGTTCTTACGAAGCGCAGCATTAGCGGAAGCATTGCATAGCATTATCTATCACGAGACCACAATTACCATCCGCATTCCTCACGCAAGCCACCCAGGCATTCGAGAAGCCTGCCCTTTCCAGCCACTGTGTGTTGACGAACTGTATACAAATACATCCACACGCGAGCACTACCGCGATATTTGATTTGAGCTCGAGTCCTGAGGTGAACGGCATACGAGCGATCAGCTTGAAACTACGAAAGGACAAATCAAAACAAATACATCATGACAAGTGTACCACGCGACCCAGCGTTCTGGAAACGCTTCTCCACCGCCGTCCATCTCGATGAAGAAAGCGGCTATGGTCGCCCGGAATTAAAACACTCGTACGTCCCAGTCTCCACCCAGCCTGTGCAAATTCTCTGTCATCTAACTCGTCGAACAGAGACTCGTGGCTCGCCCGCCAACGCCGCAAGGAATCCCGTCGCAAGTGCGTCTGTCCAGTCTGCTGGCTCCTGTTCTTCGTCTTCGTCGCAGCAGTCATCGGTGTGGTCATCTGGTTGCTGAAGAGTGGACTGCTGAATAATGTCCACATCGGGAACGATAATGGCACGCCCAATGTACCCATGGATCCGAATGTTAATGCAAACTCCAAGTTGAGGATGGTGCGGGCAGCATTACTCGAATTGAATGCGGCGTGGCGGTAACAGTGCATGATCCTGGGGCCGAATGCAGTGGCACTTGTGCAGGGATTGTGGGAGTGGTCGGAATGGCTTGCGCTGCCAGGAGGACGTTGAGATTCTGCTGGTTGCTCTTTTGGTGGGAGAATCTGAATACTGTCAGGGTACGGTAATGTATATATCATGAACCAAATCAAATATCATGAACATCTGCGAGGAGACTATCATCACGTGAGCATTGTGTTGCCATTCTCGCATTGTAATGTACACTCCGCCAGCGCCTCGCTAATAGCTAAATTCGCATCTCGACCAGATCCCCTACTTACCAGTATACTTGGAGTTGACTCCTCGTACATTGCTGGGATCTTGCCATCGCCTCTCCAGGACTGTCGTGCATCACTCCAACCAGCTACAGTAGTTGTGAAGAGCTTCGCCACAAGTTTGCGAAAGCTGCACACCTGCATACCAATGCTGAGTAGTGCCAGGCAAGACATCGTACAGACACTTCGTGTACTCGCGCGCCACGTGGCACTGTCGCGAACTGTCCTCCAAATCCTCTCACTGACCGCTCAGCTCACTCAGTATCGTGGCTTGAGCGGCTCAGGGCTAGCACTCCTGCTCATACTCCTAGCATCCTTGCCCCTCTCCCTCAGCCACTTCTTGGTCGCCAACTCCAACTCCTTGTCCAGCTCCGCACTCGGCTCCTTGCGATGTATGAAGTTGCAGAAACCTCCTCTCACGCACCCCTCGCCACTATTGAGCCTACAACAAGCTTCTCGAAAGTCGGTGACAGGACTCAGCTCGCAGTAGATAGGTCTCGCAGCATACCACCGACTATTCAGCGCATCCGCCGCCGCCTGCGCCGAATCCTCGTATTTGAACCGCGCATACACGTTCCCGATCAGGTGATCGTTGTTGTTGTCACATACCACCAACTCCTCAATCTCGCCGTACTTGCACATCTCGGCCCACACATCCTCGTAAAAGGCATCGAAGTGGTTTTGAAGCTGTTGCGGGTTCATGCGCGATTTGTTGTCGTAGGCAGGGTTCTGGTAGAGGTTGGGCATGAGGACTGTTTGGGAATAGGAGGGTTTGACATGTTTGCGTGAGCAGCGGTCGCCATGGCGGCAGGCGCCAATTTTGTAGTAGAAACTGCAGTTGACCTTGTCCTGTTCTGTTCCGAAGATGGAGGCAAGATAATTAGCCATGGTCGCGGTGCTGTGGCAGTCGCGTCGTCGTCAAGTTTATGGTGTCGTTCGCTGAGGTAGCCTGAGGTATTGACTTGTGTCGAGAGTGTAACCTCAGATGTGTGTGAAGCTGTTGAAGATTGCCCTGTCGTGTGAGTGCAGGAAAGCTCGCTGGCGCAAGTCAAACGGCTGAATAAGCTGCGGCCCAAGCTTTCGAGAATATTCTGGCCTGAGGTTGGCACGAGTCGTCGGCCACTTCACACCATGTCACCCCATCTCGTGCTCACTTTCGATCTATCAAGTAATATGACAATCACCTGCATTCCAACAGTCGGGATCTCATCAACGCGGATTCACTCGGTCTTGTCTTTGACGCCCGAATCATGCCCCCTCCGAAATAGCTACAGTCTTCCCTTTCGGCGCAGCTGTTCAAACGCCAGCTTTGCCCGCATTAGTCGCAAGGCTGAGATCTCACCCCACCGCGCCATCAGCAGCAGCGCTTTTGGTGGTACGACACTGAATCGGTTGTCTGGACATGATATCCTGGATCCAGTGCTGGACGTTGCGTGGCTCTTTCTCATGCAAGTAGCCGTCTCCGAACCCGCCTGGCCGTGATTGCTGGGGGTCGACGAGACAACAGACAAAGGCTGCACTGTATCTGACCTGCGCCTCCACCATGCCTCTTTCGGGCGAGGCTGCTGAGGTTGCGGTACGGTTGCTCAGGTACATGAGGTGGCTCCTGCCGCAAGAAATAGGTGTTTGTCCGTCTCATTTCCTGCCATTCTCAGTGATCTGCCCAATCCGATCTAACGCTCCCATATAATCTCGAACGAGTCCGCCATGCTCGTCATCTCCTTCTTTGCACTCCTGAGCCTCGTGGCCACAGCCTCAGCCGACTTCTTCCTCTCCAACAGCTCCACCTGCACCGGCGCTTTCCCCTTCGACTCATGCAGACGCAGTATAACAGTACTCTCCGGCGTCAACAATGTCACGGACTACACCTGCCCCAAGCTAAAACACTCACTGGACCACGCATACGTCTGGAACGGCACTACAGGCATAAAGAACACAGCCGAGCTCTTCACCGCAAACCCCTGCAATGCCGGTGATCTGCATTTCTTTCTTGAAGGCGACGCATACATAGGCAAAGATAAAGACGGCAAGCAAATGGCAGACTGTGTGTCGAACACGACTCTATCACGGCATTGTCCCTCCATGCTGCTCATCGGCTCGTTCTTCTTCCAGACGTCCTTTAAGTGCACTAGCGACATCACTTGCACTTGAGAGAGTCAGGAAAGAGGTACAGGCCGCTTGGGTGCTCATACTACGTCCATCGTGCGAAGTCCTGACTGTAACGCCTGATCAAGCATTCCGTCGGCACAAGGAAAGATCAGTTATCAAAAAATATGTCCCCTCGAAGACCGCCAACCTTGGCACCTGCATCCCAAGCCGAGGCTTGACTGCGAAGCACTAGATCGCATCGAAAGGTGCAAGGAGATAGCTGGCCGGAAGTAATGAAGCATTGACAACGGAATGAAGGGGCAATGTGGCTGCCCATGCCACACAGTGATCGCCTTTGGTCCGGTGGTCAAGCGTTCATCGACCGTCTTAGCCGCGAATTCCTGACCAAGGGATTAGTACTCCCAGGTATTGTGCGTTGGACGACTCCCTCCAAGACTGCTTGGTACCGGCTTGAAAGTGGCGCTCGGGGTGTCAGGATTAGTACACGATAGCACATGTTATCAAGACCAAAATACGTAATGATTGAACAAATGAGCACATCGCGATCTTCCTGATGTACACCTATAGTCTCAGTCTGTCTCTCGCAGCGTACACACTCACGTCCTGCCAATGCAGCCTTGACCTGTCGTGGGTCTGATCATGGCTTGTTCACTGCTGCCTCTGCATTTCCACATCCAGTGCAGGCCACTCGATAGCTGTAGCAGTACCATTGCTATCGTACTCGAGCACCACTCGATCGAGCGACAGCCCACCCCTACGCAAGATATCGATCGTCTGCCAAGAAACACAAGTAGGCGTACCAGCATCCACAAACTCACTCATGTCTTGAATGACTGCTCGGAATGCCTGCCGCTTGACACCGTTGCTTTGCTCAACCAGATTCGTTGGATAAAGCCTGATATCAGCATTGCCTGCCTGGGCGCCAATAAGCGCGGCAATGGTGGCTAAGTAGTCCGTCCCATTGAGAGCAAGACTAGATACATGGAGACCATGTAGCTTAGTGTCCAGATCTAGGACCAGACTCGAGTTATCATTGCAATTGAGAGACCGATAAGTACCAGCCAGCGTCTCATTCGCAGTAGAATACGCCGACTTCTGTACAAGATTCAGCGCCACAATACACATATCAGCATACGCATTAAGATCGGGTGCCGCTTCTTCATCATGGTTGACAGCTAAGATGGCGAATCCAATGTCGTAGTCTGGGACGAGACCGAAGTATGAGCCATAGCTGCCCAAGCTACCGGACTTGGTGTAGATGTCCATGACTGAGTCGTTGCTGCCGTAGTGGTATATCTCCCATGGCCGGCCAACGGAGTTCTTGATGTTCGAGGTGGAAGTGTGTGGTTTCAGCCAGCGTCGTGTAGTTGCTGGGGAGATGAGGTGGGAGGTTAGCATTGCTCGACCGGCGGTGGATAGATCTTGGATTGTTGTTGTCAGGCCGAGTGCGGCTGGTTCGCCGACGTAGGATGTGTTGAGCAGGTCGTTGCCGTATAGCTGACTTGGACTACTCAGATTACCGTTTGTGGCAGATCCGGCAAGCAGCGAGGTATTTGTCATGTTCAGAGGTGAGAAAATGCTTCCTGACAAGATCTGTGCAAAAGCCTTCCCAGTCTCGCGCTCTAGGGCAGCGGCGAGGAGCTGGAACGCGGCGTCAGAGAAGATGGGTGTAGTCTCGGGAAGATATATCGGAGGGCTCATAGCCAAATCTTTCAGTAGATCCTGAGCCGAGCACTTCCGATTGATTGAACATGCCTCCGCTGTGAAAGAAGAGTTAGCACGTCAACAGCCCTGGTTGCAGCACGGATTCATCCTTACAGCTTCTAGCAACACCAGACATATGTCCAGCTAATGACGCAAGAGTCACATCCTCCCACCTCACTTGTGTAAGAGCATTACGAAAGTTCGAAAGTCCCTTGAGCTCTGGAAGGTGATATGTGATACTCCTGCCCAATACCTCGTCTCCTAGCTCGATCAGAAGAGCATAGACAGTAAACAGCTGCGTGAGCTCGCCGACGGCAAACTTGGAGTCCGCAGACAGCGCGTCTGTATTGTTCGCGGCCAATCCCGCCTCATGATGGTACTCGTAAAAGAAAGAAGGATCCGCCTCGCTTGCGACATAATTCGATCCAGCAAAGAGTGCTATGCTGAAGCTCGTCTTGTTGGGAGTAACAGGGCCAAAATCGCCTTTTTCAGCAGCCACGTATTGGTCTATAAAGGCAGAGAACTGCTTCGAGATCTTCTGGACAGCTGCTGTCTTTGGATCGATGAGAGGAGGTGGCACTGGAGGACCGAGAAGTGGGCAAGGTACATAAAGGTCCTTCTGAGCGCCTGCAAAGGTGAAAAAGAATTTGAGGATTGCTGTGAGGCATAGTAGTGCAGACATGATGATGATGGTGTGGTGCGCTGGTAGCATGATGGTGATGGGAGTGGAGGACCAGACGACGGGCTCTTATACTTGTCCATTGCCATTATATTGATGTTGATACGCCCTAAGGCCGCGCATACTGGTAAAGCCCGGTAGCAGGCGGATTGGCTCATACTGATCAAATGCTTCAGTTCCAGCTCAGCAGAAAGGGCGCGTGTGATGTGCTCGCACAACTGCTCGTACAAACTTTACATCCAAGCCGCCAAGACAGGGACAAGCTTTCCAGCGGCGCTGCCAAGTCATGTTACGGGTCGCTGTCCTATAAAATAATGATACTGCATGATGGCCGTGGAATTGAAAAGCCTTCTGCCGATTCGTAAGCAACGCATCAGTACGCAAGGCAAATCGTTCATGACTGGAGTTCGTCAGGTCCAGCTCATGACCTCCCGCAGTCGAATTTGGAGTAGCCGAGAGCTCAATACACGTAGATTGGGGCCATTTTAGATTGCTTGGGTCGACAAAGGCGTCGTTGTCAACCTGCGACCCCGAATGTCCTCCAATCAGGGTTAGAAGGGTCGCCCATCATGCCCGCCAGGCTCGATCGTCGACGCGAGCGATCTTTGCTAGCAGATCGAAGAGTTGCTGCGCGCTCTGTCCGAAGGTGGATCGCTAGTCTCAGCCAATCAACAACCCTACCGAGTGTGCGTTCGCCGCTATGCAGGCGCGCGCCCAGACTCCACGCTAATTGACGCCATCTCACGCAGGGTGGAGATCTGGTTTGGAGCTCCGAGAAGTGGGCAGTGAGATGCATAGACGAGAAAGAGACAGCTGAACATCATGTCCTAGTCGTGCTGAAGTACGATGAGGCAGTATGGCGACGCGAGTCTAGATTGGGAATCGCACATATATGTAACTTTACGTTCATTTGCCTGAGCTCAGACGCCGCGAATTTGTCTGCAGGACCAAACTTCAAGCTTCAATCAAAGCAGCGACTGGGGCGCGTCTCTCCACGCCGTGACTGCACCACCGTTGCCAACCTCACACCTCCTTGTGCTCTCATTCACGTACATATCTCACGACCCACGTTCCTTACGCACGCCTGTACAGCTGTGCTTTCTCAATGCTCTTTTGCTCCCACCATCATTGACTGGCACCCACGACGATCAACATTGCTCTTAATCACTCAGAGCTCGCTATTGTGAAGCAGCTTGGGTCTACGCAGGCTGCCAACAACGGCGTACCAGGTCGCAACTGCCGGCATGCTCGAGGGCCGGGCTCCAGAGGCGGTTGTCGACGATGTCGTCGCGGCGGCTCAAGATCCAAATAGCAATGTCGGATCTGCGCAGGTCAAAGATGCTGCCCTGACACAGGCGCAAGCTGGGGGTGCTGCCGCGTTCCAATTCGACCCGGATGCCAGTTCTGAGGAGAAGGCGGCACAACTCAAAGCAGTACGTGAACGAGCCACACTTTGAGCTATGGCAAGGCTGACCTGTGGCATAGAAAACTGAGCAATTTCGACCGCATCGCAAGCACCAGGTGGCTGCACTCGTGACTGACGAGGGCGGCGATGGTGTACCGGACTATGACCTGCCTCTTCCAAGCAAAGCAGGCGCGATCGCGGCAACTGCAGTCACTACCGACGCGAACGGGCACGTTGCTCCGGATGAGTTGGACAAGTACAGCAAGGTGGGCTGGGCGCCTCGTTTTGGCAACCCTGGAGACAAGGAAGAGGATGCGGGTACGATGCTCGATCACCAGACATTCTTGGAAGGGAAGCTGGACGACAAATTTTTCGGCGACTGGTATCACAACGCTGGTGTCATCATCTTCGCCTGCCTAGCATCATGGACAGTGGCTGTTCTAGGTGGCGGTCTCGGCTGGGTATTCATTGTAATGGCAATCTGCGGGACGTACTACCGAACTTCACTTCGACGCGTGAGGCGCAACTTCCGCGACGACATCACACGAGAGCTCGCGAAGACCAGGCTAGAGACAGACACCGAGTCACTGGAGTGGATCAACAGCTTCATGAACAAGTTCTGGCCGATCTATGCTCCTATCCTCTGTGAGACGATCGTGGCGTCCGTGGATCAGGTCTTGAGTACATCCACACCGGCCTTTCTGGATAGCATGCGCATGAGCTTTTTCACGCTTGGCACGAAACCTCCACGACTCGAGCATGTCAAGACGTATCCTAGGGAAGAAGACGACACGGTCATGATGGACTGGAAGTTCAGCTTCACGCCGAACGATATATCCGATCTGACGACAACCCAGGCCAAGAATAAAGTCAACCCAAAGGTCATCCTCGAAGTGAGGGTCGGCAAGGCCATGATCTCGAAAGGCCTCGATATTATCGTCGAAGACATGGCGTGTTCTGGCATCATGCGCGTGAAAATGAAGCTACAGCTGCCATTCCCACACATCGATCGTGTTGAGATCTGCTTCCTTGAGAGACCGACCTTTGACTACGTATGCAAGCCGCTTGGCGGTGAAACTCTCGGCTTCGACATCAACTTTGTACCTGGTCTGGAAGGTTTCATCCAGGAACAAATCCATGCCAACCTTGCGCCGATGATGTACGCGCCCAACGTGTTCCCGATGGAGATCGCGAAGATGTTGGCCGGCAATCCCGTTGACCAAGCTATCGGTGTCCTGCAAGTCACGTTCCACGGTGCCAAAGGCCTCAAGAATCCAGACAAATTCTCTGGTACACCTGACCCGTACGCCACACTCAGCGTCAACAACCGCGAGGTCCTCGGAAAAACGAAGAGAGTTGACCAGAACGCCAATCCGAGGTGGAACGAGACTGTCAACATCATCCTCACGAGCTTACGTGAACCACTCACGATTCACGTCTACGACTACAATGAGTTCCGCAAGGACAAGGAGCTCGGCGTGTGCAACTTTGATCTTGGCCAGCTTGAGAAGGAGACTGAGTTCGAGAACATGCAGCTCGATGTCATTGCATCTGGCAGAGCGCGCGGAGTAGTTGAGGCAGATCTTCGTTTCTTCCCAGTCCTGGAAGGCCACAAGATGGCTGACGGAACTATTGAGGCGCCCCCAGAAAGCACGACCGGCATCGTCAAGTTCACGGTCGAGCAAGCCAAGGAGCTGGATGGCAGCAAGTCGTTGGTCAACGCGCTCAGCCCATACGCCGTGCTTCTACTCAACGGCAAGGAGATCCAGATCTCGAAGAAGCTTAAGCGGACGAATAATCCTGTCTGGCCAGATGCGACGAAGGAGATGCTCATCACGGATAGAAAGAAGGCGAAACTCGGTCTTGTCATCAAGGACGATCGTGACCTTGCTGCCGACCCGGTCCTCGGTACGTACCAAATAAGATTGGACGACATGCTTGACTTGATGGGCAAAGGCCAGGAATGGTACAATTTAGCTGGTGCGAAGCAAGGTCGTGCTAAGATGACGCTGCAGTGGAAGCCTGTTGCGCTGAAAGGTGCCTCGGGTGGTAGTGGTGGATATGTCACGCCTATTGGCGTTATGCGCTTCCACTTCCAGTCTGGACGGGACCTCAAGAACCTGGATACGGTTGGCAAGTCGGATCCCTATGCGCGGGTCTTGCTTTCTGGCATTCAAAAGGGCCGGACTGTTACGTGGAAGAACAATCTCAATCCTGATTGGGATGAGGTCTGCTATGTTCCTATCCACTCCGAGCGGGAGAAGCTCACAGTCGAGGTCATGGATGAAGAGAATACGCAGAAGGATCGCACCATGGGACAAATGGAGATCGCGGCTTCTGAGTATGTCCAGCTGGGCGAGGATGGGCAGTATCTCATCCACGACACGAAGAACAAGGTCATCTCAGCGGCTGTCAGGATTGGCAACAACCCACCCAAGGGTACGATCAACTTTACTGTGTCTTTCTACCCGTGTATGAACGTGGTCGACCCAGAGGACGAAGATCGCGAAGCAGCTAAGGCAACACCCAGTCTAGACGGCACGCCAGTATCGCCCATCAACGGACAGGGATCTAGCGTCGTGTTGCCTTCCCCTACTGCGCCGAGCCACGCACGAAGCCACACTGCCACGACTATTGCTAGTGTTGCCACCGCGCATACGAGCAATAGCCAAGCTGAGATGTGGAAGGCGCTTGAGGCTGGTGAGAAGGAGCAGACTGAGGCGGACGATGTCAAGACTGCGGCTGTGCCCAAGGTTCGCATTGGAGCAGACGATTTGTCGAAATATGGTACGTGCATTGCATTGATGACATTACTGCCGATCGGCTAACATGATCACAGAATCCGGTCTCTTGGTTTTCAGGATCATCGACGGCCGAATGGCTCATCCTGGCACTTTCCTCGAGGTCCTAATTGATGATAATCTCTTTCCTGCTTACACTAGTGCTAAAGCCAAAGGTCAACATCACAACTTCAACGAGACTGGCGACGTCATGGTCCGCGAGCTCGATCTATCCCGCATCACGCTCCGACTCGTGTCTGAGGTCAATCGCAAAGGCGAGAGCAAAGATGAAGGCATCAAAGCCAAGATCGCCGGCCCCACCATGGACACCCTCAGGCGCTCCTTGTATACACCTACACAGATCCCTCTCAAGGACTCAGGTGGCCGCGAGAGCAAGATCACGGTCTCCATGCGCTTCTTGCCCGTCCACATGCAACTTGACCCGAGCGAAAGCTTCAACAATGCCGGCTCACTCCGTGTGGAAGTCCTCGATGCCGCGGATCTGCCCTCCGCCGACCGCAACGGCAAGTCCGATCCTTTCTGTAAATTCAACCTTAATGGCGAGGAAGTTTACAAGACGAAAGTGCAGAAGAAAACTTTGCATCCAGCTTGGAACGAATTCTTTGAGACTTCTGTGCGGAGCAGGACGGCTGCCAAGTTCATCGTGAATGTTCTAGATTGGGACCTTGCGGACAAACCGGACTTCCTGGGTAAGTCGGCTATCGACCTCACGGGTCTAGAGCCCTTTCAGCCGCAGGAGGTTGTGTTGCCGTTGGAGGGCAAGAGTGGGAGCTTGCGACTTAGGATGTTGTTCAAGCCTGACTACGTTCTTCGATCGCGACAGGGGTCTTCGACTTTCTCAGGGACGTTCGCGGCGCCTGGTAAAGTTATTGGAGCGCCTGTTAAGGGTGTCGGGAAAGGTGCGGTCATGGTCGGTGGTGGTGTCGCGAAGGGTGCGAGTTTTCTGGGTAGAGGGTTCAAGAGGAGGACTGTTAGTGGGATGGCTGAGCAAGAGGCACAGGCTGGGGACGAAATCAATGGTGGAGATATGGACACGAGGGGTACTGCCAGTCTGGATGCTTCACCTGCTGGCGGAGCAACGAATGGACATGCTACACAGCCTTCGCTCGACGGGTTTGCGGGTGAGAAGATGCTGCCGAGCACGCCAGTCCATCAGCGTCAGGCGAGCTTCGGACGTCAGTCACAATTGCCTCCTTCGTCAGCGGAGATGGGCATGGCGAATATCACTGTCGTCAGCGCATCAGGATTTGAAGGCGAGCCGAAACTTGAGGTTCACGTTCTGCAGGATGGCCACAAAGGCGTGAAAGACGTCATGAAGACTGATCACCTCAAGGCCAAGGCGGGCGCTGTGCAATACAGTAATGAAAGCAAGAGGGTGCAATGCGCAGCCGACAGCCAGTTCAAAGTCCAAGTCAAGGACCATAAGACTTTCGGCTCGGATCTTTTGGGCGAAGCGGCCTTCTTCGTCAACGACCAGTCGCATGGCGGGGCGCAGGAAATCAAGGTTGGCACGGGTGTGGTAGTCTTGCAGACTTCCTTCCAGGCTGCGGACGCCGCCAGCATGTTACGCCCGGACACAGCAGGCGGCGCCAACGACTCGCCTTCAAGCAGTAAGAAAGGTGGGCTCAACAGGTTCATGACGAGAAGGGAACGCAGCGTCACGCCTTCTGCTCCTGCTCCTTAGGATGCTCAGGATGCTGAAGAAGAGCGTGGACGCTCGAGGGTGCCGAGACGTAGAGTCTCATTGTCAGATCTGGGACATTTGTCGAAAGAGAGTCTGACGAAAGTGCCTATCAAGACCGCGAAGGGACCGGTGAAGGTGTATATGCAGACGAAGGAAGCATTTAGGTCTTTGGTGGCAAGTCTGAGACGAGAGCCCTCTGTGACGCCTACTGCAAGCTTAATGGAAGAGGATGAGGAGGGAGGAGGAGCTGATGCAGTGACTTTGACTACAGTCTCACCCTCACCTAGTCCGCAAATTGAGCGCGTGAGGCCACTTATGACGGTCAGGAAACTGGGGAGGAAGTTGTCGTTGAGATCTCGTGCGCGTTGAAGCGTATTTCTGGCGCGGATCGTGTTTATATCGTGATACCAAAACTTGCGTTTCTTTACTTTAGCATGTATCTATTTCCTGTCTAATAGATGGCGATTTATCGTCTCACGTCGAAGTGATCATAGAAGTCATCTTTGCAATTAGGGCAGCTTGTCATGATCAATTGTGTCTATCCTATGTCTATCATAACAATCATCATATGCACGGAAGTATGAAAGCCATCTATTTTGCAACCCAGAGAAGCGACAAGGTCACCGGCTCGTTAGCAAGAGCGAGCACAGGCTGCTGAATCTGTCCACTAGGTGTGGCGGTAGCACCGAAGACCGAAGAGCCGTTATATGTCAACAACCTGCCAGCACTACCGAACAACGTTCCAGCAGCGTTGCCAGCGGCGCAGCTGAAAGTGCTGCTGGCGTCAACAGCGCAAGGACCTTTGCTCGACTTGAGGCTGAACAGGGTGGCGTCTGCTGCCGAGGCGGCGGGAGTGTAGGTGGCGGGTGTGCCGGCGGTGTTGTACCAAAGCCCGCCCGAGATCATGAAGCCCTGGCAGTTGCCTGCGGAGGGCTGGACGTAGAGGTAGCCTGGGCTGGTGAAGGGTGCGGCGGTGGAAGTGCTGGTTGGGCAGCTGCCCGCTGGTGCTGCTGTGCCCGTGGAACCGCCAGTGTTGGTAGCGGTTGGGTTCACAGTAGTAGAAGTAGATCTGGAGATGTGAGTCAATACATGCATGTAGAAGAGGGTGGCAGAACGAACTTACGCAGGAACGTAGCCCTTGGGGTAGTAGTAGAGACCAGTAGCCGGGCATCCTTGCGCGCCGACAAGATCAGTAGGCTGGATAGTACCAGTCTGGATCGAGCCCTGAACATAGTAGTAGTACCACAGCTCATCGATCTGGCCCTTATTGCAGCCAACATAGACCTGAGCGCCGTGCTTTGCGGACACAGCGTCCACAATCTGCTGGAGAGTGTAAGTGGCAGTCGTGCTTGGGACGATGCCAGCAGCGGCCAACCAATCGTAGCTCGGAAGGGTCTTGAAAGTATCGACGGTTTTTTGGAAGAAGTCGGGCACTTCTTGGCCTGTTGCGTAGTTGGGATAGCACTCGGTGTCGAAAGTGGACATGCACGTGCCGTGCTTGCCAAACTCATGCTCCCAGAAGCTCTCAGCGCTACCGGAGTTCGAGGTCCAGTACTGGTTCATGTAGTTGAGGAGATCAGTCTTGCCGAAAGATTGCAAGATCTGAGTGATGTTGGTGTACTCGCGGGCCGGGTCACAGAACTGCTGATACGTTCCATCACAGTTGTCTGGCCAGAGTCCATGGACAGTCCATGAGTCATTTGGGCCAGTGGCTGGGTTGGTATCCCAGAACTGGGTCTGCAGGATCAGACCACCAGGAGACTCGAAGCAGCAGGTGTTGTCGATGGCCGTGGTGTTGTGGCAGGACAGTGGTAGGCCAGCAGGGCAGTTGAAGGCATCGTATTGAGATGAGGTGGGAGCAGCAGAGGTGGAAGTCGAGGTGGATGACGTGCTAGTGGCCAAAGTGCTAGAAGTTGAAGATGTCATTGGGACAGCAATGACAGTAGTTGACGTGGAAGTCGATGTGGAAGATGAGCTCGTGGTCGAAGAGGAGCTGCTTGGGCTGGAAGACGACGAGCTGGAAGAGCTGGAAGAGGACACGGACTTGGAAGTCGTAAGCGTGACCGAAGTAGAAGTCGGTGTTGGGACGACGACAGTCGAGCTGGTAGTCGGAGGCACAGTCAGGGTGGTGCTGTCGGGAAGGACGACGCTGGTGGAGGTGCCAACAGAGATGGTCGTGGTGGCTGTAATGCTACCTGGCTTGCTGCTTGTAGTGACGCCCTTGGTCGAGGTCGTAACACCAGACGTCTTGGTGACGGTGCTTTTGGTAGGGCATAGCTTGGTCAAAGGATTGTTGATGTTAAAGGTCAAAAGGATACCACCAATGATGCAGGTGATCTCCTTTACAATGGGACCAGCAGCAGGGGCGGGCGCCATTTTGATTGTTCTGAGAGAAGTGAATTGAAGACTGGATGGCTTGGGAAGTCTGCTCTGCAAGAGAAAATGCAGAAGCATATATATAGACTCTTCGCCAGGCCAAGTATGAAAGATCCTTGGCTATCAGGCACGTGGGCTCTGAACGAGGTCAACTTTTGCTTTATCGCTGGGCCAGACAATTGGTTTCTGGAAGGAAGCTAAGGACATCTTTGGCAGTGAGACCGTGGACTAGTTGAAGGCGAACCTGCCAAGATATGCATACTGGAGCCGCTAGGAGCAAGGTTGTGCTGATCTCCGCAGATTCGACATGAGGTCGAGATCCAATGGGGGCGCTCTATAGGCCTGTGGGCTGTCCCGGATTGTTCGGGAGTATCATATCGCAATTTATGCTCGTATGATGATGGCCTTCGTGTTCAACCTTATGTTTGGCGAACAAATCTCATTGACAGTCCCAGCTGAGTGGCCACTACTCCACGGCAGACGCTGCAAATCTGGACGGCATCGTGGAGTACATCTTGTAGTGCCTGCAGTAGCGCAGCAGATAATCAACGCTTCGCCCGAGGTGGTGTTCTCTGTGATCTGCGGCCATGCATATCAAGGAAGAAGTGCTTGGCGGCATGCTGAGATGGTTGGTTGATAAGAGATTGCAAGCTTCTCGAAGACGCCGCTGAAATAGCAATGGCGGCGGCAGCGGACTTCGGCGATCCGGCACGATGCCGCCAAGCATAAATCAGCCTGCGAGTGAACGACGAAGAGGCAACCAAGGCTTTGGTCTCAACACCGATTTCGGCAGACAACCTACGTCGGCACAGAAGAGCGGACACGGCTACGAGACTGTGCTGAGACTGTTGCGAGGATTGTGACGATGGCTGATTGATAGCTATAGCTTCAAGGCCACGACAATGTACGACCATACGCACACAGTATTCGATCACCATGTACCGCGAAGTGCAGATATACTGGTTGTCTACACTGGCCATTGGCAAGCCCTTCCTCGGAGATCTCCACAGCATTACTCTCGGCCACGCGTACCACCACCACGTAAAGCAGCTAAAAGCTCGCCCAGTGTACAGGTCCATTGCCAAGTAGCATGTTCCCTTTGCCTCCAGATCTAGCTTCCGCTCTTGGAACCGCTAGCTCTTGTGCGGTCTGCAGATGTCTGAAAAGACCACATCCTCATATTGGCGAGTCAGTAGTCAAACTCAACGAGGACCCCGGCCCGTTACGCTCTATCATAGCACCAAGGTGATGCAGATGAACACGTGGATTATGGAGTCGGTAGCTGGACCACATGCGGAGGCCGGATGTTTCTTTATCGAATCACTCGGAGGCATGGCTTTTGCTAATTGCCCTAATGGGCAAGTGCCCAAGCCCATGGCTGTGCCCGAAGAAAGACTACGACACCCAAGACTCAGGCCCACGCAGTCAAGTCGAGAAGTCGCATGTCCCTTTTGCGCTGGCCTGGCAAGCTGTATTGTGTACGCGACCCGAGAATGGCAGGCTCAAACCTGAGGCTGAGAGAAGACTGACGTGCAACAGTACTTCACTTGTGCTGCAGCTGCACGTTGCACTGGCGTAATATCAATGGTTGAGTGAGCGAATCGAGAATTTGGTATCGCAACGTACATGTGCTATCAGCCTCTTCTGCTATTGCCGCGCATCGTTGCATGGCAAGCACGCTTAGATACATGTATGAAGTAGCTGACCTTCGTAGTGTACTGTTCATGCTGGAGCAAGCTATGGCAAAGCACTTCACGCTTAACAGGGACGATTACCTTCCTCTTCGGGTCTCAGCACCACTGCTCTACCACCACGGATGCAATCTATCACCCCACTGCGGTCCATCAAAGAAGCCCGGCGGCTCCCAATCCCGATCCTGCTCCCTCCTCATGATAAAATCATTGTCCACGATCTCCCCAGGATACATCCTCGGCCCCCCAGGCTGCCCCCAACCTCGATGCTCATCCCTCCCCACATACCCAATAGCTCCCCAAGGCATCGAATCATTATAACCCGTGAAATGACCAGTATAATCCCTCTGCTGGGCGAAATCTAGACTCGGACCACCGCGGATCGCTCCCATACTGGACGCGGGATTGGGGCGGAACCAGGGATCTGCAAAGCCCTGGTCCAGAAGGGAGGGTCGTTGGTTGAAGTTGCCGTCGTAGGCCCCCTGGAGACCGCCGTAGTCAGAGCCTTGGTGCATTCCTAACCATTCTCGGGCGGGAGGCGGTGGCATACCGTCGAAGGGATCGTTATCGGATGGTTGGAGTTGGTCGAAGAAGTTGTTACTCAACGGAGGCTCATCTCCTCTGGACTCTGAGTAAAGTGTCATGCTGCGCGGTGTGAGGGCTTGGGGGCCGAACATGTTTTGGCCGCCAAGCATATCGTCTTCTTCTTCGTCGATGAAGCCGTCGTCGTACATCGGCATGCCGTAGCCCGAGCCGCCGTAGCCACCGCCACCGAATCCACCACCATAGCCTGTCATGATGAGGACGGAGTTGAGGATGTGCTTGATAGGTGAAGGAGAAGGTGGATCAAACCTGGACAGTTGAAGTATGTGTGGTTTGATCACAGTCGGAGAAGATCTGCTTATGTTGATACTGAGCAGGACAAGCATTATACCTGCGCCCAAGATATACCTTTCGATGCAGGATGAACATGTTGACTAGATTGCGGTTCCGGGAGGTACTACGCGGTGACCGACCCTATCTGGTCGGAGGGCGCAAGTGAACAGTATCGATACCACGCATCACACGATTGTGCGAGAATGCGTTCCAGCTCGCATGGATCAGGATCAATACTAGTCTAGGCATAGTGACCAAGTCCACTTTGACACACTTTGACAGAACAAGCGAGGATGCGGTGGACAGTCCTAGCGGATAGGTCAAGTAATGTCGTAGACGTCGCCTCCTCAGCGTCGTCGAGTACCCTGACTATTCACTTTGGTTCGACTACAGCAAGATGTTAAAGCCCTTTAGGAAGCTAAGAAGACTAGTACCTCCAAGCATTCGCACCCCCAAAATGCAACCGATCCCCATCCCCATAATCCCACTCATCAAAGTCTGGAGGATCCCATTCCGCATCAGCCTCCCGGTTACGGATGAAGTCGTCGTCGACTAATTCACCCGGATACCTAGGAGCGAAGCCAACACGTCAGCAAGTAACGACCACGCTCACAATAGAAGATTGCCAAAAAAGGACAAAGTACTCACATCCTCGGCCCCTGATGTCCCCACCCCCTCGGCTCATATCGTCCCACATACCCCACCGCACCAGTCGGCATACTATCATTCCACCCCGACCAACCCCTCTCCACCTCCTCGACCCTCTGCGGGAAATCCAACCCCCCACCATGTCGCAACCCAGGCATCTCCTCCCGCGCCGTGGGCCTCATACCCCCCGGCAACCCCTCCATCAACAAGGACCCTCGCTCCCGGAAATCATCATCGTAGGAGCCGTGTAGACCACCTCCGTAATTGAAACGGTCCGGGTACTGGCCGAAAAACTCATCGTAGTCTATTTGGCGGTCTTGGAGTTCGATGCCGCGTTCTGCAGCGAGGGAGGAGAGTAGGCCGTCGTTGAGCAGGGTATCGTGCCAGTAGTCGTTCATACCGGGATCGTAGTCGGAGTCGGACATGTACCAGGAGCGTCTGCCGGGCGGGGTGAGGGAGCGAGCCATTTCGGCGTCGAAGGTTCCCGGGCGGGGGGGAGCGCCCATCAGGGAGCTGGCGTCGCCGGTGAAGGCTTCGCCGTAGACCCAGTCGTTGTAGCCGTCGTCGTAGTAGGGGCGGTCAAAGTGGGACATTATTTGGGGTTGTTAACTAGGATCTGGGCTCGAGATTGATTGGGAGGTGATGAAAGTGTGTGAGGCAAGGAGATGCAGAGGGTGAGTATGTAGAAAGTAGAGTAGGAAGTGTAGCAAGAACCTATGCTGTTGAACTGCTGAGCCTTTGTACTGTACTCTTTGCTGTTATTTGATTCACTGTAAGACGTTTATGGTGGCGACATGATGTGGGAGTGACTGTGTATAGAAGATAAGACATGGCGCCTTGGACCGCAAGTACCATGTTCACTACACTCGAGGTGGCAAGCAGTGGGCTCGCGGTGGTTGAGGTACACTAGTCATCTGGTCAGCAGCAGGGCTCACGGGGAGTAATGAGCAGTCTATTGGAATGCGATTTTCTTTCGAGACAGCAGTGTTGTCTTCGAACTACGGCAGATTAGAAGTGCAGGAAGCCAGAACACTCGTGGTTTGTTTGACATCGAATTCGACATCTTTGAAAGGTGCCAACTTTGCAATGAAGGCACGGCTTTGCGCCTGCGACGTTGGATATCGGGGCTAGCTACCATCCGAAAACGCCTTGCCTAGTCCGAATGTATGCATGAAAGTCGTCGTGTCAGTGCCACCGCTCTCTTACATCACCACACCCGAGTTGGATGCAATACGCTATAACACACAAAATCATTAGCTTTCGTTCACACAACCCACCAAACCACCCACCAAACCCCCCATCGATATATTGGGGAAGGAGAAGAACAACTCACCGGCCACAGCTCCGCCGCCTCCTTGCCCACGGGCCCGGTAATAGCACTCCCCTTCATCTCCCCCTTGGGATTCACAATCACGCCCGCATTATCCTCGAAATACAAGAACACGCCATCCGCCCGCCTCCACGGCTTGCTCTGGCGCACGATGACGGCCGGCATGACTTTCTTCCTCAGCTCGGGCTTGCCCTTCTTCACGGTCGCCATGACCATGTCGCCCACGCCGCCGGCGGGCAAGCGGTTGAGGCGCGCACCGATGCCTTTGACGGAGATGATGTAGAGGTTGCGGGCGCCGGTGTTGTCTGCGCAGTTCATTACTGCGCCGCTGTTGGGAAGGAATATGTATTAGCTCTGTGTACTTTGCTTTCCGGCCGTCTTCGCATGATTTGTGTCTCCTGCCCCTCTTTCTCCTCTTCCTCGTCTTCCTTTATGCTATGTTTGGGTGGCAATACGTACACAGGCAAACCCAGCGTCATCTTCAGCTTGTTACCAGAGGTAGAACCACGTCTGTCAAATCATACCATTAGTCAACCCATCCCCTCACACCTCCACCATCGAGGATATCCATACCCTGTAGGCATCGTGAAGTATCGTTTGCGAGAGTCGTGTGTGGTAGATCGTGTGGCTTCGTCGCCGGTGCTGCTGGACTTCTTCGCTGCTACTGTTGGCTTTGAAGTTCGAAGTCGGCAATTTTGCGGGTGGGTGGAGCAGTAGGAAAATCTTGGCGCGCCCACGGGAGCCGAAGTCTAGCCTCGGGTGCGGCCGAACCAGTCATACGCTCGATCAGCTTCCACCTGCTTGTCAAACCAACATGTACTAGATATGTCAAGATAGCTACATTTGGACGTTTCCAAAGGTTGATCTACCAGATTTAATATGGCTCCGTGTGAGCAGAGACTCCTCGATCCTGTGAAACGGCCGTACATCGCTTGAGCCTGGCGAGATACCTGATCCTTCAAATCTACTCATCGTCAAACTCGCTAAAAAGAAGTCACGCTCCAATCTATCATAACAGCTACTTTTACCAGCCCTTGTTTGAACATCCCTGCAGCATCCAGCCTAAGCAACATCACAACCAGCAGCATCTCATCCCAGCGCCCATCTCAACCCAACAAATCATCCATCGCACTCCCATTCCCACGCTTCACTCCACCACCACCACCATTACTCGCAGACCCACCCGCCATCCCAGCAGCCGGAGCATCACTCCCATACAACCCCGCCCGACTCTTCTCCTTGGCCATATCCGCAATCGTCAACCCCTTCAGCCCACTCCCCACCCCAGCGCCACTCTTCTTCATAGAACCACCCAGCAACGAAGCGAAAGCGTCACCACCTGCTCCTGCTGGCTTCTTCGCTGCTGCGTTGCCGCCGATGGGAGATGTGATACCCGATCCCATCCTCCCACCACCACCGCCAGCCTGTTGTGTCTGCGCTTGTTGTCCGCCTGGTTGCTGCACTTGCACAGAAGTATAATAATTCGGTCCCGTGGGTTGATATCCCGAGGGTTTCACTCCCTGCCCTTGTCCTTGCATAGGCGGAGGCGAGAAGGCGGAATAATTCGCTGCGGGGGTACCTGTACTACTTGCAGGTGGACTCGTGGTAGCGAACAGATTACCGAAATCCGCTTTTTGCGTTCCTGGTTGGGGTGAGGGCTGGGCGAAGTGGGTAGTTGGGTTCGAGGTAGTGGCTGAGAGGGTGGGTATGGAGCTGTAGTTTGGTTTTGGGATGGCCGGTGCTGGTGCTGGTGCTGTGGTTGTTGTGGCTGGCGTGGCTGATTGGAAGTCGTCAAATTCGTCGTCGTCTACTGGTACTGGGGCCGATGTTGTGGAAGGAGGCGCGAGTACAGATGAAGCCGCTGCACCATTGGATGACACAGCAGGTTCATCCCCAAAATCGAACAAATCCACTTCCGGCTCCTTTGGCTTTGGTAGCTCTTTCTTCGGCGTGCGTCGTGTAGTTGCGCCTTCCGCTTTCCGTCTACTCGGCGGCGCGCGCGCACCTCCATCGTCAAATTCATCATACTCCTCGAACTTTTCCGCCCCACCAGTCCGTCCCGCTTCATCATAATCCTCATGACTCTCACCGCCAAACCCACCTCCATCACCGTACACCCCCCTTGACGAACCACCGTAATCCCCAGCGTATCCACCGCCGCTCTCACTTCCAAACCCACCATACCTTCCAGCACTCGAAGAACTCGCGCCGCCGCCGAGTCCCGCCCCGCCTTCATGACCAGAGTATTTGTTCCTCGTCCCTCTCGCCTTCTTCCTCTCCGACCGTATCTTATCCACATCGCTCAAGAGATCCGTAAGCTCTTTACTTCGATTCCGGACATTGATCCCCTGATCTTTACCATTCTGATCGATAAAGTGGAATTGTCTCAGCATCTTCAGCAGACTGAGATGTGATCGTGCATCATCGATCACCCTTTCCGACCCATTTTTGACGAGGAATTCCATGAGCTGGAGCGATTTGTAAATCTGGCGCCATTCTTCGGCGGACTTTTCGGTGAAGCGTTTGTAGATCATAGGCATGACTTCGTTGAGTTGTTGGCTGTGAGATGGGTGTGTTAGCGTGCGCGTCTGGCTTGAGGGGTGCTGAACTTGGCATACTAGTTGAAGGTGGCATTCGCAATCTCTTGCATGAGAGTGGTTGATGCTCCCCACGGTTCGTTGTTTGTTGCCTCTCGTACTTTCGATTCCTGTAGATCAACAATTCAGTTGGAGGTAGGTGGGTTGGATAGCATCTGAATGTGTTGTACCATTTCTGTGTAGTTCATGACGGCTACCTCAGGTTAGCGTTGATCATCGTAGTCTCGGTATTGCTCGACATACCATTCTGTACTTTGCGCACCCCAGCCTTGATATCGTACACTGCTTCCATCAATAAATGTTCACATGTTGGCTGCGACAGCATGGCTTACGGCTGAGGTTTTGCATCTGGTTTTGGATATCGGCCCATGAATTCCACGCCATCTTTGCGGTATGGTCGGGTCGATGGAGGAGGCAGGAGGAGAATGGTGTCGAGAATGTTATATGGGAACGAGGATGGTTGTTGTCCTCAAGCTGTCCACTACACTTCTTTGATGCGAGACCCTGAAGTGCTGCCGTTGCTGCTGCTGCTCAATGCACGGGATCAGCCGGACATGAGCCGAGACGATTTTGAGATGAGATGAAGAAGACCATAGATCCATCATCTTGTCAGTTTCCATCCATTTCATCGATTGTACCACTATACTGTGCTAGCATCTGACGAACGGCCAAGATAATACTGCTTCCTGTATCTTATAGGTATGGCAACAGTCCTCGCATATGGCGACAATGATGACAGCTCCTGACTGACAACAGCATCCTACAGCTTCTGTACTATTGACGATCAGATATTTGTAAGTCTATCTATCCCACAGTACAGAAGTACATCCTCTCTGCATACACACTGCTTCTCCCACGACTCAAGAGCCAATGCAATGCTCAACCACGAACATGAGCTCTCAAGCTCCTCGCCCCTTCACGTATCGGCAATAACTCGGGCTTGAGCCACAAGCAAGGGGAAACTTAGGTGCGTCATGCTAACAACTCAGCAGGAGCGCAGCAGGAGCGAACCCCACCAAAGGAAAGCCGTCACCCCGCCGTACCTCTCGAAGAAAATCAAAAGCTGTCCCGGACTTGCCCCTCACTTGTGCACCATGTTCTCAACATCTTCTGCCACCAACACCACCAAACAACTCTTGCGATCTTCCCTTCGGACTTCTCAACTTCTTCATCAACGCCAGCCAACTTTCCAACGCTCCTTCCACGCTTCCACCGCCAACATGGTCAAGAAGGTGTATTTCGATGTTACCTGGACTGGGCCGGAGGTCACGGTGGATAGCAATGGCAAGCCGACTAACACGGACAAGAGCAGTGCTTGTGAGTCTCACTCATCAATCACTGAATCTAATCAATGCATCTGCTAATAGGTTTGTCTACAGCCCGCTCTGGCCGTATCAACTTCGAGCTCTTCGACGATGTCGTCCCCAAGACCGCCGAGAACTTCCGCCAGCTCTGCACGGGCGAGCCCGGCTTCGGCTACAAGGGCAGCAAGTTCCACCGTGTGATCCCAGAGTTCATGCTCCAGGGTGGTGATTTCACTCGTGGTAACGTATGTCCATCCTCCCACACAACCACACCAATCTCAAATCAACCAGTCTCTAACAATTATTCTTGATTTACAGGGCACGGGCGGCAAATCCATCTACGGCGAAAAGTTCGCCGACGAGAACTTCAAGCTCACCCACGACAAGCCTTTCCTCCTCTCCATGGCCAACGCCGGCCCCAACACCAACGGCTCCCAGTTCTTCATCACCACCGTTGTCACCTCCTGGCTCGATGGCCGCCACGTCGTCTTCGGCCGTGTGCCAGCCGGCGACACCAAGTCCATGGGTGTGGTCAAGAGCATTGAGGCATGCGGTAGCAGCAGTGGTGGCATCAAGGGGAACACCCCTCCTGCTATTACTGGTAGTGGTGAGGCTTAGACGGTCGGTTCTTTGATCTGTGGGAGGGCTGTCTGGGTTTGATGAGGAGGAGGAGGGGTGTGATACGAGTAGGAGCGTGATGCATGGCTGGTATGGGAGTGGTATGGTCACCCTGTCGCTGCCCATGCTGGTTGGAAAATTAGGTTGCATGTAGCACGAGGAAAGCAGTTCGACAGCATCGCCCTCATAATCGACAGATGCTTGTATTCCTGCTCCCGCATATCATCATCTTCCCACGCCCCAGTCCTTTGTAGACCTCACGAAACAGATATCGACCCCTGTCTTAGTCCTGCGCGTACAAAGCAATACTCGGATCTCACAAACCCCCACACCTCACACAAACTCCGAGTAAACGCCTTTGCTGACAGGGCATGATTTTACCCCACCTTCACCCTCCCACCTCGTCTCGGGTAAAAAGCGAGGACCCTGAGAGTTTGACTTCTCGGGCGCGTAAATTAGGGTCCAACTCTAAGCCGTTTCTGTTTATCTCAGCTCTTGATTAAGCATATAGTCAGCTGAAACTGAGGGCCGCGGTTCCTTCGCTGGAGATAGGCTCGTAAGGTACAGTACTTTTCGTGTTCTTGGTGTGGGAAGACGCTATTGTTGTGGGCTTGATGTGAAAGGTGTTGCTTGTTTGTTGCGAGGATACGAGTGCTGCTCTGTCGTGTTCTGTGATGTGGTAGGAAGAGGTAGCAAGGGTGTTTGTGTCTGTGTCTGTGTCTGTGTCTGTGTCTGTGTCTGTGTCTGTGTCTGTCCATTTTGGTGCGTTTCGGCCCTTAGCTTGTGCTCTACTGTTGCTCTTGCTCTTGCTGTGCTGGGACTTGAACTTGGACTTGGGGGCACGTGAGAGACTGGTGTGGCCCGATTTGCTTGCTGCTTTCGAGCATCGTTCTGGGCTGAGCTGCGGTGAATGGACGCTGGTTCGTTCTAGAGAAAGAGGAAGGGAACTGCTGGGTAGTGAAAGCTGCTTATGTGCATTACATCCTGGGAGATCTGGAATCTCGACCGTGGATCTCGACAGACAGCGGACTCGAGATACTTCCGTCGGGCAGGCGGCAGATAGAATAGCACCATGGCAGACGACGAGGGATCTGGACTCCGCTCGAGAGGCAAGTCCTTTCTCAGCAAGAGCAAATGGGGCAAAGTGTTCAAGGAGAATGACTCTCCACCTGTGCCTTCTACTGCGAGCGAGGATTTTGGGCAGCAGCAGACGCAGGCGAAGCATACGAATTCCTTCAAGCTGAACGAGGATGTGGTGGATTTCTTGAAGCCGTCGACGGAGAAGAGTAAGCCGAAGCTGGATATTGCTATTGCGCAGAGGTGGCCTGAGGCACATGAGGTGAGGGGTGCGAGGGAGAGGGAGGGCGCTCCGTTGGCGGCGGGTCACGGTCAGCAGCAGCAGCAGGTGCAGGGGAAGGAGGGTGCTGTGCCGCAGTGGACGGGGTATAGGAGGAGGAGGAGAAGGGAGGGGCTGACGGTGGGGTTTGTGAAGACGACGCCGGATGTCATTGGCGAGGGTGGGGATGAGGCACCTGATCCTCCGGCTGAGATCTCTAGGCGGAAAGCTATGGTTAGTCGTTCTGCTTCCGCCTATCGACCTAATACCCTCGACAACGGGACCTCGTGGCCGGGTGCTGTACCGCTTCCGAGGCCGGGTTCTGGACAAGTTGGATCTGAACCCAGACCTGGACCTGGACTTGTCAGAGCGCCGCAAGAGGATTTCACGGCTCCGCCACTCAGGAGAGCGGATACTTCGCATAATGAGTTCTCCCCGCCTGTGCAAAGGAAATTCGCTTCGCCGCCTATTGAGGCTATCGCTCATCGACCGAGTCTCGGGAGGACGCCTACGGGTTTCAGCGATGATATGAGGCAACAGCAGCAACGACCTGTCAACGAAGCGGACTACGAAAGTGACGAGGAGATTGCAGCGAGTACTGAGTCCGGACCTCCAAGACTAGATACGCAAGCTCCCATGATAGGCACGAACTTCCACTTCGACTCGCCTCAACCCATGACAGCCAGTACCGTCAACTCCAGCTCCAGCAAAGCCTCTGCAGCACCTCGCGACCCATCATCCCCTCTCGTTGTACGGAGACGGGATAGGGACATGCAGGCTTATGAGGGTATGGCCCTACGTCGAGCTAGTACTCTTTTCATGCAGGATGAAGGCCAGGAGCAGCGCCAGCCGGATTCAGCTACGGGATTGAGGCCTTCGGAGCAGTTCTACAATACTTTGTCTAATCTCTCGGTTTCGAGGATTGTGTCTGAGGAGGAGCGTGGGGTGGCTGGGGATGATTTGTCCCCCGAGGGGACGGGGCCGTCGCCGTTTGAGGATCCGAGGTATATGAAACGGCGGTCTGGGGACACGAATTTACAAGGCACGGGTCAGTCTACCCAGCCGCCGGTTCAAACAATACCTCAGCAAGTCCCGATTCGACAGCACCCTGGTCCCGGCCAGAGGAGCCATGACATGGGCCCGCCTAGCTACATGCGCGCAGGTCAACAAGGTGCATCACAATCTTACGACGAGCCTCGCCAACAACCCTCCCAGGATATGCAACCCAGTTACATGCGTGCTGGCCAGCGCCCAGGAGCACAATCGTATGACGAGACGCACCGAAGGCCGTCAGAAGATACGAGACCAAGCTATATGCGAGCCGCACAACCACCGAATGGGTCTGCACAGCCTGGCCGGCCGCCTCCTGCGCCTGCTCAGACCATGCAAGTACCGTCTGATGACAGCGCAAGCAGATCACGCTCGCCCATGCGGAATCGAATCTTTGACTCTCAAACCTCGCCTGAGAAGCAGAAGCCGCGCCCCTTCTACAACCAGAGCAGTAATTCGAGCGGTAGCATAAACCGCTTTCCTGCATCTTCCGGCATGGGCGCATCCAGTCACAGCCGAACGAGCTCGCGAGAAGAAACTTCGCCACAGATACGGGAGCCGAACAGATCGCAGACATCACCTGAGCAGCGCTTCGGGCCTCCACGGCAGAGTCCACAGTCGCCTAGTCCGCGCTCGTCTATGCTCGGACCTGGGAACGCTGCAAGAGGTGCCACATCGCCGTATGCTCGTGGTCCAAGTCCGGCAGGTTACTTTGCCGGGTCTCAAAATCCGGCGATGCAAGGCTCGAGACCGCCTGCTGCGACTCTACGGTCAGATGATGCCGTGCGACCGGGCTCTGCAGCCTCTTCGCGATCATTCCAGCGACCGATACCTTCGCCCCAGCCTTCGACACAGAGTGATCCCGCGACTGATCTAGCACTTGCTGATTTCGCTGGTCGCGTGGCGCATATGCGTGGTGTTTTCTCCCTGACTGCAGAAAAGGAGCGACCAGTACCGCTATGTTCGCCACAAGCATGGCTACGCACGGCATTGTGGTGGTACCTCAAAGGCAAAGCTGGGCTGGAAGTCCTACTACAGCAACGCTCTAAGGCGTCTGAGCCGCCGAGGGAGCTATTAATGCAATGTCATGTCGATCTTGCCAAGGCGTGGTGGTTCCTCTCCGAACATCTGGACGAACATACTATGGTGGAGAGTCCACAGTCTGTACACTCGCCTGCTGGACATTCGCAGCTCTCGCAGTCTTCTGCGTTATTGAGGAGTCATATCAAGTCTCTCTGCGCCTCGATGCAGAAAGCCCAGCTTATGCCACCACATCAGTCCTTGATACAAGGTCAGGATACCAGGATCTGGATCGACTACCCGCGATTCACATCCAACGTCGTGGAAGTGCTGAGTGGTGCTGCCATTAGATCTATCCTTGTAGATCCATCTACACCAACGACGTCGCCCATTGAAGCACTTCCGCTTGGCGATACACGGGGTATCTTCTGCTTTGGCCGCTTCCCGGTCGAAGCATCTATCAATACAGATGAGGCTGAGACAGACCGGGCGGTGTTCCCGTGCATGCTAACCATGTTACGCAACAAGCGAGAGTTCCAGCCAAGCATTGTTGTAGCTGGTCAGAGCGATCTCGTCAACGTCAACATTGGTCCAAGACGAGGCGATGAGAAAGGGCTAGGCTGGCAGGATGTTTCGTGGAAGGCGGGCTCGCATGGTCTATCGGTACATCTCCCACGAGGCTTCGACTTAACGGTGAAGATGCAGGAGCGTGATTTCCGGAGCCTGTGGAATATGGTCGAGTATGCGCGCAAGATCGAGCACAGCTTACGACCACGAGAAGATGAACGGCAGGCCCACGAGTCCTTGCTCGCTGAACTGCAGTATGCGGACTCCTCGGGCACACATTCCTTCCCGGCTGAGAAGATGCCGAGATGTATGGCCCTGGTCTTTGAGCGGACGCTTGAGCATCGAGATGGTAGCGGTGCGCGGAAGATGCACAGAGGCTTTCGCTTACTCCTTGTCACGGATCCTGCTCATAAAAGTCTGAGCAGTGTCAGCCACAACCTTGGCGCCCAGTCGCCGCTGCTCTTCGAGTTCATCACTGATGCTGCTGCGCAAGGCACCACGGCGATGGTTCTACGCATAAGGGAAGAGAATCGCCAGTGTAGGATCCTGCTCGTCTTCCCAGATATGGCAAGTCGACAAGCCCTCTACGACATCCTCAACGGCCTGAGTATCGGTGAAGACGAAGCGATCGTGAGCAAAATCGCCCTCACAGGCCTGAACATCCAGAATGCAGCACAAATCTCCAGCTCTTCGCCCATCAGCAGCCATCCAGCACTCCAATCCTTCCAGTGGCAGAAACTCGGCATCACAAACAGCATCTCCGACGACCCAAATACACGTATCGCCCCGACCGTCGGCTCCGAGAGCTTGAGATTAGTGGCCCGACACGCAGCAGGCTGCATAACCGACCGTCTGAACCTAGGCAAAGGCGAACTTCTTTTCCGTCTCCCCTGCGCCGCGCAAGCGATCCCGGCTATACAAATCCTGCGCGAGCCGCAGGAGGATCTTACCATGTCTATCGATGTCCGCCAAGCATCGCAGGAAGTGGTGGAGGGGGTGAGTACACTGTATCAACTCGCGCAACAGCAGACGACCGTCCGCACCCTCCTCTTCGCCACCCCGGCCGATCTTCATACTTTCCAGGCTTCCGTCACGGGGTTCACGGTCGCGTATGATGGGGTGGCGAGTACGTTTAATATCTCCCATCGTATGGCTATGGTGCCCATCTATCAGAAGAAACAGGCTTCGTCTGTGCGGTTGCAGATCGTGCAGAATGCGCATGGGAATACTACGCAGGTATTGGCCTTTATGGAGGATTTCGAGCTAGCGGATGCGTTGTGCTTCCAGATTCGGAGCACGGATACTTTCGAGCGCGTGAAGGGGGATGGAAGGGGCAAGAAATGGGGGGTCAAGTTTGTGGATGCTAAGTTCAAGCTTAATAGGCTGGAGAAGAGGGATGGGGATGAGGAGGTGGAGGTCGGGGAGAGGGTGAGGCGAAGATTCGTGAATTTGGAAGGGTTGGAGTATGCGGAGGAGCATGATGATATCGGGATTGGGTTTGAGACGGAGGCCGGTGAGTACTGTGCAGATGACTTAATATGTGGTTGAGGAGGAGTAAACGTGCTAATGTATTGTTCTCTGGTAGATCGTGATCGCTTTGCTGCTGCGTTGCCGGCTGCTACGACTGTGGGACGGTTGATGACGTTGAAGAGGCGGATATGAGATATATGTCCGGAGTGGTAGGTGTGCTCTCTTGGCTGGTGCTTTGTTGCAGGATACCCTCGAGTTCTTCGATTGCATAGCGAGGGTCTTGGGACATTGTGTCCGAAGCTTGCATGAGTACGGTATCTCAGCCTTATCAAGAACCCCTCCATGCAGGGCGCGGACTTCATGCGGAGTAGTGGGGGTGAAGATGTCGGAATTTCTGAGCTTTCGGCGAATGCGTCACGTTATATTGGAAAGTATATATCCTCCTTCTTACCATACGCATTGCACGCAAATCCCTCTCACTGTCCTCAACACTCTTCTGATACCATTCAAGATGGCACAACACAACACCAATTGCCACAGCAATGGCAACGGCAACCCCAACATTACCACCGACCTCACAATCCCCGAACCCTCCCAAAACCCCACCTACCAACCCTCCACCATCGGCGTCCACGGCGACGACCCAATGAACAGCTACACCGACGTCGCCCCCGCCCTCCACGTCTCCACCACCTTCCGTTACTCCTCCGACCCTTCCCAACTAAACCCAGTCGACGACCTCGATATCCCCTCCCGAATCCCCGGAACAGCAGTAGCAAGCGATGCACACATCTACTCCCGTCTCACGGCCCCCAACGCCTCACGCTTAGAGCTGATCCTTACGAATTTGATCGGGGCGCCGTGTCTGACGTATTCGTCCGGGTTAGCGGCTTTTCATGCTTTACTCGTGTTCTTGCATCCGAAGGTCGTGGCGATCGGGGCGGGGTATCATGGTTGTCATGGTGTACTCAAAATCTATCAGAAACTCACGAATTGCAGGATCGTGGATCTGTTTGATGAGGAGAGTTGGGAGAATGAGGGTGAAGGGTGGAGGTTGGGTGAGGGCGATGTAGTACATATCGAGACTCCAGTTAATCCTACGGGACGAGCGTATAATATTCAGTATTATGCTGATCTGGCGCATAAGCGTGGAGCGAGACTTACAGTGGACGCCACGTTCGCTCCGCTGCCGCTGCAGGATCCGTTCGAGTGGGGTGCGGATTTCGTGATGCATTCAGGGACGAAGTATTTCGGGGGTCATTCGGATATGCTCTGTGGTGTTGTTGCGATCGGGAAGCAGAGGCAGGGGTGGGAAAAAGATTATTGGACCATGTTTGGGGAGAGGTTGCATTTGGGTTCTGTGATGGGGAGTATGGAGGGTTGGTTGGGGGTCAGGAGTTTGAGGACGTTGGAGCTGAGGGTCATGCGGCAGAGTCAGAGTGCTGATCGGCTTGTTGGGTTTATTGATGGGGCGTTGAAGGGTGAGGATTCTTCGGGGGATGCACGGGCGGTCAAGAGGGTTGTTGCGAAGATCGAGCATGCTTCTTTGCAAGAGGAGGATATGAGCTGGTTGAAGAAACAAATGCCTGTGGGTTTTGGACCGGTGTTTAGTATCAACTTCAAGACCGCCAAACAAGCTCGCCATTTCCCGTCGAAGCTTCACCTCTTCCATCATGCGACTAGTTTGGGAGGGGTGGAGAGCCTGATCGAATGGCGGCGAATGAGCGATGATACGGTCGAAGATGAGCTGTGTCGAATTAGTGTTGGGGTCGAGGCGTGGGAGGATTTGAGGAATGATTTGGTCCAGGGGTGTAACGCGTTGGTGCAGGAGGGGATATAGCATAATGGGTCGAGGAGGCGATATAGTGCAAGTGCTGCCGTATCACTTCGAGCCGCCGGGCCGGCTATGGTCGAGGCAATCATTCTTTTCTCCCGTGCCTCTTTGCTTCGTCGGTGTGCTTCTTTCTTGCTCCATAGGGCTTCTGGAGCGTTGGAAGGACTCTGATTCGCGGCGGAGTTGCAACGGGAAGAGCGACTGTGGCATCTTGACTACATTGCTGGAAGATGCATCACGGCGTCTTCTTGGGTTATGGAGGGGTGGCGATGTTACTCGAACCATCTTTCCCTGCAGCCGCTTGACGAGATGAACAGGTGGAGCACTATACCTTACCTGTTTGTTGGAATTACTCCCTTTCATGAAGTAGCAAGAGCTCTCCCACTGCCTTCTATCGCCAGACAAACCACCCTCGATCTAGCACGAGTTGTCTTCCCGAGCAGTTTGAACTGCGTCACGCCCCTGGCTGACTTTAAACCAGGGTCCTGTTCATGCTCGGTCCAGAGGGATATGGACCAACCACGGTGCATTCGACGGCTCAGGCCTTGGCCGCTCCGTGTTATTCTCCGACTCATCTTCCGCTGGCTTGTGCATGATCGCCGCATTGATCATCAACGTACTCCTTCCCCCCACGATCTCGAATCGTTCCGGCTCCGCATCGGTCCCTGCTTTCGAAATCTGGATGCTTCGGGATTCATGCGCACCGGGCTTCTCATCCTGCCACTCCTTGACCTGAAACCCATAACCTTCGTGAATATGGCCAAAGCAATGTACCAACGGCTTTACCCTCACGATCGCTCGAGCCAGCGTCTCGCAGCCCAAATGCTCGCCTCTGACAAGATCCAGAGTCCCACACGGAGGCCCATGCGTCATAACAACATCCAACCCCCTCAGGGATCCTCCACCGTCCCTCCCCACGTTGATACCCAAACGCATAATCTCCAAACGCAGGCGTAAACGGCGGAGCGAAAATACTAAACTTCGCTCCAGAACTGAGAGTAAACCTATACGTCCCCTCAGTCAGATACGTGACCCCAGCAGCTTTTGCAAGAGGTCCAGTCATGATCTCCACGTTCTCTTCGTACTCGCTCGGGTTATCGACGTAGGCGGCGTCGAGGTCTAGGTCGCGATTACCGGCTATCACGAGCTTAAGTTCTGCGTCGAAGTGGGCGAGCATTTTCAGAGCAGCCTTGAAAGCGGACGTGGCGCCTACTTTGGTCAGGTCGCCGCAGTGGAGGAGCACGTCTACCTTTGGAAGCGGTTGGTCCAGTGGGTAGGTTAGTGAGGGGTTGAGGACGTGGTTGTGGGTTTCGGAGAGGATGAGGAAGGATCTTGGGATTTTTGGTACCGCCATGATTTAATGAGGCAGGGTTACGGATCTTCGTGGGTTGGTGAATGATGGTTTTTGTTTCTGGCGTATTAGTTGACTATATCGTGTTGAGAGCCGCCTAGATAGATGGAGAGCGGATGCTATGGCTGGGAAACTGGCAGTATATACAGGTCGGCGTGATTTGGCCGTGTCAAGATCTGAGTAGAGTATGACTGGGTCTGAAGACAACTTTTTGCTTACCACTTACACCGCTTATATTGGCAGAAACAATATCTCCGACTTTTTGCTCCAGAACGAACACCTGAAGGACGATACGATAGCGTGTTGACCTCGGCCTGTAATGACAGGGAAGGAATCCAAATGGTGATGCATAGCATGGATATCGTCTACTGACTCAACCCTGGCGTATCAGCAATCTTAAAAACATACTTGACCGCACTCGCCTTCCCATCCTTCAAATCCTGCAACGCAGTCTGCACACCCTCTAATCCACCCGCCACCACCTCCGGCGGATGAGCATGGAACCAACCCTCTTCTAAACCTTTCGAGATGTACCGAAAGTACACATACCCGAAATCCTTGAGATCAATATGCACACTCCCAACAGTAGTAGTACTCTTCTCCACACTCGCCGGAATCTCTGCGTACTTCTTCCCAGGTAGCACGAGTGTGATTTTGCCCGAGTTGTGATCCAGGACTTGACAGATATTCTGGTACGAGCCCTTCTCGCTCACGGCATCAAAGGCATATTCAAGTTTTTGGCCTTTGAGAGCGTCTTTGATGCCTTGGACGATGGCGTCGTTGCCGCTACGGTAGTCGATGATCACGTCCCCTTTTTCGGGGGAGATGAGTTTCTGGACGTGGGATTGGGCGCGCCCGGCTATGCAGATTAGGGGGTGGATGTTGCTGCGTTGGGCGAACTGGATGGCGTAGCTGCCGACTGCTGAGGAGGCGCCGTAGATTACTAGGGGGATTTGCTGGGAGATGTCTTGCGGGAGTGGGAACCAGGGTTCTGGGAGGCGGAGGCGGGCGTAGAGGCCCACGGCTGCTGTCATTGCTGCAAGGGGTAGTGCGGCGCCCTCTGGTCGTTTCGGTCAGTATTGGTCGGAGGGACTGTACTTTGCGAGGTGATGATACCTTCGAAAGTGGTCTTCTCGGGTAGGTAGAATGTCGTGTGCGCCCACGAAAGAGCATACTCGGCGTAGGAGCCACCGGGCTTCATCATCTCGTGGAAGGCTGCTACGCGATCACCGGGCTTGAATCCCGAGACGCCTTCGCCGACCTCGTGGACGATGCCGGAGATGTCTGCATGGTTTCATCTTAGCTTCTTGATACGAGAGCAGATCAACAGAAGTAAGCTAGTAGTATGTACTAGCGGCATGGTCTCTGCAGGAGTTACTTACCGTCGCCTTGGTTTACTGGTTTGGCATCGGGCATATTCTCTGGTCGCTTCCTGCTTAGCATCAGTAATGGGTTCGTAGAGTAGAGGACGTATGAACTCGCCAGTCTTTTGGGTTGCTGCCGGAGAAGACGACCTTTGTCACGATTTGGCCTGGTCCTGGCTTCGGTATAGACGAGTCGATGATCTCCACCTTCGGGCCTTTGGCCACTACGGCTTCCTTCATTGTGCTGGCTGTTCGGAGTTGTGACGAGAAGGAGGAGAGACGTCTTGAGGCTGACATGCGTAGCAGACGGTGCATGTGGGGTTGAAGTGCAGGACTCAACGATACGGTCAACCGTATTGTGAAGAGCTATATCTATGGATGTCTTTATACCATGGACATCTACATGCTTATGGAGCTCGGATTTAGCCAGGAAACGTCATTGGTGATGGAGCTGTTGCCGAGGTCGTATCATTATGATTGCACCATCTTCCCTTCGACATCAACATGTTCTCGCAAGACCAGTTCGTTTGTCATGTGCAGATGAGATCAATAGGCTGCTAGGTAGACCATCACATATTATTATTGTCCTGAGGAGCTGGAGTGATGGGTGTGGGAGATGGCCACACTGGGGCTCTTCGGCAGCAGCCGGTTGCCGTGGCGTCCGGGCTTGTTTGTCGGACTAGCTCGTTTCACATTGGCACAGCTTCAGGACAGCAAGAACGTCACGGTCGATTTACGGATTCATGGCCGACGGAAGCATGACATGACTTGTGTATGCGCATAACCAGCAGCGACAGAGACAGCATACACTTCCGAAGCTTCTTCACATAATCTAGGCTTATACACTCTTCACCATGGCGGCTCCCGGCGTGGATGGAGCCTCCATGATCAATGTCGCTGTGCGCGTACGACCTTTCACCATACGAGAAGCTGCGCAGCTCACACGAACCGATGATGGACCTCTGTTCTTGGGCGATGGATCGCTGGCGGCTGTACCTGCACCACAAATGAAGTCGAAGGGGATCAGGAGCGTGATCAAGGTCGTGGATGAGAAGTGCTTGTGTGTACATGCTATGGGATTGTGAGTACAAGCGGTCATACTGACAGGCTCGCAGAGTATTCGACCCTCCCGATGAGACCTCCGTGCAGCGATTCGGGCGACACATGCCCATGGGCAAGCGGGTCAAGGATCAGACCTTCGGCTTCGATCGAGTCTTTGACGAGAACACGACTCAAGGCGATGTTTACGAAGCGACAACGAGGAATCTTCTGGACTCCGTCATGGACGGCTTCAACGCAACCGTTTTCGCATACGGCGCTACTGGCTGCGGCAAGACCCACACAATCACTGGCACAGCGCAACAACCGGGCATTATCTTTCTGACCATGCAAGAGCTGTTCGAGAAGGTGGATGAGGTTCAGACGGACAAGGAGAGCGAGATCACTCTCTCATACTTGGAGATATACAACGAGACGATTCGAGATCTGTTGAGTCCAGGCGCAGGCGGCAAGCAAGGGCTGATGCTGCGCGAGGATGCGAATCAGGTGGTGTCCGTGGCTGGGCTATCATCGCACAAGCCGCAAAATGTCGCAGAGGTCATGGATATGGTCATCCGAGGGAACGCATGCCGGACACAGTCGCCAACTGAGGCAAATGCGACCTCCTCGCGCTCGCACGCAGTGTTGCAGGTCAACATTAGTCTGAAGGACCGAAATGCTTCCGTGAATGAGCCCGTCACCATGGCTACCCTCTCAATTATCGACTTGGCTGGCTCAGAGCGAGCTTCAGCCACCAAGAATCGAGGCGAGAGATTGCTAGAAGGTGCCAACATTAACAAGTCACTCCTTGCGCTCGGCTCCTGCATCAACGCGCTTTGCGACCCAAGGAAGAAGAATCACGTCCCATACCGTAACAGCAAACTCACGCGACTGCTGAAATTCAGCTTGGGCGGCAATTGCAGGACAGTGATGATCGTCTGCGTATCGCCGAGCAGCCAGCACTTCGACGAGACACAAAATACCCTCCGCTACGCCAACAGAGCCAAGAACATCCAGACCAAGAGTGTGCGAAATGTATACAACGTCGACAGACACGTCAAGGACTACCTCAAGAAGATCGACGAGCAGATGAATCGCATTAACGAGCTTACTGCGCAACAGAAGCAGTACGAGGACCTGGCGTTCGTCAAGTTCAGGAAAGCGGAGGCGAAGAGGAGCGAGTTGGCGCATGAAGGTGTCTTGAGGATACGGACAGCATTTGAGCACAGCGTGGAAGAGCGGAAAGAGCGTGTGAACAACATGAGAAGACTACGGCAGATCGAGAGACGGATCGCAGCTTTGAGCGGATGGATTGGTGCTTTTGACCAGGTCTGTGAGACGAGAGAGGAAGAGGAGCCGCCTGCATCTCTCAGTGGCATGCGTAAGACGGCGCAGGGTATACTGGTTGAGCTGGAAGGTAGCAGGCAGCATTACCACCAGAGACTGGCGAAGAGCAACTGGACTCGGGCGGTCGACACAGCGTTACAGGATGGCCTGCGTCAACTGCAGGGTCTTGATGGTGCTGTGCCGGATAGCATGGAAGAGGCGAGTTTGAGGAAGGAAGTCGAGCTGCTGAAGTACCGGGCTGATCTCGACGCCAACATTTCTGTCCTGGACGACTCGAAGAACACGGAGGCTGCTTTGATGCAGGTCATGCTCACGGCGCACTTTGAGACGATCGCCATCCTCAACCAGATCTTGCAGATGAGCGAGGAGGATGCTGTGGCAGCCGCAAGGAACGTTCTGGGCAAGTTGCTGCAAAGCTGCACAGAAGCGACGGGCCAGGTCATCAAGCCTGATGGTGGTCTGCAAATCATCGAAGCCGTCGCACCTACGCGCCACGGTACCCCAAGAAAGCGCAAGCAGGTGCCTCTCATAGGCCCCAGTCCCCTCAAATCAAAGATCAGACCCTCACTCGCACCCGCATCTTCCCTTCCACCACACATGGCCCCGGATGCGCACCAAACATCATCACCCCATATCTTCGGTGGCAGTCCAATGCGCCCGATGGGCTCGCCTAGGCGACGAGTCAAGCTCGGAGGCGCGAGGAAAGGCATCACGTTTGGCAATGGTACTCCGAAGAAGAAGTCGCCGACCAAGAAGCGAGCAGTGCGATGGCGCGATGATGCAGAGGAAGGCGCACCCTTAGCTGAGTTCCAGACTACGCCAAAGCCGCTCGAGAGCTCGCCTGTCGAGGGTGAGGGTACTGGCGAACTACCCACTGCGCCTGTACTTCGCCATGACGTCGGTGGTGGAGAGGCCGGCTCTAGTCCCCTGCCCACTGCCCCTGTTCCAAGCAGCGAAGCGAGAAGGACGACAGGCACAGGACGCTTTGCAGCTGGCTTCCTGGCCAAAAAGGGCGATGGAAGTCCAATACCTTTGCACGCCCCTCCAGCTCTAACCCTAGGCGCCTTTTCCAGCTCAGACGCAAGCAGTCCCCTCCGCGAAATGGCCGCCAATTCCGCACCTTCTTCCCACCGCCTCTCCCACCACGTCAGCGAGGCGAGTAGTAATAAAGAAAACGACGATCATGCTTCCCTGAGCAGTGGCTCGGATTCCGAGCGCTCCCTCAACAATGGCGGTATAGATAAGGAAACAGCGGGTAAAATTCGCTCGGCCATGAAACTGAAACGTACTTCCTCCATCGGCGGTAATGGTCATCACCACGGCGGCACGGGAAGACAGGGTAGTAGAGAATCAGCGGCACATCGTCGTCGCTCACCTACTGCCTCGGCTTCTTCACGGGACAGTCCACCCCCGGATAACGTCAACGGTGCTAGTGGTGGAAATATCAATAGCAGTATCTTCTCCGCCTCCCACGCCCGCCGCATGGTCAAGAGCGAGCGCGAAGAAGCGCTGAGGTCTGTCCTCTCGCCTCGCACGCAGCCGGTTGTTAAGCAAGCTTCTGGTCCTATGGCTGTGAGGAGGAGTTTGCAGGCTGAGAGTGGTGCGGCTGGTGGTGGAGGAGGGATGAGAGATGGTATGGCCGTTGGTGCTAGTGGTGTGACAGGGGCGCCGAGGGGACATGTGAGGGTTTCTTCCATTGTGCCGGGCAGTGCGTCGAGGGCTAGTGGGGTCGGGGGAAAAGCTGCTTGGCGATAGTTGTCTTTGCAGGCTCCATGGCGGGTGGCCTATTAGCTTCTTTGGAGATGACTGTGCTGGATGGGCTGTTGGCGTATGGCTTCTTTCTCCATGCCTTGTCTGAGCGGAAATGGTTGGGCAGGATATGGCTGGCGTTCTACGGTATGCAGGCATGCATCATGACCAAGTTTCTCCTCGCACGGCACGGACAGAGTGGCCTCATATAATTGAGGGATGGGAAAGCATTTCGTATGGATTCAAGCTTCCCGTTATGCACATCTACTCGATCTCATTGTCTGAGCATAGTTACGCTACTGTCCTCAAGTACTGACAAGATGGCTGTTCACATTATCTAATACGCTGCGTTGGAGATACAACGAATCATCTTGTTATGGCAGGTGATGTTAGGGTTAGGGTTTGGGTAAAGCATTCACCTACCCTTCTGTCATGGTATCTTTTGGGCTAAGCTCTGATTCCTCATACAGTCCCCTTTCAATCGTCGACATCCGGTGAGGCCCACATCAGGCCCGCCATCGTTTCAAAGCTGTGTGGTACGAGATGGCATTTACATTCCTGCAAGCGTCGTTCCAAGGTCACAAGCAAGCCCTCGAGACCTTCCGCGACCTATGAGGCACTGTCAAGCAATGGCACATATGTACAACGTGGCACTGCATATACATGCCATATCAGTCGGCGATAACGGTACGGAATATGTACAGTACAAAGCATGCAAAGATCCGCCTGCACCATGCTATCGAAAACACGAAAAAGCCAACCCGAACAATGACCAATCTGCTCAAATGGCGTGGAACGCCAGCATGCATAGACGCCGCCATGCAGGCACAACGCACCCTTACTTGCTGTGAAGCTTCACCGCTCTTCTTTCTCTAATGAAACGCCACTGACGAGTCGATCAAAAATGATAGCTGGATAGATGGATGCTCGGAACCAAAGTTTCATATTTCTTCGTTTGTCGTAGTGGAGCGACTGCCGGAGCTAGAGCTGCGTGCAGTGCGAATGGGACAAATCCCCGGGCAAGGCATCAGGCATGATCGTATACTGTACTGTGCCTAGGCCACTGCAACCGAAATGAAAGACTGTCCTACTCAAGGATGTCCGACAGGCCTCCTCGGCTCCTCCTGCACCAGCGAAGGAGACCTCACCGCACCACTCCTCAGGCCTTCCCTCTGCGGCCCAAGATCAGTCCCCGTATCCTGCTGTCCGGACAAGACACTTGCGATCTGTGCTCCAGGTACTGCCGAACCGGGCGACATGGACAGAGCAGACTGCAGGTCCGTCTGCTCCCTCGCTATGGCTCTCGCGGCAGCGTGCTCGTCCTCATCACTACTTCCCGGACTATCTTCTGCGTTGGGCCGTCTTTCGCTACTACCCATACTTTCTCTGCGAAGTCTATCCGCCTTGGCTTGTAGTGCCTTTGCGTCCTCCGCTGCTCGTTGAGCGCGCACTTGCTTGCGCCACATTCCTGCGTACCTGCCTTTCATGGCCAGCAGGTCGGAGTGTGTGCCTCGCTCTACTACTCGTCCTTCATGGAGGACGAGGATCTGATCGCACATTGTGATGGTGCTCAGTCGGTGAGCAATAACTAGCATTGTCCTGCCACGAGCAAGAGTCTTCAGCGCTTCCTGGATGTGCTCTTCGGTCTCTGTATCCAATGCTGCCGTGGCTTCGTCGAGTAGAATGATGCGCGGGTTCTTGATGATGGTTCGAGCAATTGCCACTCTTTGCTTCTCACCACCAGATAGCCTCAGTCCGCGTTCTCCTACCTTCGTTTCGTAGCCATCTGGGAAGCCTAAGATCTTCTCATGGATACTCGCTGCTCTGCACGCCGCGAACACCTCCTCGTCTGAGGCGTCCTGCCTTGCATACTTGAGGTTGTACATCAATGTCTCATTGAAGAGCACTGTGTCCTGCGGGACGACTCCAATGTGACTTCGCAAGCTGTCGATTGTGATGCCTTGCACATCATGTCCGTCAATCTGCATGGTTCCAGATTGTGCGTTATAGAACCTGAAGAGCAGTCGAAAGACGGTAGACTTGCCACCGCCAGACTCTCCTACTAACGCTGTTGTGGTGCCTGGCTTGCAGCGGAACGTCAGACCGTGTAGTGCCGGCTTTCGTGTGTCATAGGAGAACTTGACGTCGTTATACCTAATCTCTCCCTCACACGAAGGAAGCGCGACGGCATCTGAGCTGTCGACGACTGTCGGATTCTCCTTGAAGAGCTCCAGCATGCGCTCAGAGTTGATCATGTTGTTCTGGATCATGCGATAAAAGGTGCCGAAGAAGTTTAGCGGACCTTGCAACTGCGTCATGTACGTGAGCAAGACCACGAATTGACCAACCTTACGCTGGTGCGTTGTGACTTGATAGGCTGCAATGAAGCAGGCCACGATAAGCCCAAGCATGAAGACCAAGTTTTGAATGGTGTTCATCAGAGCCAGCGAAAAGGTCACAAGATACTCGGCGCGTTGATATTTCGTCACGGCATCCCTATACCGTGCGAACTCATACGTCTCGGCGTTGAAATACTTGACCGTCTCGTAAGACATCATGGAGTCGTTCTTGACAGCATCTTCCTCTCGACTGGCATTGGTGGCTTGGCGTCGAATGTCCGCACGCCAAGAAGCCATACGGATCGTGATGTAGATGTACCAGAAAGTCACCACTGCAATCACAAGTGCGTAGTATGCATCGAAGTAGACCAAAAAGTAAACAATGGCCACAATCAGATCAACCAGCATTGGTAGCACATTGAACGTGATGCTCTCCAAGAAGGTATTGAGCGAGGAGCCTTTACCGAGCGCGGACAGTACTTCGCCAGTCTTCTTGCCCAGATGAAAGTCTAGACTGAGCATGTGGACGTGCTCAAAGGCGGCCACAGAGAGCTCGCGGTACGAATATTGCTCCACTGGTATCCAGAGCACTTGTCGAGCTGCTCCCAACAAGCCGTTACCTCCTTGGAAGATCCGGAAAAGGATGTAGAGCATAATTGCACCCCACGGCATTCGCGCTGGGCCGTCTTCTCCAGCCAAGATGTCGGTGATTCGTCCAGTCTGAATCGGTACCAGAACCTGAATGCCACGTTGAAGGAAGACAATCAGGAAGCAGACGATAAAGTTGAACTTGAGCCAGTTGTCCTTGTATGGCCAGATATATGGCAGAAATATCGCATATGCGCGGATATACTCCCACCAACTTCTCGAAGGGTTCTCTTTCGGCTTCTCCCAGCCTGCAGGAGCCTCGTGATGCGGTCCATGGGGCTTACCATTCGCAGTACCGTACCCGTTGGCTGTTGGCTGGGTAGCATTCCCGTTCTCTGCACTATGGTTGTCCTCGCCCAGCAGTCTCGTCTGCTCATCTGGCGAACCTGTGCGTTGCTTCTTCTTCTGGCCTCGGAGGAACACAAATAATACGTAGAAGCCGATCAGGGCAAGGAGTAGGATAACTCGCACCAAGTCCAACGTGACTTCTGTGATCTCCCATTCTGTCATATCTCTTTGCAATTCTCCGCCATTCGGATCGCCGACTTTTGGCTCTCTATGCTCTTGCGTGTAGATGCCAAATGATGAGCCGAGCAAGATGATCTCCATCATCACGGCAGCAACCCATGTTACCAAATGTGCCACGTTTGGCGAAGTCTTCGAATCGATGATCGTGATGAGAAAGAGTGCGTAGACCATAAATGACCCGACCAAGTAGATCTAGCCCTGTCAGTGAACGGTCTCACCAAGAGCTTATTATCATATACCTACCGTCGGCGCCTGCCCACACCACCACCTCTCTTCCCTCTCAACCAGAGCATGCACTATGACCACTGCAATATTCCCAGCTATCGTAGCCAGGGCACCAACCGAGAGCCATTCAAACACCAGCTTCCTCGGTCTACTGAAATTCAGAGCACTGGATCTCTGGGACCCGGTCTTGTTCTTTTTGGGCAAAGGCTTGCCTCCCGGCCCAAGCTGCTCGGGTTGTTGTGTCGTATCGTCATTCTCATTACGGGCCGCGGCTATACTCCATATCGTAAAGGTGATGATGTAGAGGAAGAGGACAATTATCGGATAGGCGATCTGTAGGTAGGTGAGGATGTTTTGTGCTACTGGATTAGAGACCCATGGGAGCGACCCATGTGGCATTATTGTTTGCTGCTGTGGGTCGCGGGATGAATCTGTGTTCATACTGGGGGTGGTACAGACAAGCCAGACCAGAGACTGTTTCCGACTCAAGTTCCAACCGAAGTCAAACGACCGTCCCGCCGCCGGAAACGCCTTGGAGGGGTGGGTTTGAGGGAGAGTAGCGACTGGATTAGGAAAGAGGAAAGGGAATGAAGAGTAAGGTGAGAGTCAGATCGTGGCCGGTCGAGCTCATTAGTGCACAGTTCACTACTACGCGTACGGTAATAGCACTTTCCCACAAGTAGACTGTCATGTCACCCGAGTGAAGAGTAGGTAGGCCGTACGGTGCGTACCGCTATAGTGAACATGCGTGCAGCAGAACCCTTCACATCGGCTCGCATATCTCTACATCCCGGCCGCTTAGTTCTAGTTCTAGTTCTAGTCGATCCCAAATCGGGCTACAAAAGGGTTCCACCGGACCACGCAAAGTGCCAAACCTTCCGATTAGGCCTCGAATTGCGTCAAGCCAGACTTTGGCCACCTGAGCTTTGATGGTGGCGTCTGTCGTTGTGCGTACGCAAGCATGACTGCCTGAGCCCCGTTCTTGGTATCAATTCTCCATCAGCAGACTGCAAGTCGACTACACACGGCTCGTGTCAGTGTCATTAGGGACCATCGCCTCTCCAAGAAAGTCAGCTGCGCTGGAGTAACAACGTGGCGATCCGGAAGGCACCTGATGGCGCCGACAAGGTTGTTTAGAGTTCACCGCGTGCTGCAGGAATCATGGTGCCACTGGGTCGATGGCTAGAAACTTGGTTCCGTTCTTCAACGGTACACACACCGCTGTACTGTACACACGGTCCGATATATGAAAAGCCGAATGCACCATGACACTATCATACCCCATGCCACCATCATGCACCACCATGCATCGCTATGCACCACCATGCCGGCAGCAACTCCGTCAGGCCGGGTCGCCCATCCGCGAAGGGCTCAGCTGACTGTACCTTGCATCTCAATTTGCTTACAATCTTGGGAGATCCGAGGTAACAGATCATAAAAGCATGCAGACGGGGCGGTCCGTCGTATTGATCTGCGTAGGCGTATTGATCGATCACGTATCCAAACCTCTCAGCTGTACTGGGAGCACACCCATATCTCGTCTGATACCATCAATCTGGGTTCCTCTACCACTGTGTGAGCGTACATGTACCTTCGTGGCACCATGCAGGGCCGTTGTAGGATGACAAAGAGACCCAGTCGGGGCTGCAGCCACACCATGCAGAGATCAGTAGAGCTTGTCCCGCTTGTGTGGTTGGACAGAGCTTATACAGCTCAATACTCATCGCTTGAAGCCACTATACAGATTTTGGCCGTACACTGCTCTACATACGGTTGAACTTCAATATGCTCGAGGAACCATTCTTTGGTCGTGGAGCTGCTACGGCTCACAGTGTCTTGTAGCGACAGCTATACACACTTATCTACTTCCTGTTGTTCTCACCATATGGTGCACCAGTGCAATTGAAGCTTGTCGGCGACACAACCGAATCACAAAGATACTGCGCAGGCACAGTACCATTGACAGTATCAAGCAGCCCACTCACGTTCTCGATGACCATGCCCGTACATGGACTCGCGGCGGAACACTGTATGCTTGCCACGACATCGCTCGTGGTCGTGCCGTACCAATTCTTGATTGTCACGTCCCTGATGTTGAACTCCGAGGTATCGCAGTTCCCAGTGGCAGAGTTGTAGCTCGTACACTGTGTGACGGCGAAGAGACCGCTGGCATTATTGAAGTGAAAGTCCTCGAATGTCAGATTCGCAGCATAGCCAAGACCAGCTCCACCACCATTGGGAGGATATCCACTGCTGACGCCTGTCCAGGTCTTGAAGTAGACGCCATATCGCATATGGTTGATGGAAACGTTGCGGACTGTGACGTTCTCAACGATCTCGAAGCGGTCCTTGTATTGACCAATACTACCCACGGCCACCCCTAAACCGGTGTAGAAGTCGCAGTTCTCGATCAAGATATTCGTGCTGTTGGCTTTTGTGCTGATGGAGTCGTCGCCATTGTCGACGGTCCAGCCGCGAAAGGTGATGTTATCAGCGTAGATAGTGTCAGCGCCATCTGTGTTTAAGGAGGAGAACTCGAAGCCGACTGGGTGCTCAAGGTCTGTGCTGTTGACGTAAATATTCTCCATCAGGACATTGTTGGAGTGGATAATGGTCATGGTCCACATCTGGCTCTGCACAAATCGGATGCCCTCGAAGACGCTATCGTCTGTGCCAGTGATCGTGATTTGGTGAGGCCGCCCAGGGTAGTTGTTTGTGCCGTTGATGAAGTCGTACCCTGGTTGATATCAGCATATCATAGCATGTGTCAAAGTTGAAGAGGTTAGCATAGAGCCACTTACAAACTTGACCATTCCCGTCCAGAGTGCCATAGCCAAAACCATTCCAATGCACATTCTCGCCACCGAAGAGCCATGCAGACGACTGGTTCTGGTATCCCACGGGAAGGGAGTGGTTGAGCCAGTAAGGAATGTTGGTATCCCACAACAATGTTCCATAATGCTCGATCTTGACATTACGGAGACCGGTGGTGTTCATGACCGACTTGACATTGTAAGTCTCGTTCTTGAAGACGACGAGACCTTGGTCAGATCCCGTATTGCGGCCGCACTTGTCCAAAGCATCGATGATAGCTGGAGCGGAGTCGTTGCTGCCGGCGGACTCGACAACGCAGACTTTGCCGCCTTGCTGTAGCCCATTACCTGGAGGGCCATATGGACCATTATGAGGAGGTCCTTGAGAGGGAGGACCGTGTGGCCAAGCAGATGGCGGACCTTGGGGCCAACTACTAGGAGATCCAGGAGGTCCAGGCTCAAAAGAAGGTGGAGGTGGGTGTGCAAGTACACTAAGCACTGGAAGCAACAGCAAAGGGTAGGACAACATGATCAGTATAGTACAAGCGTGGGAGGTGCAGCGTCTTACTACCCAGCTCTTATGTAGTAGACACTTCAAAAGGCTACCAGCTTCTTACTCCGCACCAACCAGGGTACATGACCATCCTTCGCGAAGTATCACCGCGTGGGGGCTACCGGATGCCATCATTGTACTGCGGTCACTCCACAAGCGGAGGATGATCGACACGGTATATGGTCGCACTATCGATATTTTGCAGAGGATGGAGGTGGTATGGTGGAGTCTTTGTGGTGGAGGAGGAAAAATGTTCCCGGCGACTTCTCGGCTCGGTCTCTGCCACGTATCGAGGATCAAACGCCGAAGCCATGATGACAGCGAACACTCTCTGAGCATCCATATTTGTACGTCAAGGATAATTCAGCGGCCCGGGTATGTGAAGAAACACTCACATAGATACTCCTTCGCCGTTGAAAGGTAGCGGACGCTTCTCACAAGAACTTGCACCTGCAAGATAGCGTGGCCGGCGAAACAGGCAAGGATGGCAAGAGAATCGATCATATGGGAGAATGCCTCAACCGACGGATCATGCATCGACCTCATTGAAATTCACTACGTGCTAGGTCTGGTAGAGTAAAGTCCTGCCTGAGGTTGCTGTTCGTCGATTCATCCTACTCCCCACCCACATACTTGCTGGCCCTCAATCTAGCAGAAATTGGTCCAGAAGATGTTGCAGAATGTAGTAGGAGCATTGCCGTTGATCCCGATGACGAACGTCAACTGCTTGTATGCCATCCAGATGTAGCCACCCTTGGTATCCGTGCCAGCGCCGTTGGGCTCACATTTCTTCAAGACGTCGCCAAATCCAGTCATGCAAAGGTTCATATCCATGAGCCAGGCCCCATCACTGGCGTAGTTGCGCACCGCCAGGAAGCCTTTGACTACCGAAGTGTTAGTAACTAATCTTGAGCTCAACTAGAGGTGAGGACGGTGTACTTACTCCCGCCATGGTCACCGTATTGCGTCAGGTTGGTGCCGGCATTAAGCATGTGACCGTCGTACCTGGTGCAGAAGGAGCTGATGAAGACTTGGATGTTCTTGTCGGAAGTGGAATCGCCGCTGATGGTGTCAGTGATTGGCGCGTAACGCAATACAGCCGCATACACACGACTTACTTGTTGGTACAGATGCCCTGGTAGTCCCAGCACTGAGCATTCTGACACCCTGTCATGCGTGGTTGAAGAGCACTGTCGGTTGGGGTCATGAAATTGACTGGGATGGCGGAGACGGCGATGCCGAAAAGGATGAGAAGGAGTGTGAGGAGCTTCATGGTTGTGGTCGTTTCTCGAATTGTGGTAGATTGCTGGTTGTGTCTGAGAGGTGTTTGTGTAGTCGAGTCTGCGGTTCTGGAGGGGAGAGAACAATACTTGAGGTAATTCACGGAAGCGCGTGACCAGCCGATGAACAAGCGTTCATAGAAGGCACGACTTGCAGTGAAGGCAGGAGCGACAGGATCCCACGAGCACGTGGTGCTAAAGCCAGTGAAAGAGAAGGGCGATTCTCGCATTTGCAGAGTTCAGGTAACCTCCTAGGCTCATATGAGCTGATATTACCTAACGACTCCGCTCCGTCAAAGTTGGTCAGAGTAGTCAAAGGCGCATCCTGTGTCTCTTCCTCCAAACGATATGTTCTGAAGATCGACCACAATCTACTGCTCAGGACATCCCGTGGTAGCCACGACTCAAGCACCTCCCGTATTCTTTTCCTAATCAGCTTGAGCACATCAGCTTCTCGTTCGCCAAGATTTTGAAGGCTGTACACGAAGCTCGTATAGCTTTTCTGCGCATGTGCAACCACTGCCTCTTCGATCTCTGCTTTCCTGGGCGTAACACGCTTTTGCCTGAACTCCTCGGCTATCGAATTCACTGAATATGACGGTATAAGCGGGAATTGCTCGAGTACCATCTCGTGAGCACCTTGCAGTACTTGACGTATGTTGTACGGCTCATCTGTCCAGGGTTTGAGCGCCGAGTCAGACCTATAGGCTTTCGCCTCTTCCAGAATCTCCCGAGGAACGCTATATCCAATCGTATTGCCAGTCCTGCGGAGCTGCACATGTGGGTCAATACCAGCTTAATATGGCGGGGTGAAAGAACGTACCTTGACTTGTACGAGATGCGGCCCCTTGCCAATGTCATCTCGCGGCAGTATACTCGTGCCTCAAGAGGCTTTGTCTCTGCCACGAATATGTAGCCATCGCCATGGAATTTCGCGGTCTGTGTCGACTTCCACGCGCACGACTTGGCCGTACCCGTCAAAGGATTCTGCCGCCAGAGCTATGGTGACTATACTCAATGTGTATAGAAGTCCGCTACAAATGCTCGAAGGACGGAGTCGATCTGTTCTGAGGAGAAGCGGTCTTTGTCAATGCGAGGACAATGAACTCGAATGAGGATCGACGTAGCTAGACTCTCAACTGCAGCGTTCTTTGTTGCTCAATGAACCACGGTGGCTTGTTGGAAAGTAGTCTATGCCAGTCCATCGTATGCCGCAACCTCAGCCAGGAGCCACTTGGGTGAGCTGAAGATCGTCATCTACAAAGTCTTCGAGCTCGCTCATCGTGAAGCCTGATACAGCCACGGTCGGGGGATGTTCCATTGCTGGCGGCTTCTGACGAGCCTGTAGACCTCGTATTGGCAGGTTTGGTCTCGCTACCTTCGATGGCAGTGGTGGAGGAGGCATAAGCTCTCGTGCAAATATATGACTGTCAGATCTGGATGCTAACACCACATCGACGGTACCACGCTCCTTCCTGTTGACTGCCTCTGGGCGCGGAAATGGTGTCTGGTATGCTTTGGGCTGGTACTTGGGCTCAGGATCATCATCTGCCAGCTCACGAGCAATCTGGGTGCTGCTACCAAGCTCATTCCAGAAATCCAGCATCATGTCGTCGTTAGATGAGCTGTTGTCTGCAAATACCGACACGGCCTGTGGGGATGGCTCATCCACGGAGCGTATGCTTTCGCCCTCAGCATGTTTAGATTCGCTTTCTCCAGCATCAAGCCTGAGGTGAGGTGCTCCCAAAGCCTCCAGAAGCGTATCGTCGTCCACCCCATCATCGCCAAACATATCCTCCTCTTCCACCTCCTCGACCATCACTGCAGCCACACTGATCTCTCCCTCCTGCTCCGTCATCCCAGCCGCCGCCCCAAAGAACTTTCCCAAATGAAATTGACTACTTTTATACCCAAACCGATCACACCTCATCTGCGTCCCCATCTGCACCCTTGCACGATCATCCTTCTCCCTCCTCTCGCGCTCCTGCTTCTTCCTCAGCGTGGACTCAGCTTTCTTCTTCTCGCGCTGTTCAATGCCCCATGCTCGCCGATCGAGCTCTACATCACGTAGGAGCTGCTTTCGCTCGCTGGTGGAGATGGTGGGTTGGCCGCGAGATTTGAAGTCTGCTTTGGCTTTCTTTATCGTTGCTTTCCTCGCGACTGGCTGCTGAGGGGGTGGCATGGTTGGCATCCATTGTGTGAGCTATACAAAGTTTGAAGGCTCTGTGTCAAGTACATGTGATGAGTCGTAAACATGTGAATGTTGCCTGGGGACCGAGGTGCTTTGAGGTTGGAAGTTGCGATACAACGACACGCCAGACCCTATTTAACTTCTCCCATCACATAACTATGCTCAGCGAATCACGAAGATCGGAAGCGAAGAGGGCCGCGAGATTTGACTGAACTTGTTTACAGTGTACACACTTCTCTACAACTTCGACTCCCCTCCCATCGCCTCCTCCCTCGAGATCACGGCCAACCTCCTCGGCCCATCCTTCTTGAAGTCTACCAACACACACTGCTCCACCACTCCTTTCCGTCCAGTCTTCGACGCTTCGAGCTCTGGCCCAGGTCGATTTAGCCCGAGCACTACCCTGCCATCCTCCCTCCGCTTACCATCTCGGCGCGGCTGGACAGAAGGCGAAATGCACTTCTCCGTCCACGGCGGATCGCCAGTCTTGACGAAGTCAGACAAGCGTTTCCGTCGAGCTTCGAGCTCATCTCGCGGTATGCTTTCCCGCGAGATCGAACCGTATGCTGTGGGACTTGAGAGATTGTCGAAGTGCTGAGCCACCTGGTGGAGGAGGAAGAATTGTGGCGGGAACAAGATTATGCGGCCTTCTTGGGCTAGGCGAAGCCAGGCTGATGCTGGCAACCATCTTGCATTGGTATGCTCGAGCCCACCATCGGTGGTAGGTACCGGAATGCGTACTTCCGCTTCATCGTCGTCCTGCGATGCGGCTTCTGATAGTGGCGTCGAGTTCAAGGTAGGTAGGAAGTACAAGTACATTTGTGTCGTGAAGCGCTTAGGCACATTCGTCGGCGTCACCCATCTCGTGAAAGGCACCAGTCCTTCTAGATCTGCCCGTCCACCTTTCTGTGACAGCCACTTGGTAAATGGTACTTTGTTGCCATGTACAAGCCGACGTCCCTCGTCTCGCTCGGCATCTGACACTTCCAGTAACCTGCCGAAGCCATTGTTGCGTGCGAGCAGGATCCCAGACTCCTCGAACGTCTCCCGAACAGCGGCCATACGGTAGACTTCGCTGTCTATATGTCGTTCCGGCGACTCAGGGGCAGCCGGTTCGCCATCGTGAAAGGTCGAGACGTTGCCACCGGGGAAGACGTGTGCTGACGGGAAGGATGAGGATTGCTTCACTCGTTGCAAGAGAAGGACTTGGTTGTTAGGTGAGACAAGTAGTACGCTGGCGCTTGGTCGCGGGATCGAGGGCTCCTTCTTCGCCATCGGATTGCCTCCGTTGGACTCGGTCTGGCCTCGTAGTGCTTCTGTTAATTGTTTATCTTCTTGCTTACTGAGTAAAGGTTGCGAAGTGGTGATAGATCGAATGGCTAAGCAGATTGGCAATGATGACAGACTCTTGAGTGTGTTTGCGCGAGATGTAATTCCATTCAGCATTGCAATGAGCGCATGAGCTGATGTAGTGAGTGGATCTGATCAGCCGAAGATGTCATACAATGTTGAATGTAGCCTGAGAAAGAGCCGAGGCAACGAGTTTTTGGGGAAGGCGCGTCTCCTGTCAGGTTCCCTCGCGAGCATTAACTTACCCCAACTACCACGTTTGAATCGTCGTCTCTGGCCGAGCGGCTGCTGCTGTCACTCTGGCCATACTGCGCACGACCTCGTACAAAGACTCCCAAGCGATTGTGAGCACCTGCCGGACAATCCGAATAGACTGGGCGAACCCTGCCACAAAGGAATTCGTATCCTCTGTGATTTTCGTGCCAGTTTGAAAGTATACTGTCTTCGCTACGATCTGAGATGACTTTACTTTTGAGCCGATACTATATGCTTGACACGTCGAACCACCCGGTGAATGTCTCGAGCCACCCCGGCGATGACTGGTTGACATGTTCGCACAGGATAGAGCATCTTGATGTCTATCGAAGAGCGCGCGAGTGCACATGTCTACCACCACAGCTTGGCCCCGTGTCCTAGGAGCTGCAGAACGATGACCATTACTCCCGCTCCTGCTCGCGGACTCCTGTCAGCGAATATATGCTGACTAGCTACTTTCGAGAAAACGACAATGCACCACCTAATATGTTCTGCCTCTGCTCACATTTCCTTCACTTCCATATCACTCGACATGTTGTACCGCTATCATGAAGTTCACCACGATAGCTTCTGCACTTATGCTGGCGCTGAGAGCCACGCCAACAAATGCGAGATACCAGAACTGCTCTGCCTCTCATCAAAAAAGCTTAGATACAGCGCTGGCAGACGGGATCAAAATTACAGACCTGGTGATCGCCGCACTCGAGAAGACAATCTGCTCCAGCGATACCAGTACGACAAAATACCCGAGCGAAGCCTGGGAACTGCCGTTGCAAGACTCAGAGTTCAAGGCTCTCAGGCCTGCGCATATTGCTGCCTTGATTGAACGGTGGTTTGGCGCAATGACGCTGCAGAGCACTTCGGATGGGCTTGACAACATGACCGCGCTGGTCGAGCAAAACAAGCATATCAACGAGCTGTTGCGAGAGGAGAACACGCTTTATGCCTGTGTCTCCCAAGCAGCATGCGGTGCTGACTTCAGGGATCTTTACGGCGGTGGCAGCGTGGCTGCCTACGTCGATACGAATTTCGATGCCGAGAAGGAGGTTTTCCATGTCGACAAGCAAGCTCCACGCATCATATTCTGCGAAGCCTTTTTCACCAAACTCGGAACCTGGCGAGGATTGAAGTCGCAGTGGTCAGGGCGATGGGAACGTGTCCGTCACGGCAGACTTACTACTGCAGCCGCAGTGATACACGAATCAGCGCATGTCATCGTCTCAGCAGGCCAAAAGATAGGTAAGCTGGACTCCTGAAAAGCCTACTCAGCTCTGCACATTACATGCTTACGCTGCTCTCAATAGTGCTGGACAATGCTCCATAGCGGGACAACACGACCTGGGGCCCGCACAACGCTTCCGCCTACGGTGCGGCGAATGCTTAGATCCTGGCAATCGAAGCTCCGAGCATCGCCCTCCATAACGCAGATAATTACGCCCTCTTCGCCATCGAGCTGGCTTTGGCATCTTTATTCGACGAATTGCCCGAGCCCGCGGCAATGGATCTGGCCAGGCTTCCGCTGCCTATTAGGCAGCGGCTCGCGAACCACACTTTGAATGAGACGTCGCTGACCCCGAAATACGTGGCGGATTTCTTGAAGTCTGGTATGAATGAAACGTGGAAGTCGGAAGTCGAGGGGCTGAATCGGGAAGACGATGATTTTCCTGTTAGTACTGTCGATGGAACATGCAGCACCAGCACTGAAGCTGAGTGTGTGACTGCTACCGTTTCGTCTTGACTAGGAGGACAGACACAGGTCTGTGCGGCGAAAGTTGTACAGTTGATTTCGTTTGACGTTGGCAACGTACCGGGAGCAGACGGACTGCTTCGTTGGCAGAACTTGGAGACGAATAATATCTCACGATACCTGTGTCGCTCATGTTGCGGTGTGATGGTCGTATTGTTGGACGCAGGAGGTTTCAACCGCGATTCACCACTTATTGGCCCCACGTGCTGCATTCTGCCCGGCTCGTGGCGAAAATCGCGTGCAGATCCGGCCGGGAGTTTGACAGACGGCTACGAATTTCTGATGTTCGTCTTCTCTGCAGTCTGCTACTTGTCGTATGCTTGCGAGGGTCGTGGGATTGACCTACGATGGATCGCAGTCTGACGTATTGCACGCCCTCTCTTCCCAGCTTATCAGCATCTCATGAGAGGACATGGCCGTGGAATGTGCAGCTGATAGGCAATTGATGAAGCCATGTCGGTGAAGCTCCCAGCAGAATACTAGCACGTAGATCCTCAATATGACTGCCGCCGCTAAGACCACAGCCGGCGGTGGCGTGCCTGTATCAGCAACATCGCCTCTCACAGACAAGAAGAAAGATTTGTTCTAGCAACGGAGAGAGGGTCGGAGATACTTTCGGCAAGAAATCTGCCAGGTACGAGAGATGGCACGGGCTGGAAATAGTATCCAGGGTGAACAGGCTAAGCTGAGAGTAGAATCTCTGGTTGAGAAGGCGGAAGTCTGCTGTTGGGGCTCTCCAGGGTTCATGCCGTAGCGGGGGGTGGTGCAGCTCTCTCTACAAAATCATTTGTGACCGCCGGTCTGCACTGTGTTTACGCTGTGCACTTCCCATCTTCTCATCCATTGACTCTTGTCAAACTCCTCACTTACATCCGTACGACTTCTCCCGGTCGTGGTGATCATCAGCAGACGACTTACCTTGTGCCTGCCACGTTTCTGGCACGCCATTGACCCCACTTCCAATGTGAGTTCTTGAATCGAACTTTCTCCTGCTCTCAACATCTTCTGACTAGTTTACAGCAATTCCGATACACCCACCACACACACCGCTGCCACAGACGACATCATGGCTAGCACAGCAAAGAGCGCGGTGCCGTCGCACTTGAAATCCGGTGCCAATGGCGCCGAGGGCGAGAAGCACCACGCAAAGTCCCAATCACATGTGGTGAGTCCATTTCTCTTCCTCTGGGCATACTGGACAGATGTTGCGAGCATGGAGGTCACCAGCAAGGTCTGAAAGGTATCTATGGAAGGGATGTCTTTGTTCTTCCAGAGCCGGACTGGCGTATCAGGCAAGGACAACCCGAAAATCGTGCCAAGACACCAGATGGCTCCAAAAAGTCTTCGCATGCCTGCACACTGGCGGAGCTTTGATAGGATCCACCAGCTGTAGCTTGTCTGTCTTCTGACTAAGAGCGGCCGCTGGCTGCTGATATTTGACCAGCCGTCCGACCGCATGTGTCCCTGACTGGGCAATGGCAGGATATCACGATCTGCGAGGCATTGGCCCTACGCTAGGCGTCTGGCCTGCACCAACAGAGGACAGCCCGCCGGCAGAGATACGTCACCCAAGAACATCAGCTTACACAAAGTTACAGGCGTTCGAAAACACCTCCACATCCGTCGCCGCCTCCCAGATGCGCAATGCCCTCAACAACCTCTCAGACTCTGTCAAGGACCCACAAGAGAAGAAGCGTTTCGAGACTGAGATGGACAACTTCTTTGCTCTCTTCCGTCGCTACTTGAACGACAAGGCCAAAGGCAACGAGATCGACTGGAGCAAGATCGCACCACCAAAGCCAGAGCAGGTCGTCGACTACAACAGCCTTGGCAACACCGAGTCTGTCGACTTCCTCAGCAAGCTCGCTGTGCTCAAGCTCAACGGCGGTCTTGGTACATCCATGGGCTGTGTCGGTCCCAAGTCCGTCATTGAAGTTCGTGACGGCATGTCCTTCCTCGATCTTTCCGTCCGCCAGATCGAGTTCCTCAACCGCACATACGATGTCAACGTCCCCATGGTGCTCATGAACTCGTTCAACACCGACAAAGACACCGCAAACATCATCAAGAAGTACGAGGGCCACAACATCGACATCATGACCTTCAACCAGTCCCGCTTCCCACGTGTCCTCAAGGACTCTCTCCTCCCAGCACCCAAGAGCTCCGAATCCCAGATCTCCGACTGGTACCCTCCGGGCCACGGTGACGTCTTCGAGTCCCTCTACAACTCCGGCATCCTCGACAAACTGCTCGACCGCGGCATCGAAATCCTCTTCCTCTCCAACGCCGACAACCTCGGCGCCGTCGTCGACCTCAACATTCTGCAGCACATGGTCGAGACAAGAGCAGAGTACATCATGGAGTTGACAGACAAGACCAAGGCCGACGTCAAGGGTGGCACAATCATCGACTACGAAGGCCAAGCCCGTCTCCTCGAAATCGCTCAGGTGCCCAAGCAGTACGTCAACGAATTTAAGTCGATTAAGAAATTCAAGTACTTCAACACCAACAACATCTGGATGAACCTCCGCGCCGTCAAGCGCGTGGTGGAGCAGAACGAGTTGGCGATGGAAATCATCCCCAACGGCAAGAGCATCCCCGCAGACAAGAAGGGCGAGGCGGACATCTCCGTCATTCAGCTCGAGACTGCGGTCGGTGCGGCTATCAAGCACTTCCACAACGCCCACGGCGTCAACGTCCCGCGCAGGCGTTTCTTGCCCGTCAAGACTTGCTCGGATCTCATGCTCGTCAAGTCGGACCTCTACACCCTCAAGCACGGCCAGCTCATGATGGATCCCAGCCGTTTCGGCCCGGCTCCTCTGATCAAGCTCGGCAGTGACTTCAAGAAGGTCTCGCAGTTCCAGGGCCGGATTCCTTCGATCCCGAAGATTTTGGAGCTCGATCATCTCACTATTACTGGTGCGGTTAACCTTGGCCGTGGGGTCGTGCTTAAGGGGACGGTGATTATTGTGGCTACGGAGGGGAGCACGATTGATGTCCCGCCGGGTTCCATCCTGGAGAATGTGGTTGTGCAGGGGAGTTTGAGGTTGTTGGAGCATTAGATGCTCTTGGCCGAGAGGTTAGAGGTCGGAAGTCCTCTCTGTGTGTGCGTGTGTGTGTGTGGGCATCAGCTGAACAGAGAAAGCGATGAGGAATTGAACATAGATATATGCGAGTTTTTGCGGCTCACTGGCTGGGCTGGTGTGGTCTGTATCAAAGGTAGAGCATGGAAATGAATAATGGTCCTCGAATATGAGCAGACTTTCCCTCCTCACGTGCCACTCATCTTGCTCATCTCTCATCTCTTTCTATCAAAGCTGACCAAAGCCGTACGCAGCTATGTTTCTCTTCTCTCCAGCGTGTAGGTTCGCATCTCAGATAGAGCAAGTGGGAACATAAGCGGTCTCTGAGTCCCTTCGAGCAATGCGGCAAGTAAGCTAGATACCTGGAATCGCTCGCGCATACGTCTTTGCCTCGCGCCCCCGGACTGAACATCACCGATCCTCCCGGTTCATTACTCAAGCGTACGGCCTGATAACCTGCATTACTGGTACTTCTGACGTCTGCTGCAATGCAGAAGTGATTGGAGGGCCAAGCGTCCGTCGTGATACCTCTACAGCAGGTGCGTCGGCGAAGGCGATTGCTCGCGGTTTCGCAAGATGGAGTCGTATCTGACTCCCAGGAAAACTGCTACCGAGCAGTTGCGTTTGTAGTTCTTTGACTGTGTGGTCGGCTAGTGATTCTAGGGTTTCGAAGGCTGTGTGTTGGATTATCTATGGATCGTTAGCACGAAAGGCATGGACGAAACTTTGGGGGAAGTAGGTGATGATGGTAAACTGACCTGTACCACTTTCCCCTCCAGCTCGAAGAATGAATTCATGCCCTCAGTCTGCAGTGAACTTGTACTGAGAGTCATGTTCGCCACCACAGGCTGTCTGGCACTCCGTTCGATCGCATTCACACCCACGAGCGTCATGATCTTGACGTCTTTGATGCTGAAGAGATTCGTTTCCTCCTGCTGTTTTCCAAGCTTGTCGCATGTCATCGTCCGCAGTAGTGTTGCCCCTTCGCCATGCATACTCGCCTTCGGCATCTCCACCTCGATCTCACTCCGGGCTAGGATAAAGCGTCCGGATTCTTTGCGGCCCATGGACGTGATGACATCGTGTACGGCTGTCAAAAGCTGTGAGAGTGTTTGGTCCTGTTGTGATGCTGCTCGGATCTTCTTGGCTAGGATGCCGTAGTGGATTGTGGATTCATCGAGCTCGTCTAGACTTGCGGCTGATGTGAAGGTATTCTTCAATTCTAATTTGATGTTCAGGAGGACTGGCTGGTCCTTGAATTTTGACCAGATATCAGGTGCGATCACGCCGTGGGGAAGCTGAAGGTGGCGGATTGAGATGGCGTCTTGATCTTCGTGGAGCTCCATATCGTGAACTTCAGATTTGACTCTTCCTTGTTGGTGGGTCAAAGGACATTCGAGCAGTCTATTTGGCTTCCAGCGTTGTGAGCATGGTGAAGAGGTTGATGAAATTGTGCCTGCCTTTTAACGTGAAGTTTGAAATTTGTTACGCACGGACAATATGTGGGATCATGAAACGATGCAAAGACGTTCTGGGCAAATGTGTTCATGATAGGCTTTGAGAACAACACTCCTTGATGCCATTCTATCGGTCATGATAATAGGCGATTTTGCTGCTAGTCTATGGCATTCTGATGTTGAAAGCAGGAAACGCTTACGCTATGCAATGCAACCAACCCTTTATCCTGCACCATCTATGCGGACTCGAGATATCCTCAGTATGGCGACACACCTAGAACACCCAAGTCGGGTGCCATGCCGGATTGAGCTGTCAAATACAGCTGCCAAAGCCATTACTGCGACTCCACTCCATAAATGCCCCCGAAACTACTTTCCACTCTTGGTCAGCAGACTTGTATGATCGTCGTTCGCATCGGCCACTGGCTCTTCCTCGTTCTGTTGCTTGTTGGGTATCAAGATTGGCAGTTGGCCAGCGGCTTCGGCACCTCCCTCCAGACCCTCCTCTCGTAGTCGATCGTCTTCATCATCCACCACCTCCCCATCGGCCTCGTGCTCTTCGCTTGCAAACCCTTTGCCCTCGACTAGCCAAAAGACCGGAATGGCTCCCAACACCGCAAACGTAGCCATGACCCACCATGCCGCAACAATATACCCCCGCTTCACCCCAAGAGTAAACACGCCGCCTATTACAGCCGGACCTATAGCACGTCCAATCGCTGATGTCGTAGTCACGGCACCGTTGAGTGTTCCCAAAACCCGCAAGCTGGAAGCCGAGTTCGTGATCATGATCGAGCTGCATGGGAATGCGAAGATCGCACATATGGCCTTGAGCTCCATGATAACGAAGCAGACGCCGATCTGCCACCTTTGATTGGGCAGTAGAGCCGTGAAAGGCATGAGGAAGTAAACAAACGGAAAGAAGCAATTGACGCACTTCAGGCAGTAAAGTACTCCCAAGCGTCTGGCGATCATTGGGTAGAAGAAGATCTGGACGACCACGCTGACGACTCCATAGACTGCTGAGATGGCTCCTATCTGTGTATGAGTAAGTCCAAAGCCTCCAGCAAATCGCAGAAATGGGCTGTCCGTGCTCGGCTTGGTGATGTAAGGCGAGTCAGACTGTAAGGAGGGATACGACATGTAGACTGGCAGGAGCTGATCGTACGCCATATTGTGAAGCGCGAGCAAAGCGTAGGAGAGGATGTTGTATATTGACTGCTTCGTCAAGATCTCTTTAATCGACGGAGCTGCTTGCTTGGGAAGCTTTGGCTGTTGCTCTGGCAGGTCTTTGCTACGTTGAACATCGTCCAGGAATGGTTCATCTTCTGGTTGTCGTTGTGAGGCCCTTCTCAGTCCAAGGACTTGCTCTGCTTTTACGACATGTGACCTGGCCAGGCTCTTCAGCTTATCGCCCAGTCTCAAGCCGTAGTCTCGCTTGTTTTTCAACGTCTCCAGAGTTTCTTCCAAGAAGAGCACGCCCACTGTGATGCCAAAGGTGAAGAACCCAGCACAGATGAGATTGGGAAGTGCATACGGGTATCGCTGGAGAAAGTTTGGATGCTCAATCTTCTCGCCGGGCTGCACATTGAGTGGATTAGCAAGTGCGCCGCCAAGTGCAGGACCTGCAATGGCTCCAAAAGTCCAAATGAGTGGCATGATCTAGATGTGGTCAGCTTCCAAACACGTCTCCACTTACACTTGAGGGCAGTCGCACCGAAAATGCTCGAGGCTGAAGCTCCCTGAAAGGCACCATCTCCGCAACAGTCGTACGTATTATGCCAACATCGCCATTAGCTGCACCCTGGAGAGCTCGTGCAAGGATAGCCATCCATAGTGTCCTGCTGAAGCCCCAGAGTAGAGTGGCGAGCATTGTGGCTTCGAGACCTATCAAAATGGCGATCTTTCGCCCGTAGATGTCGGAGCTGAGGGGAAGTTAGTAGAGATATGAGGTACGAATGCAAGCAACCTAGATGTTCGTGCTCGGACTGTGCTGTGAAAGCACGTAGGAGATGTCTCCACGTACTGTCGTACAATCAGCGGAGTTTCTCGCCTTTAGATTCATGACAGGCGTACCAAGCGACCAAAAGGTATGGCCATGGTAGCTTGGCTCACACTGAACACAGCCGCTGCGATGCCTGCCCATTTACCTATGTCGTCCTGAGGTACACCCAGATACCCGATCATCTCTGGCAAGTACGGAAACAGCGATGTGCTCGCCAATGGCTCTGCGAAGCGACATAATGCTGTTACTTTTGTCAGCCCATGCACATTACAAACCTTCGATCTTCTTAGTTGGTCGTACACAGAATTGTAAGCTGCTGGACAGGCAGCTTACGCTCACGCCTGCCACTTTTCGCTGGCATAATGCTGGTCTCGCAGCACACAAAGTGCAGTGAGAAGTGCAGCGAAAGAGCAGTTGAGAGTGAGGCACATATGCATCGTGACGGTGTTAGGTTGAGAAAGTAGACAGCTGAGTCACAGGCGAAGAGAGACTCCGCGTTGGGGAGACGCTGAACGCCAATCAAAAGTGTCTCCACTCTCGAGCCAGCCAATTCAGCCGGGTGTACGAGGAAAGTAGACACCGCATGTACCATTTCAAGTGGGAAATGGACTGGCAAAAGTAAGGCATGGTGCATCATACAGAAGTATGAACGCAAGCTGTTGTCTCTCGAGCACCCTAACACAGGCTAAGGAACGATCAATGCACAAAGAACGGCTAGGCGGCTTAATCTTGCTTGATCTCGTCGTCCAAATGTCCTCCGTTCTCCGTCCCTCGCACACTCTCCGGCATGCCAGACTCCAAATCTTGCCCATGTAGGACGGTAGTCTCATGCTTATCACCATGATGGTGAATGCGCTCCAACATATCTGCTGCCCTCATCTCGGTCGTACGCGATGGCACGAGACCTGAGACGTCGTCATAAAAGCTATATGCCTCCTCTCCGTGAATAGCATCGTCGCCGATCAACAGCTCTTCCTCGGTCATGCGCAGTGGAATGCGGCAGACGTACTTGATGAAACACATGATCAGAGACGTCCAGACGAGGTTCCAGCCGATGATGAAGAGGGCGCCGACGATTTGGAGCCAGACTTGCTTGCCTCTGCCCATAATTGCACCACCGTCTGTCGTTAGGCCAAAGGCGTAGGAGCCGGTTTGGGTGGCGAAGAGACCAGTCAGGAAGCCACCGAGGGTACCTGCCACCATGTGCGTATGTGTGATGCCGAGGGCATCATCGACATGATGGGTGAAGAGGCTCCATTTCTTGCCAGCAATGTTCATGCTAATCCAGGGGATGATGCCGGTGCAGATACCAATGATGATGGCTCCCCAGCCAGCGACGAAACCAGCAGCAGGAGTGATACCGACTAGGCCTGTGATCATGCCGTTGATGGCACCAATGATGCTGGGCTTCTTGTAGAAGATGATGTCCATACATGTCCAGGTAAGCATGGAGACAGCAGTGCACAAATTCGTGTGAAGGACCGCAACACCGGCGTCTGGCGAAGCGGCGTAAGGATCACCACCATTGAAGCTGGCAGGCTAGTTAGCAAGAGCACGCTGGTCCGAACTTGTCGTGTGACATACCCGTTCCAGCCGATCCACAAAATACCTGCTCCAACCATCGCGAGCAAGATATTGTTGGGCTGAAAGTTCTCGCGGTCTTGCTTGAGTCTTGGACCAATCCACCACGCACCCACAAAACCTGCTGTGCCAGAGGACAAGTGAATCACGTAGCCACCTGAGTAGTCCATGACACCCATCTGAAAGAGGAAGCCGCCACCTGGAAGATTGTTAGCTCGTGCTCGTGACTGAATTGACTCTGAAGCGTGTGTTCTCACCCCACAAGCTGTAGGCGCCAATGCAGTAGCTGAAGGTAAGCCAGAGCGGCACGAAAAGCATCCAGGCTCGGAAGCTCATGCGCGCCAAGTACGCGCCCGCGATGAGAGCGAGAGTGATAGCAGCGAAGACAAACTGGAAGTAGATCATCGTGGCCTTCGGAAAGTTCTGCGAGACGTTGGCGCTGGGCAGCGTGGACTGTACGATCACCTCGTCCATCGTAAGGACAGGTCCTGGCCTTCCGGCGAAAGGCAGCATGTATTGGCCGAAGCCGATTTTGTATGCCCAGATGACCCAGCATATGAGGACGCTAGCGAAGGCGTAGAATACCATGAACATGCTGTTGATGGCCCACTTCTTCTTGACCAGACCGGCGTAGAGTACACATAGTCCGGGCACTGATTGGAGCGCGACGAGAGATGCAGCTGTCAGTTGCCAGGCATTGTTGCCAGTGTCGAGCCAGGCTGGAGTCTCCAGCGCCGCCAGCTGATCCGCGGACATTGTTGTATGTTGTAGGAGGGTTGATCTGCCACAAGCAAGGCGGAGCTCCGATCTATATGGCCCGCAGCTTGCGAGATGCAAACAAAGAAGAGCGCGGGTGCCGTTTAATAATGTGTTGCACAAGAGCACCCGAAGCTCGAATCCTCCGCCTGCAGCTGACGAGTGAAGCAAACGAAAGGTGCGACAGGGGCTGTGCTGGACGAGGGAAGATGTCTATTTCTACTTTACCATTGCAACGGACAAGGGAGCTTCTCGTCTTCGCTTCCAACAATGCACGACACTCGCTTCTTCCTGCAGGTCGAGACCGCTTGGGTGGGTCAGTCCATCTTCACTTCGCCTTCTGCCCATGTGGTCGCATGGCACACGATATGGAGATATCGCCATCTGACCAATCGCGATGCCGGATCTATGGTATCTTCACGGCGATTAGAGGATGGTGATGTTAATCAGAATTAAGCTCACTGCCTCGAGGTCTGAACAAGGCCAAGTCTATTGCTTAGCGAGAGCAGGTGCTCCGAGCTTTGCGGTGGGATGTTGGTGTTTAGCCAACAGGGATGGGTTTCCTTATCAGTTGCATGATGCGGCTGGTATCCCTGTTGCAGCCGATGCGGCCTTCCGATTTGACAGGTTTGCTGTTTCGCAGAGAACGTGGGTGGCTGGACGAAGGTAAGGATGATTTGAATATGGTGAGACCCTCTCACTATGCTATACCATATTACGGCAAGTACGAGCTGAGCAGCGCGTCCTTGTTCAGTGTCGAACTGTGACAGTCGGCGATGGTTGAGCTGTTGTGCCACCCGACTTGGAGCAAGTAGCAGCACCAGAGACGCCGATGAGCGACCTCCGAGCCAAGCTTTCTCTCCACGCGATGCTAGCGAAGACAAGCAATCCACGACCCACATAGTAACGGCTTGACTTTTGCAAATATGCCGCGTATCAGATATGCATTTCCTAAAGGCTTGATAGCAGATGATTAAAAGCCATTGACAGAAAGTAGAGGCGCCCACGAGAATGCTAGATATGTTGCTTATCGCGTGGCTGCTGACGAAAAAGCTAATCGGCGACCGCATACACAATGTAATGGTAACAAATCTCTGGGACGGCGATCGCGGCGCGCTAAGCGTTGCTATCTATCACACATCTGGGTACGGAGTTACGCAGTGCTACAAGTACTGCAGTGCGATGGTCGCTGCGGCAGCATGGTGTACGGATTGCTGGTTAGTATGCATACTCCAATACGTACTTCTGTGAACGCCTAATCCCTCTTCTCACCCACCTTGCCCAACTTTCGCAACCCTACGCCTCCAATACCTGTAGCCAAGATCATCATAGCAAACAATGTCCAAAAGCTAGCCCGATATCCCTTCATGATCGCTGGCACAGACTCCTCACTACCATTCTCCTTCGTGACCGCAGTAGAGATCACACTCAGTACCGTCAGCCCAATAGACGTCCCAATCTGCGCAACAGTATTGAACACGGCACCGGCCAACCCTTGTGTCTGGGGTGGGAATGACGCAGATACTATGATGAGTCCTACTGTGAAGAGGACGTCGCCACTGACGGGCGCAAGGATCTGAGCGGGAAAGGCGTCGTACCAGTAGGGCCACTTGGGGTTGATGATGGCCATTAGTAGAGGCGCAATGGCGGCCAAGGCGGCAGAGGCTAAGACCGCGACCATAGCGGGGACTTTGTTGATGATGAGGCCTGTGATCAGCTCTATGGCGACGCCGCAAAGGAGGTTGGGGAGGAGACGGAGGGAGGCCCCTAGAGCCGATGTAAATTGGACTTTTTGGAAGCTTTTGAATGCTACTCTCAGTAAAGGTGGGAAGCATCGGAATGAGGTGAGATCACTCACAAAAGACTGGAGAAGAGCTCAATGCTGTTCTGCACACCGTACACTAGAAGTACCATGAGGCAGATACTTGTGAAAGCCGAATTCTTCCAGATGCTGTTTGGGATCAAAGCGGGCTTGTTTCGCTTCTCTTGCCTGTTCATCCAGAAAGCGAAGGCGGGCGCCAAGGCGACGCTGAATACGAGTAAGATGATATTGCTGGCGCGACGTATGTTGTCTATTTCTGAGGAGAGCATACTGTTTGTGGTTAGCAGGTGTCATCAGGTAAGTCGGCTTTACTCACGCTAAGACAAATGAGAATAGAGCTATAGAGGTACAAGCTATGCCAGCGCCTACCCAGTCAACATCTTGCACTAGCCGTTGCAAGGTTGACTTCTGTGAAAGCGTAGGAGCAGCGGGTGGAGGCGAAGGTAGAGCCCAGATAGCCATGACAAACAGAAGAAAGCTCAGCCCGCCTCCAATGTAGAATCCAGACCTCCACCCGAGTGTATCCACAAAGACACCTCCGAGAACCAGCCCGACCGAGAAGCCAAGTGGTTGCGATAAACCAAGACATGCAAAACCCAGATTCCTTGGTTTGCCATCGGCCACGGAAGTCGAGACGATGGATATACTAGTCGGCACCGTCATGGCGTTAGCGATACCTTGCATGGCTCGAAAGAGCACGAGCTGGATCCCTGTCTGCGCAAGACCACATCCCAAGATGAAAGCGCCCATTAGTAGACATCCTGCCAGATTCATGCCCCGAGGACCGAGCACATCCGCTACCGCGCCTGCGATCAAAACGCAAGAGCCGCTGGTCAAGGACAAGACGGATGTCGGCCAGACGAGAAGACTGTCCATTAGTAGTAGATCGGCAGCGATCGCGGGCAGGGCTACAGTTATCATGCCGTTGGAGATGGAATTCAGGAAGTTCACGCCGGAGAGAGTCGTGATTACTATGATTGAACGGTTGGCAGACAGGGTAGTGGCCGGAAGTGGAGGTAGTGGAGCGGTTTCAGATCTGCTCGAAGAGGAGAGCGAGGGCCTGCTCGCGACATGTTGGGCATGTTCTGAGAGGCGAATTGTGTCTAGCTCGATTTCTATTGTTGTTGTTTGAGTAGCCATGATGTCGAGTATTAGGAGCTAGATCCTTAGGTCGTAGCAATAGTCATAGGTGTTCAGGAACATCCACACGGGTTGTGCTGAAATGGAGATGCTTGCTCTCATGATATCAATTGACATGTGAGTCATGCCTTCTCTTGTCAATGGCAGCTTTTCACGCCCTAGATGTACTCGAGACAAGCGCGGCCGCATGCGGCCGCGCAGAGCGCTAGCGTAGCAGTGGTCCATCTCCATCTCCCACTGACGATAGGTTTATTTGCCATCTTCATCCTTCACAACTTATGGCGAGGAACCTGAGGCCGGGTTTTGAGCTGATGTCTGGGAGAGCTACACGAAGAAATCGGCTATGCAGAGTGGATGGCACATGTTCCAACATTTGAGGCCGCAGAGCCTTGCGGCTCGATCGTCGTGCTCCGCCACGTCCTTCGTAACAGCTACGGGAAGCTATTCATTTATAGCAGGAAGTATACTTCAGTACATAATCATCTCAACTCTTGACGGACACGTTGACCTCGCTCTCGAATTACTTCGCTCGTCGATGCGCCCATAACGATGGAGACATTAAGCAACACACTCACGGTATGCTCGATTTGGCTGTGGTTACAAGCCTGATGACTACTGTACAACGACTAACGTGGCCAGAACATTTTCGTTCTCGCAGCACTTCTGACTGATTATCTCGTACTGTTCGACTTCTGGATCTTGACTCCACCCAGTTCCCCTACGGGACCACCTACACCTCAGCGGAAACGATGGCTAGCTGGCCTCAAGACCACCGTCTGCTACGCTATCACACAGCCTCTATGGTCCTGGGCTGTCGCGGCATCTTCTGCGGACGGAGTCTTCTGGATATTGATGGCCTCTTACGCAGCTCTTCTGTCTGGTTCGGGAGCACTAGCTATCTTCAGTGCCGGTGTCGAATTTATTGTGAAGGAGCATAATGAGAATTGCTTGATCCTCCAAGACAACAAAGTCGAAGACAGTACGCCCGGATCGGTTCCAAAGCTCGAGACGGCTGCTGAGCCTGGTCAGCCAAGGATCGAGAGTGGCGAAATTGACAGCTCAGAAGCTGAGAAGGCGACACTGTCTTCACGAGCTCAGCAGCAACGAAAGCCTTGTACTCGACATACCCTGCCATCATCATACTACCTCGCCATTTTGCTCCCTACCCTGACAGCGGCAGCCGCGGACAGCGCTCTACTGTTCTTCGCCCGCTTCCTCACAAGCAAGAACAGCATGGACTGGATCCAAGAATCTGCCGTAGGCTGGAAAATCTTCACGAGCGTTGCGGCTTTCAGCTACGCGGGCTCGAAAGTCATGAATTGGATGGCGGCTTCTTTCGCCAATCGCGGCCGTACCCCTGGCAGGACTCAATCCTGGAGGGTCTGGGTCGCATTTGGGGCAGAGAAAGCTATGCTGCTCTTGATACTATTCATGCTCAGGAGCACTTTGCGTGTTCTCCTCGGGCAGAAAGTATTCCTTGGTTTCACTTGGAACGCGAACAATTTGTCGCTCCGGCTCATCGGTCCTCTGCTGAATCATGGAGACGTTCTACAGCCGGCGGCAACCAAGAAGATACTTGGTATCAACTGGTATGCCTTGCCGCGTTGGACAACATGGCTGACGAACGGGATAGTGGCCGTGGGTCAGGTATGGTGGATTATCAGTGGGCCGATGAGACGAAATAGAGCAGTACGGGAAGAGAACTTTACGGTCACAGAAGGATAGTGAGTGCTGTTATCAGGCGTTCTACTTCGAGCAGACTGGAGGAAGATGGTAGACTTGCGGACGTGCAGCCAACACAGCCATACGAGAGGACTACAGGACTAGTTTTACACTGTCAGCAGATCTACTTCGCATCCAGCATCAGGTGCTCAAAGAATCAGCACTCTCAGCATTAAGAGGATCAGAAGCTGTAAAGCTGCAGCAGAGTGCAAATTACGTTATGTAGGCCAACAGCTCAGGCTACAATGTGCATGCTCACGTCGTTCTTGGCCGCCGATGATTGACCCAACTTCTGAAAACAGGCATTGATACCACCGGATGATGAACGAAAGGACTCTCCCACTGGAGGCTATCCTACATGTGCTACAGTAGATTAGATGGACGATCAGGACAACTGCATCTTCGCACTCATGACATCCTCCGGCCATGCCAACGCGCCCATAATACGTAAGAGCCAGGTGCAATCATTCCTGCCACCCTGCACGTCGCAGCAGCGTGAATTGACCTACAAGCACTTAGCTCCACAACAAGGGAAAGCTTCTCTGACACTTACACCAATGAGGTACCATTAGCGGCCCACAACCGTTCAGATCCTGCATGCCACCGTTCCAGCGTTGATGGAAACGATCACGGCCCTGCCACGGTGACGGGACACTCGAAGTCCTCCCAGCCCATACCAGGATCCCGCTTGACCTGCTCAGCACGATATCGCTCGAAGACGACCTTGAAAGCCTGCGGTCCCAATTTGCCGTACTCGTCCGCTGTCGCAGTGACGCCGTCTGGCCCTGCGAGCTTGGATTTGATGGTAGAGAGACGTTTGTCAATATATTTTTTCGAGTGGCTGCAGCACGGCCTTGGAGAGCTTCTTGTCATTGTCCGCGAACTTGAAAGCGACGCCGCCTGTGGCTGTACGACGAGATTTGCCGAAAGAAGCGGAGGCGGGATCGCAATCCATGGTGAAGGCCGCGAGGGCGGTGTTGGCATCGCTACCGACTGTGAACAGGGGGTGTTGGCTCTGGTCCGGCTTGGCGTAGAGGAGATCGATGCCGAGGCTTGAGACTAGAGGGAGTGGTTGCCAAGCATTGGTTGAAAGCTGGAGAGGTGTCGTTGCTGAGACGACGTAGGCTGGCTCCTCTCCTGTCCAGGCCGGAGGGTGGATGATAACGATGCAGGTGGGTCCTCCACCTAGCATTTGACTGAGTTGGGCTGGAGATGGGTTTGTGGTTGGTGCCATTGTTCCTGTGCGGATGTTGCTGGTTTGCGTTCGAGCATGAAAAGGGTGTGAGGGTGGTTTGGTTGACGATGGTGTTCAGACTGGCATGAAGAAAAGTTTGGGCGATGGAGATCGGATGTAGGAACATAAGGGCGGCGGGTTGGAAGACACGTCAACGCCAACAGCTGGCAGCGGTTATAGTACCATGCAACAGCCCGGAGTATGCGCAGACAGTGCCGCGGGTACCTGCAGCTTCGATGTCCCTCCAAAGGCAGCTCCAGCACCGGTTTTCCAGAAGCGAGGCGTGCTGGCCAGGAGTGCGCAGATCTTCTCACCACTGTACCCGGAGATGGACTGGTCAGGCCACACATCACCCCCAGCACCGGAGTCTACATGGGTGAAGGAGGAAGCAGCATCAGAGAGGTGTTGTCTGTCTTGCAATCGGAATCGTTAGTTGTGTTATCAAGCACAGAAAGGCTATGGATACCTGCAGCTTGACGTTGCTGGAGCTTACGACCTGTCACAATTTGGCTGGAGCATAATGCCGATCCCAACCGTCTCTACAGCACCCGAAGCTCTGGTCCAGGCAGACGGATGGGCTCACGGACGCAAACGTCGACCAAATGTGGCACTGTTGCGATGGCTGCATGACTTCGGGCACCTGCAGCACAGCCGGCATTCTCTCTTCCCATCTGCAGGATTCGCGACTTGTCGCAAACGGCAACCGAAATCACAGGAGCAGGGGCGTGCCGGCCTGCTGCAACGTGTTGCTCGCACACCAGAGCTCTGCTGCTGCCTGCCTGGCGGTAAAGGGTTGTCCACGCCTGGACAGTAGCGTGATCGCTGGATCCGCCTGGAGGCCTTCCGCGATGATTCAGGAGATAGCTGCGAGGAGGATAGCCATTTCGAGGAACTTGGAAGAGATCTGCCATCCTCCTGGTACTGATGCTTATACACCCGTCTGTCCGCACATCGCATATAGCATGCGAGTGCCTGCGAGTGCTACGACCTTGGGTTTTCCTTCGATGGGCAAAGCTCGCTGCTTGGCGTCCCTTGGCGCCGTTTCGTGCGTGGCGCGCTTCCATTCTGGTGTCATAGTCAGTGACCCGCATGCTCACAGACAGCCCGCTCACTAACTTGTCTCGTTTCGATACTCCTGTGGTGGCCAGATCTGGATTGATGCAACGACGAGCGCGGTCTCGAGTGAGCTGTGGACAGAGTCCGATGGCATCGTTGTCCCATGATGGAGCAAAGGACTCGAGTTCGTGAGGTCCTCGGACCCAAGGCACTGCCGTTAGCGTGGAAGCAAGTCTACACAATGCCACCCACTACTACTATATTTTATGTCTCGAGGGAATGCATCATGCGGTCCTGCGGGAGATAAGACCCACGCAACATCCGCTCTTGACCGAAGTAGCGAATTAGCCTCCTCATCACCTCATTAACCCCCCATCATCGCTCTGATGGTGCGTTTGATCAGCCCACATCACCTAGAGTATTAGTAGTAGCAGCATCATCAAATACCACCGACAATGGTATTGCTTGATATGGCAGGTGCATAAAAGATAGAAAGCGATACAATACAATACAATACAGAACAATCCGATCGCCAAGCCATACATGCTTGAAGGCGGCCAGGGGAACCTTTTTGTTTGTGTCCATCATACTTACAACAGAGAGCGAAGAGATGCACCCCCCACCCACCAGACTCCACCTTTCCCTCTGTCCTTCACCATTGTCCCCAGCAGCCACGGAGAGAGTGCAAGCTCAGCTGATGCCATGTAGCCGATGTACGCTCCCCCGCTAAGATCACACCGCCCTTGTCTCGGAAGAACCCATCATTTCATCCCAAAACCATCAACTTCCCACGACATCTACTTCCCTCCCTCCCCCTTCCCAGCACCACCACCAAACCACCCAAGCGCCCCTTGCTTCATATCCCGCATCCCACTCTCCATCTGCCGTCTAATCTCCTCCTCTTCTTCCTTCAACCATTCCGCCCCATGTTCCCTAATCTGCGTCTCAATCGCCTCATACTGCCTCTGCCCCTGCTCCCGAATCTGATCGGATAACATTTTCCCTTTGGCGAAACCCTCGCTTACTGTCTGCCCGTCCGCAAGAACCATCCCGCCGCCCATTCCAGGGGTGGATTTGACGCCTAGAGCGCCCGCGAGGCTGCCGAGGGAGAGTTTCGGCCGCCGGGATTGTTCCGAGGCGTATTGCGCGTTGAAGAGGCGGCGGGCTTCGGCCTCTCGCGCCGCGAATTCCTGGTGGATTTCTTTGCCTTCGAAGGATTTCAAGACTGGTCTGACATCTTCGGTTCCCATGGCCGCGAGATTCTCCAGGAAGGGGATCAATCTCACCAAATCCCCGGCTCGAGGATCACCTTTATCGCCCGTCCATTTCGGGAGGATGATGGCGTTTTCGGGTTGGTTGGCCACGTGGCCTTTTACCGTATCGAGGATCAATGTCTTGCTGAGCGGACGATTGAGGTAGGAGAGGTCTTTGATGTACTGGCCATTCTCGTATTTCGTCGCTTCCCTACCCAAAGGCCACATGATGAAGTGGAAGGGATCCAATTTCTTGATAATCGGGTCGGCGATACTGATCGGGGCGGAAGTGAAGAGCACGAGCTCGTAGTATTGCGACAAGTAAAGGATGAAGTAATCGATTCCCGGCCGTTTCGCAGTCCGGTATCCATGTTCCCGATCCCAGGTGTTGTGGATCAACAAATCCTCCAGACTCAAAACAAGGGTGTAGGGTTGCCGCTGCGCCTCCGGGATTTCGGGGAGGAGTTTCGGGAAGGTCGGTTCGGTGTAATAGCCCATCTGACTTCCCATTCGTGCTCGCAGACGCGCATACATTTTGCCTGGAGCCCAGCCAGTTATCTCATCTGGTGGCAGGCCGGTGGGGACTTCTTCTCGCGCGTTGAAGGGGCGGGCGAGGTAGAATGTTCCGGTTACTATGCTGGCGAGGATGCCCGCATACAACCAATTGGCCATTTGAGCGCGGCGGCGATCGAGGGAGGTTTCGTAGGCGGAGCGGTCGTAGGAGCGGTTGGATTCACCGTCTTGTCTGCGGTCCTTGGGGGTGGTGGAGCTTGGGTCCATGCCGTCGGTTTGTTTGCTGGGTCGTTCTTCCCTTGTTTGGTCCTGAGTCTTCTGACCAAATTCGATGTCGAAGGTGCTGGGGATGCCTTGTCGTAGATCTGGTAGAGGTCCTGTCGCGAAGGGTTCTGGTTCAGTGGGGGCGGAGGCTTCGGGTGGTGGAGGGGTGTTTTCGGCTTGGGCTTGCGCATCTTGTACGCGACCTCTTAGGCTTCCCGTCGCTGGCTCGTCGGCGTCTAGTCGTTGTGCTTGTGGCTCGATGGGTGTAGGGTCAGGCTCGAGGGGTGCTTGACGGATGGTAGCATCAAGCGCTGGTCGTGTGCCATTAACTGAGGTCTTCGCGCGCCTCGCATCTTCTGCTCTATTCGCCGCGTTGGCTGCGCTTGGCATTGCTGCTCCGCCCATCTTGATCCCATCTGCGGGTTTCCATGTCTGATCTTTAGGAAGTGTTGTGCCAGGACTTGTTTGTCGTGCTCGAGCGGTTGCGCTGGGAGGAGCTGGTCGTGATGGAGGAGGAGGGCGGGCTCCGGGTCGTGATGATGCTGGTGGAGGTGGCGGCGGTCTTCGTGGTCGGTCGGCGTAGGCGCGTATTCGGGTTGCACTGGCTGTTAATGCTGTACGGGTGATGTGAAGGGGTGTGGTGGTGGTGGTGGTGGTGGTGGTGGAGGAGGGTCGGATGGCCCTGAGGGCTGCTCGTTGGAGCATTGCTGTGGTTGTCGTCTATTGTGCTGCCGGAGTATGGTTCTTCACGCCTTCATCTTGTCTCTGTCGAAGAGGCAGACGATGATATATACCAGTACGAGATAATCGTTCCTCTCCATCACCGAGCTTCACCTCCGACGCCCGCAGAAGTTAAAGTGGCATCAAGTCGGCGATGATTGGCTGAATGAACAGCCCACTATATCACCACGTATATGATTGCAAATCGATATCGTACTACTTACAGCCTCAAACCAGCTTTCCCACCAGGCCAATCATACAAAGCTGGATTTAGGATATGATATGATCTGACATGATCCACTTATGACTGTTACGCATCAATGATCAAACGACAGCGGCTCGATGCCCATACTCGACTGGCCAGTGGCCTGCTCATACGCACCGCAACACCCAACATGGCGGAACCAGAACGTCGTGATGCTGCTTCTATTCTGCATTATAGCACTCCTCATGACACCCGCCCACTGCATGACCGATGACGAGATCAAGATATTAAAGTAAAGAAATGCCATACCTAACAATATATTATCGCGAGCACGTGAGCAAGAAATATATACTGACAAAAGTGATTGGTTATGTGTAGAGCAGACACCCGCCACCTCTTCTACCACGGATACGACAACTACATGCTCCACGCCTTCCCCGACGACGAACTGAAACCCCTCTCCTGCCAACCCCAGACCCGGAATCGGGACAACCCGGCGGATATCGGGTTGAATGATGTGTTGGGTAATTACAGCGTCACGCTGATTGATTCGTTGTCTACCTTGGCCATCTTGGCTAGTGATGAGGATGAACGACATGCGAAACATGCTTTGATGGAGTTTCAGGGCGGGGTGAGCAAGTTGGTCGACTTGTATGGGGATGGTAGTAAGGATGAGAAGACTGGGGGGAGAGATTGTGGGACTCGAGCATGTGCCTTCCATCTGGATAGTAAGGTCCAGGTGTTTGAGACGAATATCCGCGGTGTAGGTGGCTTACTCAGCGCGCATCTTTTCGCGGTTGGAGATTTACCGATTCGAGGATATGATCCTACACCGGACAAGGATGGCAGGATCAAGTGGAAGGGGTTGAGGTATGATGGACAACTCCTACGACTCGCGCATGATCTGGCTGAGAGGCTACTCCCGGCTTTCGACACACCGACTGGGATGCCCTATCCGAGGGTGAACTTGAGACACGGCATCCCGTTCTATCGCGACTCGGAGGCGGGGGTATGTCGGTTGGATGGTACTTCTTCCGATCCTCGCGAGATCACCGAGACGTGCTCGGCTGGAGCTGGGAGTCTGGTGCTGGAGTTTGCTACGCTGAGTCGGCTAACTGGGGACATGAGATTCGAGGGACTGGCCAAGAGGGCATTCTGGGCTGTGTGGCGGCGGAGAAGTGGGTTGGGGTTAATTGGCGGTGGAATCGATGCCGAGAGTGGCATGTGGACTAGTCCGCCACTCGCAGGTATCGGAGCAGGGATCGACAGTTTCTTCGAGTATGCGCTGAAAAGCCATATCCTGCTCTCCGGCCTCTCACCTCCCGCCACGCCGAACGAAACCACATCAGACGACAACCAACCCAACGACTCCTCCTCCGCCTTCCTCACCGCCTGGCAAGACTCCCACGCCGCGATCAAACGCCACATCTACCGCCCTGCCTCCGTTTCCCAACACCCATACTACGCGCAATCCGACCTCCTCACCGGCGCACCACGCTATACCTGGATCGACAACCTATCAGCCTACTACCCGGGCCTCCTGACCCTAGCCGGCGAACTGGAAGAAGCGATCGAAGCCCACTTAACCTACGCCGCTCTCTGGACCCGCTACGCCGCTTTGCCGGAGAGATGGATGGCGCATAATTCCTTCGTCGACCCCAGTTTTCGCCATTGGGCCGGGCGCCCGGAGTTCGTGGAGAGTACTTGGTATCTTTTCCAGGCTACGCGGGATCCTTGGTTCTTGCATACGGGGGAGATGGTGCTGAGGGATGTGAGACGGAGGTGCTGGGCGAGGTGTGGATGGGCTAGTTTGGCGGATGTGGGGACCGGGGAGCAGATGGATCGGATGGAGAGTTTTTTCTTGGGGGAGACGGTCAAGTATTTGTTTTTGCTTTTTGATGAGGGGCATCCGTTGAATGGGGTGGATGGCGCTGTGGTGTTTTCTACGGAGGGGCATCCGCTTGTTATTCCGAAGAGGGTGAGGAAGGCTGGTAGTGGGGGTGGCGGTGAAGGCGTGCGAGCAGGTCGGTCGACAACGACGACGAAGACCGCATCACGGAATGTGGACGCGGCGACAGCCGAAGCACCGGGACCGCAACAACCACCGGCCCCCACCTGTCCCGCACCCGCACCGCCTATCCCCCTAACCATCAGCAACGTCGCCGCCCGCCCCGACCTCTTCCACGCCGCTTCCCTGGCACAACTCCATCTCGTCCCTATCCACCCTTCCCGCACCCCCCTCAATGCACCACTCCAGGACCCAGCGGACCTCAGCTCCGGACCGGGGACTACACTACAGGATCTCCAGAGTCCGACGAATTATACTTTCTACCCTTGGACATTACCGAGGGATTTGATCCCCGTGAAGGGGAGGAGTAGTCCGATTCGATCGCCGGTTACTTCGACCTTGACGTTTCCGAATTTGGGGACCGTGGGTGCGGCTGAGGGTAGTAGTGGTGGTGGTGGCGGGGTTGGTGGTGATGGGGAAGGGAAAAGTGGTGCGCCGGGGGTCGTGGCGCTGGGAGCGCTGCAGAAGGTACTAGAGGGCGTTTTTGTCAACTCATTGAGTCATGTCCGGCTGAACATGGTGCGGGAGGATAAGCACGTCGCATTGGCTCCGGCTGCTTCTTCGCCTGCGGATGTTGTTGGCGGCGCTGTCGGTACGCCGGGTATGAACAGTGCCCCAGGCTCGGAATTCAGGATCCATGGCATTGCGAACTGGGCGCTTGGCAGGGATGAGAAGGTTTTGGTTGCCCGGGAGGCGTTGGAGAGGGTTAGTCCGGTGGATCCGCATTTTACAAGGGTTAAGGATTTGGAGATGGTGGATTTGGTGGTGGATACGGTGGTCTGGGGAAGAGAGAATACTGAGTGGGGGCCGGATGTGACGGAGGGGGATGGCGTGCTTGATGAAGACGGTGATGTGGAGCTGGAGTGGCCGGATATTGATATTGAGATCGAAGATGCTGGGGTGGAGGGGATGGAGAATGGGACTGTGGACTCGGGACTCTGGACGAGTCTGGAGGCTATGTTCGCTTCCCTTCTCGGCTCGCAACCGACACCGACGCCTCCGTCTTCGGCTAACAAGAACCCTTCCACCAGGCTCGCCCGCGTAGTCATCCCCGCCATCCTTCCCATGGGCGTAGGCGCAGCGCCCTTCCCAGCCTCCCTCGAAAGCGCTAGCGATCCCCTGACCCTACCCGGCGGCAAACTGCCTTTCACCTCAATCTTCTTCCTCGACAGCACACTCTGCGACCACCGACTACCGGCCCATGTCGCGAAGGAGAATACCATTCTCATCCTCCTCCGCGGCGGCTGCGCGTTCAACGATAAATTGGCTAATATCCCCACCTTCGGCCCCGGACCCGAGAGCTTACAACTCGTCATCGTCGTCTCCACACCCGAAAGCCTTTCCGAGGGCGAGAGGGCTGAGGGAGGGAAAGAGGGGTTGATACGGCCGTTGTTGGATCAGGTGCAGAGATCACCGTCGGGATTGGTGAGGAGAGATGGTATTGCTATGGTTATGGTTGAGGGGGATGAGGAGACTGTAAGGGCGTTGAAGGGCGCGGCGAGGAAGATAGGGATGTTTGGGGAAGATGGGGGGTTGGTTGTGGAGGATGGGGAGGGCGTGAGAGGTGGAGGTGTTGGTGGTGAGACGGGATTGGCGGTCAAGAGGAGGTTTTGGTTCGAGAGTATGGGGGTTCCGATTGGGAATTTGATTGTGGTGTGAGGGATGGACAGGATAGGACTCCCGAGGATAGTGAGAGTTGTACAGATGCATAAGATGTGCTGGGGGGATGGTTGCCAGGCGTTTGGTGTTTTGAGATACCCTTGTATATACCACCGACAACTGATACTCTACCTCAGGTCCCCGCTCCCTGGTGTGACCTACTTTGCCACCCTTACATTCTGCTTCGTGACGATCGGAAGCACGCCTGCTCACAACCTCTCAGCAAACCTCATCTCGTCCTTCCCGGCATCGAAGACGGCGACGACATTCTTCAGAAATGCATCACCGAGGAAGTTCCAGCGAGATCCCCTGCTGTGCGTCATTCGTCGCGGGCACGACACTCGAATAACATGTTCCGGCTTCGTCGCACCAGATCATGTCCAGGGCGTGGATGGCGAAGGTATGATTTGCTATTGTGACTCCGAGGGTTGGAGGAGTGGCGTTGCAGGGTACGGTGTAGAAGCCTGTTGTCTCGACCAGAGTCGCCGGGGGGTCAAAAGCGGCGTTTATGTCCCTCGCGGCTTCGAAGGGGAGGAGGTTGAGGTTCTGCCCGCTGTCGACTACGGCTTGGAAACTTGTGGTGTTTGTTACTGTTGTGCCGTAGGGAGTTGTGTAGGTGAGGGATTGAATGCGGAGGGTCCATTCTGTTATTTCGAGGGTGTTGTTCGTGAGGGTTAGCGGGAGGGTGGAGGTTATTTCGACTGGGGTGCTGATGAACAGGCCGTGGGGTACCGGTGGGAGGGTTCCTAGGGTTAGGTAGCCGCCTTTTGGGTGGGGTTTGGTTAGTGGAGATGTGGGGACCATGGTGGTCGTGGAAAATGGGGTGAATGTGCTTACCGAAACCTTGGGCTTGGTCGAAGGGCGTACGTTCTCGTGCTAGATTGATATACGGCTCCATTCCCTCTGCCACCAGGCTCTCGAAGACGGTGGGATACGCTGTTCTATCGTCGAAGAGACTGGCGTTCCCGGCTAGGACCTCGTCGATACTCAGGGTATTTGGGTGCTGGTAGGTGATGGATGGGTAGCCGAAACCTAGGATCCCGACTGCGAAACCATCGAGGACTGCTCCGATGGTGGTATTGGCTACTGCGAATTCTTGGTGTGGGATGCTCAGACTGTCGCGGCGGCTGCCGCAGCCTGGAAAGCTCATGGTGTCGTAGCTGAATGTGCCGATGGTGTCGCCGGCTCCTAGACTCTGGCCGAACCATACACTATCATCGACCTCGAAGCCGTGATCTGTGGCTTTGCCCGGGTAGTTGAAGGTTGTTGATCCGCTAGGACAGCTATCACGGCTCGCTTGAACGGTCGTGCCGTTCGGTGCGAGTTGGAGACATTGCGAATCGGAGCCGAGGACCCAGGCGTCGGCACTGCCAGTGTCGACGGTCATCTGGAACTGTTTGTTGCCTTCTGAGCCGAATTGGACGGCTACATGGTAGCTGAGACCTTAGCCGACGGATGTCAGAGGGAGGTCTGCAGATTTGTGCTCTGAGTGTGATGGCGCGGCTAGAGCGGTGCTTAACAAGCAGTGAAGCGGCGACATTGTTCTCCTGTTTCTGCTTGTACGGGAGGACATTGGGCAAGGATGTCCGATCAAAAAGGTCGACTCGCACAATGAGTGGAACAGCAAGAATGTGTCGTTCGTGTTGAGGTGGTATTTATAAGCCATCGAGGATGCATCTCGTGTCTGTAGCTGTTTGACTCCATCATAGGTAGAAGGATGCCAGTACGATCTGGCGTTCGTATTGATGTAGTGTGCTGTCTCAGCAGCACAAATATCGGCCCCCAAAAGTATCTATACTGAGACGCACTTAGACGGCGCAGCCAATCACATCGCGCCAAGGAATTCAGATAAATAGCCTATGAGGCTTAGCACCGGCTCCAATTACTTGTTCAATCTGCAGCCTTACAATACCGCTTCGCGAAACAGATGACAAAATCTGCGCGGCTTAGCAAGAATGCGAAGACTGACTCGAGTAGGCAGTCATATTGATGGCGTGGATATAAGTATCCTCTCAATGGCTGGCTCGTCTAGTACTGAAATTGTTCTACGCGATACATTCTGCAGACACGATAGCTGAACTCAAGGCAACAGTACTGACCCTCCACCATGCCGGCGAAAGAAGCCTCTAGACCAGGCAGACGTTTCGGGTTATCAAGATCGAAGTCCGGCTGTACTGTCTGCCGACAGCGTCATCTCAAATGTGACGAGGCGAAGCCGTCCTGTCAGCGCTGCACAACCGGCGACTGGACCTGCAGCTACCCACTCCCCTCACCTGACGGGCACACCAATGGTAGACGAGCTCGAGGAAGTCGGACCCCTGGCTCCTCAGACGAGGACGGCAGCGGCTTAAGCTTAATTAGACCCGCAGTTGACATTGGCCTCAGCACCTCAGAGCGCCGAGCTCTTGCTTACTTTACGCAATATGCTGCAGGGGAGATGTACGGGTACCTGGTCTCGGATATCTGGACGTACGTAATTCCACAGCGCTGTATGAGCATACCAGTCATCCGAAATGCGGTAGTGGGGCTGAGCACTATGCACTGGGAGTTCGTGTCATCTCCCGGTTCCGGGTCGTTGTCGGATATGGCAGAGCCTTCACTGGAATCCACGAAAGCATACAACAAGGCCATCTCTTCGTTGAGGCAGTACATAGCCGATTCGGACGCACCCGCAGAAGCCGATGTGTTATTGGTCTGCCTAATCTTGATCTGCTGCGAGCTACTCCGTGGGACCCCCGATCAAGCGACGAAGCATTTGGACATGGGTGCAGCGATTGTCAAGTCATGGTCAGCCGGCCTCTATCGAAGCAGCTCTCAATCCTGTGACATCAAGTCACCAGAGCAGGACGACTTCGATATGCTAAGCAGAGCCTTCATTGCCATGGAAGTACACGCTGTTGCGTTCAACGACGAACGTTTGCCTATCTTGACTGGCCTTGGCTTGCCAGGCGACACCAACGCCATAGAGTCAGCTCATCTCCCTACACAATTCTCAACTATCCAAGACGCGCAATACAGCCTCAACCAGCTCCTCGGCACCGCATTCGCCGCCATGGTTGAGACGGCTCCATACAAGATCAGCTATACGACGAATGTGCCACAAGCGCATATCAGACGACGAGAGCTCCTGCGTGTCATGTGCGACAGATGGCTGTCTGCGATGCTGGAACTGGAATCGGAGCTAGGTGTGTGGTCAGCCAATCCCAACGTAGAGGATCGGAGGCGACAGAAGACCGTGGCAGTACTAAGAGCTCAGCACCTGTCCATCCAATGCTTGCTGGACGAAAATATACAGATCAACCCTTGCGACGAGGAGCACTGTGCCTCGTCTTTTGATGACAACGCGGGACACTTTATTCGCTGGGCCAGCATTGCAACAGATAGTGACATTACTCCAAATGACCCAGCCGCCGGCCATGCTTGGGACAGCGGCGACGGAAAGCGAGCGTTCTCTATCGACCTTGGTCTAGGCCCACCCTTGATACTATTCGCATTCAAGACCACGAATACAGGCTATCAGCAGCAGGCAATCTCATTGCTACGCAGCGACAAGCGCTTGCAGGGCTGGTATGATCTCAAGCACATGACTGCGATAATGCATGAGTTGTCTACCCATCCAGATGCTCCAGAGCCCTGGTCTGAAAACCATTACCCTGGTCGGTTGGAGTCGACCGCAGCAGCTGCGGCGAAGGCAGTGTATGGTCACGATTCGTTCACCATGGGCAGTCTGCAGACTATGAGGTTGCTGCGTCCGGTTTGGCGATCGCTTGACTGCGCGTATATAGATTGCGAGGAAATCGGGGTGTTGTAATCTCTCAAAGGGATTATGTAAAGTAGCGAGATTCATGCTGCACGTGGTAGCTCAGTTAGGAACCAAGTATCTGCTCGCTTGCTGCGCCACGCCAATCTGGCCTTGTTCAACAACGACAGCACTGGCTGGTAGACATTATCCCATCGGGAAAGCCGTATGAAGAATGTTAACTGAGAAAACTCTTCCTTCTCCAGCCCCGGAAACATTAGCTCCAGATGCTCTCCAAGGCGTGAAGTGAGCACACGGCACCACTGCCCATTGTCGTCTGTACGTATAGCGATACTGCAACGAGCATGTTGCAAGGTGCCAGCTTCCAGCCCCATTGGATATTCACAGTTCAGCTGAAACACGTAAAGGTCAGCAATCTCGGCATGCTTGACGTAGGTTGCTGCACTTTGTATCTGTAGACCTTTGTTTGTTATGGCGATGGGAGCCCTGTCGTTGCGCAGTGTCCTGATACCGGCTGAAGTAGCAAAAAGGCTGATATCAGGTGCGAGTATGCCAGACATCAGACCGGCTGGTGGCGAGATATGACGCCATGCGAAGATGGACTCATCATCAACCTGCCGCACGAGTTCTTGTTGGAGTCGTAAGAAGGCCCTAGAGCCCTCGCCATACAGCAGAGGCATATTCACTCCCATGAGACCAAGTAGACTATAAGCCATATCCTCTGGTCTAGTAGTCCTCCGCTTAGAGGCCCAGCTCAGCCTCTCGGCAACACACTTCGTATGTATGATCATGCCAGCCATCAAGCAGCTCTCAGGTATAGCCGTAGCTTTCACGATCACTGGTAGGATCGTCACGTCGCGTTTCCCGCCGATCTCGCGCCAATCGGAAGAATAGAAGATCACGATTCGGGGCGCCAGAAGCTCCTGGAGTGTCCAGCCACGGCGAAACCACTCACTGCGCTCGAATCTCTCCAACATATGCGCCCAGTCCGACGACCAGTGTACGTCTGATAGATAAGCAATGCACTCTGCGGCTTGCGAGTACCAGTCCCACATCGAGTTGATTGCCTCTGACAGCTCGGCACTGCTGCGCTTGTCGATGCAGCAAGTGTCAATCCAGACATACTGATACTTTCGCTCTCTGGTCATCTGACAGCATCTGATGATCTTGGTCCAGCCAGGACAATCTTCTCTCTCTTTGGAAGCAAAGTCGGCATAAGAAACTTCTTCCTTGCCCCATCGATGGCTCAAGATCGCATATCGTGGTGGCGGACGAGTGAAGTCCACGAACTCTAGAGTTTCTGTCTTGAGTAACCGCATCGCGTATTCTAGGAGAGCTACACGACAACAGGATCTAGCGCAAACGCATCGTATGGCCTAGGAGAGCCACAAGGGACTTGTATATGGCGGCGAGATGGCGGCATGTTGCATGAGAGAGCAGCCACGGTACGAAGAGCTAGAAGTGGAACAGTCTTGGCAAATTCACAGTCACATGATCATAACGGCGACGACCAACGTTTGTGTAAAAAGAATGCTTGTGTAAATTACCTATACTAAGCAAGTTTTCCTTGCCACGAGCACTGAATCATAAGAAAAAGGCGACCATCATCATATCTGAGTTAGTCGGCAGCAGCCGCAGAAATCTGGGTGTGATCACGTCCGCTCCACTTCAACTCCGTGTGAACGGTGTTGGTCCACGTGGCCAGTAATTCATCCCCGATCCAGTCCCATTAGCTATCCGTCGCGCTGTAATGTCCTTGGACATCGTTGGCCATCTCACCACATCACAGGTCCAGCAGTCTTCGTCAGCTCCACAGCAGCCTCTTTCAACCTCTCCACAAGATCGACCGGCTTATCTGTCTCTGTAGTCTGCTTCACCTCCTTAGGCACGCTCGCAGGCTCTCGTAGACTTTGGCGTATGCTTTGTGCAGAGCCCAAGGCCGATGGAAAGGTAAAGGTACCTTGTGGAGGAGGGCTAGTGCTCTGGGCAGTGTACCCTTGGTACGTGCCCGCCATAGCAGGGTACCCATGATAAGGTGGGGGCATCGGAGGTGGCGGGTGCTGCATAGCGCCGGTGAAGTCGATGGTGGGGCCACCCAGGATGTGGCCGGGACCGTGAACATGAGCATGAGCATGGGAATGACCTCGACTCCTCGTGCTATAACGCCTCGGTGCCGGCTTATCCTCGCACCATTTCGCCACCGTACTCACAATCTTCTCCTTGTTCGCCTCAAAATGCTTGCTGACGACATCCTTCCAGATCCCATCGCTTGCCGTGACATTCGCGTCTTTCCGATGTCCACCTGGACCTCCCAGCATCCTACCATTGCGGTACGAAGAATCGAACTTGATGCCAGGGCTGAGCCATTCGAGCATAGCGTGCTTGACAGTCATGCTGTAGACACGTCGATTGTAGTCACGACTTCTGTCGCTTCCACGCTCGTTCTCGTAGCTGGGCTCGTTGCAATGTGGTTCGTCGCAGAAGATCATGGCTTGAATACTGACCAGGACTTGCAGTAGTGTCGACTGACCAGGCCGCCAAGGCTCGCCGGACCATGTACCCAGTAGCGATAAGCAGACTTTGCCATCTTCGTAGAGGTTTGGGTTCACACGCACTGTCCCTCCTCCAGTCGTGCGGAAGTACACCTTCGGCGGCTCATTCGGGAAATTTGGACCGGCAAAGACATCAAACTCCCATAGACCGTTCTCGTATGGCGTGTCTTCTGGTCCAGTAATGAGAACCTTCATGATGTCCATACGAGACTCTCCGTAACGAAGATAGATGCCAGGTGGTAGACCAGTCTTGAGACGAGTGATCTCCTTCAGCAGCTCTCGCATACGACCTGGAGCGGTATCTGCCAGCCTGCTGGCATCCTTGCCATATGTGTGAGATGTGATGATAGTGTCATCGGCAATTTCGAGCACTCCGAACTCTCTCGACCATGCGGCGAGATCAACCGTTGATGTCTTCGTGGTCGGCCGAGCAGACTGTGTCTCTGAAGGCGGTGCCAAGGAACCCGCCAGCTCACAGATGCTGTTCGCGATCCACAGGAGACGCTGACCCTCATCGGTGGCGAAGTCCGAGTGGTCTCGCTCAGCTTGCTTCGTGATCATTCGTGCTTGGGTGACGAGGCCATCCATGCAAGACAGCAAGGATGGAGAAGTATCTGTGCTCGACGTTGTCGCAGTGCTCGTGAGATTGCCGACACGCTTTGCACGTTTTGAGACGAACAATGATTGTCTCAAGCTGTGATGAGAAGAGATGATCCTCACAAAGCGTAGCACGATCTCGTACAGACCACCACGACGAGCAGCATCTTCCACGGAGTCGTTACGAAGTAGTTCACCCACTCTATCGAGCAGAGAAGATTGCTGTAGAATCGATATTAGTCCGTCCGGCGGTTGAAGATCGAATGCTGTCACTTCTCGTTTGTCTGTATTCGGAAGGAGAAGCACGAGTACAGCTAGAAGTTGACTCGTGAGTACGTCATCAGCATCTTCGAAGATTGGCGCTGCCGTGCGATGGTTGCGGTTGCGGAAGTATGGGGCGTGCATGTGTGAAGGAGGGTCTGAGAAGTCTAGTTCCGCGTCCTCGGCCAGAATCTTTGCCATGACCTCGTTCTCAAAAGTCTGCTGTTCGTCATGCAACTGCTGTTTTGCGACCTCCTTCAGTTGCGCACTTTCCATGATCTTCGCAGTAGAAGGCTTCGGCGGCGGAGGCGGCATCCCCGGGTATGCACCCCAATACTCTGGAGTCTGCGAGTCCGACCAAACGCCAGGATGTTGTGGGTGGTTAGGGCCATGGAAGGTGACATTTGGCGTGTGTTGTGGACCATAAAAAATCCCAGGGGGCGGTGGTTGAGGATAGTGTGGGACGGTATATGAGTACGGGTAGAAAGGCGAGGTGATAGGGGGCAGAACAGTCGGCGTGTCATGGCTCAGAGGCGGTGGTGGAGCGCTACTGGGGTTGCTTCCAAGAACAAATCCAGATTTCGAAAAGTTAGGGTTGGGTATTGCTGAATGATCACCTAGATTGTTCTGCATCTTTCCGATGATGCTGTGATAGTTCTGGTGTTGTCCAGAGCTCGCTTTGTATTGCTGTAACGAGGCCCACAGCTCCGGTTGATCACGCTCCAGTTCAGCTTTGTATTCTGTGGCTTCGGGGACTGAGATGTCATCATCGTCCTCTGATGGATACTCGTCGAACACACTTCCGAGACCATCATCATACTCCTCCGAGTACTCGTTGCCCCCGTAGCCAACACCCTTAGGATTGCCGCCTCCTCGAGCGTTTTTGCCACCTCCTCGACCGCCTCTGCCATAGTACGATCCTCGACCACGATCTGAACCACGGCCACTCTTCCGATCGTTCTTCTTGACTGGAGTGCTCTCCTTCTTCGCTTTGGGATTCTCATGCTTTGCTGTGCAGTCGTACCCATACAGGAAGAACCATATTAGCATGAATCGCGCCTTGTCGCAGTGCCAAGCCAAAGAAATCCCATCACCTTCTGCGCCGTTCCTCGTTTGTGCGACTTGGCGGCCACATCCGAAGCACGTGTGGGTATTGTGGCACTTGACACACGCGACTCGGAGGCCGATGAGGATGGCGGGATCCACAGACTGCGCTGCATCTACGAGCGCGGAGATAGTCGTAGGCTTGCGTTGGCAGGCGCCAATTTCTTGCGCGAATTGCTTGCTGATGAGTTTGTCGTGATTCGTAGTGAGGCCCGCACCACAAGATGCGCACTGCAAGGAGCAGAAGTGCTTCACGACCTCTCGCGCTGGGGTCATCGTGGTGGGTGTAATACCTGTCATGTCAATAGTCTCGATCGGCTCAGCGATCGAGTGTTGATCTGGTGGAGAGTAGACACCGTTGCTGTGTGGCAGGTCTTGCAGTGGTGGTGTTGGTAGAACTGACGATGGTGGTGATTCGATGTTGTCGGCAAGTCGCATGCGTTTGCGGCTTGTTAAATCATCGAAATCCATGCTGACCAGGCTGACTGTTCGGAGAGGTGTTCCTAGTGACGGTGGAAAGCTCAAGAGATGCTGTGGCGGCGGCCCGCGGGTTGTCTGTCTGATTCACCAACGAAAGCCGAACAAGGAGGGAAGTGATTGTAATGCGACATGCAGCTGCCTGTGGGTACGGCTGAATCAGCCTCTTGGTGGTCGACTGTGCTGCAGAGGTGTTGTCAACAGATGCCCTTTCAGTATCCTAATCTGGCCTCCCTCGGCCACCAGTATTTGCTAGGCAGTGCAGCGCGATCAATCAGACCGCTGTGGGACTGTACGTGAACATCAATATCGCAGTCTCTGTTCATGGGGAAGGAGTATGCAGGTCAAAGGTGTAGCTGCGAGGTCACGCACAAGCTACTCACACATCGCTCACCAGCAGCTTACCAGCTTACATAGTACCTACTTCTGAGGTTGCACCTTGTCACGGGACAGAAAGGATGAGGCGCGAAACAAGGCTGCAATCGATCCAATGACTCGTAGCACTTTCTTTGTGTGTAGCAGTGATAGGTCACATTTCAAGGCAACACCTGCACTGTGCCGTGGGCTCGGGAGGAGTCAGAAACCAGGAGGAGGGGCAAAGTCGTCTAGAAACAGGTCGAAATTGAAGATAGTAGAGACACGCTTATAACGGCAGCCTAAGCATACTAGTAGCTTAGCGATTTTAGTACCTAAGGTCTTATATATAAATAGATAAGTAATATAGATAGTTTACTTATATAGCTAGAATCTCTACTTTACTATATCTAGTCTATTAATATTATTATAATTATTCCTATAATCTTATATACTTTATACTTGCTAATTAATAAGTATAATACTAATTATCTTAATAGAGCTATTATTATTATTATAATAAATTATAAGTATTTTAAAAACTATTACTTATACTTAATAGTAAGTAATTATAGTATATTTATTATATATATTTTGCTAACTTATTTAGATTCTATAATCTAACTACTATAAACTTAACTAGTTTCTAGTATATTACTTCTATAGTATAGAATAGTCTTATCTATAAGATCTATAGTAATTAATCTATACTTAAAAAGAGAGTAAATAATAGTCTTTATAAGTATAATACTATAGCTAGCTATATTATAGAAATAAGTAAAGATCTTCCTATACTAAATCTATATTTATAGTATACTTATAGTAGTACTTTAGCTTCTTAAAGATTCTTAGAGATTATTAGAATAGCGCTTATACTTATTATAAGTATATAGGTAAGTTTAGAGGACGCTATATTATATATTATATAGAACTAGGGACTTCGAGCTGCAAGCTATCCCGTATTTACGAGCAACTTGGTCTGAGCTTCGCTGCGTTGCACCCCTGTCCAACGTCACTACTTACACTCTTAGATTCTCGACTTTTACCTCTTCTTCGCTCTGCAAGCATCAGCCTCGTATCGCACAACCATGGCGACATCAAGCCCAGGCGGGCCACGCGAAATACTCGTAAGGCTGCCACAGGAGCTCCGACATCGCGTCTCATTAACATCAGCTCACATAAGCCAACCACCACCTCCATAACCTTATCGACCCGTAGCAATGTCCCATTGCCAAAAAATGATCTTTCATCAAAACAGCCCAGCACTGGCAAAAGCACAACCTCGTCGCCCTCCAGCACTCATTCGGAGCACGACTATACTTCCACCGATACACAGACGGCTACACCTGCCTCCGCCGCTACCGCGTCCGCCCCGCCTTCAAGGACCAGACACATCATACGGCGGATTGGATCACCTCAACCTAACCGATCACTGCTTCAACATTTGTCGGTAGTGCTGGAGCAGGAATATGTAGCCCCGATCGTCTATCTCCATCCGTATCTCTGATCGCCATCCATTCGAAATCGACACATCTTCGCGTCCATATCCTTGAACGCAAAGTCATGAGGCCACACCTGTAGCTCAAAGTTGCGGAACACGCGGTCCGCGTTGCCAGCGTTGCGGGAAACCTTCCTGTCATCTTTAACCGAGACGAGCTCTTGGACCGTCATCTGGATGGTATGCTGTCTCGCCTTGCGCGTGTTTAGCTTGAAGATCTTCTCGTCGTGGACTGCTTCAATATTATCTTGGATCTGGAGCGGGATTCAGCTAGTGTGGGTGAGTAATTGGTCCGGATAGGCTTCACTATCACGGTTAATGACAGTACTCCGTAGCTCCACGCTTGGCACCGACGAGGAGTGCGATGACTCGGTGATAATACTTCCAGATATTCCCGCTGTCAGAGCTTTGTCAGCGAACCCGGCATTAGCACCGATACTGACCGAGATGGAGTTCTCGTTGCTATCCAGCGTTTGGGTCTGCTGTGGCATACTTCGCATGAAGCTAGCATTATGATTCGTGATGCCCGGGTCTGTAGACCAACGGCTGTTGTCGACGGACCACCGGCCAAAGTCTTCCCATTCAGAGGTCTCGTACATGGTCGTATCCAAAGTCGGCTCGACGTATCGCACACCCACTGAATATGCCATAACGTCAAACCCTCTTTGCCAAGCCTCAGAATCGTTGAATGTCTTCAGTCTGTTAACGTCGGATGGCCACGCCAGGACCCCGTTATTCAGATGCTCGATGCCAGCCTCCGACTTGAAAGGCGTGCACGCGAAGTCATCGGTCAGTAGAAGTAATCTAGGACCTCTTCGGAATCAGAGGTAATGAAGTCCGACCAAGCGGCACACGTGGTGGTGCAATGTACCTGCGCCCCATAGCGAACGTCTCATGGACGGTCAACTCGTATGTAATTGGGACAGCCTAATGATTGTCTGTGCGTGTGTGTCGTTCCAGCTGTTCTTAAGATTCTCAAGAAGCTGGGCCGGGGTGTTCGTGTTCGTGTCTGCCAATGTAGAAAGTATAGTGGCTTCGGCCCACGGCAGTCGCAAGACCACTAGAAGAAACTGGCGTGAGGAAGCAAGTTCAAGTAAAGTACACGGCCATCAAGCGTCTCTTCATGCACTGCATATCGAGCTCAACAATGTTCCATAGGCGTAATTATTCGATCACATCAACGGGTGGTACGGACTGCTGCACGAGTCAGGGACTGGAAAGTTGACCGTACAACCCGTGAGGGTGAATTAGGTGATGTGGTCGAAGTCACCTCAGCCAGCCATCTCGGCATCTCCTCGCGTGGTCCGTCCGTGGCGCGGGACTAATGCAGCGCAGAGTCGGCGAACCAGCTCATGCATTGCTCGCCTACAAGCCTTACAAGCTTCATGATATAAGCTTCGAAAGCTTGAACAACCAGCTCGGGACTCAAGTCCTTAGCTGATATGCAGCCACAATCTCGTCCTCTTCAGCCTACCAGACTAAGGATAAACGGCACACATGGTCTACGCAAGTCTGTGGCGTCGCAATCTCGTACTGCGCTCTCGCCATTAAGTAAGCAAGCACATTCAGTTCGAGGCCAGAGCAAGTCGAGGCAATACTCTGAGGCGGGAGTAAATTGTGATGCTCAGGCAATCACTTGAGTTCAAGGTGAAGTACGGAGTATAGGAGCTGCAGAGGTTTTGTCATTCGGACTGTACCTCCATCGCTTGGTCCAAGGTGCTCGATTGAGTGCTCTAAATAAGTACACTATCTGCATACCCGTCTCCAAAGGTCAATCATTCTAGCAGGTGCCACCCCCATGAATCTCCAGTTCCCACCTACCAAAGGCCCCATAACCCGGCGGACGCACAAAATCAACAACCCGTATAAGTATCCAGCGAGAAATAAGAAGCTGGATAGTAGAGACCACCTAGGCATCCACCATGACTCTGGTCATCTTCCTGTGCGGCAGTGAAGCTCGTACAACCCGGCCCCTCCCAGAAATCGGCGGCATAGCAATACGCTGGATCGGGGTTCTGTAACGTATCTAAGAAGGCAGAATAGGTCCCATCAGGTATAGGTATACACATGCCCTGCGTCGCTATAACGTTGCCGGTAAACTGGCCGGTGCAGTCATTGGAGGTGTAGGTTGTAAAGGTCAGGGTGGCGAGGGGTGCTGCGGAAGTGGTTGTTGTAGTTGTGGTTTTGATAGTTGAGCTTGGCGAAGGAGTCGTTGAGCTTGCTACGGTCGTCATGGTCGGTGGCGACGGGGCCGAACTCAGTGAAGAAGTAGTGGACCTCGTCACAATCGTTGTCGACAAGGTCGTACTTGTCGGTGCCTCAAGACAGGAACAGAAAGTACTCACGATCGCTCCAGCGTCTGAGATGAGGACCGAGAGCAAAGACGCCTTTGCATCCAGAGACTTCGTGCTTGAAGTGGTGCTGCTAGACTTCGTGCTCGACTTGGTGGCTGTGCTTGTGGTGGTAGCCTTCGTGGTCGTTTTGATCGTCGAGCTTGACTTGGATGTCGTGGAAGCTGGCGCATTCCGTTTGTGGTATAACTTGGACGAGCAGAAGCTCTGAGCTTGCGGATAGTTCTGGAGCGGTTCTAGCAGTGCCTGGAGTCCTTGCGTACATTTAGGATCCGTGGCGTGTGTTAGGATAGCTAAGTGTGCTAACACTCCCAAAATAATGTTGATAGTAAGCATGATCTGTAAAGTCAAGAAGAGCCCAGGATGATTGTTAACCAGTACAGGCAATCGCGCGAAGCATGCAGTGGTGCTGGCAAGTCAACCAGAGCCAAGCAACGTCTATACACGATCAGCTGGCTCCAACCGAGCGACTCTCTAATCAAGCTAGACGTGTCACACCCATCCACACCACCGGCCCAGGCGAAGTCGAGGGCGCCTGCGTTCCTAGAGTCGCGGTGGCTTGCGTTCACTCATGCGGATGGTGGGTCGGCCAAACCAGATTTGCCATCTGGGGAGTTATTCGTTGCAACCAGAACTTCCTGCCGCTGCGAGGTTCCGTAACAAATATCACCGCCTCCAATCTGCACACATTCTGCGAGTGTGACCGGATCGTGCACACGAGTGAACATACATTGGTACATGGTTACCATGGTCGTGTCAGTCGGGTCCGACGCTTGAGAAAACGTAGAGATGCCCCTATATTACTATACTAAAACTCTATATATAGATAATAGGAGATATCTATAATAGCTATTTATAGATCTACTATCTACTATCTATCTACTATCTATCTAGTATCTCTATCTAGTATTAGATACTATAGCTCCTAAGATAAGATAAAACCCGAGGAGCTAAAAATTGCTCTTTAGCTACTAGTACGCTTAGGCCCTCGTCCTTGTCTCGATTAATCTTAAGAGGTTTTAGAGATGTCGGAATATTACTTCTACTCCCTTCTACCTTTGCACTAGATCTACTGTTCTTACTGCTACTGTATATCGTATTCTCTCACGAGACATACATGATGGACCAATGCGCCCCTCCGACATCTTCCTATCCGCCTTCCGCTTCCTCATCCCACCGGCCTTGATCCTCCCAGCTTATGTATATCTCTATCCAGCACTACAAGGCTGCAGCTTTCCCGTAGCCAGTCCTGGCGAGGCGGCATGCTACTTCGGTGACACGCCGAGACCTGCTGTTGAGGTAGAGATAGCACCGATTCGGCTTCTGACTTTGGCGGATCCGCAATTGGAGGGGGATAGTTCGCTGCCTGACCCCGATGCGCCGCTATTCCCTGGACTGGGCAGATGGAGAGAGGATGGGATGCAGAGGGCTGTCATTGGATTAGTGGCTGAGGATGTGCCCCGATTGCTGGCCGGGTATAGGAAGCGATTGGATCTATGGGGCAACGATTTATACTTGGCTCATGTCTACCGGACGATGATGTGGTGGACGGATCCTACACATACCGTTGTGCTCGGAGATCTTCTTGGCAGCCAGTGGATTGACGATGCTGAGTTCGAGAAGCGCAGCGATCGGTTTTGGAACACTGTCTTCAGAGGTGGTCATAAGATAGGGAGGGATGTGACAGAATCAAGCCGAGAAGCAGAAGTGCTGAGTTGGAACAAGGCCTGGAAGCATAGAATCATCGCCGTAGCTGGGAATCATGATATCGGTTACGCGGGCGACATCAATCCACAGCGCATCGAGCGATTCGAGAAGCACTTCGGCAGCGTGAACTGGCAGACAAAGTTCCGCCTCAATGCAAGTATCCCTAGATTTCAGCAGAGCCGCTGGAATCCCATCGGATCAATCTTCCAGGAGGCAGCGGTTCCGGAACTACAGATCACCGTCCTCAATTCCATGAACCTTGACTCACCTGCCTGGGACGACAATCTGAGACAGCAGAGCTTGGCTTTCTGGAATCAGCTCTCTAACAAACTACGTACAGACAGCGGTGCGAATGAAGCGACGGGCCATATCGTCCTCACGCATATCCCACTGCATAAAAAAGCCGGTATCTGCGTCGACCCACCCTACTTCTCCTACTTCCCAGCCGATCAAGGCGGTGGGATCCGAGAGCAGAATCATCTGAGTGAGGCGATTAGTTTGGAGATGGTGAGTAATCTTACTCGATCGGGACACGCCGGCGCTATTGTGTTGAATGGGCATGATCATGAGGGGTGTGATACTTATCATTATCTGTATCATGATCATAACCCGCCGGGAGAGGATGTTTACGTTGGTCACCTTGAGTTTCGAGCGGCGAGATGGAGGGATGTTGCAAAGGATCGCACCGAGGACTGGATTCAGGGGATTCGGGAGATTACGGTTAGGAGTATGATGGGCGAGTATGGTGGTAATGCTGGGTTGTTGAGTGCTTGGTTTGATGAGGATGCTGCGCAGTGGAGGTTTGAGTATGCTTCCTGTATGTTTGGGGTGCAGCATATTTGGTGGGGTGTACATATCTTCGTTTTGGTTGAAGTTGGGTTGGGGTTGGTCGGGGCTGTTTGTTGGATTCTGGAGAGGAGGGAGGATGGAAGGGTGTTGGAGAAGATGAAGAAAGCTTGAAGGAAGGATTGTTGTGAACTCTACGGCACACTGAAGACGTATGTACTCGTGAACGATATTCCGCTACTTGCTGGTATCGTCCGGTATAGACTTCACACACCCAAGCCTACAAGACAGCGAGTGGAGCCAGGCAAGCCACAGATTAACAGCTCACGTCTAGTAGACCAGACTTCCAGTTTCGACACAAGAACGACGAGTCTTTCCTCAGGGTACGGCTAACCAGCCAACCCTCCGTCACATGAACTGTATCGTCACATGGCCATCACCTCTCACACATCCTTATTCGACTCTTGCTTTGACACCAGAACAGCCCACGTCATCTCCACCGCTCGCCTAGCCATCTCCACAATCTCACCCGTTGCCATCAGATTGTCTACATCGCCATCTCCACCCAGCCACTTTGGTGCCACGACCACAGAGAAGAAGTTGCGCCTTTTAGGTCTCCAAAGCCTAATCATGGATCTCCGGAGATCGAAACCCGCCTTTGCAAGTGGTCGACGAATCTCAAGCCACTCTACGACCGGGATCTCCGCAATCGTGGGCAGCCAATGCGTGCCGACGAAGACGATTTCTAGGTCAGCTCGCAGCTCGCGATTGTTCAGCTTGCGAAACCGATGCTCGGGTATAGACTGCATTAGCGATTCTGCAGCAGGCACAAGCTCGTCGTCCGACGTCCAGCCGTTGAGCATACCCATCGGTCCACCAGCTTTGCTCTTCACGTTTGGCATGAGGATGAAGAAGGTGTTTATTGTGTAATAGAGCTGCAAAGTGTCGATCCGGATTTGACGACATGTTTGTGTGAGTGCTGGCTCGGGCGAAAGGAGAGGTAGTCCGTCTTCTGAGAACATTGCAAACCCGAAAACTGTGTTGCGAAGCTCTAGAGGAAGTTTGTCGAGGAGGGAGCGTTCCATGGTCTCGTGCAAAGGATGTGGTAGACGTGAGCTGGCGGCAAGTTCGACAAGTGCTGGTTGGATTGTTGGAAGGAACGAGCCTTGGGAAGAGTGTTCAGATTTGACTGTGCTTGCAGGTTTTTGTCCAAGTGATCGTTAGTCACGGCTACACACTTTCACACCTTCTACTTAGTGATCGACTGGAAGTTTACTTCATGCCTGGAGGTCGGCTTTCAGCATTCACGAGTAGCAAGCAGCGGCAAGGTTAATGTCCTACAGTTCAACACAGCCCAGCGCAAGCTCATCTTACATTCACTTGCTCAGCGCCTTTCCGGTCCTCCTCCGCACAAGCATACCTCCGCCTCAACAACCTCTTCTCCCAAGCCTTCTCCGCAAAACTTTGCATCACCTCCGCAGCTTTCTCAAGCGGCAAGATACTTGTCCGATCGCAGCCACCCATGGTCGGAGGCACTTCCAGCATCGCGGGAGCACGATCAGGTGCGATGATACTGATCCTGGATGTCCTCAACGGCAATCCTCTTATGAAGGCAGGCCATCTAGGGTCTTTCCGATGACATCAGCTCGATGCAGCACGCCGTCGCCTCCTGGTGGTGGGACATTAGCTTTGTCGTGTGAGTGCCACGGAGTTCGATGTTCTTGAGGTGCTGGATCCGATTTCTGGTCATGGCGTTGAATCGCGATTGTCGATTCAATAAAGAGGAATGGATTCTGCCGATACAGAAGACGTTGAACGATAGATGGCGATCATGCGCTATAGCTTGCAGCCGGCTTTCCAAGTAAGAAGCAATGTAAGTCAGTCTCTCTATAGAAAACTCCAGTGCGAGACGTGTTCCTCTACTACGGACTCAGCGAGGCTCATATTATTCAGCAAAGGGCGGAATCTTGAGGTACGTGATGCGAGATAAGTAGGACCTGACATCCAACGGGCATGTGCTTTCGCAGCTCAAAGCGAGTCTTATCCATGCTGAGCTCATATATATCTTCATACTTCATTCCCAAACCATGCTCGTCGCCGCCACCTCCCACCTCTAGCAAAGACCGACACAAAACAACTCTACTCCCTATCCAACCTCACCGCCGGCGTCCTCTCAATAAACCCCAAATCGACCTTATGCCCCAACAACTCCCTAATGTTCGAGATCTTATACTTGATCATCGTCGGCCGCTCCAACGACAACCCGAACCCATAACATCTCAGATCCTCCGGCAGTCCCATCGCCTGCAGCATTTCCGGCCGGAACATCCCGGAGTTTCCAATTTCCACGAGTTTGTTCAGCCCGGCGTGCCAGGCGTAGACTTCCATGCTCGGTTCTGTGTATGGGTTATATGCGGGTTTGAACTTGAGGTCTGGGACGCCGATTTTGCGGAAGAAGCGTTTGAGGAAGGCTTGGAGGCCGCCGAGCGTGAGGCCGAAGTCGGCGATGACGCCTTCGATCTGGTGGAATTCGGCGAGATGGGTGGCGTCGACTGTTTCGTTGCGGAAGACGCGGTCGATGGAGAAGTAGCGGCAGGGACGGGGATTGGCGGCTAAGCGGTGCAGGACGTAGGCTGAGACGGCGGTGGTGTGGGTGCGGAGGACGAGGCGGCGGGTTTCGGCTTCGTTGTAGGGGTACCGGTAGCCTATTGAGCCGAAGGCGCCGTCTTGGTGGACGGAGCGGACGTTGTCGAAGTATCGTTGGTAGTCTAGCTTGGAGGTGATGTCTTTCGCGCGGGTGGTGGCGTCGGCGGGAGGGAGGTCACTTTCGTCTTGTTCGTCTTGGTCGTCCATTTGGGCGAGGGCTATGTCGGTGGCCGGGTCTGGGCCTGGTGGGCCTGCTTCGGCGGGATCTGAGACGTAGAAGGTATCTTGGAGATCTCGCGCGGGGTGTTGTTGTGGGACGAAGAGAGTGTCAAAGTTCCAGAAGCCGGTGTCGACGAAGCTGTGACGTATCAGTATCTAGTTAACATACTTGGATGCACTACTGACCGCTGCGTCGGCATCTCTGTGAAACCCATATTGAAGAAGATCTCACGGAACTCTTGCCGCACCTTCATTAGAGGATGGAAAGCGCCACCAGATAATTGTGCACCTTCTGCCTTGTAATTGTATGGTTTCCAATTCGCAGTCTTCCAACTGCCATCCGCAATCATCTCCGCCGTCAGATCTGTGACCTCGACAGGCATCTCCAGCGCCCACTTCTGTCCTTTCCGCGCCACATACGATATAACTTTCTGCGGCATGACGAGTTTCCGCTTCACAAAGTCTTTCTGTGCCTTGGGGTCCTTGAACGTCCGGTTCTCTTCTGCATACCGAAGCTGCTCACGTGTAGCATCTTGAACACTCTCCGTCAATGACACCAGCGCATCCCCATCCTTCTTCACCCACTTTAGCTTGAAGGCATTGCCCTGGCCAATCTTGGCATTCGCACTTGCTAATGATGGATCCTTCAGTGATAATCTCCCAGCTTGCCGTACAGCGTCCCACACTTTAAACTCATGACTGCCCTCATTGACGATCTCTTGGCCTTCCTTTGTGAGAGCGACTTCTTCCCGATCTTTCGTGTCATATTCGACCATGGACCTGCTCGCTAACCGATCCAACGCTGCCTTAATCTCGGCTTGTGATGTTTGCGGGAACTTTTCACTGGTCGCTACTTCCGCTTGTTGGTCCACAGCTTCGAGGATTTCTTCGGTGAGGTCGCGTTGGCCGCCATTGGTATACAAGGGCACGGGCACCGGACCCCGTGTCCCAGGCATGGCGATGAGTGTTTGTGGAAAGGCTTGGGAGGATCGTGTGATATTCTGCTTTACAATGCTTCCCACTCATAAATCTGGTCTCCATGTCAACTTTCTGGAGTCATACTGTGCATCTCATAGGCGGAACGCTTCCGTCCCCGTATCAGAATCATCCGTGAAACATCCTCCTCTCATTCCACCCTCGTTCATAATGGCTGAGAAGAGGCCAAATAATGTATACAAGAAGTCGTCACCCAATCTTAAAGAAGATGCCCGGGAGATGCACTATACTAAGTGTGATGGAGGTAGCCATGATAAGACGCTTCAGAGAAGTACTACTGACTATCCCATTGCATCCTTTCTTAGAAAGACAATCAACTTGCCACCACACGGCGCCGCGATACCGTCTAGCTGTGATCTCTTCCGCCTAATCCACCGCAAGCACGAGATACAATAACGCTACCTTCCTTGTGTCAATGATACCCAGAAGGCTCGTCACGAACCAACTCCACCTTGGAACCCAAGCCAGTATCTCCTCGTCATCTATTTCCTTGCCTATTCTTACATGACGACTCCGTTCCCCAGCGCTCTCTCATTCAGTATCGCTGCTATTGCTCCCTCGCTTTCCGTTCTTGCAGCAAAGACATCCTCGATGTCCCTGAGCAAGAGGTCCCGCAATCCATCCCGAGTCGCAAGCATGGCCGTAACATACGGACCCATTGCCGGCCGCCTCGTCCCGTTCTGAATATATTTACGAACGGACGCAGTCTCTGCGGTGTCACTGTCGATCACGATCCGGTCGAACGCAAGTCCAGCGTCGAGCAGGCCCTGGTAGAATCTATACCAGGCGTCGCGGTACCTGGGTAGAAACGCCGTTTCCGGACACTGGATTTTCACGCTGCTGATCTGCTCGAAACATTGCTTGTCGCGGACCCGAAACCAGCTGCTTTCAAAGCAGGGCGCGTTGATGTCCTCGGTCACGGGCACGCGTATGATGTAAGCTTGTGGGATGCTATAGCTCAGAAGTAGGCTCTCCTTGCGGATCTGTTGGCAGACTCGAGTCATTGCTGCTTGCGGGTTGGCCCTCTCCTTGTCGATCCTGATTTCGCCGTGGTGACAACAGAGCTCGTAGATGATGTTTCTCAGCTCGGGTGAGAGCTTGGCGAATGGTGAGGCGTCCATGTTGTGTTGGTGTCTAAGTGGCGAGAATGCAGAAGTGCTACCAAGTCGATGCAAGGTAAAAGCGCTGGTTGGGATGATGTATTTAGCAGGCTTGGTCAAGGTGACACTGACACGCCGCTGTGAATGCATTCGTAGCGGGGAGAGTGAAGGTCGGCTACAAGCAGTATCTATATGTCCTTCAATTCGTGAATGTATATGATCTATCCATTCTATTTAGTGCGCATACACCTTCCAAGAACTTACACACAAAACACTCAGAGGTGCTTCTTGTTGACCAACGAGATCCGATACCTCGCCTTTCCAGCCTCCATATCCAGAATCGCCTTATTCGCATCCTTCATATCATACGTCTGGATCCAAGGCTTGATGTTTTTCTCTGCAACAAAGTTCAACATCTCCTCAATCTGCCATGGTGGCCCGATCATCGATCCACCGAACTTGACGCCCTTGGCGATGAAAGCGAAGGCTGTCATATCGGGCAGCTTGTCCTCTGGAGCACCGACCTGGATGAACGTGCCCTTCACACGCAGGAGCTGAAGGTAGTCCATCAATGGCATCTTGGGGCTAGAGACCGTGCAGATGATCAGGTCGAGGGATCGGGCGTGGTGTGTAGCCCAGTCTTTGTCGTCCTCGGTGGCTATGTACTCGTCTGCGCCCATCTTGAGCACATCGTCCTTCTTGTCGTGGCGACGGGAGATTCCAACAACCTTGTCGGCCCCGAGGGCCTTGGCGAACATCACGCCAAAGTGGCCAAGACCTCCTACTCCGATAATACCGACCTTCTTGCCTGGACCGCAGCCGTTGTTCTTCAGAGGGCTGTAGAGTGTGATACCGCCACACAGAAGAGGAGCGGCCGCTTCACTAGGAATGGCCTCGGGGATCTTCATGACAAAGTGCGAGGGGCAGCGATGATAGTCTGCATAGCCGCCATAGGAGTACGAGCCATCCGGGTACTGATCGGCGAAAGTGTTGACAGCACGCGTGCAATGGTTCTCTAGTCCCGCCTGGCACTCCTCACAATCCGGCTTCAAGCAGCTCGAGTTCTGGGCTCCAACACCGACACGATCCCCGACCTTGATTCCCTTCTCCACCTTCTTTCCTACACGGACAGCTTTGCCAACGATCTCGTGGCCGACGCAGCATGGGTAGGGTGTGGGACCCCAGCCAGATCGGAGGGTGTGGAGGTCTGAGCCGCAGATGCCGCAGTGCGTGATCTGGATATCCACGTCGTTGTCTTCGTCAAACGGCTTCACCTTGGGAAAGGCACCCCATTCCATTTTACCCTCGGCGGACTCAGGACCCTTGCCGAGCCAGCCCTCGAATTTGTAGTCTTGTGCTGCCATTTCTGCTATGTTTGAGATCGAAGTCTGATGGTACAAGGAGGATTTGGAGATTGAAGCGTGAGACGAGACAAAGCTTCACTACTTGTACTTTTGCAGCAGGTCTATGACATCGCCCACTAATGCCCGTTATCGCCGTCTTGCGCTCCACCACCCTATGAGAAGGCTCCACAGTGTCAGTACACATACTGCCGTCTCAACTAATTTTTTCCCATCTGCAAGGGACGACGGTGACGTAGCCAGAGCCACACAATACTCGTATCTCCGTCTAAAATGCGTCTATCGATAACAACGAGGAAGAGGGAGGAACGCCGCGGACGAGTTAACAGTCAAGAAGATAGCATATTGGTAGCGTCTGTAGCGATCAAACAACGCGTTTACCAGAATATGCAAGAGCCGAAGGGTATGAGGTGCGTTGGATTCTTCATTCACTCCTATCAGCGACGACGATCTGTCAGCGTTGCGCACGGTCCACCTGCCAGAAGTCAGGATATAACCATTAAAGCCGTTTCGACATTCACCTACGCTTTTCCTGCTATAAGGAGATCTAGCGACCTCTCGCGGCACGGGTATCACCAAAGCTGTCATCTTCAGTACGCCAGACACCTCGCTAGAAACAATGCCAGTCCTACCAGCCTTCTCTCGGAGTCTCAGAGTCTACCAGCGCCCCCTTCCCCTCCCCACCCCAACAGCTCAGTCTCTACCGCAGCTCCCCTCTCCCAGCCGGGTTCCGTTCCCGCCACCGCCTATCCCTCTCCGCTCGTCCCGGCTTCATCTCCTCATCCACATCCTGCATGATCCCCTCCATCGCACTGCGTCTCGGTAGCTGATTACTCGTCACCCAAGGAGCATTCCTCACATACTTCAGTTCCTCATCCAGCTTCTTCACCTTCATCTCCAAATCACTCTCCACACACTCATTCCTGTGATCCTTCTGGAATTTCGGGAATAGCTGTCCATCTCCGTGTGCGCGGCCCATGAAGGCTTCAGGGCGGGGCACGAGGTCGAGAGGGATTTTGTCGGAGAGGTGGGCACCGTTGTTTGTGGCGAGTGCGGTCTCGTGGCACCATGCTCTGGCGACATTGCGGGCCGTATATCCTCCTCCACCAAGGATCAGAAGTGGCAGTCCGGTCTTCTTGACGAAGTTGACGCATTCACCATGTTGTTTTATGTTGATGTTGAATTGGCCCAATCTGTCGCCTCCTAGGCTATCGGCTCCACATTGCAGCACAATCGCGCTAGGTTTGAAAGCATCGATTGCTTTTCCTGTTACGGATTCAAAGAGATATCTGTACTGTCTATCGTCTATACCGCTGCCGATGGGTACGTTCAAGGCGAAATGCTCGCCTACGGTGCCCTTGAGTCCTACATCCGAGAGATCGCCAGTTCCGGGAAAGAACTTATGGCCTGTGTCATCGTAGGGCCCGTAGCGGTGGTACGAGAGCGTCATGACGCGAGGCTGGCGCTGAAAAGCTTCCTCTACGCCGTCACCGTGGTGGACGTCGATGTCGATGTATAGCACGCGAGGATATATCCGTAGCATGTCTATTATTGATAAGACGATGTCGTTGATATAGCAGAAACCGCTCGCTTCGGATTTGTGCGCGTGATGCAATCCACCAGACCAGTTTATGGCTATATCGCTCTGATTAGTCGTAAGCTGATTTGTGGCCGCCAGTGTTGCTCCAGTATACAGAAACAAGTACTTGGACATGCCGTCGAAGACTGGACAATCCGCTCCCGGGCTGGTAGACAGGTTGAAGGGTCCGAGATCGACGCTATCGCCCTCGTGCTTGGCGGGAACGTGGTTCCGAAAGCGTGGGACTTGGCATAATTTGTCGAAGGTCTGAGGACTGACTTGGGACAGGAACTCGACGTAGTCTGGATCGTGAAAGGTGCGGACCTGGTCGATACCGGCTGCTACCGCTTCGTACGTGTCCATGGCGTATTGCAGGCCATAGCCGAGCACGAGATGCTTGGTGAGAGTCAGACGCCAGGGCTTCATGGGATGCGTTTTGCCAAAGTGCATGTCTTCGACTGTGCTGTTGTAGTGGAAGGAGACCTTGTGGCCTTTTGGTCGAGTTATGCCGTATTCCTCTACATTGTGCATGATCCTGGCATTGAGCTCTTGGTCCCGCCATAGCTTCTCGTCTTCTTCTGACAGCGGAGGTGTCGGGTTTTGGTTGCCGTTGGTGTGTTGATGGTGGGGAGTGTGGCTTTGTGATCGGGGTGGTAAGTCCGCGCTGTTGTTTGGACTCCAGTGTTGAACTATCTCGTCACGGATATTCCCTTGAAGCGGTTGATGCAAGGCCATTGTCGCATACTCATTCTGTTGGTCTAGACCTTCTCTTCTTCAGCACCGTCGTTGGTGGCTATACTGTCGCATCGATTGCAAGAATATGGTGATGCAGAAGTAGCAGCTGAGGTATTCAGTATGCGCCGCGATGGGTTGTAGCAGTCCTATTCATCAAATTCGTGAACTCCAATGGAGGATCTCGGACGCATATAAGGATTGGGTTGCGGCAGCGCGCCACAGGCGGGTATTACCCGTTCTTGTGGGGTACATATGCAGGGCGCAGAACCAGCATAGAATCTATCGCCGAGCTTCGTGGCCGTCCATCACAAATCCGTAACTTCCATCACCCAAGCGTGAGAACCATCACTTTCCATCAAGATTCGAAGCTGCATCGCTGGAATCTTCAAAACGTAGTAGACTGCCGTCTTTTCGCGCCGGAAGAGGATTGGGGTGCGATCTATCAAGCCATTTACCTCCTCCACGTCCAGCTGAGATAAGCCACATACGATCATGACCTTTGTACCCGACGACTGTGCCACTCTTCTGGACTCTTTCCTCCACGATGGTAAGTCCAATCATGAAGTCCCTTCTTCGCTGCCGTACGCTGATTGTTCCCAGTGGCAAACACACCAGCCGAGATTACACATCTGCTGGAAGAGCTACAGGCCAAAGACCTTCAAATCGCAGCTTTCAAGGAGGAAATTGCCAAACGCGACACACAGATCCAAAAATGGGTACGAGTAAATGGCGGCCATGTCGCAAACCCCAAGGAGGACGCTTTCGCCAGGACCATCAACGACTGCTATGACAAATGCGAGATCCTGCAGGCTGAGAAGCTTGGCCTCAGCGAAAAGGCGCTGGTAGTACTGGAGCGGCAGATCAAGCGACTGGACGTTGGACTTCGAAGTCTGAGTGTCAGGGAGGAATTCCCAGCTGATTGGGGTGGGCCGAGTCTGCTTAGTGGTACTGCCACCGGCGTGAGCACGCCCGTCACGGGTGGCGCGGTACCTTTACAGCCAGTCAGTGGTAACGCCGTCACCACAGGTGGTGCGCCGAACATTGCAAACGCAGCACAGCTACGTATGGCACAGACGGCAGGCGCCAGCAGGACTGTCCAAGCTGCATCTACCACAAGCACATCACGTGGCCAGCGTGACAGTAGTACAGACGCGAATAAGCGCCGACGGCTGAATGCGTCGCTCGGCTCACTGCCTACCGCCTCCAGCAACTTACGACAGTCATCTCTCGGTCCTGGTACGCCAAAAGCAGGCACACCGGGCCCTGGTAATACCAATTCGTCGCGTGCCGGTTCAGCACAGCCCTCACGACCTACAGTAGGCACGAAGAAAGCCGGCGCACCTGCTCCGACCAAGAGACTAGCACCGCACCAAGCAGCAAGCAATCGCAAACGTGTTCGTACGGCAACTCACAAAAAAGGCGATCGCCGTCGTCAACTCACGCGAGATCGCGCCACACCAAGTACAAATGCCTCGGCCTCGGATCCAGAATCTGACAGCGCATCACCGACTCCATCTTCCCTTCTCCGTAGCCAAGCAGATGGAGCCACCGATCGTGTCTCGCGGTCATCAAAACACGCCCATGCCACAACGGCTGAGGAGGACGAAGAAATGGAAGACGATGAAGAAGATCAGCAACTCTACTGTACCTGTCAGCGTGTCAGCTTCGGAGACATGGTCGGCTGCGATAACGATGATTGCCAGTATCAATGGTTCCATTGGCCGTGTGTGGGTGTCAAGAGCGAGCCGAAGGGCGAGTGGTTGTGTCCGGAGTGTAGGAAGATGGAGAGAGGGAGGCTGAATATTAGTAAGGCGTAGGTCATGCTCTGTATGATGACGAGAATAGATGACGATGTTTCTATGGTATTGCCATTGATGTAGGAGACGCTTTATTGTCATTTGCCGTTGATAATGACTTACTACTGTTCAAGCAAATGGGCTACCTCGCAGGTATATTTCCAGATGTGGTAAAAGTACAGCGATGTCGGGCTTACCCAAAACTTTCCATGGACAGACGATCGACTTTGACTTTCTGGCCCGCCGAGGTTGACAACCATACAGCACATAAACAATCACCTGCTCCACATTGTAAAGCTCACATCGATACACCGGGAGAATCATCAAAGACATGACTACAGAAAACGATTTGGTCAAGTGCTTTCAGTGCAACGCCTGTGAGTCTGACGTTACGCAAGTTCCCTCCTGCCTAAATCTGATATCAATACGTGACAGGCCACGATGGCTCGCCCGAAGGCATCGACCTTGATAACCACCCGACTCTGAAAAAGCTTGCCAACAGATCTCTGGAGTTCTTGCTCGAAGTACAGAATCTGTAAGTCCAGTATGGGATCTTCTGTCGTGGATGGGTGTACTTACATTGTCGCAGGACTCCTGGTAAGAACCTCGAGAAGCGTCTGAATGCTGAGTATGGTCCTGGCAACCCATACTTTGAGGACTTTTGCAAGTACATCAAGCAAGGCTTCGAAGAGGGCTGGGTCGCTACCCACTTGATTGATGGACCAAAATATCGACGTGGCAAGGTTCGTCCTCCACTGTTCAGGCAGGCGTCATCAATAGCCACTGACAAAACATACAGATCATGCACCCGACTGCAGATAACCTCTACATGTCGCTCACAGCCGTCTACTTCGATTCTCCGGAGCGGTACTCAGGCCAATATCACAAACATCCATACGGTGAGATCAACTGCGTTATTCCTATCGATCCCAATTTCCAGCTCGAAAGTCTGCCCGAGGACACTTGGATCGGCGCTGGCTGGACCAGTCTGGCGCCTGGCACGCATCACTATCCTAGGGCCCGAGGTGGCAGAGGCATTGCGTTCTTCTTCTTGCCGAGTGGGAGGATTGCGTATAATGCTAAGCCTGGGGAGCCTCAACCTGCTACTCTTTAAGCGAGGCTTCTGGTCTCGAATGCGACTAGTACGATCGTGGTTGATCAAGCACTTTCTCAGCAATATAATTCAGACACATCTCCCTGCTCACCGGTGCCAACCTCGGGATAATGACCTCCCGCAAGAAGCGCTCGACATGGTACTCCTTGGCATACCCCATCCCGCCCATACTGCACACCGCCGTTTCGCACGCTGTGAACGCATTTTCGCCGGCGAGGTACTTCACAGCGTTCGCGTACTCGCCTGTCGCGAAGCCGTCGTCCCACATCTTCGCTGCTTGCATGATCATGAGGCGTGTGCTTTCGAGCTGACACCATGCTTTCGCCAAAGGATGCGCGACACCTTGATTCATCCCTATGGGTCGTCCGAATACTATTCGTTCGCGCGCGTAGTTGCTTGCGTGTCGGAGAGCCGCATAACCTATTCCGACCGCTTCTCCCGAAAGCAAGATTCGTTCGGCGTTCATGCCGTGCATGATCATCTTGAAGCCTTCGCCCTCGCTGCCTATGCGGTCTGCGACTGGGACTTTCCAGCCGTCGAAGTACAGGGAATTTGTGTCTACTGCTGCCCTGCCCATCTTCTTGATTTCCGTCACGGAGACCTGGGTACGATCGAGGTCGGTGTAGAAGAGTGTCAGCCCTTCGCTTGGCTTTTTGACTTCTTCCAATGGTGTTGTACGAACGAGTATCAGGATCTTCTCGGCGACTTGAGCGGTGGACGTCCAGATCTTGCTGCCTTTGAGTGAGTAATACTCACCCTGCTTGACGGCTAATGACTGTAGCTTGAGTGTATCGAGCCCAGTGTTCGGCTCAGTAACTGCGAAACAAGCTCGCTCCCGTCCCTCGATCAAAGGTACGAGAAACCGATTCCGTTGCTCTTCGTTGCCGTACTTGACGACCGGAGCAAGGCCAAAGATGTTCATGTGCACGCTGCTACTTGCTGTATAGCCCCCACCACTTTCGGCAATCGTCTGCATCATCACTGTTGCATCTGCGAGCCCTAGCTCGCTACCACCGTACTGAGATGGCATCATGATACCTAGCCAACCGTCTCTGGCAACCGCCTCCTGGAACTCGCTAGGCCATCTCGCCTTGTTGTCGATGTCGAGCCAGTACGACTCTGGAAACCGAGAGCAGATCTTGGAAATGGCTTCACGGACGGTGGCTTGAGATTCGGTGTAATCGGCGTATGCTGGTAGGTACTCAGTGGCCTTCGCTACGAAGGCTCGCGTTGTGCTAGGAACATGCCATCTGCCCATGGTGGCGACAGTCGATACCCTTAGTGAAGGTGTGTTTGTGGCCGACGACAGGGCCCCGCATAGCTGGTTTCCAGATTGTGGAAGGCGACGTAGTATACTTCCCATTGCCATGTCTCGAGGAATAGCTCTCGAGAAAGTGTCCTGTTTCAGTCAATCGAGTGGTCTTGTAGGTCTATGAATCGGTGAGTATAGTTGGCTGTCAGCTCATCGTCCTCAATCTAGCATTCACATCGACCATTGTTTGATCAACATATATCTTCGTGGATAAAATGGATATGCAGACCGAGGTCTAGGACTCCAGATCTGGAAGGAGCTGAGCGATTTCGGAATCACCCCGCTTCACCGTGGCTGGCATATATGCTACTAAGAACATGAATGTCACAAAGGATGACGATAAAAGCACATTTGCCATTGAATTCAAGCCTGATTCCTGACTAGCATCAGCTTTGTTCATTCCAGGATGTTGGTTCGACTAAAGCCGCCGCCGGCTATCATAGCTGCATCGTTCGCCATCAACAGATCGACAACTTTGTTCCGACGACAGACGACAAAGGACTGCGTCAAGTTTACCGTGTCCTCGCAACGATGCTACTCAGCGCCCGCAGAGTCCAACGGCCCACTGAAAGGGATTCGTGTGTTGGACTTCAGCCGCATTCTAGCCGCGCCATTTTGTACACAAATCCTGGCAGACTATGGCGCCGACGTGATCAAGATCGAGCAGCCTAGCCTAGGGGATGAGACTCGCTCCTGGAAGACCAAAGCCGAAGCAGCGATCTGGAAAGAAAATGTAGGGCCCATGAGCATGTACTTCGCCTCCGTGAATCGCAACAAGCGTAGTTTGACGCTGGACTTGAAGCAACCGGAAGCACTGACGATTGTCAAGAAGCTTGCGGAGAAGTCAGACATCGTAATTGAAAACTTCATTCCGGGTGGAGCTGACAAGCTTGGTATTGGATATGCGGCCTTGTCGAAGGTCAACCCGAGGCTTATCTATGCCTCGATATCTGGCTATGGCGCAAGTGGTCCGTACGCAAAGCGAGCAGGCTACGATGCCATTGCAGCAGCGGAAGGTGGGCTCATGCATGTCACTGGTCACCCTGATGGTGGGCCAGTCCGGCCCGGTCTTGGCATGACCGACATGAGCACCGGACTGTATACCCATGGAGCGATCATGGCTGCTCTGTATGGTCGAGAGAAGACCGGTCGTGGTCAGTATATTTCTGCTTCGTTGTTCGAGACACAACTTAGTCTGCTGATCAACATCGGTGCCAACTGGCTGAATATGGGTGTTGATGGAAAGCGATATGGTGCTGCTCATCCGAGTATCGTGCCATACAACACCTGGCGATGTAGGGACGGTGTCTGGCTCGCTCTAGCCGCGAACAATGACCGCCAATTCCTGAAGCTGTGCCAACTGATCGACCGAGAAGATCTGCCAAGAGATGAACGTTTCGCGGTGAATGCGCAGCGAGTAGAACATAGGCCACTAATGGATGAGATCTTCGATACAGTCTTTGCTTCCAAGACCTCAGAGGAGTGGCTCAAGCTTCTGGATGGCAGCGGCTTGGCGCATGGTCCAGTGAATAGTATTCAGAAAGCCTTCGAGCACCCGCAAACTGAAGCTCGCGATATGGTGGGAGATTTGGAGTGGGATGCTTTGAAGAGCGGCCAGTGGAAGGCGATTGGACCTGCGATCAAGTTCAGTGATACCAAAGCTGAGATTCAGCAGAGGCCACCAGCGCTTGGCGAGCACACCGGTGATGTTCTCCAGGAGATTGGCTATACAGAAAAGGATGTCGAGCAATTGCGGACCAAAGGTGCGATCTGATCAAGTCATCTTGCGCGTGGGCCGCCGGTAAATGCAATAGCAGTGCAATGCTGGGACAAGTTAAGCAGGTCCTAACAGTTCCGCGTTGTCGAATAGGTGATCGCCTCGATACCGGGGAGGTTGAAGCCAGTCCACCTCATCGAGCTGACGACCAAAGTCCTTCGCCACAACTCTTGCAAGTATGATGGCGACGGCCACTTGCAATGGAAAGCTCTGAAGGCGACTACATCGGCTCCAAACTCGCGCACTAGCATGTCGTCTAGAGCAAGATCGGTATCGTCGCTTTGATGAAATGAGTCGATGGCGTGCCCCAAAGCTGGTATCGACATCGGTAGCACCTACCTCAGGGGAGTGAGGCCCGCTCGCGTGTTTTTCAGGGATTGTCGCAGACAGAGGAAGCCAACGGTTTGCTACTTGCTATGCTGGACAGCAGCCACCACAATGGAAGGAGTCGACTCCCAGAATGCATGATTGCTTGGTCCATAGGGCACATGTCAGCATCTGAAAAGCGTGGGATGTGGTTTGTCGTGCCGCCGAGCCGTTAGGACGAATGTTGGAGCCGTCCCATATGCCACGCTTGTCACGGCGGGTGGGATGTGAGTCAGATGCTCGCGCGTATAGCGGAGGGTCTTATGCTGGTTGTTGGCAGGACTGTTGCTGCAGTTGAATGGCTAGTGCTGTAATTTGTGCATGAGGTGTGCGTCGGGATGCCGAGGGGAGATTACCCCACATAAAATTAGAGTTGATTGTGGCGTTCTAGAGATGTCTTCGAGAAGGACGTTTTTAGGAGGCAACGAAACAATGAAGTTACAGTATTTGCTAGTGCCGACACGTGCAACGATTACAGGTTCGTTGATGAATGCTTTTGGAACACTACCAGCTAGCACGCAATCACAGTCTCGGCCTTGTCCGACTGTAACCAGTTCGAGCAAGTCTTCACAACCGCCGACTCATTCGATAAGATAAGAGTGGGCGAAGCGAGCAGAAAAAGTCTCGAGTTGCGGCTGCCACGTGTGACTGCATGTCTGACCGCCCTTGAACCTTCGCCCGTGCAGAACAAGTGATGAACAAGTTGTGGTCATTCCTGCTACACACACCGGCAGCTCCCCGGGCGTGCCACAGCGAAGTTTGAACGACTCGCGGCAAGCGGAATGTCCTGCATTTGTTTGCATGGACCCAAAAATTCCTACCCACCCATACTACAACATCCCACGGTACTACAGCACCACCCACTGTAATCGCAGTAATCGTGCTCATTACCATACTACTCTGAGGACATTTCCCGGCTGAAGTCACCAACGATTGGTCAGTGTCGGAAGCTCTGAGCGCTGTTGCACCACTGCTCCGGGATATTTTCTGCACCCGTTGCTTGCGTGCGTTGCACACACCCAAGCAAACGCACCAACCTGCCCTGTGCTGACCCTATCTCACCTCGTAGACTCATCTTCTTTTTCTCCTTCTTTCGCGATGTCAGGTACTCCTATCTCTTTCGGTGACCATCCGCCTCACGGCAATCCTGCGAACACTGGGCCCAGTACTCAGAGCACGGATAGAGAGTCTACTGCTTCCCATCCACCAGCGATCAAACCCGACCCGACGACTTCAGCACCTCATCCGAAGTTCCATCCACCGCACGGCAAGACCGGTGGTTCGATTGAGGATGCCACCCAAGGAGGACAGTCCACCGCCTCTGCCGCCAGTTCCTCGTATGTTGCGCTGTATCATGCAGAATACAACAACGTCAATTCTAATACATTCTCTAGCGAACTCGCCGGTAATGAAGTAGGCAACCACCGCAAACTCGCCAACCTCAACGCAACTCTCAAAAATGGTCTACGACAGTTCCCCGATTTTCCCGAGAAAGGCATCTTGTTTGAGGACATCATGCCACTCTTCGCCGACCACGCACTACATTCGAGTCTAATACAAGCGCTCGAACTGAAAATCGCCGACGTCTTCAACACCAAGCTCGGCGAGAGCAGTGACGTCGATATAGTCATTGGTCTAGAGAGTCGTGGCTTCCTCTTCGGTCCTACGCTGGCACTTCGACTAGGCGCTGGATTCGTACCCGTGCGCAAACCTGGAAAGCTACCCGGCAAGACGATCAAGGCGACTTTCAAGAAGGAGTACGGCGAAGATGTGTTTGAGATGCAGGGTGATGCTATCAAGGAGGGGCAGAAGGTGGTCATTGTGGATGATATTATAGCGACAGGAGGCTCGGCACAGGCTGCAGGCTCTCTCGTGCATCAGCTCGGTGGAAAGCTACTGGGATATGTGTTTCTAATGGAGCTCGACTTCCTGAAGGGTCGTGATAAGTTGGATGCGCCGGTGTATACTCTGCTCAGTGGGCAGGAAGAGGCGCTCAACCAGGGAGGTGCTGTGGACGATAAGCTACCGCTTGGCCGGACGAAAGAGAGTGCGGAGGAAGCCAGCAAGCCAGTCACTGATGCTGGTGGTTCGGCGGCAGAGCAGAAGCCTTGAGCCCGGCTGTCAGCTGGGAATTAATTATTCACCGCAACTACGGCCAAGTTTCGATGAAACTGGCTCATGCGTAAATACACAGGAGTACAGCATGATACAGCGGAAGCACAGGAAGTGCCATGATATAATATGGACTGGCATCTCGACTAAGCAGCCCATGGACAGCAATTTCAACAGCTGCACGAATGATGATACGATAAAAGCTGCTTGCGACACACGATCGCGACCATTTCATCCACCTATAGCTCTGCTGTGTAGCTCACCCTACATCACTCCGACGTCAAGAACGTCCCCAAATCCTTCACATACTTCTCCGTCTCCTCCAACATAGGCATATGACTACTCAACGCATACCTCACCCATTTGACCCGGCACGTTGGGTTGGTGAAAAACGCCGCCGTCGTCTCATCTTGCGCTTCATCATGATATCCATTCATTATCAGCATTCCTCCCGGCACCGTCTCCGCCGTGATCTTGTGTAGATCTTTCCTGATATCCCACGTTTTCAACGATCCAATGACGAAGAATTCTGACGGGCCATTCATGGTTTCGTAAACGGTGGGATCTTCCTCTAGTGCTGTGAAGGTGTCGAGAGCTTCTTTCGGCCAGGGATCATTTCGGCAGGCGTGACGACGGTAGAAGACTTCGACTGCTTTGTGGTACTCGTCACTATCCGTCGTCCCATTCTTCTCGTTCCGCGTTAATGCCTCTTGTACATCTTTAGGCAGCTTGGCACGCAGGCGATTGGCTACCTCCACCCAGGTTATCATGTCCGCGGGCGAGTTAGAGATGATGAGTTTCTGCATCCCCTTTGGTTGGCGCTCGATGGCGAATTGGCCGCCTAGCATTCCTCCCCAAGATTGCCCGAGGAAGGAGTATTTTGTTATCCCGAGGTGGGAGCACAGGTTCTCGAATTCCGACATGAAGAGTTGAGGCGTCCAGAACTTGGTATCACCCTTCTTGTCTCGAAATCTGGTGCTCAGACCGCAGCCGACTTGGTCGTACATTACTACTGGTATGCCATAATCTTGATGGATGAGGGAGATGGGGAGGAGGTAGTTATGTGTTGCCCCTGGACCACCGTGGACACAGATCAAGGGTGTTTTGCGGGAGCTGGAAGGGTGGCCCCAGACTTTGTATGCTGTTTCGCCTTTGAGGCCATTTTCTGAGTAGTGGAAGGATGCTTTGCCGGTCTCGGTGGGCTCAGGATAGGGTCGTTCTTGGCCTGGCACTGGTGGATCGGAAGTTGTGGAAGACATGGTTTGGATGAGAGGTACGGGGCCGTTGGGCATGGTGACAAGAGGATGGAAGAGAGTGGAAGTCTAGACGACTTACGATGGGAGGAAGCTTTTGGACTAGTACCTACTCGCCGTCTTATGTCTTTCGTAGCCATTGGAGCATACCTTGTCTTTATCGACATTAGGAAGGTGCTGACGTTGAACAGATCCGGCTCGTTTCCTAGCCCTGTCGTGTCGCATTGCCATTATCTTTGGCGTCAATTGCTGAGGGCCAGGGACGAAAGCGATTCCTAACGATGATGAGGGGTAAGCTGAAACGTGATTCCCAAAGGAGAAGGTGGGAGAAAACATGGCTGCACGGACATGATGCTGCGTCAGCGGCTCGGTAACAGCGTTCGGAGTCTCGTCTCCTCTCCAGGGGCCGAAAGTACATCAATGACAAAGACTCCAGACCCACTCCATACAGAGACGGTCATGTCGGTCATCTTGCGTCCAGGTGTGAGCGGCCATGCTCGGTGTGCCGGACATCGAAGCAGAGAGCTGCCGTCCGTCTCTTCTGGACACGGCTATAATCCCTGGCTGTGCCACCCCAATTACTACCTTTCGGTGAAAGCGATCATCCTCCATGCTCTGGTCTTTGGATTTCTGAGCAATCGATCTCAAGATTGCTCTCTCATCGCGGCTGACTATGCCTCGGAGAGTTCCATACCGCGAGGCACGTTGTCAATCTTGTCCCTGACTGGTAGGGGCGTATCAGCCCTACAGTCGTTACTGATAACTTCGGACGGTAGGTATGCGGCTCAAATGGTACATAACAAGAGCATACTTTCCAATCTCATGGGTGATTATTTGCCGGGAGCTTACGCTTCCTCACGATGTACAACAACAGAAATAGTTCTGATTTCGTCCTCGAGGATCCTGGTGTGCCTGCCGTACCACTACAGCAAAGCTCGGCAGACGAGCGCCTCTATCGACCCAGACGTCCTCATACCAAGTCCCGCAATGGATGTCTGGAGTGCAGACGACGACGCATGAAGTGTGGAGAGGAGCGTCCAATATGTCTCCAATGCTCGGAGCGAGACTTCACATGTCGTTATCGCGAGAACAGCCCTCCGAGACGAGAATCGAGGACGAACGCGATCACAACCACGGACAACAATTCGACGAGGTTTAGTGGTCCAATGACATTCGAACTACAGCAGCAATGTGTTCCACAACGAGGTGCAACATTCTTCCCACCCGCCATCTTCGACAACCCAGTCCATTGCCAAGACGAAGTCCACATCATCCTCGACCACTTCACCCAACCTACCGACCCACCCTGGATAGGATCTCGCACTCTCCAGCACATCATGCAAACTCTCGGCGTCCACGTCGCTTCCTCGACTCCATACCTCATGCACACCATCTTAGCCTTCTCAGCTGCACACCTCAGTCATCTACATCCTACCAACGCCAGGTGGCGATTCGCGGCTATAGCACATTATGACTACGCACTGTCGCTTTGGCAACAGCGTCTTGCTCGGATCCCCTCTCCGGAGCGGGATTTGGCTGCCAGGCTCTGCGCCATCTTTTTGCATGCTATGCTGGCTATCTTGCACTCGCCGACTGAGTTGAGGGACGGACTGGAACCGGAGGAGTGGAAACCAGGTTCGACCTGGGTCCCATCCATACTCGGTATACACGGCTTACTGCACGGGCCAGGCGTGGACCTGACCGAGCTCGACCAAGAGATCTGGGGACCGCTATTGAGGCGATATCTGGCCCCGCCACGAGGCCCGGGTGGTTTGGAAGACAGCACGACCGGGATCCATGCCGCCTCTCCTGAGAGAGCCGTTCTAGCAAGCCTAGAGCAGATCTGTATCTCCCCAGACCCTGCCAAGATCTCGTTGTACCGAAGCGCCCTCTCCCTCTGGCATGGTCTCATCGACTCCTCCCCACGCTCGAACGACGACAGCGAGATGATCGACGTCTTCTTCTCCGCAGCCTCACAGCTGACGCTCGAATTTGCGAATCTTCTCAAGGGTAAAGATTCCCGCGCTATCCTGCTTGTGGGATTCGGGCTGGTCATGTTGGGGAAACGGTGTTCATGGTGGTGGGTAGCGGCCTCGACGAGGAGGAAGGGTCCACAAGCCATTGAGTTCTTGCCTGCGCAGCGGGAATATGGGGAAGATGGGAGGTTTACTGGCGTGGTGGCGTGGATGGAGGAGTGGGTGTGGCGTGATGAGGTGAGCTGATGGGAAGGAGACGTTTGTGGATGTTATGCTATACAAATTATCGCAACTTCAATACATTATAGAAGCATAGATACATCTTGTTTGGATTTCGACCGCTCTCGGTAAAGTGCAAATGATGATTGGCAGCGCTGCTAAGTTCACAACTAGCCCACTCGGACACGAGAGGATGGCAAAGTTAAGATTAATATGGTAGAAATGGAAGACTGCGTGCAGGGGTGCCTGAAGCGTCGAGTTGAAATAAGACAGACTGGATCCTCGCCATACAGTTTTCGAGCTCGCTACATGGAACAACGTTTGCTATGCGCTACACGCTCTACCCTCACTCCGTAGGAAGGACTATGCCATGCAGATCACATCAACGCCGTGTCTCTCTCTCGTTCCCACTATAGCTTGAGTGCGGTCGCAGCACTGAAGGCGGCAGGACAGAACATCCCCTTGGTGCATCTACCATCTACCTCCCCACCCTAATGACACCCGCCGCCATCAACTTCTGCACCTTCTTTCTGACATCCGCATTCTGCATATGGTTCTGCAATGCCGCGGGATCACCCTTGGCTTGTTGAAGGATACTCTGCATGACGGGATCTTGGAGGATTTCCATGATTTGCTACATCGCACACAAATGTGTTAGCATGACTTCTCTGTAATCCATGTAATATCAAGGGTCATTGGCCTCACTTACCGGATCCCGCTGAATCCTCGCCTGCGCCTCCTCCTCGCTCTCACCCTCGCGAGCGGAGAACTGCGCCTGTAACGCCTTCTGGCTCTGCGCCTCAATCTCCCGCGAGTTCTTCCCATCCTTGTCGTGCTCCATCGCCTCTGCGCAGACGTCAATGACGCGGTTATACTCCTTCATCGCGAACAGTGCCTGTGCTTTGCGGATGTAGGCACGCACGAACTCCGGGTCTTTCTTGATGGCTAGGTCGCAGTCTGAGACCGCGGAGGGGAAGGTGAGGAGTTTGATCAAGCAGGCGGCGCGGTTGGAGTAGCCTCGTGGATCCTCGGGGGCGCGTTTGACCATCTCGGTGTAAGCTTCTACTGCGGCTGGCCAGTCTGCCTCCTTGAACTTCTGGTTGCCTAGTTCGCGTGCCTCTTCAGCTTTCTCGGGGTCGAGGTAGGCGTCTTTCTCGGCTTTGCTCTTCGCTTTCTCGGCCGCGCGGAGTTTGTTGAGGATGTCGGGTGTGCGGTGCTCGGTTAGACTGCGCTGGTAATACTCCACCGCGTTGGCCAAATCGCTTTGCTTCTCGTAGGCGGAGCCCATGCGACCAAAGGCTTTGGCGATGATTTTGAAGTCTGCGAGCACTTCGCGGCCGTGCTCGATGGCTTCTTTGCAGGAGATTATGCAAGACTCGTAGTCACCTTTCTCGAATTGTGCAGCGGAGCGGTTGGTGAGGTATGTGATGTCCTTGTGGATCTCCCAGGCTTTGGTGTAGTGAGCTATCGCTGTGTCAAAGTCGCGCTTTTTGTATGCGGCTGTACCCTCCGCCTTCTCCTTGTCCGCCTCCTCCTTTGCTTTCTTCGCAGCGACGGCCTCCTCGTCTTCCGGCTCGGGTTCCGGCTCGGGTTCGGGTGCCTTCTTGGACTGTGACTTGGGTTGTGAAGGTCTTGCGTCCGGCATGGGCATATCTTCCTCAGCATCACCGCCACTCCTCATCCTCTCTGCCGCTGCATCCGCATCCGGCGTCTCCATCATCGACATGTCCACACCCAACAACACGCCCATGACCTGCAAGAACCTCGGATCCGACATCATCTCCGTGCTCATCGCGTTCGGGTTGTTCTTCATACTCTGCAGCTTGTTCATGAACGCCGGGTCGGCCAGATATCCCGCCGTCTTGGGATTCTTGGCCAGCTTCTGGATCATTTGCGGGTCGTTGAACATGCTACCCAGACCACCGCTAGGATCACCAGCAAGACCATCCGACTTGGCCTCGGCATCAATGGCTCTCCTCACCGACTCCAACCCGGATTTGGCTTGTGCGTTGGCCGGGTCGAGCTTGAGTGCCTCTTCGAATGCGTCTACTGCTCCCACCAAGTCACCCACGCCGTGCATGGCTGTCCCCTTGCGACCCCATCCTTTCGCCCAGTCCGGCTTGATCTCGGTGGTCTTGTTGGCATCTTCGAGCGCTTTGTCAAAGTCTTTGAGCGAAGCGTAGGCGCCTGATCGATTCGAGTAGAGCACGTGATTGTCGGGTTGGAGCTCGATGGCTTCGCTGAACTTCTCGACCGCTCCAGTAAAGTCCTTGCTGGCGAAGAGCTTGTTGCCTTCCTGTACACAAACAGTTAGAACATCTCATTATATCCCTTGGGACTGTATACTCTAGCTGTACTTACCGCTTTGGCTGCGTCGGCCATGATTGAGGTGATGATCGGGTTGTGGGTGAGATCAGTATGGTTGGCTATCAGTCGAGTAGGAAAAGGTGTGGGTTCTTTTTAGTAGAAAGGGCGATTGGTGTATATATTGTTAGGCTGTCAAACACCGAATCTTCTTCCACTACTTTCCAGAAGCTCTCTGTCTTCGCCAAAACACTAGCTTACTAGTACTGTGGGGAAGCGTCACCGTGCAGAAGCTCTGCTTACTAACACAGCTCGTACATCGTATTGTAATCCAGCCACAACCGTTCACTTAACTCTTCCTTTGCCCGACTCCTGTTCTCAGCGACCAAGTAATAATACCAAATCAAATGAGCGACAGCAGTAGCACTTTTTGCATCTCATCCATGGGAAAAGCGGCATTTGTCTACCCCCGATCCTGCTTCATCAGCCCGGCAGCCTAGATAGCTTATCCCTGGCATCATTGTCTCACATTGGCTGTTGACTCTCTCTCCTCGATTTGCTGGGCTCGCTCTGACTATACGGACACACTCGTAGCTCTTCTCTGCAACATCAACCATGACACCGACCATCCCGCCCTCATGGATCGGGCAAAATGGCAAACCCGTCAAGCCCAGCGAGCTCAACGCAGCCATTGACTTCCACTGTCCATTCTTCAGCAAGGACGAGCTGAGAAGATATAATTCACACGCCGATTTTTACACCTCCAGGAATCGCTACGAGAATTATACATCCGGTGACGACACCATTGCGTCGCGGGGCATAGGCAGGCTCCTGGACGAATATCGCCATATTGCTCGAGTTCGTACGGTCGAGGCTGTAGGTGTTTCCTTCACGACAAAGCGGATCAGTAGTACTACTTGGGTCATACAAGAGGATGATATGTATAAGGAGCATCCGTTGATCTATGTCAAATTGTTGCCACAGGTGCCCGTGATCCTTCTGTGCGATACGGGGACTGATGCCCCGACGAAGGAGAATAGGTCTAGTAAGTCATTCGCTCTAGTGCAAACATCCTCCTTTCACCTATGCACTTTTCAGAATCACGTACCAGGTTGTTGAACTGATAGGCTGCAGTCGTCGGCACTTCTACCCATCTTCGCCACTACCTCGAGAAAGTCCCAATCGAATCTAACAGCAATCAACCTTTGAATCCGAACGGCAAGCTCACGTACTTCATCATACAAACGCACTGCCACTACGATCATATTGGCGGTATACCGCAGTTCTTGCGAGGTGGCACGACACAAATTCTGGCATCAGCCGCCGGTCGTGATTTCATCGAGAAGGACTTCTCTCGTCACTCTTTGTGGCCTGGCGACAATGGAGAGTTGCCGCGCTATTGTGTCACGAAATGGGCTCAAACATTCGAGCGTTTATCGTGGCCATTGAGTGAGAAGTATGAATATGATGATGATGGACACCCCGTGACACAGCAACCGCCGACGAGCTTGGGTATCACGGTCTTGCACACGCCCGGTCATACCCCGGACGAATTGGCTTGGTATGATCATGCTGAGATGTTTCTTTATGTCGGCGATAGTTTCTATCGTGAAGGCGAGGAGGACATGCCTATCATCTTCCCACCTCAAGGCAATCTAATCGAGTGGGTCTTCAGCATGCAGAAACTTGCCGTCTTCGTTCGGGGCGAGAACGCTCGAGCAGCGGCTGAAGCCCGGCTGGTCTCGGTCGACGCTGAGGACGACTGGGAGCACGTCGCACCCAGGGTGAAAGTCAGCTGTGCGCATACTACTACAGCCGTCGATGGAGCGGAGATTTTGGCCGAGCTCGAGGCTTTCTCTTTCAAGGTCTTCGTGGGGAAAGTGCCTGTGGTGGAACGTGATAAGCAGTTTGGTGAGGAGATTGACCTGTGGAAGGAGGAAGGGGAGAAGAGGACGCCGATGAGTCTGCTTGCGCCGAGGAGGCTGATGCAGGATGCGAGAAAGTTCTTTGGGCATGATGTGAAGGATGAGCGGAGAGGTGATGACGGATGCAGATTCTGGGGTTGGTAGAGTCGTGATGCTGACTGAGTGAAGAAGCAGGAAAAGGCTATGGTCGACTCGTGTCTACGGCATTTGCAGCAGTAGTGATTCCCCTGTATCAGCCGCAAGGTACCCTTCTATGTTCTCGACGAACGACGCCAGGTAGTTGGACAAGAGATATTGATTACATACTGCTTTTTCCTGATTGGCTACAGTTTCTCACAGTCCTCAAGTGAATGGACCTCGGCATGAGCTTCGCCGCGGTCTCGTCTCGTCTGAACTATTCCCCAAGCATTCCAATCATGTTGTCTCCTTCTAATCAAATCCTTGTGTCCTGGGCCGAATCATTGCTGTGTCACACTCGTTCCGCAAGTCCACCATGAAGGCTCCTCTAACCCGACAGTCCGTCGAACAACACAATACCGAAGAAGACCTCTGGGTCATCGTCGATCACAAAGTCTACGACCTTTCTGACTTCGTCGATGCCCATCCGGGCGGCGAAGTAGTCCTTCGACAAGTCGCGGGTCAAGACGCCACCCAAGCCTTTTACAACTTACATCGCCATGAAGTGCTGCAGCAGTACGCCAAGCTATGTATCGGCACGCTGGAGAACGAAGAGCCGGAGGTCGTTGATCCTCAGCCTGGCGATCTGAGCAAAGTCCCTTATGGAGAGCCCTTGTGGTTGAGACCGCAATTCCATAGTCCATACTTCAACGATTCGCATCGACGGCTACAAAAAGCCGTCAGGGTGTTCGTGGATACGTACGTCAAGCCTGAGGCCGAGCAGAAAGAGAAGGATGGAACGTTCATCTCCCAGGAGTTGATAGATCGGATGGCGAAGGAGCATCTATTGGCTGCGAGACTCGGGCCAGGCAAACATCTGCACGGGAAGAAGATTTTGGGTGTGCTGGATGGAGAGGAGTTTGATTATTTCCATGATATGATTGTCTGCCAGGAGTTCGTGCGGCCGAGTCAACGTGGGTTCCAGGATGGGAATATGGCGGGCATGATGATCTCGCTTACTGCGTTGAGGCAGTGGGCCAACGATGACGAGCTCAAGGAGCGCATATCCAGGGAAGTGCTTTCGGGACAGAAGAAGATGAGTCTCGCCATTACCGAGGCGTTCGCTGGTTCCGATGTAGCGGGTATCCGTACTACTGCGGAGCTCAGCGAAGACGGACAGCACTACATCATCAATGGCACGAAGAAGTGGATCACGAATGGAATGTTCAGTGACTATTTTGTCGTTGGATGCAAGACGAAGAAAGGCTTCTCTGTCATCTTGGTCCCGAGGGGTGAGGGTGTCGAGACGAAGTTAATCAAGACGAGGTATTCGACTGCGGCTGCGACGACGTATATTGAGTTCAATGACGTGGAAGTGCCGAGGAATCATTTGATGGGGAAGGAGGATCAGGGTATGCTCGTCTCATCCTTTTCTTTCCCCAATGTCAATATGCTGATATTTCCTTCCAGGCTTCGTCGTGATAATGTCAAACTTCAACCACGAACGCTGGATGATGGCCGCAGCCGTCACCCGCACCATGCGCACCGTCACCGAAGAATGCCTCAAATGGTCCCACCAACGCATCGTCTTCGGCAAACCCCTCGTCTCTCAACCTGTTATTCGCCAACAACTCGCTCGCCTGATCTCCATCTCCGAAGCTACACAAGCCTGGCTCGAAAGTATCACGCACCAAATGAACCATATGACGTACCAACAGCAATCTCAGCACCTCTCGGGACCAATAGGGTTACTGAAGGCATTTTGTACGAGATCCGCGCATGAGGTGGCTGATCTGAGCACGAATATCTTCGGCGGACGGGGTCTGACCCAGGGTGGGATGGGCAAGGTGGTGGAGATGTTTCATAGGGGGTATAAGTATGATGCCATCTTGGGGGGTACGGAAGAGATCTTGATGGACCTGGGAGTCAGGCAGGCCATGAAGTTCATGCCGAAGGCTATGCTGTAAGTGTGGTTGTATACTGATTCTTCATCAACATGAGGGTCGCCAGCCTCTCACTGGCTCTCCCTGGCTTCCATAACTTCAATAGTAGTGGCTCGGACGGTTGAAGTGAAGATCTTTTTTGACTCGTTTCGGGAGATGTGTATCATCGCTCTCAATGACTCGTAGCAAAACCCCTTATCTGCCCGTATCTTTGTACCTGTAGATATGTGCGGGGAAACACTGATAAGTGATACGGCACGACTATGATACTTCTAATGACCTCGTGTATTGATTGCCGATAGCCTGACTATTCGCGAGTACCTGCTCTGTCTGGTAAGACTCGTATGCGCCAATTTGTGCAGTTGGAGGACTTGGAAGATCATATGAACGATGCTCGATCTCCCTTGTTGTAAGATGCGCGAAGAGTTCTCAGGTCTTCGCAACTCCGACAATTATGGACACTAAAGCAGATATCGTCGTCGACGCCAGAGATGTAGATGAGGCTTTCTATGCCGTGAAGCATCAGAAGGAGGTGGGAGAGACGACCAATGTCGACGAGAAACGACTACTCCGGAGGATCGATCTAAAATTGATGCCGTTGATGTTTATGTGCTACTTCTTGCAGTACTCAGACAAGACGCTAAGTATGACATACAAGCAAAAATCGACAGGGCAATACTAACACACTAGCAGTCAACTATGCTGCCGTCATGGGTCTTATCGAAGATACAAACATGCCCGACAACGGTTTCTCACATCTAGCCATTGCCTTCTACTGCTCCTTCTTGTTCTTCGAGCCAATCCAGGCTTTCTGCCTACAAAGGTTCCCGATAGCGAAGTGGCTTGGTGCGAATGGTAGGCAGCTCGGTAGCAACAATATGCTCTTTGCAATGCTGACATAGTTGCAGTGATTTGTTGGGGCATCGTCTTGTGCATGAACTGTGTAGCTCGCAGCTATGCACCACTGGTCGTTCTTCGTGTGCTCCTTGGAGTCTTCGAGTCGGCTACAGCTCCCAGGTATGTCTCTATGCATGCTGGACCCATGCCATCGCTGACCGATCGTAGTCTCAACCTCATGACCACCATGTGGTACAAAAGGCACGAACAAACCCTCCGTACAGGCTACTGGTATCAAGGAACCAGCATCGGACCTGCGGTATCCTCACTCATAGCCTACGGCTTTGTCCACTGGGCAGCTTCTTCTCCGGATGCGAACTTTAAGCCCTGGCAAGTGCTGTTCTTGCTGTATGGCTTGATCACGATCGTGACCGGGATCTTGGTACTTCTGTTTCTGCCGGACAACCCGATGAAGAGCCGATTTAGCCACGATGAGAAGATTGTCGCTGTTGAGAGGCTGAGAGAGAACCAGACCGGCATCGAGAATAAGCACTTCAAGTGGGCGCAATTCAGGGAGACATTGGCTGATCCACGGACATGGATTCTGAGTATGATCGTCGTATCGACTAACATCCCCAATGGTGCTGTGAGCTCATTCTCGAGCATCATTATTGAGAAGTCTGTGTACCTGCTCTTCCGGAACGGCACACTGCTGACACGATCCTAGCTTCGGTTACAACCAGTATCAAACGCTCCTACTCAACCTGCCAAGCGCCGCAGTGGCATTTGTAGCGGTCTTGCTTGGGACGTGGTGGGCAGGTCGATATAACGCTCGCGGGATAGCTATCATCGCACTCGTCACACCGACCATCATTGGCGGCGCACTCATGGCCTGGCTGCCGCCGGACAACAAAGCGGGACTGCTCATTGGTAATTACCTAACGAACACCGTGGGTGCCTCACTACCACTGATGTATAGCTGGATCGGAGCCAATTGTAAGCGTGCTTGAGCTGGAGATTCATGACTGAGCTGACAGCTTTTCAGACAGCGGACACACCAAGAAAGTCACGATGAATGCCATCGTTCTGATGTCGTTCTGTGTTGGCAATGTGATCGGGCCGGAAACATTTCAAGCCAAGTCAGCGCCTGCGTATATCCCGGCAAAGATCACCATCGTGGCTGTTCTGTCGGTCGCGATTCTCCTAGTCCTGCTGTTGGATTATCTGATCATTCGTGAAAACAAGAAGCGAGACCAAGCTGGGTTGGTCGATATGCCGGCCAATTATGAGTTCATGGATCTCACGGACAAGGAGAATAGGAACTTCCGTTACCTCCTGTAGGGTGGGCGAACTGGTAGGAGGTGTGCATATCGTATATATGTTTGTTCCTATCTTATTAGACCGTAACCGCAATATTCATGACCGGGATTGAAATCGACTTGATGCCATGGACATAATTACGGTTGATGGCACGGATTGAAGTGTGGAAGTAAATCACTCGCAGGCCTCCCGCGGCCAAATGCGGGCGAACCAGAACCTTGGCATCGTCTGGTCTCGAGGTTCAGCCGTAGCCTCATGCTCTCTCCTGCAGCCATCACTGTCAGGTGCTGAAACAGCCTGGCGATATACTCTGTCCCGGAGAGGATGTCCAATACTGCTACCAGAACGAGGACGTGGCCACATCATATCTCGGTCTTTGATCTCCCGATTCCAGATGCCGGCTCCAATGACAGACGATGACGATGATTCGCTACCAGATGATGATCTGGTGGACTTTTTTCAACATCTTGATAGGTAGGTAAGGGCGTTGTTGTCTTTAGACATCCTTCGAACTCTCGTCCACCTGTTGAATTCTCCGTACTCCATCATGTCCCACCAAGCATCTTCCTTCACAAACGAGCTCGCCCTAGGTGAAGCACCTCGAGGTCAAGCCAAACCCCGAGTCATCGTTACAGGTGGCAGTGGAAAGCTCGGCCGAGCAACAGTCCAGTACCTAGCCGACGAAGGATGGGAGGTCATATCCGTGGACCTTCGTCGTCCAGCCGGCATTAGTGAGGATGGCAAGAGTGGGCTCGGTGGAGCCTACAGATTGGTCGAGATTGATCTAGAGGATATGGGAAGTGTGTTGGAGACCTTCCACAGCACGGATATGGCATATTCAGGTATTCAGGCCGTGGTACATTTGGCGGCTATTCCGTCGCCGGGACAGACGAGCGCCAGCAGGCAATTCAGGACGAATACGATGGGGTAAGCAGACAAAGCATGTCCCTGGTGACTGAAGTACTGTGCTAACATTGTTCAGCACGTACAATGTCCTCGAGGCTTGCCGCAAGCTGAAGATCAAGAACATCGTGCTTGCATCCTCAGAAACACTAATCGGCATACCATTTGCTCCTCATCCTCCTGTCTTTCTCCCCATGACTGAAGAGCACGAACGACGACCAGAGTCAGCCTACTCGTTGTCGAAGCTCGTAGGAGAGACTATTGCGGAACAGTACACACGTTGGGATCCCGAACTCAAGATTGTATCCCTGCGATTCAGCAATGTCATGCTACCGCAGGAGTATGCCACTTTTGAGGGATGGCAGAAGGACCCCAAGGCACGATACTGGAACTGTAGGTGTTGAGCATATGTGCGTGATGGGAAAATAAAACTAATGTCTTGATCCAGGCTGGGGCTATATCGACGCCCGAGATGGCGGCCAATCCGTCGCTTTGTCTCTTAAGAGCAAGATGACTGGTCATCACCAATACCTCATTGCAGCAGAAGATACCTGCATGCGCATGAGCAATGATGAGCTGGTGAAGGCCGTTTTCCCCGACGTGAAATACTCGCCCACAGCTGGACCAAATGACTCGCTCTTGTCAATCGAGAAGGCGAAGAAGGAGCTAGGGTTCAAGCCTTTGTACAAATGGCAGGATCAAATTGGGAAGTGAGAGTGATGCTAGACATAGACTTGAGGGTGCTCTATATCCCTTCGCATATACCTAAACTCGTAGCCGCCCCAAGCTTCGCCGTCCGGCGGCTTCACGTCCTCAATATTCCAGTCGTCAAGCACCAACTTCAGCCTGTCATCTATTGCAAACCCATGACTCTCGTACAATCTAGCCCCAGCATCGCTTGAATGTACCCAGCAGAACACATCTTCTCCGTCAGCTTCGTCGGTGCACTGTCGAAGCAACCGTGAGCCCACTCCTCGGCCCTGGTAGTCGGGATGTACGACGAGTGTCACAATGTAGAGGCACTTAGTCCCTGGTGGCATGGTCTTGGCCTGCCATAGATCGAAATGCCGGGATGTGAAGGTCTCCAGGTTTGTGCGTGCGGAGGCTGAGGCATGTCTGAAGTCGTTCGCGTTCAAATCTTGCAATGCGAGGCCTGCGGCTACTTTCGAATCATGATCGCTAGAGGTGGTAATATGTTGTGATGGAGATATGTCTAGGCCATGTGATGCCCATACAAGCCATCCCGCCATAACGCCGGACGCTTCATCTGTGCATACGGTCCTTCTGTAGGATGCTGAGCCGTTCTTTGGAGCTTTGATCCAATGCTGGAGACCTTGACGCATGCCGTCTCCGTGATTATACGGGTTGGTCTTGCAGCTGGACTTGAATTGAGTCTGCCGATCCGTTTGGAAAGCTAGGTTTGCGAGTTCCGCACATCTTGGAATGTCTTGGTTATGCAGTGGACGCAGCGTAAAATCATTCATTCTCTACCACAGCCTCTGACACTTCTTTCTCATGTCCCGTATGAATAGTCGAGATGGCCGAGACAGGAATGGCATAGATGATTTATATTGGCCAGTGAGGCGAGCGAGTCATACCTCTAGGTCTGAGGTTCAAAGTTCGGTGGCCACGTCGGTCTAGCGGTGGTCTTTTGATGTAGCGTGCTAGGGTGAGTCTGCTCGTTGAAACCGAGAGACGAGGGCGCAAGGTACGGTAACAAGCAGTGGCTGATCTCAGGACTAGCGACATTTGGACAGACAGGGTGTATACAAATGAGATCCATTTTCCTATACAAAGCATTACATGCAGGCGCCGGTAGTGCAGACCTCCATATATGAAATATTTCGAACGGCGAGTACCTGCAAGCCTGGTCGTACATCACGCTCAGGAAGCGACAGGCCAAGCGCGAGCACCAAGATTAGTACAGGTACCATAGCCAGAGCAGTCTGGCTGGTCGAATCGCTGACATAACGCTGCTGCGGCCAACCCGTCGCATAAGATCGAGCACTACACAGAAGGAGTATCCGAAGGTCGTTGTAAACTGGCAGTTCTTCCACTTTTTCATATCCCATTTGGAGGTCGCAACGACAATTCCAGGGACGGCGTCCGTCTTTTTTGCATCAAAGACGAGGTCAAGGTCGTAAGTTACAAAGGCGGTCGGTCCGCGTGGAGAGAGTCCTTGCCATTGAAGCTGAGAACGTGGATGAATCCCCAAGGTGGTGTCTTCGTCTGTAGAATGGATTCGTGCGAGGCTTGATACAAGATGGTCTTTGGACTTGCCCGACTTCACGACTATACCTTGCGATGTATCGAACATCCTCACGACGTATTCATTAACTAGTTCTCGTCTCGTTCTCTCTAGCCACATTGGAGGAACACTGCCAAACAACCTGGTTCTGATGCGCCAGGCCCGCAGTAGGCTGCTATAGTCTTTTGAGGGTTGAGACGTGCTACAGACTCAGGCAGTCAAGTAGTTACGGAGGCCACACTACATACTGATCACGAACTCTCCATCAGCAATTTCCTGCGCAAGACCAGAATACCTCCATCGGCTGAAATACGCATATTCACCATTTGGGCACTGTGTGAGGTTGTCACCATTAGCACCGTTACAAGTTGAGTATATCCCAAGCAGCGAGCCGCTACCCGAGTTCGTGAGTTCAGCTGTCACGACTTCGGTGGAAGCATAGCCCATAATGACCAAACTGGAAGGATTACTGACTAGCGATGCAGGGAAGCGGTATGTCGTGTCGTTTGCGCTCTGGACTCGAAGTCTTATGCGACACACTCCATCCCGTGGCCAGTCTGCCGGTATGGGCGTGAAGGAGACCGTCGAGGTTTGGTTGGTGGAGCGTAGCAAAAGTTGCCACGACCCTTCATGCGGAGCTGTATCGTTGACAAGACCCACTCCAAGATCAATATGTTGCATCTGAGTATAGAAGACGGTGATGCCGGCTTCTCCTTCGAATGACTGCGGTGCAAAGTTCAAGTCCGCAGAGAAATCGAAGAGTGTATGGCTCTGCCGCCGACCAACGAAGGACACTCCGTCGACTCCAGCAAGGAGGTCGCTGCCACCTTGCTGTCCGGTCAAGTTCGCCAAAGAAGGGACTACTTGCAAAGTATCTGGATGGCTCAGTGGCGAGACGATGAAACTTCCGTTGGCAGGATACCGCCAAAACTCCTCGTGCTCAACGCCACTCCCCACCAACTGCCGACGTCGTCTTGGAAGAGGTCCGCATGTCCCACAGTCTGGAAGTATTCTGTAGTATTGGAGTTTGTGAGCAGCGGATTGCGAGCGCCTGTAGTCTCGTACGGGCCAGAGATATTCTTCGACCTCGCAATACTAATCCTATGTCCGAGCTGTGTCCCACCCTCAGCAATCAAGAGGTAGCACCAGCCGTCCTTCTTGTAGATGTGTGGTCCCTCTGGGAAAGCGGCACCAGTCCCGTTCCAGATGCTGGTCGCATTTGACACAGCGCCAGTGTTGATGTTGATCGTTTGCTGTATGATGCCAGCTGAGGTCAGGTAGACCATTCCATCATCATCCCAGAACAGATCAGGATCTATTGCAAGGCTCGGAGTCGCATCCCAGGTGACCGGGACAGACCACTCCCCAAAGATATCTTTGGTTCTAAAGACGGTACCAAGAATGCCTATTAATCGATCTTGAGCATAGACGCAAGTCATAAAGAACTCCCCGTCGTGGTAGCGCAGATTCGGGGCAAAGAAGCCATCTTGCTGATCATGTGTCTTTCGATTGATGGCAGGAAGCTGCTCCATGCGGTTCCATATATTATTGATCTGTTTCCAGTTGATCAAGTCTTTGCTGGCATAGATCGGTAGACCCGGAAACGCTGTGAAAGATGATGTGGCGCAGTAGAAGGTGCCTTTGACATGTATGCAACTAGGATCAGAATGCCAGCCTGGTAAGATGGGGTTGTAGTACGTGGAGTTCTCAGGGGACGTGACGTCCCATGCCTGACTGACGCCACAATTTGCCAGTAGAACGAGAGCAAACGATGTCCACATCATGGTGATGCGCTGTAAAAGTTCGGGATACTATCCAGAAGTGCTACATGGCAAACTACGCAGTCCTGCATGCCTTGATCTTATACACACGAACAGACCTGAGGTCCCCGCACAGCAGCACGCTCATACTTTGGCTCGCTTCGGTTCGGCCTGGGTGAACCATCTCCGGCTGGTGGTCGCTCGCAATGTCGGAATAGGCATGCGGAATTCTTTCCAAAGTCGGGCGGTGAGCAACTCCATAGGCCGTAGTCGAGATCTATCTCAGTCGGAAATCCAGTACACGTTCTTTCTCGCTGTCATTTCGCTTCTTCTGTACAGCCTCACCCTCATGATCGTGCTCGAAACACATATATCTCTTCCTCGCTCTTAGCGGCGTCGTCCCACCCAAGCCTAACATGCCAACACTTGCTTGCCCAATATCATTGACATCCCCAACCCAGCCCGGTGCCTCGTCCAGGATTGCCAGGCCCCCACGGTCTGCAACAACGTTCATGGGCAACGTGTCGGCGATAGCAGCACCATATTGCATCATTACCAGCGAGTCGAGGCGGTTCGTCCACCGTGGATCACGGTTACTGTAGAACGCCACGCCGAGCAAAGCTGCAAGGTAGATACCAAGCAATATCGAAATCAGTATGATGGCAGCTTCGGATATATGTAATGCCTGTCGAGGGATCCCAGCATCATAGCTGACCGTGAGTGTCGTCTGTTTTGCGGAAGTCAACCATTGCTCATTTGCCAAGAACGCCGCGGCTTCGAAAGCGTTTGCTAGTAGCTTGTCGTACGGCGGTTGATTTGGAGAGGTGTAGCCTGTCGTCGCGCGGGGTCCTATAAAGGTCTGAACATATTCCAGGAGGGCATCCTGCAGTTGTCCAAAATTCCAGTATCCGCTTGGAATGCAGGAGATGGAGTTTCGTGTACTTGTAGCCTCGTAAACCATACTAGGAGTAGAAAGCAGGCTCACGAAAGGCGCGCGGTCGATGCAGACGGCTGCGAACTCTTCCTGGGCCACGTTAATGTAATTTGCAGGATGCGTCACTCTGTCTGCGGCGAAGGATCCGGGTCCGAAAAGCGCCAGAGCGATGGTGAGAAGGGGACCTTTGTTTTGGATGTTGTTGACATTGTAAGCTGCTGTCGGTATTACAGTCGTGCCATTGGATTCAACAGTATTGCGGCGTTCGTGTCCAGGACGAATGGATTTCGTGGTGCTGTTATGATTACTGCTTGGGTCAGTGAGTATTCAACATCACATGACGGTAATACGCTCACTAGATACCGTCTCCCTGGTCAATGCAGTCTCGACCGCAATGAGCACTGGGGTCGTCTGACAAGATCGGCCCGGGCAAATTGGCATTCATATGATTAGGTAGCTCGAAATATCCAGAGGTAGTCCGAAGCGTGACCCGGAATAGACCACTCCAGTCGTCGGGCGTATCGTTGTCACTATTGGGCCCGTTGTATGCCGATAGGTTGAGGTATAGATGTTCTGAGAAGTCCTGACGAGCCCTGCTTACTGGACGTGACTGCTCGTCAGTACCTGGCATGCATGCAATGAGGTGCCAAGATGGGCCGACCCGAGATCCATTGTACCATCCTGTAAGTACCGTGGTGGAGTAGTTGGCGAAGAAAGTAGATTGGTAGCTGCAGTTCATGGGAAAGTCGGCTTCCGTGATCCTCTCTCGCGTCACGGATGAGTTCAAGCGAGGCAAGAATTGACGGACCAGGCCAGTGTTGTAGCCAGCTGGAAGTTGTGCCATAAACGGATCATTCAGAGCATATGTGTTGCTGAGTGAAATCTGTCCAAAGGCGCAGGCGCTACTGGTTGCAGGTGTCTGGGTAGTGCAGTTGGTGACACCTGATGCACTCCAGAGGCGGTTTTGTGGATCAGTGCTGGATGTTGATATCATGGCAGCACGCAGCGTTGCTGCAGCGATATCGTCGTTATTGTCTCCTCTCAAGCGATCGGTGAAGTCAGTCAATTTCTGTATCTGACGAAGATCGCCAGGGGTCTGGACGGTCAAGGTATTGGTGAAAATGGACTGTAACGGGGTGACGATGGCGCCTGTGTCGAATGTCAGTGGATTCGCATGAGTCTTACCACGGGTGACATACCAAGAAGATGGAGAACAATGGCAAGATACAGCAGTTTCGAGCCGTACTGCTTCCACCGCCCTCGGATTAGCTGCTCGTACACCTCGATCGCTGTCCAGCCATTGTCTGCCAGCACCGTAGTCTGTCGCAAAGTCAAGTTGCGGCTTTTGCAGCTCCGCTGCACGAACGCAACAGCGGCACTCGCACAGACAGTGGAGGTCAATGGGATCGTGATGATGGCGACAATAGCCTGTAGAACACGGGCAGCTCGAAGCCATTGTTCATTTGTAGCATATGTCTTGGTCGAAGGGTAGTAAGCGCCAGAGACGTCGCCATCGCGAAGCCATAGTCCTGGTGACTATATTAGCCAGTATGAGGCGTTACGATACGAGAAGCCTACCATAGTGTCCTGTATTGATAGGCCTGTACACCAGAACGCAAGTGATACACCACGCAAAGACGGCCACCGCGGCATATGCCAAGCTCAGGTAGACAACGAGGGGGAAGTGCTGCAGTCTTCGTGATGGGAACTCGGTGGCTTCTTCAAATTTCCCAGCACAGGGTGAGGAGACTCCAGAACTTCGGATGGCGGTATTAGCAGCCTTGTTGGCTGAAAACGCAACCACTGGATCTTCCTGGTGGGCGAGCAGGCTGTCATCTTGTCCGTCATTCAATGCGATGGCGCCTTCGGTTTCGGGAATGCTTTGGCCGGGATCGTGGCTCGGTAGCGATGAGTATGCCATGCGCGCATACAAGAGTAACGTGCATTTCGTTGACGAAAAGCATACACGCTCATCGTCTTATGGGTGGTAGCCAGATGGAGGATCATACAAGGCGTTTACGGCACAGCATAGCACCGCCCTGAGCACAGCCCACCGGTAGAATATAAGTCCCAGGCGCCAACAGAGGCGGGGTTCTTGGCACGAAGATTGAGCAGAAAGACAGGATCACTTTGGTCGGCCCCTCTCACATCATTGCCTTCGTCACACGAAATGTCTCTTAATAAGTCAGATTCTATGCGATGATGACTATGTGCTTGGAGGTGCGGCCGGCTACTTGGTCCTTCAGTGTCTACGCACAACTGCTTTCTCACGGCCGTGACAATACCACCTGAGTTGCTCGCAGAGATGAAGGGTATCTCAATCCATGTTGAGGACGACATCCACGCCGATGAGCCGCCCCTCGACATATCTTACAGGAGAGCACATATGCTATATCCCAATATCCGTTCGCGCAAGGCTTAGAACGCACGAGGAAGTTCCAGAAAATCGTGCTAGCCTGCTGCTGCGAGCGCCACCTGATCACATATTCTATCCTCCGCCAGCTCATCGATAGCGGCTGCAGGACATGCACTCGACGCATAGGTCGGCGACTGGTCCTACGGCTCCTGCACGAGAGTGTTGACCACAGCGTGGACGTGGTACGAATGGCGTGCTGATCTCTGTCTAGTGTTATTAAGATCTCCAGAATTGGCCAGAAGTAAATCACTGCCTTCGCTGCTAGCAATCCTTCGGGTTACCAAAAGCAGTTACACTAGAGCCATACCACGAACAAATCTCCGGGATCATCGTCAGCCGATGACACGGTCTTGCAGCTGAGAAACGTTCGAAACCAGCGACTCGTACAGGAAAGCAGGCTGGCCGATTGATTGACGTGCGTGCCGCATTACTTGGTATATAGTGCGACGCCGTCATGCACACTGCTTGGGGTTTGACCTACTATGGGCGGTCTGTGATAACATCGTAGCGAGCTGCTTCACTTCCAAGAGTGCTTTCAAAGCAACAAGCTCGGGATCTGTAACGTCCACATGAGAGCGGATAAAGCCTGTGCCATGCCGTACACATTGATTTCCTTCGTTTATTGAGACCAAGCTGCTTACGCTCAGCCCACGTTTCGATCGCCTCGAAAAGGGTGCCGGACTGGTTATCCCGCGGTGTGCCGGCCGTATTGGCGTAGTCCAGATGAATGTGGTTCTCACAGAACTGCGGTATAGCTAAACGTCCCTGGGCATCGTAGCTATTGCTACCAGCTGGTGTTCCGGAGCTGTTCTCTGTAACGGATGCGATCTTGCCATCAATGGTCTCGATGTCCCAGAGGCCGCTGCCATCACGTAAAGATGCAATTGTAACGAGCATGTAGGCATCGCTAGTTCCGGCAACGATGTCTGCTTCGGGACGATTGGCTTGACGAGTCACCTCCGCTTGTTGAAAATCAACTGGTGGCTATTGGGAGGGTTGGAGCATGCAGCAGTAGAGAGACCGAGTGTCTTGCATCTCAAGCGAAAGCCAGGGTGGTGGCGCTTGCGCCGTAGATGACCGGGGAAAAACTGCCGCTCCGTGCTCCATCCTTATAACCTTGTGTGACCGAACGTCGTAATCGTACACTCTCCGCCTTGCTCATAAGGCTGAACGACTTCGTTTGCAAAAGCTGTACAGCCGTTTAGCTCGCTCTTACCACCCTCGTTCAGATCTCTCTCCCTCGTTCGTGGCGGTCGTCTACAAGGACCATGTTGCAATGGGACGGCATCCGAGCGAGCAATACATGTATGTGTATGCTTGTGTGAGAGCATTTTGTCGCGTATGGATAATGGCCAATGTTCATTTCACCCGAAGCCACTCATCAAGTCGGCGTACTCGTATATCTCTTTGCCCTCCCGTCGTCGCTGACAAGTCTCTCCGTACAGTGACCAGTTGCTGATTCCGCCATGCCTAATGATGGCGAGCCGAACGAGGGCTTTCCTGAATGGTCGGTATATATAGACAGTGTACGGTTCACCCACAAGCAAAGTGTACATATACCTGCCCAAAGAAACAGACGCACCTAATATCCCATCGTCGAAGCATCAAGCTCTGATTTACCAAGCCACTTTGTCTAACCATGAAGGCCATCTGCGCAATACTGCTGTTTACTTCATACACTTCCGCGCAGGCACTGCCCACATTCCCCACGCCATATGTGCAATCCACAGCATGGAACTCATCCTTCAAGTTCTCGCCGGAACAGATCGAGCTTGGTCAACTCTGGCCTGAGCTAGCGGAGAATCTGGAAACCATCCTGAATTTTGATCGTTCGCAACTGGCCCATGGCGGGCCAAGTCAGGATAGCTTCTACAAGCTTGACCATCTTGCCACCATTCCTAATCGTCCAGGCGAAGTCCTTAAAGTCGAATATGTCACGAATCCTGAAGTCTGGAATATTCCCGCGAAGACGGCCCTGTCATGGTTTGTCTACACAACAACAAATGTCAACGGAACCCTTATACCGGCTTCTGCTTACGTTCTCTGGCCTTTCACTGCGAAGAAGTTGAACATCAACTCAACCGGCAAAGCTCCTGTTGTTTTGTGGTCGCATGGTACTTCTGGCTTCTTCGCTGACGGCTCACCCTCCGCGCACCGATCCCTCTTCTACGGAAACATCATGCCATTTACGCTTGCTCAAGCCGGGTATGTTGTCGTTGCTGCAGACTATGCTGGTCTTGGTGTTAAGTCGTCGTGGGATGGCAGCTATGTCCCGCATCAATATCAAAATCGAGTGGCTCAGGCCTTCGACAGCTTGTACGCTCTGCGGGCGGCTCGAACAGTGTTTGGGGCAAACATTACCGAGGAGTACGTCAATGTTGGACACAGTCAGGGCGGTGCAGCTGCATGGGGCGTATCGGAGACGCTTGCGCAGAAGTCCGACAACGAGTTCAAAGACTTAGAGCCAGGTTACCTTGGCTCTGTTCTCTTCGCTCCCGGCATCGATACGTTCGCTCAAGGTCCTCAGGTCTTCGGCCCATGGATCGGGAAAGACTTGCAGCTGATGTATCCGGATTTCAAGTTATCAGATTGGCTTTCGCCACTTGGAATCGCTCGTACTGAGCTGCTCACTCAGATACAGGGTGGTCAGTATGTCTCCGAGCTCCTATTCTTGGCCAATGCAACGGAGATATTGAACCCAGCATGGAACCAAACCTGGTACGCATCCGCCTTCAACCGCCTCGTCAATCCTGGCAATCGCAAGTATAAAGCTCCAATGGTCTTGTTCTCAGGGACCACGGACTCAGACGGTGTGCTGTACAAGCTCGGAAATGCAACATTCGAGTCAACTTGCCGCGATTTCTACAGTGGGCCTTTCGAGCTCGTGGCCATTCCAGGGGCTGATCACTTCCCGGGGATGGACGCCTCGAGGCAGCAGTGGTTGCTATGGATTGAAGATCGATTCAACGGGAAGGCGCTTAGCTCGCAGCAGTGCACGAGATCAACGCTGAACAGCTTTTTGCCAGGTGGCTCTTACCAGAAGGATAGCACATCCTTTCCGCAATGGGCTGGCATGCCGAATGAGTTCTTCGAGCTGGTCGCTGGAGGATTCTAGATTCTTGTTCCTGCGCTCGCCAATGCTATGGACAGTACTCAACTGATAAAGCCTTTCCTTTCCATCAACTTGCTACCCGCCTCGTCTCTGCGTACCACTCTCAAGGAATTTCCTTTCGAAAGAGCCTTACACTAAAGCGTTGAGATAACGTACCCCTTAAATAATCATGCCCTGAGTTGGAGACGACGCATTGTGATCCTTGGTGGTGAAAACGTTGTAGACTTCACACAGACTGTCGCAGTGAGTCGTGCCATAACACAGCATAGGAGTGCGCTCGCATGCCTTATGCCTGCAACATCTGCCAGACACCACCACTCTCAACGCAACTAGTCCGATAGTGAAGCCGTTGGAGGTCCTCCAGCAATGTATCAAGTGCCCTGATGTAGCAGCGATAGCACTCATGTACAAGACTACGCGGTTGATAACGCTAAACATACTATGCAGCACTCTATCGATGGCCGAGGTGTGCGCATTTAACACTCGTGGGATCTACAAATGCTTTGCAGAAAGTGGAACCTCGACGTACAGCAGAGCGGCACCGAAACGTCATCTGCTTGCGGGTTAATAAGCTTTCTGTATAGCTTAACGGTTGTGCTTGTCTCAATACTCTATTCTCCTTCAGGACGATCGACATCCCAACTTGGACACAATCGATGAGAGCATGACAGATAGGTGCGGTGATGCAGGTCCGGACGACAGGAGATTAGTCGGGCATGTATAAGTCATGAGCAGTGCAGAGTATCAGAACCTGCAGTTTTCGTAGCCAGCACAACGCATTCTTTTACACACCAAACATCACAACACCATGCTGTACACTCTCCCGACCTCTATCCTACTCTTCTTGACTGGCGCATATGCGCTTCCTCAATGGGGCCACGGATACGGTGGCAGCGGCGGCGGCTCACAACCACCATGCAGCGCTGCAGTCGTAGCCCTGGCCACAGGTATCCATCTCAACATCCAGGGCCAGTACGCTGAATACAACGGCACTGTCCACGTCATCAACATCGAGACCGCTTCACCAGTCAACCAGACTGCCTTCTACATTGCCAAAGGTGAACTCCTCTCCGACATCCAAGCCGGCATGAACATCCGTCAATTCAACCAGGAGATTGCGCCGGCTGGAAATGCTGCTCTGCCGGGGTTGGCCAAGTATCAGGCTGCACAGCAGACGGAACAGGGGCTTGCTATGGGTCTCACGGGCGTGTTGGGTCAAGATCAGAGTGCTTTGAGCTCACTGAAGAGCGACATCATGGCTGGCATCAAGCTGAATGAGAACAATTTGCAGTCGGTGAGTCCAGTCTGCCAGATTACGCACCATGTCACTGTGAAGCACATTTTCTAACTGCTTCTAGGCTGTCCAAGGGTGTGAGTTAGGCCTGGTCTTCCCCGATCCTGATCAGTCGGGTTGATTGTCTACCCTCCGCCGTCATGCTACAAGCGATGTCCGTATTGACGGGAGAGGTGGAGATAGCAATATTGTTGAATCTTGTACAGGGTTAGACTCAGCTAATGTGACTGCCTGCATGTCTGATAGAGGCCCAAAAGTCGGTCAAACCAATCGGACCAAGTAGAAATATTACAATAAGCTCAATACCAGATGGCAGCGACAGTGTCAGCTGGAAGATGATCCAGACAATCAGCTTGAGAAGTAAGAAGCGATATTTCCATGTCGAGCTCAAAGCCATTGCTAAGCCTTAGGGCTGTAAGCCTACTCCGGAAGCATATACCCCGCGCACTACTTAAGTATATTTTTTGTTACCAGGCCGGCAGCAAGAGCATCGAGCTTATGCTCCACGGTCTGCGTAAAGGTCTCAAATTTGTTTATTAGCTCGCCTTGCAAATTGGCAGTCTCCTCTGTCGCCTTCGCCGAATCTTTCGTCTCTTTCGCGCTGATTTGGCCAGTGCTCACATACAGATCTGGATGATTGGCCTGCTGGTCTGCACGAGCGGTGTCAAAGAGCTTTTGCAGTCTTTCGTCCTCGGCTCGTGGGTCAAGATTGCTGCCGCCACTGCCTGGACTGCCTGCCACGCCAAAGAAAGATCGCTCTGCCGTCTCAATCTCAATGATCAGGGCTTGATACTGGTCTTGCGCTTTACGGTAACGTTGTGGAACACCTTGACCCTTTTGCCATGCCAAGGAACTGAACCCATTGTCAGATTTGAGCCATCCGAGAACGCCTGGACGAGTTCATGATTTACGTACCCGGCTAGCACGGTGTTCAGTGCGCCCAAAACAGTCAAAATCACGCGGCTGGAATCCTGGTATGCTGATAGTGCGGTAAACGTGGCGGCAAGGAGGATCTGGAGCATGTATAGCATGTTGCTGATGTAGCTCGTTAGATTGTACGCAATTCTGCTCCGTCGTTCCTCAGCGATAGCGCGAAGATAGAGCCCGACATTGGCAGGTTCTGCACCAGTTTGCTGAGGGCGCATGCCAGACCTAGCGTTACTCTCGGGTTCTCCATGACGAAGGCCTGCTGGCGATTGTATGCCCGCAAGGATCTGAAACAGCTGAAGGCGACTGTAGGCGTTCGAGAGATTAGTATTGCGTTGCGAGTTGGGATGCGATTCTGTCGATGGTGCTGTAGGAACTACGGTGATGTTGTCCTTTAGCTCCTAACTAATATAAGGCCTAGGAGGCAACTAAATATTAGTAGGATCCTCCCTAAATCTAGTAAGACGCGAAGCTATATAGTCTAGATTTTAGTAGGATCCTATTTAATAGGATCTATACTTCTAGAACTACCTATAGGCGCTATTCTATACGCTAAAATAGGATATATCTTACTTATAGTACTTAATTATCTATCTAGTATTATTTCTAGTACGTCTAGATAGTATTTCGTAGTACTAGGGTTAGAGTATAGGTATACGCTAGTAGTCGTCGGACGCGCGAGGGCGTACGGATATACGCCCGTACGTATAGAAGCGCGGGATAAAGTATAGCCGCCCCTACGAAGTTCGGCTACTTCTAAAGACTACTATAGTAGTAGTCTTTAACTCTACTTACCTTAACCCTTTAACTCTACTTACCTTAGCCCTCTCTACCCTCTATAAGCTATATATAGTATATATAGCGTTAGGGTATTGTTACGGACATAGAATTCGATTATTAGTAACGAGTTAGGAACTAAGGCATGAGGCTAGCAGACTAATTCTGGGGCTGGATATAGGATTACTTTATTACTAGGTAATCGAGTAATCCGGATTATAATTACTATAGGTAACTATAATCGGGTCGCAATTACCTTTAGTAATTACGACTATATACGAATCTCCTATATATATAGAATAGGCGTTTCCTATATAGGTAGTTCGTGTTTAACCTAAGTTACTAACCCGCCGAAAGGTTAAACCTTAGAGTAGTTACTTACTCGACCTATCGCTTAGAACTTACTCGTCTAACGAGCTCTAACCCCCTTATACCGTAGGTGTATAACATTTTGAACACCCTTATAGCAGGTAAGTACCCTAAGCAAACAAATAGCTCCTAATAACGAAAGAGACGTTAGTATAGCTTCGACTACTCGAGCTAGTGCCTCTACTAATAAAGATAGGATAAGGTATTCCGCTAAGCCGGACTTCTTCTATAGGGATCGCAATAAGCTCGATAACTAGTTAAACTAGATTATGCTATACTTCTCCCTTAAAGGTATTATAAGTAAATAACGACGCTACCGCATCGTAGTATCCTACCTTCGAGGCGAAGCTTAAAGCTAGATACGTCCTAAATTAACTATAGTCCTACTCGAGAATAGAGACCTAGACGGGATCTTTGCCGACTTCTCGGAGTTCGCTAAATAGGTTAAGGGAATCTATAGACTTAGTAATAACTAGCAAGTCGCTATCCGGAATATCTAATACGTTACGTAGAAGGCCTCTATATCCTAGTATACCGCTAAGTTTAAAGAGGTTTCTACTCGTACTAGATAGGACGGCAATGCATTAAGATCTATATACTATCGAGGACTTAAAGACAACGTTAAGGACGAGCTTATAAGATACGGAGGACGCTAAGACACCTTAGAATACTTATAGGAGGCTATAATTAAGGTAGACGATATGCTCTACGAACGATATATAGAAAAACGTAATACTAATTAGGACCGCGGACGAACTAGCTATACTCCCTACGGCTGGACCGGAGGATAGTAACGTCGCGACCCTAACGCTATAGAACTCGACGCTACTTAACGTAAGTTTAGAGGAGGCAAGAACAATAGAGCAGGAGCTAAGGGTAAGAACTACGCCTAGGGTAAGAAGCAAGGACTAAAGTGCTATTCGTGCGGAAAGGAAGGACACTACGTACGCGACTACCGTAGCCGTAAGGTGCAACTATAGCAGAACTATAGGGCGGATCTTAGGGAGGTTAACGCTATAGAGATTAACGTTATAGAACGACGTAATCTATTTGCCGAATATATTTAGGAAGCTATTAACGTTATTTAGTTAGGAATGCACGTTAATAAGGAATTAGCTAATAGCAATACTATACGACAAACGCAATCCGAAATTACTAATACGATAAGCTTAATAAGGAAACGACACCCTAATCGTAAGGACGAGATTACTAAATAGGAGAACAAGTTCCTCGAACTACTCGGAATAGTCTCTACGGACGACATTTACGTTATCCGTAACACGATAATAAAGATCGGAGAAAGTGTCGGAAAGGACCTAGATAGCGAATATAAACAACTATACTAGGCAGGATGTTATAACGACTCCTATACGACTTACTACTCGAGTAAGGCAGACTTAGGATAGTTCCCGAGTAAGCCTCGTCGAGAGTTTAATTCGACGGAATTATAGGGATCTAATAGTGCTGCGTATTAGCCCCCTATGTTCGAACTAGTACTAGTTCGACAACGGCAACTATAGTAGGATAGAGACGACGGTATTTACGCCCGAGGAAGATCTCTACCTCTACTTAGGTAGGAGGATACAACCCTATAAGAAACACAACAACCTTAGGAGGAGGAATCCGACGACGAAGAAGAATTAAGACAACTAGTCGTAATATACGATTAGGGAAGCTTCGCGCTAACCCCTATTATACTAGACTCTAAGGACGGTTACGAGGACACGCCCGAGTTATTAGAATACGAATATACCGACGACGACAATAATAGCGATAACGAAACACTTAACTTTAGTATTAACGCACTAGAACTAATTAGACGAATAATTCTTATAATAGTTAGATAACACGAGGAAGTCTTCCCGAAGGTATAAGGGAAACGACGACTACATCGAAACAACTTCGACTTACTACTTAATAGCCTACGGAGGGAGTTTTAGGACTATCGACAAGTTAACCTCGACGGAGGACATTACTACGTACGAGACATACCCCCGATAGGAAGCAAGTTCGATAGGTCTAGAGGATATTACGCCCTAGACGGGATCTACATTAGCAAGAACATACGAGACTACGTTAAGGTGCTTATATAGCGATTCGACGAGATCTACATAATATAGGAAAACTAGTAGAACGACCTTATTACAGAATAAGAGATAATCTAGCAGTATAAGACTACGTTATATAAGTAGTTATACGCTACAACCTATAAAGTCCTACTACTACTAGTATAGAAGGGACAGGTTTTCGGTAAATTATTACTATTAACTAAAGGACTAGTATCGATAAGTATTAAACGAGGAAGAATTATACTATAGCCTAAGGACGGACCCCTTAGTTAGGAAGTCTGCCTTAAAGACCCCGAGCTTCTAGCGGCTTAAGAAACAAAAAACTAGGAGAGCCCGTTAGTAGGAACAGACTATAGGAACTTAACAACACGAATGTTTAATAGACTTTAGTAGTAGTCCTACGCACTAAATACATTATATAAGGACACGAAACAATAGCAATAATCGACTCCGGAGCCAACGGAACGTTTATATTAGCCTAATTCGTATAACGACACGGGATCGCAACCCGGAGGAAGAAGAATAGCGGGTATAAACTAATAGCCGTCGATAGCTTATCCCTACCCGACGTAGACAGTAAAACGATGCTACTATCCCTAACGATACAATAGTACTACGAGACGATAGTCCTAGATATCGTACCTATAGCTAGATACGATATCGTATTAGGCACGCCTTAGTTAGAACGTTATAACCTACATATAGAGTAGAAAACGAGAGTACTAACATTTAAGCGATACGTATACGTTATCGATATTAAGCCTACACGCCGGTAGAGTTTAGCGGTAGATAAGGAACGACAGCATATATATATAGCTAATTAACAACCGAAATAGGAGCTACGTAGTAGCCTAAGCTCGACAGATGCCGGAATAGATCTACCGGATTAACAAGTTAGAGCGAAGGAGGACAAGGACGCACCTCTAGGAATCCCTAAAGAGTTTATACGATAGAAACGCCTCTTTTAGGAAGAGATAGGGCTCGCGGCCTTGCCTA